GGTTTTCTTACATTTGAATGTGTATTTATGTGCGTTTTTCGAGTTGTTCATCATTTTCCGCTACTTTTTAAAAATATTTTATTGTTTTTTTCAAATATTACTCGGCGTGTTTGAAAGATTGTTTTAATTTCTGATATAACAATTTACTATTTTAGAAAAAACATTTTTTCACATAATTTCAGATTTCAAGACGTAAAATTAGAACAAAAAAACCTTGAAAATCTATAACTAAAAAAGCAAAAGAGAGCCCTGGGTACTAGTCCTCCCTGGGGAATAAAGGCCCAAGGCCGGGATTGAACTCTTGACCTCTTGGGCGGGGGATCAACCAGCAAATTTAAGCCACTAGACCACAGGACTCCCTGCCTCCCCTCGTCTTATTTTTATGTTTATGATGGCCTATTATTTTGTGCGTGCGCATTTGACTTGCAACAGTTTCTGGGTTTTTTTTTTGAATTTTTTTGTTCCCTGTTCAAAAATGTTTTCCCCCAAAAAAAATCTGCAAGTCTATCTTTCCACATCACTTCTCCTTCTAGTTCTTTAATCTACTTTCATTTGTCCTGTCTCAATTCTTGAAACAAATTTTTAATCAAATAGGTTTTTTTCTCCGTTTTTTTGCATTCATTCATTCATCGTGTCGTTTTAATCGCAAAAAATGTGTGTGTGTGTATGTGAGGCGCAAAATTAAATGGCGGAAATCGAGAAAAAGAGAGAACTCCTGGAACTCTTCTTTTCCTATTTATTACATTATGTGTATATATTTATTTATATTCAAATGTGAAAATGATGAATATTTGTATGTTCTTGTTTTTTTCTCGTATCCTGTATTAGTATTCCTTTTTGCTGATTCGTTTTATCGGAAAAAAACATTATCTTTTTGACCTGGACCACCCATTAATTGAATTATTGTTGTGCAATCAAAAAATCATTAATTTTATAGCTTTGTCAGTTGCTTTGCACTTATGTTAGAAGTGAACTTTTGGAACACTTTGAAATTACAAATTTTATGACATTTTCTGTTTTCTTGTGTTAGAATTAATGACCACCCACGAAGATATCTTGTATTCCTAATAAAATGATTGAATAGAGAATGAAAATCTGAAAAATTTGCACACATTCTTGGTGAGATTTTTCTCATTTCCTTTGGGAAACACGCCCTTTTACTAAATGGACATCTATGTATATCCACAACATACACACTCATTTATTTTGTCGAACACCATTTTTTTGTGGTGTTTATGTTCGTGTAAAACTTTTTGCGTGTTTGAGTTTGGCAACTTTTTTGTGTGTGATGGGTTGGTTCAGTAGGACTTTGCGAGATTTTCGGTGGGAATGTTTTAACAATTCTTATAATTATTATCACTGCCTCGAATTAGTTAGCCGATATTGTTTTCTGAAACTTTCTTTTTGAAACACGTTGATATTTTATTCTTATCAAAAATGATTTCATTTTTGAATTTCTGATCTATACTTTTACAGTTTTCAAAATTTTTTATGTTTGAAATGTTCTTGAAACACTTCAATTATTCAAAAATGTTCCTTTCCGGTTTTTCATTCTTAAAAAGTTTCTGGTTAAGACGATGTTTCGGGAATAGTTGCTTATATATGAATTATTTTCCAGAAACATCAGTTTTTTAAATACCTTTTTTTCTGATAGAATCATTTTTATCTCATTTTCCTGAATCTAATCCACATAGCAATGCAGAAAATAAAAAATAGCTGTTTCAAATCGCAGCACATTTATTTTTTTCAAAATCTTCTTCGTTTATTACCCCTATACAATTATAAATCAAGCATCGCAGCTCTTCCCATTCTTTTTTCTTTCCATCCCTCTTTTTTTTCGCTGTTCACAACAATGTTCCAAATCTCAGTTAATCAAGTGGCTCGTGAACCCTTTTATTAAACCAACTGTCATCTTCTTAATTATTTTTCATTTTCCAAACAAAACTAACTAAGGAGAAGCTGGCCAAGTCATAACAATGAATAAAAAGTCACGGTGGTCCGCAAAAAATAATCAAATTTGTCACTACTAATTATTCGCGTTTTTCGCGCCACTTCATTAGCTCGTTTTATGTGTTCACTTCATTATCCCAAACACTGACATGAGAAAAATAATAATAAATGTTTCTTGTGAGATTTTTGCGTTGAACCCTGTAATTAGAAATGTTACCTGCCAGGCGGGTTTTTTGAAGAATACTAATGAACAAGAATATTATTGTATCGGATTACGTGGCCCTTCTTTTTTTGGCGGATTTTATTTTTTATGTCAAGAAAGTGGGATGTGATTTGTCTATGTAATTAAAATTTTGAAAATCTCTCATTCGGACCGGGAACACGACAATTTTCAAAAAACATTTCTAAATCAAATTGTTTTAAAACATCCAGAAATTCTTTAAGAATGGAGTTCCACTTTGAAAAATTCACCATAGTTTTGTATTATTTTCCATGGTGTTCGATAAAGGAATGTACAAACATTTCTATTGGTAACCCATAAATTATTAATCTCAGATCAGAATCCAGGAACAAAACAACATTGGTATCAAATTTCAAGAAATACATCTCTATTTTTATGATACTTTTATACATATCCCATTTTTTGATTTACCGCCATATTATTTTCTTGTACCACTCATTTGTCACCATAATTCACCCCTTCTCTTCCCATTTTTTTCATTTTTTTTGCAGAGAATTAGAATAGGAATAGGCGGTGCCTTTTTCACAGTCATTATCCATCTATTCACACCTATACATAGACATGTGTTCTTCTTTTTTTCGATATGCATATTATTTTTTGCAAATATATGGATGACATTAAGGAACTTTATTTATTTTTACTCCTGGGATCCATTCTTGATTTGTGAATCAAAAAAAAAAAATAAAAGATCCCGCAATCTTTTTGTTCCTCTTCTTCTCAAGAATCAAAAGACAAATAACCTGTCATCATTTGAACCAATCAAAAACTCTCGAACGTAGTATTTTTGCGCGCAAAAACGTTTACACAAAAATTCGTTGGGCGAAGCTGCGGGTCAGTTGTTGCTTGGTGTCAGCTGCTTTTGACCGAGAACAACTGAAAAGACCTCCGGAATATCTTTTTGAATATCCTATTTTCTATCTCTTTTTCTCGATTTCTCGAATGTGAATGAGCATAAGAATGATGTGTGTGTATTTCGATTGTTTTACAATTTATTGTTCCGTTCTTTTTTCATAACTTTTTTTTTCAAAAAAATGCCAGAAAGGCGGTTTAGGAATTATCTTACTTCTCATTTCTCCACAAATTTTCTTGTTGATTTCTAATTTCTCTCACTTTAAGCTGCGTTTCTTGGTTTTCGAAGATTTATTTGACAATCTTTCGAATTCTAAAAACTCTACATTTCTATACCAAACATTGTGTACTCTCCATGTTTTTTTTCGTGTTTCAAATCTGATCTTCTTGAAAACAACAAAGATTACACAATGAAATTTGATTCCTTGACATTTTGCAGAATCATTTTTTGAAAAGCTATTCTGTGGACTTGATATAGAAATTTTTTTCTGACAAGGATACTTTGTCATTTTTTTGATTTAATTTTGAAATCAATCTTCATTCAACTTAAGTTTAGATAGAAATTCAAATTTTTTTGAGGTTTCAAATGCATAAATGCTTTTTCAACATATGTAATTCAATTTTTCATCTCGAACTTTTCAAAACAATGATTCATCTAGATTTCATAACTTTGTAAGAATTTCGCTTTCCGATTCCATTGCACCCAAACCTCAAAAATCTATCCACCAATATACATATATTCAACTGCTGTGCATACATGTTCTTCTGTTTCTTCTTTTTCTATTTCTTCTCCCATTCGATTCAATTCCTATTACTCATGATTTGTTGTTTTTACCATTGTTTATTACATAATACCACATTAGTAGTAGTTATTTCTCTTTTTGTTTCAATTGTAGAAAATAATCGAGCAGAAGGTGTGTTTTTGACCCATATTATATTAGAGTACTGTACATAGATTGGTTGTAAATTGCCAGGCGGAACTGAAAGAAAACTTGCCTTTAGGAGTGTATTCTTTTCTTGAATACAACGTCACTTTCTAAAAAAAAGGGAGATAATCTTCTGAAACAAGAGGGAAGATAATTTTCGAGTAAAGTTCCCATAAGTTATTCTAACCTTCACCCATAAATTATTTATTACATAATGGTTCAATTATCAAAATGTTTATATTCTTTTCTGATCTACGGATATGTATCTACTAATATAATAAAAATAAATATATAATTAAAAAATCTCAAATCATGATGCGCTAAACGACAAATATGTATCAATTATTTTTATTTCACACATTTATGTATAATAATAATAACATATCTGCCTTCTTCTTCTTATTCATAACCGTTTTTCAATTAGCCTAGCCTGCCTCCCACCCCAAAAAGACACCAAAGCAAAAAGTGGGCGTGGTCTCATGGTGTCTGGCGTAAGACGGATATTCTCATTTTCTAGTTGAGGTGTCGTTTATTTTCAATTTTTTTTGAAGATTTTTTCTTTATAAGAACATGAAGTTCCCAAAGGAATATGAATATGTGAAAACTAATCCCATTATCAACTTTTATTTTCACTGTTTCATTTTAATGGGATAAAAAAGTTTTCACTTGTTCCATTTGTACTTTTTTTGAAATCTTTCTGAAAACGTATTGGTTTTTTTTTCGGTTAAAAAATTTGAATAAAAATCCAATAAAAAAATCACATCTGTTGGCGGCTTTTGATTCTAAAAAAAGAAGGAACCTATAGTGTCTGTCAGTCGGTGAACCATGAAAAATACAGCTCTTGACCACCCACTGAGTAACGAGAAAATAGATATATCCACCCATATATATTCGCCCTTTAGAATTATTGTTTTATTATTATTTTTGGTTATTATTTTTATTTTATTGCGCATTGTTGCTTCTCGAAAAATCACTAGATAATATTTATTAATCCGTATTTATTTTCAGATAAATCATAACAATAGGAATATGCGATGATTTCGTTTTACTACACATTTTTTATATTCACATTTTTGGCTCAAAAAACTACGAGTTCATCTTCGTCTTCTTTCATTGAAGTTCCATCAAATCAATCAGCACAATTGGGTGATGATGTGATTTTTAGATGTTCGGCTGAAAAATCTGCCGAGGCACTGATGTAAGTTTGTTTTAGAAAAAAGTTGTTTGAAAATGTTTGATGATTCCAAACTCAACAATGAATTCAATTTCTTTGAATTTCCAGATACAGCCAATGGAAATCCAACACAGGCTCTCTTCTCGGTTACCATCAAGGTGGAGTCCTGCCAGGTCATCAAGGTCGATACAGTTACATCAAAGAGAACGCGGAAGAGCTCCATCTTCGAATCGAAAAAGTAGTTCTAGAAGATGATGGAAAATTTGAATGTCAAATGTTGCGACCTGAAGAAGGTCCAATTCGTGCAGGAGCTTGGCTTAACATTTTAGTACCTCCAAAATCAATTCATTTCACAAATTATCAAACTGGCAGTACAATTGATATTAATGAAAATACAATGCTGAATATCACGTGCGTCACACCAAATGTGAAACCAGAACCAATGATTAGTTGGTATATAAATGGCCGGAAAATTGAGCAAGGAGTTCGACACCATTCAGTGACTCATATTAATGGAACAATTACAAGTTATGCAACACTTGAATTCAAACCAAAAAGAGGAGATCATCAGAAAATGTTAACTTGTGAAGCGTTGCATAGTGATACAAAAACAAAGATTCGAACCAACACAACACTAAATGTTATGTGTAAGTTTGTTTTATTATTTCCTTTGATAATTGCCGACAACGGCTCCCGGGTGCTGTAAAATGTTACACCAATAACTAAAACAATAATAATAAATAACATCAAAAGTATAAAGGTGTTAGATATTTAGATAACCTTTCAAATTTTTTTTCAGTTCCACCAAACGATCCAATTGTTCATGTTTTGAATGGCGAGAAATTTGTGAGATCCGGAGATAATGTGACAATTGGATGTACAGTAACCGGCGGAAACCCATCGCCAAATGTTTCGTGGTTTTTCAACGACAAATTGATTGATTCGAGTTTTGCTTTCGATGCGACCAGTCAGGTAAACATATGTCAATGGGAATGAAATTACAAAACAGGCAAAAAAATACACAGACATTTGGGAAAAAGATTAATGTGTGTAAACACATGTGCATATGGGTTACGTTAATTGAATTGAAATTGAACATTTTGTATGAAAATGATGGGATATTTATTTATTTATAACCTCAAAACCTTTTTTTTTCAAATTTCAAACTTTGCTGTCTAGGAAAAACCAAACATACATTAGGTTCAGATGATAAATTAGTTACAATTTCCACCCATCCATCCACATGTTGTTGCACCAACAACAGATGGCGTACGGTATATTTCATCAAGAGCCGGCTTACTTTTGTTGTTTTTGGCGATAGTAGTGATGGTGCACAAGGGGTACTCACCCCGGCCAAAAATGATTGATAGCCAAAAAGAAAGGGTGTCCGAAACAAAAGCAAAAGCAAAAAAAGAACAGAAAAGTTTCCCAGGGGAACATCGAGAAATATTTATTATGACACCTTCTGCCGGCCCTATTCTTTTTTGGGACCATCCAAACGATTTTTGATTTGTAAGAGAAGAGGGATTTTTTTCTTATCTTACATTAGAATTAAGTCACTTCTCAAATTACCCATAATCCTCGTTTTTGAACATGCATAATTTTGCTATGAATTACTTTTGACCGACAAAAACAAGCATCTGCTCGCCTTTTTTTTCATATAAGCAGCGCGACAAGGGATTACGTAATTTATGTAAGATGCCGAAAATACACAATTCTTGCTAATTTTGTAAAGGTACCAAAATTAGTGAAGATGTGCTTATGGATACTAAAAATATACACAAATTCTGATTTCAGGAAACCAAAAATCTCTATTCATTCCTTGCTGGTCCGACCGATAATATGGCGAATTATGAATGCCGCACTAAAAATAGTGTTACTATGGAACCCCTTCGGAAAACTGTCAAAATCGAAGTTTCTTGTAAGTTTCCAAAAAAAGTTTTTTTTATTCAAAAATCTTTTTTTCCAGATGCTCCGCCAGGTGTTGAACTTTTTGGTGAAAGTAACATTCGATATGGTGCAATCGCCAATATTCAATGTAGATCATTGTAAGTCATGTTTACATAGTTAATGTATCTTATTATTATTTCATGTTATGTTTTTTAGCGTAGGTTATGTTTACACTGTTTTTTACTCGTTGGACCAAACAAGAACAAAAAAAAATGTTTGAATAAATTAAAATTCTAATTTCAGACCATCGAACCCGGCTTCACAAATTTCATGGCTTGTGAATGGTCACCCGGTTGGCACAGCTGTTCAAAGCGAGTACTCGAAGGTACACTTGACTTTTCTCACCCCACAATGAAAAACCAATTACCTTCTTTCTTTCAGGATAATGGAAAAGTGTCGGTGTCAAATTTGACGATTAACTCAAATGAAGTCAACATTGGAAATCATCAAATTTCAATTGAATGCACTGCACGAAATGTTGAGGGATCAACTTCAAAACAACATATTATTAAGATATTGGCACCACCAATGGCTCCAAGAATTTCAGGACTTGAAGATTCATTTTATTTTGAAGGTGATGTTATCAATGCGACCTGTGAAGCTCACGGTGGAAACCCATTAGCTGAAATCTCTTGGTATCGCGGGTATGAAAAGGTGAGTTCTAAACAATGCATCAACAGGTTGAGCTCAAGTATAGAGCACTATTTTCAAATTCTAATAAAAATAAACATTTTCAAGACAACAATGAAAGGAAAAAAGAAACCGAAATGGTCACAGGTAACATCAAGCTTTCTGTAAACAAAACTGTACTATCTGCACTTTTTTTCATTTCTATCACAATCCTAGCTTTTGTGTTTTTTCATTAGCTTGTCATTTTTATGAATTCAACAAATATTCTTCAGGTGAATGGCGCGAGAAACGAAGTAGCCGGAGATTCTTCAATATCATCGCTTGGACTCAAATTGGACAGATCAATGAATACCCAAAGATTGAAATGTGAAGCAACAAATGCGGCGTTAGATGAGCCTTTGGTAGAATCAAGACAACTTAATGTTTACTGTAAGTTGGAATCAAAAGCATATTTATGTAGAGAAATTCATTTTCAAAAACCAAAAAACAATTTCAGATCCACCTCGACGACTCATAATCCGCCCATTTGAAGTGAGTTCCCATCATTTATTGGTTGGAAAAACGGCACAATTGGTATGTGTTGCTCCATCCTCTAATCCAGCTGCTCACATCACATGGTATTTTTATCCAAATGGCGATAGCAATCCGTTGATTTACAATGGCCGCACAACCACCAACGATACGTATGTTGATGATTTACGAGTTTTCTCGAGCCAATCTGTTGACTTTTTTAGCACTCGAGAAATTGGATATACTGTTGAGAATGTTGTCGACTTCTCGCCGACTGAAGAATATGATGGAACTATTGTCAGATGTGTGGCTAGTCATCCAGATTGGAAACATTCAATTAATTCAACCTACGCTCTAAATGTTCTTTGTAAGTTTTGTGAATACTGGAAAAATATTTTTAATTTTTAAAAAAATGTTTTCAGATGCTCCTCGTATGCTTGTTGATAACCCGGTCACAATTATTGTTGGTGAAGGTGATTCTTTTCGTGAAAATCTGACAGTTCGTGGAAATCCACCCGTCTCCTCTTGGCAGTGGCGTAAAAATGGTGTACCCTTTGATCATACAATTGGAAAAGTTTTTGCTAGAGGAGCTGCACTATCTGGAAAGAATTTGAAAAGTACGGATGCTGGAACTTATACTATGATTGCTACAAATAGTGTTGGAAGCACCAATATTACTATCAAATTATCAGTTGAATACAGTGCTAGAATAACAAGTATTTCTCAACCAGTTATTGCATCTGAAGGTGATACAGTACTCTTGGAATGTGAAGCTGATGGTGAACCAAGAAAAGCAAATATGGTTGAATGGTATCGAAATGGCCAAAAAATTCATGCGATTCATCGAGGAGATAATAGAGCTGTACTTCGATTGAATGCCACACAAAAAGGATCTGGTGAATACATTTGTCGTGCTAATAATGGAATCGGACATCCCGCTGAAGGAAAAGCTTATGTTTTGGTGAAATCACCTCCAAGAATTATGCATTTGCCATTGTTATCAAAAGCTGCTGGTGTATTGGGTGGAACTGCGAGAGCAAGATGTCGAGCACAAGCTGTTCCAGTCGCTGATTTCTTCTGGGAACGTGATGGTGAACTTATCAAAGGAAATAGTTCGAAATACAGTATGACTACAGTACAGTTGGATTATCTGACTTTTGAGGTACTTTGTTTGAAATAATGTTCAAATTTATAGTTTTTCAAATTTCAGAGTACATTATGGATCAAAAATCTTGGACCAACAGATTATAGCAAACCCCTCCGATGTGTGACAAGAAATGAATTTGGATCAGATAAAACTGTTATTCCAATTGGACCGCTGACTCTTCCAGATGTCCCACTTTCTTTGAGAATGACTAATGCTACAGCAACAACCCTCACACTTTCTTGGGAACCTGGATTTGATGGAGGATCTGATCAAATTTTCGAAGTCAAATATCAGAAATATAATGAAGATCTTATTCATCTTGTAAACACAACTAATCCAGTAAGTTTATTATTTGGAACAAAACAAGAACTCAACATTACATATGTTTTTTTTTTCAGAATCTCCGCCTTTCTGGACTTTTACCTGCCAAAGTATACGAATTCCAAATTCGTGCAATCAATGGCCGAGGTTTTTCATCTGATTGGACAAGAACTGCAGTTCTCGGAACTTTGACAGAAGATGGTGTTGATGTTGCGATGGTTCAATCAAGACGTCCAAAATGGCCCGAACTTTTCCCAATAATCCTAGTTGCCGTTGTTGTATTCGCATTGATCAACGTATTATTAGTTTGCTTCGTCTGCAACAAGAATCGCAAAAGAAAGTTGCGCGAGAAAACTGAAATGGTTCGAACTGCAATTAATGGTGATGGTGTGAGACCAGTACAAATGTATGGAACAATGGTAGTAAATGATGGAAGTACAAGATTAGACTGTGAAGATATGCCAGATGCGAGTGAAGATGATCATTCAGTTCGAACAATGATTGAAGTTTCACCAAATGGATATATGCAACCAATTGATCCAAGTTTATATGAGCGAAGTTGTTTGGTTGAATATGAATTTGATCGTGAGTTTTTCTATAGAAAATGTTGTTCAAAAAATATAAAATTTTTTCAGCTCGCGATTATCCCAGCCGACACGGAACTATTGGCAGAAACAGTACATATACAAATATGCCATACCCTGTAAGTAAACATTTCTCGGTGACAAATGTAACAACACACTAATTATAGGAACCGCCACATTCGTCAATTTATTCCGACCGTTCACTTTCTCGACATGTTCCTTTAAACAATAATAGCAGCCCGTCACATGGATTATCAACATTTATCCATCCAAATTCTGGAGTTCGAGCTGGTCCAATTCTATACAGCCAACTTGATGGAGATTTGGTGTGATTTTCAGAGTTTTTGTTGGTGCGAGAAAAACGGGTTTAATAATTTTTTCTCCAATGTTTTACCGGTCTTTTAAAGTATATATTAATGTAATTGAACTCTTTTTCTCTACCAAAATTGAAAAAGAATTTAAAATTTAAAATATTAAAAAAAAAACTAAACCAGTCAGCTAATAGCCCCCTCTTTCTCCCCCTTTTCCCCCAATTATCCTAGTCTCTCTGTGATATTTTGTGGATTTTTTCGCTGTTTCAAAAATATGCATTTTTGTGTCATTTTTTTTCAAAAAATTATGTTACATTATTATTTATTTGTATTTGAACTAGTCAACATTTGTTTTATTTTTTTCAAATTTTCAGAATAAATTTATTGATAATATTTTTTATGTGAAAAGGTTCCTGTTTCAAAAGTTCACAGACTGTTTTAGGAAAAAATTGTTGTTCGGTCGGTCGGTATGTTAGTGTAACTTGGTTTGATAAGAAAACCATTGTTCCAGAAAGACAAATTATTTTTCATTTTTGGTTTTCCGAGAATTTGTTCGTATCTGGGATTTATTTCATTTTATCAACCTATAATCATAAACGTACTAATATAATTTGCACCTTTCTAATAAATTCCACAAAGGTGCAAAGGCTCTAATTTTCCGTTCACTTTCATATATTGAGCTAACTTGTGATAGAAAATGTGGAGGTTTTATTTATTTTTGGAAATATCTAATTTTGAAAATCAAATTTCAAAATTATTTTGTATTTTTATATCAAAAATCTGAACATAAAAAATTTTATGCCAGCCTTTCTATTCTTATTTTTCATCTATCTGGATATCTACACTTTTATGTTGTATAGAAGCCAGATAAATATAAAAAAGGAACAAAAAAGAAATGACCGCTCCAGGGATTATTTATAGCACAGCACTATTATTTTATCAAATAATCATAGAAATATTGCTTGAGTGTGGGAATATGTATATGTATTTATCTAGTTATTATAAATGTCCACTTTTAGAGTTGAATATCAATCAACTCGTGCGCGCGAAAAATAAAGCAACAAAAACTAATTTATTTTTTGGGGTGTTGTTACTAGTTACCGGAGAATGAATGGATTACTTTTTGATATGATTATTTTGAATAGTAGTATTTTATTGGGAGCATTGATTCCTTCTTTGGAAATTTTTTAGATTGTTTATGTTTTAGCTAGGTTCTCACTACATGAAAACTATTCAAGAAATATATTTTCTCAGCATTTGTTAAAGAGTAAATTGAAACATTTCACAGTTTTAAAAATAATGTTTCAGCTTTTTTCAAAAACGAACTTTCCCAGAGATCCCAATTCTTCACATTCGAAAACAAACCAATTTAGCCTCATCATCGACTTCTATTTCATAAATAATTCCAAAACGTAGCAACATATGTTATTCAAAAATTCATCTCTCCTATTTTTCAAGATATTTCAAAAAATAAGGAAAGGAGAACATGCAATATTCTAATTTATGACAACATTTCATTTATATCATCGAATTCTTTTCATTTTTCCGCTTCAAAATTCGTTTACTTTTTCAATCTCCATGGTTTCTTCTTCGTTTGCTTCATCTTTTTTCTTTCTTTTTCTGCATTTTTATTTATATGTGCTAGCATGTTTGTATAGATGAAATTACCTCCTTTTTGACTAATACACCACACCAACTTTTTGGGCGACTTGCCAGGTGAAAATTTGCTTGTTTTGATTTTTTCACATGGATTTATTTTTATGTATATGCGTCTAGATAGATGTGTATATAATTTTGATCGTTTTGAAAAGTGGAAGTTTTCACGTATGATTTTTTCGCAGAAAAAATAGGAGCTGATATGGTTAGACATTATTTTCTTGTTTGGCTATTGATTCTAATTGGAGTTTCGGATGGATCTTCATTGGCTAGGAGAAGATTGAGAAGGCAGATTCTACCATCTCAACATATTCAGGTAAACTATTTTGAATTAGGATTTTATTGTTAGAATTGAGATTTTTTCAGGTTCATTCAATAGATTCCAAAGTTTTGCTTGACAAACTGATAACAGTTGATTCCACAGATTCGAGAGTAGAATTGTCAGAAAAGTAAGTTTATTTCGGGAAAAACAGATTTCTCTAGGCCCATTTTTCCTCTACCTCTAATTACCCTTTTTCAATTCCTGCAGAAATCTAAACGGCACCATATGGTCGCAAAAGTCAAAGGTACAATTCGACACTTATGACACATTCGTGAATGCTACAGCGGAAATTGCACAATCGATCATGAATATTTTGAATTGTGTTTTCATCCACGGAACTTCTCTAGAAAGCCAGGTATTTATTGATGGAAGGTTCCCACATAATAATTATATTTTTCCAGCTTTTCATGAGAACAAATCGAACATCCGATGGTCATACTTATCTGAATCATCAATTATATGATAATGCAAATGTTTCTATAACTGATGAAGGTGTTAGAGTTCAAGGAATTGGAGCAAGAAGGGTTGGAGTTGAAGCTCAAACTTGGGAAAAATATCTGGAAAAAACTATGACTCTATCAGCCTTGAATAATCCGGCATCTGGAGATAGAGAGCTTATGTTAACAAGTGAGTGACTAATCGTTTGAATTTATTTTCTATCTAACTAAATTTCAGTCAACGCTCCATTGTATCATATTGATGTTTGTTTTGTCGGTGCTATGATCTATATCGAATTTGGTGACAAGTTAGTGCAAATTGATCCAGATTTCCGAACAGTGAATATCTACACTAACCGGTACACAATAAACTTCAAAACCAAAGATATGGCAACTCCATATGATGTTAAACTGAGCAATGAAGAAATAACAATCCGATGTCCACAAGAGCAGACAACTGTGTTTGTTCAGCCAGGAGGTGTGAATGTTCATGTTGAAGAATTCTCAAAGTCAGTTTTTTTTCTGATCACGGTTCATTTGTAAGGATTTTTGTTGATTTCAGAATGCAATTAGATCGTGGTGGCGGTGAAATGTTGATCGGCGGGCAACCATTGAACGCAGATTCTGTGAGAGTTATCTCCTTAGCTGCTCTGCTGAGTTTGGCAAATAATGGAAATGTTAGAGCAGACACAACGAAATCTGAAATTCTAGTCCAAACGCCGGTGCAAAATGTAAGTTTTGTTTTTTTTTGTTCAACACCATCAAAAAAATCTGGTTTCAGGTTGGATTAACCGCTGCTCATCATGATATTCAAGTTCTTGGAGGAGTCCCTCATTTAGTTGTTGAAGCTGGTCTTGCGATTGTTGAAGTGACAGCTGCAAATGGTCTTCCATCTTCTATAACCCTCCTCCCACCATTTAGCCCACCAGAAGATCGTTATCTAACAATTGGACCATATCAAGGTAGTCGCACTTCTTATATGGCAACATATTACACTCAATGGTTTCTACCTCCACCTGCACCTGTTTTGTTAGCACCAGTTCCACAAACTCTTAGTGTTGATGTTAATCGGAAGATTGTGCATGTGCCAGATGATTTTTCTGGGTTTGCTGCAGATTTGGCTGTCAAGAAACTTTTAGTGAATGAAACTGACGTTGAGTTAAGCATGAATGTCACTGAAGTTTCAAATAGCACGGTTGTTATCACCAGCACCTTACCACCTACGACATCTGCGACTACAACCACAACCACGACCACAACTACTACTACTACAACGACAACAATACCGCCCACGACGACAACTTTATCTGAACTCGAAAAATTGAAACTTGAAATCGCGAGATTGACAAAAGTCCGAGAATGGGAAACTGAAGAAAATAACGTTGACAATGATGGTGATACTCAAGAAGAAACATTCACTTATCCGAATGGAACAACAGTTACTCGATTGATCAATATAAAACGACAAATTCGAACAAAAATTATACATAAGCATCGACAAGAAGTTGATGCTTCTGATAATTCAACGATTCCAATTGGAGCTGGGAATGATACATTAGTTGGAAATATAACAACAACATTTTTTGACAAATCAACCGGGAAAGAAAAATCACCACCACCAGTTTTATTAAACACATCAAATAGAAAACCATCAACTGTGAAAAATATTGAGCCATCAAAAACATCTGAATCCACCGATGTTAAAGAACCTAAAATTTCTTCAGGCCCAAAGTTACCATTCAAATCTCCAGAATCAAACACAACTTCAGCAACTCCTAGTGAATCTCAAAAACCTGAAAAGTTTCCGAGTAGATCTGAAAAACTCGGGAACGGCAAACCGTCGGATATTTCCCAAAAACCAATGAGAAATAAACCACCACCTTCAACACTGTTTGCACGAGTTCGTCGTTTTGTTGTTTGGTGATTTGTACATGTTTTATTTTTGCATGAAATTTTATTTTCTTGATTTTCCTGTTCTAACCTATATCCATTCAGAAAAAATTTAATCTTTCATTCCAGCTCCCAACGTGACCTCATCTCCGATGGTTTTCCCAGAACCAGATCAATTTAATGTCACTCAATCCCCACTCGATGGTTGTGGCGGAGGATTTGGTGGTGTACACCCACGTAATCAAACAATATATCCAGGAAATCCACAAGGTTCAACAACAATGCCCACGACTGTGGTGACTCATGAAATAGTGACATATCACACTCCAGCTCCAACAGAAATAACAACCTCTGCTCCATTGGATTTGACAACACTTGCAGAAATTATAACTACACCAGCGGTTGTTACAGAAGACACAAAAATTTTCTCAACGGATTCTTCTATGAGTGGATTTCCAACACTTATTCCAACCACAGATGAAACATATCCATTTCCAACTGATTTTGATATTGATAATACTTCTCCCGAACCAACAGAAATACAAGGAAGTGTAGGACCAAATGAAGTCACACCTCCAGGTTCGGAGACAAGCACTGAAACAAATGCGGAGTTAACAACTCAAGCAGTTATTGATGTCACGACTGCGGAAGAGTCAACAGAACCAACTCCAACACAGACATCACCTTCTGAAGAAACGACAGCTTCAAATTCTGGAGAAACTACTCCAGGAATCCCAGAACCATCAGCATTTCCAGTAGATCAACTTGAAACTACATCTGTTTTTGTACTACCTACAGATTCTGTGTATGAAACATCTCCAGGAATCCCAGAGCCTTCTGAACTTCCAGTAAATCAAGAAACAACACCTGGAATACCAGAACCATCTGAACTTCCGATAGATGGACAGGCTTCCACACAATCAATGCCCGAACCATCTGATCTCCCACTGAATCAAGAAACTACTCCCGGAATGCCAGAACCATCCGAACTTCCGATAACTGCAACAACCATTGACACAATTCCGTTCCCTTCAGAATTTCCAACTGATGATTTTGTAATTGGACACTGGTTTTCAACAGAAGATTCGAGTGAAAGAACAACAACAGAGACTTCTGAATTTTCGATAACCGCAACAATTGGTAGTATTGATCTGGCGACACTTTCAACATCATCAGCGCCCAGTTCAACTGATTCAATTCCTACACCGCCAGCCAGTTTGTGAGTTTTTTCTCTTTTTAAATTTGATTTTATTCACAAAATAATTTGATTTTTCAGAGGAAATGGAAAACTTTTGGTATTAAAAATGCGAGTTCCCGACGGAATTGATGTCAATTCTCCGGACTTTGCTAGAAATATTACAATGAGTTTGAAAAGATTAGTGCGAGATACAAAAACAAAAATGGAACGCCGATTCAGAAGAAATACAGAAGATCTGATAGAACCATCGGAAAATGTCACAGATGATCCTTTGAAAGTGAGTGATCGGAAAAAATTATCAAAATAATTTTGAAAACTTTTCAGGTAAAACAAATCATGAAATTCGATAATGTGACGGTTGTTACATTTTCGTTTGAAAATTTCGAAATAACACAAGAAGAACTTGAAAAAGCATTGTATGATTTGGAAACCAAAGATCTCAATGAATATTTTGATTTTCCGGTAAGTTTTAGTATTGGAAAAAAATTGATCAAAATCAGAAAATTACAATTTTCTATAAAAACCGATTTGAAAAATAATAGAAATTTCTTGGAGGTCTTGAAAAACACATTTAAATATATATTTTACAGACAATGGAGCACATCTCTGTCATCGAATCAAATTATAAAAACATCTCTCTCGAAAAAGAATCCGAACTTCCTTGGTTTTTGATGTTAATTATTGGTATGATAATATGTATTCTCATTAGTGGTAGCTATTATTTTATCAATCATGGCGAAACATCAATTATTATAAAAAGGATGGGACGACATTTCACAAGATATACAGCACCAGAACATTCTCCACCTCAAGAAGCGTTTGAGAGAGCATAACTAAGTTTTCTATCTGGATATACATAAGTTTCCCCCCAAATTTAATAATTAACTGTGATTTCTAATGTTCCTCTGTGTCGTCTTTTCCATCTTTTTTTCTCCAAAGCTCAAACATTTGGGTCAATCGCATATCTTTTTTTCCTTTTGCGCACATTTTTCCATGCATTCTTAACAAACTACTACTGTGACCATATCTTTCTTTTCTTTCATTTCTAATTTTTTCTCGAGCTTTCTCTTTTTTCTTATCCCAAAAGCTTTCATTACTTACTTACATATATCTCAAGTATAAGAACAATAATGTACCATATTTTTCTAGTGGCATAATAAAATAGTTTGATTTTGTAATTGTAATTTTATTTTGACAGATATGTCGTGGATTCAAAATCTGAAAAATTATCAACACTTACACGACTCGGCGGAGTATATGAAACAGGTTTATGGTGATCCATTGGCATATTTGAAAGAGGATACAAAGTTTGTTACTGAAAGAGAATATTATGAAGATTATGGATATGGAGAATGTTTCAATTCACAAGATACTGAAGTTCAGGTAACAATTTTTTGGAATTTGTTTTACACATTTTTCAAAAAAATATATACTACATTGAACTATTGTAAAAAAAACCTAACATAAGTCTCGGCTCTGTTCGGAAATAAAGGGTTTTAGAGAAAATAAAGGGTTTTAGAGAGAATAAAGGGTTTTTCAGAAAATAAAGGGTTTTTCAGAAAATAGAGGGTTTTTCCGAAAATAAAGGGTTTTTCAGAAAATAAAGGGTTTTACAGAAAATAAAGGGTTTTTCAGAAAATAAAGGGTTTTAGAAAAACAAAAAGGTTTTATAGGGGTAAAAATATCTGAAAAAGAAAAGTAATTTTTGTCTATTGGAAATTTACTAAGCCTAAGCCTTTATTCCAGAGCAGCACGAACATAAAAATTGAATTTTTAAAGCTTTCCTAGCATTCAAAGCTTAGGCTTAGTGAGGTCCTGTAAACTACAGATCCACATCAAGTTAAGAAATTTCAGTCAGATAATAGATAGTTGATAAAATTGACTAACTTTTGGACTTATTATTGGGGAGTTCTTTTTACTTTTTCAGGCTCTTAAAACCATTTTTTCTTGAAAAACCCTTTATTTTCTGTAAAACCCTTTATTTTCTGAAAAAACCCTTTATTTTCGGAAAAACCCTCTATTTTCTGAAAAACCCTTTATTTTCTGAAAAACCCTTTATTTTCTGAAAAACCCTTTATTTCCTGAAAAACCCTTTATTTTCTCTAAAACCCTTTATTTTCTCTAAAACCCTTTATTTCCGAACAGAGCCTAAGTCTCTACCCTATTTTATTCTTTTATACTTTTTAGTGTGAACTTATAACTGGAGAATTTGATCCAAAACTTCTACCATACGATAAGCGTTTGGCATGGCATTTCAAAGAATTTTGCTACAAAACATCAGCTCACGGAATTCCAATGATTGGCGAAGCGCCAAATTTATATTATCGAACAGTTTGGGTTCTTCTTTTTCTTGGTTGTATGATTATGTTGTATTTGAATGCTCAATCTGTTTGGGTTAAATATAACAGAAATGAGAAAATTGTCGATATTCAATTAAAATTTGGTGAGTTCCAGAAACATATTCTGTTAATTCAAAATCATTATTTTTTAGATACTGCCCCATTCCCAGCTATCACCTTATGCAACTTGAATCCATATAAAGCCAGTTTGGCAACAAATGTTGATCTTATTAAACGAACATTATCAGCTTTTGATGGCGCAATGGGTAAAGCTGGAGGTAGCAATTCCACAGCTCCAGCGACCCCACCAACTACGGAAGCCCCAACAACAACAACGCAAAAACCAAGACGACGTGGTAAAAGATCAACTGATGAGTTTTCAACGACTAGATTTAGACGATCAAATGATGCATTTTTTGAACCTGGTTATGCCAAATGCATTTGCGGTGAAGGTTCGAGTGAAGATGTTGATGGCGGCGATGAAGAAACAGTTATTGAGACAACAACTCCGAAACCCTATGATATTTTCTGTGAGTTTGAATTGAAATTAAGTGAGGGGAAAAATAGATATCAGTTAGCATTAAGGAAAATATAGATCTTACTGATTATTTACAGCGTATGATCAAATAAAAAGCGAAGAAGAACTAGAAGAAGAGGATAATTATGAAAATGCTGATATTGCACAAAAAGACAATAGTAAAATGGAAGTTGGATGCTCATCAAAAGACACAATTACTGAAGAACCTACAGGTCCCGATGATAAATGTATTTGTGCTTTTGATCGAGCAACTAAAGATGCTTGGCCTTGTCATTTAGCTCCATTATGGAAACCCTCTGAATGTGACAATTGTCAATTGAATCGAATTTGTCAAATGTCCTCGAATCAAACAAGTGAGTTTCTTATGATTAATAAAATTGAAAAAATGTGAAATACAACATGAATTTTCATAGAAAAGGGTCATCGATCGGAATGTTTATGTTCACCAAGTGGAAATTATTGTGTTGCCTATAATAGCAAAGTAGTACCTCTTGATATCTGGTCTTGGTTGGCTGGCGTTTCACCAACAGAAGATGCTAATTTCCTCGAAGCTATGGGTTTTCAGGTATCTCGATACTGTTTTCGAAACTAATAAATCCAAAATTGTGAATCTTCAGGGAATGACTGATGAAGTTGCAATTGTCACTAAAGCCAAAGAAAATATTATGTTTGCTATGGCAACTTTGTCAATGGCAGATAGAGAAGCATTGAGTAATACCAAAAAGGAATTGGTGCATAAGTGCTCATTCAATGGAAAAGCTTGTGATATTGATAAGTAAGAATTTTAATAAACATTCTCTGAAACAATACCACTGTTCCAGAGACTTTTTGACTCATATCGATCCAGTATTCGGATCTTGTTTCACATACAATCACGATAGATCAGTAAACTTAACAAGTATTCGAGCAGGTCCAATGTATGGTCTTCGTATGCTGGTTTATGTTAATGCATCTGATTATATGCCAACAACTGAAGCAACTGGAGTTCGTCTAACTATTCATGATAAAGATGAATTTCCGTTTCCGGATACTTTTGGATATTCAGCTCCAACTGGTTATGTCAGTTCATTTGGTTTGAGATTGGTTAGTTCGAAGGGTCATGTTTTGAAAATCCTTGTACTTTATTTTCAGATAAATTGTAATGTTCGACAGTCATTTTCGCATATTATCACAAACTAAAATGTTTTTTTTTTCAGCGAAAAATGTCACGTCTCCCTGCACCTTACGGAGATTGCATAACTGATGGAAAAACAGCTGATTACATTTATCAGAATTATACATATTCAGTCGAAGGTTGTTATCGATCTTGTTTCCAACAATTGGTTTTGAAAGATTGTCATTGTGGAGATCCTAGATTCCCGGTTCCAAAAAATAAGAAACATTGTTCAGCTTCGGATCCGACTGCTAGTAAGACAAAAAAACCCAATAATGATAAATGAAAAGATGAATTTACATTTTATTACTTTTAGGAAGATGTTTAGATCAACGAATGAATGATTTGGGAGGTTTGCATAGTTCATTCAGATGTCGTTGTCAACAACCATGTCAACAATCGATATATTCTGTTACATATTCTCCAGCTAAATGGCCCTCTTTATCTTTGCAAATTCAACTTGGATCTTGTAATGGTACTGCAGTTGAATGTAATAAACATTACAAGTGAGTTATTTTCAATTGAATTTAATTTTATCAAAAATTTTCAATAGAAAATTATTTTTTCTAGAGAAAATGGCGCAATGGTGGAAGTATTTTATGAACAATTGAATTTTGAAATGTTGACAGAATCTGAAGCATATGGTGTATGTTTATTTCTTTCTCCTGAATTTAATTTGAAATTTATGAATTTTTCAGTTCGTCAATTTACTTGCCGATTTCGGTGGTCAACTTGGTTTATGGTGTGGTATTTCATTTTTGACATGTTGTGAATTTGTATTCCTGTTTTTCGAAACCGCATACATGAGCGCTGAACATAATTATTCATTATACAAAAAGAAGAAGGCTGAAAAAGGCCAAAAAGGCTGGATCTATTTGATAAAAAATGTTAATTTTTTCCCTGTATAAAAAATGAAAAGTTTTTTGTCTTAATTCTATGAAAAAAGATCTGACCATTAATCATTCTGACCATGTGTTTTGTATGTTTTGCGAAAAGGTAAAAAAAACGAAATGAAGTGAAATGATGCTTTGTTTGGAGCATCTGCACACAAGAATTGATGAGTTTCAAGCGGAAATAGGTAGAACTTTCATACAGAAAATAAATATTAGAATTGATCTTTGATTTGGTGGTAAAAAATCTGTATAGTGCAAAAATGTCTATATTGTAACAGTTCAGTTGGAAAATGCACTTATTTTCACACGAGCCTCAAACCATTTTAATGGTTTTGTGTAAAAAACAATATATTGGCTAGAGTGAGTGAAAAAACTGATAGAGATGGAAAAGACATCAGAAGTCTATAAATTTTTACGGTTTCGAAAAAAATGTTTTCAAGAATCTGAAACTGTGAAGATTTCAGTACACTTCTTGATTATATTCAGACAGGTTCATCAAAAATTTCCGAAATATTCTACCGCAAAATTTTTGCGTAAAAGAGCTAATACCCCATTGTACATGTAAATGTAAAAGTAAACAAGAAAACTAAATATCGTTCATCGATACACAAATAATAAAGAACAAAACTATAATATAATTCTTCTTCTTCTTATTCTTATTCTCTATTTATACTATTATTCGATTCGAAATTCCCCCATTCTCTAACATCATCCTCAATTGTCGCAAACATTCAAAAAGAAACGGAAAAAATTGAGGCGGGGCGAAAAATGGGCGGAGCTTATTTTGGACCTTTACATTAGACTAGTTGTTTTGTTTTTCTTTTTTTCCCTCGTATTTCTTCAGGATTCTCATAGATTTGTTTTTTATTTGTTTTTTTATGTTCACTGTTAACCTTAATTTTCAAATTTGACCTTCTTCTAATTAGTACGACTATTACCGTTTCGAATGGTTTTGTTTGGCGCCAACCTTTTTTTTCTAGAAATTTGATTGGAAAAGTGGTTTTTCGACAGAAGTGAGAGGTTCAAAAATGTTTGGGTTACCTTTAGTAACCTCAATATTTATATTATTCATCCCGGTGATTTCTACATCGTGTCCACAACAATGTAGCTGCTCACCAAATACAGTAATCTGCACCGGAAAGCAATTGACAAAGATTCCTACCGATATTCCGCTAGATACTCATAGATTGTAAGTTTTTCTGATTTGTTTTTGATTTAACCTAAATTCCATCTCTCTTTTGTTTTCAAATTTAAAAGTTTAAGTGGAAAATAGATCAAATATGAGCAACAACATTATTAAAAAAAATTAAATTTCAGAGATCTTCAAGAAAATCGTATCAGTGTTATCAGAAGTGGCGATCTTGATCATCTTCGTCAATTAAAAATTCTGTAAGTCCATTTGACCCTTCATAAAATGAGAATTACTCTAAATATCAACTCAACTAGAACCGTTTTGCAGACAATTAATGGACAATAATATTCATGCGATTGAGGAACACGCATTTGATCGATTGGAATCTTTGGAAAGACTGTGCGTTTTATTTTTGTATATAGATTCGGGGCGCAAAAAAAAGAGAAGAGCGTTTTTTGTTGTTATTTATACGCATGACAAATTGCATATAATTAAAATGTTTGAATTTCACTATCGGAGTTTTTTTTCCTATTCTCTTCTCTATTGTGGAGAAGAATTGTATTGAGAAGTAGAAACTTTTTGTTGTTTGAAAAGGAAGCGAAAGTTTAGAGAACGAAAATGTTACTATATTTTAGTTTGGGGCGAAACATAAATATTTTGAATAGAACTGCTACGTGTGACAGAAAACACGTGAGAATTATTAGAAACAAACATTTTTGATCTACCAAAAATAGCTATTTGGGGTAAACATACTGTGTAGATTAAACCTACTTTTCTTCAAATACCTCACTGAATTTTTCAGCCGACTGAATCGCAATCGGATTCGAGCTCTTCCCGACGACATTTTCAAACACAATAAAAATTTGCACAGATTGTGAGTTTTACACTATGCTTTATTACTAATACAACTAAAAATTTCTTCAAAAAACCCTCTTGACATCCTCATCGTTTTTTAATTAATGTACTTTTTCTTCCCCTTTTTCCTTCTTCTCGTGTCAAAAAATATTACTACTCATGTAATATATTTCATGTTTCAAATTCCAACCAATCAAGCAGAAAAAAACATAAGTGTCACAAACTTATCACTCAATTTTTTTAGTTAGTTAGTTACATATGTTTTTGAGGAACACAAAAATCCTACTATTTTTTGTTTTTGGGAAAACAATATAAATAATAATAATTAGAGGGAGAACAATTAGACTATTAAGTGATTTGTTGAAAGGTGAAGAAATTAGAAACAATAATGGTTCAAGGTTAAATATGTTCCACTTTTGTTGAACTCCGTGGGAGGTCTGAGGTCTAGGTACAAAAAAATGTTTCTCGAGTTTTTTTTTTGAAAAAAAAACGCAACAATTCCTGTCAATTTGGTGTCACTCGTTTTTCGCTCACCAAAAAAGATATATGTTTATTTGCACTTGTTTGATATTTTTCAAATGTTCCGCTCGCTGCCGGGAACCAAATAGATCAAAGGGCGAACCCGCCTTTCTCATTCTCACTCCGCCACAAAAAAATCAGTGGCACAAGTGATTCACCCTTGTAAAAAAAAGTCAAAGTTGATGGGAACCTGCACTTGTCATAAACTTTGATTTTTTGAAAGTGGATGAAAGGAGAATTTATGACGGTCGTTTACAAAATGTGGTGCACCAACTGGCTGGCCATTAGGCATAGTTTCGAAAAAATAACATTAAAACACATAATGTTTTGTCAACTGAACGATTTATGGATTTTTTTTATTGAAGAGCCGGGGGAAGATGATAGACCACCCTATTTATATAGTCAAGAGGGTATATATTTTCAGTTTGAAGCGGACAAAGTTTCAAAAAACCTTGATAATTCTCAAAAACATTTCAAACAAAAGTTTGAAATGATAGGATGAATAGGGTTCTCTGAAAACAATATTTTTTGAAGGTCAGAAATTTCTAAACAAAAATCTTCTCTTTCAATTTTTCAGAGGAAATATTTCTGGTCACACTTTCTGTTCACATTTCGATCAACTTTTAACATATCCGTGTTATCATCAAAACTGATATCCGATACACACCATTATGCAAATCATAAAGCTGTCAATCAAATTCCTGACAAGTTTTCTTTTCCATTTCCATTTGATTGTTTCCTCATCTTCTGAACACCATTTGATATCAATATCAAAAACGAGGGGAGAAATATTTTATTCTTATCTTTTTCAATTCACTCATCTGGTAATAATTTGATACCCATAGTTCCCGAGAAAAGTATAAAATGTGTGTTTTTTTTTGAAACTGGAAGAAAATGAGAAAAAATAATGTTTGATTGACAGATGATCAATCAATTTATACCCTTGATCAATTTGTTTTTTATTTAAAAAAAAACATGGAATTCAAGTGAAGAAAGTTCAAGAGAAATTCAAATTGAAAATGTTTGTTGGTGGATATTTTTATGTTCAAAGTTATTTGAATTTTACCAAGTGTTTTCTTGAAAAAAAACTGAATAAATGCTTTTTTTATTGGCAGATGATCAATCAATTTAGACCCCCGACCAATTTGTTTTGTGTGTATTTTTGATCCTAGGGACTTCTTTTTCAACAATAAAACAACCAAACATTTTTAGTTTGTTTTTAATCCCGTAATTTGTCTGCAACATTGCAAAAAAAAACACAATTGAACTCTTGAGTACCACATAAAAATCTTCAAAAACACTTGTATCCATCCATCCATTAGAATATTTTTTCTTCTTCTCGAGAATTACAATTATCAATTCATTTCAACATTTTATTTCATTTCCTCAGGCTCTTCGAAAAAAGGGATTAGTTTGAATATTATATGATATAACTAACATTGAGCGTGTGAAGATTACTTCTTTAAACACATTTATTATGACAATTTTTCACACATTTACTCATTAAGTAAATATGTAGTATTTGAGTAGATGGAATAATATTGTTTGTTGTTAGATCTTGAGAACTTTTTTTCAGAAAATAAAGTGAACAATGGGAATAAATAGATACAGAAAGAAAAAGAGAAACATAAACTGAATTAATCATTCATTTGAAGAAACACCCCATTAATGGTGAGGATGACACCATTCAAATAATGTGTTTTTTTGAACAAAGAGTGACTGTCAAAGAGGAAAGGGTTTCACTATTTTTCTTTTAATCAAAAAATTGGAAGAAAATGACCACAATAATTCACTTTTCAACAAAAAAACGGAAAAACAGTTGTCTCTCTTCTTTATAATTTATGCCGGTCTCAAGAAAACCCTAAACACCAACACAATATTTTTTCAGAGACCTTAGCGAGAATTTTCTCAACGTTATCACTGATGAGCAACTTCGAGGGCCGAAAAATATGCGAAATTTACAACTCGACAAAAATAATCTCGTATGGTTAGTTTGCAAAACACATCAATCATTCAGTCCATATGTGCTTAAGAAACTTTGAAAAAAATCTGATTTTTTTGAGCACAGGAAAGAAGCAACAAAAAAACAGGGAAATAGAGGGGAGCAAAAAACTGGATGAAATTTGATGTTAATGTTTGTATAAAGAAAAAAGTGGTTTGTGAAATATAATACCAACAAGGCTTCTTCGCGTTTTATATGGTCATTCAAATCATAAAATACGATTTGGAGGGGCTTGAATCAAGGGACTTATACATTAAGTTTCAAAAATTTAGAAAAACATCTGACCGTTTTCAGCTTGGAAACCAATACATTGTCACAATGGAACTCGCTGGAAATCTTAACATTGAACAGCAATAATTTGACAACAATTGGAGAGCTTGATATGATGCCAAATCTTCGACAATTGTGAGAGAATCAGAAAAAGCTTTCAAAAAATGAAACAAATTTTTTTCAGCCGACTTGCTGAAAATCCATGGCTTTGTGATTGCCGTCTCAAATGGATGAAAAGAAGTTTAACTGGCCAAGCTGCAAGTCATGCTAAATGTGCAAAACCTGCAATTTTACACGGATCAACTATATCTGATGTTGATGAATCGGTAAAAACCAATTTTTATGAATACAAGTCAAAAATACCTTTTTTCTAGTTGATGAAATGTTCTGGAATCGAGAAACGCGCTACAATGACTTGTAAAGAAACAAAAGTTTGTCCAGCATCTTGCACATGCACAGAAACTACTGTAGATTGTCGCGATCGTGGTTTAACCTACATTCCATCAAATTTACCACCTTTGACAACTGAATTGTGAGTGATGAAAAGTGTTTTCTATTTTGACTTTCAAATAAAAATTCAGGCGGCTTGAACAAAACCAAATCACATATGTTCCACCACATGCGTTCAAAAATTTGGCAAAATTAGTCAGGCTGTAGGTTTTATTTGAATGAATATAAGAAATTTTCGCTTTTTGCAGGGATTTGAGCAAAAATTCAATTAGCGAAGTTTCGGATAGAGCATTTGAAGGATTACAGAGTTTGAATTCGCTGTAAGTTTATCGGAATTAAAATTGTGATAAGCAAGATTAGAGAAAATTCGTATTACTTTCAAATTGCAGTTTCCAAAACACAAATATTTCGTTCCAGAGTTCTTTATGGCAACAATATCACAGAACTTCCAATTGACGCTCTCCGCGGTCTTGGAAATCTTCAACTCTTACTCCTTAATGCTAATCAACTTCAATGCATCAGAAGTGGAACTTTTGATCATGTTCCAAAACTCAATCTCCTCTCGCTTTATGATAATCAAATCAGATCAATTAGTGAAAAAACATTCAAAAATTTGACTCGACTTTCTACAATTCATTTGGCTAAGAATCCATTGATTTGTGATTGTAATTTGGAATGGTTAGCTAGATGGAATCAAGAGAGAAATATTGAAACAAGTGGAGCAAGATGTGAGGGGCCGAAACGATTGGCTAGAAAAAAGTTTGCAACACTTCCACTGAATAAATTCAGGTGTAAAGGTTTGTCAGAATCAATTTTATTTTAGCCTTAACACAACTCTGTTGATTTCAGCTTCTGAATCATTCATAACTCAATCTGCTGATCAATGCTTCATTGATTTCAATTGTCCAAGTATGTGTATTTGTCACGGAACAACAGTTGAATGCAGGTAAGATCTTCTAAACATCACATCTTCTAGTTATAAGCCTGCCTACCTACCCTTTTTCTCATAAAAAACGAATATCTAAACAGACAGGTGGTGTGTTCCTCTAGTACATTTATCTTTCACAAATCTTTTGTTTGAACAACCAACTGATATGTATAAAAATTAATGGAGTTTATGTTGGATAAATGCCAGCGGCGAACATTTTTCGAAAAAAGAAAAAGAGAAATGAAAGGAGACGATTAGATTGATTACATCGGGTCGATGAATGGATTTTTGTTGTTTTTTTCTTTGCGGAATTTTTGCGGAGCAGAGGGTTAAACTAAGGGGTCGACAATAAACAGGAGGCTCAGAATCTTGTCTGATTTTGGATGAAATGAAATTACCTGACTAAAATAAGATAATTTTTCAGCAACAAGGAACTCGAAAAAGTGCCAGAAGAAATCCCTCGTTATACAACTCACCTATTTTTGAAAAACAACCGGATTTCAACAATCTCAATCAATTCAAGTCTTCATCTTCTAACAGCTCTTGTCAAATTGGATCTATCTAATAATCAAATTTCAAGTATTGAAGATGGAAGTTTGGCTAATCTCAAAAACTTGAAAGACTTGTGAGTTTGCCTAATTTAATTAGAATCACTAAAACATTTATGACTTCAGAAATCTCTCAAACAACAAGCTGCGCCACTTTTCAAGTTCATTCCTTGGGCGATCTTCTTTGCTCGAAGTTCTGTAAGTTTCCAGAGTGTTTTTTTTCTTTTCGTTTTCAGTTTGCTAACCTATTTTATGTTGTGTGGTTTACCCTTCCCTATTTTTAGTGTGCTTCGTAGTAACCATCTGACATGTATCAACACATTCACTTTTGCCAATCTGACACATCTTCAGTTTTTGTATGTTTCTTGGTTTTTTCTTTGATTTTTTTTTAGTTTGGTGTGGGGGAAATGCTTGTTTGGAAAATATGCCAAAAACAATTTTTTTAGGAGTTTGGCCCAGAATAATATTCAATGCCTTACAGCAAAAGCATTTGAAGGAATGAATGAATTGAGATCAATGTAGGTTTTTTTTAATAATTAAAAAAAAACTCACGGACTATTTTCAGCCAAATATCTGGAAATGATATTCCGTGCGATTGTCGAATTTCCCCGATCGTGGAATGGCTTCAAGCAAATTCAACAAGAAGTCTCGACACTGATCAATGTCCCAATTCTGCATCAGCATCGATTTCGCAACTCAATTTGAGCAATCTAAAATGTTCAGATCATTCAAATGAAATGTGTTCAGAAAGTGGAGATTATTGTCCACTTGGTTGTACCTGTCAAGATAATGTTGTCCGTTGCTCCAACAAAGATCTCACTGATTTTCCAGCTGGTATTCCAATTGATACAGTCGAGTTGTTTTTAGATTCGAATAGAATTCAAGAGATACCAATCGACCAAATCAGCAGATTAAGTAACTTGGTGAAGCTGTAAGTTTTGAAATGGTTTATTGAATTTTAATTAAAAACATCATATTTTTCAGAGATCTTTCACACAATCAAATCATCTCTATTGAAAATCACACATTTTCAAATCTGACAAAGCTATCTACTTTAATTATAAGTTATAACAAATTGCAATGTTTACAACCACAAGCTTTTGCTGGATTAAATGGTCTCCGTATTTTATCACTACATGGAAATGATTTATCAGTTTTGCCAGAATCAGCTTTTGAGAGTTTGAAAAATATCACACACATGTAAGTATTTCAATTTTTGTCTCACATCAGTTTTTACAATAATATTCATTTCTTTTTTCCAGTGCTGTTGGAAGTAACTCACTTTACTGTGATTGTCAAATGTCTTGGTTTTCTCGCTGGATCAAACAACGTTTTGTGGAAGCTGGAATTGCAAGATGTGAATCACCGAAATCTGTGGCAAACCAACTTCTTCTAACTGCCCTCCCATCACAATTTGTGTAAGTCTGAAACAAGATTATTAATAGAGAAAGAGATTTAGAAAAGAGAAAAAAAAGAATAAAAAATAAAAAAGGAAACATTCTCGTAAATCGACACAAGGGGCGCATAATGTCTCTTAGGCAGTGTGAATAGCGGAGTGTTGTTCTTTTGTGTTGATTTACGAGACATTTTAACACTTCTTATAAAAAATTATTTTTCAATTTTTTTAGATGCTCTAACCCAATTCCCAATAATATTGCTGCGAAATGCAACGCTTGTTTGAATTCGCCATGTAAAAACAAGGCAAAATGTTCAGCAACAAGTGGAAAAGATTATGAATGTCAATGTCCAGCTGGTTATCACGGAAAAAATTGTGAACTTCAAATTGATGCTTGTTATGGACATCCGTGTATGAATAATGCTACTTGCAAAGTAAGAAATGTTTATTGTTTCAACAAATATGTTTAATTTTTTACAGGTTATTCAAGCTGGTCGATTCTCTTGTGTTTGTCCAAAAGGTTTCGAAGGCGCATATTGTGAGAAAAATATTGATGATTGCTTGAACAATAAATGTCAAAATGGTGGGAAATGTGTGGATCTTGTGAATTCTTATCGCTGTGAATGTCCTGCAGAGTTTTCTGGTAAATTCTGCGATAATAAATTGGAATATTGCAGTAAAGGATTGAACCCATGTGAAAATGGATCGAAATGTCACAAGAAAAATGATTCTTATGAGTAAGTCAAACATTTTCAAATTAATTTTATAACAATAAATATATGTTTAGATGTTCTTGCTTACCTGGATTTGAAGGCAAAAATTGTGAAACAAATATTGACGATTGCGGAAACCATGAATGTCGAAACGAAGGAATTTGTGTTGATGGAATCACAACATATTCTTGTAGATGTGTTATGGGTTTTACTGGACAATTTTGTGACATTCCACCAATGGATGAAAATATGTATCAGAGCACAGCATCTTGTCAAAGTAGTATGTGTGGAAAAGGATCTTGTTATCATAATGAAGAATTAAATGAATATGAATGCCGATGTAATGAAGGATTTGGTGGACCAAAATGTGACAAACAACTTTCAATTGGTTTTAATAGAATCGGAAGTTATCTCGCATTAGAACCATGGGAGAATAATGGAAATGTTAGTATGATTCTTCGAACAACTAATAAAACAGGATTACTTTTTTATTACGGAGATGAGCATTTCTTATCTGCCGAGTTATTCGATGGAAGAATTAAAGTTGCATTCTACATCGGAAACTATCCAGCAAGTCATATGTATAGTTATGTCACAGGTTTGTTTGATTTCATATGCAATATTTTGAGAAATCTTGATTTTGTTTTTAGTTAACGACGGAATGCCGCATAAGATTTCTCTATCATTAGATGGGAAAAAATGTCACCTTCAAGTTGACGAAAATCCAGTTCAAACAGTTGAAAATGATGGAAAAATCAATAAAATGGATGTTGGTTCAAAGCAATTGTTATATCTTGGAGGTCTCCCTGAAAAAGAGGCAAATCGTGCAAAAAATAATTTCCATATTCGAGAGCAAGATAGCATGAAAGGTAATATTTTTGAAAAAGAAAAATAGTATGTTATGTTTATTTCAGGATGTCTTTCACAAGTTCACGTGAATGGAAAATTGATAGACTTGAAAACCGCTGTGGAAAATGTTAAAACAGATGAAGGCTGCTCTTCAGTTATTGATTTATGTTCTGGAGTTGAATGTGGCCATGGAACTTGTGAGACAAATTCGACTTCACACACAGGATACTTCTGTCGCTGCAAACTTGGATATTCGGGTGAAAAATGCAGTGAAAGAGAAATCACATGTAACAAAGATAAATTCCGAAAATATCATATTGAAGGAGATTGTCAAAGTGTTGATGAAATCAAAAATGCCGAATGTAATGGTTATTGTGGGGATGGAGAAGTGAGTTTCATTTTTTTGATGAGGGAAAATCCAATAAATGAAAATTTTTCAGGAATGTTGTCACGCTGTGAAAACTAAAAAACGCCGTGTCAAAATGACATGTAAGGATGGATCACAGTAAGTTTTAATGTTTAAGTTTGATATCTCAATTCAATAATAACTTTTTTTCAGCAAAATTGCGGTGGTAAATATAATTCGAAAATGTCAATGCGTCGATTTTTGTCCGGCCAGAGATTTCATTAAATTCGTTCGATAAATATATTTGTTTCAATATCTCAAAGACCTCGTAGTCAAGTTTTTTCATTGTTTCTGCATTTTCCTATCTTGCCTCCAATTGTATTTATGAGAAAAATCAAAAATTAATAAATGAAAATTGATTTAAAATAGTTTGGAAATAGTGGGATAAAGGTGTTGAACAGTGTGTCAACAGGTGGATAAATATTGCATTTGAAATAATCGCAATGATTTTTTTTTCAAAGATTCGAGTGCAAAAATCACCATCTTTATAGAAAGAGAAGATGCGTTTTCCAGAGGAATATTGAAAAATAGTGTTCTGAATTCTAAAAAATCTGTACATTTGCAGCAAAACCTTTTATATTATACCATTTCTACCTTTTTTAATGATGAAAAAAAATCGGCCCGAGTTTTTTCATAAAAAAATTTTCATAAAAAAAGTTTTTTCATAAAAAAATCGGCTCGAGTTTTTTCAAAAATTCGGCCCGAGTTTTTCAAAAAAATCGGCCCGAGTTTTTTCGTTGGATGAAAAAAAAAATCGGCCCGAGTTTTTTCGTTGGATGAAAAAATCGGCCCGAGTTTTTTTCAAAAAAATCGGCCCGAGTTTTTTTCATTAAAAAAATCGGCCCGAGTTTTTTCAAAAAAAATCGGCCCATTTTTTGTTCGAAATAGAGTATCGAAATTTCATAGGGCATAATTCAAATTGCACTTTTAAATTTAACATTTTTCTGAATTCCTCATCGACTGTTTTGAAAATCATTATTATAGAAATATTCTTTTCAAGGATTCTTTATTAATTAACACAGATCTTTTTTAAATAATAGCTTTTTATGTTTTTTCAAAAGCCGAGTCCAAAGTTGAATTATTCGAAAGTTCATCAATCAAGCATCGCAATTTGTACATCGCAAACAAAAAAGGATACACCCATTTTTCACAAAAAAGGTGCTAAATCAACTGTACAAATATGCCTCAAACTTTTCAAATTGTTCATTATTAGTTGGATCATGTCAACATATCGACATGTCTTCTTGATATTTCTAATTGGGTCGATTTATGCTGAAGAATGTGTTGATTTGATTAATAATTGTGCTGATTTGGCAAATATCTGCTCTGAAAGTATATTGGCTTATAATCTTGATCAACTTAGCGACCTTAGTGATCAAATTAATAGGTAATTTGATTTTAAAAAATTTCTCTGAACAATATTTAAAATTTTTCCAGTTCATCAATTCCCGATCTTTCAAATGATCCATCATCAACATCAGCTTCTGCAACAGTAACTTCACTTTCAGATGATCAGAAACTTCAGGAATCTTTGCCACTTTTGAAAGAATCACTTCCACTGATCCGAGAATCTTTGCCACTTCTTCGAGAATCTCTACCGCTGATTAGACAGATTTTGAACCCACTATCAGACCAGACAACATGCCAGAAGAAGACAGTATGCAAATGTGAGTTGCATCAACTTCCTTGAAGTGAATGTTTTAAATTTTCAGCTTGCAAAACATGTCCGGAACTTCGAGATTCAATAGTGACATTTGTAGAAACATTGTGTCCAAACACTTGCAAAACAAGTTGTTCAGGAAGTTTGGATACATCAACAAGTAGCTTGGTTGCATTCTTTTCGTAGATGTTAAAACAGTTCAATGATCTTTTTTCTGTAATTTTTTTTGAAGAGTTGTCTATAAATGAAGAGTTCTAATAGAATTTTCATTCTGAAAATACATACATTGAAAAATTATAAATGAAGCGAAATAAGTGATGATTAGAAAACTTCACACTTGTGTTCAGGGTTCATCGGACTTCCGACCGGACATCCAAAAACTTTACCAAAATGAGGTGAATTCATGATCATTCCTCGTACACGGAATATTCCTGGACTATGTGGATCAGTTTGAAATTTCTCAATTGTTTTCAGAGTCACATCATTTTCACACCAACTTTGAGCAACTCTTTGGAAAAATTGTTTCTCCAAAGTGTAGTTTCCAGGAATTGGTAAAAGTTGGGGATTTTGCTCGGTTTCTTGATATTCTTTAAAGATTCGGTCAATGATTTTAGTGCCAAGGATGTCTGCAAAGTTTTCAGAAACTGTTTGAGTTCCATTGAGCTGCAAAAAATCAAAGTGAAATTAATTGTTGACAAGAGAAGTTGACTCACATATGTTTCAAATCCGGGATATTGGAAATTTCCATACTGGTCGATAAGACATTTAGTCGCTTTGTTATAATTTGTTTGGAATGTTTCACTCAAGTTTTGCTGATTAGCATGTGCATCATACTTGATATTATATGGCCCAAACATATGTGTAACCTCATGGGCGATAACAGAAGCAGCAGATGCTATTTCCGACCATTCAGGCAAATTCACATTGAGAAAGGGATATTTGAGAAATGTGGTGCTGATAGCTGTTCAAACAGTTTACTATACCTTATAAACTTTTAAATTAACTTACTTATTCCATGAGACCATGGATTGTAATTAGCATTGGGTTCAATTGGAGATTCGGTGTATGTCATTGTTTGCGAATTTGACCACCTCAAAAAGCTCTCTTCTATATTCATATGATTTACATTCCGAAGTAATTCAAAATATGATTGTTTTTCTAAACTTTTCTTTGCTGAAACACGATTGTACATTGCATCAAGAGCAGATTGATTTTGATGAATATCCGGGATACCAATAAATTTCTTGACTGTCTGTAATTTTTCAACCATTGTTTTTTTCATAGGTTCATCAATCCATTCATTCTCCAAAATAATTTCTCTTGCTATTTGTTGAACTTTCTCAAAAAGCTCATTGCCCTTTTCAATATTTAGTTGAAGACGCGTTGATTTTTCAATCAAAATCATTCCCATTGTTGCTGGGAACAACTTCAAAACGTTTTCATTTATACAATCATTTGAAGTATGAGTTTTGACATAATTTTTCAACATTCCTTTCATCCACGCGGCGTGAATATTGTTTCGAATTTCTCCAACACCTTTGTATTTGATAATATCGTCGAGATCGAAAACATTTGTTTCAATATAGATAATGTCATCCAACGCGCCATATCTTCGATATTCTTCAGGAAGAAGTTGGTAAGAAAACTCGGTCAGATTTATAGATTCAATTTTTTTGACAGCATCTTCTTTGATAGACAAAAATTGACCAGTTGCTTTCTATAAAAAATTTTTTTTTGAAGTCGGAAACCTACATCTCTTACGCCATAGTTTGAACCAATAAGTACTCGCATTTTCCGTATTCCATCAATCTCCGTGAAATCTAGTTCGAAGTTCAACAAACCATTATCTTTCAAGTTAACTTTTGTGGCCTCGGTGATCAGTGTTGTCAAATCATTCTTCTCGTCATTCCAAAAATCAGCCATAAACTTATCGAGATTCTCATTTTTATCGATGACACACTTTTGAAAAACTTCTGAAGCCACTTTTTGATTGCTTGTTTCAGGCTTGTGAGTTTTCAGAATTCTCATAAGTTCTTTAAAATCATCCACAAAAAGTTCTGACATAAAATCTGCTTGATCATATTTTCCATTTCCACAAACAAACTCATAAAAATCATCACATGGATTCACTGATACATTCATAGAAGAATATATAGTTTTTCCCAATTTTCGACATTCTTCTGTTTGGCAAACATTTTGCGCTTCGGAAAATGCGAAAATAAATAAAATAATTGATAGAAAAATCATTTTTTTTAAATTTCTGCGAATTCATGACTCTAATTTATACATGTTCTATGTTGACTAAATTTCATACATAAAATATACAAAACAATAGAAATTTCTATTTTGATTTTGACTACAATTTTTGTTTAATTATAATTCATGATATGAAGCATATGAAAATAGAACAAAAATTGTTGCAAATAGTGTATAAGGGGGGAGGAAGAGGGGTACAAGTGCGCCATGCTGTGAAAGATTGGCGTATTTTGTGTGTGTGTGTGTGTGTGTGCGCTCCCACTTGTTAATTTCAAAATATTTAGTTTTGTTTTGTGTTTTTATAGATTTACGGTTGTTTTCGCAGTGATTTTTATGAAATCGCTGTGTTAATTAATTGACTTATCAATTATCTTGTTGATATTGAAGCATTTTTGTTCAGATTTTTTTATTACAGCATAATTTCTAAAATCTTGAAAACAATATTTTCTGCAAATTTAGTCAATGTTTATTTTTCCGTTTTTGCCCCGAAACACCAGACCAGTAAGATTTTCTCCTTCACGCGTTCTCAAAAATTGCCGATCTCCAAATAATTACCTACTCGTTGTGTTCTTCTTATGAATGAAAATAATATGGAATAATTTTTCTGAAATGAGGTCACAAAACATATTCGCACTTTTCTTTTTACCGCTAATTGCGCTCTCTCTAATTATCCGAACAACTTCTTATATGTTCAATTACACCTTGAAACAGTAATTTTTAATTATTTTCTCTGTAGAAGATTTTTCAGTTTCAAATTGAATCAAGACAAATTTCTTAGAGATGTCTTTGGTGTAACATTAAAATCAGAATTTGTTGAAAAATCAGATTCGAATCTTTTCGAAATGTATAAAATTTCAAGCGATCCGGTCCGGTTGAAAATTAAGTTCAGTCAAGTGTAGAAATGGACACCCAAATAATAACGACAACAATAATAATAAATTATATAAAGCCTTATCCATCTACGCGATCTTTTTTCCTTCGCCTCCTTCATGTTTTTTCCCGCCTAATAGCCATCCTCGATTTTTCCTTCCGTCACCTTTTTGAAATTATGTTTTTTTGCATCTTGTTCAGAAGTTTTTTTTGGAGTTTTTATTTTGAAGACACGCAATGTTTTTCAACTTGAAGATGAATTAGATTTTTAGAGTGTTAGGGTTGAGAAAAATATTTTATCAAGTGTGGGTGATTATTATAATCCTTTATCAAGGGCGTTGTACATATTTATGAATGTACATATAGTATAAGGAAATAGTGTGAAACTTGATTTGGATCTCTGTGATACTAGTGGTTGGTTTATTTCTAGGTTTTATTGAAATTTAGACCAAGACAATCTAAATCCTGAAAACGGACGTTTTTTCGTAAAGATTCAGGTGCGTTGATTTTTTCATTTAGAATGACTGTTAGATTTGAGGTGAACTGTAGTTTCCACTAGACATTGAAATATTTAAACATTTGATCCACAAAAGACAGATTTGAGCAACACTATGTTTTGAGGCTTCACAAAGTTTCCAGAAAAATTCATTAGTTTTGTTTTGATGTCGATTCCAATCAGACTAGTTTTTAGATCACTTTTGAACAGTTTTTGATTTTCCAGAAACAGTTTCTCACATTCATCTTACCTCTCCCCACCCCTTCCTTTAAAATAAAATATATATACCATGCTCATTATTTATCCCACTCAAGTGACGAACTGAAAGGTAATCCGATGTTTCCAGTCGGAATATGTGTCCTTTTCACTAGAATGACAATACTGGCACATATTTGCCATTTCATTTGATACTTATGTAATGTCAGCAAATAACTCTTTACTCTCTTTTTGTCTTTTTTTTTTGAAAAACGAACCAAACATTTTGGATTTCATTGAGCACAAACACATTCAGGATAAGCACACACATACACACACACACAAACATATCTATTTGCTCCAATTTGAATAATTGCTGTAGGAAGTCGAAGAATTCTCTTTATTCTTTTGATGTGCTTGTTTTTTCTTCTTCCTTGAGCATAGGTCGTTTATATTCTGAACTTGATTCCGATTGTACTTTCCTCTTCTTTCCTTATTTTGCTATCTCTTTTTCATTTGTTTTCTTCGAAAAATGCGGGGTTTTTGCAAGATTTTTCACATAATCAATTTTTCATGTTTGCGAAAAAAAAATAAATTGTTCATATTTTAGTAGTGTGTTCTGGTCATCTCATTTTTCTATCCAAAAGCTCTAGAAAAATCTCAAATTTCATATTTTGCCCACCACTGCCAATTCAAGTGAAAATTCCCTGAAAACATACATGTTGCAGAACTTTCTCTAATCCAAAAATCGTTTTTTTTGTTTACATTATGTTCCAAAAAAAGTCGAGCCATGCGCCCAAGATGAAGCTAATCTTGCGCCATTTTCACTCGAAATTACCCAAATCACCTGAAAAACTCTAAATTTGCCTCATTTTCCAACAAAATGTGAATGTTTTTCCATTTTTTTCTGCTGGATCTAGAAATAATAACAATTATTATTTTTTCGTCGAAGAATAAGAAAAATACGGAAAATATTTGAATTTTTTTCCTTTTTTTTTGGTACTCGCAATCGTGTGGAGAGTCCTTTTTGTTGTTGTTTGACCCCTTTTAGAATTTTTCATGGAGTTCTCTTGATTTTTTTTTGGTTTTTTTGGTGGGTGCTATTTCGTGAAGTGGATTTTTTGTTAGGGTACTGTAGGTTTAGAGCTTTCATCATTCAAGTGCATTTTTTTTCTGAAAAAAAAGTTTTAGTTCTGAATTTTCTTTATTGAAAAACATGTTCGAAAATTGTGAGGTGACTTTTTCGAAATGTGATTGTCAGATTCTAGAAAAACATTTGAAATAGATTCAATATGAATTATTAAAACTGGAAAGTCTGAAATTGACCCAACTCTGATTGATTCGAATAATTTTTTGGATATCTGAATTGGCACATTCTTCTTTTTCACTCATAGTTTTTCACAGAAAATTTTTTATTCTATTTTTGAAACTACACTCTAGTTGAATATTTTCTACCTTTTGAGAAATCTCGATTCTAAAAATACCTTTTCACTCTTCCTTGTTGGCCTCCCCGAGGTCCACCGGAACCACAAAAAAAACTTTGTTAGTTTTTTGTGTCGAAAAGTGTGAAAAAACTGATTTTCTCAACGAAAAACACATGTTTTCTATGTGTTTTTTTCTTCTCTTGTTCAAAGTTGTCAAATTTTGTGGTACCTCAATTCGAAATGCAAATTTGACAACTAACTTGTCACTCTTTTTCCATTTCCCGACAAATAAAGAAAAAAAACTTTTTTTTTATTTTTCCCCGTTTTTTTCAATTTCATTTTTACAATAAATAAATGTTTTTTACAACCAGGTAATTGAACTTGTTTCACTTTTTTGTTCGTTGTTGTTTGAGGTCGAAAATAACCAAGAAAAAAAGAATAAATCTGCTGTTGGTGTGCCTCAAAAACCAATTTTTCATTGAAAGAAAAGACCCTTGAAACAGACAATTTTTCTGTTTTTCATTGTTGTTGCAAAATCCATTTAGACCGGAAATTTGGCTCAATTTTGGAGGGTTTTTTAGCTTGAGATATGTAGGTTAGGAACACTTGACCGCGTGTTTACTAAATCAAACGTTCAAGTGAATCCGTATAGATGGATCACATTCCAAATTTTTTAAATTTATAAAATGAAATTTTTGAGTGGATCTTTTTCTCCAAAATACTGTTGTTTTTTGAGAAGAGCAAAGGATTAGGTCACCTTCCAAACGTAGGTCCCCACATAACAATTTTAGTTTGCCACTTCTCAGATTTCGTATTTTTCAAAGTGTACTGCTGTAGCTGCACACAAAAACCTCAACGATTGTTTTTATATTCTTCCTGTTCACCATGAAACACATGTTTTAAGACAAGTATCAAATCATTTCCAGCTGTCTCTGATGAACTTCTGAAAACTCTCAAAAACAGCTGAAATGTCGAATTTCGAATTTTTCTTAATTCTATTTTCTTGTGAATTCTGAATTTCTGAATTCTAGAATTTTTTAGAATCTTTCTCTCCGATAGTTTTGGTATGTAGTTTGACGTTTGTTCAATCATCATTCTCTGTATGATTGTTTTGTTCTCAAATTCAATTAGGTCACACATTCTATCGAGTTAAAAGTTTTTTGTCTCAACGCAATTTTTGCTCGTGTTTGTTATTATGCACTTTCACAAAAATCCAGAATAAATACATAATATATCATGTTTTTCGAATTGTTTTCTTTATTCTTACATATTTCCTTATAAATAACACCTGCTTTTGATTTCTTTCTTTCTTTATATTTTTTTCTATTTTGCTAGGAGAATAAAAACACAAAAAAGCGCATTGTTTGATCAACACCAATACATTTTTCGGTTAAATCCTGAAAAAAAGAGGGTTGTTCAAATAAATGAAAATGAACCCAAATCAAACCGAACCGAACCTGACACGGATTGGATTATTTTTTTTTTGAGGAGCAAGCATATTTTTATAAGTGCCGAAATTGAGACATGTGCGACTTTTTTGCAGCGTTTTTTTGAACTTTGACAAGATTCCCAGGATTAAAAAATTTCATTTTTTTTTCATTATCCGGTTCTTGACTTTCAATTTCAATTCCAATTCTCATATTTATTTTATTTTATGTCAATCCCAATGTGCCTAACTAAAATTCGTACACAACAATATATGATAACAAATTCCGATTCCAATAAAAATCAGTAAAGCGTGTACATTTCCCAAATATTTGTTGAATGGGTGGAAAATAGAAAAATCATAATATTATTTTTTTTTTGAAAAAAATAGAAAATAAAAAAACTTGTATACGGGCGTGTGTGAAAAATACTACAAATCTTTCTCAAATCGAATCCCGTGGGATGTTAAGTGTCGAATTTCCGCGCATTTTTTTTGTTTTCGCACCCCACACGAAAAAGTTTCAACACCCTTTGGTCTGGCGATCACAACTTTTTTTTGTGAAACCCCAATTTTTTTTGGAGAATTTATTTTTGATTTGATTGCATTTGGATAAAGCTCAAAAATCTTGTTCAGAGAGAGAAGTGAACGCTATTTTTTGCCCTAGTTTTTTTTAGATGACGGGAAGTTGTTTAGTACGGCCATATTGTTTTTTGATGGGTGGTCTTCCGGTGTAACTTATTTTAAGAACCCGGGCAATTTTTTGTTGTTATTCAATGAGAAAAAAGAACACTTGCTCTTTGCAATTATGCCATCTCATCCAAACCTATTTTTCTTCCTTCTTCGTTTTTTCTTGTTCTTTCTTCTTTTCCAGTTATTGTTTTTTTCTCACGAGTTCTGTTCCCTATTCCCAAAATTCATCAATTGACTCAGAGTCGATCAAAATAAAAAATCTCAAAAAACAATAGGAATTGTTCATTATTCATAATGAATATTTTTTTATAAAAATTAAGAATAGCAAACAACAAAAAATATTTCTTCTTGTCTTTTCAATAATTTTTTTGTGGAATGAAAAAAAATGAAATATTGAAGGAAAATATGAGAAGAATAACATGCCAATTATATTACCGCAAAAATACTTGTACACTTGACGAAAGAAAACTGAATAAGAAGAAATCTAAAAAAAAGGTGTATAATTTTGACATAATTTTAGATGTATGTATGTATTTATGTATGTCTAGATGATTTTTGCGCATAGTTTTTGATTTTTCTCAAAACTTTTTAAGAATTCAGATGGCTATTTTTCACAAGATGACGCGTATTTTGAAAACAAGCATTTTCTCTTGTTTCCTTTTTTTTCGAAAAATCTTCGCCTGAGACCACACAACATGCATACTAATTGAATCGTCACCAGCTGAAACTTTTTTTTTTGGTTTCGGTTTTTTTCTCAGCTCGTTTTATTTGTTGCGATTTTCAAAAAAAAAACAAAATTAATTCTGAGAATTTATATGAATCACAAGTTTTTGGTGGGGTTTTTGAAAAGATAATATCTTCGAACATACCTTGTCCTCCAGATAGATTTAACCGATTTTCACAAGATCGTAAATGTCGATTCCCTCATTTTTTCTGTGATTTTTTTGTTTTCTTATAGAAATTCTTATGAAGTTTTTTATTTATTTTTGAGATTTTTGAAATTTTACAAACATCGGGACCTTAAGGAATAGGTGGGAGTTTGAGTTTGGGGCTGGACTTATAATTGTATATGAGCGCATATTATCATATAATCTTGATATATGTGGGCTCTTCTCTAATGATACGCTACTCTGGAACAAAAACCTTATGATTTTTGTGTCCCCACGTGTCAATCTAATTTAGTTTACCAAGATTTTCTGATCATTCAATACTATTGAATCAATAGCTATACCTCCAACCCAAGGTATCTTGATAAAAAGAAAATTGTCTTCAAACTAGTTTGAGCAGCAGCCATTTGAATTAATGTCTTTTATCTTTTTGTTTCAAAAATCAGTCAGGTTTTTGACCGAGAGACCATCGACAACATTGTTTCTTTGCACCAAAATCGCATCCCGTGAGACTCATCGATAAGTTGAAAAAAATGAGCCCCAGCCTAGCTGCGCTCAAAAAAACTCCACAAAAAAGATACACAAAAAAACATAACATAACATATGGATGTTTTTCTATTGCTACATAACTCGAGAATACGATACTTTTTGAACAAAGTTTTTTTGTGTTTCTCTTTTTTCTCACTTTTTTAAAAAAATTTTGAAAAAAATGTCTCCCCTTGAGACAATAACAACAATAATTGCTCCCCAATTGCGTGCTCTTGAAAAAAAATGAAGACGAAAAAAGAAACTCTACCTATGTAGTGAAACTTTTTTTGTGACATTTATGCATCATTTTTTTCTTTGTTGTGTTGAACATGTTGTAGTATTATAAATAAAATGCATAATTATCCATCTTACATATAGAATACATGGTATATACAACAACTTTTTCTTCTTCCTCTCAGTTTTTGTCTCACTTTCAAAACCTGTAAGATTTTGTACGATTTTGTATACAGTTTTTTTTAAAGAGAATGCGAGTTCCTTTTTTAGATTTGGTTTTATATTTTTTTTTAACTCAAAGTCTAACTTTCTATTGACATAATAAAAATGTCCTGAAAATGCCACGCCTTTTGGGGTTTGAGGCAAATTTTTTTTATTAATTTTTCACTTCCTGTTTTGTGAATGAACCTGTGCCAATTTATGACTTGAGATGTCCCATATTTCTTATTGAAAAGTTGTTTTTGAAAAAACTGATTATCAGAACGATTTACCTGAAATTTCAGATAAAAATTTCAAGAGTTGTTCAGAAGCTTATATCTCTCGGAGAATGTTCATTGTTTCTTTAGTCAGCATTTTTATTATCATAATCAGTTTTTATGAATTATTTTTTTCATCCATTCCTTAGCTTCCTTTTGTATTCACCGAGCTCACTGAAAATATTTTTCTAGACTAATTTTTGTAACTTCATATTTTTCAGTGACGTGTTTTTGTTTTGAAACATCAATTATTTTCAGACAAAAAAAACTCTGAAATTTAATGATGTATATAATTAGAATGATGCAATGTGAAAAAATGAAATTCCTACACAAAAATATTTGAGATGTGTTCATCAAAAAACATGCAAATGACAGTCATATAAATATTATATTCAGAACCAGCAAAATTATTTTGGTCTAGGGAAAGAGAGAGCATCCCCGATTTTTTTTCATAATTTTTTGAGAGATCAGATATTTTTGAAACTTTCTTATAATAGTTCATAGTAGTTTCATCATACATTTGTGGGAGAGAAAGACCACTAGGAAAAGACAAAAAACATAAGACGACGCGTTTTGGGATTATGGTGTTATTTTTTGGGTTGTTTGCCTCATTGGGAAATGGAGGACCAGTTTTGAGCGCTAGTTTTGGTTTTGATTTCGATTTTATTTATGGTTTTGTTTCAGATTGTTCTCAAATATCTTGAACTAAAAACAAATGAATTAAGATAGATAAGATATTTTCGGAAAAAAAGTTCAAATTCATTCTCAATTACCAGAAAAACAATAAATAACTGGATTAAAAATGAATGAAAATATCTAGACTCTCAGGTTTTTTTTTTGCTTTTTTCCCTGCAAACTTGATGAGGCCATCCATCGAGCTATGAAAAAATGAAAAAATTCCTGGAACATTTTATTAATTTTCTCCATTTTCCATCTCGATTCGCATCTAGATATTCATTATTAAACATTTATTTCCTATTTCAAAGATTTTCCGGAGGACTACTGTACTTGTTCACCGAACATGTTTTCTTGTTGTTTATTTTTGTATTTTCTCTGGAAAAAATGAATTTGTCCCATGAGACATTTCGCCCCCAAAAAGTAGTTCACATGTTCTTATTTTTCAGATTTTCCAGTTTTTCAGCTGTCAAAAAAAAACAGAAAATTTTCAGCTGGGAGTTCTCTAACATTTATAAAATGTTGTCACTTTTTTTCGGAAAACATGGGTTAAGAAATGGGCGGAGTTTGTGATATCAATGCACTTTTTTGAAGTCGCCGCAGTTTTTTTCTCATTTTTTCTCTCATCTGACTTAAGAGATGATTTATATGGGTTAAACATTGTGGGAGACTTTTTTACCCCCCAAAAAATCTGCAAAAATTTGGCATGTAAGCCATAGTTCTCCTATTATGTTTTATTGGTTTCCGATAGTTTTCCTGAACAAACCTCACCAAAAATAGCATGTGGTTTGCTCATTTTCTTCGCAAAAATCGCAACAAATTAGATTCTCACATTCTCACATTACTCATCCCAAAATATGTCCATAAATACGTATTTATCCAATTAACACGCCCAATCCTGAAACTCGACCTCGATTTTTCTCGCAAAAAATAGGCCGATTATCCAATTTTAATCATTAATCACCCATCTTTTCTTACGGTTTTTTTCTTTTTTTTTGTCTCTTTTTTTGCTGTCATTAGTTAATTAATGTTAATGTTGTTATCTTTTCTTTTCTTTCCGTTCGCTTCTTTTTCTGGTAATCGGGGATTATTTGATCAAAAATCTATGATATCTTTTACTCTTTCAGATGTCTTCATCAAATCGACTCGCACCAATGCCACCACCAAAACCAAGAAGTTTGGTTCGTGGACAATTTTATCATGGAGGTCAGTTTTTTTGGAAACATAAAAAAAACAAGAGTTAGCAATCATATTCTGCATATTTGATTGCTTATGTCATACAATCTTAAATATTTTCAAGTTCATACATATTCGATAACTTCTCTTGAATGTCTGACTAACCAAGTTCAAATGAGTCTGTATTGAGTGCAGAAAGAAGTTGAAATGTTTCAGAGGGGATTCTGTAAATTGAGATATCCAAAATACTCTTTTGTTATTTTTAAAGTAGCTAGATCTAAAAAAAAGAAACCGATGAAAATGATGTGAAAACACCTGGCTATTTTATTACTGTACCTTGTTTCTAAATTGGGAAGTTGAATTTCGAAAATCATACTTCATGAGTTTCCTCAAATATGTTTGAAAACTAATTTCGAATATTCATCTACTCATTGTTTTTAGGAGAAGCAACGCTTTGATTTCAAGAGCAGTTCACATTCAGAACTAAAAATCTAATATTGTGAAATTTATTAATAATTTTTCTTTGAAGTTTTTTGGGAGCCCAGAGAATTCTCTAATTTTCAACCCATTCCTATTACTGATCCCCAAACTAAAAATTTAAAGTTTGAAAAGTTTGCTTGCTCCTAAAAAAATGCTCTGAAACCCGGCCGACAAATATTTCATCTTAATTGTTCCATCTTTCGTTCGAGACAAGCCACATACATAAATAAATAAATTCCACATTTTTTCTCATGCTCCGCCCAAAATGCACTAAACCCCTCTGAAAAAAATGTTCCATTTTTTCCTGGCTCCACAAAAAGGCGTTCTTTTTTCCTTCTTCTTCTCATGGCAGCCACAAAGCCAGCCTCTGATTGATGATACCAAAAAGTGCCTATTGTTTTTTATTTCTCCTAACCAGAAAAAATTGGTATATATGTTGTGTATGCAAACATAGTTTCAGTCTGTTTAGAAACACGAAAACGTTGTGTGTTAGAAGCAATGAATAATTGATATTCACACACTCTTCTGGTTCTATGTTCATAGGATCCACAAAGAAAAAAGAACCTTTTTATTCAATTTTTTCGCGGAGATATCTAATGAAAAAAGTGCGATGCTCCATAGCCTCCCACCCCTATTTTATTTGAGTGCATTCATTTTTTCGTGCTCTTTGCCATTCCGAGTTTTTTTTCATTTTATTTTTTTATTTATTTATTCATTTATTTATTGAGATGAGCCTTTTTCTGATTGGTTTGGATATATTAGTTTTTGTTCTTTTCCAGGAAAGCATTTGTTCAGGAATGACATTTCTAGATAGAAAAGGTTCAGAAAACTATCTAGATGTTAGCTTTCAGGTGCTTTTAAACAGCTGATTTCTCGGGACAAAGTTTCATTTTGCAGGGAAAACGGTTGTTCCTCATTAGTTTAATTTTCTGAACTCTGAACTTATTTTTGGAATTTTTAAAAGAAACTAATTAGTAGCCCAGCTCATTTTCCAGGTTCAAAAACAAACATTTTGAAGTTTAAATTTCAAAAACTTCACTACTTTTATGTTAGCTGAAGAAGGTTACTGTAATTTAAAAAAACATAGGTCAAAATTTCTCACTTTTCCTTGAATCCACAACACATATTTCTCATAGTGGCTTAAGAAAATTCATAGGATTCCGGTAATTTTAAAATTAGGCAATTTTTGAAAGAAATGTTTCACTGATTTATCAAAGTTCAAAAAAATCCCACTCTTTCCATTTTTCAACGTTTTTTCCCAGAATCCAAAACACAATTCAACATTTTCATTTTTCTTCTTTTGTCTATTTCAGTTATCCAACCTAATATCAAAGCGAATAAATTTTGCGATTTTCTTCACTGAAGTGTTTTTGTGACAAGAATAGAGTAAGAAAAAGAATAGAAGACTAGGTTTTTTTAAGAAGTAAAAAAGAAAAAGCAAAAAACGAGGAAAACAAGACAATCCAATATTCTGTTTTTTCTCGTCTTGTGTTTTTTCTTCTTTAGAAAAAAATTGAAAGAAAAAATGAAAATAATATGAGAAGTTAGTCATTTTTTCATTTCTTGTCACTTTTTTGCGTCTTCGCCAGCTGAAAAAGAAGCTCAAAAAGCGAACAAATATAAAATTTATGACTTTTTTGGAACAAGGTTTGTCAAGCCTCTCCGTCGTTCATTTTTACTTTTTTCCACATGTTGCTCCTATTTTTCACGGTGTGTTGTTTTTCTAATTTCACAAAGTGATTCGAGTCTACGTTTTTTGCTACAGTCCCTGTTCTAAATCTAAGAAACGCGTGAATTTAAGAAATGGTCATTTTTTATGTCCAAAAATGTTTCTCCAGCCATTTCCCATTTTCTTGAAAACCAAACATCCAATATAAATAAATTCCAACAAAAAAAGCTGACAAGCACTTGTTCATTGAGATTCTTCACCCTTTCATTATTTTCTGACTAGATGTTCTTTTTGAAAACTACGGTAGATCTGATTAACATGAGCAGAGCATTCATTTTTCCTTTTCTTAAGTGCCTCTAAACTTTGATCGCCCCATGTTCCTTTCATTTCATCAAGAACGAATAAAAAAGGAGAAGCGACGATGATGTAGGTTATTATTATTAGAAAAGAGACGGGGTTCATCAAAAATTCAAGCACCCGAAGCAAAAAAAGAATCTCAAGTGCTCTCCTATTTTTTTGCTTCATTTTCTATTTTATTTTCATTTCATTCCATTTCTTACATTCAGGAAAAAAGGAATTCTTCTCATTTAAACTTGTTTTTTAATCCAGAGTTCTCAATTTCATATTTTATTAATTTTCTCCTCCCCTTCCTCTTCCTTTTTCGCCCACCACCAAGCAAAAAATGAGCAACATAACAAAAAAAAAGTTTCTCCTTTTTTGTTCAACCACAAACAATGTGTCAATTCTTGGCCCTTTTCTGAATATTTTCTTGGCGTTTTTGAGAAGTTTTTGACACTTTTCTTTTGGTGGCTAGAAATAAAAAGAGGGTGGAATTTGTGGAATTTTCTTTGTGAGAAAATTGCTATAAAGTTTTTTGGGGTTGTTTGTCTGGCTATTTTGAATTGAAATGTTGCGAGATTTTTGAAAGTCTAACTGGTTCATTTTTGTTATTGAATTTGAGTTTCTGATTTTGTATGCCTGAAGAATTTGCAAAAAAAGTTCACCTGTTCTGACTTACATTAAGTGATCGAACAATTAGAAATTGCTGTGGAAAGATAAGTGATGATATGAAATAACAGTTGAAAATCAAAAAAAAAGATTTTTTTCTAAAAATGACTATAGCTTTTTTCATAATTTTCCCTAGAATGTTTTTAAAACTCACTATTTTGAGAATATGGTTTTTGTTTTCAATTCAACAATGTTTTTTTTTGCAGTGGACGGTTTCTTAACTCCACAAGACAGTGACACGGATAGCGGAATAAGTGCCGACTGTGATCAAAGTTCACCACGTGGCGGTGGCGGAGCAACATCAGTTGGAGGTTATCATCAGTTAACTTCGTCAGCTTTGCGACGACATCAACAACATCTTGATCCATACCACCATAATCAAACAATTCGCAGTCATTCCTCAAACGATTATTTGACACCGAATTCGGCAAGAAAAATTGCGGCTGCTTCTGGCTCATCGTTGACAACGTCGTCATCGACTTCATCCTCAAACTCAACACCAAGAAGACTTCCGCCACAACCAACTCAGCAACAGCAACAACAATCAACTCCAACATCAACAACACTTACCAAAGCAAAATATCGTGTCAGATTTGCTGATGAGGTGACTTGTGTTTCTTTCATCTTTGAATAAAATTCTAGAAAAAATACTCTTTGCATATTTTTTTTCTTTTTTTTTCAAAAATAGATTTTCGCCTTCATGAAACTCAATTTTCTAGGGTCAAAATGATGTCCGAAATGAACCCCTTTCAAAAAGAAACTTTTTAGGAGGTTTTTTTCTAGACAAATATTTTTCAAGTAATGTGTGAATTCTTTTCATAAATAAAAGTGCAAAGATTTTGTCCCCACTTTCCTCTCATTCAATAATTCTTTCATAGGTTGATAGCGGTGCGTCAACATCAAGCGGAACCTCCTCCGCTCATATTTCGCCAAGAAATGATCAAAAAGAAATGTTGTTAACATCCGATCCTCATCATACACATATTCCACAAAACATTTCTTCATATTCTCAACAGCAACCAATTATTCCCAACGGCAACAATAAAACTCAACCAAGATCTGGAACATTGCGTAAGTCACAACTTTTCGGCTGCATTCATTTTTCTTTGTAAGAAACCAGACGAACATTTATTCATTCAAAAAAAAAAGAATATCAATTCTCACTTGTAAAAATTCGTTCTAATTAGTCATGGAGCTCCTTTTTTTCCGAGCAGCTCATTAGTTTTTCTTTGCAATTTTTTCTCCAAGATGCTAACAAAATTTGCTTCGCATCACAAAATTTCATTTTATCAATTTTTATTTTGTTTTCAGAACGTGGGCCCACTCGTCGAACTATGATGAGTTCAACTCCACAACCACAGCCTACATATGTTGATCAGATTCCAGATCCTCCATCTTACAACTTGACTATGCAGAGATTGAGGTTTGTTTTCAAATAGAATACAAATATTTATAAATTATTTTGCAGATCAGCTGAGCCAGTTGAATCATTCCGCGATGCATATATCCGTAAAAATGTTGCCGACACTCTTCAAAGACGTTTCCGTCAACGAAGTTCTTCCTTGCCGAGAGGCAATAAATCATATTATGAGGGTATTGATATTTTCGATACCCCACAACCACATCAACAACAACATTCACCATTTTTGGCGCAACAATATCCAGTGCATTCAATGCAACACTCACTTCACTTTCCAACAACACAAGCATCACTTATCGCAGCCGCTAATCAACTTCCTGGAAGTTTGGATAATTTACATATCACTGTTAGTTTTTAGGCAAAAAAAAATTAAACGAAAAAATAATTTGATATTTTTTTGAAGATGGGTTCAATGAAGCGTCGTAAACTGCCAACAGCACCGTTGATGGGCTCAATGAGCCAATTGCATCACGACGAATCGGATGAATTGACTGCTTATAGAGCACTGCAATTTCAGATGATGCGAGATGAATATCAAAGGTAAGAAGATTTGTGCTTGATTTTTCAGAAGACGTTATGACTTTCCCAGATTTTGAGAGCATTACTTTAATATTGAAAATTTTGTGAGATTTTAAAACAAAGTTTCATTATTTTATAAAATTGAGTATATGAATGTATATAGATAGATTATATAGTAAAGATAAAACTCCATCTCTAGAAATCCATAACTTTCAGACAATCTCAAGCTGCCGCGGCAGCTGCAGCTGCTCAACAACAGCAACAACATCAGCAACAACATCAGCAACCGCAACAATTTGATCGTCAACCCACTTTACTTCGTCGTACGATTCTTCCAAAACCAGCAGGCCCAGTTCAATTCGAGCCAATCCCACCACAAAATCCCGCTGATTTCGGGCCAAACGGAGTTCGTGCCCAATTAATTGCGTTGGATCAAAGAGGATATCGACGAGTTTTGGTTGAGAAACTGATGCCTGGACCATTTGGATTCTACATAGCTACAGGAATGGTTGCTTGTCAGAGAGGTATATATTTTTATACCTGGGTGTAGTTCAAAATAATTTTTTTCCAGGAATCTTTATATCACGAGTCTCCCTTCCTTCATTATCACCAATGTTGACCGTTGGAGACGAGATTATTTATGTGGACGAAGAACTTGTTAAAGGACGTTCTCTTGAATATGTCCAATCAGTTATTGCTGGAAAAACTACAGTTACAATAACCCTTCTTCCAGCCGTTGGACAACCTGCCCTTTGTTAGTTTTTAGAGCTGAATTTCATTTTCTTTCTTTTCTTTTTCTCCACACGTTCATTTTTCTATATTTATATATAAACAATAATAACTTTTGAATTGTGATAACTTTCCTTTTTCTATTTTTTTTTTCCTTTTCCCGAACAAAACAACAATATGTGAAACTTGTAGTATGCAATATAGCGAATGTTTTGAACAATAAACGGTTTATCCTTTAGAGTTTGTTTTAATGAAAATTCCAGGTGAATCCAGAGAGAAGCTGTTGATCTTAAAGATAAAGATCTGAAGTACAAGATAGTACTTTCATTATTTCTGCAGGTTTGTTTTAGTTTCTAGCTCAAACAAAATTTGTTGTCGGTGAAATTTGTATTTTTGTAGTGACAAAGAATCTCATACAGAATTAAAATTTTGCAATAAAAATGCACCTGTCAGAACGCATTTTTGAACAGCTGAAGTTATTGTTATTATGCTACTATTTCTATTTTTGAAGCTTTAAAAAAACTCTACATATATAAATTCATTAGTAATTTATTGTCACCTCACAGAATCCCAAAATCGCAAAAACACTTAACTGTTCACTGATTTTCAAAATTTCACACCAAACTAACTTTTATCACCTTTCCCCATTGTATTGTTCACCTTCCTCCCAACACCACCACACACCCAAAAATAGTAATAATGCAAAAGGTGTGAAATAGGCTCCGCCTCCATTCTTTTTTCCTCGTCGTTTTTGCTCGATTGCTCTTCCTTTGCTTTGCTACCACTTTCCCACTTTTTTTGGTCATTTGTAAACATTATTATTTTCTAATAATATTGGTCTACTTATAAGCCAAAAGTTACTAACTATTGTTTATTTGTAGAAAAGAAAAGAAATGAAAAAATGAGCATTTTTGTGCTCTTTTTCTATGTGTTTTTTGTTATAAATGTGGTTGATGGACGATGTGAGAATGAGGTGAGCAGTTTTGTATTTGAGAGAAAGATTTTGAAGTACCTTTGTTAACAAATCATGAAAATGGTTTTTGGTTTTCACTATTTGGAAATTATTCTGTGAATTCCATCAAAACTGTAGATTTTATCCTTACTCTGATAACTCCTTTTCAAAAATTCCAGGACAAACGAAATACATTTTTATGGTCAGTTCGTCATCCAGAAAGTTCATCTCGAGGTTATCTTTTTGGCACAATTCATGTTCCATACACTGAAGTTTGGAATGAAGGTCAGTTTATTTTAAAATCATAACTCCAAATCAAAAATGGAACGCTTTTTTTCAAATCAACATCTCATTTTCCATACGAAAAATAATCCTTTTAACCCTCAAAAACTTCTAATCGTATCATCAATTCTGAACATGATATTTTTTGAATTATTCATACATATCCTTCCAATATGAAAAAAAAAATCTTTAAAAATCTAGCTTTTTTGAGAGCAAAACCTTTTTTCGCTTCTAACAATTTTACACATCCATCCAAAAAAGAACAATGAAAATGTGTGAAAAGAAGAAAAAACATCAAGAATTCAGAGTAATTGTGCGGAAAATTGTATGAACAAAAACTTTTATTTCTTCAACATACATAGATACATGGAACTCTTCCGGGGATGGAACGGAATAATTTGACCTAATCAAATTGTGCGTGTTCGTCGGAAGAAAATTCCGCAAAAATAATTATAACCCACAGCAGGTGGGGGCAACCTTTTTTCTCTCGAAGACAGTCTGCTTGTTATAATGGGACAAATTATTATTGTTGTTATTATAATGGAAGCCAATTTATCTCGCGCACTGCACTTATTATATTTTCACACATTAAGATGGGAAAAGGTTTTGGTCCTTCATTTTCTGAAGAAACAAAAACAGCTAATGGAAAATATGATGCCTAATTGTGCAGCTACCCAATCGCTAGATCAAAACTTTTTCTGGTAGATCAAAATATGTCTAAAAATCTTTCAGTTTTGCATTTAATTTCGTCTTGTTCTTCCTAATTCAAGGCAGAAAAATTTTGTCAAAATTTCTCAACCACTTGAAGCTACATTTTTAATTTTTCCATTATCGAACACCCACTTCATTTTTCAAAATGTTCAAAAGGAAAATGGGAAAAGGAAACAAAAAAATCTATTTTTTCAGTCAGTGATCGTGTACGCGAAGCATTCTCATTTTCGGATACCGTACTCCTCGAAGTCAATCTTCGCGATGAAGCCACAATTCGGAGATTGATACGTTGCAAGAATCTTCGTCGAAAACAAACTGCCAGATCCTATTTGCCATCGAAACTATATTCAAGAATAGAAAATTGTGAGGACTAGAAAAACTTTACAAAAGTAATAATCCATATTTTTCAGTAATGTTACTCTTTCAAAAAAGTCTGTTTCAATGGGCTCAACAACGACAGAATCCCAACAATGGCGAGGCATTCAAGCGAGCTGAAGAGATTTACGACAATATTTCAGGTTATTATTTTTTGTCTCTTTCTTTTTTTCATTGTCGGGGAGGTTTTCTGTGTTTTTTTTTCATCATAAGATATTGGTTGAAGTGGATAGGACTTTGTGTAAATATTGTAAACATGAGGATAGAAATATATACAAATATATGCAGATTTCCACTTGATTCCGAGTGGATCATCTTGCTCGATTGTTTTATAAACATCATATACATATAGGTATATATTATTGAACGGTTACAATTTCCAAACTCAATAAAAAAATAAATACAGAAGCACATAGATTCTTTAAAAAATATCCTTTTAATTATATTTCAAATTACATAACACTAATGAAATATTTTTCCAGGTGACTGGCAACGTAAAAGGCCCGAATGGCTCCTTTTCCTGCTCTACCAGATGTGTGAAAATGTGTTTGATCGACCAACAAGTCCAATGCTTGATTTATACCTTGCACAAAAAGCGGCAGAAGATCAAAAAATGATAATTGCTATCGAAACAACTGAAGAGCAATGTAATCCAATTAATTCAGTGACTGATGAAGAGGTAAGAAACAAATAATGGTTCAGATTACTTGGGTAGAGAGAGAGAGAGGGAATTAATTAGAAATAGTGTTTGTGACTTTTTGGCATGTATTGTGAGGTAATTTTCACACCTTACCACATTTCCGTCTATTCTCTCTTTTTGTCTTTTATGTATGCATACAGGTGTTGTATGTACACATGGATATTCGAAGGCAAATAAACAAATACATACGTCAAATGGATGAATAGGTGACCTATTTGATTTTTAGGAAAGCTCAACCTCTGTGAAATAAAAAATAGGGACTTTAAAGCTCATATTTTCATTAAAATATCTTATAACAACAAGACATTTTTCGAAAAATTTCGATAATTTGTTGATTTTGGAAAATCAGGAAAAAAGTTTTTTAAGGCAATGTGGATTATTCTGTTTTTAACGTGTGTGAACATTATTATTAATGAAATTAAATTCATTAAAAACTAATTTAAAAACCTTTCACGGAGTTGACATCAACGGTTATTTTTCAACAGTTTGAAAACCTTTTCGAGTATCGCAGCTTTTGTTGAATCAGTCAATAAATCATACTCTTCACTTTGTTTCAACTGTTCAATTTGTTTGATTTCCGTAAATGATTTGAAACAAGCACCCTAAGATAGTAAATTTTCATGATAAATACAAGTTCAACCTACTTGTAGTTTTGGTAATGAATATTGATTTGATATAACCAATTTCTCAATAACATTTACTTCATTCGTTTCGATAAGATATTTCTCACAATCATACATAACATGAGTCATTGCATATTTATCAGCTAATTTCATCAGACCAACGTAATTTGATCCATTAATTGGATTACCACAAGGATAAACAAATTCTAATAGTTCGACAAAGTCATCAAGATTATCTTCAAGAGCAATCACGGTTTCTGATTTTTCTTTGAAATTGGAAGAAAACATTGATTCAAATACTTGTGAATGAATAGCCAAATAGGTCTTGTTGGCATATAATTTGGTTCCATCGATCACAAAAGTAACATCACTTTTTGGCGATTTATTATAAAATTTGAAATCAATCCATCGTTTTTCTAAAAAGCCAGTAATGTTTTTTAATAGCATTGAAACTTGAATAGTTAGTTGATTATTATTCGTTGGAATATTTGACAATTCAACATTAGTGGGAAATTCCAAACAATTCAAGGCTGCGTTTAATTTTTGACTTTTTGCATGTTTGCATTTTTTTGAAGCTGTTGTCTGGAAACTGATCTCAACTTCAGCATCGCATTCCCAGAAGCTACTCTCATTGTCACAAGAGAGAATGACACTTCTCAAACACCATTTGTTATTCAGAAGTTCACATTTTGAACTGAGAAACCTGAAAGTTTAGGTTCATATGAAATCACAACAAGGCGTGGAAAATATATTACCATGGTAAATTTCCTACAGACCAACTCTCTGATGCGGAATTTGAATTCCGATAATTAAAATGGGGATGCTGTGTAGGCACTTTGATTATTCCATCAAACCTGTCGGACATCCTGAAACTGAAAAAATTTTCTAGAAGATGACTTTTGCTCTTTTCTTTCGCTTTAGTATTAGAATATTAGAAAACACTTAAAATCACAAAAACAGAATTAGAATTAAATAAAACAGTTGTATGTATACGCAGTTTGATAAGAAAAAACGACTCACAATGAATGAATTCGCAACATTTTATTGATAATATTTTTGAAATAAATCGAGATAAAGCAAAAATGTGTTTACATACATCAAATAAATAACCTTTATCGGCTTTTCGGCTAATTTTGACAATCCATGATGCGTTTATTGGAATTTCACATGCTGATATAAATCTCAAAAGTTCAATAACATCATCAAGAGTGTTTTCAAGAGTTCAAATAAATATCCTCGTGTCAACAACTATTCACAATTAGTGTTGACCCGTTGGATATAATAGAATTGGCTAAGCAATTTTTAACACCATTTTTAAAAAGCGTTGTTGAACTTTCTTGGAAATATTCTGAGAACAAGCAAGCTGTGAAGATATTTCTGTGAATGTTCACTCAATTGTTCATTTCGACAATGCACTATACAATTTAATCATTTATTCGAAAATGTGTTTTGAGAGTACATAATTAATAATTATCTGAATTCTACTTTTGTAACAATTTGAACACTTTTTCAAGTATTGCAGCTTTTGTTGAATCACTCAACAAGTCGTATTCTTCGCATTGTTTCAATTGTTCAATTTGTTTGATATCTTTGAACGATTGAAAACAAGCTCCCTGTAAAGTTAAATGTGACAATTTACTTTAATCTCAACTAACTTGTAGTTTTGGTAATGAATATTGATTTGATATAACCAACTTATTGATAACAGCAACTTTGTTCGTCTCAATAAGAAATTGTTCACATTCATACATAACATGAGACATAGCATATTTATCGGCTAATTTTAACATTCCATTGTAATTTGTTGCGTTGATTGGATTACCACATGGATAAATAAATTTCAAAAGTTCAATGAAATCATCGCAATTATCTTCAAGAGTAATAACTGCTTCTGTTTTTTCTTTGAAATTGGAAGAAAACATTGATTCAAATACTTGTGAATGAATAGCCAAATAGGTCTTGTTAGCATATAATTTAGTTCCATTGATCACTAGAGTAACATCATTGCTGGGCGATTCAATTTGATTTTCAAAATTGATCTATGGTTTTTTCAAAAAACCGGTAACATTTTTCAACGATAATGCAATATTTATTTTATATCGATTATCTAGCGTACGAATATCTGACCATCTAGCTATTTTGGGAAAAACCAGAAAACTTGAAGCTGCATTGAAATGTTTATTTTTCATAATTCGAGATTTTTTTGGAGCTGTTGTTTGAACATCAATTTCAACTTCTGCATCACAATTCCAAAAACTACTTTCGTTGTCACAATGCAAAGTCACAGTTAGATAGGAATCATCATTAATTTTTTCGAGCATAGCGGTAATATACCTGAAATATTTTTCATAAAAATTGGCCATCAAACCCATTTTATTCTCTCACCATGGCATATTTTCCATTATCCAGGATGATGATTTTGTTATTTGTTTTGGCGTAAAATAATCTGGTGGATTTAAAGTTATATTCACTGACCAAGTCCAACGTCCTGCCATATTTAATAAATAGTCTGAAATACATGTAGTAAGGTAAAAAAAGATTTGAAAAAATACGAACTGAAGAGAAAAAATATCTTATTGACAAATGTTTTTGCTATGATCAAAACGCAAGAAATGAAAGTAATCAATTGAGAAAAAGTAATAAATAATAAACAATGAAACAATCATCTTAATCCTTTCAGCTCATTTTTGCCATTCAATACACGGTCTCATATTTGGAAAAAATCTATTCAAAAGACTCTTCAACTCGTCTCATTCAAAACAAAAAGACACGAAGTATTTCCGAACTTGTCAAACATTATAAATGTGGAACACTAGAAGAAAAGATTTTTGACACTCCAGAAATCATCGACTCTAATTCTGAAGACAAGAAAAAAGCCGATTTGGTAAGTATTTCACTATAAAAAACAATTTTTCTACGCCTGTGTGTATGTGTGTACTTGAGAAAAAGAAGAAAATTTTGTTACACACTCACACACGCACAACGGAAAAATAGCTAGAGAAAGAGGGTGGCAGCTGGTATTTGAAGGCGAAATGCTATTTGAGAGAATGTGGTCGCGTGGCGCAATGGATAACGCGTCTGCCTACGGAGCAGAAGATTGTAGGTTCGAATCCTGCCGTGATCGAAATTTTTTTTCCATTTTGAACATTTTCTAATATTTCACATTTTGTCAGAGAAAATTTATTTTTTTTTCAGATTGACAAAAAGCTAAAGCAAGACATAATTGTTCGACGAAACGCTCGAATGGCAAATCGACTTAATTCAATGTTAAATGCTACACAGAACAAAATAATATTTTCTGCAATCGGAACTGGTCATTTTTTCGGGAACCACAGTGTTTTAAATCATTTGAAAAATCAAGGATATGTTATTGAAGAAATTGATGATGATGATATAATGTAAGTTTGATAGCGCTGAATTTAATTGAATTTTTTTATAATTAAATTGAACTCTTGCAGAACCCCATCAATAAAAAATTTACAAAGACAGAAAACATTCAATTCAATGTGGACACGTCGTCGACCACTAACAGAAGATTCCATAACTATCGAATTTATTGAAAAACCAAACAGTGCATTCGCAAACTTTCATAATTATTTGTTTTTGATTATTTTATTGATTTATTATATTAGATAACTTCAAATCATCCTTAAATACTTTCTTTGATTCTCCAAACCCTGTGATCTCTTTTTTTGTCTCAAAACTTGCCTAATATTGAATAAAGTACAAATTTAACTAATTGTATTAATGACTCCAGTATGACCCATACATCTTTCCTATTGAAAGAACTTATTTTTATTTTTTTTGCAAAGTTGATTTACTTTACGTATAAATTAAAAATCAATTCATTTTCAAACAAAGCAATTTTGAAAATATATACAAGAATATACATAGAACAATTGAAAAAAAATTTGTTTTCATTTCAAAATTTTTCGAAAATTAATTTTTGGTGTGTCATACAATAATTGAATACATCTTCAAAATTAAGCAGGCTTCTCATAATGGATTGAAATTGCGTAGGTCGCGAAAGCTAACAAAAATTGGAAATCAACCACCAGGAAATGATCAGGAAATATGGGATGAGCGAAGAAATAAAAATCCTGGCTGAAAAATGCGTTTTTAAGGGATTATACTGATAGAATAATCGTTCTTCGCGAATCACATTGTTCTAGAACGATGTGATTCCTTGTGTTTTTTTAAAATTATTGTCAAAGAAATGATTTCTTACTTATACTCAGAATACTTCTGTTTTTGATAAGGCAATCCATTGAGGCACCCAGATTGGTTGCAGTTATCTCGCCTTACTTCAAATCTTCTTCTACCAACATCCAACTTTGTTGGCTCAGTCGTTGCTAGCCAATTTATGATAAGTTTTCGAATATCCTCGGTTTTCCAATGATTTGCATTGATATGAATACGATCCATTCTCCAGTTCAATACGTCGTCAGAATCGTATCCAATATTTTGTACCACGTTTACTTCGTGACAAAGCATGGTGAATTGTTCAAGATTTTTGAACATTTTTGGATGGATTGATGTGTGATAGTCGAGATTGTGCCAGTTGATTGATAGATATCTAATGTTATCCTGTGAGAGCTTTAGATATTTTTGGAATTCGGTATTGGCCAATTCGATGTAATTTTTTTCGATAAAATATTCTGTTTTAGATGTTTTATATACATATGTTGTAATCCTGCAAGAATTAACATTGTTTCAAACAGAAAGTAATACAAAACCTAACAATGGAATCATATCATGAGAATTCAATTGGGTCATTACAATAATATTTCACCACTAACCATTCAAGTTGAGTCTTTGTTCCATTTTCCTGATTATGAAATACTCCTTTTATATGCACATGATCGAGAAAATCCGCAGTTTGAATGAAGGCTATATGCAAAATAACTTTTTCAGGTCTGTAATGTTTCTGGAAATGAATCGATTTTACAAATTTGGCAGGAAACCATTTGTTCAAATCCGGTGCACAATATGCCATTTTTTCCATAGTTTTCTTCTCGCATTTCTTCAAAGCCAAGTTAAATATATTTTCCGGCACATTCTTCCAATCGATTCCAGGGTTTTCCGAATGCTGAACAAATTGAAGTTGTATTTAAAAAAGACTGCTTTAAAAAGATCTCACCTCTTCTTCGCTCATATTTGCGCAACGCCAAAAAATCAATAAAAAACGACGCTAATCTGCCAATTTTCTGTGTGGAGATAATAAGAAAAGGGTCAATGAATAAGTACACCGAATATTATGATTCAATGATGTATTTTCAATGGCATTTTCTAATTTTTCAAGAATTTAAAGAGTTTCACTGAAAACACAAAAGAACAAAAAATTTTGCACAATTATCGTGGTTCAAAAAATCAATTTGATTTCAAAAATTTTGAAATTTTTTTTATCGGGGAAAGTCATAATACTGCAGTTTTTTTAGACTAAAAAAATCAATTTTTGACACAAGCAGCGATGAAACATTTTTTATGATTCATCAAACCCTGTGATCTCTTTTTCGTATCAAATCTTGCCTAATTTTAAATAGAGTAAAAATTAAAAATCAATTTATTTTCAAACAAACTAGCTGGCAAAAAAAGGTTGTTTCTTTAAAGTATCTCGGGATCTGGACAAAAAAGGACAAACAATGAAAAAATATTAGAAGATTTAGATATTCTTGAGGAAAGCGGTGGCCATTGATGTTCCTAATTTAGCTGGTGAGTCGGTAACCTGCAAACATATTGTCTTCAAATTCTTATCCAATGAATTATTTCGTTTGAATTTTGGGGATAACACTTACAATAACTCCAGCATCATTGAGAGCAGCAATCTTATCAGCGGCAGTTCCTTTTCCTCCAGAAATAATAGCTCCAGCGTGACCCATACGTCTTCCTGGTGGAGCAGTGACTCCAGCAATGAATGAGACAACTGGTTTGCGGTTCTTTCCAGAGTTGTTGTCCTTCAAGAATTTGGCTGCTTCTTCTTCAGCGGAACCTCCAATTTCTCCGATGAGAATGATTCCTGGAATAGAACAAAAATGGTAACATGAAATCATTTTATGAGAATCTAGCCTTTATGGATTTTTGGTTATGTGTTAGGACTTCTAACATTAAGATTTTTCTAAATATTGATTTTTTTTATGGCTCGTAACATATTATGAATGATCTCACATTCAGAATAATTCTACTTTTTATGTTTAAAAAGACTTTTATAATTTCACATCGAAAATTACAATCGGCTCATACGTATTTACCGAAAGTTCACATATTTGCATCATTGTGGCTTTTGCCACAAACAACTCTCACAATTTTTTTCTCACAAAGAAATCCAACTCACCCTTGGTTTCTGGATCCTCGAGGAAGACGTTGAGGCAGTCAATGAAGTTGGTTCCATTGAATGGATCTCCTCCGATTCCAACACACAAAGTTTGACCGAATCCGACTTGAGTGGTTTGGTGAACAGCTTCGTAGGTCAATGTACCCGAGCGAGAAACAATTCCGATGCATCCCTGAAAATCATCAATAAGATATTGCATATTAATTGAAATTTAAGAACTCACTCTCTTGTGAATATGTCCTGGCATAATTCCGATCTTACATTCATCAGCCGAGATGATTCCAGGACAATTTGGTCCAACAAGTCTGGTCTTATTTTGTTTGACGAGTTTGGATTTGACGCGAACCATATCGTGTTGTGGAATTCCTTCAGTGATGCAAACAACAAGTGGAATTTCAGCATCAATAGCCTCTTCAATAGCATCGGCAGCTGCGAAAGCTGGAACATAGATAACTGAAGCATCAGCTCCAGTTTTATTGCGAGCCTCTTTGACATCTCTGAAGACTGGTCTATCCAAATGGGTTGTTCCGGCTTTGTTGGCATTAACTCCGCCAACAACGTTGGTGTTATATTCGATCATTTGTTTTCCATGGAATGTTCCTTGTTTTCCAGTGAAACCTTGGATAATGACTTTGGTGCTTTTGTTGATTTTCAAATTATTGTAGGTATTATTGTAGAATCGGACACTGCCTTTTTGAATGGCTTGGGCGGTTTTACTTATTTGTTGTCCAAACATCTTCTGAAAAAAATGATAAAATTATCACAATGAAAAAAAAGAGCAAAAATCATAACTTGCAAAAAATTTCTCACAAAAATTGGTTGTTTGAACTCGGGCAGCAAAATCAATAATAAAAAATGACTACCCTAACATTTTGCACATAAAACTTGAAAAATATCAAAATTATCGATTAATACAATCGTTTTTGATAAATAAATAAACAGAAAACTAACAATTATCAAGAAAAATGGCAGAAAAAACAGACGGTGCTCTAAATAACTTCTGTTTCGCCAACCAACTCAACAAAAAACACAATGGCAGCAGAGAAACAGAGAAAACTAACATTTTCACAGGGACACCGTTGGCTGAGTATCAAACTTTTATACACATTTGGCTGCTGGGTGAGAGATGTGTGTGACTGAAGAGACGTAAAGATGGAGAGATTTCATCGTTTTTTTTTGTTTTTGTTCGGGAGGGAAAAGGTTTTGTTGTAAATAAAACAGATTTTTAATGATTGCGAAGGGATTTCGTATTTTCAGTGTATCTGGGTAGGAATATAATAGGTTGTATAATTATGAACACAAGAAAAAAGTTGGCATTTCGGAAAATAAAAATATATTTTTCAAATAAACAAAATCATATTTTCAAAATGTAACGGCAAACTGAGAGATTTAGAAAAAAAATGATTGTGATCTTCCAGAAAAAATTTGAGTGCTAGAAATTTAGAGTAGTAAATTACCAAAAAATATACAGACTTTTCAAAACTCAATAAGTTATAAAACAAAAAATATCTAGAAAATGTTTGCAAATCAATGTTAGTGAGAAAAAATGTGTGTGTAATAAAATAATAGATGAGAAGGTCAAACTAATATTTCCTTTGTTTTTGTTCAGAAAAACAATATTTCTCTAACTCTTCCCAACTTATTCGTCCCTCTTTCTTTCTACTTTTGACTCTAAAATTCAAATTGTGTTGTTTTCTCAAACTGCCAGTTTCTTCTAACAGAAAAAAAAAACACTTCCATTGGACATTTTCTGTGCTCCTTTTTTCGAAAAAAACTCTTACTTATTTTTCTTTCCTCGAAAGAGAGTCAAACCCACTTTTCGCGTGCATCCTTGATACTTTTTTGATGTTTTTGGAGGTTTGTTCAGTTTATTGATTTAGGGAAGACCTAAAGCTTCCTGGAGCACATTTAATTAAAGCTTTGGTGTTTAGAAAATAATGTTGACATTTTATAAACATTTTTTCTTTCGAAATTTAGTTTTGATTTATTTCACATATGGTTTTTCACTGACGAAAGAAAACACTTCTGAAAAACACCAATTCTATATTTATTTTCCCAATCCTCTTTCAAGCTCTCATCAAAAACCTATAACTCATTCAAAAACCATTCCAAAAATAGAAAGATGACATAAATCATTTTCTCCCTCCATGCTTATGTGTATTTTTTTTCCAAAATCACAAGTCATCCACATTTCCGTCATACACCTTATACATATTTGATTAATTTGAGTGCTTCTCCGTTATATTTTTCTCACATTTATGTTAGAACGGAAAATAAATCGACGATGAGAAGCCCCATCTCATCTCATTCCATTCCGTGATAATCCTAATACGGATGAGCTTGCTGTCTCCAAGGTGACCAATCCTATTTCAATTTAAAATATTTCACTTTCATTATTATTATTTTTGAATTTTATATACATACATACACGTATTCATATCCAATTTCCTATGAAAGTACATCTCTTTTCACCTATTTTTCCAATAAATCCCCGTTTAAAAAATTATTTTCAGAAATATGACTGACTACGGTCAGATTTTTCAACAATCAATTAAACTATTTGAAGCCTATGGTATTGGGTTTCTGGTTTTGTCAGCGGTTTTTGGTGGAATTTTGGGAATCTTCATCAATTATTATGTGAGCGTTCGACCGGAAAAACGGGCAGAAACGAGAAAAAAACAACTTTTGGAAGAGGAAGTTTCAGCTAGACGTGAGTGCAAAAAAACGTTCGATGAAAAAATATGTGAAAAGTTTCAGATGAGAAATCACGAATAAAGACAAATGAAGAAGTCAAGGAACTTTTGAAAAGCGGAGGAATGAATACGGTAGGTCAGAAATATGGAAGATGAAATTACGATAAATGTTTTAGACATCGATCAAGAAATCTCGCGTCAACTTCAACCCAAAAGTCGAGGAAAGCGTTAAAGGTAACTTATCCCAGAAAAAAACACAGATAAATGAATAAAACATGAAGAACATATGAAAAACAGCAAAACAGTGATAAATATTTGATCTGTGAAGTTTGGCAGTTTTGAACTTGCATTCTCTCTCGAAAATTGGGGGTAAAAACGTGTTTGATTGTCTACAAAAGAAAAAAGAAAAGATAGCGAACGGAAAAAGTTTTTGAAGTGGTTGAGGTCAGAAATATTTATTTTTATAGGTTTTTTTTTCAAAGATCCAAATTCAATATTTTCCAGCAACTGATTATTCTGAAGAATCGGAACAATCCGAAGATTCTGGAGATGAGGAAGAACAAATGCCACAAATGGATAAACGTCGTGTGATGTCAGCATCAACTCGTAAATTTGTGATGCCAGATGAAGATCATCCAGTTGATAGTGATCGAATCAGTGAAACACTTGGAAAATTGCATGGAAAACTTGCGACTGCTCAATTGAAGGCTAAAACTCGTCAAATGGCTGCAGAAATGAGTGCTGAAGAGAGAGATTATGTAAGTTATGTCAAGTCTACTCAAAAAAAATCTAGAAGAAAAATCTTTCTGAAATCTCAAGAGATTCAGTTGGACTTTTAAAATAAATTTATTATCTTAAAAAATACGAAGTGGCTTCTAAAAAGGATTTACAAAGTTCAACGTTCAAAGTTTCCAAATCCCACAAAATCTCATTTGTTTTTAGGAGGCTCAAATGAAAGCGAAACAAATGGAATCAATCATGGCTTTAATGATGGAAAATAAGGAAAAGTTTGGAATGTCAAGCGAGGAAGACATTCAAGAGCAACTGAATTTGTACAACTTTTAAATACCAATTCTATTTTTTTTCTCGGTTTCTATTTTTACCCATTCTTAAAACAAAACAAATATATTTCATCTGGTCTCATAACATTCCCCCTTTATTTTCAAAAAGGAACAAAACTAAGTCGGTTCATATTTTATCTTCATAATCTCGAACAAATAAAATTCCCAAGTTTCGGTCATAATTTTCAAGTATTTTTTGTTGGGAACAAATGAAGTGTTTATAAATAATCAAGTTGTCTTAAAAATATTTTTCTAGATAAGCCGATGTTTGATGAGCCTATTTTGGCTGGCTGTCTGAACGTTTTTTTGGTGAATATAAGAAAAGTTCATTAAGAGTTCGTGTTTTGCGCGAACATGTTTTCAATCTTTTTTTCGTGTATTTTGCACGACTTTTCTGATGTGTTTTGGATAAGGCGTGATTTTTTTTCAAACTTTTTTTTCCAAGAAGATGTTATTAGATTTCTTCAAAGTGTTCATATGTTGTGTATTGGTGCATTTCTACTTTTAGATTGAAACTCGAATTTCTATCTAATTTTTGATAACTTCTTCAGTAGAAAGTTTGATTTATAAACTCTTCAAACATGTTTTACCTTCACCTTTTCTGATTCTCTTGTTAGTTGACAAAAAAGTTAAATGCAGAATTACTTTATCAACGAAAAAAAATCATCAATGGTTATGAACACCAGAGTTTTTGGTTTCTGGAGCTTGATCACCGAAAATGTAGCATTTTTCCTTGAAAAAAAAATTTGAAGATTATAAATCATTTTTTCGAAACTTACATTCAACGATTGTACCATTTTTGAATCTGATGAGCACCCGAAAGCAGTTTTGAAAATCTCACTTTGAGCAGCAACAGCATTTATTCGAGCGTTTGAAGCGGCATGATCTGAATAACTGACTCGTGGAGTAGGCTGAAATGATTAAATATTGATATGAAATTTCGTTGCGACATAAACAGTTAGATAATTTTGAAATTGGGAATATAACTTACTTCACAGAAATAGGCTGCTTGAGAATAGAAAAATAATTGAGAGTTTGTTATATTTCCGTAACCTTCTGCAAAGCCGTGTAGCAATCGTCCTAATTTTTTGGTTAAGATGGCATCGCTGAAGCGTCCAGAAATTAAATCAGATCCATTATCATCGAGTTGTCCGTCAACAACATGACATGTTTCCTATTAAAACACAAATAATCAAATTTCACAAATGAATATTTATGAAATATATATGTCTCTCTTTTTACCTCTCCATAGATTTCACATGTCTTTTTGAACTGATTTTGAATACATTTTCGGGACACATTCGAAAAAATTTCAAAGTCTGTATCGTCTTGTATAAGATGATGTCCAAGTTCATGACCAACTGGAAATCCAATCACTCCAAACTTTAAAATAACAAGATTATTAGTAACATATACCCTAACTTACTTGAGCCGCAAATGAATGAGATAACATTGCATGAAAATAGAACGAAGTTCCAAAATAAATCAACCCAGTCAAAGTATTTGTGCCAGCATCTAAGTCATGAGCAATCATACGTTCGACATTTTTCTTTACTTTTATCAAACACAGTTGTGTTATTAGTTCTTCGCTAATATTAACATTTTGAATATTTTTCTGACATGCGGAAAATTCTTGTGTTTGGTTGTCCGCAAAAACCAATGGAATTTTTCTTAAATGTACTCGTTCTACAAACTCATCAAAAATATCCGTTTTGTTGTTTTTACTAATCCATGGCGTTTTCTGAAACAAAAATCAAAAAATTAAATGAAATAACTGAGCGAAACCAACATCAATCCAATCAACAGCTACAACTCGAATTTCTTCCAAAAATGTTACTAAAGTTCGAACAATTTCTCGATTTCTATGATACCATAGTATTCTTTCCAATATTTTGACGGTAGAATCTGATTGATATTCCAATTCGTCCTCAAATTAATGAATAAAAACATACTATTTTGTTTTGAACTCACCAGTTCCAATATTTTCTCGAAATTACCTTGACATGATTCTGAGTTAGAGAAATCAATTTCTCTATCGCTGAATACTTCAACCACAATGTTTTGGAATTTTTCAAGCGTATTGTTTTGACAACTATAATTAAAACTTATGGTAATTTTATAGACATATCCCTCAGCGCGACATGGAAAAATTTGAAATTGTAAAATCACGCCTATTTTAAAAAGAAATGCCTATTTTAAAATGCACAATTTCGTAATTATGGCTAACCCATTTTAAGCTTGATTGTGATAAACAAACCTAATCAAGTACTGATTCTGCAGGTTTTTATATAATTTTGCTACCGTTTCATCATCCGAAGAAAACTCGATAAATTCGACCTTAAAATGTCAATGGAATCATTAATCTTTAGCAAAACCTACAAAATATTTCGAGACATCATCTGAAATAGTTCGATTTTTTAATTGTTGTTGTCCAATTGTTATGTATTCTTGCCAAAATGACGAAGTGGCGTTTGTTGAACAGGCATGACGATAAAAGTTATCACACGGTCTAACCGAATCATCTCTCAACCTGTAAAATGATATATTTTCGAATTTAGATGAGCAAATTTGAATTACTGATCAAGATAATTTTTGAATTCGGCATTTTCGACTCCGAAGACGGGTTGGAAGAATAGAAAGAGTAAGAACATAAACATTTGTTTAGTGATAATTAAACTTTTTTCTAGTGTTATTTATACTAAATTTTGAATAGGAAAATGAACGGAATGTATTGTTTCAAGTCACATTTTCAATTTGAAACAATTAAGTTCATTTAGAGATTATAATTGATCATCAACATCAAATTTTTTGAATTTTTTGTAGCTAACATTCTTGTAATTCAGAGAACATTCAAAAAATTGAAAATATTCTGGTTTAACCACAGATTTTTAAGTTTTATGTGGTGACCAAAGTAAAAAATATAACAAAAAATGCAAAAATATATCGTCCAAAGTCTAGCGGTCTGCGTCTCTCGAATATACACACTATTTCTCTGTTTCGTGTCTGCGTCTCTCGAATACACACACTATTTCTCTGGTATGTATTCCGAATATAAGGCGAGCTTTGTACGATATATTCTCGCATTTTTTGCTATGTTTTTTACTTTGGACATCGCATTATGTTCTGTGGCTCATTCAAACCATTAACGTTAATTTGTAAGTGAACATAATTATTGTAGAACGAGAAGTCCATTTGTAAGCACAACAATTGTTAAACTTAAAGTTTGACGAACTTGTTCTATTCAAAGACCCACTTATAACCACAATAATTTGAACAACAAGTTGTTTTGACTATTTTATAACCTTTTTATCCTCATTTTCTGGGAATTCTTATTATTTTTTTTGCTTTTCATGAAGAAATAAGTTCAAGTAAGCGTTACTTTTCTGATATTTTTTTGGAACGCATAAATTTTTGAAATACTTAATTTCACTTACATTTAGATATACTTCAAAGAAAGAGTCAAAGTTTTTTGAAGCACAAAGAACAAACTCCGAATATTTTTCTCTCACTCTCATTTTCCCCGTTCAAAAAAACACTACAGTATCCCAAGTCTTTGTTTTTTGCACCCATCTTAATTAATGAGTTGGTCAAAATAGTGTGTAATTAATCTTATCATCACTTTTTTGCTCCGTTTTATCCCATTCTTTGCTCTTTTTTTCTGTTCTTTTTTCTCAAGTTTTTATCTTTTATTTTGAGAACAAGGACAAGGACCATCTCTTCATTTTCAAACAAAGATATATTTCGATTCAAATTGCAAATATGTGTAAGTTTTTTTTTCAATTTTTAAAAATTATGGGGAAACAACTTTTTGAGAAGAAAGTTATTTTCGGTAAGATATATAAAAATCGAATTTCTATCAATTAATTTCAATTCATTCAAGATTTTCCTTTTTTGTTTCCAAATTAAAACATTTTCTCTTCTAAACTATTATCAAAAAATCCTCCGAGCGTTGTACTATGTTGTACCTAAGCTACCGAATGATCCTTCAAACTCTACTTCTAAACAAAAAAATCGCAGTTCTTAAAAGCGTTCCAAAAATTCAGATGTTTTTTGGTTACTCATGAACACTTTCCCAGGTTCTCAGAAAAATAATTTCGTTCCTCGAGTTGACCAAAAATTTGTTTTTGACAAAACTCGGAATATTTATTACATTCCCCTAAATTCAATTTCATGTGTTTTCCTGAATGTTTGTTTCAGCCGTGAGAATATCCAAGTATCTACAGTAATCATGCAGAAAAAGCTGCAAAAAATCAGATTTTTCTCGCTGCTAAAATAAATTGAACAAACGAAAAAATTCTCGCGCAATGAGTAGGAGATAATTAAAATGTGCTGAGATGCATGAAATTTGCGAATTTTTTATATATTTTCTTTTCTTGTTTCTTCCGTTATTTGGCCTCACATATTTTTTTGCGCATGAAATCATTTCGTTTTTTTTTCGCGAGAAAAAATAATTCGAAATTGTTCTTTGCAAACTAAAATATTCATGAGACAAAACTTTGGAGAATTTTGAAACCAAAAAAATCACATTTGGTGTTTTTTTGTTCCTGGATTTTGCGTTTAAAAGGAACGAGAAGGAACTTGTGTTTTGTTAGTTTCAGAAATTTTTATTGTCTTTTCAAAGCTTTACATTTTTCAGGAAACTTATTTTAGATTACTGTAAGTGAGTTTAAGATACTTGAAACACTGTGAACCTTCCATAAAATTTGAAATTTAAAAATTCCTCATTTTTCCTCCAAAAGCTTCCCATTATTTTTCCTTTTAAATGTGAAACTATAAATTCTCAACCAGTCATTTCATCTCAAAAATCCCTAATTTCTGCCAAATGTACATAAAAAGAAGCTTCAAGTCCAAAGAATACTACAACCCTTTAGTTTAGTCTACAGTAATCTTTTCCTACAAATTTCCTCTCTTTCTTCTCAATTCTTCCGCAAAAAAAGGAAATTTGAATTTTTCGCTCCTCGTGTTGCCTTTTTTGGTTGCCGAACCCTTCACTTCCACTTTAATTAAGACGACTATCGAACAAAAAGTTTTTTTTGTGAAACGAAAAAAGTCAGTATATTTTATTTGCTATTCTTAGGTTAGGCTTTTTTCTCGAAATTTTTTATGGGTCACTCTGAAGAATTTCAATTTTCATGTATGCAAAGTGCAGCAAGATCACTTTTTTGTTCTTTTTTTTTTTGAATTCATATAAACCTTTGAGCCAGAAAGGGCAGTTGACCTGGTTTTTTTTCTTCGAGAAGTTTTTGCAAGTGGGCGTAGGGTTTTTGAATTATTTTACAGTATTTTAATGATGTGCAACATAATAAAAAAGCTTTTAGAGCCGTAGGCGGAGTACTGTAAAATTAATGAGCCTAGCTATAAATATTTTTTGTGAAAATTTATTAGTAGATTCTTTAGTTGAACCCAACTTTCCCTGCTCTGTTAATCCTATCATTTTGACGCGATTAGTTCACTTTTTTTGGTGGCAAAAATTTTCAGGAATTCCATTTTTTCGCTCTTCGAATAACAAAAAAAAGCATTCTCATGAACTTCGTTTAATTCTTCATTTGGAAATAATGAGTTTTCTGTTTTTTTTTCACTTTTTGCATTTTCGAAATATGGCTCATTAATCTTTTGATGCCTTTCAGACGAACCATAAAACTCGAATTTCAGCATCCAAAAAATATCCAGGAACGCCCCAAAAATATTTATATGACTATGACTAAAAATAGACGCTTTGGACCCTTAATGAAATTATTTTTGTTGTGAATAATACATTTTTATTTTCAATGATGCCACTTTCAAAAATTAGGTTTTTCTTTTTTTCGAAGAAGACGAAAAAAACTAGATCAAATTAAACTTCTAGAAAAAAAGTACATGTTTTTATCTAATGGACATGCAAAGTTCAGGTTTTAGAATAAGAAAAAACAAGTAGATGGAAAAAGTTCCATTTCCTTATTTTTGTTGTTTTCGTTGTTATACAAATCATTCACACACCACTTGTTTGATAATCCAATTTTATGCTCATCTTCATAAGCTCCACCCTTTTCCAGAACACTTTTTTATTCTGTTTTCACGTTGCACATTTTTAATATAGTCCCAAGTGGAGTCTTGACACGAAAAGAGGTTGTTGTAGTTCAGATTTCAAACATCAATTCCAAGTTTTCAGTACGTCAGAATCATTTTTCAGGGATTACTGTATATCTAACTTGTTATTACAACGTAATGTTTATTTAACTTGAGAAAAAAGTGAATCCAGGAAGAATCTGTTCCTATATGATCTCGAAAATATCTTCTTTTCCCCTAACTTCTCACTGAAGAATGATCGAACGATCATTCTCTTCTTTTCAAAACCAAGACAAAGAAGCGATTAGAGATCATTTGGGCGGGATTCACTGCTCATTTTGCTCTAAAGTCATATTTTTTCAAACAATTTCGGACTTCCCATTTTTTCCATTAAGATTTTTGTGTTATTCCTAATTAAATATTCAATGAATTTCCAGCGATGGCATTGATCTACGCAAATGCAGTCAATAAACGAATGCATCATCATAATTCAAAAATGGCGGCGGCAACAAAAAAGCGATCAACAAATTCTTGCCCAATGGCTTCACTTCACGATGATAGTCCGGAAAATGACACGATGCGACGCAGTTTGAGCCGTGAAATCCCAACTCGAAAACAGTGAGTTATACAAAGTCAACAGCTTCGATGTCTTCTGATATTTCTAGAAAAGTTTTGAATGGAAGGTGTTTGTGTCCTACCGCTGAAAACTAGAAAAATTTCTTTCGAAACATTTTTTTCTATAAAAAATTTTCAGCTACCCTCGTTTTTCTCCTGAAAACTTATAAACTTTGTTGATTTTAGCACGTCATACCATTATTTTCTGAGTGACTAATAATGAGATCCATTATGGTATGTCATATAAAAAAGCTTTTACTGACAAAAAACCGTAGGCGGGTTACTGTAGCTCTGAAGAATTCATTGATCCAGGCGATTGAGTATTCGATAAAAACTATGATCTTTAATGCTGACTAGACAATAAAAATTGAAACTTTGTAAAAATTTCATCTTTTACATTCATGTTTTCATCAGCTCACATAGAAAAAAAACATTTGTGTTTTGTGTATTCGAAGTGATTTTTGATGTTTTCTCTCTTCATTTCTTGACCCAATCTTAATGAACAATGTCTCACTTTCAAAAAACACTTTTTTTTCAGAAAACTCTTTCTCATTTTGAAATAAGTTTCGGAAATCGTACTCATCTCAAATTACCGGGAAAAATTTTAACAAAAAAAAACACAAATCTTCTTTTCTTGCACAATTTTGAGTTGAGGTGACCAAATGATGAATGGATATTGATAACCTAACCTGCTCCTAGACAAGACATACGTATTTTTTTATATTTTGATCTTTATTTGTTCGAAAAAATAACAAGTGTTATTTCAAAAAATGACATGTTATGGATGTTCAGGAATGTTGAAATGTCGTGATGAGCAGAGCAAAAAAATGTTCCCTGATCTGTTTGTTCAACAAATTCCAAAGATGAACAAAATATTTTGGTTTCATTTCTGTAGTTTGATACACTAGAAGATTTGCATAAATAGAAAATGAAAATTGAAAAAAAACTGAAATGCGGAAGTAGGAAGTCGAAAGTGGGAAGATCATGATCATTTCAAAAAATCACGTTGAATTAAAATAATATAGACAATTCTACCAATAATAACAATCTAAAGCTTCAAGAATGTTTTGATACAAAAATAATTTGTTCCAGTTCGGATAACTCATCATACTTGTCATCGTCCACCTCATCATGTCACTCACTTTCTCCAGCTGTCGTCAAAATCGAGAAATCCAAGCACCGTCCAGTACAACGGAGCAAGACCAGGTATATATATGTTTAAACCTGATATTAAATTTTGTTAAGAAATCATCCTGAAATTTTGGAAAATGGAAAAATAACACTTTTGTTCCAAGAATGATTGATTATTTTGATTGAAAAAAATGAAAAACAAATTGATTTTTTTTCAGCTGCGGTGATTTATATCTCAAAAAAATTGTGGAAGATGATGCTGTTCGAAAAATTTCACAACCTGCGATGTCACAATCAGCGTTGAACAAAAGTCGACCAACTTCCAAAAAATCATTCATCCAGGTACAATTTTCCGTTGAAATTTGGACTTCTTGACTTAATAATATTAATTTTTGCAGAGATATGAAAAAGATCAACAAAAACCAAAAAGTGCCAGTGTAGATGAAGCGGATCCAGAGAAGTGAGTTGATCAATCTTTGAAATATCCAATTTTATCATCTTTTTTTCAGCAAAAAAGAAAAGGAAAAAGAGAAAGATGAAGAAGATGGTGCATTTTCAAAAATGAAAAGAAAGTTCAGCAAATTGATGTTCAACTGAAAATATCCTGCAAATATTAATTCCCGCTTGCTTTTTTCCCCTAGCTGATCTCATTTTTCATTCCTTGTAAACCCACCCCGATTATATATATATTTGGTCATATCATTTGCTGAAATAATATTACATAACATAAAGTTGAAAAAAAAACACCGCATGATGTTTTTTCTGTCTCGTGCTTTGCTAAAATAGTGCATTTGGGCATTTTGCCAAGCAGATAAAAAACAACACAAAAAATAGTGGAAGAGAGTGGTGTGCAAATAAACAATAGAAACAACGAACTTATTTTGCAAAACAAAATTTCGATCATCAAAAAACATTGAACAATTTCCCGCCATCAAATTGTTGGCAATTTGGGGGCAAGAATTAGAGAATATTAAAAAAAAAACATATATAATCTCACTGTTTTTGTTCGAAACGTGGTATTTAAAAAATCTGTGTTTCCCTTTTTCAATTTGTTCAGGCTTTGAAAATCATATGGTAAGTTTTGATCGACATTTGTATTTAATTAGGTGTCACATTTTTTTGTTTATGATACTTTCTGATAAAATTTTAATTGGCATTTTTTAGCTTTTCGGAATTTTCAAAGACAAAAAACTTGGAGTTGGATGATTCTTTTGGAAAACATATAGCTTTGAATCATAATTAAAAATTGGACATTTTTTGGAATAAAAAGGCATTTTCAGAGTTTCATTGAAAATTGGTTCCCGAAAATAGCGGAATCTTGCAAAAATCCATTTTTGATTTTTTTGTATTGTGTTTTATATTTTCAGAGGTTCCCATTTTGAGTTAAATCCAAATAATCTAGGTTAACCCTTCCATAAGCTTTTTCGAATTGAACAAAGAAAAAAACAAAAAAAAAAGTTCTCGACCACGGCAGGATTCGAACCTACAATCTTCTGCTCCGTAGGCAGACGCGTTATCCATTGCGCCACGCGGCCACATGTCTCTCCTCTCTTCCTTTTGCCAATATATTTTTGTTGCCAAAGGCAGGTACTGCGACGAGAGAAAAAAGAGAAAGCGACCAGTTTTATTTCGCCTCTGTTTATTTTTTTTGTCTTTTTTCGCATGACTCTGTGCACTTTCATACTTATATTTTTTGTTGGTTTTTTATCAGTCCACAGACTCTCTTTTCTTGCATAAAAAGTTTAAAGGAAGAGAGAAAGAAAGAGAAAAAAGGCTGGCTATGTAAATTTCCTTGTTGACGGCTGACAGTTTTGGTATTTAAAAATAGTTTGATAGTCAAACATCACGTGTGAACGCATTCATATTTTTGCTGATTTCTCTTTTAATTTCGATTTTATTCAACAAAATGAACATGTCACTTGCAATTCCACGTAAGTTTCTTTGATTTACAACTCTTCAAGAGTCAAAGATTCAAAGTTGATAACATTCAGTTTATATTCCCATTATAAAAATAATTTTTTTGTGAAAGGAAAAAAATCTTCATTACTATAAAAAAGTCACGAGGCTCGGAAAAAACAAGACAATTAATTATATTTTTCTGCACTTCTTTTTTGATTATTATTACTACACTTCTTGTTTTTCACAAAAACGCAAGTCAAAAAATCAAAGATTGAAAAGCATACTGTAGATTTTCGTATTGACAGTGCTGAAAATTTCGTTTTTTATTCAGAAATTCAAAATTATGGGGTTGAAAATTTTGTTTTTTCAGTCAGAATTTTTGGAATTTGGCCTGTGGCTATTAGATGAAAACTAATTTAGAATTGTTGAATGTTCGTGTTTGGCGGGTCCAGATTCTGATTTTAATTGTTGCTAAAACAAACTTCAAAACAATTTATTTGGAAAAAATTATTCTTATTCTTGATAATTTTTACCTGATTATCAAGTGTTTTCCCACGTGTTATTTTTGAAAAAAAACATTGCAAACAGTTTCAGCTTAATTTCAGATCGCATTTTTTTTCACATTGATAGTTCATCTATCATACTTTGAATTTCATTAAAACACGAAAATAGTTCAATAAACCGGTTTTGGATTGTTTCAAAAGTTTTCAAACAATATTTTTTCATTTTTTCTCTGATCAACGCAGCAAACTATCGTATTTTGTTCTGAACTGTGTTCTGTTTTTTTTTACTTTTCTCACGAAACCTTTTCTTTATTTGCACAGCTTTTCGAAAAAAAAAACATTTGATCAAGTAGTTAAAGTTTTGATAAAATTTTATTCACATCAAAAGTTCCGTTGTCCTGATAGTTTTGAATAAAATTAAAATTATCATATGGTTGCATTACTCATAATGAATCACACAAAACTAGATTTTTTTGAATATTTTAAGGTTGTTGTGATGGATTTCACATGTTTCATAAAATAAGTTGAAAATGACTCATTTCGAGAAATTGAAAAACAACAATGTTTGCGTTTTTCAAGTTTCGTATATACTATTTTCGTTAAAAAAATATGGACGTGATAGCTGAATGACTGATGTTTCAGATGAGCAATATTTCATCCGACTTTCTCATCCAAACTAGGAAGTTACAACATCAAATGTTTTATTACATTTTTTGAAATTGGGCAATACATTTAATCGGTAGGTAGAAAAAGGCGAGAATTAATTGAACATTGCCAACTTACGTTTTCGTTCGGTAAAGGTTCAAAATTTCTAGATTATACACACTACACTAGAATGAGCCATATGTTTTAACATTATCATTCAAAAACGCAACGGTAAAATGAGCAGAACCCATCGAACATCAGGAAGCTGTCATTTTTAAACCCCCGGAATTGAGAAATTCATGAAAATATAAAGCGATTCTTTGTAATCGAAGAGCATTTTCTTTATTTGATAACAATTTCTTAATTTTTGACACCTTCTAATCTTAAATTCTGTTGAAAGCAGGTTTATCAGCTGAAAATTGGAACTTTTTGCTAGTTCTTTGTTTTGTATGCATGTTTTTTTGCCTTCGAGAAGTTCTTTACAGAAAAAATACCGGTTTCAAAAGGCGATTAGTTTTTTCTTCTCTTTGAGATAATAACAAAACGTTTCAAATGTTTTTTGGTAGTTACAGTAATCTGTTTGAACTTTATCTTTTTTTTCAGACAAAGTACTTTCACTTCGAATTAAAATCAGATTTTTTTCATTGTTCGAACAAAACTCAGATTACTGTATCATATGAATTTTAGGTTCTTATCATATTAGTTCACATTTTTCTGGAAGTAAGTCTCTAACTTCACATGAATTTTTGGGTACAGAAATTAGTCAGCTAAATATCGGCATGTTCAAAAAACATTTGATAATGTATTTTTGATCAGGAAGTCGTTAATAAATTGAAGAAAATCACAGCAAAAAGATATGACATTTGATAGCTTTGATTTCTCACGAAGACATTTTTGGGTTAGAGAGTGCTTTTGATTCTTTCAGAAACAAAAAATCAGAATTTTTTTTGAGCCATTCCCTCATTTATCAATTGTTTTAAAAATTTTCTAAGTGTTGTTCTATCTAGTTTGAAATTTTCTGAACGAATAGAAAAGAAATTTCAAGGATACATTTCAAGGTGAACGAAAAAGCTTCAAGGATAAATTGGACAACATTTTCCCACGTTCCCTTCTGTCCAAAAACATTTTCCTATTCAAGATCTCAATACATTCATTGTCACTACAGTAATCAATTCTCTCTGTCTACAGTACCAAAAAAACCTCAATAATAGTTCAAAATAGGTGCAATTACAGTACCATGTTCTAGAAATCGAAAATTGTTATTGCTTTTTTTGTGGATTGCCCTCCCCTCTTTCACTGTTAGAAACTCCACCCATTGCTGATTTATTTGTGTTTTTTTTTTCGTTTTTAAAACCACCACTATTTTTTCCTATTTAAAAAGCGGGGAAACCCCCTCTTATCATATCATCCTTTAAGGTTGAGAGTTTTGAAATAAATTTATTTCATTTCAAAATGAAAGAATTCAAAAAATAAAAAATAATAATTCCAGAACCTCCAGCAACAATGGCTTTCATATCGCCTGTGATTCGAAATGACTTCAATTTGTATGAAAGAAAGAAGCCAACACAAAGAAGTCGAACAATATCAAGAACAACCGGATCACAAATATCTCCAAAAATGTCTGGAAAAGAAAGCACATCTTTGGATTCACTTTTGGATAAACAAAAACAATTGCAAATTATGAGAGAAAAGCACAAACAAAAAAGGTTAGTTCAAGCTTTTCATGAAGTGGGCAGGATTTTTTCAATTGAAAATCTACCCGTTCTCGAAGATTCTTATTCTTATCGTTTTTCTTTTGGTTCTACTTTTCACTGATAATCAGCCTTGTAAACAACTTTCGAAGACCAAATTTATCAATAATTGAGCAACATGGAAATATTTTGATATTCATTGTTAAATCTGAAATCAAGATCAAAGTCCAAACAACTCCAAACTTTTACTATGAATATTCATGTGTGAAACTCATAAAAATCAAAAGAGCTCTAATCCACTTGAAAATGTCTACGTCACTGCACTCTAACCTCGCTCTCTGCCTCTGACCCAATCTTGAAATTGTTCTTATTTTCAACTGATAACTAACTAATAGTCGAAAAGCACAGTATCAAAAATAATTCGCTTATCAGTCTAATTCAAATTTGAAAACAACAAAACCAAAAAAAAACGAAAAAAAGAAAAAACATGTAAAATGTGACTTTTGGGGAATCCCATGACATTTCAAATTAACATCAATTACAGAAATATTCGAAGAAATACATTGAATTTTCGAAAAATTTCGGTTATCACTGAAACCGATGAAGAAGATGTTGATGAAGATCAGGCAAATATGAATATGGAGAGCTTGAGGAAACAATTCACAACACAATTGTCATCGCCAATTTGCGTAAGTTACTAGAAAACACTCTGTTTTCTAAAGAAAGCTATTTTGAAAAACTTAAAAAAACATTCTTAATTGATTCCGGAATTAATTTTTTCCTAGATATTTATCCCACAAAAAAGTTAATGAGTTTTGTTTGAACCACAGATTCTAATTTTGAAGCTTGAAAATTATGATCATTGATGTTCAGCACTTTGCGTAAACATTCAGTTTTTTTTTTATATTTTAAATGTTTATTAAAATTTTCCAAAAAAAAAAAAAAAAACTAAATTGTCAGATGTTCTGTTCTCACCCTCTGTTTTTTTCAGACATTCCAACCAATTTCCGAAGAAGAACATCCGATTGAAATCTCATCAAACTCATCAACCAGTTCACAATCTGATCAAAAGAAAAAGAAAGGAGTAATGTCAATGCTCCATGAATGGATCCACAATCATTCTTTGAAGCGAAGAAGACCAAAAGTCACTCAACAAACACCCAAATAACTTTTTTTTTCTGAAAAATTGAAGATGATTTGGATTGATTTCCAACGGGTTTCGTGTTGAGTGAATTGTATATTTTTTGGTGTAAACATGTAATATTTATTGATAATTGGGATAATAAAGTTTTTTTTAATGAAAATAAATAAAGAAAATGTTTATGATCGAGTTTTTATTCAAAAAGATGGACTGATAAACTCAAATTTACGAACCAATGTTTTTTTTTACGAACACTAACGTTTTTAAATTTGCTCTGCCATATCAAAACCAATTTTATTGTTTAATTTGAAATTTGGAAAAATTACGATTACAAAAACAGAAGAAGCGATGCAAAAATTTCTGGATCTGGACAAGGAATGCGGGTAGAGTACGCTTAGCCCCACAGAATTTGAGTCTCTCTGTGTCGGGGCAACGGGTATCCTTGAAATTGACGGCTAACCACTATCCACAATAGACATCAAAACCAATTTTGATGGTTTCCAGACACAAAAACTTAACTGATGCTCGCACACACAAAAGTTGAATAACCCAAAAAATCCTAGAAAAATATCTGTCTGTATTTTCAGATTGCAAAAATATTCGAATTCAAAATCAATATTTCTTTGCAAGTTTTTTCTCAAACTTTCCCTCATATGACCATTCAAATTTGAAAGAAAAACCTCTTCTCTTTCTCATTTTTTCACTAGTCTCATCAGTCTCTTTTTCATGTGAAGAAAACGATATGATCTTTTTAGATCGGTAATCTCATTTTAACTAACAAAACTTGTGTCATTTCTCATCAGCAAACACCATTTTTTTATCATTCTCGCAGAATCTGATCTTTGTTTCCATAATTCTCACAGTTATATATATAAATCGACTTGATCAGTTCACTTTTTCATTGAAACAACTAATTGGTATTTAGGATACATTTTAGAAAATAGACAAATATTATAAAATATGCTACCGAAAATACCGTATTATCGATTTGTTGTGATGTTAGTAGCATTTTCATGTTTGATGAGTGTATTTTCTAATTATTCAATCATGAATTTTTCATTTATCTGTATGAAAAACGATATGAGTGGAGCAATTTTAGATAACAATGGGGTAAGTTTTCAAGTTAATTCGAAAAAAAAGTGAAACTGGGTGTTCTAGACACTTCATTCGATTTATGATTATTCATCTAGTGAAAAAGCTGAACTAATTTGGGCTGTAGCAATCGGAACAATTGTTGGAACAATTCCATATAATTGGGCATACGTCAAATATGGAGCAAAGTGAGTTTCAAGATCTAGTTCAATAGCAGTTTCTTTTTTCAGATACGTATTTTTATCAGCTGGCATTCTTTCAATAATCTCTACAGTACTTGTTCCAACTTTAGCTGCTCAAAGTTATATTGCTCTTCTTTTTGTTCGCCTTCTTCAAGGAATTGCATATTCTGCAGATTTTGCGGTGATTGGAATAATTTGTGTTAAATGGGCACCTTTGGATGAAATTGCATTCTTTATATCTGTTCTTACTGTTTTCTCACCTTTCGCAAATATTATAACAACTGGAATTACTGGAGTTGTAAGTTGAATAAGTTTTTGATTAATTTTTTAAAAACAATTTCAGTTGTGCACATCTTCTCTTGGCTGGAGAGCATCATATTATTTCCACGCAGTTGGTGGAGCAATTTGTTTTGTTTTGTGGTGTATCGTTTATTCAGATTGTCCACTTTCTTGCAAAAGTATAACAACAGAAGAAATGGCAAATATTCAAAAGGGAAAATCAGCTGAACATTTCAACAAAGATCGAAATGTACCATATTTCAAAATGATAACAAATCCAGCATTAATAAGTGTATGGTTTAACGCATTTATGGATTTATCAATGAGTATAATGATTATCACATATTCCCCAATTTACTTGCACGAAGTATTAGGTTTTCCGGTGAGTTGAACACTATTAGAGATAAAAATTTGATAAATACAATAGATTGAACAAACCGCAGCAATTATTGGGATAACTTCTTTTGTTCAACTTCCCTTCAAATTCACTGCAGCTTTCATCAGCGATCGATTAATGATATTCTCACCAAAAACCAAGATGTTGATCTTTAACACAATTTCGTGTGGAATTGTATCTTTGCTATTCGGAGGATTTGGATTTGTTCCAAAGGATCATCGTTGGTATGCTATGGTTCTTCTTGGAGTTCTTCATTGTCTCATGTCAACAAATTGTGGAGGTTTTTATCAATGTGGAAGGTAGAAGTGGATAATTATTTTATATAGATGAGCATTCAAATATTACAGATACGTAGCTCAACAATACGCGGATGTTGTTATTGCTGCAATCCAATTTTGTAAATGTTTAGCACTCTTTTTTGTTCCTGCAGTTGTCAAAACTACAGTTTCTAATGAACACGATCGTAGTCAATGGGCTTTAGCATTTATAATTATGGCTGTATTCTTATTTATCGCAAATTGTTCTGCCTATTTCCTTTTTACCGATCAACCAGCTGAATTCACAAAAGTTGTTGATGAACCTGAAAAATTGAAAGAAGCTATAGCATGAATATTTCTGTAAAAATATGTATAATTTTTGTGTGCAGGACAATGCTAATAAAATGTTTTCTCTAGATTCCGAAAAAAATGTGCAATAAAAGTGCGATTCACACATTCATACACAAGATTTTACGCGCATTGTTGTGTAGGTTTACGAAATTATTTTTTTATTCAAAATTGTTCATAAAGTTTTAAACATTTCGAAAATCAACTACTTTTCCAACCATCTTCAAATTTCAAAATAATCAATCTTGCTTAATAAATTGATGCTGATCAATTCTCGAGAGAAACAAAAACTGTTCAATGAAAGATGAGATAAAATCTCGCAAAAATGAAAAAAAAGTTGTTCATCCAAAAATCTGATCTTTGTTGTCAGAAAAAAACAACCCACTATATAAGGCAACCCTTTTTCATATACAAGTTTTCACAGTATATTTCTGACAAAAAACCAAAATGTTACCAAAAATACCGTACTATCGGTTTGTTGTGATGTTAGTAGCATTTGTATGTTTGATGAGTGTATTTTCTAATTATTCAATAATGAATTTTTCATTTATTTGCATGAAAAATGATATGAGTGGAGCAATTCCAGGTTACAATGGGGTAGGTAAAAAATATTTTGAAATCTTTGATAACTGGAAAATTACAGACTCTTCACTCAATCTATGATTATTCATCTAGTGAAAAAGCTGAACTTATTTGGGCTGTAGCAATCGGAACTATTGTTGGAACAATTCCATATAATTGGGCATACGTCAAATATGGAGCAAAGTAAGCTGCAAGATCTAGTTCAACAGCTGTTTCTTTTTTTCAGATACGTATTTTTATCCGCTGGAATTCTTTCGATAATCTCTACAGTACTTGTTCCAACACTAGCGGCACATAACTATATTGCACTTTTGTTTGTTCGACTATTACAAGGGATTGCGTATTCAGCCGATTTCGCCGTAATTGGAATAATTTGTGTAAAATGGGCACCTCATGACGAGATGGCTTTTTTCATCTCCGTTCTTACTGTATTTTCAAATTTTGCAAATATCATAACAACTGCAGTGACTGGATATGTAAGTTTTTATATTAGAGAATCACAATTGTTGATTTCTTGTAGCTTTGTACATCTTCTCTTGGATGGAGAGCTTCATATTATTTTCACGCAGTTGGTGGAACAATCTGTTTTTTTTTGTGGTGTATTGTTTATTCAGATTGTCCACTTTCTTGCAAAAGTATAACAACAGAAGAAATGGCAAATATTCAAAAGGGAAAATCAGCTGAACATTTCAATAAAGATCGGAAGGTTCCATTTCTGAAGATGATTCAAAATCCAGTGTTGATATGTGTGTGGTTCAATGCATTTTTAGATTTGTCAATGCATATTATGATTGTCACTTATTCACCAATATATTTTCATGAAGTACTGAAATACCCGGTAAGAACTACTAGGTTTTTGAACGAATTTCAAAAACTATCCAAACTTTCAGATCGAGGAAACTGCTGCAATCATCGGAATCACATCTTTCGCTCAATTACCATTCAAATTCGCAGCAGCCTATGTTAGTGATCGTATTACAATTGTATCGACAAGAACGAAAATGCTGATTTTCAATACAATCTCTTGTGGAATAGTTGCTTTTCTGTTTGGCTCATTTGGTTTTGTTCCGGTTTCTCATCGCTGGATTGCTATGATTCTAATGACAATTATTCATTGTTTTATGTCAACAAATTGTGCTGGATTTTATCAGTGTGGAAGGTAACAACCATTTTTATTTTTTTTTTACATAAAGTATTTTCAGACATGTTGCTCAACAATACGCTGATGTTGTTATTGCTGCAATCCAATTTTGTAAATGTTTGGCGTTGTTTTTCGTTCCTGCAATTGTCGCTATCACAGTTTCCGATGAAACAAATCGTACTCAATGGGCTTCTTCTTTCCTAATTATTTCATCTCTTCTTCTCGTAGCCAATTTTTCAGCATATATTTTCTTCACTGATAAACCTGCAGATTTCACAAAATCCAAGGAGGAATCGAAAGAAATGAGTGCATAACTTTTTTTTAAATAAATAATTTCGTTATATGTTTCGATAAAAAATTTTCTCAAAACAAAAATGTTGAGGGTTTGGTTTACACAAAATGGAATGACACTGTACAAAATGAAAAAAAGGAATGTGCCAGCCACCAAATCGTTGTAAACCAAAACAAAATCTTGTTGATAAAAGAGCTATATCATTGATATTTCTTATTTTGACAAATTCCTTATGTTATCCACAGCTTAGATTTTTTCAATTTGCAGATTTTCAGAACTGAAGAAAATATGTTGCTTTCTCCACTAATGTCTCCAGAATACATAGAACCTCCTCTGGAATTGAACGTGAATTCTGAAAACCTTGAAGCTGGAAACACTGAAGATTTAGAAGCAAGTTTTGAAAATAAATATGCTCCAATGATTATTCATATTCAGAAAACAAATGGTATCGAGAAAATCTTGAAAACCATTGCAAAATGTGTGACAACAAAGTCACAAAGAACTGTAATTTTTTCGAAAATTGACCACGATTGGGTGAAATCGCTCCCATTTTTTATGATCTCCACCACGCTTTTACAAGTGAGTTGCATCTTATCACTCCTTTTTCATTTCCCATTTTAAGATTGCGGTGTTTGCCTATTTTTGGTCAATTTATTACTTTCAACTTTCATTCCACCCATATGAGGGAATGTACTTCTATGGTGGCTGTTTCACAAGTATCTTTACATACGATCCAAATTATCCATATCAATTATGGAGATGGCTCACCAATTCTCTCAATCATGCTGGTTATTATCATATCTCTAAAAACATGGCAGTTCAAATTACACTCGGAATGGCACAAGAAACTGCATTCGGTTTCAAGAAAATTGCACCACTTTATCTGGGAGGAGTGGTTTTCTCTCAGATTCTCAAACTTGCTTTCTCTGCAAAAGCAGGATATGGATGTGGTGCTTCAGGAGGCGATTATGCGTTGATCTTTGCTCAAGTGGCAAATCTTATCAAGGTGAGATATTATCGATAAAGTTATAGAATAAAAAAATGTTATCTGTATTTCCAGAACTGGGAAGATATTCCATACCAAAAAGTTCAATCAGTTATCCTTGCTGCTCATGTTCTTGCTGATCCGATTGAAGATTTCTTCAATTATCTTTCTGATGGATACCTCATATATGCTCACAAACTTCATTTATTTGCTGCCATTTATGGTCTTTTATATGGATTTTTTATTATTTACTACAAAGAAGAGGGAAACGTGAGTTTATTGTTGAAAATAAATTGATTGTGGTATTGATTTTTTATCCCAAAAATCTTTTTCGTTTCAGAAATGGAGTGGAACTCGAATGCTCTTTCTGAGCTTGTATGGAGGAGTTTTGGCAATTGCGACGTGCTACATTCTCATTTTCCCTGCACCATATCCATAAATGCTGTTCTCTAATTTTTTCCCATAAGATGCACCAAAGCATCTGAATAAACTAACCTTTACTTTATTCTTATTCACTTATTTGTTTGCCCAACTTATTGCATAATTTTTTATTCTTTTTATAATAGCAATCATCATCGTATAAATATTATAATGTGGAATTAATTAAAAGTTGGAAAATTATATACAAATTACATGGATGACACCATCTTAATCTCAATTTATCAATAAATAAATCAATCAACAGTTGTAGAATTTGGCGAGAAAGATACATTACTACTTGTTGTGTCATTTGATTCAACTGGTTTTGGAAATGGTAAAATCCATGGGAAAATTGTTGGTCGCTGAAGTAATGCATCCATAGAAAACGAGGTTTTGGTTTGAGGTGGCAGGTTTTTCTTCAGTTTTCGGATGTTGGCAAAATGTTCAATAGCTTGAAGAACTTGACCATTGCAAGCTAAAATACAAATTCGTTTTATTTTTCAATAAGAAATTTAGAATCTTCATACCTTCTAGCACAAGATCCAACACATGCTTTTCGTGTTCAGAAAATAGGAGGGTGAGTAATTCGATTGGTGTAAAATTGGAAAGCCGCATATTTTCAGGTTCTTCCTTTTTCTTCTTTGTCGGTGGAGATTCAACGGATGTTGGCGATGGAGATTGTTCGTCGTCAAAAACTGAAAAAAAAGAAAGAAGTTTAAAAAAGTGAAATCTGGCAAGAAACATTTAGGAATTGTTTTTTTTTTTTCAAAAAATGAGGAAAATCAGTTTCAGGGTTCAGATCTTACTGAATTTCAGTACCAAAATTCAATAGATCATTTTACTTATTGAAACTCACCTCCATCTTCATCATCATCTTCTTCCTCCTCTGTATTCCAAACAGGACCTTGAGGTAAACGATCAATTGCTTGACCAGCAACAACTCTGAAAAAAGAACGTATTATTGTGAGTTATCAAATTTTGAAAAAAAATACCGTAATCCTAATGCAATAGCATCTTCAGTTGCTTGTTTTCTTTTCAAAGCCACCTGTGCAGCCATAACTCGCTGTCGTTCTGCGATCAAGTTGCATTTTTCACAAGCACAGTCTCTGTAAAATAGTTTGTCTTCATGATTATATCTAAACGCTGTCAATAGTAATTGTATTGTTTTTGTTTTGTTATTATTCTCTTATTATGATAATCCGATATTATTTGTAAATCCAACAAACTTGATTGTATACACAAGTATACTTTGATTATTCGAGACATCATCGATACGGTAATCTTTCAAACAAACACATCAAGTGTGAATGGACGAGGTATTGTTTAAGTGGTTTGAGAAAGAAAAAGAAACCCGCGCACAAGAAAAATGTGATAAACGATATTCGTGACATTTTGTTTGATTTATACCAAAAATGTGTGAACAGCAAGAGCTCGACAAATTTTGTGTTTGTTTTTTCGCAGAAAAAAATATTTTTTTTGATACGGTAGAGAGATAGAAAAAATGGAAATTTTTGCTCGATTTGAAAAAAGAGAGATATTTTGGAAGATTTGTTTACATACACAAAGAATACGGTAGTGGTTCCTAGAAAATATATGATGGATCATATGACATTAGAAAATATGTCTGATTTTGCGAATCCTTGCTGGTACTACGGTAGTTACCAAAAACTAATATCCGTGAAACTCACTTGAATTTGCAATGTCTTTTGTGTCCTTTGAGCCAACTAACCAAACCATGATTTCGACATCTGAAAAACAAAAATAAATGCTTAATTCAAGAAACCAAAAATTCGTTGCTGAAGTTGAAAGTAGCATTCATTGTTTTGAAAACTTGTCCAATTTATTTTACAGAATAAAAAATTGAATAGGCAGTTTTTTCAATAGAATTCACCTATCCTAGAAATATGAGCATTAAAAATTCACAACGTGACTTTCTACTAAAAAGTTTATGCGTGTTTTTGGGCTTTTGCGGTAAAACTAGAAGCCAAGAAATTCAACACGAAATTAGTTATCAAGAAATTTTTTTTTTATATGCCAGAAAATGTTTTTGAATATTTAAAGCGTAGAGTTTTTGGTTTGTGAGAAAACGATTAGATTTTTTGGGTTCTTTCTGAAAACAGAGAGGTATTTCAAACGGAAGATGGTTACGATTCAGAAAATATTGATCTAATCATCAAAAGTTTTAAGAATTCAAAAAAGTGTTGGCTATCTTTAGAAAAGCTTAAAAAACATTCTCATTTTGTGAATACGACGCTATCATTAAAAAAAATAATTGTATCGGTGTATTTTTTGGAGACTTTTAGAATAAGTTGCTACTGAAAAATGTTTTGCATCAGAATGATGGTTTGAAAATTCAAAATTCACTCAAGCTGAGAATTTGGGTTGTTTGAAAACAATATATTTTCCGATCATTTCCAACTATCAACCTTTTTTTACAATTAGAAAAGAGAAATTCACCGTTGTTATCAAATTTTTAAAAATAATTTTTTGTTTTGTAAACCAAAAGATTTCCAAAGTCTAAAAATAGAGAACCTTATGAGCTTTAGACGTTTTTCAAATTTTAAAAATTCAAATACCTTCGTATCTTAACGATTCGAGCTTTTAACCTACAAAAATCCCTGTAAATCTAAAAAGAAGGGAAAATTTAAAGTCTGAATCAAAGTATACTTGAAGTCGGTGAATGGTCCCATCTTACTATCTTACCTGGCACACTTTGGTTTCCTTTCTCTTTCAATTCTACCATTTGAGAACATTTGAAAATTGCTAAGCATCATAATAATAGAACTAGGAAATTTGTTTCAATTCAAGTCAAGACAAAAATAATATCTTTAGTTCGTAACAAAAACTGTTAGCTATCGTTTCATTCAAAAATAGGCGGAGTTCTGAGCAAGGATTGGAGGAGAATAAAAAGGGGGATGGGCTCAAAAGAGCCAAATGTTTGTTTATTCTTCCTATTATTAGTATTACCGGAAATTGTCACATATCATAGAAAAGGGAAACGAGAAAAGAAGACCACATGTGATTTGAGATGCACAATATGTTGCTAGTATAAACTTTCTTGAAAAAAGAGAGAAGAGCTCCGGATATTGGTGCTATTTGCAATTTTGGATTGGGTTACATTTGTATGTTAGCAATTGACTTTTGAATAATTATTAGTTATTATATATTGCAAAATGACATTTTTAGAAACTAAAACTCAATTCCAGTAACTAATTTAAAAAAAGTCAATGTTTAGAAATAAATTTGTTATGAATAAATTGTGTGATCTACTAAAAAGACAATGTTTTTTTTTTGAAAAAATATTCTCGCAAATACTTTTCCACATTTGATGAAGCTTTTTGAAATGAAACTTTTATCCAATATTCTCATGCTTTAAATCTCAACATAACAATTCACTGAAATAATTTCCAACGATCTAAACTACCGTAACCCAATATTTCTTCCATATGTTTCATTGTTTCCTGCTAAAGTGCACACATTTATAAACAAAAAACTATGAAAACACTCATATTGTGTCGGTGTTGGATACTGTAATGTATGCTTTCCCATAATCGAAAAACCCGAACCACTTGAACACTTTTGATATTAAAAGTGCATGACGAATAGATTTGTGTTAACTTAATGTTAGCAGAAAAAAATGTTTGAAAAATGTATACAAATCAGTCAGAAAAAAACACAGTGCTGAATTGTTAGACGAGACACAAATTATACACAATGTGTTATGATAAAATCGATGAAATGTATATTTAGGCGAACTATGTTTGTTGTTTCGTGTCGGCCCCATTGGCGCAGTCGGTTAGCGCGTGGTACTTATAGTTTATATAGGGAATGCCAAGGTCGCCAGTTCGAGCCTGGCATGGGGCAGATTTTTTTGCTTTTTCTGAATGGAATAATTAAATAAAGACTGATTTAAAGAACTGAGCAGCATCAGAGCAGCGTTTTCTATGATATCCAGAATCAAAAATGTTTTATGAAATATCAAATTTTTATATGATTTGGTGACAACATTCAGATTCCGATTACTGTATAGGGTTTCAGTAGAGTTACGGAAAACATTAAAGGGTTTGTGCTCCGCCAGGGAATCTTGCTTGGTATTGATAGGAATAAGGTGCTCCTGGAAGGTTCCAGTTTTAGAAAAAAAAATTTTTAAAAAAAGAAAAAATTCTAGTATCAATTCAGCCCATGTTTTACCTCAAAAACACACGCGAGTTAACGATTTTTTCACCAGGAAAACACCAACGCTTTAAGCTGAATTAATTTCAAAGATTGTGCCAGAATTCATTAAAAAGATGTATTTTACTCTCGAATTACAGAAATGAGCTAAAAAATTTCCAAAATGTTGGATCATCTTTTAATCACTCACTTTTCCGATATACTATCTTAAAGCTCTTCACTACGTCTCATCAAAATTTAGTAAAGTAAAAGTTGTATTTAGAAATAACCCGATTAACATAATTTATTTTGAATTTGGCATTTGAATTTTCATAAGATTTGAAAATTCTGTCTAGCTTCTTCACTTTGACAAAAAACTAACACTCGCTTTTTTTTCTCTCACACACAACTAATGAACAACTCAAAAAAATCTCTTCATTTCTCTCACTCGCTTTGCTATCCTGCAATTCTGTTTGTATATAAAATTTCACATTGGAGAGATATGCGCGTTCGTGGTGTAATGGTCAGCATGGATGCCTTCCAAGCATTCGACGGGGGTTCGATTCCCCCCGAACGCAGATAACTTTTTTTCTTTTTCAATTGTTTCAGAAAAAAAATAAATAATTGTCGAACAAGGTAAAGCCGCTTATACTTGTTTTGAATGAGTGTTTTGATTTTATTTTTTTCGTCGGTTTCAAAAACCTTTGTTTTCATTTTGAATACTGCTAACTAATAAAACCGGTTGGAATGTCAAGAGGATTCTCAAGAAGTTTTGGACAGTGTCTGCAATTTGTAATTGGATGTAATTGGGACCGTTGGTGGTAAAAAAAAAGAATTGAGGATTCAACTAACCTTGAAAATAGGTGACAAATAATAACACCTTTTTTGTTGTGTTTCGGGAAGAACAAGAATAAAGAAGAAGGTTATTATAATTATAACAATAATATTATTGTTTCCGGAATGGTGTTATGTTTCACACCTTTTTTTCGATACTGGGTGGTTGGAATTAATTTTCGGAATACTTTTCAATTTTTTAATAAAACAATTTTAATTTTGCAAGTAAATATCCAAAAATTATTGTTATTTCTAAAAATTCTTCAAAGTTTACATTTCAAAGTTTCATTTAAATAAAGGCAAAATCATAAACGTATGATTTTTTTCTGATTTATGGGTTTTCTGGGGTTTATGTAACAATTAATTTTCAACATAACCTTCAGGTTCATTTCTGCAGAGTTGTTATATCTTCAGAATAAATGAGGGAACCATTTCAAAAGCTCGAGTTCACTGACTATAAATTATTTCGAATTTTTGTTTGAAAATACATTTTATGGCTGATTCTTCTAGAAGAATTTCAGATTTATGAAAATTTTTGACAATTTTTTCAGAGAATTCATATAATTTCTTTGAAACCTTCGTTGTGCAAAAAAGTTAGTTTAAAATTATTAAAATCTATTTTTCCGAAACTTTTCCTGTTCTTGACATGCACTTTTCCAGTTCCAATTTTCCTTTCTGAACACCCATCAATTGCAGAACTACAGTATCTCATTTCCTCATAAATTCTCCAAGACCCGCCTATTTTTGCGCAAGTCACTTGTATTTTTTTTTCTATTTATTTATTTTCCTAGCAATGATGCGCGCTAATCTGTCAATTAAAATATTATGTAATACATATAAAAATTTATGAATAGCAATAATAAACTTTTTTTTATTGCGCAAAGTAGATTTTTGTGTGTATCGACTTTTCAAGAGTACCATTATTATATGGTTATGTTTACAAATGAAACCCAACCAGGGAGTGAAAACTTCATTTTCAAATGTTTGAACATATGTTTTGATTTCCTTGTTGTGACTCATCCACTTTTTTCCAAAATTTGTTAGTATTTTCTTTGTTTCCTTATAAATTCAAAATGAAAATGCACTAAACTACATTTTCTCATGCCCTAGGCGATAAAACCTACCGCATAGCAAAAACAGAAACATTTTTTTCGACCAACAAGTATTTTTTGATTAATCGCCACGAAAATATGTTTATGCATTTATAAAAAAATGTTGTTTTTGAAATTTCCCTCATAATTCATTTTCAAAAATGTTAATGCTAAAAACGTATTTTTGCGAGTTGCAGAATGGCGTAAAGTACAAATATGAATGGTCAACAAATATTGACCGATAATGAGAGTTGAAGTGTCAAATTTTGATGAATTTTGATTGATTTTGATCTATATCCGATGTTGGATTTTTCAAGTGCTTTCTCGATCTTAGGTTTCTACACTGTACTTTAGAAAAGTTATTTTGATTTTTTTTTGTGAAGTTTTTGCAGATTTTAGTTGAAGATTATTCGTTTCCTGAAGTCAGGTGATTAATTTTTTTAAAAATAGTTTTTTTTTTGTAAATTTAATTATTGAATCTGATCCCAGGGTTACTCCAATAATCACTTACGACTAGGCGAATCGAAGCAAGCAGGAACTGGTAATAGAACCTGTGACCCTGAGTTTGACAGTATCTAACTGCCTCTGAGATACCTTCTCCTGATGATTCAATTTCGAAGCTTACTAGGTGTGAGTAGGATCAAACCTCTCTATTTTGAAACATATTCAAAATCCCTGGAATAGTTCTAACGCGAAAAATTTTAACATTTTGTTATTTTCTATAATTTGTTTTTATTCTAGAATAACATAGATATCGAGAGTTCAGAATAATTCAATATTATTATTTTGAGTTTGTCCCACCTCATGTCCCAACAGAAAGATAAATTCAATGAAATCTTGAACGAGCTCAAATTTCATCAACTCGTTCAATAATCGTGTAAATATGTGCAATTTGTTTTTTTTTGACCATCTTGGTCATTTCACAGAGGAGTGTCTATTTTCTGTGTTATATGTGTGTATGCGGATTATTGTCGGTCACTGAAATATTATATTTACCCTGACTTTGTGTCTTCTTATGTTTGTATACTTTCCCGTGTGCTGTCACTCTGTTATTTGGGTGAAGAATGAGAAGAGATACAATAAGAGTGTCTCTGTGAGCATTACCTGAGCTTAGCACTTTTTTTCTTATTCACATTTTTTTTCGTTTGTCTCTCTCTCTCGTTCCGATATGAACAGTGTTCGAATGATCCCGAAATTTGAACTCCTATAGTTTTCTTTGATGTTCAAGTGTTTTGGTTTTTGAAATGTTTGTTTCAGAAAAAAAGTACGGTATCTCTTTGTTGGTTCTCATAGTATTACTGCAGATTTCTTTGACCAAATTGAATCTGTTTTTGAATTCAAAAGATCTCGATATATTATTTCAGCCTAATAATACCAACTGTTTCAAAAATTTTTGATCAGAATTGATGAAAGTTGAAACCTTTTTCAATTTGAAACAACTTTCGATTTCGGGTATTCACTTTGAAAAATGTATCATAATTTGAAATCTGACTTTAGTTTCTTCCCCCAGATTTTTTCAATTTATAGAACATCAACAATGTTTGTTTTTCAACCCATAAAAATGTTCCTCTTCCTGATTAGTTTTATGTTATGGTCAGTGTTCACAAGTTTCCAACCTAATATTTACCAAACTGATTTGATTTTTGATGTTTTGCAACATTCCCCCAATAATTCACTAACTCTCTAATGCAAGAACCTTCATCATAAATTACATTTTTTTCAAACTAAAAGTGCAACATTTTCGTGTCTTCTTCAGTGTTGCGCATAAATTCTTCCTTCCTTTTTCAAAAAAAGTAATTATCCTAATTTACAGCCGCCCTTACGTTTAATCGCTAAATTGTTTCGTTTTTGATTTTTCTTGTTCTCACATTCACAAAGTCAAACGAGATGCTGTTTCAATTTATTACAATTTCAACTATATTTTTGATATCTAGTGAGTTTTATAATTACCGTGGGATTTGAGATGAATTGTTATTTCTAGAAGTTTCAAGTCAAGATATTCGATGTTATGCGTGTACAACAATAGATGCAAATGCAATGTTGAGTGAAATCTCAGATCCAAATTGGTTGCGATGGTTGGAAAATGTGAGATATGTTCAGTTCAGTCAGCAATGCGCTGATTATTTTGAGGTATGATTTTTTTAACATTTTTCTAAAATCAGGACAATCAAAACGTTCTGATTATAGGTTGATTTGGCTTTGAGAGATGGTGTGAAAAGCACAGAATGTTCAAATGGTGTTTGTATGAAAATGATCTTCCAAGAACGAAATGGTAAGTTCTCATACCTTTTTGAACCCAGATCAATTTCATTTTTTTTCTTGCAGGTGTCAGTCACGTTTGGCGTAATTGTATACCGAACGCAAAAGAGCAAATCAGATCGGATTGCACAAAAATCACAAGTGGTGAAGGTAACCTTTTTTGTTGTTGAAAACTATTTTTTTGTGAAATTGATACTGACCAAACACGGTACTTTGATTTATTTGTTTTTCCCACGTCAATTTCAAAACTGTCAATAATCCATTTGATGTTTTCAGGAGACTTGGAAGTTTGCACATGCGATGGCAATTTGTGCAATATTTCGTCATCGAAAGCCACACTGATATCAATTGTATTCGCTTTGTTTTTTGTCATGTTCCTTTAATCTTACTGTATCTCACCATATTCTTTCAAAACTCTCTTCTCAACGTGTTTGTACAATACCAATTTTATCAAATAAAATAAATAATTCATAGTGAATCCAAAGGGTTCTATAAATTTCATATTATTTTGATCGGAGTAACGATAATTTTGAGATATAACTCATAGTAAAATCATCAACGCCCTTCAAAAAATTCATTTATTATGAACGACGCAGTTTGAAGAAAAATGACAATAATTTACAGAGGAAAAAAGTGTACATTATAATCTCATGGTGAAGTTATTGCTGTTCGGCATTTTCATTATCCACAACAACAGGCGGATTATTCCTGATTTCATTTTTGAACTCGATTCGAAGGAAAAAAATTGCTGACAAAAAGCAGCCGACTGTTAAAATCAACAATTGCCAATGAAGCAAAAGTGTTGCACTGTAGTAGAATGAAATGCAAGCAGCCATTGACTGAAAATTCGAAATTTTTTATATGAAAAAAATTATTTCAATAAAAGTTACCTGGAAGAATTTATAAATAGCAAAAGCGTTGACCGAGTCTTTTTTGTACATTTCTCCAATCACAACGTAGATTTGAGTTTGCCAACAAGCATCAGAATATCCGAGTAAGAATGCGATAAGAAGTGTCAAACACAAACTGAAAAAACATCTATCAGTTGGGGTTTCATGAAAAAAAAAAGAAAACTCACGTTGGACTCGCATAAGTAATCATATCCGATGGATGAATAGTCGAATCAAATGGTAACATCAAGAAACACAAGAAGAATGCCAAAACATGTCCAATCATTCCCATCAAAATAATTTGAGATCTTGTATAGTTGAATCGTTTCAAAACTGGTCCAGTCAAAACTCCTCCAATGATTTGTCCGACACCCAAAGCCAAAGCGTTGTATGGAATAACAAGATCCGAATAAGACTTGAGAGCGAGAGTTGCAGAAAGACAAGCCGTGTAGACACCTGAAAATAGTTGGATACAGAGATTCAGAAAAGTCATTAAATGTTTCAGTTTTTGTGGGAAATTTCAAGAACCCTCCAGATCTTCAGAGCAAAAATATATCTTTTGAAATCGGATCTTCAAGGGATACAAATCAAATACGATTGTATGTAATTATCTCCTTCTTGATATTGATTTTCTTCTTTCACTCATTTATATCAAAACATTACCTGTATAGAAAGTCATTTCAAAACCAGTATACAAAAAGGTCACAGAAAGACAAAGCATATCTTGTGTCGCCAAAAGTGCAAAAACACTTGGTCGTTCAGCTCTAACAGATTCAACAATTGTTCCATCATCTTCTTCGCTAATTCTAGCTTCATCAATCAGATTTTCCTGGGATTCGGAGCGGACTATCTCTTCAAATTGTTGTTCTGAAAAAGGTCGAGTTGGGAGAACATTAAAGAAAAGTTATTGAAAACTTACCAAACTGTGGTGGATAACTTGGAAGCAAGGCAAGGCAAATGATTCCAAGGCAAGAAACTCCGGCGAAAACAGTGTAAACCATTTTATAATTGCTTGTGAGATCTCTGAACATTTGTTTTTTATTCGGTTTTTCAAAAAACCACCACTTACCCATTTCGTAACACATAAATCAAGAAGAATGCTCCAGTAATCAATGATGATTGCAACATTGCCCAAAGAATTCCAGAATTTCTTGGAAGTTTTCCATTTCTTGAAAATTCTACAAGATATCCTCCATTACCAGTCCACAACACTGAAAACAGTTTATTTTATTATTGATATTTTTTAGAATCTTGGAAAAAAACTCACAAGCAGCTCCAAATCCAAGAACTCCACTTCCAAAATATAACAACGAGACACTTAATCGCAAAAAAGTGAGCATGAAAATCAGATAACAAAATGCGCCACAAACTTGACTCCATTTTGTTCCCAATTTTTTCACCAATGTTGGAACGATCAAATTACTCATTGTGAACACAAAATATACAATCGATAAACTGTAATAACCACTGGCTTCAGTGATTCCAGTTTCTGGCGAGATTTCGGCAAGTTTTCGGAGAACTGAGATTTCGATAAGACCTTGTGAGTTGAAGGCCGAAAAAATAAATGCAAAGGCTAAGCCCATTTGCAGGATAATTGATAAATCCCGCCGCATTTTTGGTTCTGAAAAAAATATCAAACTGAACTTATCAAAGAGAAAGATGATCAAAAAAATCGTATAGATGATTTTCCAGAAAATAAAAGGGCAACGGAAATACAAAATGTAAGCCAATTTCCGACAAAAATTTGAAAAAAAATGTGAACGCGAATGAATAAACAGATGTGTGTATGGTTGTTTGGGAGATTATTGATTTTTAAAAAAACCATACGAAATAAATTCAGGCGGAGATTTCAGAAGTGCTAATATCCAATAAACTTTTTGGGAAGTTAAATAACATTTTATTAGGAAGGAATTATGGGAAACTATAGAAATTTGGATAATTTCTTCTCACAATCAGCCAACTTTTTGGCACCGTTGGAGATTCTGGTAGTCTTAAAATCTTTCGAAAGTTTTTCGTAGATCAAAAATATTTTTCTCCAAAAGTTTCACAAAACACTATTTTTCAAATATTTTCCAGACAACATAAAAATAGCTTTAATAATTTTTAAAACCTGAAATTTCAGACAATATCTACTTTCTACTTGAAAAAAAGTTCCAAATGCAAGATAAAATTTATCGTGTTGTTATTGTTTTTGAAAGTAACACAAAAAAAGGACGCCTGACCCAACCAACCCAGAAAAAAACAGAAGAACGCCGAAAAAATATTGTTTATTAGATCGCGAGAGAAAAAGGGAAGCGTGGCCGAGAAGAGTGTTGGTTTTCCCAGCCACGGCTAAAAATCGCATGCTTCCTGGTAAACGGATTTACGGCGTGTTCCAAGGTTTGGGCGGTATAGTTGAATCTGAAATTTCTTGGAGAATTATTGAATAATATTTTTCTAGAAATAGAAAATACCTACCTTTAAACCCTTGTCATTTAGAGACATTTTTCGACCTGCTACAGACATTCTACGATTTCCGATGTTTTCCTGAGCCTCAATTTCATTTCCGTTTTCGACAATGATAGGAATATTTGGCTCAATTTTTTTGGTGATAATAATCTCTTCGTGAGATCGATGTAAATCATTGTCACCGGAATCTCCAAGCAACCCATCAACAAATTTCTGATGACGCTGAAAATTCACATTTTTTGAATCAAGTTCCAAGATTATTTTGAACTCACCAAATCATTAAATTGTCCAAAAACAGTTTTGAAAAAGATAAATAAATACTTCAAGAAGAGTAATACAACTCATACCAAGGAATAAACCCATAACTCCTCCAACATAACTCATCAAATCTATTTGTTTGAAACGTTTGTATTGTTTATATTTTTGCACATTTTTTGAGGTCAACATAATTTTCAAAGTTGTGCGAGAACTTTTGAAAAATTTCAGGGAATCCGAATTATATTCAAAGATGTTTTGTTGAACGGAACAATTGCAAGGATTTTGCAACGGAGCTGAATTTGATAATAGTTATGGATTTCAAACAAAAAACCCACCAATTTTACAGTTTCGCATTTCTTCAATCTTACAGTAAGTATAGTTTTTCAGATTGCTGAAAAACGGTTGACAACCACATCTGAAATTCGAAACTCTCATTCAATATTTACTTTCAAGGGATTTACTCACTCTTTGGCTATTGAGTTTGCATTACATTCTTGATTGCACATACCAGTCTCAAATCCTGATTCAGGATTACACGTCCCCCAATCATTCAGTGGTAGTAATAGTTTCTGTGAAACATTTTTACAATAATTATAGTTTTCAAATTCAAATCGAACCTCAATAACAGAAAATGAGAAAATCGAAAAAGTTTGAGGACGAATGTAGAAATTCGTAGAAGATTGCAGTGTTGTTTTAGAAGAACTATCAAGAAGTATCAATGTGTCTGCTGAAATATAAAACATTGAATTTTTCACCATTCAAAAAATGGACTTTCTCACCTGTGTACTCTTCTTTAAAATTCAAAACCAAATTATTTGTTGAAAAACGCCTCCATGATCCAAAAGTGAAACATTTTCCGACTTCTGTTAATTCAGTTTTTATCTCATTGCAAAATCCGGAATATTTTTGAGATCCTATGGAAACTGTATCAATAACATCCTTGCAATCATAACTGAAAACGGAAATGAATATATTTTTTCCATCAATAATACCTATATTTTTCCACTATCATTTTTGTGTCCAGTGAACTGTTGAGGTTTTTATAATCTCCGAGAACAAAATTGTACAAGTAATCTGCAAAAAATGAAACTCCTTAAGTGTTTTTTTTAATTAGGAAAATTACCATTATGCTTGAATCCAGATGGACAAATTGAGATATTTGGGGAAAAGTCGTCAGTTATCGGAAAACTTTCTAGTTGGTAAGTAGTCGGATGAGTGTTGTAAAACATGAGTAACCCACCAGTCTGAAAGAAAAAAACATAATTAAATAAAATCAGATTTGAAAATTAACCTGAATCATAAAAAGAACTAAACAAGTTACAACAACAAACGTCCAAAATATTCGACTTGGCCATGTTTGCGAAGTATAAATTCGAATCATTCCATGATATGTTGTTAACGATGTGAATTCTTTCGATTCATCATCATAAACATGTAAAACTATTCGCTGAACATTTTCATCTGAATTTGAATCTGAAGAAATAGATGAAGTAGTAGAAAGAGTAGAATTTGTTGTCCAACTATCATTTTCTGACATTTTCGAGGATACATAGAAAATCAATGTTTCATTTTTTCCATTTTTTTATCAGCAGTTCAATAGACGTGTTTATTGGTTTTTGAAAATGAGAACTGATAGGCAAATTGGTTGTGCAAACATGATATTTTTCAAATATTCAAGAAATTATTGTTAAATTGTTCAAAACGTTTATTTTTTATTCCTGAACTCATAAATTTTAGTGGAAACAATTTGTTTTTCGATAAACTTTTCTGCACAATATTTGGTCTTTTTCTCTCTCATTTGATTGCACAAAAATTTTTGTCACAAATTCTACATTTTGTCCTATTAAAACAACAGATTGATCACCTTTTAATCCGAATCTGCAAAAATGGAAAAAAAAACAAATAGTTAGTTCACTGTTTAAAAATACCTGTTTCAATATTAGAACATTGAAATGAGACAGTTTTTGGTGATTATTTCGATTTTCTTGATCTTTATATGTATTGTATATACACTTCCAACAACAACCAAAGCTCCTGAAGTTTACAATTGTTCACCAAAAGAAGCAGAGGAGTTTGAAAAAGTAAGTTTTGTTTTTAAATTAACGTAAGAAATATAATCATTAACTGTTCCAGAATATCGCTGAATTTGAAATTAGTTTCTTTCTCTCTCTTATTCTCAGAAAATTAATTATGATTTCAACGACTTGTAAACAATTTATAAATACAACATCAAACTCAAGTTGTAAATTGGTGAACAGGGAAAAAGAAATGGATTTAAAAAATGCATGCGCTAAAATGATCTATGCCGTTGATGAATTTACAGATTGTGCGAAAATTCTTGAAAAAGATAATTCAACGTGTTATAATACTATGAAAGATATCACTTTAAAAGAAAAAAGAGTGAGTTTTGTGCTTTTGTTTGTTGCATCTGGAAAAAAAGAATACTATTTTAGGAAACTAACATGACTGATATTTATTACTGTAACAATGTTCTTGGAGAAGGAAATTGTATGAGAAAGTTGATAATTGAAAAATGTGGAGAAAAACAATGGCAAGGATACAAAACAGCTTACTCGACTGCAGATCCATTTTGTGATTTTAGTCAACTGTAATTTCTTTGGGAACTGATAAATAAATCAAACAATAATTTATTGTTATATTTATTACCATTATTGAATAAAAAAAACGTGAAAAAACAATATACATAGGTACTCATATCATCAGTCGCGATTCGTGTGGTTTCGAGAAAGTTGGTAGCGAAAAACAATCGGATTTCTCAATTGTGAATTTTCCAATTTTCCTGTATTCCCAACAAAATTCTTGGATATTCAAAATTTCATGGATTTGAAGCTTGTTACAAACAAAAAAATTATGATTAACTTTTCTGAATCAGAAGACCTATATTCACCAAACATTTGAAACATCAAAAAAATTTGAAATGTTTTTTTGTATGTATGTAAAGTGAATTTTGGTCAACTTTGCTTCATGATCTCTCTCTCTACAAAAATTCTGCAGTTTGTCCTATTAAAACAACAAATAGATCAATTTTTAATCCAAATTTTTTTGATTAACTGAACATCCAATTTGGGGCCGATCAAATTGATTGAAATTGTTTTCCAAACTAAAAATACAAAATTGTTCACAGTAAAACAATAAATGAGACAGTTTTTGGTGATTCTCTCAATTTTCTTCATTTATGCATGTATTGCATATAAACTTCCAACTACTACCGAAGATCCTAAAGTTTACAATTGCTCACTAGAAAAAGGAAATGAGTATGCATTTGTGAGTTTTTTTTTATTGTATGCAAGAATTTATATTCAAATTTTTCAGTCAATTTTGAGTTTTGAAATGAGCTTTCTTTTTGCTCTTCTTCTAAAGAACGCTACGATGATTTCAACATCTTGTGAACAATTTGAAAACGCAATATCGAACTCAACTTGTGAATTGGTGGACAGTGAAAAGAAAATGGAACTTTCAAATATATGCGCCAAAGCAATTTATGAGCTGAAGGATTTCAGTGATTGTTCAAAAATTCTTAAGAAAGATAATTCAACATGTTATCAAAATGATTTGAAGAATCCAGTTACTTTGATTAAAAAGAAGGTTCGTTTTTGGGTTTTTTTACGCTAAATTTGAAAAAAAAACTGAACTTTCTCTCAGAAAGCTAACATGACTGATGCTTATTACTGCAACAACGTTTTTGGAGAAGGAAATTGTTTGAGAAAATTGATAATTGACAAATGTGGTGAAAAACAATGGCAAGGATACAAAACAGCTTATTCGACTGCAGATCCATTTTGTGATTTCAGTCAACTGTAATTTTTTTTAAAACTGATGAATAAATGATCTTTGCAAATTGTTTCAAATGAAAAAAATATATTTTTTAAACGATGAGATTGAAATTCATAGATATATTTGTTGAATATTTCAACATCATTTGAATTCTCAATACAAGGGTAAAAACTCAACCTTTCCCAAACAAATCACTGCTGCAGGAAAAATACCAAGTCTTGCTCGAAGTTGGTAGGCGCGTTCTAAATGGCAAAGGTATAGTAAATTTTCTTACAAAATTTTGATCTACATATGTACAAGCTCTACGTGTACTTTTTTTACCCTTGTGCTCAAGTTTAACTTCGCTTTTCGTTTTTTTTTAATTCATACAGTAGAAGGAAAAACAGATCTTCGATTTTTTTTCTGATTTATTAGACAATTTCCGGTATCAAGTTGAATAGTTTGATAGAAATGTCGTCAAACTTTGTGTTTTGTTTCTGATTGTTTATCATTTCTTGTGATTTTCAAACTGTTTTATTTCTTAAGTCAAGTTTCATCAATGCTTGTTCGTCAAATGCAAGGTTACAAATCACGTTGTTTAGTCTTTCACAGTCTTTGATCTATTAGAACAATAAATACATCATTTTGTTTCGTACAAAAACGAAACGAGAATTTCAATTCATGGTCAAAAGATAATCTTTTCAAGCAACCTTGTTCTGCCTCATTTCAAAATAAACTAAAAAACTATTTTGAACAAAATGCTACAGTTATTGTCGGTGTTTTCATTATTATTTGTTCCATTGGTTCACAATGCAGCTATTCCTCAAGAAGATAATCCAGTCTGTCCAAATGGTGAATTAGACAAATTCATGAAGGTATAATTTTTATATTAAATTTTGAAATCAATAGATGTTTTCAGATTAACTCCGAACTTATGACTCTCGATCAACAGGAAGGTCTAGTTAACGTTTACAAGAGTATTTTGGGAACATGCGCAAAATTTGACGTAAGCATATATTTTTCCACTTGGTATGTGAAATTATTGTTTTTTTTCTAGAATTACTTCAATACAACAAAATGCTACCCACTCATAGTTAAAATGAAGGCACCAATGGAAAACTATTGTAGATATACCAAATTCGAGTCAACAGATTTTCAATCGTGTTTCTTCACTCTGATTGAGAAGAACACGACATGTTATCAAAATGTTGCATCAAAACCACCACCACTTATGGATATTGCTGTAAGTTTAGCGAAACTTTGTCAAATAATATTGTGTTAATTTTTTAGAATAACGATACCGTCGACTTTGTTTCTTATTGCAAAAATTACTTTGGAACAAATAATTGTATGAAACCAACAATTATTGAATCCTGTGGAGAAAATATATGGAATCAATATAAAAGTGCTAGAACATACAAGGATAATCATTGTGATTTCAGTACAATTTAAATCTCATTTGTTATGTTTGTTAGAGATTTTTGAGCATTTTTCAAAACTATTCTTGACATTGTCTATTCTGATAAATCGATTAATGGGATTTAGTGATATGTTGTAGGAATTGTTCATATCACACTGTGTGTTACACACCATTTTGAGTTCAAACTACAATCATACGATATAATTCGCAAAAAAATAATCTATGGGTTTAATGATTCCAACTCTCCATTTTTATTTGAACGTAATATAAACACATCGTAATTAGTTATGATTATAGCACTGTGTGTTTTCAGGTCTTCAAGCAGCATGAAATTTTAGAGATGATGAGCCACACTTTTACTAATCACAATTTCGCTGGTCAACAATTTTGAAAATTAAAAACAGAGAAAATTGATGACCTCCATTTTTTTTTAAATATTTCAAAAGTGCAGGAAGAGACAGGAAGAAGCTCGATTTTTATGGTTCTTTGTTCAATAAATCAAAAATGAAATATATTTCACATAATGAAAGAAATTCCATTGACAGAACAACAATAGTTTGTCTAACTCGAATTCTCTATGCGAAAAAGAATTTTTCTATCCCTTCGTTTCAATTGGAAAACAAAATATGTGCGGGTGTCTGGTTGTCTGGAGGAATGCATAAAGAAAAGAAGAAAAGCGTTGTTTATATTGGGAAAAGGCTGTTGAAAGAAGTGTGGCCGAATGGTCTAGTGGTATGATTCTCGCTTTGGGTGCGAGAGGTCCCGGGTTCAATCCCCGGTTCGGCCCATTCTTTTTTCTTTTTTTTCTATATTTTATCTGTATTAGACTTTTTCATTTCACTAAACTATACAACAGAACTGTTTTACACTCTGGAGAATTTCTTTTCAATATTTCACAACAAAGCATAATTTATTCATGGCTAAATATAAAAAAGGCAGTTCTCGAAAATTCCAATTATTTTTACCCTTTGCTAAATCAGAACTCAATTTCCTCTTGACCTTTTTCTGTTAATGTTATTAGCATATCCTTATTCTCGTTTCCAAGTATTCGTATTTTAGTTTTTTATAGACTAACATCATTGTTGAAGACTATTCCCTTTAGTGTTAATTAAATTGCAGCTTATTCGGAGTAAGCAGGCTATTATTACCGTCTGAAATTCTAGTCGCTAATTATAGTTTTGTCTCGCGGCATTTCGCTCGAGACCGAACGGTTAGAGCAAAACAAGAAAGTTCGGTTTCATTTCTATTTCTGATTGTCTAGGATCACTTGATATTTAGATTTCTAGGAATATGATCGAATGTTTTTTGAAAAAATATTTGGTCATATGTTTTCAAAAGTATCATTTTCAGAAACCTCAGACCTGAAAAAATGTCATTTCCACTTTTTCAAAAAAATTGTTTCCAAAAAACTATAAAAATGCTCTTTTCGTCTTATGAGTTTTTTAAGCAAATGCAAACAAAAAAGGTTTTCACATTCTCCAAAATGGGTCTTTAATGATCAAAAAACTCACTCCAAATCACTAGTTACTTTTCTGCAAAAGTATTTGTTGTTGTTTTGTTAACAGATAAAACCTGAAATCATTCTTGTACTACACATTTGAACACAGATCTATTTTTTGTTGTTATTACAATCAATTGGGAAAAAATGATTTCAATTGAAAATACAAATTATGTTGTATTCATTGGGGAACTCATATATATTTTTCATATATCATAAATGGAAAAAATGATATTTATATAAATATTTTTGGTGTGTTGTGAACAAGCCTATTCAAATACATACATTCATACATATCATTTTTTGTTCAGAACAGAATTCATTTTCTATTCAGACAACATTCTTTCAAATTTTTTTCACTGATTTTAATGATTTGGTTCTTTTCTTTTTTGATTTCAGTTGAGATGTCTGAAAATAATCCGTTTTTTCTGGCATAAAAATAGCGTATTAGCATTATTATATAAATCTTCTGTGTGGTTTAATCAGAATCCTAGAACATCGTAAATACATACATATCTTATTCTTGATCTTGAGAGGATTATTATGAAAATAATGGATAATCATTATCCTAATCACTATCCACGTAAAACTATATAATAAAAACTGAACTCTCCGGCTTCTTCCTTTTCTTCGTCATTCACGTTTTGGAAAAAACGTAGAGAATCCACAATTTTGTTCCTTGTCTTGTCAAAAATTAATTGAATTTTGGAAAGATCATCAAAAAGAGAAAAAACGATAATTTAATATTCCGTGAATTATTTGTTTATTTGCACATTAAAAACAATATGTGTCTGGTAAGATGGTTGATGTCTTGACATTATCTGCATTTCTGAATTTGCAATTTGAACTTTTGGTTTTGGTTTCGTTTTTTGTTCTTGTTTCAATGGTTAAGAAATAATGAATTTGTCTCGAATTTTTTATGCTTGATTTTTAATTTTTATATGGTTTCTCTGAAATTGCTCATGTTATATTTTTTGTTTGTTTTCGTTACATTAAAATGATTTCAAAAATGTCATGCAATTAAGAATTCAGATCGTTCTTTGGTATAAAGTTATTATTCCAAACCAAAACTGACTGAAAAATAAGTCAAAAAACCGAAAACTACAGTATTTTTGTTGTTCAAAAAATGAATCAAAAATCGTATGTGTAATAGCTACAATAAACACCAAAAAATAGCAATGACAGTATCCCAAACTACATACAAAATTTTGTAGTTTTCCTTTACGTCAGAGAAATATATGATTTTGTTAATTAGTCATATATACGAATAATGCATTTGTGCATATATTTTTCATTTCTTCTATTTCTAATTAGATTTTCAATTTTTCACCGGTTTCAATGACTTCCCTACTTTTTTCCACTTCACCTGCTCACTCTCCGCCCCGTTTTTAATAATGTGCCAAAATTTTTTTGGAGGCTAGACCCCTATTAATATTCATATCAAAAATAAATTTTTTGCTGACGAAAAACCTATAATTTTCTTTTTTTCTCCTTTTGCGGGACCCCCTAATCATTTCATTTTCACATTTTATTGACCTATAAATATATGAGAAGACATGAATAAATTTCCATTTTTCGCACAATATATTCCTTTCCGACATCTTCTTCATCAAAAACGTTTTATTTCAATTTTTTGTTTTTGTTTTCATAAACAATTAACAAATTTTCATTCTCACAGTAATATATTGAAAGTTGTTTATACTCAAAAAATATTTGTTTCTCCGAATGGGCGGAGTTTGGATGAGCCATGCTCCGCCTATTTTATAAACAAAACAAAAAATGAAATTATAGGTCCAGGTTTCTTAGACAACGTTTTCTCATTTCATTTTATTCTCAAAAAAAGGATATATATTTTATTAGTTTTTTCCCAGAGTTGTATATGTATATATTTGGTGTACTGTAGGTACTTTAGAAAAAAAACAATACATGAATTGAGAAAAAAGACATAAACGATTTTTTTCACACGTTTAACCGGGAACATAAAATTCAGTATTATGGGCTTTTTCTCAAATATTCTTTTCGTATGTTTCTGTTTTTTCTCTCTATTTTTCTGTATTTTTGATCTTTATTGCGTTGCAAAAGCCAAATCATCGTGAATTAAAAAAATGATTGTAATTCGAATTTCATCACATTATGAGAAAACTTTAACATCATCAATTTTACAGAAAAAATCGTCTCCTTAAAAACTTGGAATATTATTTTGATCTTTCTTCAACACTGCCTCAAATCAAATTTCAAACTTACAATCAGCACACAAAATGCATAACTTCGGACAGCCACATCCGCCGTATCGGATGCGAATGCCATTTCCACGGGGAAAAAGACCAGGTGGGTACAAAAAATAAAACATCATACAAAGCAGGTGTTTCTATTTTTCATCGCTCTCACGTATACGTAGTATGTTAAAATTTTTCACCTGCTTGCGATTTTTCTGATTTTCAGAACTTTCAAAAATTTTGATGTTGAACTTTAGCAACAAAAAAAAATAAATCTCTGCTGTACAATGAAACTCCGCTTTTATCCAAAACACAATGCAACAACAACAAAAAACTTATGAATTTCAAATTTTGAATTTAATAAAAAGACCAAATTGTTCTCGATGTTTGTACAAATCAGAATGGAATTCTATCAATGTTTTGATGATTTGTTTTTGTACTTTATTTAAATCGAATTAATGAAAAACAAGTTGTGAAAATGAACATGTCACTGAACAATTATGATTTCGATCTGAAACGAACTTTTTCATTATTGTTGCGTGAAATTCAATGTGGTGTATTTTCTGTTTTTTGTTCCGTGGTCCACTAACACGTAAATTTTTGATGAAGAAGATTTAATCCAAATTTTGAACCCCTGACGGACCGTGTATCAAAAAAGTGATTTTCTCATTGATGTTGCGTAAAATAATTTCTCGCAGTTAGAACGATTTCAATGTTACCTTTCAACTGGGAGGTCCCTTTTTTGAACCCCCGACTAAGTCTATAACATATTTAAAAGTCTCTAAAAACATTCTTTGATGCCATTAACAATCTAATTAGCAAATTTAATTTTATTTAATCGTGATTTTCTGCGTCTTACTGAAACAACCAATTTGTGATTTGACACATTTATGATTGTTAACCCACACTTTTGTTATCAATGTCTTCAGCAAGCAGGAAATTTCGTATCAGTTGGTATCATCCATTCCATATGTTTTTCGAAATTAAACGAAACTACGTGTGTAGTTTCATATCAATAGTCATTCTGAAATTAAGCTAACTTGATTAGTCATTAGATTACATAGAATAATCTAGTCATATCGTCTAGTTTTAGTCTTCATTAGTCAAAGAGAAAAATAAATCCTATTAGTTAGTTATCCATGAGCTTTTTGGTATCTCAATCTGACCAATTGATTATATGTTTGTTATGGAAATCATGTTTTCCACATTTGTAAACGTTGGAAAACCTGTTCGTCAAGATCAAACATCTAAAATGATCTTTTTGAACAAATGAATGTTTTATGAGTGGAGAGAAAAAGAATTAGAGAATGAGAGAAATATGAGTACAGTTTAGTTTTTTTTTGTCAATCACATGTTAACATTTTTTGTGATTCTTGTTGTTATTGTTGGCTACAAGGTCATTAACTGAATGATAACTTTGCATTTCAGTGTTTCTAGTTTCTTCGAAAACAATTAAAATGTTTTTGTTTTTATTATTTCCTTTTTTACTGTCAATTTTCTCACAAAAATTTTAAAATAGCATTATAAATAAAATAAGTGTGCGAATATGATAGGAAAAAATATCCTAATTGTTTTTACCGAAAATATTTGTATAATTTTATTATACAATTTTGAATTAATGGTGGGAATATTTTTCCTTTTGAAGATCCGATTGCAAAAATAAAAGGCTGGCTGTGAAAGAATGTTTGAATTGAGGGAATGTTGAAAATATGTTTTATTGGTTGAGTTCAATCGGTTCTTTTTTTGTTTGTTTATGGGAAACACATGTTCATATTTCAACTACAAAAAATTCAAGTTCATACATTTCTAGTTTCATTTTTTTTTTGAAATATGTAAACAGAAAATTTGCTCAATTTGATGTTTTTTAGATCAAATTTAGAGTCGCGTTTATTAGTTTCTATTATTACAGTCTAGAAAAGTTCATGTCTGGAAACATAGGCGTCTTGTTATTTTTCTCTTTCTTCTTATTTCTGGTATCACAAGTAATTTTTTTAGTGAACTTTTTAACAAAAAGACCAAAGTGTATAACAATTTGATATCTTCCGCCTACAGGTGTATTTAAGGAACAGTAGTTTGAAGTTCTCTGAACAACTACCGTAATCATTCTCTCTCTTAAGCACTTCAATTGCTGTCTAAATGTTAATTATATGTTTTCTGAGAAATCTTAATTATAATGATTAACAAACTTGTCATTTTCAGACAGAAAATATGATGTCTGATAAATTATAGTTCTGATATGATGGTTAATATAAATCTTAACGAGTTAGAAACAATAAAGTTTTTCTATTAAAATTACATTTTTATCTGATGAAAGAAAAAATGTAGTTTTTTTTGAATACATGCAATTGACATATTTTAATCTTGGTAATGAATTCAAATTCAAAAATCTCGGATTAGTTATTGAAAAAAAAATGAATAAATCGGATTGTTTCTTGTGACGCAGTTTGTTATAGCCATTCATCCAGATTTTATATACTTTTAGTATTAAAACGCGTTTTATGTGTTGATGAGTTTTTTTCCATTCATATAAAAAATATAACATTGAAAAACATATAATATCAATCAATCCACCAGAAATCTGTTCATGTATTTTTTGATACAAAAAAGAGACACAAATATTTTTCATATTTTCGCATTTTCCAGTGCTCTCTTGTTCAAATATTTAATCCCTTTTTCGGGTTATTATTTGTTCTTCCTTCTCTCTTCTTTTCATTTGTGCTCAAATAATCTGGTCAAGTCTGCTCCGTTCTTTTTTTTTGTTTCTACCTTAGTTTCACTATGCTTTGATCATTCAATGATCGGGTGATATTTTGAAAATGTGAATAATTCTAGACATGAAATTTAGAAAGCTAAATGTAGAGAACTTTTGGTAAGTTTTCTAATTTCCAAAACAGGAAGTGAATAAAAGTTTTCTCACTGTCTGAAAAAAAAACTATAAATTAAACGCTACTCAAATCATTCATCTTTTCTGATTTCGAAAAAAAAACAAAAAAAAACATAAATTATTTCTAATGATGCTTCTTGCTGATTGACCCTATTTTATATTATGAAGTTTTTTTTTGAATTTTTATTTTGTCCAATGAAAACTTTTTAAATGTTTCCAGAAAATCCATTCTTCCCGAAAAAACAATACAAAACATGTTTAAATCAGATATCTAGTTTCTCTCAAGCAAAAAAAACCGTTCAAAACTACATTTTTTCTAATTCGCAATCAAGATATTACATACAATTGTCTGTCTCTTACAAACATCGAAAAACTTGAAATTCTTTGTGATTGAAGAAAATATTTCTGAATTTGAAAAGCTGTGCAAAGTTATTTCATTTGGTTCATTGAAACATGTTTTGTTTATTCACCTGTTTCAAAATTTTTGAAAAATTATGTTGATTTAAAGTAACATCCACGAGTAAAAACAATTCTGAAAACTATTGAAGAACTTCGAGTAGAGAAACTGAACATTACTTATTTCGAAGTAGTTCTAGTCTTTTCGGAAATTGTTTTTTTTTTCGATTTTTGAATCTCGGTTATTCCATAGATCCGTCTGCTAATGAAATAGCGTCATTTTTTACGTTTTCACTTAATTTGCAAATGCTTTGTCTGTGCTTTTAGATGATGAAGTTCATTTTTCGATTTGATATCTTTTCTCAATCGGCCTCTTTTTTCTGTCTGTCTTTCTCTCTCATTTTTCTCAATGAATCAAAGATGATTTTTCCGAACTGCAAAACAAAAAAAATGGAATAAAAAAGAAGAAAAAGAAGATGATGAGAAAAAATAGGTTGTTCGAATGTTTTTCGCTATTTCTTTCTATCGGCATTGGGATTGTTATCTTCTCCTCATAATCTATTAAGATTATTTTATTGTATCTGATTAGATGCTGATTTCGATTCGAGATAGCGTCTTCAACCGAACCGATTTCAATCAGCGCACAAAGTTTTTTTTCCTTCTTTCATTCTCATATCTTCTATGTCATTTATCCATTTTTACTTGTTCCTTTTTCAAAATTTCTTTGAAAACGCAAAGTTGTTCCGATAGTTCTATGCGTATTTCCATAGAAACGCCATACATCCGGTTCCCAGTGAATCGTTTTCCTCAGCATTAGTGTAGTTTGTTAAAGTAGTTTTTTGTTGGAAACTAAAACTCTAAAACTTGTTGTTTCAAATGTTTCTATTTTGCAAAACAAAAATACAATATCTGCCCTTTTTTGACAGAGAAAAACTAGATTCTAATGCGAAACAACATGTTCAACTTTGATTAGATTTCCAATCTTCAGTATTTGTTCGATCACTATTTTCAAAAACTTGCAAGCTGAACAATTAGATTTCTCGCATTCATTTTCTCCACATACGTCACCATTTCTGTTATTCAATTATTATTCTCCGCTCGTTTCGGATTTCAGTTTGATCCGCAAACTAGATTACTCTGGTTTATCGAAATGTGTGAAAAATTCATGGTATTAATAAAAATTGAGAAAATAAAAAAGCCTTCAGCTTCAAGACTTCAAATTTGAAAAAAAAGTTCAAAAATTGATCAAGTTTGAGATCATTTTTTTCTCCCTGTTCTTTACTTTTTTCAGAACAATTCTCAGAACAAATTTTTCTCACAAAAATATCGTAATAAAGGTTTCCATTGACAACCAAAAAAATGAAAACAGCTGAAAATCAGACAAATATAAATTTTTTTTAATGAAATAAAATATCAAATATAATGTTCGCTAATCCTTTCCTTTTGATTTGAATGTGAGCCCGTTATTTTATACTCTTTTCAAAAAATATAATCTCAAAAAAAAAAAAGATTCTCTTCATTTTTTCATAATACATGTTTATAGCATAATATAATATAGTATAATATATACATAGAATTTATAGCAACATCTCATTAAAATATCCGTTGTGTGCTCCACCAAAGTACACCATTCTTCTTCTTGGGATCTACTCATCACAAATACCTTTCAAATATTATTTATTTTCTAAATCTCTTTTCCGTTCCTTTATATTTTTCTTCCTCAACAGACAAAAACAACGATCAATGTAAAAAAAAGAGGAAGATGTCTGCATGTCTGACCTCTTCTGATTATTATTCATAGTCTGTGTCTGCGTCTCTTACTCTCTTATTTCAAACACACTCTTGGATACGTTTATTGTGTTGTTTTTTTTTATTTTTGCGCTTGTCTTTATTTCGCATTAATAAATAAAAGATCTTGTTCTTGTTCTCATATCTGTTATTAGAAGATAATTGTTTATAATACTTTATTATTATCATCCTACAAATAGACATGATAAAAATGGGCATAATAGAAATAGTGAACAAATTATTCAAAATGATTTCACATAATTTTTGGAATTTCTTATCAGTGATAGTTTTTATCAGTTTATGCGCGTACCTCGTATCAGGAACAAGAAAATGTTGCGTTTTTCCTTTCGTGTTCATATTAAGACTATAGTCAATTTCTAGTGTATAATTTGATGTTTTTCCAGATATGAATGTGGGCAACGGACCACCTCTAACGGCAGCACAAATGCAGGTAAATGATTTCCCCAAAAAGTTCCATATACTGAATAATCTGTTTTCTAGCAACTTGTGCAAATGGGAATAAATCCGAATCATATTCAACTTATGGGAGGACAACCACCACAAACAAATGGACTACCGCAGCACGTTCAACCTCCTCCACAGTCAGTTGCCGCAGTTGCTGCGCAACATCAAGCAGCAGCCGCCGCTGCAGCTGCAGCTCAACAACACCAACAACAGTTACACCAGCAGCAGCAGCAGCAACAAGCTGCGGCAGCTGCAGCAGCCGCCGCTGCTCACGCACATCCGCATACTCCACATGTTGCAGTTCCAGTAACTGCTGCGCCAGTTGTTCATATGCCACAACCACAACCAAATCAAGCACATCTCATGCAACATTTGCAACAGCTACAGGCAGCACATCACGCGCATCACTCGCAAACGCAACAGGCTCAACTTGCACAACTGGTTAGTTTTAGTTTTACAATATGGTTTTTTTTTCAAATTTGAAACTTGAAACTTCAACTGTATTTGTTGCAGATTCAACAGTCTCAATTAGTAAATGCAATTGCGAATCCAGTATGTCCGCCGCCACCTCCAGGAGTACCTTCAATGCCTTGGCCAGTAACATCGCCAATCTGTCATGTTCCATATTTTGATATGAATATGTATAGGAGTGTGAATATTGAAGTGATGCCAAGTCATGATCAATCAGGAATGGATCTTCCACTAACCGATATTTCGACGCTTCGATTTTTCTTCAATTTCGGTGTTCAACAATCAAGAAATCTTATTGCGGCAAGATCTTTTCAACAGCAACAAAATAGTCAAGCCCCTCAACCACCTCAACCACCACAGCAACAGCAACAACAGCAAATTGCAAGTATTCAGGAGGCGATGGCTGCCGCAGCTTCGAATGGGCAGAATCCAGCCAATTTGATGAATATTATCAACAATGCTGCTGCACAGAATCCCAATGCAGCATCGTTGGAACAATTGAACGCGCTTTTGGGTCAACACAGTATGTTGCGACAGGCTCAACAACTTCAAGGAAATCCAGCACAGGTACATTTGCAACAAGCCAATCCAATGCAACAACAATTGAACACAATTCTGAATGCCGCTCAAAATAATCGTCAAATGCAGAATCAAGCGTATGCTCAATCGCATGCTCTTCAACAACAATTGTCAGTTTTGATGAATCAAATTCAACCCCAACAAATACCTGGAGCCAATGTTCCACCGGGAGTCCCAGTGCAACAAATTCCAAATGAACGTAAAACCACACATTCTGATTTGATCGCGCCGAATCATGTTCATTCTGTGCAAGCTCCGATTGGTATTGCTCAAACAGCTCAAGTTCAACAATTGAATGCAGCTGCAGCACAAGCTGCAACAATTCCAACTTCCCAACCAATTGTTCAACAACAGCAAATTCCAACTGCACATCAGCCACAAGCTCCTCAACCGCAGCAAGTTCAACCTGGCCAACCTGCTCAACCACAGCCGCAACAACCACAAGCTTCAACTGCTTCAACTCTTCAAAAAACCTATGAGAATCACACAATTCTTCTTCAACACGCACTTTACCAAGCGCATCAGAATAATCATTTGAAACAACCATCTCTTCACGAAGCTCGTTTTCAAGCTTTAGCCCAACATCAAGCAACTCCAAGCTCAACGAGCCCTGCAACTGGTCTTCACCCATTCATCCGGCCAACTGAGGTAATTTTCACATAGTTATGGGGATAGCTTCTCACATAAGTTCTAACAAATGCTTGGGCCGTTTATTAACTGGACTCTTTCAGGCAAACAAACAATCAACATCATCAACACCAATCGCAACACAATCAAATAGTGAAAGCACAAATATATCTCCACGTCCACCAATTCCATTAGATCCAAGTCCACCACATGTTAAAACGGAATCACCAAATTCGGATAAGGTTCGATTTATTTCACTTTCTCAGTTAGGATCGGTAGCACATAATACTAATTAATATTGTAATTCTATTTGGATATTGAGCATGACGTGTTTTTTTCAGCAGCAGCAGCAACAACCTGAAGCTGTTCAAGCGAGTTCAACAACTGATGAAGATGCAAAACCATCATCTTCAGCTCAAGTTGCAGCGGTAAACCCAATCGGGATCGCAAATCCAATGGCTGTTTCATCAACAGCAATCGGACAAAGGGTGACAGCATCAACACCTTCAAACACAACAAACTCGCCAACGACAAATTCTAGTGCAACATCCTCGGGAAATAATATCCCACCACTGATTCAAATATCAGAGGACCATTTTACTGATACATTTCGCAAATCGGAGCAAAAAGTTAGTGACCGAAAAAGTAATACTGTCAATGTGCATTCAAATAACCGATTTTGTTTTTTAGGAGACAACAGGGTCACCTGAACCCAAACGGCGGCCAGGCTGGGTCCCCAAAGACGAATGGTGAACAAAATAATGAAGAGGAGGGTGAAGATAAACCGGCGGTAGGTTTTTTTTTAAAAGAAAACTTATTTATTTTTGAATTATAATTATTGATTTCTTTTCAGTTGGCACCAATTTTGATGATGTCTTATTTGAACACTTGTATGAGTCAAGCTAAAACCCAACTAAATGCAAATGGCGTGCACGTTGGCGTCGATGATAATGGTCAACTGGTGAGTAACATGTTTCGAATCAAAATCCCAAATAAATGTATCATTTTCAGGTTGATTTCTCATCTCGACCAATTGACCCAATTTTCAAAGATGCTCGCGAGGATTGGGCAAGATCTCGAGACTATAAACGTCCACATCCAGCATCTGCAACTGCCACCGCAATTGTTGGAAACAATATCTCAATTCCATCACCGAATCAACCAACTGGTAGCTCACCAAAAACTGAAACTGAAGCAACTTCGATGCCAGCTCCATCAATGCCTATTGGTATCAACAGAACGGTATGATTTTTGGTTGCCATACAATAGAAATATGTCATATTTTCAGGCCGCTGATGTTATCCCAGCGTTAACACCAAAAGCTGAATGTGAAGAACCAATTATTAATGTTGTTGGTCCAGAAGATGATTCGGAAGATGATTCAGTTGGAGGAAAACGTCTTCGCATTGCGACAGATGAAGAATAGACTCATAAAATACTTGTTCAAAAAATGTCATCATCATATTTCGTGCTATCGTATAGTTCATTTTCACCTCTCTCCTCAACTCAGGAAACTCGTCTGCTTTTATTTTGAAATCAAAAAACCTTCAATTTTCATTTGTTTTTTTTTCCAAATCAAATAACATGTTCTTTCCTATCTGTATGGTCTCTTTTATGATTGAATCTATCATTCCACGTTTAACTTATTCAACATTTTTCTTCCTTCTTTTTTTCATAATTTATTTTGCTTTAATTTTCTTACTGTATCCATTTATTCATTTCACCACCAAACTTGCCATACATATTTTTTGTCTGAAAATTGTGTTAACATCTTTCCAATCAAACATATCTAATACAATTCTGATGATACACTATGTTTTATATTTTTTGTATTTATCCGTATATAATGGCATATATATTTTTTTGAAAATTGTGTTGTGTAAAAAAATAAAGTTTTTCAAACTAATTGTTTTTTTTTTCTGCCCGCCGAAAAGACCTTCACCGTTATCTAGGAATTTTTATTATCACAATGAAAAATCTTAGATCTTGAACTTTGATAACAATTTTAATTCCTATTGTTATGGAAATAGAAGGAGTGATGTTTCATTTGAAAAAAAACCAGTTTACAAAAACTACATTTTTATTTTAGTCACCATGAGTCACAAAACATATTGCGTCAACAAATGACTGATTTTATGTTTTTTTATTTTCGAAGTGACTGGAGGACTTTTATCAAACATTTGAAATTTGAAGTGAATAGTAGACCACACCTCAAACTTTTTTTTACAAAATAACCCAACTTTAAATCCCCACTAACAGAAATTCGGGCCTTGAATATGTGAGGATGTCGATGTGTGCTGTCTTGAAATGATGTATTCAGGAAGCTTGTTCTACGATTTCCCCAAAACTTAAAGTTTGACAGTTTTTCAAATCAATATTTTCAAATCAATAAGAAATGACGCGAGATCTATGTCAAGACCATTCAAAAGTTTCATCAAGACAAGGATACTCTTCTTTCATTTTCAAAAAATTTTTCGCAAGTCATAATCCAAATTTCCATCGGTTACTCAAAAAAAAATCAATAAACTTGCGAGAATCAAGATCGTACTATTTTGTTTTCAAACCCCTTTCATTATCTTCCAGAGATTAACATCTTCAATCAGCATTCCAAATCTCGATTCTCGAATTGACAGTTGTCGGGCAACAGGGAAATAAACCAAGGATTCTGAAGAAATGGAACAAAATGAATTGGTTTTTGGAATAGTTGAGGTAGTTCAAAAGTGTAAAAAATTTGGATTGTGAATCGAATTTTTGTTCAATTCGGTCATAACTTGTTTACTTGAATTGGAAAACATTGAATTTTTTTGATGAATGCTTTAATTTTTTCAGATGTTGTATGTTAAGTTATTTTTAATTGACTGTATGTTGTGGTCTACGAAAAAGATATCATATTTCATGAAATACTTCAGAAAAATCAAAGAATGGTTTACAGTAAATTCAGCTTATGGTTATGACTGAATTTGAAACTATAAAAATATGCAACATTTTTAGACATTCTCGCCGAATTTGAATGTACATCAAGTGTCTTCTTTTGCGAATAATTCCAATTCATAGGTGTGATCTTTAGTCCAAAGACAAACTAGATTCAAAATGTGTTACTATTTGATCGTTTTGTGTTATGGTGTTTTGTTTGAAGAAAAAAGTCCATGAGGGGGAGACAATGTAATTAAATACAGAACAAATACAGTATGATCAAATAATGAACTATAGAAAATGTCTGTTCTTGTTTGTTTTGAATTGAATTGAAGGGATCTAGCGAAAACATTTTTGGAATGTTAATGGGGAAAGTTGACAAAAGAACATTTTTAGGCTATTGCTGAGATTGGGGTTCAAATATTTTATGGAATAATCAAGCACATATACAAATTTAGTTTTTCAAAAAACCAACCGATTCATTTCTTCACTGTATGGGAGTATGACCCAGATGTTTTTTTTCAGAATTTTTGTGACTAATTTTTCATTGCGCACAAGTGGGTAATAACCATACTTTTTTAAAATTGATTTAAGAACGTCATACTTTTTTTCGGCTTTCTTCAAATAATATCTACGTTTTTGATCAACAAAGTTCCTATGAAACACGAATCTTTCATGGTAAATCTTTGTGAAAACGTTGGAATTTCTCGAATTGTTGGCATTGTTTGGAAACTAAGTTTTCAAAAGAAAATGGAAATAATTGATTAGAAAAGAGCTTTTCAACAAATGGTTTCGAAAAAAGGATTTCAAAATGTACTTTGTAAAAAATTTACAAAAATTACACAGGTAATTTTTCAAATGAACCAAGGTGGGCAATTTTTACCCGGTGCTCCAGAAAAATTATGTACAGTGTCCTTTTTGAGGACGTCAAACTCAACAACATTAATCAAACATCAATCAAAAATTTTACAGATTTTGTATTTCAAGGATTTTTTCAAGAACTGTTATATTTTATTGCAAATTGAAATAATTTATTTTTAGTAAACGTTTTTTTTCTATTAAAACCATATAAATGATTTTTAGAAGAATTTTTCACGACTTTTACTTTTTCTCAATTCCCTTTTTTAGATAAAACTTTTCTCATTTCTTCGAGTTCACGGATCAAAGAATTCTGACATTATTTCTAAAGGTTAAGTTGAAAATATATTTTTCTTCAAAATTCCTAGTGCTAAATTAAACCTAAAATCTAAAAATAGCTCGAATAAAAACACACGAAATTTTGGGATATAAATATAAATCTAATTAGTTGAAAGTTCAATGTTTTTTCAAATGATGTCATTAAATATTGTGTTATGCTTTATTCATAAATAAATAATTCAAATGATAGGATAATTTTTTGCTCTTAAACACGTTTGAACATGAAGCTTGTGTTATGATACTTTAATTTGATGATTTGGAAAAAATAACAAATAGAACTTGCTAATAATATTATCTTGCACTTGTTCTATGTTATTATGGCTGCTCAATGATTAGTTTTCCGCTTTATCAAGTGAACTTAAGTGAATTGATCTTTGTTATTTCGTCAGTCTATAATTCTTTTATATCTCGGATTTTTCTGAATTGGCTAGACATGCATAGTCTCGCTGGTAACAGTTGTAGAATTTCGCGTGGGATTTGTCTAGAAAATTTAGAAAATGTGGAGAGATTTTTGGAAGTAGTTTTCTATGAGTCAATCCAGCAGCATGAAAGCACAATTATTACTTTTCAATTTTGTTATCAAAAAAAAATTTTTGGAAGTAAATATTTTGTTCCAGTTGTTGTGAGTCATACATTTGAAAGCAAAAAAAGATGATTGCATAAATTTGAAACACACCAAGCAATAAAAATTGTTTGGGAATATGTGTTCAAAAAATGCACAATAAATGTATTACATTGTATCCTTGACATTTCGAAAACATTAGCAAATTGGATTTATTGATAGCCAACAAAATTTAGCTGATTCAATTTCCGATTGATGAAACGTCGAATATCCGATTTGAATTACACCCCCTTTTAGAACACTTTCAGGAAAAAAATGGCTATCTGCATCTGAAATTGTGTTTTGATTTTGTTTGTTATTCAAACGCTAACAAATCAAAATGTTCTCAAAAGCATTTTTTCAGTAAACGTAATAAGAACAAACCAGCTGGAAAATGTTTTTGGTGATCTATGAACCAATTAATGTAATGAAATTCTGATTTCGTTGAAAAATTGAATCAGAACGAACATTACTTTCAAATATTGACCAAGTTTGATCATAGTAACAAATATTGGAAACAACATTGAACATACGAACAGAAATAGTTATAAAGTTAAGGAATCGGATTGTGAGCATTACTTGAATATTTCTAGTGAACGGGTATGAGTCATCACAATATTGAAAACAGCAATTTCGAATTTAAAGATTGAAAAGTTTCAACCCTTTGCAAAACTCCTAACCAAGTTCAAACTCTACATTTTGTTCACTTCCTCTACGTAGAAAACTCCACAAATAATGTTCTTCATGCTTCCGAAAAAATATGCACTTCTTGGAAACCAGAGTGTATTCTCGCAACTTTTTCTTTGTGTTTCCAACCCAACCAACATCAAAAGTACAAAAAACTCATTCGACATCGTCATTTTTTCTTCCTGAATCCAGCTACGTCATTCCACATCCTTTAAAGATTACTGTGAGCGGTCATGCGTTCACAGTGGATCATAGTCCGAAAAGAACGTTTATGTTTTGTGTTTTCAGTTTTGGGTTCGTTCGTCTTCGTCTAGATTTGTTTTATGTACTCCATACAGCTGAAATTAATAATCATTGAATGTTTTTTCATCAACACATCGAAACAAAGAGTACGAACAAACAGCTTTATTAGTTCTATTTTTAAAGGCTTGACAGTGAAATATTTCTGGGGTAACATATTTTAAGGACAAAATTGAAAAAAAAACAAATCACAGTTGGCAATCTACTCTCTACTAATGGAAGTAAAAGTTTGTGAAAACAATCAAATATGGAGTATAAAACCCGCAAAACAATGAAAATTAACCGGATTGATAATGTACAAAACAAATCACATATTGGGAAAATTAGAATTAGATGGTGTTTGCTTCCAATTCTTTTTCAATCGCATCAGCTCTTCGAATAAGATTGTATTGATCAGCAGCAGTCAAAGTTTTCATTTCAAGATGTTTTAAACCTCGATAGATTTTCTTAATGTCCGAATTTGGAACCAATGATGTATGTTTACCCCAAACCATATTTCCTTTTCCAAGAACTTCATCATCATCACTCCAGAAACTTGCAACAAACATCGCATCTTTTTTGTTATCTTGATTTTCATTCAAACTTGTCAAAAACTGCGAATACTTCACAGTTGCACATTTATTCATTTCTTCCGAAACTTCTTGACTCGAACAAGTTGATGAAGGACATTCTCCAGGAAAGAAGCCAGTCTAAAAGCAAAACAATGATGTAATGTTCATTTATTGTCTTTATTTTACCTTTGTTCCACATGCCGCAAAAGAAATGGCTGCTTCGCAGGGACACATTCCATAGTTTGCTCCAGCTAATGCGATAAAAGTTTCTATGCTATTTGCGATGTTCGCACCAAGATCACATTTTTCATCATTGAATTCGAAGATTCCACCTTGAATAACTTTTCTAGCAATAGAAACGCCCATCGAATGAGCAATGATGTTCACTTTTTCACTTTTTGTGTATTGAAGAACTGATTCAATAAATCTTCTATGCATCATCAAAGTTTCACAATCAAACTTTCTGAAAATAAAAGAGATTCATAAAAATTTTCCAGCGAAATAAACTCCAAAAACTAACCTATTAAATGAGCTCATGATGTTTCTATCACCGTAAGTGATTCCATAAAGCTCGGACAAACTATAATCACGTGCCAAAAAGTACTCCAACAGCCCATTCCATCCTCCTTGGAAAATATTATCACCGTGTTTCAAGGCACTGTCAGAATTTCCATGAATGAATATGATTGGTGTATGATTAATCTTCAAAATATAACATTGTTTTCACAATTTCAATTTTCAATTTCTTACCTTTTCTTCAGCCAAGATTTTACCACCGAAAGATCCAGTTTCACCAGTTGCTTTAATTTGTCGAATCAAATTATCATTTCGTTTTGGTTTTCTTAAAAAAACAGAAATAATTATTCATTTTCGATGTATTTAAAACTCACTTATTGAGATGATTCACGAAATGATCGGAAATTGGTCCAAAAATATCAGCCATTCCAAAACCGCAGAATGCCAAGATCAAAATGTTATAGAAGTTCAACATTTTTAAAGTCAAGAATATATTCAGAAAATGAGAGAGAGAAGCTGCTTCGAAGCTCAAACTTTTTCGAATAAAAAGCCGACTGAAAATCTTGGCTCCGCCTCTCTCCGAATTTTTTTCTTCGCTCTTTTTTTCGTTCGGATGAGCTCATTGACAAAAAGAGGCGGTACTTGTTTTCGAATAAGGTATACGGTAGACTGGATTCGTGTTTCGTGTTTTGCTCATATGAGATAAACAAGGTTTCAAGTAACGGTAAATGAAAAAATTTGAACGTATCTTTGACTGCTTCTTGATATTTAATAGGATAAATGATCTTTGGAACAAAACATTACAAATCACAATCCAAAAAGCTTGAGTGGGTGGAAGTTCAAAATGTATGTGGGAAAAAGCAAGAGTTCATTATATTTGTCATTATTCAGTTCAAACATTGTTCTTTTACATACCGGCTTTAAAACCACATGATGAATTGAATCATATCGCATCTCTAATAAAATTATACATTACTCTTCAAAAAAATATATATCAGTAGTTTTATATTTAACAGTTCTCGTCCATTTGCAATTGTTTCTCAGAATACCTAATCTTGTTAATATTGAAAATGGCATATTTCAATCTTCAATCGGAAATTATGCTCATTATTTGGATTATCCAACTTCCAGGAATCATGTTTCTCACACCCTCAGAAAGCAATTTTTGGTTTTTGTACTTTAAGAAATACAACGTAGTTCGTGCAATCAAAGATAATTCAATTGTTAACTGGATTATTCATAAACATTCCATTATCTTTCATATTTTCTTTATTCACTCCACATCCGTACTTTGCACTTGTAAAAAATCTTTTTGGTCGGAATATTAATATTTTTCTCCAGATAAGCTGCCTGATTAATTTTTACACATATTAGCTACAAATGAATTCATTTCATAAGAAAACATGTTAATAATTTTTGATCTTCTCAACGTTACTGATCTAGCTGGAATTTTCACCTGTTTTATTGTTAAAAATATCAATAACTTTTTCATTTGACATTAAGAATGAAGTAAAAACTATGGCCAAAAAATGATAATACAAAGCACCTATTGAAGAAAACATAAGAGCAACTACAGTACCCTCAAAGACATTTAAAAAAGTTATTATGGCCTTAAGTATGAGAGGAAGCTAACAACAAAAAAGTGAAGTATTAGCACCAGATGAAAATTAAATTAAAAGAGGATTATTTTTTAATAATTGATAAGTTCTTTAAAGTGTCTGATAATTGTCTAGCATGTCTGACAATCTTGCTACTTTTTGATAAATCTTTTGAGCATCTTCTTGGAGCAATTCCATCTTTGATATCTTGAGCAAATGCAACAATTTTGGCAATATCAGCAAATGGATAATTCTATAAAAAGAATTTGACTTTTTAATGTCACGTTCATTTACTGGAAAAGGTATATTCTGAAATCATTTTCCGCCTCATCGATCTCAAACGGACCTCTCTCTTTTTTTCACTTTGCAGAAGAACGAGATGACGTACATTTTTTTCTAGAAAACGACAACACCCACGAGGTTAGGTTTAGATTCATGTTTTGGTTGGGTCTTGACATTGAGTTTTAGCTACGCCATAACCGGATGTCGTAGTTTGCTCAACCACAGACGTCTTTCTTCAACATCAGCAAAAAAAGGACGACATTAATGTTTTATATTAAACTGTTCCGATCTCTTTCGTCATGTTTTGGTGGTGTTTAACAATTCATAGAAAATCACCCATTTTTGGACTGCTACTATGAAACATTGTCGTCATATCTTGGCCCATTAAATACTGCTGATGATGACACTATGAGCCAAAAAAAGACAAAAAGTTCAGTAAACATTAAAGCAAAAAACGTGACATGTCTTTGAGAGATCAAAAAAATGATGGGGTGAGGGAGGAGAAAATGATTCCAGAAAAAAAAAGACCAAACTGCATACCTGTAACAATCTGACACAAAATGAGAAATCACCAGCCAAAAGTTCTTCGCGTTGAAGTTCAATCATTGAAAGACAAACATATGGGAGTAATGAAAATCTGCAAAATTTCATAACGTTCTTGATCTTTCTGAAAGAATAGTTGCAACCAACCTTTTTGAATCGGAAAACAACGAATCCCACAAAGTAATAACATCAGGAAGTGGAAATTCTTGACTCAATAACAATGACAACCAGCGAAACGCGTAGAACTGTAAAAACTTATAGTATTTCCTTGTACTTTGTACTTTTCAAGTTTTTTTTGGAAAACACGAATACACCTGTTCTCTTTAACACGTACAATCCAAAACACAATCGACACTATTTATCAGGTATGCCTATTTTCCCAACTTTTTTGATCACGAACGAACGGGTGAAAAATTTTCAGACACTTTTTTTTTGGAAAAACAAAGAAAAAATTACCTGTGGTTTGATTTCGAGGTTTGTTGAGAGGTGCTTATAGACTTCTTCGTCAAAATGATTAATAAGAGTGTGGAATGAGGACATCAAAGATTCTGAAAATAATAAATAACAAAATGAGAAAAATAGAAGAAGTTCAAGATATTCCTTACCGATTCCACAGATACTGTTATCCAATGTTTTGATGAAATTATCTTTAACTTCACTCATCAATTGTTGAAAACAGAAAAATGTATCAGCTTCAGCAAATTCAGCCCATTCTTCATCACTATCAGATGCAAAAACATAATAAATTGGTGCAACTAATTCATTCATTCCTTGAACATATTGAACTCCCGGATTCAGTTTTGCATAGATGAACAAGATGCGCTCAACAATCTGGAAAAAATATGTTTTCTTTTCTGAAAATGTTTGTGCCACTTTGTGTTTGTCACATAATTATCCTATTTTGCACATGTATATCAAAAAATCAAACAGCATAAGTTCAAATAACTATTCTATTCTGATTAAATTGTTTGTAGTGTGAAAGCCATGTGAGATTTGAAAAAAAGAAAAAAAGTTCCTGGAATGAGGGTAAAGGTTTTTCAGTATACACGTAAATTTCCAAGAAATTTGTTTTTGCAAATTGAATTTATTCAATAAATTTTTTTTATAATGTTGATAAGAGATAAAAGACTGAAAATCATCGATTATCCGGATTGCACTTTTTTGTTGGTTGTTTTGAAGAAATTTGTTTTTGGATCATGTTCTTTATGCTATACGAATTTTGAAGATCAGTATCTGAGAGAATTATTTTATTATGCGGAGAAGAAACACATCCGGGGACTGTTCCTAAATTTAAAAACAACTAGAATTCATGATTTTTGAATTCACACTGATTGTTAGGAGCCGTCTTCCATTTTTGAAGGCCAATAAAACAATGATCTTCGCATTATTAAATGAAAGCATTTTTTTATTAAATTTATTTTTTCATTAAATTCCTATGTGAGATAGAAATCCTTCATTTCATTGATATAGAAAAAAACTACCGTAATTTCATTCTTATTATAAAACTTCTGACTCAAACATTTGCAATTTCAAATTTCCAAAACACACGTTCGTTTCTTCTGTGTTTGTCTCGTCATTATTAGTATTATTCATAATGAATAGAAACAATGAATAATGTGTGCATGAAAAAATCAACCTGCTTTTGATTAGTTTTAATTTGAATAATCAAAACACAAATAAGAAGTAAATGCTTTTAGATGTTTGAACATAAGAATGTTACAATAAAATAACATTGTTATTTTCAGTATTAATGAAGGGGTTCAGATATTTTCACGTTATGATTTACTTTGAATGTGAATAATTTAAATAACAAAAAAAAATACTTACATGCCAATGAAACTCTGATTTCATAACTGCAGAAGCATCCGTCGAATTTGATCTCGAATCTTTTGTCACACCAATAACACCATCTCTGGTTGTTCCAAACTCTTGACTATTCAATTCTTCGCCAACAACTCTTTTTGAAAGTGGATATTTCATGCCGTGCAAGTGTGGAAATTTGGAAAGAAGTTGAAAAAATTGTATTTCTGGATAAAGTCTTCGAACATCTTTGTCGATTTGTGTCAATACTTTATTGTCTTGAAAGAAAGCTTGCCAATCGCTTGATGGCGCATCAGAAAGTGGCTGAAAAATTCTTCTATTCACTATCTATATGACTCATCAAAAATATATATGGTGATTACCATCATTGTGTTTTTACCCCTATTCAAATCTATGTGTTTTGTGGTTTCGAACATGTAAAAGTTTAAAGGTCGCTGATATTTGAAAATGTCTTATTGTTGAAAATTGCAAGAACATTGATGTACTAATAAAAAAGAGTAAAGAGTGTCTGATTGTGAGAAATATATGAACATATTTCGAGGGATCTGTCATTCTAATATTGAATTTTCGGTAATGAATTTGAAGATATAAATTTTCAGAATCTAAAATCCTAGACGAGTCAAAAAGTTGTTCTGATATGTTTGATATAGTTTTGATAAATCACTTATGAAACAAACCGTGATTTATGATTTCAGTTCTCACATGTTATGATTAAATTTGCAGAGCAAATCTGAGAAAAACTATGAGTCATTGTTTCTTGCAATTAATTTGGAAAATTTAGGAGATATATTAAGATTATTCAGGGTTTTTGATTTTTTTAAAGAAATTTTTGGTTGAATCGCAGAACATGTTTTTTTTTTTAATCTATCGTCAACACTTTTTATTTTCTAAATTAGCATGGACTTCCTAGGTTATCTTGAAAACGTTTATTTTATTTTTTTATAAATTTTTTAATCTTTTCAAACTTTCATCCAAAACTCACATGATCATTTATTGATTGATTCATCGCTTGAGTTCCGGGCTCAACTATGATTTGTTCTATCAAAATATTATAATTTTCTCGTTGTTCAGCTAAATGCGCTTTCCATTTTTGTCTTTCCAATGGCAAATAATTCAACAAAAGTCGCCAAACAATTGGTCTTAGTTGTTCAGGAACCCCTGAAATTATTATATTTCATTATATGGCTGTTATTCTTAATGATAATCATTTTACAAACCATAACTACAACTTGCTCGCAACTCATCAATATCAATTTTCTTGTTGGCAATCAACAAAACCTCTTCGATTCTTGCCAACCTTTCCATATGTTTTGTATTGTTCATCCTGAATAATATGTACTATTGAAGTGAGAAAGAGTTTGTGATAAAAAGTGTATAAGATAAGAAACTAGAACAAAACTAGTAAAAAAAAATAGATAACAAAGTATACGTAAATAATGTTTCAGTATTGATTTATTAATATAATTCTGATGAAAAAACAAATACAGTAAAAAAAACATAAATTATTAAATAAATGAATAAATAATAAAGTTGGACCGTAAAATATTTTAAAAATAAATTAAAAAGCATGGTCAATGAGAACAATGAGAGGTTCGGATAAATGATCACAAGGAAAATTGACAAGAATTTGAAATTTGTAAGAGATTTGGTGGATCACCGAGGAATAAATATACAAAAAAAAACAGCAAAAAGGGTAACAATGAAGAAAATACTTTGGAAAATAAATTAATTTAAAGTTTTGTTAGCCGATGTGGCAATAAATGACGTTTTTGGTAAATATTTTGGTGTTGATTGCCTTTTGACTTTTGGTTTTGGTTTTGCAATATTGCCCTTATTTGGCAAAATATATACGGAATCTCGTTTCTGGCGGATAATTGTTGCGAGTTTGTCAAAATTACGATTTTTGTCAGCTGCAGAAGCGTTGGAATAAACATCGGACGATCTGAAAATGAAAAATGAACACTTTTGTGATTTTATGTAAACAAAAGAAATTAATGAAATTTGAGATGAAGAAAAATATTGATTGTTTTTTTTTCAAAAAAGAACTCACCCTCCAATAGCTTTTTCAGATTTCATATCGCCACAGTTATTGACAGGAATCGATGAAATGTTGATATTTTGTGAAGTTGGAACTAATTGTTCAACCGCCAATCGATTTGGTCTTCTGATACCATTTTTTTGAAGAACTGCAAGGTTTTCGCCCAAGTTATTTCCATATTTCAAATCAGTTGTAGAAGATGGCGCCATGAAAACAACTAGACAAAATACAACCATAGCTCCGGCTGTGACAAGTGCTTTGCGCGTGAATGTGTTTGTTGTAGATGTTGGGAAATTCTCAAACTTCTTTGGTTTAGTTTCAGATAATGGAGTAGGAGGTGGAGTTGAACCAGTCAGTTGTTGAATTGTGCATCGAAGTTGACTGTTTTCTTTGCGAAGAGCATCGTTTTCACGACGAAGTTTTTCCAATTCTCCAAGTATATCTGCATCTTGTTTCTTTTTCTTATCACGCGAAACTTGCGCGTAGTGTCGATTTTTTAGTTTTCTCTCTTCTGATGCATTCAGCTTCTGAAATTTCATATTTATTCGTGAAATCTCTATGAAAATTAGCCACTTACAGGTTTGCTTTGCACGATATTCACTGAAGGTTTGATTGGAACGTATCGATAATCCACTTTTTTATTATTGTTGGTATTGCTGACCGGGAGATAAAATTCACTGGGAGTTGCGGTATGAATTTGTAACTGAAAACATATTATAAATTAGGTTTTGATCAAAAAAGACAAAGAACTCACGTTGGACGCATATCCATCAGTTGGAGAAGAAGATGAAGAACTTGGATAATCGTATAGTTGATTGTCTGGGATGTAACAATCGAGTGCCTGAAACATCTAGCTTCACAAAATGATAATCACTAGGGGATGTTCAGAAAATTTGTATCTCAAAAACTAGGGAAACGATAGGTATTTTTCTCGCAAATTCTAGCTTTTTGGTTTGTTCTTGGTCCAAAAATAATCAGAGTAAAAGTTGCAAATAGTTTTTCAAACACTTTTTTCAGGCGTTAACTCTTGAAGAGTGCCACATTTTTTTAAAACTAACTTACATTTTTATCAATCATTTCCGTGCTCAATAAATATTTTGATCCAGAAGGCTCTGGAAGATCCAAGCCGCTAATCAAAGGATCAACAACATTTGCAGCCAATTCATCATTCAACAAGTGGAGCCCGAAATCATCCGTCAAAAAATCCATTTTTTTTACCCTAAAAAAAGTATTTTTTGCAAAAAAACGGGGTTTTACGTCAAGAGAAAATTAGAAAACAAACAACAAAAAAGGAAGAAAAGCGACGAGTTCAAACAAACAAAAAAAGCCAAACAGATAGAGCATACTTGATAGTTTTGGAAAACGAACGACGAGAAAAAGGTGGCATGTCCCTGCCGCTTGTGTGCATTAGAGCGCATTTTCTTCCTCCTCTTTATATCCGAAATCTATTGGATAGGAAAAGAAATGAGATAATTATAAAAGATGAGAAAATTGAGTAACCTACTAATTCTATTACCAAAATAACAATAAAATGGGTCAAGTTTTCATTTATTGATTAATAGTATACATAAATAAATTTATAAATGGACACCAAATATTATACAATAAAAAATTATAAACGAGACGGAAAGAGAATCAGAATGTTTTTTTGTATATATTTATAACAATCATAAACAATTCGTCGTTTGTGGTATTTACCACGTTTCAATAGTTGCAAAAAAAAATGAAAAAGGCATTGTCATTTTAAAAATGAATAATATCTACTATACTCTATGCTTGCTTGCTTGCTTGTTTGAATATGTACTTTTAGGTCACATTTTGAGACATGAAGAGCAAAGAATATACTGAAGTTTGATGCATAATAGAATATGGAATCAACGGGAAACCGGAGACGAAGCTAAAACTTTTTATTCTGAAAAACAAAACGTGGAAATTTTTTGAATACGATAACTAATTGAAATTCTCAATGTCAGAAAAAATGTAAACATTTTGAAAGTTTACAATGAAATTCCAACACCAAAGTTTGTGGAAAAACATCAAGAATATGAATTTCATCAATAAATGAAAAAAAATGTGAAAACTTGGATATTTTCCAGACGTTCTACAATTGACTGTATTCACGGAGTTTTGCCGATTTGTTTTTGTTGATTAGTATCGCATAATCAGAAGCAATATTTTTGCACAGAACTCTGATTATACAAGTTCTAATGAATAAATAATTTTTTTCAAAAACATGTGTTGTACTAAAGTGTTTATGATCAGAATCAACATTTACATCGTTTTTTTCAAAAAAAAAAAAACTAAAGTAAAATGTTCCGCCGAAATAAGTGTTTCTTTCTTTCTAAAAAATAAACCATAACATTTTTTCCGTTCCAAAAATTTTTTTCAACTTTATAAAAGTTCAATTCAAATTGGGCTGAGAAAACATTTTTTTCTCTAAAAATATTATTTTTAGTTTATTATTTCTCAGAAATACATCTGTTTTTTCCCAATTTTCCAAATTTAGACTTTGTCTTCTGCTCCATGTGCCGACTCCTACGTAATAAATACCCTTTCATCTAAAAATTAGTACCGCCCAACAACAAGCAGGTGAAACATTTTATATAAAATATTCAGTTCTAGATTTTAGTAATCTGAGAAAATGGTAACACCGGACAATTTTCAAACAACAACTCTTGTATTCTCGATAGTCTTTATAATTTTTATTCCATATATTGTTCTTGTTGCTTTTTGCTATATTTCGAGAAAAACTGATGACCGAGTAAGTTTTGAAAACATGCTTTCCACAATCATATTTTTTTTTTTCAGCAACCTCAACATATTCTTCAAGTGCATATGATTGTTTGTGGAATTTTCTGTGTTTTAGGATCATTCATATTTTCAGTTAGTGCATTGATTCTGGAATCCTCAAGTTTGATGGCCAAATCTGATGGCTTCGAAAAAATTATATCTTATCCTCTCGTAGTTTTCATGTGTCTCATGTTTGTTATTCCAACAATTATACAAACCTTGTTTTATTATCTTTTGCTGCTCACAGCAATCCAGAGAATCGTTTTGATATCAAAAGCAAAAGTTGGATTGCAACTTCTCACTGGGTTGGTTTAAAACTTATCCTGAAGCTGAAAATTAATAAAATAATTTTCTAGACGACGCCTTAATTTCAAAATCGCATTTTTCTATATCGTTGCCCTGGTTTCTGCTACTCAAAAATGTATGGACCCAGAAAATATATCAATTGTAAGTCAAGATCTTATTGAAATTCTTGTTTTTACTAAAAAAAATTTTAGCTTGAATTGGTTACACTGGTTTCAACTTTGCTCATTCTCACCCTGTCTTGTGCTCTTGTCCGACATATTGAAAGAAAAATGGTTGCTGCAGCTCATGTAACTGTTCTCACCCAAACAATTCCGGCAGTTCTTATCCAAGTCATCTTCACAGCTTTGGAATTAATGACAAAACATTTTGATCTTAAACATTTCTCTCTTCATTCAATTCGAATTATTGGCGCTTTCGTTATGTCAATCGCAATTCCATTTTTCATTATTCTTGGAAGCCGAACTAAAAGACGAATTGTTCATGCAATTATGACTTGTCGATGGGAAGAACAACACGGAAGAGGAGAATTATATGCAGATAGAACACCAGCGGAACATTCCAATGTTTTGAGTTTGTCTCCATCACCAACTATCAGGTTTTAAATATATCTTATGTAACTATTTTTGAATGTGTTTACTTATTTTTTATTTATTCGATTGAATTTGTGATAATTAAATTGTAAATAAATTTTTCACGAAAAATGTACAATCAAACTATTTTCACTGAATTTTTGCCAAAGACAAAGTTCTTTGTGTTTTATACTAGTTCTTGAAAAATTATTGATAAATTTTCCAAAAGTAGTTACGTATAAAAATCTTTGTCAACAGTAGTCCTTTACTTCAATTTGCATATGTTCTTCTACGCAAAAACTTTCTCCTCAAAAAACAGAGCAGGTGTAAATTTGCACCTTTTCTTTTTTTTATGAATATTTTCAACAAAGAATTCAATTTGTCAAACTACCAATAAAATGAAGAAAAAACATTTTCGATGATGATTTTATATTTATTTACAAAATGGTTTGTTGGTTGAATGCATAATAAAATAACACACACTTGGAAAGCCAAGATGATGCTTTTATTAACTTCAATCAATCAATAATCAGAAGGAACATTTGTCCAACAACAAGAGAATACTACACCTAAAATGGGGGGATTCATTATCATTTTTTTTTGAAAGTGGTTTTTTATTTAGGAAATCAGAGAAGATGACTTATTTCAACCGACACGTTTATGGTGGGGGATAAAATGTGGGGGGAGGACATTTGCTTTTGATATGAGGGACGACGACAAAAATTATGTGGGGGGAGAAAGGGGGAGGGGATTATGAAAGTACGGAAATATCTACTTTTGCTCGTTGTTGGCGCGCGTTCGACTTCGGATTCGGACGAGGCATTGTTCAGCGGAATCGGCTCTTTCTTCAGCGGTTTCCAAGGACAATTGAACGGATCGGTATTTGCTCAAATGGTTGTTGGCTTGTTCTTCCTAAAAAATTCCACAATTGTATTTCGAATCAATCAAGAAAAATAAGTAATAAACTTACGGCTTCATCAAGTTGTTTCTTTTGGAGTTTGAGTTTGGCGGTGAGTTTTTCGACTAATTCTTGCAATTTATCATAATTCTTCTTGTCTTCAGAAACTTGGAATTCGAATTCGCGAACCTTGCGGTCAGCGCGAGCCAATGTTTTGGTAGCTTCTCCAGCGCGGCGGGTTTCGGTTTCCAAATCGGTTTGAAGAGACTTGAGGCGTTGTTCGGCCTTTTGGATAGCCTTGGCTCCTCCCTTCATCACCGCAGCTTCGGCAGCGTCAGCGCGCTCTTGAAGATCCTGTAATACACAAAAAAGTTGAGAGATAAAGTTAGGGCTTATCTGTTTACCTTGACGGAGCTCTCGAGTTGTTTCTTGAATCTTTCGAGTTGTTGAGATTGCTCTTGCTCGTGGCGGAGATCTTCAGCGAGCCTGGAAAAAAAATGATGATACGGGTTACTGTGAGTAAAACAACTCACTTGGCGGCATCGGCAGCAGCGCGACGTCCACGGTCTTCGGAGGCGGACAATTCAGCATGAGCTTCAGCGATATCGCTCTTGAGGAGTGCAATTTCGTTGTCGAGTTGACTCTTGGCGGCAGCGTAGGCAACGTTTTGAGCGTTGAGCTCGTTGTTTTGCTCTTGATGCTCCTTGACTGAAGCTTCAACAACACGGCGAGCTCTCTCGATCTGGAAAAATTAGAATTTGATTTGAAAAGTCATTCAAAAAGTTCTTACAGCTTCGAGTTTAACGATGAGTTCTTCTTGTTCTTGTTTGGCAACAGCGAGTTTTCTCTCAGCGGCCAACAAATGCTCACGGAATTCTTCACGACGTTTTTGTTCGTCATCAACGGTTTGTTGCAACTCGCGGATTTGGTCCAAATAACGTCTGAAAAAATAATGAAAATAAAAATGATGCACCGAAGAAAAGCCTGTACAAACCTGATATTCTTTTGGGCGTCTTCGTTCGCACGGTTCGCATGGTCGAGGGCGATCTCCAATTCGTTGATGTCGGTCTCCAACTTCTTCTTGACACGGAAAAGTTCGGATTTGGCCTTGGTCTCGGAGTCCAAAGTGGCTTGAATGCTGTCGATGGTTTGTTGATGAACCTTGCGGTGGTTTTCGAATTCCTCTTCCTTCTCGGCGATTCTCTTTTCGATTTCGGCGCGGATTTGAGAGACTTCAATTTGACAACGGAGAGCCTTGCTTTCTTCGGATTCAAGAGCAGCTTCAGCTTCATCGAGTCCACGTTGAAGTTCTTCCTTCTCCATTTCCAAACGACGGAGATTCTTGGACAAAGCGTGAGTGGCACGTCCTCCTTCAGAGAGTTGTTCTCCAAGGTCACGAACTTCATCGCTCAACGATTTGTTTTCGCGACGGAGTCCTTCGACTTGATCAGCCAAAGTATCGTGTTGTCCACGGAGTTTGTGAGCTTCACCGGAGAGTTGACGAGCATCTCTTTGAGATCCGTCCAATTCGAGGTAAAGGTCATCAACCTTCTTCTTCCAGTCATCGATGACTTTGTCGAAAGCTTTTTGTTTCTTCTCCAAAGAGGAAACAGCTTGAGCGTGATGTTCAGCTTCAAGTCTGTTGGCATCAGCTTCAGTTGTCAAGCGACTACGAGCATTCTCCAAAGCAACAATCTTGGCGTTACATGCATCCAAAGCATCTTGAATTTCGGAAGTCTTTTGGTTTTGACGTTTCTTGACCTCATCAAATTCATCGGCTCCAATAAGTCCTTCGGTCTCGAATTTGGTTCTCCATTGTTCGAGTTCGACGGTGGCTTTTTGGAGTTGACGAGTAGCTTCGTTCTTTCCGGCAACTTCGTCTTCGATTGATTCCTTGAGTTGTTCAAGTTCACGAGCCAAGTTCTTGGACAAGTTCGAGAGGTTTTGACGTTCACGGCTTTCCTCTTCAGCTGATCTCTTAGCGTGATCCAATTCGTTGGAGAATTGAAGTTTGAGGCGGTTAGCTCCTTGAATCTTGGCTTCCAATTCTTCGACTTGACGAGCAAGATCAGAGTTGTCAGAGTTCAAACGTCCCTTGGATGAAACGAAGTCTTGCAATTGACGAGATTGTTCGTCAGCCTTAAGACGAAGTTCGAGAAGTCTGACTTCATGTCCCTTGGCAACTCTTTCTTGGTCAGCACGAGCCTTAGCTTCTTGATCAAGAGCAGCTGATGATTCATCAAATTCGCGTTGCATTTGAGCCTTCTCTTTTTCGATGCGGTTCTTTTGCTTTTGCAATTGTTCGACTTGGTCTCCCAATTCTTGGATAGCATCAGTTCCCTTCTTCTTCAAAACGGTGAGTTGCTCTCCGAATTTAAGTCCAGCTTCTTCCAAATCACGACGGAGTTTGGCGAGTTCAGCATCCTTCTTCTTTCCAAGTTCAACTTGAGCAGCAGTGGCGCGGATTTGATCTTCGAGTTGCTCATTGAGCTCATCGAATTCAGCTTGTTGTTCAGCTCTTGATCTATCAGCACGTTGACGAGCATCTTTCTCATCAGCCAATTGATCTTGAAGATCCTTCATACGGGCTTCATCTTGTTGAATTCCCTTTTGAAGTTTGGAAACGGCGGCTTGTTCGTCTTCCAATTTCATTCCCAAATTGTGCAATTCGGTTTCCTTGCGTCTCAAAGCATTTTCAGCATCGCTCTTTGATTTGTTCAACTCTTCCAAAGTTTCTTGAGCAATCTTGAGCTCTCCTTCAGCCTTTCTCTTGGCTTTGTCCATATCAGCGCGGTTTCTCTTCTCACGCTCTTGGGTTTGTTCAGAATCTTCAAGCGATTGCATGAGTTTGGCCTTCAATTTGTTGGCAGCCAAGTTTTGCTCTTCAGCAGCTTGCAAGTCTTCGCTCAATTTCTTGTTGGTTTCTTCTTGATTCTTTCTCTCTTTGTTCAATTTTGAGATGTTTTCATCAGCTTGACGCATTTCATCTTGAAGAGCGCGGATTTGATGTTCCTTGGCGTTCTTCTCGGCTTCAACCTTTCTCAATGAAAGATCAACATCTTGACAGCTCTTTTTCAATTCAGCACATTCGGCTTCAACAAGTTTCTTTTGCTTGTTGATTTCAAGAGCGCGAGCTTCTTCAACTTCCAATTTCTTGTTGGCATCAGCCAATTTTCCTTCGAGAGCAACCTTTTGCTCATTCATGGCAGACATACGCTCCTCAACTTCACGAGTGCTTCCCTTGCTAGCTTCCAATTGAGCCAAGAGCTCGGCGGTCTCCTTTGTGAGACGTTCAGCTCCCTCTTGGAGTTGACGTTTCTTCTCCTCTTCTTGCACCAAGGTGTCCTTGAGTGTGGCAACAGTCTCTTGTAGCTTCTCATATTGAGCCTCAATCTTTCCAGAGTTGACGAGTGGCTTGACTTTTCCGTAAAGTCTGAACCACGACCAGGTGCGCAATGCTCCCCAGCTGCGGATGTTTCTTTGGATAACTTTGTAAGCTTCGGCTTTTTCGGCAAGACGTTTCTTCTCGATCTAGAACATTTCAAATTAATTGATTGATTTATAAATAAATAAATAAAAAACTCACAATTTGGAAGTACCATCTGCATTGAGCTTGAAGACCAGTAATAAGTCTAGCAAGAGTGGTATCACGCAAATCTTCCAAATGGGCAACAATACCAGCCTTGAAGAAAACTTTGGTCAAACCAACACGGAAGTTATCTTCTTCCAATTTCTTTTCTCTAACCAAACGAGCCAACATATCAGCTGATCCTTTCTTGGCATCAGTTTTTCCGATGAGTGATTCATCAGCAGCCAAAATAGCATACCGTTGAACAAAATCTGGATGAAGAGTTCTGTTAGGGAATCCCTTTCTACAAATACGAATTCCTTCCAAGACACCATTACATGTCAATTGATTGAGAACCAAAGAAGCGTCAATAACTCCAGAGGCCTTCTTTTCATTTGGAATGATACAACGGATGAAATGTGGATGAGTTGAGTTCAACATGGTCATCAATTTGTTCAATGATTCTCTGTAGAGCATAGAAACAGTCATGAATGATCCAGATTTTCCCTTCTTCTTTCCACCAGCAGCTCCCTTTTGGGCGACGGCGGCTTCTTCTTGGGTGGTGTAATCTTGCCAGACTTCGTTGAGAAGAGCATTGACCTTTGATGCTTTCATGACGGTGACAACGGTGTCATTGAGAGGATCCTTGTTCTTTTCAAGCCAGTTCATAACATTGTAACGAACTGTACCAGCATAATGCCGCATGGCGAAGTGAGCTTCGGCTTGTTTTCCCTTTGGTGGTTTTGGCTTTTCGAAGTTTGGATGTTTGCCAAGATGTTGGTCGATGAGTTTTTGAGCCAAAGTTTGGTCACTGGCTTTTGGAACAATACATTCTTCATCGAGCATAGCAATGATACCAAGTGGCTGAAACAAATTAGAGATATTTCATATAAATTTTATAAATTGTTACCTTCTCAATGAGCTCAATACAAGCTTGCAAATCAAGACCGAAATCAATGAAAACCCATTGAATTCCTTCACGAGCGTATTCTTCTTGTTCCAAAACGAACATGTGATGGTTGAAGAATTGTTGAAGTTTTTCATTGACAAAGTTGATCCACAATTGTTCGAAAGAGTTGAACTGAAAAAAATTACAAAATTAAAAATTAAATTTTTGAAAATATGATTCTTACATCGAAGATTTCGAAACCAGCAATATCGAGGACACCAATGAAGTGATCACGGGAGATACCTTTTTGATCAAGAGTTTGGTTACATTTCTTGACGAGCCAGTTGAAGATTCTTGAATAAAGACCTTTAGCCATAGCTCCGATAGCCCAGTTGACTTGTTCCAAATTTTGTCCCTTGTTGACCCATTCGGCTCCGACCTTTACTCTTGGACGAGTCAAAGCCTTCAAGAATTCATCGGTGTCAATTCCGTAGTTCTTGGCGGCTCTGTCAGCATCTGTAATAACATGATTTGATTTTCAAATCTTCTCGATTGTCTATGTTTTATCAAAATCAAATTTTTGTGGGATAAACGTAGTTAGTTATCTTATCCCTGTTGATATAGTAATATTTACTTTGGGATAGGATAAAAAAAGAAGATATTTTTTCCGAGAAAAACGAAAAAGAAAAGAAACAGAAAAGATCTGTCCCACGCGCAAAGTCAACAATGAACCACTTATCGGTTTGTAAAAATTCGAAATCATAGAAAATTTTTAATATTCTCCAACTGAATATGAAAAATAACTTACCATCGGTACCATCTGGTTCAGCTTGTTCTTCACGTGGACGTTGTTTGAATTTCATGTTACCCATGTGCATCATAGCAGCGACCAATTGATAACATTCCTTCTTTTCTCTTGGTGAGAACTTGAGAATGTCGAAAGCTTCATCGGTCAATTGATGTTCTTCCTGAAATACATTTCATATTGATTTTAAAATCACAGAAGATTTTCTAAAGGTTTTCACTTACAGTATCGTTGATTCCATCAATAATCAATTCAGCTTGAGCAATGAACCAGTAATCTTTGACTGGTTTGTTGAGGAGAAGCTCTTCCTTCAATTTTGGTTGGAAATCGGAGAAGATTTGGTAGAAAATGTGATAACAACGCTCTCCTGGAGCTTGACGGATAACACGAGATTTTTCCAAAAGATAATGTTCAATATCGCAAGAAGCGACACGTCCTTGTTTCGAGAAATGAATACGGATGAATTTACCGAAACGCGATGAATTGTTGTTACGAACAGTCTTGGCGTTACCGAAAGCTTCCAAAACTGGATTGGTTTGAACGATTTGATCTTCCAAAGTGACTTTCTTGACATTTGGATCAGCATCAGCCTTCTTTCCACCGAAAGTTTCTTGTTGAGCAGCACCGACGGCGGCGAAGTAGGAAATAACCTTCTTGGTGTTTTCAGTCTTTCCGGCTCCAGATTCTCCGGTAATCAACATGGATTGATTTTCATGGTTTTGCAACATGTTTCTGTAGGCTTCGTCAGAGACGGCGAACAAATGTGGTGGCATTTCGGTACGTCGTTTTCCCATGAACATACGGGCAACCGAATCGGTGTAAATTGGAAGACGTTTGTATGGATTGATTACGACACAGAAAAGACCAGAGTAAGTCTAGAATTAAGAAACATGAGAAAACTGACAGAATTATATTGAAAAAAACTTACATAGATAAGCATAGATGCATAACGAGATTTCAAATTGTACAAAACTGAAGCGTCATTCAAGAAAGTCAAGTTGGACATGTCTTCGGTTTTCTCGAATTTTGGTGGATTCATTTCTTGGACCAAATCTGCCTTGATTGTTTTCTCGTTACCTTGTCCAAGCGAAACAGTTACATTGTCTCCAGCTGTTTTGGTGATAATAGCCTCGAGGTATCCCTCTTCGGCATCTGGGATCCAGACATTTTTCTTGGAATCATATGGTTTTGATTGATCCTGAAAAATAAGAAATTATATATGAAAAATACTGTTAAAAATATGTGATATTCAACAAAAAAAAAGAAATAAAATGAATACCTCAAGCATTTGCTCGCGGGTGCGGCGAAGGTACTTCCATCCTGGGTCGTTCTCGTAATCCATTGTGATATAAAATCTAAAAGTTGTCTTTGGTAAAAGATGTAGTTAAGTAAGTCGAGGACGAAGACAACCGCTGCTCGGTGGGATGCGCGAGCCTGGAGATAACTACTGTCAATTTTTCGCTTTCTCAAAAGTGGGTGGGATGAGGCGGAGCTTCAGAGGAAGTGCAAATATCCATAGAGCGGACAAATAAATGATAGAAAGAGAGCGAGAGGAAGAGAGGAGATGAGATATCCAGAACAATGAGCAGATACGCGGGGAGCCTAAGGCGCGCAAGTGCTTCTGCCATTTACACACACACAACCACTTTAACTTTTTTTTAACCAAGATTGAGAGGAACTATGATTATCTTTTCGCCGACGCACACAAAAAACGAAAGGAGATTCGGGGAATTTGCAGGAGAAACAAATTGAGGAAACAGTTTTTCTAGACCACACACGATGGTTTTTTATCAACTTGAGTGAGATCAATTCTTGGAACAATAATCCGATTACTGTAGATGAATAGAGTTAGTGTGTTGGAAATGTGTAGCGAAGATATACGGAAATTAATGATATGATGTTTGTGTAAAAGTTAAAAAAACAAGATTATTGCAAAAAGATGCAATGGGAACATTAAAAATTGTATTTCAAAAACCAAGGAAAGGTCCACTGCTACTAATAAAAAATGGAACTTAAAAAATTTAAAAAAAAAACGCTGTGAAACACATATTTTTGGAAAAAAAACCAAAAAGTTGAATAATCCATAAAAAAAAATAAAAAACCAAATTTTCCGTTAAACAAAGGGCAAAGTGGAGTGTCGTAGTGAGTTGTTAGGTGGAAGTTTGGCTTTTATTTTATTTTATTTTTTTTTTGAGTTATGTTAAAATTACCAAATTTTGGTTCAGTGTTTTTTCATTGTTTTTATCAACCTACGTATATATTCGTTTTCTACGGTTTTTGTAAACCTATTTTCAATTTAATGGCATTTTATATCGGTATCACTAATTTTTGCAGAAATCAGCAATTTTCCTTCTGAATTTTCACTTTCTACAAACGTTTTTTTTTTCTGGAACACTATATTTTTTCACGTTCGATCTCTAAAAAAGTGCATTTTTTTTCCATTTTCACATACTATAATTGTACTTTCGAGTTTGTATTTTCTTTTCAAACTCGTTGTTTTCTTGATAAGAGCATATATGATTATGTCACAATGTACAATTAGGACCCCTCCCCACACAACTTTTTTTATCAATCATCATTCGTAGTCAGAAAAAAATAAACTGATAAATAACATTTTTGTTCATTATTCCTTTATTTTTCCGTCCGTTTTCCATTCTTTGTTTCAATAATTCACAAAAATAATAAGCATTTCAGGTTGAAGCACATTTATTTCGCTTATCTTCTTTTCAAATGATTTCCGAGCGATCACCGCTACTTGAAAATGGGTGAGTTTATCTTGAGAATAGCAACTAAAAATCTCGCCCTTCGTTTTTTGTTCTTCTTCTTCTTTTTCTTTTTTTTTCTTCGTGTAATATTTACTTTGAGATGTGGATGTGGAGCAGCTCGCGCGCGCGCAATGAAAAAAAATGAATGAATAGATGAAATGAGGTCGACTCCGAAATATCACACAGTTTCTTTTTTGTGCTTTGTGAAAATAAAATAAAATAAGAGAGCTAGCAAAAAATGATATAACAACTTGCGTAGAACAAATGGTTTTTATATTTATCAAATGTCACAAAGATCACAGAACATTATGTTTTGGATAAATGAAAGTTATACTCAAATTTTCAGCACTAATATATTTCGGTGAATTTGGAAAAAAAAACCAACTCTAATATAATGTTTTATAGAAAGACGGGTCATAAAAATAACATAATTTCAAGTTTTGCTAACTTATTTTTTTGTAAAAAATATCGATAGTTCAATTTATAAAACTTTTCAGATTAAAAACCTACGATGCTTCCGCAGATGGCCGAAAAACAACAGTAACCTACGATAATGACAATTTTCATTGTCACGATGAAATTTCTCTTGAATCAAATGAATCTAACAAGCGAGGTATCTCTTTGATCTTCACAAATATCTAAAAATCTTTTGAACTTTTTTTCCAGCCACTCGGGTACTTTGGCTAACTGTTGCGTTGTGCTTATTTTTCATGATATGTGAAGTTTTTGGTGGAATTTTAGCTGGATCACTTGCGATTGTGACAGATGCCGCACATTTGGTAAGATTTTGAAAATTACAATTGTTTGATATTGAACAGGAAACTTTTCAGCTAACTGATTTTGCATCCGTATTGATCTCATTGTTTTCATTATATATTGCCAGACGAAAACCATCTCAAACTATGAGTTTTGGATTTCATCGAGCAGGTTTGTAAAATAATGTAAAATATTTCTTTTTTACAATTCTAGATCTTTTTCAGAAGTATTGGGTGCATTTTTCTCAGTTTTTCTTATCTGGATTGTTACTGGAGTGTTGGTTGTTTTAGCTATATTACGGATAATTAATGGAGATTACGAAGTTGAAGGTGGAATTATGGCAATAACTGCTGGTTTAGGAGTTGTTGTGAATTTGGTTATGTTGGCATTATTATATTTTGGTGGACATTCGCATTCACATGGTGGAGGAAGCTCACACTCTCATGGACACTCTCACGGAAGTGGTTCTGGTTAGTTTATGGGGTTTTGCAAAGAAAAAAATGCAAACTTTGCAACATTTTGAAGAAAAAAATGAAGAGAAAACAATATTTTATTGCTTTAGATAAGAATATCAACGTTCGAGCCGCTTTTATTCATGTTCTTGGTGATCTTCTTCAAAGTATTGGTGTGTTGATTGCTGCTCTTTTCATTTATTTTGAGGTTAGTTGAATTTTGTTTGAAAGTGTTAACAACACTTCAAAACTTTTCAAGCTCAAAATATTTTTCCCTCAATTTCATAAAATATTTTCAGCCATCTTGGGTGATTATCGATCCAATTTGCACACTCCTTTTCTCCGTCATTGTACTCTGCACTACAATTTACATTATGAGAGACGCCCTAATCGTACTATTAGAAGGTACGTGACTCATTTAAAACTAAGCTGTAAACAAAGTAATGTACCAAGAAATTTGGTGATAAGAATTTGGTCAAATTTCCGGAATCGCTGCAGTGGTTAATAGGCTTTGTGGAAAATTTTAAAGTTAAATTTTTCACAAGGATCTCAAATAAAATATTGGCAAAAAATACATCATAATTATTTTTCCGTTAAAGAAGTACTAACACAAAACAGTAAGCGGTACGGTATTCTTAACATGTGTTATTTATCAATAATCATATCTAATTTCTCAAAAAAAACCCAGGAATTTACAATCCCATAGTTATTTGCAGGTCGTCCAAGTAACATTGATTTTGCCAAAGTCTTCTCCTCACTTGAAGATATTGAAGGAGTCCGAAAAGTTCACGATCTCAGAATCTGGTGTCTCACAATGGACAAAATTGCGTTGAGTGTCCACCTTGAAATTGATTCAAATTCTCAATCTCAAGCTGTTTTGCGAGAAACTCGACACATGCTTAAACAAACATATAATGTTCATGAAATCACAATTCAAATCGAAGAATTTCGACAAAACGGGGAAGATTGTGATAAATGCGAGATTCCTAATAAATAAAATTATAAAAAACTATACACATTTTATTAATAAACACATTTTCTTTCTTTTTTTTATGCAATCAGGCCTTTTTGTTCTTCATAATAGCCGCAACATCCATCAGCATCAAGATCTTTTTCATATTTTTCGCAAAGTTTTTGGAACATGTCATTGAAATCTTTTTCAATTTTCTTCAATTGTTTATTGCTTTGTCGACGACTGAATCGATGAGCATATTCACCTTCTGTTACAAGAGTCACCTGCAAAATCGGGGATTTTTTGGGAAAAGAAAGAAGATTACCTACTGATTCCCCAACATAAAAATCATTCATATGGCGAAGAGCAAAACAAAACATGAGGCACATGAAAATGACGAGCCAAACATCAGAATTATCTCGAGATGCTTCATTTGTTCTGAAGTTTGAGTGAAACATATCACAATTTTTTTTAGCTGCTCCATAACTTTTCAATGTTCAATTATAATCTAAAAACTCACCTCACTGCATCTACACAAGAAAATAAAAATAAAAATAAAAGAAACATTTTTCAATAAATAAAATAAAATGAACCATTTCTCCCACCATTTTATTTTATTTTTGACACATTTGTCAATATCTTTTTTTTTCTACAAAAGCAAACAAAAAGTGCACCGAAAAAATCCAAGAAAATAATTACGGTAACTACAAATTCATACTCCCCATGTAAAAATCGTAAAATGTAGCGCAAAAAAGGGTGAGGTACAAAAAAGGGCGTCTAATCGAATATTCATATTAATCCGTAGTAATTTTCATACCTGGTTTCGGTTTCTTATTTTCTAACTTTTTTTGGTCATTTTTTTCTGATAACTGAAAAATTCAAAACAAGACATGGAACAGGCTGAGGTAAGCTTTAATAAAAACATCTCTAGTAAAGAACCAAGTTTTTCTAGATGGATGATATTGTTATGTCAGTTATGAAAGAATGTGGATATAATATTGGAAATGTCAAACAGGAAGAAACTGATCATGAAGAAGAATCAACAAACTCCGACAAAAGCTTGGAAGGAAAGTTTTTGTGTAATCATTTACAGTTGTGACAAATCAGTTCTCTGAAAATTTTGATCAAATATTCTTTTTTCAGTAAAATTGAAATATTATTAAATTAAACTTTCTCAATTCTACCGTCAAAATTTTTTTTGAGAAAAACAAAACTCAAAATTTTAATATTGGAGTCTAAACATCAGGAAATTAGATCCACTCCGTTCAGAATTGAGATACGATCCACAAATGAATGATAAGGGGTTTCTGATAAGTCAGTTGGAAATATTCATTTTCGGCTAAAAGAAATATGGTTAGACTGAATGAAAAGCATTTTCAATTCAATATTGTGAAATAAATTTTTCCACAAGGCTGAAAAGGAGCAAATTATTGATTGGTAGCTCCTTTTTGTAAAGGGCTCCCGGAAAAGTGTTTGAATTGTTTCATCGAAAAACTACTTTTTTGTTTAAGATCAAGTCAGTTAATCAAAATATCAAAAGTATTTTCCATAGCAGCAAGAATAGAAAAAAATTCATTGATATTCTAAAAAAACGATTCTAAAGAAATGCAAAAAAAATAGGTAGAGAGTAATTTTGAACACAGGCAAATAAATATGCACTGACAATTTTCAAAGTTTAATTCAAGAATTTTTAAACATATTTTAAATGCATATTTCATCATTAATAGTGAGGTACCAAAATCTTGAAAGAAATGACTTTTCAAATATATTAAAACCATTAGATGTTAGTGTTCTCATATCATAGAGACTCCATTGCTCTACTTCCTTCAAAACGTTGAACTTCTCCCAAAATCTAATTTTTTGAACTTCTGAGAAATTGAAAACACATGATTTGTATAGTAAAAGATTGAAAACAACTCTTCGTCATCTTATGGATTTCTACAGTAATTTTATTAATTCTTAGAAATGTATTTTATACTACAAAAAAAAGAGTACAATTCTAGAAAGAAAAATATGACTACTGTAGTCGCTCATTTATTTTTCAACACCTCTTTCTCATTTTTTTTATTAATAAAAAACATATATTCAGGAATTAATATAAATGACTACAAATTTTCCCACTGTTTCCCATAGCACCCTCGATTGCAAAAAAATTATGAACTTATCTTTACCTTTTCTTTCTTTCTATTTATTTTTTTATATGTGAGAATTTTCTCTTCACAATTTTCCTTCCAACAAAAATTTATATTTTTCTCTCCAATTTCTTGTAGTATCTCAAACAATACATTTTCTCGTTTTAACTTAATAAAAATATGTATTGAAATACATAATCGTGGAAAACTAAATGTATTTGGGTAGCTATAATTGCAAAGGTAGTATGTACAAAACTATGGGAAACTATAATTTTTACAGAACTGTTGGAGCCGCTTCCAGATTTGAGCACCATCATGAATGATAACAAAATGCCAACGGCTACAAATTGGCCAAACTTGCCACCGTTTCTTTCTTATGAAGAACAACAACGTCAGCAAGCAGAACAACAGATTCAACAAGTTCAACAAATTCAGCAAATTCAGCAACAAAATCCATTTGATGTTGATATGAACACAATTCGGACCAATGCACCACAAATGATGCCAAATTTTTTGCCACGATTTGGTAAGAACATACATCAAATCAAATCAGAATTAAGGGTTTTTACGTTTCACGAATAACTTCAAGGAAATTTAACGGATTTCTATGGTTTTTTCGTTCTAGACTTTTATTTTCAGGATTTCAACTCCCAGAGTTTGATTATCGTATGAATGAATTCTCTCGAGCTGGATTATTCGGAGCATGTTCTCTTAGCGGTCAATTTCCTACTCATCAACTCGCCCAAACTTTCAATCTTGGAACAAACAACACAATCGCTGAAAATCTTCAAATTCCTCCACCGCCTCTTCTTGCAAATCAATCCACAGTTATTCAACGTGTTCCCGTTGCAACTCCTCCAAATGTTGAAAAACCTCCAATTTTATCAGCAGAATATCAACCAGAAAAGGTTGATGAGGAGATGAATGGTTTTGATATGACAAAACATTCACAACAATTTCCAAGTGAGGTTGATAAGATGGCACAAAAACTGCATATTGAGAAAATGGACGCGAGAATGCGGGAAGATCTTTTGTTCAATACACAATTTTATCCCACAGCAATGCCACTTGATATGACTTCTACTGGATTTCTCAAACAAGAAATCAATATACCATTGATGGATCCATCTCTTGATTATGCACATATTCATCCACTAATGATCAAAAAAGATCTCAGCCCGCTTCAAGATTGTATGGTATGTTTTTAATTGTTGATAACTCGAAATATGAAATTCACTCATTGAGTTTAAATACCTCAAACTCTAAACTCTGTCGGAAGCAATAGTGAGTTCATTATTGTTTTAAGAAAGTTTGTACTTTGATAAGCTAATTTTTTATTCTAGATGTGAATAATATATTAATTTGTTTTTTTTTGTATCCGTAAAAGTCACGAGTTTTTCTAATTTACTATTAGTTTTAAGCGGATTATTTTTTGATTTTTTAAAACAAAAAAAAATCAAATTTAGCATTACAAAAAATGGGAGGGGCACCTACATATCATTGGTTCAATATTTGTAAAGTTCAAAATACAACGAAATGTATTTATGCAAAAACAGAAAAACAACAGGAAACATCTAAATAAATCAAACTGATAAACCTTTTTAAAATCAGATAAACAAAAAATTATGTATGTAACTGTTTGGAAGTTTTGAAAGTGCACTTAAATAATGTTTTCACCGAAACGTTAATGTTAGAAAGAGACCAACAATGTTGAAACCTTACTATGAACACTATTTTTTCAGGTTTGCCAATCAACACATGCAAACGGTCTTCATTTTGGAGCGCGAACTTGTGCTGCATGTGCAGCATTTTTCCGACGAACAATCAGCGATGAGAAACGCTATGTTTGCAAACGCAATCAACGATGTCACAATGCAAGTCGAGATGGAACTGGCTATCGGAAAATATGTCGAAGTTGTCGAATGAAACGATGTCTTGAAGTTGGTATGCTTTCAGAAAGTAAGTTTGGCAATATCGATTCAAAACATTATGGAAAAAAATAAAAATGAATACTTTAGATGTTCAACATAAGAGAACTCGACGTGAACCAACACCACAGCGAAAAATGCATTTCGACAATATTTTTCATCCTGGTTTCTATCAACATATTCAACCGAGACAATGATTCAAACTTACAATATTTCAACTTGCATAACAAAATTGTATAAATTTATTGATAAAAAAACCGGCGTAAAAAATGAGATTTTTTGGGCAATACATTTAACACTGGGGGGAATTATAATTTTAAAAAAGTAGAAATCAAAATTTGGATATGGTGAAAAAACGGTGGGAGATCATTAGGAGAAAAGTAGGGTATGAATTGTATCGGGGGAAAACAAGTTGGCTGAATATGAAAAATCAAAAAGTGATAAATTTAACAAGTAGGATATTCTATAGACACTTGAGAGGATTGGTCTTTCACAATCAGCTTTTTGAAGATGATGAATCCTTCGAATCTTTCTTTGACGATGAAGAATCCTTTGATTTCTTTTTTCGAAGAAGGCAAATCATCTTGATGCTTCTTTGATGAAGAGGATGAACCATTGTCGTGTTCTCTTTTCCTTGATGACTTTTCAGGTTTTTGAGATTTCTCATCTTTTGCAGAATGATCTCTAGAAAAAATCATTTTCAAACTACTAATTCTAAGATTTTATTTGAAAAAAAATTAATGAATTTAACATTACTAACCTGAAATCAATATCCATTATGATTATTTTTCCATCTGTTGATCCGGTTGCTAGTCGTGTCGAATCAACAGCAACACTTGTTATTGGAGCATCGTGACTTTTGAAATGCATCATATCAGCTGGTTCGATTTTCCCTTCCTGGGTCATTGCAGTCAAGTTGAGCTTATTCTTCCCTTCAACAGCCCAAGCAGCAACAAGTGGAATCGCATCAGTGACACCTTTCACCATCGAATAAACTCGTTTTGGTTTTGCGAATGTTGCTCTGAAAAATGAAAACATCTAGTGACTGTGACTAGTGATAATAGGCTATCAAGTATCAAAAAAAAAACTCACGGTGATGGTCCCTTGCTTGCTTGAGTCGCTGAAGATGTCACATTTCCAAACAAAACCTCCAATTCACTTTTCGAATCAATAAAAACATTGCATTCAGATTGATCACCAACTGCAAAAGCAATTCGCTTATTGATAAGACCAACACTGGAAACTGGTCCTTTGATCCATCTTTCCCAACGAAGTGCATTATCTTCATCACGACGTTCACAATTGAATGATCGAACAGCTCCAGTTTTGTCACCAGTCAAAAGATCTGTTCCATTTTTGTAGAAAGACATGCAAGTAATAGCGTCAGTGTGCTTTTTCTGAAAAATTATTCTGTTTCACTTATTTTATTATCAACGATGAAAAATGTGGCAGCTCGTAAATAGGAAATTAGCGCCGATGAAAAAAATAATTCAATGTTTCTGGGGCGTTGAAAGCGCTGCGTGAGAGCGTTGCGGTTGGAAAACAAAAATGTTTTGAATTTTAATGGAATTGATCAATGAAAATTTTTGATCTACTCTCCCATGTGTCTAAATCTCTCAAAACGACTCAATATTTCTTGATCAAAATAAAAACACTTGCGTTGCCGTTCTTTTGATTCGACATCCAACCGCAACGCTCTCACGCAGCGCTTTCAACGCCCCAGAAACATTGAATTATTTTTTTCATCGGCGCTAATTTTCTATTTACGAGCTGCCACATTTTTCATCGTTGATAATATTAATTTTCTGGTAAAAAAATACAAACCTTGTATGTGGTAATCGGTTCATTGAACTTTCGAATATCAAATAATGTGACAACATGTGGATAATTCTCCTTCTTTCTCGATGCACGAACATCAGCAATACCTTCACCAAATGTTGAACTAGCAACAGCAAAATATGTTTTAGAGAGCGCAGTGCATCCGACAACGTGATTTTCAACTTCTGGATTCATACGCATCTTATTTTTTGTTGATGAGCGCAAATCAAATAGATACATTCCAAATGACACATCACAAGCAAAGATGACATCTGAATTTTGATAAAATAATGAGAAAATTGTTTGGATTGAAAAAAAACTTACTTGGTTTATCCTCGCCGTAATGAAGACCAGCCACAGTAGTTGATGTTTCATATTTTGTGACGATTTTACCAGCTTTGATGTCGATACTCGGAATATACAAATTCGAAAGTGCAACGGCCATATTGTTGTTTGGGCCAAGAGCAAGACAACGAGCCACAGACTGAAAATCCATTTTGTTATTTTTTTCCCAAAAAAATAAACTTACGTTGTATTTGATATCAATTATAGTTGGATTTGGCATATTATATGATGGATGTTTATTATTTTACCTGAAAAAAAAGTTGGTTTGTTTTTGAGAACAAAGAGCAAATCGCGAAAAAACACAAGCGACGGAAAAAAGAAAGAAAAAAGCGAAACATTTGAAAAGAGAAGAGAAATTGTTGATTTTTCTCTTCCACGACCGCAAACCTTTTCTTTTTTCTCTAAACTCTCTTCAGAAAATGTGTTTCTCTCGTTTTTTTCTTTTTTGTTTCGATTTTCGGTTCATGTCAGTTACGTTTGAAAGAAAGAAAACATGATTCTTAAACTATTAAAGAATAGATTAAAAACGAATCCGCTAACTACTCAAATGATGATTGCTGGTAAGGTTTTCTAATGGAAATTGTTGAGAATGATAATTTTTGAGGTACAATCAGTGGTTCTGGAGATTGTGTTGCTCAATATTGGACCGGAAATAAAACTTGGGACAAAGTGAGGACAGCTAGATTTGCATTTTTGGCTTCATGTTTTATGGTGAGTCGGGTTTGCCAGATATGATTAGACAAAACATGGTTTCAGCAAGTTAAGGAAACATAAAAATTAATATTTTCACAATTGGCAGTGAAAGAGGGAAATCTCTCAAAAATTATTAAAAAAAATTAAAAACTTATTCAACCTACCATCGATTAGTCACTTAAAAATATCTTAAAATCTAAAGAAATTTTTAGCTAAAGTTATTGATTTCTCAAAAAACAGAATTGAAAAAAAACACAAACGCGCAAAAAAAATTAAATGAAATAGAAAGCAAAAAAGACGCCTACAAAAAACCTACAAAATAAATCCGGCGTGTGCGATAGAGCGAGATCAGCCGCTCCCCTTCCCTTTTCTTGCCCTAATAAAAAAAAAACAATATGCAACAGTGAATACAATATCTTCTGTTCTCTATCTCTCTCTTCTTGCACGGTGTTTCTTCTGTGTGCGTGTTTTTTCAGAGAAAAACTACAAGTAAAGCATTCTAGAAATGAACATTTCCAGATAATTTCTTTTCCCGTTTTTTTTTAGAATATTTCAATTTTAATACTAGAACAATATTTGTAAAAAAAACCTGTGAACAATAAAAAAATAATTCTTGATAAATGAAACAACAAAATAATATTTCAGGTGCCAACTGTCAATGTCTGGTATAAACTTCTGGACAAACTTCAAGGATCAACAAAGCTTGGACTTGTTGTAAAACGAGTGATGATTGATCAACTATGTTTTAGTCCGGTTTTCAATGCAGCAATGCTATTCAACTTAAGATTTTTGCAATTTCAATCTGCTGAAAAATCGATCGAAATGTTGAAAGAAGATTGGTTCAATATTTGGACTAGTAGTTTAAAGGTTTTTTTGAAAGTTTGGTTTCTCCGTTAAATTGTATGATTTTTAGGTTTGGCCAACAGTTGCGCTTATTAATTTTTATTTTATGCCAATTCAATATAGAATTACTATAAATCAGGTATTATTTCATTTTAAAAATTTCATAATAACATATTTCGTTTTTTCAGATAGTGTCATTCTTCTGGAATTCGTATCTTTCATATTCAACTCAAAAACCAATCGACCACATTGAACAATTTTATTGAACTACAAAGAACTACGAAACATTTCACGGGTTTTCAGTGATATGAAAATAGGATATTTGAATTTTGAAAATAAAACATGAATAAATAAAGAAAAACGTCACACAACAAAGCTGAAAAAAAAAGAGTACAGCGAGATCACGAGAAATCTATTTAAAGCAAATTCATATTTTGATTGTTGATATTATTATTGTTTGAACCAGTTGATTGTGTTCCACTTGGACCAGCTCCCGAATCATCTGGTGGATCGCGACGATAGTTTGATGGGAAGACCTGAAAAATTGATACTGTTATAGTTATAGATATCTATAATTATAAAAAGGATTTAAGCTTTTTCAGGAAACAAATGTCTACTTCCTGTATATTTTCAAAACCCCATGTTTTTCTGAAAATGTTTTCCATGGGGATTTCAATACAAAGAAAACCCCTAACGAAATTCACTTTAATTGGAGAATGCACTTTTTGTCTGAGGATGATTTCATTTTTGATTCCCCTTTCAACTTGATGAAGTTTTTCACTAATTGCGTGCTGAAAATCAGCATCCAATTCAGAAAAATGAAACGTGACTGCCCTTAAAACCAATAGAATGATATCATCAAGGAAAACATCTTCAGAGTTAACCTATATTTATTTATTTTTTTGCTTTTTTTCATAATTATATAGAAGATAATCATAGTTTATTTCACGCTTCCAACATAAATTCAAAAAACACTCACTTTCAATAGTTCAAAATGAACCCGTCGTTTTTGCAATGGTTCATCATTCTCACTTTCTGCATTTCTCCGTTTCCTAGTTGTTCCACCAACTTCTTCTTCAACACAAGTTTCACCATCCGAGAAATTCATGTCACTAACTCCTTGTGTCAATAATTCTCGAACACTGATAACTTCTCCTGGTGACATTGTCTCTTCTCGACAATACGCATCTTCAACATTTCCGAATAGAGCAATTCCGTTGATTGGTGAATTTCTTCCCGAACTAGAGTTTGGAGAATTTGATGATGATGGAGTTTCTGCTGGGGAATATGGCATATATCTTGATTCTCTGTGATTGAGAAGTGGATTAACAACTGGTGGATTATGAACAATTTCATGTTCTTCAATATCATCATCCTCTTCATGTTCATTATCTGAATTATGATACCCATCACCTTGTTCGTTTACCCGATTGTTTACTAATTGAACAACATCAACAACTTCAACAACAACATTATTCTGTGCACCAAGATAATAATCGATTGGTGGTGATAATGGTGAATATCTTCTTGCACCTTCTACAATATTGATTGGATCATTTGGAATGATTTCTTCTGGTGCTTCAGGAACACCTAACCGTAAATTGTTGACCGGATCAATCATTCTGAAAATAAAAGAAATATGAAATCACAAAATGTAAATTGTCACAAGGTTTAAAAGCAATTTAAAAAAGCGACGCTGGTTTTGATGGAGAAAAAAACACACGAAAAAATAATGATATGTACAACGCCCACTTGTTGGCAGCACATTTTAATTGGATGTGCTTTTTCTTTCTTAAAATAACATTTGCGAATGAAACCAAAATTATATAGTGCTTTGCTTTCGTTTCAGGTTACTGTAGTAGTAGATACTCAACAATTATAGATTCAAAAATAAAATATGATTGAAGAATAACTATGGGAATTTTTGGTTTTGTGGAAAAGGTGTATATTTTAATCTTGGGATTATATGGCTTCTAAATACTCTTGAAAAGTTTATGGAAATTGATACGAAGCACTTATCTCTGAACATTAGCAAAAAAGTTTCAAACAAAATTGAATTGGTATCGCATTTTATATATGTATTGAAAAAATGATTATGAAAACAAGTGATGACTGGAAGTGCAAATTCAAATCAAATAAAATCGGATAAACTTAATTCAGTAAAGCTGTTTGAACTTCACGCTGAAAATCAAGATTTTTATCAAATTCTTGAGATCGTATCAAAGTCGATATCTCTGATACGTTTTGTTTTTTGGCATAACAAAATTTGAAAATCTAAACAGATAAAAGTTTTCGTAAAAAATGTTGTTATTTTTTCTTGCCGAACAACCCGATTAGTTTGTTTGTTGGAGCATTTCTGATGCTAGAGACTAGTGTTTTCTGGTCACAAAAGCATCAAAGTAACAATATATTAAATTTCTAGCGTTAAGCGGCAAGAAAATATTGTTGCCTTTCACACAAATGAAATGAAATGAGTGGCTTGATCTCGCCTACACGAAGGAAAAATGCCGTGCAAGGTGGAAAAAATGCAAAAAATCCTAAAAAAAAAAAAACAGAAAGGAAAGGAAAAAAGGAAAGAGAAACGGGTGAACGCGGTCGCGCCTCAGAAATTTTTAGGCCAATTGAGAGTCAAAAAACTATTTTTTTTTAGTTTTTTGTTCTATAATTTTGAAGGGTTTGGCCTGATACAGAAGAACTTAGCTTAAATCGAGATTTGAATATGACAACTAATTTTGTTTTGGACTTGCTTTTCCGAGTTTCTATAAGTTCAATATCACACTGAAAAAGTTCGAAAAAAAAAACACGAATTCAGATCAAATTAAAAGTTATTCTAAAAGCATCGTTAACAGCTTCCGTTTACATCAGCATTTTACTATTCTTTGGCTATTTTGAGAAAAAAAAAGTATTTTTATTTTTGTCAGAAAAATAGTGGTCAATATAATTCTGTGAGAAAAATGTGTTATTTGTTTTTCTGCAAAAAAATATTATCAACTTCTCATGTTGTAAAAATCTGAAAAAATAGATGATAACATGCGGCCAAAACTCAAAAGTGACCAATATATTCGTATAGTTCAATCAATGAGAAAACAACAACAAGAGAACAAAAAAACATTTTTTTTTGGTTCGGGGGAACACTTTCGACTGTTCTCAATTCCCCAGCCAATTTTATGGTAATCCATCAATGACCTTCACATTGTTCGAAACATCTGGACAGTTTGAAAATAAAAGGAAAAACCAATAATTGTTTGATCTTTATCCCAAAATGTGTTTATGTAGTGTTAATTGATCAGAAAAATTAAGAAGAGTAAAAAGAAAGGACAACTAGGAATTTGGATAAAATAACCGTAGTTCAAAAGAAACATAAAAAAAAGAATATGCGTAAACCCCAGAAGAAATCACTAAACTACAAAAATGAACACGTAGAAAAATTAAAAATTAGGGGAAGGGGAGAGAAAATCTTATGGTTTGCCTCGAAAAATCTCAAAAAAAAAATAAGAGAATGGACATACATATAAAAGGAGGGGAGAAAAAGACGATGTAGAGGAGAAAGCAAAAAAAAGTGTGTATGTTGACAACACAGACAAAAAAAAAGGAAAATGGAGATGAAGGGAAAAATATGTGGGAGAGTAGGGACAAAAAATGAGGAAAAACGAGGAGAACTAGCGGGTGGCAAGATGATGAAGAAGAAGAAGAAGAATATGAACAACTACCTACTATCAATTGTGATTATAATTATCGAGTTCTACAAATTTGTGTGGGGTGTGTTTCTTGTTATCTTCAGGTTGATGGAATTAAAGCGATGCGTTTATGGCAGATGAGAGAATGTGCATAATGATGACCTCTGAAAATATCATATTTATTTTGTTATCAATTATTTTGGAACACAAATAACAATACTAAATTTGTCCAAAATCACTAGATTGTCTATTTCTAAAATGTTTGAGTGCTCCTAGAAAACTCATAAAATTGGCTACGATACAGTATACCCTACTACATTCTGAAATTTCAGCTGCCCCACAATTATGTTGATCTCACATGACATTATTCTATTTGCTCACATTGGATTACTGTAGAATAATCCCATGAAATTAAATGAACTCTCCAAAAATAGATTTTCAATAAAATAAAATAAACCAAAAGAGCAAAAGCGCTCAAAATTTACGATCGAGAGATTCAATTATGCGTTTTTTTTGCAAAGACTCACCAAATATTGTTATTCGCTTGAATAAAGGCCAAAACTTCCGGGGAAACATGTTCACGAAGTTGACGATTTTCTTCACGAAGAGCTGAGAGCTGAAAAGAAACATTTGAGTAGAATGATTAGGAAATTTTTGAGTTAAAGTAACTCACTCTCGATTCCAAATCCGAAATATGCGAACGAAGTGTTTCGACTTCTTCACGAACCGCAAACGTGAGATGAGTTTTGACGAGATCCATAGCTTGCACAATTTTGTTGTCAATCGCAACTACTGTACTACTTGTACTTGCAGCAATACTGGAGACGACAGATTTAATTGGTGGTTGTATTGGAATTTTTGCGGGTGTTGGTTGAGCATGCTGTTTTGAACGAGACACACGAGCACTACATCAAGAAAAAAACATGGGCGGTTAAATATCATGCAGGGTTGTGGGTCGAGGGTTGCAAAGTGATTTTTATTAATTTTTTTCGATAAAGTTTTCCTAAATTATTGTTCCATTTTATCCGAATATTTTTTTTTTCGGTTTTTTCTTGAAAAGAAAAATTGCAAATTTTTTTTCTCTGGGAAGTTTCTCATATTTCCAACCTCGAAAAAGGAAATTTGATTTTCTAAAAGTCTAGACAATCATTCGTAAGATTTATGAGATTTTTGAAAAAAAAGGAGAAAATTAATTTTCTAAAAAATCTTCTCAGTTATTCAAGCAACGTTTTTAATTTTCCTAATGATTTTTTTTCAAATTGTGTATTCACGTTTTCAGCTTCTAATAAACTCTATTATCAGGAAAGTTTGAAGAGTTCCTTGAATGAATAAGTGAAAAACTAATTCAATTTCGCCAAATACTCAAAAAATGCGTAATTACATTTTTTGCTAAAAAGAAGAGATTTCTCATATTGCCAATATAGTAAGGGGGTTTACTTTTCTATTCATATTTCTAATAGTTCTGAATTTTTCTCAAGCATTAAAAGGTTAAATTAGATTTTTTATTAGAGAACTCCAAAAGTTTTTGAATGAGTTTGTGAGTAACTAATTCAGTATTCGGAAAAAAATTGCGTAATTACAACTTTTTTTTACGATGTGAGGGAAATTATATTGTTTGCTGATTAGAAAAATGAAATTCGATTTCTTGAAATTCGAGATAATAATTTTTCAAATAGATGTTCTATTCATGCAAGAATATCTCTGTTCACCTATGAAAATCCTGATAAACTGATCATCTTAAGTGGAAAAACAGCCAAAATTTCAATTCATGCAAACATGCTTTAGTTTATTTTCAAAAATTTGTTAGAATTTTTTAAAGGTTCCTATATAGGGTAAGTAATTTCAAGCGAAATGAAAAAAATCATGCAAAACCAAGGACAACATAAGGGTAAACTGGGATGCATTCAAACATACCCTTCATCTTCATCTTTTGATGCGCTTGGTGTAACTTGTTGAACAGTTTGAAGATTGTCATCAATTTCATCTAAAGCTGGATTCGATGTTGTATGTGTTTGGCTCGAAATAATAACAGTCGATGATTGAGCCATTTCAACTGGTGCTTTTTCTTGTGGCGACATAATAATAACCTCAATCTCTTCACCTGGTGCAATCATTTTACCAGCCTTGGCATCTCGAATTGTGTGATTAACAACAGTGACGTGTTTCTGATTCTCTTTCTGTTGCTCGCGCGCCACCTCTTCTGGTGTCTTAACAACCTGCAATAATAAAAGGATTAGATTAGAAATTATTATAAATATAGATATTTATATTTGACATTTTATGTATATGATTCATCTGGTTGATGTGATAAAAATAACAAATGAAAAAAGAAAACATGAAGTGTAAACGATCAATAGGATTTTTTGAAGCAAAGTGAGCAAAAAGTAAGGAAAGAAGAAGAAGAAGAAGAAGCAAACTGGTAAACACATGTTTTTTTGCTGCTTTTTTTCTGCTTTTTTAGTGTGCTTCTTCTTCTGTTTTGCTCGTCGATGCTTCAAAAGAGTAAAGACTACGAAGGTCCCATGAGATAGAGAAAGAAATTTCATATTATTCTTTTTATTATTGACACATTATTTGACTTCTAAATGTGTTTTTATATTCAATTTCCATGTGTCAGATGAAGTTTGCGGAAAATATATTTGAGGGATGAGATTTTTCTTATTTCCGAAACTTACCGGTCTATAGAACTTGCGGCGAACTGTGATCTTCTTGTTTTTGAATGTGACAACTGATTCATACTCCGCGCCTTCCGGATAATTGCCAAAAACTGAAAAAATCAATGTTTTTGGACAACTTACTATTCGGAACAATTCCGAAATCCAAATTTCATCGGGTTAACCTCATTCGATTTGCGATCTTTGTTTTCTTGGTTTTTTTGATAACAATAATATTTTTCAAAATATAATTACATTCTCTAGTATCGAGAGACTGGAAATGAATTTGGAACAGGAAGTAAATTGTGAAAGAGACCTTGTCTGAAAATAGCTTCCAGTAAATAAAAAATATAGTCTTGAAATGAATATATGGGGATCATGCTGGGTGTTGTTGAGGTGTAACCCTAATGCTTGACTTGTGAAAAACTATTTGAAAACTATCCCAATGTGATCTTACCGGTCTATAGAACCTTCAAAAAAGGGACTGTCACACAAAAGCTCCTAGGCTCTATTTTGAAATTTGCAATCATTTCTTTACAAACTTCATACATCAAGGTTCAATGTAACCTTTAGTTTCAAAGTTTTTCTCAAACTACAATCTAACCAAATTGAAATTTTGAAATTTTTCGTGATTGATAACATTTACAATGTCAGATAAAACTTCAACGATAAAGTTTGTATTTTTTGTTTCTTTTGGATTGTAAATTGAAACAATTCCGGTTATCATTTGACTTTTGAGCGAAAATGCTTCTCACATTAGATCATCCAAATGTGACTCCACTTATTTTAAAATGCATATACATATTGAATTTCAAAGAAAAAGGAGCTGTTTTATTGGTTCTTTTCAGCTCTCATCAGAACTATGACGTCATTTTTTCCAATTAATTTTTTTCTAAAATACTTACCTCCCATTGCAGATCCTCCTCGTGTGTCACTACACTTCCAGCGTCCACGTGAGAATTCTCCAGGAACTGGGACGACCTGAAAAAATGAAAATAGGGATTGTGATTTCATATTTTGAATGTTCAGATTTGAATTATATTTCGAAGGGGAATAATTAGAGGTACTTGTGTTAAATCTACAGAATTGTTTCACGTTTTCCAAATTTTAAATAAATTCTGAATCAAGATTTCAATTGTTTCACGTATAAAACACACGAAACGCTAAAAGTTCACAATGAGGAATTCGTAAAATCAAAATTTTCATCGTTTAAAAATTCTATAGAAATATTGTAATATGAAGTTTAAAAAAAGTGAATTTTTTAAAATGAAAAGCTGATGCAAGATTTTGTGTTTTGTGAAAATACACTCAAAAAACAATATCTTGGTTCAAAAATATTTTTATCAACTATACGATTTTGCTCACCTGAAACTTTTTTGGTCTTTGAACCGATGGTGTCGGCGCTGGTGCAGCTTGTTGCTGTGGTTGAGTTGCTCCAGCTGGACTCATGTCTCTTCGACGGATTGTCTGAAAATCAAAATAATAAAAAAACATTTCGAGCGAAACTTCTAACATATATTTTACTATCAGAAAAAAGCACGTTTTTTGCAAAAAAAAAAGAAAGTCGAAAAAAGTGCACGATAAGGAGTTTTTCCTCGTTTAACAACATAGATACACAAGAACACTTTTTTTCGCAGCCAGCGAAAAAAAAAGAAGAAAAAACGAGAAAATGGAACACAATTTGAAATGTATGGACTTATTGTGTTCGAAAAAATAAATTGAAAAAAAAAACGAATTTTGGAAAACAGTAAAATTTTGATTTATGCGTCTTTTGGAAATTGTGTGGGGTGGGGGGCAAAACATGACATTTTGAAATTCAAATGAACTTTAGTTTCGACGATTAAAAATGTGACAAAAGATTAGACGGAAATGGAAATGGAAATGTGACGCAGGAAAACATTTTAATGCATTTTAAACTCTGAATTTCTAGTTCCTAATTAATAGAATTTTCATGAAGTTATTTTTTTTCAAAAATAAAACTAAATGGTTTAATGTATGACAATTTTGTTCAAAAAAAACTTCATCAAATCTGGAAAACTTTATCAAATCAAATCAGTTTCTCTAAAAGATTGATCGATCACAATGCCTTGGGAACATATTTTTTCATGATTTTTTAATATAAACAGAAAACCAATAGTTTCGCAGAAGCAGGTGTGAAATTTCATTTTATAAACAAAAAATCCTCCAAAATTTTCTATTTTTTTCATTTCCATTTTCTTTCAAAGAAAAGCCTTGATAAATGGACCTTTTTGAAGATGAAAAAGGAGTAGAACGACACAATTTGTTTTAGCCTAGCTCAAACAAAAAAAAACGGCACATGATGAAGGAAAGGCTTAGATTAGAGAGGTCATGAGAACATTTTTTCAGAAAACAAGAAAATAGAAAGATTTTTTGGTCAAAAAAAGACAAGGCCGGATGATTGACTTGACATTTTTCTTTAGAGAAGAATTAGCTTGTCAGGAAAAAAACTAAACTAAAAATGGAAACTTTCGAACATATCTGAAAATTTTAAAGTGCAAAGAGAAACCATTTTGATTGACACAAATTTTTTTGATAAAGAATAAAAGTTGTTGCAAAAAGTGATGAATTTTTGAAAACAAAATAAATTGCTTATTACTTTTGAGATGAAACAAAATGAAATGAGAAAAGAAACAAACGCTTGCATCTTTCTCTCGAAACTAGAGGAAAAAGGTTCGCCGAAATAATATTCCGAACACCTCTCAAGTGATCTTTATACCAATACTAATAAAACAAAAAAGACAAAAGTTTCTCTCGTTTTCTCTAACAAGAAACAAATAAAACAGCGAATTTCTACAGACAACGTCAAAATTGTTGCGAAAAAAACACAATAATAAATACATGAAAAGTTTCGCTCACTCATCTTCAACCTAACTAGAGAATTTCAAAAAAACTCACGAAAAAAACTCACAACAAGCAAGCGAGCAAAAAAAAGCACTCTTTGCGCAAGCGAAGGACTAACACAACCAAAAATGAAGAGACCAACAGAATCAATAAAAGTGCGAGGAGATTTAGAGAAAAGAATGGCGAGAGAGAAGAGGGTGCAGAGAAAAAATAGGATGCGTTGTTGACCCATACTTGGTTGGATAAACCGTAGGATTTTATGTTTTTATTATTATTTAAAACATGTATCATTCTTCTATCTATAATTTTTGAACAATTCAAAGGTCAATTTCAATTTCATGTGATATCTTATTTCAGACAAAACAATTTCTGATAAATCAAACTACATTGTTCTATCTTTCTGTTAATGGTCAATAACCTATCCCCCAAAGATAACAAACAAATAAAATAAATGACTTGAAAACACAACAAAGAAATGGAAAAAAAAAATATCTGGAATTCTTCAGAGAAATGTCTATCAAACTTATCAGTGATAGTAAAATTATCATTTTTTGATCACTTTTGAATTGGAGGCTTTTTTACAAGTGTGTCAAAGGTTACAAACAATAAATCAGTGAGAAGTTTTATTTTTTGATAAACTACTTTTGAGAGAAGATGTGTTACTTTTTCATCAGGGCAAAGTCTGACACATGTTGTTGGCTGTTTTATTTGAGAGATTCAGATTTAGACAGATTCCAATTTAAAATTGAAACCATAATAAAACAAATTGATTAACCGGATTAGTTTAGATGAAAAACACTTCAGAAATCTATCAAGAGACTAGCAAAACATTTAGGATATGTACATGAATTTGAATAGACCTTGTTTTAAAAAATTAGAATACATCTATGTTTTTATCAAAAAGTAATTCCAAATATCAATAAAAGGATTAAATTAATGAGAAGTTAATTCATAATGACAGAGCAATGGAACGAAAAAATAATCTCCAAAATACTGAACGTGTCAAAAACCGAAAAAAATAAAAAAGGAAAAGGGGAAGAAAAAAAGGCGCGAAGGACAATACAGCTGACAGTCAACATACACCACACCTTACGACATTTTTTTTTCAAAAAAAAATACCCTATTGGAGAAAAATGATTGAAAAAAGACCATGTGATAAATATATTTGCATATAACATTAAAATTACATCTGACAAGAGAATAAGAAAATGTAGTCTTTGTTCCAGTGATAAGAGGTTCTGAAAAGCACTTTTTCTATCAGAAGATGTTTTAGAAACTCTAAAAGCTATCGAAACACATAATAAGGAACCATAACGAACAGTGTAAGAAAATAGGCGCGCAGAAAAAATGAAACTAACAGTCCGCATACAGCACACTTTATGACATTTTTTGAATAGGAAAAAATGTTTGATGGAATTTTTTTGAGAGAAAAAGAAACATGAAAATAGATATAAAATTGAATAAGGAATAAACTGGTACATTTTCTAAAAACAAGACCATGTGATAACGGTATTTGCATATAAAATCACTAAAATTCGATGACAAAAATAGAAATACATCAAAACCACACCCTTGCTCATGTGAACAACAAAAAACAATAAGAATGCTGCTCTTCTCACAATCAAAAGTGGAGAAATTAAAAGTGTGTGTTGTTGGGCTCTTTAGCTGTCCGTATGTTTGCAAAACTTTTTTTTTGACGACATACAGGAAACAGAAGCAGCGGCAGGTATTCTTTTCAAAACGCAAATATATGAAATCTGACGTTCTTTACTTCTTTTTCACTGGGAAGGAAAGCAAAAAGGGTGAAAAATTGCAGTAAATAGATTCGAAAATACTTTTTTATACAACAGGAAAGTGTACTTTATGTGAGTAAAGGTCAGGTGTTTTGGATTTGTATTGGTAGTATTATTTTTCTGTTGCAGTATTGATGATGAAAAAATCAGCGAGTTGTTGAGGGAGGGAGAAAACTAGGAGGAGAAAAAACTATATTTATGAATGTGTATTTTTATATATGTATGAATTCTTGTTTGTTTGGTAAAACAGAACAAAAAGAATATGGAATATGGAAATTGAGTTTGGTGTTCAAAGCTTAACACATACTTATATTCAATATTTCTTATTTTATTTGCATAATGTTATTGGGAATATTGAAAAATAAATAAAAACTGACTTGAAAACCAGTATAAACTATTATTCCCTATATACCTTTAACCCTTTCTTTCTGTAACAAACCTAATTTTTCTTCTGAAACCAAAAACCTAGCTATTTTGTTAACGATATTCAAATAAAAGTGGGTGGTCTCTCAAGAACTGAATATAATGAGCACTTCTCTGTATCCGTAATATTCTCTAAAAAAAATAAAAGTGCATTCTGATATGAATAATAAACAAGGAAAAAACGTTTTTTTTTCATTCAATTTAAAAAGTTTTTATATCTACCAAACACAAAAAGAGAAAAATTGAAACTCTGTGAAGTTTCAAACAATTTTTTCTTCGAAAAACTTTTTTTTCAGTTTCATATTTTTGTTTAGAAGGAGAAGGAAGAGTTGTTGATTGAGGCTTATCACCTGACCGTTTACCAAACAAAATAAAGAAAACGAAAAGAAAAAAAGAAAAGAAGAAATGATATTTTCTGCCACTGGCTTGGAGCCAAATAACCTGCTGACTGATGCTCTTATGATCAAATATTTCAGGAATTTTCTCGACTGTTTCGTGGTTTTTTATAGCGAGAAAAAACATATGTAATAAAAATGTTCGGAATGATAAAAGACAGGTGCATGTTTTCTTTTTGTCGTGGAAATTTATTGAGAATAAAAATGAAAACAACAAAAAAACAATTTGGTTTTTTATTGCAGGGAACATGTAAGAAAATATCCATTAGAAAAATGGAAAATTTTCGAGAAAAATGATTCATCAAAACATGTGAATCAAAACAAAAATCTAAATGAAAATGTATTTTATGTAAATTTTGTAGCTTTCGCAAATCTTTTTAAATGATCATAGTTTTAATAACATTGGAATCTTACTTTGCTGAGTAAGGTGAATTATATAAATTTTCCCATTCCAGCCCATAAAAAAACAAAACGGATCTAAAACAAACGCACACAAACATCACATTTACGTAAATGTCTAATCCGCTAGAAAATGTGGAAATTTTGAGCCGAAAAAAATGAACGTTTGTTCTCCCCTCTCAAATTACAACACTTTTTCATTTCGTTTTTTTTCTTGAGAAAAAAACGAATTTTCATTTTCAATTTTCAATTTTTTGAACCCTATTTTTAGCAAGCAAATAATAGAAAAGAGAAGCCAATCCAAACTGAAGTACTGTTTTGTTTGTAAAAATTTCAACTTCTTTTTTTTTTCAAATTTTTTTGGTAAAGTCAGGTGCTCAAATAAAAACGCCCTAATTGAAACAGTGGAAAAAAACTTACAGAGCTAAAAATAATCATTGTGTATTGTGCTTGGATGGATTGATTTTTTATTGCATTCCTAAAATCTGAAAATGAAATGTTGTTGAAGTTTAAAGAAACGTATAAAAGTAGAGGAAAGAGTTGAATACAAAATAAGAAGAAGTAGATGACAAAAAAAACGAAACAAAGAACTTTTCGAAATTCCCAGTGGTCCTAATTGATTGAAACCAAAAAAAGCGAAGGAAACAGTGTGCACCTAACCGAACGAAAATAATTATCTTTGTGTATATAGGCACAAAAAAACTCTCTTGAAGGAAATTGTTTTTTTTTTCTCGCTCATTTTCTGTCTTTCCGACTAAATTGAGTTAGAGAAAATCGAACAATTTCAGCCTAGGTGGTCCTTTAGAAAACACTTGGGTGTCTATGGGGAATCGATAATTTCAAAGGAGATGGGAGAAGTAGAACATTTGCATTTTGAAAATTTCCCAAAAAAAAATTCCGAAAGGCTTTTCCATAACTTATTTTAAAGAAAACTAAACCGAATGTTTTAAAATATTATTATAGGCTGTCCTAATTCAAAAAAAAAAACAATTGGAGGTCTTCTGGGAATCAATATATTTTCATGCAAAGCTATAAGAATATAAAGTTTGTAAAATACATGTTCATGTTGTGAAAAAACTGGAAATTTTGAGATATTTTGAACTTTTGAACATTGTAGTGCTTCGAAAATATCAAAAATCCATTTCGAAGATTTCATTAAAAAGTCGGATGTTTTTTAAGAATTATTTTTAACAATTTCAGCCTAGATCCTTGAAAAAAGGGGACTCTTTCGAGAATCAATTTTCATTTTTCCCAGAAGCTGGAAAATATGTAATTCTCTTTTTAAAGCTGTAAGTTTCTCGAATCTTTCGATGTTGTCACTTAAATGCATTGAAAACATCAAAAAGGTACTTTCCGTAGAAATTTTTCAGAGAAAAAAGCTCCGGAAGTTTTTTTTTTCTGAAAATGTTGTTCGAAAAAACCCAACCCATTTCTGCAAGTAATGACGAACAAAATTTCTCCCTCTTTCCAAGAAAAAAAATGACCAAAGAATATTCTTTCAAAAAACTTTTTCCTCCAAGGCGCAAAAAAACAAGTCAACACAAGAAATCTCGGAAAAAAACGAACACATGTTTTTCTCTTCAACTAATCGTCTGGATTAATTCTGATATACACATAAATTCAGCTAATAAAAAAAATAGAAGAAGCATATATGCAAAAAAAATAAATCCAACTGACTGACAAAAATTGGCCAAAAAGGCGTTCCTTCTTGTTTCTGCAGAAAAAAACGAATAGATAGATGACGCTTGGAAAGAAATCGCATAAAAAATGGCTGCTCTAAGCCTCAAAAATTCATTGGTAAAAAGGTTCTTGAATGTATTAAATACTTCCGGAAGACTAAATTTTTTCTTTAAAAAAAATGATCAGAAATAACAAATAAATAAATATATATATATATGGAAACTATATCAATAGTGATGATATCGAAAATATCTTTGAAGGTTAATGTCCTTAGGAAAAGGATAAAAATAGACATTCTCCCATTTTTGATAAACAACGAATGACGGGGAAACGTGAAATTTGATTCTTTTTGTTTTTTTTTTGGTAAGTGCGGGCAAATATCAAGTTGGTCACCTGGTTTCTAAAAGATTAGCAATGGAATTAGATGAACTCAAGAGAAATAGAGTTTTTTGACAACATTTTTCGGTTATTAAAAGTAGAAGTGTACTCGTTTTCATAGTTTTTTTTCGAAAAATTATAAATACGAAAAATATTTTCCAGACTCATGTATAATTTTTTCCAGAATGAAAAAATATTGGATTTGGAATATAGATTATTTGATGGCATTCAACAAAAAAAAACAAAAATATTTCCAAACGTATGAACTATTGCGTCTGAATTTCTGTAATTTCCATTTTCAAAATATTTTTTTGCAAAGTTTTCATAAATTTCAATCTTTAGTTTTACATAGTTTGTTTTACATATATCATCATAAACAGTTTGGGAAAGAAATGAATAATTTAGGAAAACAACACACTTCCTCATCAACCTCGAAATTGCACAACTTGTTACTCGTTTTTATCATTTATTTTCCAACAAACGAGGACTAATTTCCATGATTTTTTGATGTAACAAGCTTTTGGATTGGTTATCTTCAAAAATGAATTTCATGTTTTAGGGTTTCAAGAATCTTTAATATTGGGTTGTTCGGAGGATCCCACTCAACGACACCTACAAAATTTAGTACAAATCAACGACACCTGTAAATCAGAAAACCTTATTGAATAATCAGGAGCTCGCTTCTCAAATCTCAGTTCACGAAACTGTTTTGTTAACAACCCGTCGAACTCTTTTCATAATAAAATCAAAACCATCTGTGAAGTTGTTCTGTATTTTTTGTATATTACATATTGCATTCTTGAGCTCCAAAAGTTTACTGAATATCGGTGCTTATTTGAAAAAAACATTCTGAGAAAATTATGTTGTGTTGCAACCTCATTATGTACATTCATTTTCAAAAAATACTTTCTTTGAAATCCAATTTTATTAAAAGCCACATTGAAAGATTTTTAAATGAGCCATGACTTATCCATTAAAAAACCAACATCTGACAAGGGAACCTTTTTTACTCAACACTTCAAATCTTAATGAAATTTGGTTTATGGACAGCTTTTGGGACCATAAGAACACCCTAAAAATTTAAGTCTCCCAATGGACCTCTGAGCCAAGTTTTGGGGGTCTCGAAAACTCGAAAAAGGCCTAAAAATGGTCATAAAAGTCATCATAGCTCCATTTCAAAATTTTTTTTGGGAGAAATGAAGTTTCAGATATTGATCAGCATAGTCGATTTACTAAAAATACATCAATAAAAAACTTTATGTCGAAAAATTTTGAAGTTTTTTATTTTTGGGCTGAAAATTCATGAAAATTCATATGTGCCCCTGCTCATTCTTTTTTTCAAAATCAACAATTTTTCTGAAAATTCGATTTGTTGATGCTTTTTGGGTAAATCGACCACGCTGATCATCATCTGCTACTCAGTTTTTGATAAAAATGATCGAAAATTGAGTTATGACGTGTTTTATGAGCCAATTTTGGCAATTTTTGAACTTTTGAGAGCCCAGAACTTGGCTCAGAGGTCCATTGGGAGACTAAAATTTTTAGGGTGTTCTTATGACCCCAAAAGCTATCTATGGACAAAATTTCATCAAGATTTGAAGTGTTGAGTAAAAAAGGTTCCCTTGTGAATAAGACGAAAAGAGAATCCCATTTATTCACTTTTATTTTCTCGAATACAAAAAATGATGTGAATTCAATATGTGCAATTTCATTGTTCTCCAAATTGTGCCAAATATTCTTCTTTGTGAGTCCAGCTTGCAAAAAAATGGAATAAATACAAATAAAAAATAAAATAAAAAGTTTTGAATCCCAGCAAAGACAGCAAAAACAACAACAAAATAGGATGAAAACGAGTGTTTTTTGTCTACACACCCTTTTTTCCATCTTATTATTCATATTCTATTCCATCGCATTCTTTTTGTTGTGTGAGCACACGCGGAGCACACAAAATGTCTCTTTTTTCGAAAAAAAAGTTTTGCTGGTTTTTCTGTAGTTCTTGAATTTCCAGAATTTTGATTTAGAAAAAAAAACTTTCTCGAATCTGACCCAAAATTTAATTTTCTAAGAATGTTCTGAACTTGAAGAGATCATAAATCATAGTTTATGTGAGAACTATAATTTTCATGAAAGCAAAAACCCAAAAAAGGAACAAAATCTCATGTTGTTCTACGCATCAATCAACGCCTCCTATAATCGTCTTTGTTCGAGGTCCGAAAAAGGAAGAAAAAGTTGTCAATTTTCTTTTTTTTTTCCTCTCATTTTTTCTTTTTATTCATATTTTTCATTTTATTTTTGTCCTTCTCCTTGTCCAGAGAAAAAAACTACGTCTGAAACACCTTTAAAATTATGTCATGTGGAAATCCGTTTTATTTCAACTTATATTTTTTGTGTAGGTGAACTCAAAGTCGAAAAAACAATTTGTTTTGTTTGTTTTCAAAATAATGTGCTTTTTGTATACTACATAGTTTCGGGAGACATTTATTCTTGTTAGAAATTCATCAAAAATGAAAAGTATATTGGATTACAGAATCTTATTTATAGAATAGAAATATTTATGTACATACTTGCAAAATAAATTCATGAGGAATTTAATTTTATTTGTTTTATCCATTATTTATCGACATCAAAATGTTTGGTCAATAATAATTGATTGATAGATCAAGATTCCACTATATCCATTTTTTCTTTTGAACAATGATTTTGTAAAACTTTCATGAACGAACTTCATATATTTTGGGAACTGAAGTACCTTTCACATCCATACAAAAGACCCCATTTTAGGCTCATCACATTTAGAACCCATCACATTTTCTGTTTTTTTGTCGCTGGCCCTTTTTCTGCTCTTTTCTTTCATTTTTCGTCACTCTTTATGATTTTCTCATAAAGAAAGATTTTTCACTGAAAAAAGTTTTTCTTTTTTTCAGAATTGATGTTTTTCCGAGAATCCTGGTGGGTTTTGATGAATTTGAAAAGAATTAATTTTATCTAGGTAGAAAACATTCAAAAAGTTGATGTTTGAAATTTATCAAAAAGTTTTTGATGAGCATTGATTGATGGGGGTTTCTGTTTAAAATCGCCGAGCGGAGGTAGGTTTTTCATTTTGTTTTCCGGCTTTGAAACTTGAAGCTACAGAAATTCTAATCTTGCTTTAGAAACTTTTTTTGAATCGCTTTTTTCCAGAAAAAATACCTAATATATGTAATTTTTCTTAAAAATAAAACTTTCCAAATTGTTTTTTATGAATACTTTTTCACACTAAAATTTGAATTTATTTTTTTCATTACGTATCCCTTTCAAGAATAATTTTGAAAGAATTCTGAATTTGAACTTTTCGATAATGAAATTTTTTAATTTTCAAAATTTAGATGTTTGAAAGATTATATACAATCTTTCATCAATAAAATGTTTCTAACCCTTTACATCAACAAGTTTTTTTTTCAAATTCAAAAAAATTGTTGAACAAACGTTCAAAGATGAATCACATCCTGTTCTAAAAATTGTTCAACTCTTTTTTCCTTCTCTATCAAACAGGAAATTAATGTGAACCCCTTTGATTGGCTTCATTTTCTGTTTCATCAATCTTTTTCCACATTCAACTTATCACAATCACCACAGATAAATATAATTATTTATTCACACAATCAGTGTATTTTTAGTGTAATTGACTCACGAATTTTTTGTGCTTTATCTTTCCTCTTCTCATCCCTTTTGATCGATCGACATTTGGTACATCATCACCTCTTTTTTTCCTTTTCGCTTTCCCTTCATCTTCTATAATCTTTTTTTTCTGTTGGAACAAAACAGAAGTTGTACGTGTTATAGTGGTGGTCGTCTTTGCAACAAACTTCTGTTATTTTTTTTATTTTCTGATCACATCGGAAGAAGAAACACAAGAATTGTTACATTTCGTGTGTTTTTTGCTGTTTCTTAGGAGCTTTGATTGAACAAGTGTAGGATTGTTGAAGGATTCACATCTTGTCATATACACTTTGAACTGAACTTTTATCTCTTTTTTTGCAGGTTGTCAGCCGTCAGTGTTTTGAGGTGTTTTCAGTTCTCTCTTAAACCAAATCTCTTGACAGTTTTTAGAAGTAGTTCAAACCTCTAACAATTTAGTTAATCTTTTTCTGAATGGTAAACAACCAAAAAATCAGAAAAAGTTTAGAGCAACATACGGTTCTGTAAAAATCATCTGATCTATAAGTTACTCTTCTTGTCACTTCCCAAGAATTTTGTGACTAGTGAACTATAAGTTTTAAAATTACAAACGTTCAGTTCTCACAAATTCGTGCCAAAAATTGTGTAAAACTCTCGTGTTATCAAACATTATACAGTGAAAACCTATGAACCCAAGTCGCAGAAAGATAAAAATTCATTAACTTTTGTAGGCTCTAGAAGTAATGACTCCCTGTTTATCTACCATTTTTTAAGTTTAGTGCCATTTCTAGAATTTGTATGTAGTGTAGTGTCTCAAAGTCGTGACCAGAAGAGATCAGAAAAAGTAAAGCCATAATTAGGATATTATATGATTTTTAAAATAATCTTACCTAATTTTTTTTTCAAAAATGTTATAACCTTTTTTCTTTCTTTCAAAAAATTCAAATATTTTTTATGAAACAAAAATATTGTTCAAATGCAATTTCACATTTATGTGAGAAATTCAGCAAAAACGTTTTCAAAACAAAAAAGAGTTTCAAAAGGAATCTGTGTCTCTCAGTTTCTCAAAACACTAAACAAACTAATAAAAAATGAGTGTTGTGAGGAGCGCCATTGTCAAAAGGGCGACAAAATTTTGCCGCGTTTTTCTCCTTCGTTTTCTTGTTAAAGCCAACCACTCCTCTATGCAATTAGTGCAACACTTGTTCTCTGTGTTTTTTTTTCTATTTTCTTTTGACAGCATAACTTTTTTCAAAATATTTTTGAATTCCAAAACAATAGAAAACCAAATAAATTGATATTATATCCTTTTTCTCATTTATTATTTTAATGAAAATGAATGCTGATGTGAATAATGATAATAACGTTAAAAAATAGATAACTCACATTTTACTGATAACTCATATATTTTTCTTTTTTTTTCTATTCATTTGGCAGACAAAACCAAAAAATACCAAGTTTTCCTTTTTTACCCCGAGGCTAGGCTTTGTTGCCTTTCATTATAATTTTTTTCTGTTTCAAAAAAAAAAAGAAGAAATAAGAGGAGAGAATAGACATTTTTCATATGAGAAAATGGGATTTTATTCAATATTTTTCAGCTTTTTTTCTAATTAAATGTTGTTAGTTCGTTCATGTTTTTTTTTCAAAAACAAAGAGAAACAGAAAAAAATGAGATTTTTGGTTCGATGGGTGGTCCATTCCATTCCATTCTATTCCATTATGTAAAAATATGTATACAGCACATCTCATCTCATTATCTCGGATAGAATCCTTGTGTTTTTTCCTGCTTTTTTTCTTCTGAATACAAATGTACTTGGCTTTTTGACTCTTGCCGTTTTTTTCTCACTTGGAATACAAAACACTTTGACATTCATTTCGTTCCTCATTTTCGGTGAGGGTGGTTTTTTGAAAAGAAAACATTTGAAATTTGATTTTGTTTTATGTTTATCAATTTTTTTCGGTTTTGGTCTCTGGGCTCAGGCTAAATGAAATAATTTGAGCTAGATGAAACATTTATACCCCTGTAAAACCCTTTATTTTCTCTGAAACCCCCATTTCCGAATAGAGCTGTTTTTCTTCATATTATTTCTGATATCCTTAGCTTTCAACAGGTGCCAGTGTATGAGAAAAACGAGTCGAAAAAATGTTTGTTTAATTTTCCGCAACCCAACTCAACTCAAATAAATTAATAGCCAGCTCTTTCTGGTCAAAGTCAGTTGTTTTTTGTTTTGCAATGCAACGCCAAAAATTTAATCTAACCAATTTTTCAAAAAAAAAAAAGATCCAGGTGTATTTTCCTCTTTTCTTTCCAGTTTTTTTCGTTATTTTTTGCTACTATTTTCTCACCAAAACGTTCCCTTGGGATTTTTGTCGGGGCTGACAAAAAAAAAAACAAAAACGAAGATGCTATATTTTCTTTCGACTCTGTGATTTTATGTACGGGAGTTTGGGATATTTATTTGTTTACCAACAATTTCTGGTTTGACGTTGAAAAAATTGGAATTAGGTTTTGTGAAAAAAAAATAGGATTTTTATCCAGGAAGTGGTAAGAACTTAACAGTTGGGATTCAAAAAAATCCGGAAGTTTATAATCATGATTTTGTTTGTTCTATTTTTCTAAAAAAAAAGTATTCGAAAACAGAAAACAACTGGACCGCGTTCCTTTAATGATCTCAAGTTCATTCCGGTCTTATATTTTTTGAGCAATTTCTTAATCAAAAGTTTGCATTTAGACAATGTAAACTAAATTTTAAAAGTGACTGAAATTTAAAAAATTCTATCAACATTTCTTGATCAATTCCCACTCCCATCTGTAATAAAATCAATAAATGTTTATGATTCGATTCTTTTCACATAAATCCATATTGGTTTTGTTGTTTGCTGAATGACAATTGGCCCGATTCTCATTCCCATTCTTTTTTATTTATTCTTCTTCATATGTTTTTTCGTGTTGACATGCCAAAAAAGTTGTAATTGAGGAAATAGTTTGAATTTATGTTCGAGTCATATTTTCTTGGATAAATGAGCGTGTCATAAATCAATCGTCCGACCAAATGACTCGTTTGATGAAATGAATTTTTTTTGCTGCTCTGCAAATTCTTCTTGTTCCGCCATTTATGAAGTCATTTCAGAATATTTACTGTTCATTTCAGAAAAAAAGTTCAGTTATTTTTGCAAATCATGAAAATAAAAAAAGTTTTTATTAAAAGATACCCATGAGAATTTGTTTATTATTCTATTATATTTATTTTGTGACTAATGCTAAATTCTCGTAAATATTGATTTCTTTTTCTTTCATTCACATCAGATTTTTTATCATCCATATTCTCCAATATTTTGAAAAATATTTTTTCCCAAAGAATGTGGAAGATAAAAAATCGGATCGATGTCTTTTGGCTGCTCATCATCTTGTCATCATTACATTTTTCAAGTACATAAAACAACATAAATCTCAACTCAGACATTTCTTCTCAAGAAAAACGAGACTTGTACTAATCGAGCCAATTTTCTTCTTTTATATAATATTTTTGCCATATTTCCTTACTTGTTTGTTGTAACTCTTTCTAATGAACACCTCTTTTCATGAATTTTTGTTTGCAGATTTTACAACATTATATATGTGAGAATAAAAAATGAAGGAACTTGACCCGGACGAGTCAAACCTTTTATTTGAAAATCAAGTCGTTCTCCGGGATATTGTAGAGCAGTAAGTTTATTATTTTGGGAGATTTTTTGAGAACAAAAAATCAATAACATTTTTGCAGAGGTCCATTTTCAAATGTTTACAAATGTGTTCATAATACATCAAATAGAAGTTTTTTGCTTAGAAGTATCAATTTATCATGTTTCAAAAGTCATACAGGATTAGATTTTGAAGGTATTTTTTTTACTCAAAAATTCAGTAACACTTTTAAAAATACTTTTTGTTTAGAAATAGATGAAGAAATTCGAATCTGTAAGAGTCTGAATCACCCATTCATTTGCCGCTTGGAAAATGTTGTCACTTCCCCCAATTTTCGACACATGATTTTTGAGAATTTAGAAGGAAGTGATATTTGTTTTGAAATTGTTCAAAGGGCGAGTAATGGTTTTGTTTATTCGGAATATGTTATTAGGTAACTTATTTTTCATTTTCAAGTTATTTTCTTTACGTCGCTTGAACAAACGACCCGTCGAGTAATTTTTGTAAAAGGAGGAGAAAGCGCGCCCTATGGAGAAAAATTGCGTCCGTCCCCTGTACAAATTGCTGTACGTCGTGGCCCTTCCTCTCTGTCTCTCACCTTTTCTCCTTTTTGATTCTACTTTTTTTTCTCGACGGGTGCTAGCGTAAAGAAAAGCGCACTGTATATTCTTTGAAAAAATCTTTATATATTAAAATGTTTTCAGTCATTATATGAAACAACTTCTCGATGCGTTAGATTATATTCATAGTAAAAATATTGTTCATAGGGATATTCGACCACATAATATTGTTCTAGCCACGTAAGTTCTGCAAATAATTTTGAAATATTTCAAAGAGAACTTGTTTTTCAGAAGAGACACATCTGCAGCTCTGAAATTGTGTGGGTTTAGCGTTGCATTGGATTTATCACTACTGGGTGGATCTATGGCGTCAGGTGAGCAAAACTATTAATTTGAAAGGGGGATAATTTTGAATTTTCACGAAATTTGAAGAAAAAACTATCATTTTTTTCAAAATTCATCAAAAACTGTGAATGTTTGCGTGAATTTCAACTGATATTATTCTCAAAATGTTCCTAGCAAGCGAAAAGAAATGTTGAAATCTCACATCAGTTGACTAAAATCAAATTTTCAGGCCGAGTTGGTGTGCCGCAATTCATGGCTCCGGAAATTGTGCGAAAAGATCGTGTTTCGTGTTTATCGGATATGTGGTCGACAGGCGTTGTGCTCTTTCTTCTTCTTTCCGGTAGATTACCTTTCAACGGACCTCATACCGATATCTATGAGAGAATTTCAATTGGAATCGATGATGTGAGTCATATCAAATTTCAACCATTTTGTGTGTAACAAAAAATATGCATAAAATTCATTCGTTTTTCTTTTTATTGATTATAATTAATTTTATTCAAAAATATATTTCCAGATTCGATCACATATGCCACAAGTATCTGAAAGTGCAAAAAATTTGGTTCAACGATTGCTAACAACAGAAGTTGATCAAAGAATGAGCGCCAAAGAGGTTAGTTGCAAACAGAACAAAAAAACAACTCTTTTTTTTACTTGATTGTTCCTAGAATTTGTTTTCGTAAAGTCAAGAATTCAATTTATTTCATTTATTTTTTGTTCTTTTTATAGGCTTTGTCTCATGAATGGATTCGAGATAAAGAACACATGGCGAGTCGAAAACATATGAATGATGTTATTGAAAATATGAGAAGATATAATGATTCGAGGAAACTCAAAGTGAGTCAACGTTTTTTTTTGGAAAATTTTTTTTATTTAAAAAAATATGGAAAACAATGTTAACATATTTTTTTGAAATTTCTGGCAATATTTGTTTTCTGAATTTTTCAACTCTCAAAAAAAATCATTTCATCTCAGATTTTTTTCACAAAACCCCCATAAATGAATGTTCGAACTTTTTCCCTGTTCAAGAACTTTTCACAAGGATTTTGATGGAATTTTCTTTGAATACCAGCTTATCCCAGTGAGAAAAAAAAACAGAACTCAATAAAATCACGTTTTTTCACATAAACATGTGAACACAAATGCTTGTTTGCTTCAAAACACAAAAAAAAACGCAGATTTATTTCGAATAAATGAAAACACAAAAACACGCAAGAAAAAACATTAGAGAAGCAAGACTGTAATTTTCGAAAGAATCGGTTTCATGTTCTTCACAACGCAGTTTAAATCCCTATATTTTACGAGAAGTTAAAATTCATATTCAGAGTGTTTTAGGTGAAATCTTGACCTTTTTTCTGTACTTTAACTACTTTTGGAAAAAAAAACAAGCAAAAAAACAATAATTTCAAATAAATCTGACAATTAAAAAATAAATTTGTTCAAACACTGAATTATTTTTGAAAAAAAGATCAAGTTTCTTGGAATGTTGAAAAATGATAATTCTGAACAGAACATCTGTGTTCGTTTTTTCAAACTATGTAACTCAACCTAAATTATCTCAAATTTCGTTCAGTTTTTGTCTAGTCTATACATTATTTTTTCGTTGCAAGGCGTAGGTGTCATCTTTATCACTTCACTCATGTTTTCTTTGATTTTTCCAGAGTTATGTATTGTCGGCTGTCAACAGTGGCAAGTTTGACGAATCAATGTCAAATCAACAGCAGCTTATCATTTCTTCATCTTCTCCAACTTCACCACAATCTGTCACTGATCCATCAGGTATGAAGCATTGTTATTCTTTCTATGATTCTGAACTTTATTTTGTGTTAGGTGACACAAATGCTAGTGTTGAATTCACAACTACTGTTATCAATTCGAAATCGAATTCTGGTGGATCTTCTGAAAAACCATCTACTAAAGATTTAGCAGGAGCACAGAAGGTTAGTTATTATTTTCAAGTGGGTAAACAAATAATTGAAAATTGATCTCAAGAACTTTTTGTACTACCAATTTGTTTTTTGATCTGTTGCAGAATTACAAATTTCCAAGGATGAATGTAAGATTGTGAACCCCAGTTTCCCAAAAATTATAATAAATATCTAACATTCCCGCTAGAAACTTGAAAAATCTTCGGATAGTGTATCCCTGAATGTTCAGAATATTCTTCTGAAATCACTAATCGAATGTTTTATTTCTAGATTCTTGCCTCCTTGGATGCCATCAATAGCTTATTGGATGCAAGCACTTATAAACCTGAAAGTGGAAATTTTCAGAAAATTTATGAAGATCAAAATGTTCGCACGTTGTTACGGGTTAGTTTTCTAGCATTTCTAACAGCATGTCAAGCCAGAATTTTTATCCCAAAAATCAGTTCTTCAAAAATTTGGAAAAAAAAAGACCACCCGCTTTTTGGTTTTAATGCATCAGAAGGATCAGATTTCGTGTGAAAGTAATCAGAGTTTTCGTCACAAAAAAGTTTTGAAATTTGACAAAATCTGAAATCTGTCTTGTTAGTTTCTAAAACAGGCCCTAAGTTAGATAAAATTGGAATTAATGAACCCACAGCTCGAAATACCTGACGTTGACAGCAAAAAGAAATCGGCTATCAACTTTTTCAAAAATTGTGAAATGAACTAGGTTTTAATGAAATTATGAACCGAATCATAAGTGTTGACTGCCAAATTCTGATTACATATTTTGGGATCTGTACATCGAATTCCTCAACTTGATTGGATTTTCGCAGAGAAATACAAAAACAATTGGCCTTCCGCAACATATTTGTGAAAAAATAGAGCGATGAGTTAAAAGCAACGTCCGTTTTTCGTGAAGAAGTACGAGAGGCGATTTAATTACGAGTAAACCTCCTTCAACATCGCCTACACATATATAACAAAAACTTGAATAGCCATCTAATGGACATCCTCGACAATGACTCTCGCTTTGCCCACAAAAAAGGCCCCTTAACTTTCGTTCTACTTTTTCCGTTTGCCTCTTCTCCATCATCATCATCGTTCTTGTGTTGGCCGTTGCGAAAAACGAAAACGTCGTCGTCTTCTTCTTCTTCTTCGTTGTCGTCTCCTTCTTCTTTTTTGCCCATAATTTCATTTTCAACGCACTCTCATATAGGCCTGAAGCTTCGTTTTTCTTTTTTCTCGAGTTTTCTTACCCCTAGGTTTAGAAAAAGCAAAAATAGCAACAAAAATAAACCCAGAATCATCACTCAACTTTTTTCAAAACTTTTTTTCTCAAACTTCAAGGTGATCAAATCACTTCTCCCAGATTTAAGATTTCCAGTAATGAAAATCACACAAAATAATGTGAGGCTCAAAAAATATTGTCACTGATTTTTTTTATTTTCTGAGAATCCTCATGTTTTTTATTAATGAATGTAATAGTTTGTAAAATCTGGTGAACATATGGAAAATCAGTAAAATTTTATGTTTCATCAAAAAAACACCAAAAATTAATATTTATTTTTTCGTAAAAGCTAAAAAGCGGATAAATTATTTATTATTGTTCATAACTACCCTTAATTTATCTTCATTTTGAAAAAAAAATAATTATTCTCTTTTTTTTCGTATATATTTTGTGAATATCAATAAATTTCCCTAGTATATATAATTTTTTCCAAAAGCTCAAACTACAAACATATGTACATACATATTGAAGAAGCAAAAAATGAATGATATATTTTATCTTTAGCTTGGCTTGCTAACAGAAATGTGTCTCTAAAAACAAACACACGTTTTTCACTTACGATTTGCTCTTCTTTTGTCTTTTCTGTATTTTTTTGAAGAGATTGTGTTCTTTGAGTTCGCAAAAATGAGTTTTTTTGCCAAAAAATGGCTGAGTTCTCTCTCGAGTATTGAATTTAACTTATCTTTCATTCAATCTTTCACACTTTTTTTGGATTTACCCAGAAATTTTCGGAATAGGAGTTCTGAACTTTTTCTAGTTGTGGATATATCAGTTAGTTGTCCGAAGCAGTATTGGGGTTTTGTGGTTTTTCAAGAAATTTTGGGTAGTCTTAACTTTTTTTTTCAAATAATCAAATTTTTCGTGATCTGTGGATAGTCAGTTTCAAATTTCAAATTTATTTGGAAGTCATATTTTCTTCAAAAAAATATCCCAACATGTTGAGTTTCATTATTGTAATCTGATACATCTCTCCCCACTTTTCAAGAAATTTAAACTCGAAAAAGTAATTTTTATTCTTAGTTTCACTCTAGTTTTCATTTTTGCTCAGATCAATTATATAATAAAATTGCTGAAACATCCATTAAATTCCAATAAAAAAGTTGAGAAAAATGGAAACAATTAACAACCCATCTCTTCCTTTCGATTAGTTTTTTGATCTCTTCATTTAATTTTTGTTCCGTATTCCTTCTTGCTCAATCCGTTATTTTTATGATTTTCAAAAATCAACAATTCATCAGATGTCGAAAACGGTGACAATAAAATCCGGATCATCGCCACCAAAACGACATCCAAAAAAACAAGAAAAGGTAACTTGAAAAGTGGAAAAAATTAAGAAAAGCAAGAAGAAGAACAAAAAAAAAGTGGGAGGATGCTCTTGGGGGTTTTCACTTTTCTTCCATTTCTTTCTTTTTCTACTCTTCTTATTTTCTCTTTTGACTGGCTGCTAAAAAAACACAAAAATAGAAGAAAGAGTCAATTATTATCTATATGGATTCAAAGTTATTTCACGATTCATTATTGGCAATATTGATCGGATCATTTTTGATTTTCTTCATTTGTGTCCTTGTGATTGGGGCATTAAGTGATCGTGGTTTGTGTTGTCACGATAATTCATTCACATCACATCGAACTAATGGAAAACATCAACATCGACCACGAAGTAGTATTAGTAGTCAAGAAAGAAGTACAACCACAAACGGGGGGATCGTTATTGTTATGCCGACAGAATGCGATTGTGAAAAATGTGATCGAGGAATTGGAGGAGAAAATCAAAGAGAAGGAGGAGGAGAAGAATCATACGAACATGAGGAAACAAGTAGTATTCAACCAGATGATTCCAGTAGTGGATTCTATACAGAACAATTCACAACTGGTAAAACCATATTTTCTAATTCATTTTTCCTGATCTTTTGTTTCTAATAGTTTTCATTCCGCCTGATATTTTTTCTGAAATTCTGATCCTCCTTATTTTATCCGGTTGTTTTGTTTCAAAAAAAAAAAACAGGGGTTATTCAAAGAAGTTTCCAAAATGTTTTCCATAAAAATAATTCGATTTTTTCAGTTGTATGACAAGATCAGTGAAATGCCATTTGAGCCAATCAAAACGGAAATCGATTCAACGACACTACGAAAAGAAGTGAGTCCTCATATTTCTCCCAGCTAACAAAAAATTCTTCAAACAACAAACAAAAGCGAGAAAAAAATTGAAAATTTTATCCGATAGCCCCAAACCCAACCAACCACTATTACAATGTCAATGACTGACAGCTCATGTCATTCATTCATGTTTTGTTTCCGTTTTTTCTCGTCAGTAAGTGAGCAGAAATAAAAAAAACGTGCTTGCATTTTTCACTCTTTTTTAATATCTACATATACATAAATATGCTGAAAAAATGTGTCCCAAGGGTGAGAGCAAAAAAACATTTTTTTTGAACACCCAAGATTTCGGATTTTGACATAAGTAGATTTTTCTCATTTTTCAAACACGAGGGAAAGAAAAAGGAAAAAGAAAAAATTTGACACGATATTCTCAAAGGAATTTTTGAGATGAGTGGCAAGAAATTGAATTTGTCCACTTTCGAAAAGCAGCAAAAAAAGAGACTACAAATACTATAACAAAATATTTTTTGCAGACAGTATTATCGATTGATGGTTTGCTTGGTCCAAGTCCCGAAGCTCAGGAATTACGGCAACTCTTAAGTGCTCCACATTTAACGGTTAGTCTGTGTTTTGTCGCCGTCAGGATTAGTTTTTTTTTCTTCAAAGAAAAAAAAAGAAAAAAGAGGACACAAAAAATAAGAAAAATCTAAAGGCTTAAAAAAATGTTTCCAGTAAGCAAGAGAGAGTGGGTTCGGTTTGAACTTTGAGGTTACAAACTTTTTTTAGCAACAAAGATCAGCATTTTTGCAAAAGGTGATAGCGAAAAACTTTGAACTTATCAGGAGTTCAAAGAAATCTATCATCTCACAAGCTGATTTCAAAAATCAGAAAAAGTTCATGACGATTCATCAAAATCTCTTTGAAAAATCAAAGAAAAATCTCTGTCGTGTGAAAATCCAAGTCCTTTCTTTTGTTTTTGATTAATTACCACTGCATCTTTTTTCACTTTGACAACAACAAAAAATACGATGATTTGATAAACGGGGATTCTGATTGGAGCGTGCAAGAAAGAAATATATAATTTTATGATTTTCATTTTCAGAGTTGTGTGCAAGCATTGGATGTGGTCGTTTGCGAAGTTCGTGATCCAACAAAAAATGAAAGTTCAAGTGGAGGTTCGGAAAAAGATGGCGGAACATCAGATACGGCCCCTCCATATTTGAATGGTGGAATTTTGCCATTGGGCTCGCAAAGAGCCGGAACATCCTTTGAGAATTTCAATCATTCAAATGTCCACACTTCATGTAAGTTAGCTTTTCATTTTATTCACTTTTATTCAGTTTTTCTTCTAGTTGCTTTTTTCAACTCTTTTTTTGTTTTGAAAAATTTGGATGTAGGAAAAATTCAATGAACTTCTGAACGTTGCAACAAAGAAAGTGTGATTTTCCGAATTTCGTGAAAATTTTGGACTTTCTTTTTTTTTAACATTTTTGAAATCAAATGTGGTTTCTATAACTTTTAAAAATTATTATTTGAACACTATGTCTTTTCACAATCATTCACTTTTTTCAGACGACGACGAAGACGACGAACTTTACGATTGTATGTCTCGACTTCGATTAGTTCAATTCCAAAAAGACACGCAAGAACCGATGGGAATAACTTTGAAAGTAAATGAAGATGGTCGATGTTTTGTCGCAAGAATAATGCACGGTGGTATGATTCATCGACAAGCAACACTTCACGTTGGCGATGAAATTCGTGAAATAAATGGAATGAGTGTAGCAAATCGAAGTGTTGAATCATTACAAGAAATGTTACGAGATGCGAGGGGACAAGTCACTTTTAAAATTGTGCCAAGTTATCGAAGTGCGCCACCAGCTTGTGAGATTTTTGTGAGAGCACAATTTGATTATGAACCAATTCAAGATGATTTGATACCATGTCCACAAGCTGGTGTGCCTTTCAAAACTGGAGATATTCTACAGGTAAACACATATGATTTTATGAATATTTTATTATGATTTTATGATTTTTATTATAGGTGATCTCAAAAGACGATCATAATTGGTGGCAAGCTCGTTTTGTGTCAGCATTCCCTTCAATTGGAACTTCTACTCAAAGTCAACCAAGAAGTAATCAACAACAAATTGCTGGTCTTATTCCATCTCCAGAACTTCAAGAATGGAGGACGGCATGTCTAGCGATGGAAAGAGCCAAAAATTCTTGCAATAGTAAGTTTTGCGGTATTCGAAATTCAAACAAAAATGTAATATTATATTTTAGCTCATTGTATGTGGTTCAATAAAAAGAAAAAATACTACACAACAAAATATCTTCAAAAACATTCTGCTTTATTCGACCAACTTGATTTGGTAACATATGAAGAAGTGATGAGACTCTCACAATATCGTCGAAAAACATTAGTGCTACTTGGTGCACATGGTGTTGGTCGGCGACATATCAAAAACACATTGATTCATCGACATCCAAACCGTTTTGCCTATCCAATTCCACATACAACTCGACCACCAAGAAAAGATGAAGTTGATGGAAAACATTATTATTTTGTGTCATCTGATCAAATGATGACAGATATTCAAAATAATGAATATTTAGAATATGGAACACATGAAGATAGTGAGTTTTTTCTAGAGAATATGAAGAAATATTTATTGTAATTTGGTTTTAGGCATGTATGGAACAAAATTGGAAACAATTCGAAATATACATAAAAGTGGAAAAATTGCAATTCTCGATGTTGAGCCACAAGCATTGAAAGTTTTGCGAACTGCTGAATATTCACCGTTTGTTGTGTTTATTGCAGCACCAAATTTGCAAGGAATGCAAGATGTAAGTGGATTTTTCAAAAGAAAAAATTAACGGAAGCCTGAGAGGTTCAGAGAAAAAAAAATTGAAATATCAGAAAAGATTATCAAAATTTTGAAGTCTTGAAATTTTCGGGATTCTATTACACCCCACGTTCTGCCTTTACCCTTCTTTTACTTTCGACCAAAATATATAAAATGAATTTTCAGCCTGATGGTTCCTTGGAAAAACTGCTCAATGAATCGGACATTCTCCGTCAAGCATTCGGTCATCTTTTTGATTACATAATAACAAATAGTGATATTGATGACACCATAACACAATTAGAACGATTAGTCGAAAAACTGCCAGCTTATCCCCAATGGTTACCTGTCTCATGGGTTTATTGATCAGTTTCATCCCCCAAAACAATTTATGATCTCCCAAAAACATTTTTCTCTAAAATCAATCATTTCAGTTTTTTTTCTCACAATCCAAAAAAACAAGCAACAAATTCAGTTTTTGTCAAGTCATCGAAAATGCATTACCGGTGAAAAATATTTGAAATTTCAGTTTTCTCTATTATTATTCGCTAACACATTTTTCTTCAAATGTCATGTATCTTTTTTTTTATGTTTCAAGTTTAAAACCTGGGTATATATAGCACATTTTCTTTCATTTAGGTATATAATATGTAAAAGGAGAAGAGCAAAATGCATTTATTTGATAATTCAGATTTATATTTTTCGGAATTTTTACATACATATGCTCACCACGTTCCACTGTTTTTATTTTGTGATAATGAAACATTTTCGATTTTATATTTATTTGTTGTCATCTTCTTGAACGATTGGAAAGTTTTCCATAGGATCCGTGATATTGTAAAACCTGTCAAAAATACGTTTTTGTTCTTCATTTTTCAAAATTGTATCATTCAACCGAGCTCGAAATATAGCATTATTTTCTATGGCACCCAAGTTTTTCACATTAACTTCAATTGAACAAGGATTGTGATCAGAACCTCGTGAGAATAGTGGAAAATGTAGTAGACGTTCGGTCTGTAACAAATTAAAAATTCCCTTAAAATCATATACATACTTATCATAGATACTTACAAAATTACTAATATTAATCTCGGAATATAAAATATCATCAGAGTCATCAAATCGAAAGAATTCCTCTGAATTGATTCCTTTCTCATCGCATACCATTTCGAAAATTTCTTTGGCTATTGTAGAGCAGATATTATTGTCATATCCATTACCAAAACTATCGCAAAGTGGTTTTTTGATATAATCAAAATGAATACTATATATACCAAAGATTTCCACTCCATATTTGTAATAAGTTTTGAGTTTTGCAGTTTGATCAAATTCCAATCGTCGCTTTTTGCTCATAGGGAGTTCAAGATTTGCATTGTCACGAATAGATTCTCCCGTTTTTCTAGTTGATTTTGAGCACATTATGCAATTTTTTTCTCAAATTATTATATTATAAAAGAAATTTCGTTTGGTATTGTTCAATTCATGGAAATGGTGAAGATCGGTTAGCAAAATAAAATCAAACAAGAATGTCTGAATACGCCTCAATTTCTATAATCTTAGGGTTATCAGGAAAATAATGGACTTTTCGTAAACTTTTGTAAAGTGTTTCAAGCTACTTACTTCCAATTGTAGAAAATAAATAAAAAATTAAGTTTGAAAAACGTCCAAAAACTAATCGAAAATCATTGATTGTCTCATTTTTCAGTAAATTGATGGTTTTATATTTTCTATTTCCAAAAAAGATTGATATCAACAAGTTCAATTCATCATTTTTTTTCTGTTCTCGACCAAACCCTTTTTCCAGCAAACGTTCCCATTTTGAGACATTCATAATGATAAAATATCAAGTTCCGTTATCAAGTCGAAAGAAAACAAAACAGAAATCTGATATATTCTTCAGTTTAGTTAGCATCAACAGAAAAAAGCAAAAATTGAATGAATTTCAAATATCAAAAGCCAAAAATACGATTTTCCTCTTCGTTTTTCAAAATTAAATCATTCAATCGAGCTTGAAAAGCGGCATCATATTCTATAACACCCAAATTTTTCACATTCACTTCAACTGAACAAGGCTCGTTTTGAACTGAACAAAGATCGATTGGTTGAATTTGACGATGTTGTCTCATACCAAATGAGCGTCCATTCTGTAAAAATAATTTAAAAATGTTGCTGAAAATCGTAGAATCACTCACAAAATCACTAATATTCATCTGCGAATACAAATATTCATCTGAATCATTGAAACGAATAAAATCTTTCATGGGGATTTTTCTTTCAGAGAATGTGGTTCTGATAATGTTCCTGGTCATATCCAAAAATATATGATTGTCATATCCGTTCCCAAACTCATAAGAAAGTGGCTTCTTTACATAATCGAAATCAACTCGATATATATGATAGATTTCGACCTTATATTTGTAATACACTGTTGGCTTCTCACTTTCATCGATTTTCAATCGTTTTTTCCTTGTTAGCGGGAGTTCAAGATGTTCAGTGTCACGGATATCTTTTTGCATTCTCTGTGGATTGTGAACACAAATAATTCAATCCTGGAAAATTTAACACATAATTCTCATTAATTTTGTTTAGGAAAATTTGATATGGGAAGTTCAAAAACAATAAACTAATGAATTGAAGTGAAAATCGATTTGCAACATCAAATCATTTTTTTTGCTAAATAAAATGTAGGACGAGACAGGAAAAAATAACCGCCAGTTCGCGACTGCTACGGTTGCAACGGAATTGAAATTGTTTTAATGGGTGTTGAAATAGACCGGTACACAAAAACTTCCGTACCTGGGAAAACAAAAAGTTCATATTACAGGTTTTTTTGAAGAATAAACGACTATGTAAAGAGAAATAGCAGTTTGACAAAAAAATCGTGTCAAAAATTAATAGAAATTTTTTTAATAGTATCTGAAGAACTACTAGTAGTATACAAAAATTTTATATTTCCTCATCGTTTTTCTGTTTTCTGCCAATCATATTTTTTTCAGAAACCTTTTAGATTTCCAGACAATTCACATGATAAACTATCAAGTTCCGTTATCAAAAAAAAAACCAAGAACCATCTAATACATATTTTTATTCCGAATAAATAGATGAACAGATACGGGGTTAACAATGATATTTTGCGACAATTGATTATTTTTTGACAAATAGAAAATATGTAGGGGTATAAAAAAAAGCAAGTTATGCATTAAAACGATAATTGATTAAGTGTTTTTGTGAATATGATAAATTGCTGTTCAAAGCATCAAAGTTGACTTCGTTCACTGAATTCACAGAACGATCGTCTGATCTTGAAGAAGTTTTATAGTTTGATGAACCACGTTTTGAATATCGATCAGCAATAATAATTGGGGATGGAAGTGAAGTTGTTGATGAAACAATTCCGTGTAAGAATGATAACTGATGTGCCAATCCTTCGTGGAAATCCATCGGCAATTTTGCAGTATCGAATACATGTGAGAACTTTGGAGTTCTAGCAGATCCTTGGAATGCCGAATGAGAATTCAAGAAGAATTCATTGATATGTGGATTAACAATTTTAGTATCAACACACGATCCTGGTGCAATATTCTGTTCTGCAGCTCGATTTCCAGTTATTGTGCCATTTGTGATTCTCTCATTTGGTGCTTTTGAGACACACATAATAGTGATGTGTGGGCGGCATTTCTCCGAATATTCTTGACATGCTTGTTTCACTTTGTCTGCATAATCATTGGCGACCATCGAAAATTGTCCTTCAGAAATCCCATTCAAATAAATGTATAAATGTTTCGGATCCGCGTTACGGCTCTCTTTATATTTTTTAATCATTTCAAGAACTGCCGGGCGAAGAACTTGTCCATAAATCTGAAAAAAAAACAGTAAAAATATGTTAAAATGAAAATGTTTTTGAAAACTTACATCTTTATTTTGTTTGACGTATTTGTAATTTCCAATGAAGTTTTGAACATTTTTTGTGGCATTAGCAGAATATCCAACACATACAACATCATCTCCAAGTCCGCGGGATGATTCGAATCCAAAAATCAAACGACCAGCAGTCGCATCAAGTAGATTTGAAGGATTTTTCGCATTTGGAATGTTATATCCTTGAACTTCCCAGTTGACTCCTCCCAATTTCAAATTCATTTTGTTCACAATATTTTCAACGGTTTGTGGTTGGCCTTTCTCGACAACTTTTCCTGCAACCGTTGCTCGGACTTCTTGAGTCAAAATATCATATTTTTGTTCGAGTAATTTGATTTCTTCTGAAAAAATAATTGTAAATTTAGGACAAATGTAGTTTTTTAAACAACTTACGATGCAAATTCAAGCTATCTCTGACAATGAAGAAAATAAATTTGGTCGATTGATTTTTCTCGCTTGAAATTATTTCTTCAACATTGAATCGATCATTGTTTTTATAAATCCGTTCATTTGGTTTTGTCCAAGTCATTCCACTTGAAATAACTCGATCGCGAAGTTTGGTTTTGAACACTTCGACATTGATTCCAGAATCAATTGAAACAAATGTCCATTTGGGAAGTGTCATGGCAACTTTGAACTTTTGGCTCTGCCATTTACAGTTGTTCTGAACCATTAGTTTTCTACCCTCGCTTGAGCCAATAATTGGAGTTGGCAAAATTCGTCCTTTAACGATAAGAGTTTCAGGGGCAATTCTGATTCCAACTTTTTCCAAAGCTTTATTTGTTCCATCCAATCCAGTATAATTCGCAAGTTTTGCAAGTTCTCCTTCTCTCGCACTTGGTAGAATTGCAGTTGCTTTTACTAATTTATCTTGACCGTCTTTGGTAAGTTGATTAGTTGTTGCTCGTTGATTTTCTCCAACAATAAGAAGTTCTGGTGGGTAAAGAACCCCTCTGGTTTTCTTATCAAAAACAGTGAGAAAGTTTGGATATTGCAGAGTGATTCCAAATGTTTCGTAAAAATATTGTTGAACTGTCCACGTTTTTCCTTGTGATACGAATGTTGCTTCAGCTGGGCATGGCCCGAATCCTCCAATGATGAAAGATCTGGCGTGTTCTCCTCTTCCTCTGTTTTGTCCATAATTGAGTCGAACAACCAAACCTGAAATGAATTATTACATTATGTTTTGTCCTCGATTCTATGAAAGATTTACCTTTGACCATTTCCCTCAAATACATTCCTTGAGGATCAACCGCTTTCAAATTTTTGCGAAGTGGTTCTCTGTAATTTGCATTTACAAGAGAGCCAAATTTTTCCATCAAGGGTTGATAATCAGCATGGAATGCAGTTTTTCTCAAATCAACAACACAATAAAGTGCTGATTCTCCTTTTGAATCTCCTTCATATGTTCTCACTGCTTCCGAAATACCAACTCCCATATATTGAGAACCGGATAATGCTGGCAATTGATCTTGTCTGAAACCAAGGCCACTTGGATCCAAAACATAGTGAACACCTTTATAAGTGATGAGTTCATTCTTATGGTTCAATGATCCACTGATAATTGTGTTGAGAGCTTCGAGAAGTGTGACATCGGCTTTTCCAAATGTTGGATTGACTGTCAGTTTTGTGTCATTTGTTGAAACTTGGAAAGAATCAACAACTTTTGTGATTTTGACCTCAACAGATTTACAATCATTATCTCCTGGGACAACATCTTTTGGAGCAATATTTTCATGCTGAAATTCATATTTTTTAAATAAATCAAATAATAAATGGTTAAAACTCACAATATCTGGGATTTTTGTTGTTGAGTACAAATTTGATTGAGAATCATAAAACAAATCGATATCTTTGAATCCTTTCAATTTTGTGTCAAAAACCACTTTCAATGCAGCGTTGGCATATTTTCCTCTCACTTGAGAAAGGCAATCATTTTTTGGTCCTTTAGTCAACGACTTCTTCGCATCATCTCCATTTTGTTTTTGGTAGATCAAATTGATATCAACGTCGTATTTGAAGACGGACAAGTTTGGATTGAGAGTGATTCTTGAAGCATTTGTTTTGAATGTTCTTTCGACTCCCAATCTTCCTGGTTCAAGTTTTTGTGGTGCAGATGCTTTGATTGTGCATTTTTCGATTGGAAGATCAATGTTTGACGACATTTTCTATAAATATTGAATTTGTTTGGAGAAAAAAAGCAGAATGTTTACTAAAAAAAAGTATAAAAAATGTTTGAAGGAGAGAGAAAAACAGCATTCAACATGAAATAAAAACAAAGAATGAATGGTGTTATGGTGACCAATGTTGCTGAGAACAAAGAGGCGGGTCATAAAAATTGGGCGGAGTTTTACGGAAACTCCTAGATTTTTGGGAAGTTATAATTTATGGGAAGGGGGGATGAAGTACAATTTTTGACTATCGAAAACAACAGGTGTTTTGTGTTGGTTTGAATTGTTTAAAAATCGAATATAATTCGGAAAACAACAGTTCCGAAAAACTCATAAAGAAAATAATAACAAGGATATTAATTCAGTTGCCTAGTACTTTCAGAACTGGCGTAGAAACGGGATGTTCAATAGCAAAGCCATTTTTGATGGATGAAAACAATGGTGTTCTTCAGATTTTTATTGTGTACATCGTTTTTACGAATTCGAGGAAAATTTAAAACCGGGAAGAAATTGATTTTTCAAAAAAAAAAAAAAAAGAAAACCACATAGTGAAATATTGCTCAACTTATTTTATTGGGCCAACAAAAAATACGCCAGCATTGTGAGTTTGCACAAGAAAACAATTCGATGGAATGGCCTAGAAAATGAAGAAAACATTCAAGAAACAAACAAAAACAGATAATGAATGGTGTCACTGGTGATGACCATTTCTGCAACAAACAAAAGGGCGGGCCATAAAAGTGGGCGGAGTTTTGCCAAAACTCCTGGATTTTTGGGAAAGTATGATTTATGGGAAGGCAAATTTGAAGTATCATTTTTGAATAAAGAAAACAACAGGTGTTTTGTGTTGTTTTGAATTGTTCGGGAAACATCAAGAGAAAAACAATAGGGTTGAAAACCATATTGCTGAAAATCATAATTAAAGAGGCAAAAACTGAATGGTATTCACTGAATGGTCTAAAAATGGGGTGCAGAATTTTGGCAATTGCCCTGAAATTTGCAATCACTGAATTGGGTTCGACAAATGAAATGTATTTCAATAAGAAATAACACTGAATGAGGTTTGTTTAGAATTTACAACCCATTCAGTTTTTGCCATTAAAGAAAATAATTCAAATTTGATTATCAGATCTTGAGAATAAAAAAGTTTATGAATTTTGGGTTTCTTGAAATATTTTGATTTGTAAAACTCAATTTCAAATCAGACACATAGATGTGGGAACCTTTGATGTTCAACATAGGCAACTGGAAGTTCCCAGCCTGATTCATCATTATCATCGTTGAAAATGTGCAATTGAAGATGAGTCACTTATTCAATAGCAATCAAGCTGAACACAACTTTCTTTTACAGCTGGTTCACCTTCCAGCCGAAAACATTATTTCACTCACCTAAAAAGTGTGAGAAAAAAGAAGAAGTGGTTAGAAACAAACAAATATATGAATTCTCAGACATTTTAGGCAGCTGGTAGGTGAGTATAACTATAGAAGTGAGAGATTTTGAATGAGAAACAGGGTTAGTGTATGGTGAAGAAAAAAGCTTTGAACACTCTTATATAATTTTATGTGCGGTTTTTTTGATGATATGGTATAAAATTGCGCGAAATTCTAGTATTTTTTTACAACTTCTGTCATAAGCTATGTATACTCAAATGAAACATTATACTCATAATTATATTTATTATAATGTTCCTTAGGGTTGATAACACTCGATCTGAATTAGTAGACATTGTTGGCATCTGGCGAGTGAGCATAGTTAGAAAAGCGAGAGATTGTGCATTCAAAGGAGAGGAAGAATTTGTTAGCGTGTATTTTCAACACTCTTATATAATTAGATGTGTAATATTTTGTCACAGAATGATATCATATATAAATAAAACATTTTTCTGATCAAAATTTAATTTTCAAAAAATCAAGAACAATTATTATTCAATACTAATTTTTGTTCTCGCCAGTTCGAAATTTGAGAATTTTTATACCTTCGTGGAACAATTGTCCTTTTGACCTAATAATGCCCAAATAATGACTGATCCGATAGTCTTACGAAATTCTTGGAAATTCTTATCTCAAAGTTAGTTTTGTAAACTATTTTATGAAATCAGTTAAAAAATCTGAAAAGCGGTGTGAAAATTAGTTTTCAATAAGTTCAAACTAAATTACAGCGCAAACAGAAACACTATCTTTACTGTTCGTTTTCAAATAATCATTATTATTTCAATTTGTGAAAACTAACATTTATGTTCATCAAATTGAAGATCAAAAGTAATGAGTTATTGTATAGAAATAAAGCCCGAGATACCTATTCATATCTATGAAGCAATTTTAATTGAGAAGTCCGTTATTCAAAAAAGCCATTGACAAAATTTCAAGAAAATTGGAATCAAAATAGAAGTAAGTTGTTTGTCAGTTAGCAAATTTGGGCCATTATACACGGTGTTCCATAGTTTCAATGAACATTCAAACTGTTCCATTAGTAATTGAAAAGATTAGGTTTAAGTAAACTTCCAAAATTTTCCAATTACAAATGATCTTCCATTTTTGAACGAATCGCAGAATGTTCAATTTCAAAATATTTTAATCCTGTTTACGTATGAATTAGTGGACAACATAAACATATATGATGATATTATCATTATTCCAAAAAGGTGAGAAAACATCAATTATGTTTTATCTCGATCACAATCGCCAAAATATATATTTATCCATCTAATTGACAATATTTATGAAGATAATGAAAAGGTTTATGACAGGTGTTAATGAGTTGTAAACACATGATTCAATTTTGGAAGAGTGAATATATATAAAGAAAAGAGTTTTCGAATAGGAAAAAAATCACGAGTTTGTTTATATCTCAAGCCAACCGGATTATTATAATCACTTTCATCCTTTTGTATATACTTAAGTGAACATGGAATTGAAATCAGTTTTGCCTCCAAAAATAGTTTGCTCTCTTAATCTGGATGTATCTTGGCACGTAATGTCACAGAACTTTGCTTCACTCCTTATTTTATTTCTCAAGCTTTTAAAAACAATAATCTCAGTGATACAAAAATCGTTAAAACATTCTTCATGAATATTGAGAAAGAATTATAAATAAAATGTTACAAAGAAGTCGATTCACACTTATTATTCTTATTATTATTAGTATGCAATAAACAATCTGCTCTATTATGGTTTGTCATATTTTTGGTCTGTTCAGAGTGCCTAGGAACGATCCATCTGTTTTTTTGCGGCCTTAAAGTACCCTTGTCGGCTAGATCAAACAGAATCTCTCTCTCTCAAATTCTATTTTAGTGTCAGAAACAGCATATATTCCCATAATTTAATTTATTTTTGCACCTTATGTTAACACCAAAACAAAAAGATGTCACTCATGTTTATGGTATTTACCCATCAGAATAAAACAGGTGCACAATATTATTCCTGTTGAATTGACACATGAAAATGATTGATAATAATAATAGTTTTATTCTCAGAAAAAAATGCCCGTCTCTGGTACATAAATCCTAACTTCAAAAAAAAAAAGAAATGAAAAAAGAGCAAAATAAAGAAAAATGACACACATTACAAAAAAAAACATAACAATAGAAGACATTTAAAAAAGGCAAGAGGAAAAGTGTAACGCGATGTTGAATTTGAAAATATCACAATTTAAAAAATATTAAAAATTGAGAATAATTATTAAAATAAAAATTGAATAGATTATAAACGACCCATTTTTAAGACATTGAGGCACCAAGATGTTTTCTTGTTTTTTCGTAAACTACATATGAAATGCTAACCGCAGGAATTACCTGAAAATAAACATTTTCATTTGATTTTTATAGACTTGAAAATAACAATAGAAACCAACCTTCATAAAATTCGGCGTAATTCCTCTATATAACCCAGTAAAACCTTCATTTTTCAAAATATGTTGGAATTGTCCAACCATTGTATCCGGTTGATTGGAATTTGGCGAAATTGCGCGAGCTTGTAATCTTGTTCGAACAAGAGCCAATGGATAACTTGCCAATTGTCCACAAGTTGAACTACACGTACCACACGCCAATAATGCTAATACACCCGGTTCTTGAACATCCTGAAGGTAAAATTTGTTTTTTTTTGAGATTAAGAAAAATGTTTGAATTCCAAAAATTTGTGAACCTTTGAACATGGGTTCTTTTAATTGAATTTTGCATTGCTCTAAATTGCATCATCAGCCAATTATTTTCATTTGTCTTGCACAAATGTTATTTTTCATCAATAAAACATTGACAAAAATCAATAAATTCTCACCGTATAATATTGTGTGTACATCGATTTGAGCGTTTCATAAACAGTAAGATCAATTCCAGCATAAGGAATGATTCCGAGCAAATTTGGAACGTAACCCTAAACCGTTTCATAATTGAATAACATATATAATTTATGAAAATTACCTTATAAAAACATTTGATACCCTCTTTTGTATACATTTTGTGAGCAAAATGAAACATTCCCTTATCAAGTTGACCAGTTCTTCTGAGCGCAAGACGAGTTTTCATAACTTCCATCGGATAAATTGCCGTCTGTGAAATTGCTCCCGCTGAAACAACAGAAATATTTTTTTTCCTGACGTATTTCAAAAATATTAGTTCAAAATCCTACCAGATGATCCGGCTAGAAGTCTCTCAATTGTCGTCAGCTCTTCTCCTCCTTTATGTTGTTGCATCAATCGTTTGATCTGGAGAAGTTATATATAAGTTTGATTTAGATATTATTTTTTCGTACCTGGTCGTAACTCATAAATTTGATAGCAGATTCAGGAGCAATTTTCACAACATTGATACCATTTCCTCGCCAAAAAGATCGAATTCCTCCCTCGGCGTGCAGAAGATGAACGCATTGAAGTACTCCCATTTTATTTTGCTTGGTGGAATTTACCTGAAATGTGACATTGAGATGGGCTAACTTCTGAATATATGATGTTATCAAGTAGAATCTGAACTTGTCTCTGGCTTGGATCAAAATTAAGCAAAAGACTAAAATCTTGAAATTCGGCTCGATAATGATGGATTTGTAAAACTGGAAGAGCTTCCAGATTTACAAATTTTTGAACAAAAAAAGTTGATCAAAAAAATAATATTTTTCGAAGACAGTATTCAAACGATGCTGACTAAATACATTTCAATCAATTTAAGACTAAAATCTTGAAATTTGGTTCGAAAATGATGGCTTTGTAATTGCGACATTTCAAAAATGAGAACAGGGGGGCCTCATTGAAAAATCTTTCTTCCATCGATGCACCACCCAATGGGGATTTTATTAAAAAGATTGTGGAATTGAAAGTAGCAACGTACCAGACATTCCAATTTCTTTCATTTTTTCAATTCTCCAAAAAAAATTGAAATTCAAAACAAAATACTCACCTGCAGGTAAACTTTGATTCTGTCAAATGGCGCTGTACATGTCCTTGAAACTGCTCCAGCAACACCCCCAGCTACCAAATGTCTCCACCAAACACCAGATTTCAATTCTTGTGGTGTGAAATCTTCAGGCACTTGACCATCCTCTCCAATATCAATGATCTAAAAAGGAGAATGGAATTAGATTCTTACGAACAATAATTCTCGACTCACTAGATTGTGCCTCCAAAAATCCACCATTTCTCGCAGATCTGAAGATGGATATAGAAGCATGAAATCTTGAAATTCTAGCAAATTAACTGACGCTGAACCAGTTTGATCCATCCTGAACATCATATATTAAAAATCTACAAAACGATGCAGAAAAACTCACTGTTTTACAATTTTTAGAGCATTCTGATCATCTAACTTCACTCCTAATGTATCACAATATGATTTGATTTCAACAACATCGACAAGTCCATCACGATTCCGATCAATTTCAGAGAAAACTTCAGCTAATCTAGCTTCATGTTCCAAAACATAATTCGTAAAATCGCCAATAGTAACACTATCAGATTCTCCAGTTTTCATACGTGCCATTAATTTTGGAGCAAGTTTTGTTGGAATATGCGGAGTTTCTAATGCAAGTGCTTGCGTTAAATCTCTAATATCAATTACGCCATCATTATCAGTATCCAATCGATCATACATATCACGGATTCTGAAAAAAAACGAGATTTCTGAATTAATAATTGTTGAAAAGCTTACTTTTTCTCTTTTTCCGGCGTTAAATGAATATGTAATGCTGCATGAGTTTGAATAGCTGCTTCTTTTGTAACTTGTCCCTGAAATGTTTTTTGAAATGAAATATTCAAACTCTTTTCAAAATAAAGAAAAACCCTACCTGAATAAGCGGCTGGTGTTTTGATTGTTTGAAATGCGAAACATTTTTAGCATGTTCGCTGATATTCTTCAAATCTAACAACTCTGCTGACTTTTCTTCAACTGTTTCACCTGACGTACTTTGAACTGATGATATTGATGTACTCATTCTGAAATATATTGTTTTCAACCGGTTCTAAAATATTTTGAAAGAATGACTCACTTTTAACCATTAAACGATTCAGCCAATAAAATATCATTTGACCCAGAATGATTACTCTCTGAAATACATTTTCTGTATAGAAAAATTAACATATATCAAGCATATGATAAAGATTACAACAACAAAAATATATACACGAGGAAGAAGAAAAGAAAGAAATGAAAAAATGATTAGTCTTTGGGCCTATTGAAAAAGCGTCAGTCTTTTACGAGTGGCGTCTTTTTTTGCGTCCCTGTCATTATTTCTGTTTTTCTCGGCGCTCTCTCCTTTTCCACAATGTTTTTTTGTGAAACCTTTTAGTTTCGTTTGTTGTAATTTGAAAGAGCAGTTTCAAGATGTGTAAAGACGACTAGTTTCAGAAATGTTATAGGAAGCCTTTGAAAACATAATGAGTCAGAAATTGAAGGAAAAATCGATACTCGGCAAAAAAATTTAGAAATCAAATCGAATTAACATCATTGATAGTGTTTCAAAATGGGATTTTTGTTTTTTTTCTTGATGAAAACAAGTCACGTGTATCAATCACACATTTGTATATTTAATCAAAATATGAAAACATTGATTGAACATATTGTTTCATCCTGCTGAAATTTTTGAAAATTTCAAACTTTTTCAAAACTTGAACATGGAAATATTTATAAGTATCCTTTAAGTTTCTTTCTTTTGACTATCTCCCAATTCAAAAACATGGTTTGACAACTTTGAGAAAGTCATGTTTCTTGAAAAATACAGTGTATTCTGATTTGTGATTCATTTTCTCTCGTTCCAAAACTATCATTTGTTATTTGAAAACAAAACAATTCCCAGTTTATCTGTGTGTTTGAGAAAATCCAGCCATTTTCAAATATCTCAAGCAAAATCATAGTGATTCCAAATATTCTTCAATTTCTCTTTTCATTATTTTATTTGCGTCAGAGTATATAATTTGTAGTGCACTCAAACAACGTCAATCTTCAAACAGCTGACACATTTCTTGTTCTTTTTTTCTTTTTCACTCTTCACCCTCTTGTTTTTAGCACTCTCTCACAAGTATTTCTATGAACTTGATTATCGACTTCCAGTTTAAATATGAATAGTGAAAAAACTTCAAATTTTCGAAAATTACTATTCCCTGGAAAGTTCAACAAAACTCAACAGCTCCAAAAATCTTTGGATCGTATGAAAAACAATGTTCCAGAAATTCCGACAGCAACGTAAGTGCTTCTTGTTTTGTTTTCATTTCGAAATCAGAAAATAATTTCAGTTATCATGAAAATCTAGCCAAATGTCATATGAATCTGGGTAACACTTTGGATGCTCAACGAGAGTTATTGACTGCAGTGAAATTATGGAGGAAAACCATTTCAAAAACATCAAGATTTTATGAATCTGGTGAGTGAAAGATTCTTTTTTTTCCAGTGATTGATTTATGAAAAAATTATTAATATTTTCAGTCGAAAATGTTTCTGTGGATAATTTATTGTTTTGTTATTGGAGTTTGATTCAAAATTCAATGAAATTGAAACAAGATGAAATGGCTGGTGAGATTTATGAAATGTTTGAGTTACAATCATGAAAATTAGAAATTTTCAGCCGTTTACGCATTGGAAGCCGCATTTCTAGCTAAAGATTATGAAAAACTCATAATGTTTCAAAGAGTTATGCCATATGCTTTAAATGGAACAAAGCGAGTTGACGCATTACGATTGTTGATATCGAATTGCATTGAAAATGAACAATATGAGAAAGTAAGTAGCATTCCGTGTATGTTCAACTTGAGAACCATTATTTTCAGGCTCTTCATGAAACAGATCAAATCTGGATGATAACTTTGAAAGAGAAAAATAATCGTCGTGGTGGTTTTGAATTTGACCCAACTTTGCGAGATTGCGAATTGATTACTATGTGTATATTGATCTTCCAAGAGGTAAACAAAAATTTATTCCCTGAAAAAAAAACCTTTTCAAAAAATTATGTGTTGATGGTTTATGCTATTTTGAATTCATTAAATATCAAGTCTTGTTTTTTTCAGGACATTGAGAAAAGCGCGAGGCACGAGCAATTGTTGACATATTACACAACAGTTTATGAAACTATGGAAAAGGATGATAAAATTGCTGCAAAATATAGCGATCTACCAACAGATGAGAGACGAGTTTTCAAACAATTTTTACTTTTTGTGAAGAACAAGGATATTGAGGAGGTAAATTTTCACAAAGTTTTAAGAACTTCCCAAGCGATATTTTTAGGCCGCTCAACTTCTTCCGGATCATTCTTACAATGTTTTCAATAATTCTACAAATAACCATGAGAAATGTACATTTTATTCAGAATCTTCTTTAACTCTTTGTAAATTAATCTTCAAAAGAATATGTGATACTACTTTTCCCGATTTCTGAGTTTGATCTCATTTCAAACTTAATTTATTTCTAATTTTTTGCTACGTGTATAATTTATAGTCTGCTTAACTTCAACCAGCATAATTGATTTGTATAAAATGAAATAAAATATGCATCAAAAACTTTTTTTCTTTGTCTGAAAATCTGAATAATTGGTATGAATCGAGAAATTGCCATAGCAACAAAAACTAGCTGCGCACAACATATTGACACATTCCTTCAGAGTTTTTTTTCTCATAAAATTTAACCTTTGCTCCTATAAGTTTTCTTTTTTTTGGTTTTTATTCGCAGATAAAAAATGCGAGTGTTTCATAGGATATACCCGAGAATTTTTCCTGATAATGTTCAGGGAAAGTACATAATCTTGTAATTTTGTATCTAATTATAAATTAATATAACTACATGTACAATTCTCTGGAATGTCTCAAGATAAATTTTTCTCACGTTATAAAAAAGGAAAAACCGGTTTAATGTTTCTCAATTCGAAATCAAACATCCAATTTGATTTTTTCTAAACAATAATGGTGATTATGAAACATGCAAATCTGATTACGAAATTTCATAACTACTCAACTTTTTTGGATACCACTCCGTTTTTTTGTTGATAAATCCACAAATAATCAAACCACGGTGAAAATTCCGACGTCATAAGATCAATTATCATTTGATTATTGCAGAAAAATCTTGTTTTCTGTTTTATTTTTATTTTGCGCGTGTATTGATTTCTCAAATTAGTGAATATTATTGATTTTTTTTCATTTTTCATGACTTATTTTTCAAGGTTTCCAAACGAGAATGTTTACGGATCGAATTGCAACAGTCTCAAATTTTGACGATGCTCCTACAGAAAAACTGAGCCTTGAATTATTTACAATTGAGAAAAAAATCGGGAAAGGCCAGTTTAGTGAAGTTTTTCGAGCACAATGTAAATGGAATAATCTTCATGTTGCACTCAAAAAAATACAGGTAAAATAGATTTTTTTGAACATTGAGAAAAAAGTTTTATTGTAGGTTTTCGAAATGGTAGATCAAAAAGCTCGACAAGATTGTTTGAAAGAAATTGATCTTTTGAAACAATTGAATCATGTAAATGTTATCAGATATTATGCAAGTTTTATTGATAATAATCAATTGAATATTGTCCTGGAATTGGCAGAAGCTGGAGATATGAGCAGAATGATCAAGGTATTTTTATGGCCAATATTTCTGTTTATTTTGTAATTAATTTTTTTCTTGTTTTCAGCATTTCAAAAAATCTGGAAGATTGATCCCTGAGCGTACAATTTGGAAATATTTTGTTCAACTTGCTCGAGCTCTTGCTCACATGCACTCTAAGAGAATAATGCATAGAGGTTTGCAAATGAAGTTAGAATTAATTAAAACTTTTAATAATTCCAGACATCAAACCAGCCAATGTCTTCATTACTGCAAATGGAGTTGTTAAACTTGGCGATTTGGGTTTGGGAAGATTTTTCAGTTCAAAAACAACAGCAGCGCATTCTTTGGTGGGAACACCATATTATATGGTGAGCGAAATTGAAAAAAGTCCCTTATTAGTAAAAAGAATAATATTGAAAAGTTTTCCTAGGTCTTTTGATCTTCGCTGCAAATATTTCACTTTTTGAAAAACTCATTAAAATAGTATGACGTGCCTAATTAAATTTGAAGAAAAATGATGAGTTTTGCTCTCACAAAAGGTCCAAAGAACAGAGATCAATGTGCGGCGATTTTCTTCAATCAAAAATTTAGCCAAACTGTTTCGAAGACTGAAATTCTAAACTATGATGTTTGCAGAGTCCTGAGAGAATTCAAGAAAGTGGATATAATTTCAAATCAGATTTATGGTCGACAGGTTGTTTATTATATGAAATGGCAGCATTGCAATCACCATTTTATGGTGATAAAATGAATTTATATTCACTTTGCAAAAAAATTGAAAATTGTGAATATCCACCACTTCCTGCTGATATTTATTCAACACAACTTCGAGATTTGGTTTCACGGTGTATTTTACCAGAAGCTGCAAAGCGACCAGAAACTACTGAAGTTTTGCAGGTTTGTTTGTTTTAGTGAAAATTAATTAAACAAACCAAATCAATCATTTTAATTCAGACCATATGATTTCCCGAGGTGTCTTTCCGCATTTTAAGGTCACGTGATTTATATTGGAATATCTTAAAACCAGATTTCCTCTCAAAATTTTCAGATTTCAAGACAAAAAGTCTAACATAGACATAAAAATCTGTGAAAATCTAATCGACTACTAATAAAGCAAAAGAGAGCCCTGGGTGCTAGTCCTACCTGGGGGACTGAGGCCCAGGCCAGGGATTGAACTCTTGACCTCGTGGGCGGGGGATCAACCAGCAAATTTAAGCCACTAGACCACAGGACTCCCTGACACCCCTCGCCTTATTTTAATATTTATGATGGCCTATCATGTTTTCCGTGCGCATTCAACTTGCAACAGTAACAGACAAAACATTCAATTTTTGACTAATGCATTTTAATTAAAAGAAGAAGCATGTTTTCAAAATTGAAACATAAACTCAAAAGCTATATTTTTCATTTATGCCCTAACTTGTAACTATAAATTGACAATTTATCATTGTATAAGGCTCTATTTTGCTTTTTTTCTTGTTGAGTTTAAAAAATTTTCAATGTTTTCGTCTTAATTTTAGTCTTGAAGTCTGAAAATTATGTAAGAAAATATTTTTTATACAATACTGAATTATCAATTTATAGCGACAAGTTAGGACATAAATGAAAAATATAGCTTTTAAGTTTATGTTTTGATTTTGAAAACATGTTTCTTCTTTTATTTAAAATGCATTAATCAAAAATTGAATTTTTTGTTTTTTGTTTGCTGAAACTGTTGCAAGTCAAATGCGCACGGAAAAAAAATGATAGGCCATCATAAATATGAAAATAAGGCGAGGGGTGTCAGGGAGTCCGGTCTAGTGGCTTAAATTTGCTGGTTGATCCCCCGCCCAAGAGGTCAAGAGTTCAATCCCGGCCTTGGGCCTACATACCCCAAGGAGGATTAGTACCCAGGACTCTCTTTTGCTTTTTTGGTAGTCGGTTTTATATATTTTCACAGTTTTTTATGTCCATTAGACTTTTTTTGTTAGACTTTTTGTCTTGAAATCTGAAAATTTTTAGAGGTCTTTTTTTTATAAGATAAGAAAAATAAATTTGTTTTCTGTGAAATCTGAAACTAAAAAAAGCAAAAGAGAGCCCTGGGTGCTAGTCCTCCCTGGGGGACAGAGGCCCAGGCCAGGGATTGAACTCTTGACCTCGTGGGCGGGGGATCAACCAGCAAATTTAAGCCACTAGACCACAGGACTCCCTGAAACCCCTCGACTTATTTTCATATTTATGATGGCCTATAATTTTTTCGGTACGCATTCGACCTACAACAGTTTCAGACAAAAAATTCAATTTTTACTAATGAATTTTGATTAAAAGAAGAAACATGTTTTCAAAATTGAAATCTAAACCCAAAAGCTATATTTTTATTTCTGATATCCTAAATTTCTTTTGTAAAATCTATAACTGAAAAAGCAAAAGAGAGCCCTGGGTACTAGTCCTCCCTGGGGTGATTAGGCCCAAGGCCGGGATTGAACTCTTGACCTCTTGGGTGGGGGATCAATCAGCTTAGCCACTAGACCACAGGACTCCCTGACACCCCTCGTCTTATTTTCATATTTATGATGGCTACTTGTTTTTTTTTCACTCTTCTAATGAATACTCGGTCAGAAAACGGCGGAGTCGCTACCGATCGGGGCGGAGTCGCTACACATTTTTTGTTCCCCGAAACGTGTAGCGACTCCGCCCCGATTGGTAGCGACTCCGCCGTTTTCTGACCGAGTAGTTAATCTCCAATTTTTCAATAAAAATTCTTTTACAGGTATCTGAACACATGAATTTGTACTTCCAATCAAATTCTTCCGAACATGGGTCGAGTTAAATTTATTTATTTTCATCCGACAAAATTCCGGAAAAAGAATTCTACACAATTATTTTTTTCTTTTTTTCTTTCAACTAACACATCATTCAATTTGTGGCTTGTCTGAAATTTCGTTTTATTTCTATTTTCAATTTTTGTCCTGTTTGTGTTTTGTGTTTTTCTTGGTGAAAATCATATTTTTCCCGTGACGATGCTTTCTCGGTTAATTTAGTCATAAATATGTATTTTGAATAAAGGAACAATATTTGTTACCACAAGGATTATTTTTGCATAAATTTTTCTCAGGCTGGAAAATCTTCAAAGTTCACGTTTTACCCCAAAAATCCGTCGTTCTCCTCAAAAACATGTTCATCATTTTCTCACGATCTACGTTTTTGTGCATTTCTCTACCCATTGGCCTTTGGTCTGGACATCTAGCCAAAAAAAGTGGAAGTGATGAGATTTTTGCGCAAAGCCACAACCATTTATTTTATTTCATTTTTAATTATTCCATTCAACCCACCCCATCACTTATAAAGAATATTTTTCTTACTGGAGATGAGTTTTTTCTCGAAAAATATGTTGTTTGGTGCTTTCACCAAAAATGTTCGTTTTTCAACTTTAAATGAGACATTGTTCGCTTTTTTCAATTTCCCCATTTTTGCCTCAATTTCCGTCTAGAACTTTTTCGCAGAAGAAAAAATGTATCATATTCGCAACAATTTTTTTCTGATTTTTTTGTAATGCGGTGAAATGTAGTAATAACAATGTTTTTTGATTATTCGAAAACTAATTTTTTGTCTAGATTCTCTCAACTTTAGGTTATCTCTAATAAAAATAATATATTGTATATTTTAGTTTTTTCTTATATTTCAAATCACTTTTTTTGAATTTCATTATATTAATCTCCATTGGCTCTGATTCTGAGTGTTGGTAACTTCCTTGTTCAATTTTTTCGGTCCATTAATTCTTAAGTGATTTTTTTCTTAAAAGAATTATTGTTAGCATGTTTTGATTTTTTTTCTAAAAAAGTTTGTTTTATACCAATTTTCTATGAGGAAGTCATAAAAAACGCCTTAAGACTTGGAAATACATAATTATAGACGTAGTTTAGTTTTAGGGCAATTTTCGTGGTTTTCGAACAGCCTTCTTTTTGTTGGTCAAATTGTTCATGTCTCGGATTTTTCTATAAATAAATACTTTTCTATTTTGGAAATTGTGATTAGAAAATTCTGAAACATTTCATTTTTTGTCTGGTTTCCGTTTAGCCCATCATCATGTCTTCTAGAAAATGTTGGAACGAAGAAAAAAAAGTTTTCTCACCACAAAAGTGCACATAATTCGCTTTGCTATCTTGAAATTCTGAAAAAAATAACAAAAGTTCATATATAGATTTTTTCCGTGTATCTTTTTAATGCAAAAACAATGAGAATGTTCACAGTTCCTTTTCTCTTTTCATTGTGTACAAATATATTCTTTGTGCTTTATTGTTTCCTTATCTTATCTCAATAACCACTTGGCTCAACTCATCTCGAAAATCCATTATCTCTTCGAGGTACAATGTTTTTTTCCCAGGCGCAACAAAATATCTCAAATATCACGCAAAAAATGTTCATCTCCTATGTCGCTCACCTTTCTGTGTTTTTTTCCAGAGAAAAGCGAACGAACTCTTCACTTTTTGACGTAAAGAGCAACAAAAAAATGAAAGTTCGCCGACAATTCGGATAGACTTTGTTTTCTTATTTTTCTAGGCTTTTGAAGTGGTCTGAACGTTGTGTTCGAACATTGCAATAGATTTTACAGTCTCAAATTTTCATCGCTTTTATTAGATTTGCATTTTGAAACATTGAAATTGTTCTTCAATTTTTGAAATAGATTTTTCCGTTCAATCAAATATTTTCAAGTCTTTGGAATTTTGATAAGGAACTCTGAAAATGCGAAATCACAATTCCCAATTTACTACTGGTTCCAATAATATTTATTTCAACATTTTCACATTTTCCGGAACAAATTCTTCTAATCAAGAATTTCTGACGTAATTTTTTCAACAGGTGTTCCGAACTTTGTTATCTTATCCTTCAAAAGCTTCTGACATTTAAACTTTTTCCAGAATTTTCTTTGAGCTCTCTCAATCAACACATTTTCTGATCTCATTTTATCTTTTGAACTGAATACATCTTCTATGTAGAAACATCTGGAATTATGACACTGAAAGTTTGTGTAACATGGATCAAAAAATCATACATATTTGATGAATATATTTTTGATTGACATGTGAAAATATTAGTGATGTTTAGTAAATGAAAATTTCTCTCACGTGGATTTCAAAATGAAATCATTTTTTTATTGACAGGTGAAGTTGGGGATTATAAAGTGGTTTTTGATAGAAAAGTTGAATCGGACCCGAATTTTGATATCACTGAAACAGGAGTGCCCACATTTTTTGTGATTATTAAATTATCCGTTTTTGAAGGAAATTTTGAACTTAAAAATCATTGTGTTTTTTAAAAACTTTTTTTCAATCTCATTTTTTGTGTTTTTAAGAGTTCATTATTACTGGCTACAAATATCAATTTTGTATCCTTCTCCACACAACACATCTTTTTCATGAATTTTTAAATATTTTTTTCTTCAAAAATCCGCATTTTCAAACAAAATAGTTGTCTATTTTTTCTGTTTACCAAAGTTCAGACTCATTACAAATTTATTTGGTTTTTTGTTTTTATTGGTTTTTTTTCGAAAATACTTTGTTATGTTGTACTTTTCAAGCATTCTAGTCTGGCAAATCTGTGAAAAATACTTCAAAACATACATATTGAAATAAAATAACAAAAAAAAACAGGGAGAAAAACTAATTTATTATCCGACCTACTAAAGTTCATCCATCCATTTTTGATCAACCATTCAAGCATCTTCGAAACAAAATTGCATTTTTCATTATATTTTCATGTGGTGTTTTGTTTTATTAGCATCCGAGCGAGTATAAAAGCAAAAAACAACAACTAAATTGAGTACGGCTCTTTTTTTCCAATTGACGTAAGTTGTCTGTTTTTCTCCCATCTTCCCCTATGGAATTTCTTGTTTGTTCCTTTTTTCTTTAACTTGAAAAAAGCAACTATAAAAAACTTTGCAAAACCTAGAAAAGGTCATTTTTTGTTCGAGATTTTTGTTGCTTAAAAGATATAGACTTTTCCTACAACTCCAAATTTTTGTTTTTGCTTCATTTTCTGCAATAACACATTCTTCTGAGTTTTTTTTTTTGAAAATGAAAAATATTATTCTGAAAATATCCCTTGGGAACTTCACTATTCGAGCAATATAGAAGTAGTTGTTTGATCAGTAGAAATGGTAAAGCTTTTTGTTATTCAAAAAAGGTCAGATAATTATTTCAAAAGTGCTAGGGGTTTTAATTAATTGAGAAGAACTATGACATGTCTGGAATTTTCGAATTTGTTCAATTTCCTTTTTTTCAATTATTTCGGAATTTAACTGCATATCAAAAACCATATATATATCAAAAGCGGAATGATGCATTACCTAAAATTAAAGCGCTTATTTCTCAATTTGCAAAAAAAAAAGATTTCAACAATAATTTATAGAACAAGAAACCGTTGAACATTTCCATTGAAAAACATTAATAAAAAACCGATTTGATCTTAAAATTAATATCTGCTGAAATTCTACCACTTTCACAAAATATATTATTTTGAAAATTCGTCTCCTTCCTCTTATTAATTCTCTCTACATTTTCCATACTCTCTCACCTACTCTAGTTCTCTAACATAGCTGTCCCCCTCTTCTCTTCCCGTTTTCAATAATTTATTTTTTTTTAAATTAAAATCACCTAAAGATTTCCTTATTATTTTTTCCTATTTTCTACCTTTTTGTGAGTAAGTTAGGTTTAGGTTTTATACTTCCAGCAAAAGGGCATCATTTTTCTTTCTTTTTCTTATACTTTCAAAAAAAAGTTTAATTTGAACAATTTTTGGTGCGAATTTGTTTGAGTTGTTTCATCTTCAAAAAATATTCTCAGTTCATGAAGACCAAAGAAATATTTACTGTTTGCAAAAAATGACGAAAAGTGACTTGAAAATGCATAAAAATGGGATTTTCACTATTTTGCAGCCAAAAATTGTATTTTGGCTTTTTTCTCATTTTTCCCTTCGCCCTGAAAAATGTAAGAAAGTGAGACCAAGAGCAACTCATTGAATAATTGAATAAATTAATTAACTGCAAAACTGCTATATTTCTTACTAGCGTATTTTCTTCTGAATCTAGACGATTTTTCCAAGATTTCGTGAGATATTCAAAAATGGAGAGGTCATTTGTTACTTATGATATATGAGTCCTCGTTATTTATTAGCTATTTTTCTTCATGATTTCGTCATTTTTTCGTTGACTTTTGTGTTTTTTTTCTAAAAGTTCATCAAAAATTCTGATATTTTCATGCATCAAAAAGTTTCTTACTCGTTTTCTTGTTTACTTTGGAATTCAAAATACGTGTTATTTCTGAAAAATGTTTTCATTTCCTCTTCTAGTTTGATTTTTAATTGAATATTGCGCAATGTTTTCTATTTTCCTCTCATTTTATCAAATTCTAGAGCATTCTGATTCATGCTCAAAAAGTTTGATCTAATTATAGCATAAAGAAAAACACGGGAGATTCTTAGGTTCCTTATTTTCAGCATATGTATTCTGAATAACAGGAAACAGTTTAGGCGAACCCGGATTTTTTTTATTACATGATTTCTGGTTATTCGCAGATCTATGTATCTAATCACCTGCAATCTGTTTTTGAGCAGAAACAATTGATGAAACTGACTATGTTGATGCTGATTTATGAATAAATCAAACGTGAGATATTATATTTATTTTCAATTTCAAAGTTCAGATAATTGATACTTCTCCTGTTTTTTTTTTGTTTAATTTTTGAGATTGATCTTGTTAATCTACAGAAAAGTATGTAGCCTATAGAACATTTTATATGTATGTGAAAATTCCCTGGTTTTCAGACAAATTCCTGGAAACTACAAAACCTATGAATTCTTGGAACTAAATTTTTCCCAGAGAAAATCCCTTTTCAAAAATTCTGTTTTGTTCAAAAAGCAACACCACGCAAAAATCAACCACTTAAACTTTTTCCAGGCTTCTAAATGATTCATGGTCTAAAAATTCCGAGTTTCGAAAAAATTTAATTAAAGGTTTCCGGATTTCGTGCAGACACACAAGCGAAAAAACCAAGTTCTCATCTTGCACATAGAATATACATAATTTTAATTGATGTATATTTATAAAATTTTGCTACTAATGAGCAGTACGGATTACGGTACTTCTGCATTGGTCTCTTGAAAACGTTTTTCTCTGATCTTTAGTCCATGGTGTTTTATTTCAATGAAGAATTAGAAGGATTAAGCAAACTACACGTGATGTGTCATTTACAGAAACCATGCAAACCAATCTGATCTATGTTTGAAATATTCAAAACGGATTACTGTTTTCATAATCTCGTTCTGGTTTGAGAAGTCAAAAAGAAACAAAAGATATCCCATGACATAGAAATTTGATATTCCAAAACTTCCGCAACCAGAAAAATTCTTCACTTTTTCACCTTCAAAAATCCTTGGGTTTTCCTCGATTTGTAAAGGAAACGAAACTTATTTTCTCAAGTGCTTTTCTAGTAGTTCCTAATATATCTCAACTAATTAAGTGTTCGGTTTCAATTTCCAAAAAAGTGCAAAACACGAAAAATGTTTCATATATGCAAATATGTATAATAGATATATGACATCTATAAATACACAAAAGACTTCCTCTCCTCTCCAATCCATCATTTCTATTTGACGTAAATTGAATTGAAATTCCATTTTTTTCACTTTTTTTCAAAATGAAAAAGAAATGACGAGTTTGAATTTTTCCAATTTTTTCCTAAAACTTTTATTTCCAATATCAAATAATTTATGTGCCTATACATGTTTATATGTTTTCTAATTGACTTTCACAATGTTTATTAGGTTTTTTGTTCTCGTGCCAACATATTTACCCTAACTAAAAAAAACGGTTGTTGATTTCTGAAAATGAATACTAGTCTTTGATTTGTTACCCATTCATTTCAGGAAATCCGAAATTGAGGATGTCTCAATTAAACCAATACACAGAAAATGAATGATCTTGTGATTCTTGGAAATATGAGAAATGAAAAAAAAAGAAAACACTTGAGCTAGATGTCAGTTTTCGGCTCAATTTTAGATTTTCAAGTTGTTTTTCTAGCTATCTGAATTTAGTTTTGTTTTCTGAAAAAAGTTACAATTCTGAAATTTCATTCGGGATCACGAATAGAAAGAATATCAGCAATTTTTTAGATCCCATATTTCAAATCTCAATTTTGAATTGCATATTGCTAATCTCTGCCAGATAATAGCACAACTTCTTTATCCTGTTTGTTTGAATTTGAAAAACATGCAACATTTCTTCTCTCATCCATCTATTGTTGTTCGAAAATCAAATTAAACGATCTCTCGTCTTTTTTTCTGCTCATCATACCACAAAGCATCTTTTCTTCGTTTTTTGCGCCTACTTACCGGGTTAAATGTTGCAATTCTTTTCTTCTGTTGCAAATTTAACTTCAAATTAATTCCTTGTGCCTTCATTTCTGCTTTTTGTGGTGTTGGTATTTTTTCCAGCCACAACTATTGAATTTCAACGTGTCTACGGATTTTTGATGTATTTCTTTTTTGGATATTTACTTACACTCTTTTTTTTTCTAGAAGAAAATAATATTTGATGATGTTACCTTTGTTGAAGAAAGGCGGAGTTGAGAGATTTTTTTGCAGAAAAAAATCTCCTGGGACTTTTGTGTGTGTGAAACGTCACAGCTGTCTACCTATCATTTTTGACGTTTGAAAAAAAAATTGATGCTAGAACTTTTTTGTTTCATAGTTTTTTTATTCTGTTCAGTTTTTTTTCTGAGAAATCTAAATGATTTTTTGAACATAATAATAGGAACTAAAATTCTGGTTCATTTAACATAGACAGATGAACTTTTTGGTTTCAGCCATCTATGATGTTTTGAAAAAGTTCCAGGAAGTTTTTTGAAACTTATGAAAAAGAAACATTGAAAATGGCTCTAGTTTGTAACTTGAACATTTCCTATTAATATTTTATATTACTGCAAAAGAGTACAACAACCATAAACATCATTTAGAGTTTTCCCGCCCATTTTCTCAACTCTGATTTTAATGTGATGTATTCTCGAGCAAAGATTTTCCAGCTGAAAATTCTCATAATCACCTGTCAGATCTGTTATTATTATTGCCATTTTCATTTTTATTTTTCATATGTTCATATTTTTCCAATTTTTGTTGATTCCATAATTGTCACATGTTCCGGTTGGAGCCTTCTAAAAATACTTACTCACACAGATCAAAAACAAAAAATAATTTGCTCGTAATTCTTGATGCTTGCCTGCTCTACATATAAAAATCATAGGTTCAATTTAATTGTGTTTTTTGCGACACCATTCAGTTTTCCGGTTCTAGATACACCTATTATTTAGGACACGCCTCTTTTTTCTAAAATTTTCTAAAAAAAAAGCTCCACCCATTTTTGGAGTGAAATAAATAAATGAAGAATTGAGTTGGAACTGCATCAGTCCTGATTTTGTTCTGCGATAAATCGTCATTTATTTTATTCGTCTCACTTCTACGTGATTTTCTTCTTGTTTTTTTCTGAATCGTAAAATTGTATCAACAAAAAAAATAATTTTTGCAGAACAAATCTTCTGAAAAACTACAAAAATGGGGCAAGATAATAGCAAATGCCCACATCAAACATTGGCTGAAAAACGATATAAAGTTGAGAGACCAAAAACAAAAAAAGGTTGGTTTGGGTGATGAATTCATCTCTTGAGATGTGAGATGTTTTCAAAGAACACCGGAAATTTAGAATGTTTCTTGATCTGAACTAATTCAGACAAATCAGAATGATGTTTCTTGAAAAAGATGATTCAAGCTGAAATTATTTGATGATAGGATTAAGTTATATAAGGAAAGAGATATTTATGAAATTCAGTTTAAAATGTGTGGGGTAAATGTCAAAAACATTCTTTTTTATTCTTTATTTAGTCTCAACAAAGATCCAAATTGAAATTTTTACAAACAACATTCTAAATAATTTCATCTACATATGTACATATGTACATATAAAATTCTAGCTTCAGTTTCATCTGGAAGTGCAACAGATCGCAGCAATCTTTCACAAGCTGAACCAAAAAGCTCAAATCTTCGTCTGACTGTTTCAAGCTGCGATGTTAGTGCAGAACCAATTGCAGAAAGTCCGAGCAGAAAACAATCGTGAGTCAAAACTGAAAAGTATGTAAAATTAGAAACATGAATGATTTTTCAGCTGCGAAATAAGTGAAGAGGATCAATCTCTGGCGAATGCACCATCTAAGACAAGAAGCAAACATTTTCTAACTCGACGAGAACGTATTTTGTTAGAACAAAGTTGGAGAAAAACAAGAAAAACTGGCGCAGATCACGTTGGCTCAAAAATCTTCTTTATGGTTCTCACAGCTCAACCAGATATCAAACCAATCTTTGGACTTGAGAAAATTCCAAACGGTCGTCTCAAATACGACCCAAGATTCCGACAACACGCACTTGTCTACACAAAAACATTGGATTTTGTTATCAGAAATTTAGACTATCCAGGAAAAATTGAGGTGTTTTTCGAGAATCTCGGAAAACGCCACGTGGCAATGCAAGGAAGAGGATTTGAACCAGGATATTGGGAGACTTTTGCAGAATGTATGACACAAGCAGCTGTTGAATGGGAAGCAAATCGACAAAGACCAACTTTGGGAGCGTGGAGAAATTTGGTAAGTTTCTAAATACTCTGAATAATTGAAACAGAAATAATCCTTTTTTCAGATTTCTATCATTATCTCATTCATGCGTCGTGGATTTGATGAAGAAAATGGCAAAAATCGTCTCTATTCATATGGTGGATCAAGTGGTGCACCATATTCTTCAAGAAATCGCCGCTCGGTTTCACCATTTGCAACAAGTGTTCACTAGATGTTTTTCTAATTTTCCTCCTCCATTCATTCTTGTCTAATATTATTTTATTGATTTGACCATATCATCCTCACAGGAGTTCTTTAGAATGTGTTGTATATTGAATTTTTTCTGATCATCTCAACGAGCTATCATTTTACTCTTTTTTCTCCAATACCCTGTTCTTTTCCCATTTTCAAATATATGCTTTATCTCCCTGATGTGAATTGTGAATAAATATTCTATATGAATTCTCGAGAAAAAAATGAAAATAAATAATGATATAAAGGTCAAGAGTGAGAAAGTTTTTGCAATGAGAATAGCACTTGACAAAAAAAGTTACGAATTTCTACTTTTTACAAAAATTTAGAAAGAGTAAAAAACATACATTTTTATATACCCGCTAAACAAAAAAAATTACACGTAGAACGTAAATTAAAAAAAAATACAATTTGAAATTGAACTATTGTTTACGACAGTAACAATATGGCCTATAGAATTCTGCTTTTATGCAATTAGCAGTTTTCCCGTATAATGAACTTCGTTCAATTGTTCCCAAAACTTTGACTTCTGACATATTATTTGCATTGACTTTTACATCCACTTTGAAAATTGCTAAACTTGGTTCTGTTGCTTTCACGAGAATTGTGTATAAATGTGCTCCATGGAATGTGTGCTCGAATCTCTTCAAAGACAAGGTCTGAAAAATCTGGTTTTATGAAGAAAAAATTCAATCAGATATCTGATGAGATTTTTTATTGGTTTTTAAATTGATATTTTCGATAGGAAAGACGTACAGTTTTCAATCACAATTTCGATATTTTCTAATTTTAAAGTTTATATTTTTAGATTCACCTCTGCATATACCATTTCGATACAATCATCATCAAATCCGCCATCTTTCAATTCCAAATTCACGGCTTCAATAACTTTTCGACCTATGATCTCAGAAATCGTCGAATTTCTATGAAAACATTAATATTTTCTTTTTTCTCACAAATTTCTATGTATTTTCACTTACCTATCCTCTTCAGTTTTATTAAATTGACAGATACAGTATTCCAACGGAATTGGTAAGGTTCTACACGATCTTGGATTGTTTGGTTGTCGGCGTATCAAAGAATGACCTTTTTCATTGAGTATTTCGATTGGTTCGGTATCCATGAAATGTGCCTTTGATTGATACTGTAAAAAAATTAGTAAGAAATATTTAGAGCAAGTATATTAAATATTACCTTCAAAATATCTAGCATAGTTGCTCTGGTATCATAATGTGTTTGCAATTTCTTGGCATTTTCTCGCATTATTTGAAGAAGGTCCGTTGATCCTCGCAACTCTTTTGGAATCGAAATAGCTGTTATTGGATTATTCCGTTCAAGAGAACCCAATTTTGTCTCTGTTACTTTTCCAAATCTTAATCCATGATCACCAAGTATAAATACAAAGGAATTATCAAGTTTCTGTCGATTTTTCATAAGATATGTATGAAAATCTTTGTCAGCATGAACAACTCCATTTTCATTACTATGCCCAAGAACTGTTACCCAAATCCAAGAAAACTTTTTAACATCAGAAGTATAAGCATTATTGAACTGTTCAAGATAATCTAATAATGTGTGATGATATTCTCGGCAGGATTTGTTACTCAAATGCTTTTTTGTGACATCTGTTCCTTTTCTTTCATATGCATTTTGAAATGGTCTCATATAATGATCAGTTGGTTGTTTTTCAAATCCAACACAATTTGGCCAATTCATTGTTCCTTCTGACCAATCTTCTCCCAACATTGTTTTATAACCATAATCATGAAATTCTTTGAATAAAAACGTCTCATTATCCTTGAATGTTTTACAAAAATAACTATGTTTCCAATCGCGATCAATTGTTGGTTCTTCAAATAAACTACGATCAACTTTCTCCATTGATTTTCCAAACCATAGTGCAACACCATTTGGTCGACTATTTTCACCAACTTTATTCATATATGGAAATACAACACCTTCCATATGATTTTTAAAATATGAAAGAGTTCTTGGAAGTGATCTTACAGCTTGTGTATGTGATAAAGAATCAATTAAAATAACAACCACATCATATTGTTTCATACCAGTTGTACTGTATTTAGGCGGTTCCAAAGGGCTGCAAAAAATGGAATTCAATAGTATAAATTTCATTAAGGTGTTTTTTTTGTTTGATTTATCACGCTGATAAAAATTATTCCATGCTCTGCAATAATATAATATTATCTGGTAAGACAGAAATGAACTAATTGTTTCTTTGATTGAGAACAAGGTTCAAAGGGTATTGAAGAAAAACTTTCATCTTCTCATTGTCAAAATGTGTTTCAAAAACCCACGTTTCTACAATTTGACTATGCAACCATCCATAGAAATCAATTCCTCTTTTATTACTGCAAACTGTTTCTAACACTTCACAATTAACTGGTCCTGGAACATAACTCCAATTTCCAATAAAATTCTCCCGTTCAGACTTTCGTGTATGACATCTACAAAAATATTTCACTTTTTGTTCTGTTCTGTCTTCGAACATAATTCCGTAATTTTCCATACCTTGCGCGACAATTTGTCGTCTTATTATTTTTAAAATTCTCCTCTGTTTCAATAATCGACCATTGTGAATCTCGCAATTCGGTCATTCGATGAAATTTACTGTCGCATTTTTTTAACGGATTCGTATCCGGATCAAAATACTGAAAAATATATACATATATTCCCGCCTGGTATAAAATAAACAAATTTGTATGGCGTAGAGAAAAAAGAAAATTAGCCGAAATTTGAATAAACAAAAAGAGCAAAATAATATAAACAGACCTGTATGATTTCTTCATCCCAAATGTCATATTTTGGAAGATGGCAAATGTTCCAAAAATTAGATTCATTTTCTGGCAATTTTTGAATATTCACACCAAAAGTCGTGCTTGTTACCCAATCTGCTGGAAATGATACAAATGCCAAAAATACAACATATGTGAATAAACATCCCGATGCTATAAGTGTGCTACTTGTTAATGACCACATCTGAAAAAATGGTGTTTGAACTTTTTAAATCGGTTTCATTTTGATTTCCATACAAAAGTTCAAAACACTAAACCGTACAAACCGAATATGAAGTTTCATTTTGTAAAAAAAAAGATTAATCTAAAAATAAATATGAATCATTGAAGACGTAAAAAGCAATATTAAAAAACACTTTCGGATCATTTCATCCATATCAATAGTGTTTATTCTTATCAAAAAGGTCCAATAATTGTTGTATATATGCAACTATATATTTCTATATAAATACAGACTAGAAAAAAACATTATATACAAAATTTGCAAAATGTTACTCACAACAAAAAATGTGTCAAATGTTACACCACTAGAAAAAATCGCAACTTTGAAAAGCATTTATTTATTATTTGATTCTTGATGGATCAAATGAAAAAAAGAAAAAAAGATGAGAAAAACATCAGACGCGCTCAACTCCATTTATAATTTATTTATTTTTTATTATATTCCTAAACACTTTTAGAATAAAACAATGTAAAGATGAAATACAAAGAGTGACCGGGCGGACTCAGGTCGACGAGTCATTCAACGACAAACGGCAAAAAATATATGGGCGGAGTTTAATAGAAGGTTACAGCAAGGTGTTTTTTGTAAACTGTCTGCTAGGAAAAAACGAGGGGGAGGAGAATAGTCTTTGTTACTTATATATTCATTGGATTTGAAATCCGATTATATTGAAGTATCATATAGAAGATTGTGAAATAAAAAAACGAAAAGTAAAGTTTGATTTGGAATATATTATTAGGTAGTAAAAAGTTTGGAGACATATGGTGAATAAATCAAAAAAGAGTGCAACGAGTGCCCACAGAGTGTATTTTACTACCCAAAAATTTCCCCCATTTTTTTGACACCTGGCACGATTCTAGAGGATGAACTATAATGGACAGAATCCAAAGAAGAAATTAAAGATTTTTCAGATTCACTGTCAGGTAGATTTAAAAAATTGGAGTTTAGAGAATACTGAAGCCTAGTTTCTGAAGGAGTCAGGTTGTGGTGAGGCTTTTCCTCAGTTTTTAACAATCTTATGTCAAAACCAACCTTTCTGTGAACATCTTAACAGTGAATAGAAAAATATACCTGAAAAACGTGTATAGTTCTCAACATCTACTTGAAAATTTGGAAATATCAAAAACAAAGTGATTCTGATTATTTATCATTTTTTTGATGAAAATGAGAAATATCTCTACGCCATATACAGAAAATGTTTTTATGCCGCGTTTCGAAAATTTTTCACATGTTTCTTTTTTCCAAATTAGCGTCAGATTTTTTGTTGACAAAACAATGGAACATTTTTAATTTGTCCAATATTTTTTTCCATATTTCGTATTTTCCCATCATTTTCCACATATTTTCATTGCAATGTTTCAAACTCAATTGGCCAGCAACAAGAAAAAACAAATAAACCTTGTGATCTCCCTCGTTTTCTCTCTAATTAAACCACCCTTTGGAAAACATAATTATATACGCCACTTGTTGAAATGGTGGGAAACAGAATTGGAGAGAAAAGATGAGTGTATCAATTTCCAACCAAAAAGAGCTTTTCTAATGGATAACAAACAGTGTGAAAATGAGCAATTAGGAATGAGAAAAAAGAAACATATTCAATTTCAATCAGAAGTTTTCGTTTCAAAGTTCTGCCTCCATCTATTTTTATTCTCATTTTTTTCTGTTGAAATAATGCAACAAATTCCACAAGATTCAACTTCACAAATACTTCCATCTAATAATTTTGGTCTCACAACGATGACAAAAAATAATATTATTATTAATGCTACTAAATCTGCAACAACGTCACAATTTGATCAACAGACGTTCAGCGATTTTTCAAATCCCTATCAACCGGTTTCTATTCCAATTTTGCCACCTGCGGTCATTGAATCGACAACAAACACATACTACAGTAATTGAAATCATTGAAACAGTTGAAAATGTGTGTTTTGTGAAAATTTCAGGTCGTGGTTTTGACAAATGTACAATTAATCTCCGATCACAGCAACAAAAACGGAAACCGAGAGTTTTATTCACACAAAGTCAGGTGGGATTTGAAAAAGTTGATATTTTGATTTTTGAAGTTGCCCAAGAGAGCTAATATAGGAGTTTCTTGAAACTTGTTTCGTTTCTAAAAATAAATCTCAAAAATATCTACGAGAACTTATTCAAAACTACCAGAAAATATTTTCTGTAATTTAATAGCTCTAAACTTTTCAGAATATTCCCTGATTATCTCCAAATTTCTTACTTATTCCTTGACTCAACTAATGAGAGAATTTTCAGATAATAAACTACATTTTCCGACAAATATGATTTCTTTTAAAAAATCTGGATGTTCAATCCAAGAGGTTTAACAAATAAAGTTAATTTTTCAAAATTTTCTCTAAACTTATTTATTTGCAACATTTCTTATTGTTTTACAGCGATATAAAAAATATAAAAAAAAGAGAAGGTAATTTTCAACGGTTCCTTTCTATTTATACATAAATCGCGAAAAAAAGAAACATGAAAACGAAATTTTGTGGAATTTAACAAACAAACCAAACCAACCCAATTTTATTTCAGCCAAATAATAAAAATTCCGGTTTCTAATTTTTTTTCTGGAAAGTTTTATTTATTTTTCACAGGTAAACGAACTTGAAGAACGTTTCAAGAAACAGCGATATGTGACTGCGACTGAACGAGAAGATTTGGCAAGACATCTTGGGTTGACAGCTACACAAGTCAAGATTTGGTTTCAAAATCGGAGATATAAATGTAAACGATTGGCGCAGGATAGAACACTTCAATTAAGTCAAATTCCATTTAATCCGGTAAAAATTGAATTGGTTTTCGAAATGATTTTCAAGTGTCAGGTGATTTTCAGATGTTCGCTTCAGCTCTTCCATTTGGACTCAATTGTTTCAACACTTCTTCATAAATGATCTCAAATATGTTCAGTTGAATAACTTTAATAAATGATCTGTCAGATAAACAAAATGTATTTCTATCAACATCAGTGTTGATATCAAACATTTCATGACGTGAAAGTTTTAGTTCTTGATTCGAAAACGTACATTTCTATAACACTAATTCGAGTTTTTCCAAAAACCCTAGATTATCAGTTGTTTAAGAAAACATCTTCTGATCATCGGATTCTTCATGTCCTCTAAAATAAGAAGATTATCACAAAGCTGCAACGTCACAAGTTATATGGAAACTCTTATGGACTTTTGATAAAACAACATTTATCAGAGGGTAAACCTTACATTTAGAAAGTTATTACATTATGTATATCAAAATGCAGTATCACTTTTGAAAAAACATTTTTCATGTTATATTCTTCAGTATTAAAATCAAAATGCTCCTTCCGCTTGGATTCATTTTATATTTGATTTTTCAGATAAGTTTTATCAGGTTTTTTGTCAATTCATTGAAAACGTCACGCTCAAGTTCACATCTGAAAAATAAAATCACGAGTAGGTGAGAAGTATTCTCATATTTTCAACCTATAATTATGAAATATGAAGAAGTGTTATTGTCATATGGTAGTCTCGAATTGAAACTCGTGATTAGATTCAACTTTAGCTGTGTTTTATAATTACATAGTGATAGACAGACGGCTTGTTTAGAACAGCATTTCATATTCTACCTAAGTATAACATCGTCATTTTTTGTCAATAATGACTAAAGATTAGTGTTTTTCTAGTTTCTAACCTCAAATTTCAATCTTCATAGTATTGTCTCTTTGGAAATGTGTTATCTGGGTTCGAAACGTTGAAAAATATGATATCACTTGGATTTTTATCAATTCAGCTCTGAAAAATCTAGAAAAATGCTCATAGTTGCTCTTTGAAAATTATAAAAGATCCTCATATCCTCATATCCTGAGCTTTTCCCGTTGCTACCCTAACCTATCTTGATATTATGCGAGTGTCAAAGAAATACATATGTTATTAAATTTGAGCGGTTCTAAAGTTTGTAATTACATAGCAATGAGTTGCAGTTTCGTTAGCAACCAATATCTAGATTCAACCTCGATGTTCATTCAGTTTTATAATTCTCATTTATATATATTGTTTGTTCCAAAAAGTAGTGCTATGTTAAGAATTGAAAACTCAAATTTCACCTGGAGTTAAAACTTTTGTTAGGTTTTCAATCATATTTTGCTTGAAATGAATCATTCTATATTTTTCAAATGAAAAGTGAGAACAAAATGTAGTCACGATGACAAAAATCCAAATTAATCTTTTTCAAATTAAAATTTTATTGTTTGTTTTCCGAGTTCTCCCACGTAAATAAAAGGCTTGCGTTTTCCCACGTGAATAAGGTTGTTATTGTATGTTTTTGTCATTTTTTATTTTGAAATCTATTTTTCCTTTTAAATGTGTTTCTTTTATTTTTTTTTTGTACATTTCTGAATTTCAGCTGAAAATGTTAATGGCTCATCCAAACAACATAGTTTATCACGATTTTCGTCAAGTTTTCACTGATTACATGCACAGACAACCATTTTTTGTTGATGAAAATCTACTCAACAGATTCATGTTAGTTTTAATTTTTTTTGTTTTATTTGTTTTTAATATGAAACGTTTTTCAGTAAAGAATACCTAGCTAATCCCACAGTTTATGAACCGTTTCTGAAATCATTTTTCATGCACGAAAATGTATTTGTAAGTTTATTTTTTGTTTCAAGAGTCATTAAATTTTTATTTTAATTATAATGAGCCCTAAATTTCAAAATATTCAGTATCGCATCAGAATTCGAGATGTTGCGCTTCATGTTTGTGCTAAATGCAAAAGTATTAGAAAATTCATTATAAAATTGACAATGGATTGTTTGTGGAAATCAGAAATTGATGTCTTCGACAACAAATTATTGTTTGTAATATTGTATAGACACAAAGTCGATTGTAAGTTCAAGATCACATACCAAAATTTCCAAAATTGAGAACGATTTATCGTGATTTTTTTCAGCAGCAAACACTGTGTACGGAATAATTCAATCTGAAACGGATTATAAATATCAAGCATCAATGATTGTTGGTGTTTTGAGCACTTTACAAGAAAATGATATTGTTACTCACAAAAAAGTTGTTTTTCAAATTATTTTCGCTGTCATGAAAAAATTGAATATGCAAGACATGGAAAATTTGAATCGTTTTCTCAAAGATAACAAGTCTATCAATATTCAAGATTTTTTAACTTTCATAATGCAAAAATACAAAGACTGCGAAACTGTCAAAAGAATTGTGTTTGGTTTTTTGGAAACATCACACTCATTCAAAGGAAATCAATTAGAAATATCTGTTGATATTCTTGCAAAGGTAAGTATACATATTTAGATCAGCATGTTTTTAAATAATGCATTTTTTTCAGTTTCTGAATTTACACTCCAAAAACTCATATCGAAACACAGTTGATAAGTTGGAACAGGACAACATTGTGACTCCACAGGTTTTGATGTTGGCAAAAGAGAAAAATCGAAAGAAATTAGAAACGTATTTTCATGATATACAAGATGATTTTGCAATTATCACCGAACTTGATAAAATTAAACATTTTGCATCACATAAGGAAATGACTCAACTTATGATGACAAAAGTCCATATACTTTTCTCGAAAAATGAAGCGCATCGTATAAGATTTGGAATGGTAAGTTCAAATTTTATTTTCATCTCGATTTCTCAACAATAAACATTTTTCAGAGCTTGGCAGCAAATAGTTATGACGAAAACTTCAAAAATCAACAATCTTATCGGGTTGTTCATGATGTTTTAAGATACGCTTGGTCCAAAATTCCGGAAAAAAGCGAAGAATATATTGTAAATCTTGCGGAAATTGAGATAGTTTTACAGCTTCTTCAAAATCTTGTACGTGTTGATTGTAAAACACGACCGTTGATCCTGGAAAGTGAACCAAAATACATCTCAAGATTAGAAGCTTTTTATCATGATCTGGCTGAACATCAAATACGAACTCAAGAAAAAGAAAAGAAAATGATGCTTTGTCAATTACAGTAAGTCGTAAAATAGCATAATTTTGAGTTGAATCAATCATAATTTCAGGGCTCTTATATGTAACTTTCTGTATTTCAACAACAAAGGAGTTCCAACTTGTCCATCTTTCCGAGCTAGCAAAACTCGTGTATTTGGAAAAGACTGTATCGGAAAAATTCTATCAAAAGAAAAAAGATATATCATGTTTGAGAAACGTAAACACAGATATTTCATACCTAAATCCTAAGACATTAGGAATGAATATTTCTATCACATTATTATACCTTAACCTAACATAACTACTCTAACCTAAATTTTATACCTAAAATTCGAAACTTAAGTTTTTTCACATTTCACAATATTATACTTTTAAGTGTAGGGAACAACTTTTCACCCAAAAATGTTTCACCTAACACATAAAAATCAAGTTATTTTTTTTTTACATATGATATTTTGTTATATTTATCCCACATATCATTTATCAACTGTTACTTCATTTATTCTTCACATAAATTTATTTTGATTTTTAATAAAAGATTCAAAATGCATGAAATTGATTTCTATTTGAAACATTATTGTTGGCACTTATTTTTTCAGAATGCAGGGTGTTCTTCCAATATTTATGGTGAGTGATTGCTTTTCCAATTTAAGTTGAAACAATGTTTATTTTATGTTTTTTTTCAAACTGTATTTCGTATAGTGGCATAAACTTCGTAAAACCATGTTTTTTATCTTTCCCAGAAATCACGCTGAAAGATTTGGAGCATTGAACAAACATTACTTTTTTAATTTGGATTACTGTAGTTTTTCTAAAACTTTAATTTAAAAAGTATTGGTTTTTCAGACAAAAACTCATTATCCAATGTCTCGTGATTCCAAACTTTATGGTAGGCCACACAAAAGCTCCACCTCTTCCTTAAATTAAAACCAAATGTTCATTTAGTTTTTTAATCAAACTAAAGTTCGCTTCGTGAAAAAAGTAAAAATGAAATTGTATTTTGTATAGTAGGATTAATTAAGATAGGATTTGTATTTTTATTAGCTGAAAATTGTATAATAAAGTTGATTACTGTAATCGTACCAGTAAGCCATGAGGATGACGATTCTGAATAACCGAAAAAAATGTTCTCATGAACTTTGGAAAATGTTCGACCTCCATTACAATAAATATGCAAATAATCAAGATTTTTTGAATATTGAAAAATCTCGCATAAAATTAACATTTCTCAAAAAATTTTCTCTCCCAATATTTTCAAAATAACAACAAAAAACCATATTTCTTTTTCTCGAAATATATTATTTTGCAACATGATATCCCACTTACACTTTTATGACTTATTTGTATTAGAGCTTTTCTCTTGAACCACAAACGCCATCAAAAAAAGGAAAATAGAAAAAAAGAAAGAATAATAGCAAATTATTTTGAACCACCCTGGTTGTTGTGAGATTGAAATTAAAATCATGTGTCAATTTCAAGTACCAGGCATACGTTATTTTATTTTATGTTATTCTTTTTTTTTTGGTTCTGTTTGAATTTGATGGTTTTTTCTGCTGTTCGCAGAATAAATTTTTGATTGCCGTATGCCATATAATCACAATAAAAATGAAAACAACCATAATTCGATTTCGGAGAGATTCTCCAATATTTTCGTTTTGTTTTTTATGCCTTCTCAAAATTATCGTAATACTGAACTTTTCACTTTTTTCATTCAGCAAAAAACTGAGATCCTAGTAGTAGTACAACTATACGAAGACAAAAATGTATTTTTTAACACATTTTTAGTATTCTTGATTAGTATACGGTAGATTAAAAATGTGTATAAATACAAGTGCGGAGCATTGAAACTTCATCACATTCTTTATTCAAGTTATTCGTTTGCAGTTCGAATCAACAATGTTCTTCGGCCCTCGCAAACCAATTCCACCACCAAAATTTGCTCCGCAACCACGTGAGTTTAGGCGGGAATAAGGATGGGGAAGGATATTCTGGAGATACAGGAAATACCATGTCAAATGACATTGTATCTTGAGAATACTGCTCGCTTGTCAAAATTTGCAACCCGTTGTTGCACCAAGAGAATATTGAATGTCGCAAAAGCGCAATTTCTGCGGCGATGAAATCATTTTGTTATAATTTGAAAACATAATCAAAAAGATGCCAGCACATAAAATCCCACTTTTGGAGATCTCCACTGTTCTTCTTAAAAATATCAAATATGCGTGATTGCGTTGCGTTACAGTGAGCGGTTTAGAAACACGTCCCAAAAAAAGACTTTTCTCAAGTGGCTATGCCCTTCCTTTTACTCCGCATTGTTTCAGTGCTCTACAAAGAGTGACGTGATTTTTTTATTGTTTTTTTTTTCATTTACGCCTACTTGCTGAAAAATTGTACGTCGACTACAACAAAGAGCAGTTATGATCTAAATTTGCCATCATATTGGAAGCTCTCTGTGCTTGGATATTTTTGGAATCTTCATGCTTTATCTGGATCTTCACAAAGAGCACCAGGATTTCGATCGGTGATTCCGGATAGAGCAATTGTTCGCATCATTTGGTTTTTTACACTTGGTTGTTCAAAACAAAGAGAATAATATGAAAATACCAGAAAATTACGCTTCACACGAAGTGAAGAACAAGTGAACAACAGTTCAAAAAATAAAGGAATCAAGCATTCAAGCATCATATAATCTGAAAATTTTCTACCTGAACCTAGAACGAATACCTTTAACATTTCTCAAGACACAACAATTACAATTAGCGAACATTCAACTTCTTGTTGAATTCCTGTATTAATTGTTTTCTGAAAATCCATTCAAGACATTTTCCTGATGTAAAAATCTCCCAATTATATGACGACCACAAATGATTTTCAAATATTTTTCATCACACGGAAAACGATAAGTTTGCTCGTTTTTATTGACCTTATGATCACGAAATATTTCGTCTTTGATGGTTTGCTGATAAGAAATTCCAAGATTAAAATTTAAAAGAAAAATCGTTTTTTTTAATTTATCCGATCACAAACTTCACTAGAAAACTTTGATGATCAAATAAAACATGTTTTTTGAAATATGAAAAGAATGTTTTTCAAAAACAGAGCATATTTACAATTAAAAAAACAATCATATGTAACTTTATGAGTGCAATAAAAATTATCGCGTACAAAAAGAAAAAAAATCATCATAAATAATTGTGATTTCCATTTTTCTCCGATTCATTCAAAGTTTGACCAAATTTTGTATGTTTATCGATTTTTCTGTGATGGTTGAAATGTTTTTTATGAAACAGCATCAAAAATGTGGTGGGTTTTTGTTTTGATTTATATTTTTCTGTCTTTTCTTGTGGGGGATGTGGAATGACGAACAAACCATGGAAAAATTGACATCTTTTCAATTTATTTATTTGATATTTCATTTTATTTCATTTCACGTAGATTCAATTTTCTCGACTCTAAATTCAACCTAAACCTAAAATGTTATTCTGTCTATGGAAATTAAAAAAACGAACTTCAAAATATTATAGAATTTGTGAGTTTGAAACAATAAAAATAAATATCTTCGATATCTCAAAAATCGCCAAAAGATCTATTTATGGATACTCACAAATTATTATTTGTTCAGACAATTTTTTGATTTTTATACTTTTTTGTATCTCGTGAGCACTTTTTCAATCAACTCTTTTATTTTTGACAATAATGGCTCACGGTGAGTATTTTCAACCAAAATGAGATTTTCCTCCAGAAAAAAACTAATGAAAACTTTGCGAACGTCATTTTTTAATTTTGTTAAATTGAAACTTTAGATACGATTTTTGTTTGTTCATTTTTTGCCCAAACATTTTTAATTAGATTAGGGTTACAGTATTGCATTTGAGCGTTTTGAGATAATGAAAAAATGCTGGGGTTAGACATTTTCAGTTCTTAATTTAAATTCGCTTAAATAGTCAGGGAACAAACCATAAAAACGCGGTTGATAACAAGAAAAATAATGAGCTTATGTTGAAAAAGCTGGAAATTCACTGATTAGGGATTTGAAATTTAAGAAGTCCTCAATAACTTACATTGTTAACATTTATCAAGCCACAATTCCTGATAATATATTAATAGAACCAAATTTTTGAACTTGTTGTTAACATTTTTGTAATTTTGAGAGATATAGAAAAGATGTTTACAAATTGATTGACAAAAAAAGGTGCGAATATTCACACCTTCGACATATGTATTGTATTCACGTTCTACTATGCCATATGGCAAAACCAGCATCTGTCGGCCACACAGTTTACCCTACCTATATAACTGTGCACCTTCTTTATGTTTTCGTTCTTCCGAGAACATATACTAAAATTGGAACAATACAGAGAAGATTAGCATGGCCCCTGCGCAAGGATGACACGCAAATTCGTGAAGCGTTCCAAATTTTTTGACATTTTTAAAGTAAAATAGGTCAAAACACAAATCAAGTGGAACCCCTAGTTTCCAAATATTTCCGGCTTTCTTCAAATCTGAAACTGACATTTTTCAACTTTCATCGTTTCAAATTTCAAATTCAACGCCATTTCCTATTTAAAAATTTAAAGCTTATCGTTTTTTTTTGTTTTTTCTTGGATTCTTCTTTTTTTTTCATTTAGCCAGTGAATCAAAGAAGAGCAAACAATTGAAATGGGCCCCCAAACAAAATAATTAAAACGTTGAACACGCCCTTTGATTTATCATCATTTTTTGTTTGAATTCAAGCCAATAAAATTTCAAAAATACAAAAATATCTGTTGTTTTCAATTTTATTATGACAACAAAATTATGGCTTCTTTCTCGTTCATTAAGCAATAATCATCGTAAGTTGTAATTCCATTCTTTCATTGAATGAAAAAAATAGAAAAAAGAAGATTTGAGGCGGAGAAAATCTCACAATATTTCCGAATAATGACTAGGATTAGATTAGTAAATCCGTGGATAATCTAACTCATTTTTCATGAATTTTTCTATCATTTCTGATTGAGAAAAGAATGGACGCTGCTGCCACTGGTTTAGCATTATCTATCGGGTCAAATCAATTGTCTGGTTTGGTTAAAGGTTCTGTTACACGCTTTTTTAGATTTGTTGTAACTTTTGAATAGAGAAACATAGCGACATTGATAATACTTTGAAATACGTTTCAAATATATTTTTTCCAGGTCTTGACAAGCTCACTGGCGAGGCTCAAGAGCCCGAGATGGAGGACCCAGAGGTGAGTAAAAAATTGTACCTGAAAATTTGGCATGGGAATTCTCAAAAATTTTGAATGTGTTGGTTTAAATATTGAAATTTGAAATGATTTGTTCGAAATCATTATCGGATAAGAAAAACGTCAGCAGATTTTGTACATATTTCTCGAATCCGAAAAAAACCAATTATCAGCCTTGAAAATGTCTGAAACAATCAAATTCCAACCAATTTTATTTGAGAAAATTCTAGACAATTTCACATAACAATCTGAGAATTTATTACACCTCAAAAATAAAAATTCGAAACCTTTTTCCACATTTGGTGTTCGATATGAGTGTTCTAAAAATGTCTGAATTAATCCAAAAAACATACGATGATCGGGTTAGTTTTTTTCTTATTTGGGGGTATTTCATATGAAAAATAGCACCTGGAATGATGATGATAAATTTGGAAACGAACAAGTTTATTTCTATAAATATTATATATCGAATTTCAAATATATATAAAAATACATAAACAAAAAGATGAGCCACGCCTTTTTTTCTGCTTTTTTTGCCCATTTACTAACCACATACATTAGTCCAACATCTTATTCTTCTTTTTAAAAATGAAATGAAATAAAGAAAGTAATGTGGGTGGAATGGACTAGAGTGCATTTTAGATCCGTATTCACTTTTTTGAGTTCCAACCTCGTTTTCCCCTCAAATTTTCCGATTTTTTTTTGTAAACAAAAAAAAACAAAACAAACGTTTCTTAAAAATTCATAAGGATGTCTTGTTTTTTTTGCTATGACTGAATTTTTTCAAAGCTTGATGTAGTTTTGAAATGTTTTTTTTATTCCATAGTCTAAATTTTTGTTTCTGATCTCTGAATTCTATCCCAGATTCACTTGATATCAAAGTTGTTCTGTGAATAAACTTTTAAAAATTCCTCACTTCAAGTTATTTTTTTCCAGGTTGTCGCTGCTCGTCTTGAGCAAGAAGCCAAACGCAAGGAAAAACATCGCAAAATGGAAGCTGAACGCGAAAAGATAAGACAACACATTCGTGAAAAGGTTCAAAGAGTTTTTCATTAAATATTCATTAGATGATGTATTTTTTCTTATTTTCAGTACAACTTGAAAAAGAAAGAAGATCCAAAAGAGCGTGAGGAGATCACTGGACGTATTACTGGAAATCGCAAAACTCCAGAACAAGTTGCGATGGAAACTTTGGCCGACGAAGATGATGGAATTCTTGGACAACTCGGAATTGCCGAGACTTATGAGCGTGCCAAAACTGCTGTTGCTTCGGCTGTCAATTCAGCCAGAGCTTACTTCAACTTGACTTCAAAATAATTATTTTATTCGTCTCTTTTTTTCTATTTTTAAATAACCGATCTCTTATATTAATTATTCCCTTTTGTATTATTTCCTTCCTTGCGTATAACGTACTTTACTATTTTTCTGATAATATTTTATATTTATAACTTTAATTTCCTGCTAATCCTTTCCTGCATAATAAACAACCGTAGCCCGAAAATACTTTGATTTTTGATATACAAAAGTTCCAGATAGCAATTATACGAAACGTTCTGTGAAATTCATATGCTGAACGTTCCACAAATAAAAAACTCAAGTTTTCTCACAATTAAGTAAAGGAAAATTTTCTGGGGAAAAATCTTATGAACAATTTTTCCTTTGGAGTGAAAAATCGAAGAAATAAGAAAATCTCATCACTTTTGCTTGTTGCCATGTAATTATTTCTATACACAAATGATTCTCAAAAAAATCATACATTTATTGATAGAAAATATAAGTATAGTTGAAATCTAATAAAATACCCGATTGTTTTGAAGAAGCTTGATACAAACTTGTGCAAAAATCAAATTTCGAAATAAAGAACTTCAAATTTTACACAAGATTGTTTGGAGAGATCTTACAATTAGGAGAAAATTTGAAGAAAGAAAATGAGCAGAATCAGATCAGGCACTTGGCAAGTATCGATCATCATCAGCTCTTTGCATGATCAAAGTTTCACGGGCTAAACGTGTTTGTCGTTGTCGTTCACTTCTTTGTCTTTTCAATTTGTTTCCACCAATCACTAACATGAGCAATGTTAACAAGGATATTGCAAGAAGTAATCCCACTATCAGATAAGTTATTGTTGTGGTTGGAACTTTGCGACCAAGAAGTTCGATAAACTGAAAAAAATGATGTTTTGTGGTTTGTATCTAAAAATATTTCAGATTATTGAGCTACATAATTCTAATCTCTGAACTAGATAAAGCAGCTGGAAATGGCAAATTCCGAATTTTCATCATAAAAATAGTTGATCTTGATTTCTTGATTCACACTTTGCAAAACTATTTTCAAATTTGATTAAATGTTACCTCTGGACTTGCAAGCTCGCTTCGTTGAACATTCATGTCTACCATCTTACGGCGTTTCAAAATTTCAAAACCTTGAGGCATATGTGAACATATTTGGAATGGATAATCAGATGGTTGATGACAGACACACGTTGTGTTTGCATTTCTGGAAACAACTACGATTAACTGAACAATTTCTGGAACAGAGTGTAAATTTTACTTGGAGACTGAAGCTTTCAAGTTTTTATGGGTGAATTCAATTTATAAAGTTCGATAATTTTTTGATGGCTCTGATATTTATCCAGAGCCATCAAAAATTTCAAATCGATATGATAATTTTTACATAGTGTGAGTGTTTTTTGACTTACTCAAACACGGGTTCTCGATTTTTACACTTCAATTGTCGACACCATTCACTTGGCTGATTGAAACAGCATGAGCATCTGAATAATTTTCCATTATATTTATTTTTCAAATAAAAATGAAAACTCACTCATTATTCCTATGTTGAAAGCATCTTGTGATTACTTGTGTACATTTTGTACCAGTTTCGCTGAATTGCCTGAAATTATTGTTTTGTTGCAGTTAAAATTAAAGATTTTCTGTAAAAATAATGTTACCTGCATATGCAAACAGTTGGAAGATTTGAGTGACTACTTTTATAGGAATTTACAGTTTCATTGCAGAATACAAGATTCCAATCTGGTTTGCAAGAACATGGGGAGTTGAAAGTTCCACCGAATCGGAGATTATTGTCAAGTGGTCGATGAACATAGTGATCTAGAAAAAGTATATTTTTGAGAAGATTTAGTTCCGGGAAATGAGTGTTGGGAGTATTTCGATTATCCGGATTTTCTGATTTTTCTCAGAAAATTGAATTGTTTTCTTTTCTTTTTCCGGAAAATTGTCACATTATTTTAATTTTCACAGAAATAGACCGAGCCTTTTCCCATTTAAAAAACTTAAACTAAAAAACATGATTCATAATTTTCAATAGGATGTGCTGTCATTTGTTTTGATAAACTTTAAACTCAAGGAACTTGGAAACGTTCTGAATCGACTCATTCTAAAAATCTTTCGTTTATTCCCGAGTTTCACTTTTTCTAAACATGATTCAAAAAAAGTTCCTGGTTATTTTTATTTCAATCGAAAAATAAAATATTTTTGTTGTTTGACACCTTTCCGCAAAATTGAACATAAGAAAGAAATAAAAATGGAAATGACGTTGATGTTTGAAACAAACCTGAGACGCATGAGAATTTCTCGCAATTTCCACCAGAACATCTTGCATTCACTGTGTTGCAGATGAAGAGCAAAGAAAAATAAATTTTGAAATAAAATTGCATCGATTCACCTGATAGATCATTAATATCCTTTGCTCATATCCAGTTTCTGAAAAAAAAAAGAAATTTGATGTTCTTTTTTCTGGTCAAATCATGAATAATTGACTGAAAAAAGGAGAGAGAAAAGAAAAAATGAATATTTTGAAACTTTTTGACTCAAAAATAGAAATGACTGATAAGATATTTACGCCTACAAAATGTGAGAGAGCAATAAACTTTTTGTTATGTCAATCATAAAAAAAGAATAAAAACAAGTTTTTAACAAAAAATGAAAGAAGAAAAATAGGAAAATATTAACTATACATATATTTTCAAATAATTATAGTGTCTCCGTCAGTCAGTAAGTTATAATTAACATCAGGAAGCAAAAAATAAAAATTATTCTATTTTATTTTTGATCTGAAAAACATAAAGGAACTTTTTTTTTGGTTTTTCTTTAACAAGATGATGGAAAATGTAGTAAAACAAATAACACTATTTGTTCTTCAAGTTTCGAATTTTTTGTCTTACTTTTGTTTTTGGAAGAAAGACAAAAAAGATTCACAGAGGAACGGGCAAAAAGACTCCATAAATTCTAGAAGAAAATAAAATTCAATTGTTTTTGTTTTTTTCTGGTTTCGATGGGAAGAAAACCCGGGAGTTTTTTCCAGTGAAATATATCTTTGAAAATAAAAAAACAATTTAATGAAACTCAAAAATGTTCCAAGCATGAAATAAAAAGTCTTTCAAGTTTCCGAAAAAAAGGACATCAGATAAGAAAAACATACAAATTATTTTCGAAGGTAAACTTGACACTTCAACATAATATAATAGCAATAAAATATAAATAAAATTTGTGTGCCAAAAACGTCGAACACATAAAATCTGAGTTAACCATGCTTGGCTGCTCATAAGTGTTGTGTTGTGTTGCAGACGCCTTCTTCAGACTTTTTTGCAACTTTTACAAGTGCACAAAATGTTTTTTCTTGCTTTTATTCTAGACATTTAGAAAATCTAGTGTATACAAAACGAAAAAAGAGGAAAAAATCATCAGAACAATAAAAAAATATTGTTTATAATAATAATAACAATAAAAAATAATAGTTAATGTGGGGTTTTGAGGAGTAATCGGAGAGTGAAAAAAAGCATATGCTTTTCTTCAGAGTTCGTCTAATAAAAATCTCATAAGCACCTCTCTTATATTCTTTTTTTTCTTTTTCTGTACATAGTTTTTGGCATCGTTCTTCCTTTTTTCAAGCTATTATTGGGGAGAAAAGGAAGAGTTGAAGAGGGTTTTTGAAATTTGAATTGAACTCACTTGACGTTTTTGATTTTGAGAAAAAAAGTTGTACTATGTACTTGGAACTTGAAAAAAAGTGAGTTGTATATTTGAACTCACAGTTTTTCAGACGAATAAAAAATATTGTGACTTCTGGTCCTTTTAAATTTTCAATCAAATCATTTTTGAAAACTTGTTTCCAGTATCTTCTTTTTAGTTTTTTATTTCTAAAATCACATCAAGAACGATTTTGTTCTGAAATCAAATCCAACAAATTTTTGCAAGACCCTAGAAAATTCTTGATTCCAAAAAAAAGACAAAACAACAAAACAAAATGTGATTGTGTTCGGACTGGCGAAAAGAAAAAAATGGGGCAAGAAGAAAAAAGTAGATAATGTTCGTTTTGTGTTGCTTTGGCTCAAATAAGCGTTTATCTCATGGGACGACAAAAAATGGGGTGAAATTGAGAACATGTTCTTTCTTACTTTCTGTGTTTTTTTCTTACTAGTGGAATTTGGTTTGAGCAACAAAAAGAGAACGTGGTTTATTAATGACTTTGTCTCCAGTGGGACATTTTTTTGAACTTCATTCCAAGCGCAAAAATTTCAACATTTTGCTTGAGTTGGGTAACAAAAAACTGTTTAGTTAAAAACATCAAAATTTAAAGTGTTCCGAATTTTGAAAATTTTCAAACAAAAACAAAAATGGAAATAAGAAACCTACATACCTTCATCTGAAATTCTTTTCAAAAAAATAGCCGAAAACTGGAAATATTGGTGGTTGTCTTTTTGTTAGCAGAACAAAATAACTTTGTTTATAAAATGTATATTTTTGGAATTGGAATAAAATGTTTCCTTTTGAAACATGATTAAGTGTGTTCTATAACACTTGAAAGAAGCAAGAACGGCCAACATGAAAAAAGTTTTTGAGAAAATAATAAGAATAAGTTAGTTTTTTCCTGTTTACTTTTTTTCTTCTTCAGAAGACAGGATTAGAATATGCAAAACTCACCGACTTTTTCGTGCGAAAAAAGTTTTATTCTTATATTTTTTAGAGTTAGAGGTCCAACAAAAACAAATGGAAATAAAAATGAAAAAAATTGTGTTTGTTAGATGGATTACATTGTTTGACTAATGTATTATGATAAGAAAATGACGAAAAAAAAAGGCAACTCCGATTCGGAAATTGAATGTATACGAAAAAAATGAAGATATTTCGATTTTTTGAAAAGCAGGTGAAAAAAGTGTGTGGATAATTGTGTTTGGTGGACAAATCTGGACAACAAAAGAAGTTGGGACAATATTTTTTTGATCTTTTTTGGAGGGTGGAAATTTATAATTGGTTTGAGCATTTAGGAAAACTTCACCAAATACTCTCAATTATTGTTGTGTTTGAATTTTTCATACAATGTGAGACTGTAAGGTCGAAGGTTATACAAATTGAATTTCGAATTATATTGACGGATTTTTAGAACTAGTAAACCGATTGTAGACAAAAAAAATGAAAAAAGCCTATAAAAAACTCATGTGCGCGACGAAACGGAAAAAGATGTGCCTGACAAACTTGACTATTTTTTCCCTATATGTACATCGAATTCAGGCACGTTCATAAATAATTTGTATCCCAACACACATGAGACTCACCTCAACACAATTGCTTTTCAAGAAAAAAAAGAAGACAAGGTTAAGAAAATGACACAGGAAAAAAGGGCGAAATGAATAGAAAATTCTTTGTTTTTTTTTTCTTGCGTTTCTAAATCTAATTCAGATTTTTCTAATTACTAGGAGGAAACAACAAGATGCAAAAGGAGATTTATTTTTTTTATTTGGTCTTGTTTCAGATTAGATATATACATATATATGTAGATTGTGTGAGGAGATGGGCTTCTTGTGGTTCCATTAGACTTAAGTTAAACTACTAATTTATTAGAATATGAGGATAACAGTAATAAACATAAGATTAGTACAAATCATAAGATCGAAATAAATGTACAGTAAGCATTGATTAAAACATATAAAAGTCCTTGTGGAATATGTGTCCTGAGTTAAAACATACAAAACTCTCGTCAGATATTTTATTAATTCCAAGTTGTTTCATCTCCTGATATATCTTTCAAATGCTGTGTATACAATCGTTGGATGTTGATGTTATTTGAAAGTTACTATGAATGAATAAAAATATAAATTATTTTGAACAGCATTATATTTAAGTTTAAAACGTTATGTTGAAAAAGTTTCAAAGTATGACTTCTTGAGTTTTCATGGAATAATTATCAAAAAATCAAATTATTCAAAAATTTGAATATACCTTGTATTGCAAATAAGCATCTATGACTAATGATTACAAAATCTGCCAAAATTCATGCAAATCATCCGTTGCTAAGGACTTTTAATTAGTTAATAAAACAAATTCCGAGTAGTTCATTCTCTTTTTTTCTATTATTGAGTTATGACTAGTTTTTATCGTGATATTGAAATGATAGATCTTTCTAGAAAAGAACCTGATCAACAAGAATTCGAAACTATAAACCTCGAAACTACATTTATTATTCCAAAAGTTCCTACTATTGTTGAATTTTTACCTGTTGAACCGAAAAATGAAATAATACCATTTGGGGTTTCAAGAGAACAAGAAATTGAACTTATGGGATTTCCCATAAATACCAATATGGTTTATGAAGAGCGACGGAAACAAAAAGAAACACGATATTGCCAAAAATCAAGAGCAGAAATAATTGTGGATGAGATATTCTCCAGATTCATAAGCACAGATATTTATCCACCCGCTGATCAACAAACTCCAATGGAATCCTATGAAATGTAGGTTTTTCACTTTTTCGTTTTGAACGTGAAATCATAATCATACGTCAATTGTATGTGATCAAGCCAGAGAAAAATACAATCCGGAAAAGCCCACGAATTGAAATAGATTTTGTGGCTTGGAAGTATTTGAACTGATTGTCAAACAACCCTTGACCGAAAACGTTATCAATAGTTCATAATTTTTTTCCAGGAACAAAAAACAACTGCTGAATGTCAAAAATTTCTTAGAAACTATGAAACAATATACTTGTGTTTCCTCCGAAGAACCACAAAATCACCCCATAAAGTAACATTAAGAATTAGTTCAGATTGTTTATCATGTACATGTCATAATGTTTTTTTTTTCATATTTTTTGTCTTTGAAGTTTGATTCCGAATTTTTGAATATTTTTGAATAAATAAACATAACAATAAAATCCATCATAAGTTGTATATGCTCAAATTTTTTGAAAAATTTCAGATTTATTTTTAAATTCTCTCTGCTGTTAACTTATTTCCTCAGTTCATTTATTTTCTCACCGATTTTAGCTTATTTGCATACAAGAAGCTATATTTTTCATATTTCATAATATTTCCAATTTTAACAACACTCCGCAAAATGACACTGCCATATATTTTGGTCTCGCAACGCGTCCCTTTCACCAACACTTTTTCTTCTATTTTTCTTCTTTTTTCCTTGTGACTTATTTTTGCTTTTGGATATGGGTCTCGGACCTTCGAAATATGAATATGATCGCAATATTACTTGGGTTAAATTCCTCAGCGCAGTTCAAGAAATGAATAGAAAGTGAGTTTTTTATACATTGATCGTAAATATTTGTTTCAAAACTAAACTGAAATGTATTATAGTTATCGTCACGTTTTGATCGATAATAATGAATATTTATGCTTTGCAATGGCCAGAACTGATTTGTTGAGTGCGGATTCGGAAGAAGATTGGAGACAATTGATACGTATTGTTTGTTGTAAAGTAAGTAATTAAAAAAATAATTGTATTTTTAACGATTTTTTTTCTTTTTCCAGGTGAATATTGAGACCAAAGCCGTTGTATCATGCAAAAAACTGACACTCCGTGAATTCCTTACTGCTCATGAGCTGCATCTTGTAATGATGAACAACAAGCCGAAACTATCCCCAGATCCGATGACAACCAGCCAATTTATTCTTGATCAAACTTCCGATATTGAAGGAAATTGTGTGATTTGTATGGAAAATGTTAATGATGTGAGTTGTTTTTGAGGCTATAGAAATCTGGAAGATTTGTGTGTTGGCGTGAAATTTCGCAATTGGTTTTAAAGATTTTTTGATAAGAATTATTTCATAACAGTTTCTAATCAATGAATTGTGAAATAAATTCTTGAAACCAGAATTTTAACATAATTTTAAGCTTCAAACATAATTTAGAAAAAAAGGTTTTCAAACTATTGGGATATTGCAGATTTTAGAATTTCACATATATTGTTAATAAGTGAGTCAATGGAAAACATGAGCTAATTTTTTCCGAAACTTTTTGAGAATTACTTTTTGTGAACATATTTTTTAGAGATGGTTGAACAATTGGAAACCCACAGCGTTATAAAAATTGTGAGAAAATTATTTCATAAATTTCCTTTGGATCAAGTACCGTCATTTTTTTTCTAGGGATTTGGTTCATTTCTAATGACGTCTTTAAGAAGAAAAAAAATCCATTTATAGTTAAACAGAAATTGTGGAATAGAAAAAATCTTTGAGTTTTGAAACATTCCCGATTAGAAATTGTGAGAAGATCTATTCGCTTGAATGATTCTGAATTGAACGTTTTTATAAATGTAATTAGAAAAAATCAAGAAACAATTTGAAATTTAAATCAGTGAATCATTATGTGTTTTTTTTCAGATACTTCTTCCTTGTCTTCACTCATTCTGTCTACGTTGTGTTATTGCTGAAAGTGAATATCGTGGACGTAATTTTTCATGTCCAATGTGTAAAATGCCAATCGAAAATCCAATTGAATCGGCATGGGAAGTCACAGATCCACCAGAACAATCTGAAATTGATGATTACCTTAAAGGTATTGTAAATTAACTTTTTTCGACTCATTTCAAGTATACATAGTTTCATATTACGGTTGATTGTACATTCCTTATTCTAATTTTCTGTCAAATATTCTATTTTCTGTCAAATATACACATTTTTTATAAATTTATATCAATAAACATCTTTTTAGAGAATGTTCAAAGTTTAGGTTTGAAACTGGTTTTTAATCGAGTTATATTTTCAGACGAATTGAATTCAAAAATCATCTGATTTCGGTATTTCTTTTAACAAAGCAAAAATGTACTTTCATATTTTTGTTGAACTGTTTGTATGTTGCACTTTTGCAAAAGAAAACTCCCGATTGATATCAATTTTCAGAGAAAAATATGCCCTTTTTTGTTTGAACATTTAAAAATGTTTTGAATCTGCAAAAAATTCATGTGATTTTTGTTCAAGTTAGGCTATAACGTAGTATGTCAGTTATCAATAGCAACAGGTTTTTTGGTGACACTTCCCATATCCATCAAAGATTATTGTTGTTATGTTTACAATGGCTACACACAAGGAGCCAAAATAACGATTAACATTGTAAAAAAGCAAAGAGAATTACAATTTTTGATCAGACTACAATGCCTCCTGGAAAGAATGCTTTTTTGAGAGAAAATCGAATGGGCGGGGCTTGACCTTTTTGAAAAGAAAGGAAGAATATATAAGAAAAATATATGAGAGAACCAAAATCTTGCGAATCATCTTTTATTTCTATTTCTAAATAAAAACATGGGTTTGCTGATATTTATTCTAGCGACAATAATTGGCGCATTCACGTGAGTTGTTTTTGTATTATTTTTCATAGAACTGTGATTAATTTAGTGTTTGCAGATATTTCGAATGGTTACATAGCTATTGGAAAAGACGTGGAATCGATGGACCAAAAGGTTGGCCATTCCTTGGATCTTTCTACGAAGTATCAAATCGTTCACTTCCTCGAAATTTTGTTTTCAAAAAATGGACAAAACAATTTGGAAAAGTGTTCGGGTATTATGAAGGAGCACATAAAAATTTGGTGATTAGTGATTTGGATATGTTACAAGAAATGTTTGTCAAAAAATTTGACTATTTTTACGCAAGAAAATCAACAAACGTGATTCACGGGGATTTGGAAAGTACTGTTGAAGAACCACAAGTTAGTTTATTTGGATCAAGAGGTTCGAGATGGAAGAGATTCCGAAGTTTGGCTTCGCCATGTTTTTCTGTCAAAAGTTTGAAACAGGTGGGTTATTTTTTTCGAATATGTTTCTTCACTTCACGTTTTCAGTATTTTATTTGTTAACTCATATTATTTGTTGAAACTTATTTTCGGCCACACGCGAAAAAAACTGTAATACTTTTTTATCTGAAAAACTGGAAATCTCCATGTTTTCCACGAAAAATCATATCATCCCATTTTTTTCACAGTTTTGATAATATTACAAAATATCATGTGAATGAAAATTTTCAGGTTCATCATATCGTAGAAGACAGTGCAATATGTTTGATGGATTTATTCAAAGAACATGTTGATGGAAAAGCATTCAATATTCACAATTTATATTTTGAATTCACATTCGATGTGATTTGCAGATTATCAATGGGCCAACCAAATAGCGAAATGTTGAATAATCCGGGAATGCAAATTGTGAAAAATGTTAGCATAATACAATCAGTTTCATCAACAAAAAAATTTAATTTTCAGATATTTGCGAGAGAACATCGTACACTTCCGTGGTATTTATCGGTCCTTTTTCCAAAATATGAGTTTAATGTAAAACAAATGTTTTATAATCATGAAAGTGTGAAAGGTGGAGATGTTGCAAAATTGTTGGCGTATTGTAAGACATCAGTTGAAAAACGGATTGAATTACGAAATGAGAATGTGAAACTTGGAATTGAAAATCAACAATCAGATTTTATTGATATTTATCTCGATTGTTATGCTGATATAGTTGAAGATGTTCCATATGGCACAACAATTGAAAAGAAAATCACATTTGAGGAAATTATCTCGGGATGTTTCATGTTTTTACTCGCTGGTTTTGATACAACTGGAAATGGCCTTGGATATGTCACATATCTTCTTGCAAAAAATCCGGAAAAAATGAAAAAAGTTCAAAAAGAAATCGAAGAAAATTGTCAAAATGAGAGTGTTTCTTATGATGATTTGACAAAACTTCCATATACAGAAGCTGCTATAAAAGAAGCATTGAGACTCTATCCAGTTGCTGCTTTCGCTGCTTCACGTGAATGTGTCAAGACAACAACATTGGGAAATTTAAAAATTGAAAAGGGAACAAGGATCGAAGCTGATGTGTTGTCCATTCATCGAAGCAAAGAAATTTGGGGAGACAATGTTGATGACTATGTTCCCGAACGGTTTGTTTATTTTATGCTTTTTATTGTTGAATTATTTTCAATAAAAAAATTAATAAAAAATACTTTGCAGTTGGTTGACCGATTCTTCTCGACATTTGATGTCGTGGATTCCATTTGGTGCGGGACCTCGTTTATGTGTTGGAATGCGATTGGCAATGGTTGAAATCAAATTAGTTCTTTCTTTGATGCTTCGACAATATGATCTTGTTGCCACCGAAGATACCGAGGAAGAATTACATTTATCAGGGAATGTTACAACTTCACCAGACAGTGTGACAGTTGCATTAAGATCAAGATTTTGATTTCTCTCAAAATCAACTAACAGCTTTAATTTGTGCATAAACAGTTTATCATTAATCGAGATAATAAAGAAATATTAACCGAAGTGTTTCGTTGCCTAGACAGATATTTTTCCAGAAAAAACCATAAAACTTTTTTCGGTTTCAGTCATTAATCGTACACTGCCTTTTCTTGTAACTGGTTCTTATCTTAAAACCACCCAATTGATTTTAATTAATGTTAGGATGTCTTTAAAACATGTCAATCGGAAAATGGTTTCTCAAACCAGGAATCAATTTTTTGTAATCGAATAAGCAAATCGTTTATACAATGATGTGAATATATTTTTGTTTTTGATGCAAAATATTAAAGAATCTACAAAAATATTATATTACCTCGTTTAAATGACTAGGCTACCGGGAAACAATAAAAAAACAAGCTTAATAAAAAAAAATCACACAATTATGACCAGTCATAATACATGAAATAATTATCAGATAATTCTTGATCTTCCACACGAATTCCTTTGCTGATTTCTTCTTTAAACATTTTGACTTTAGGCTTTGCTCGAATATTTCCAAGAACTCCTCGATTTTCAAGTCGAATTCTTATAGGTTTTTGCGCAGTTCCAGCTCGAATTGTTCCTTCAACATAGTGAGGAATCGGCTCATTTGCATCATTCAAAACAATTTCGATGTGATCGATGATTCCTTTTTGAATTGAAACACCATTTGGAACAGTTTCAACGCGAGCTCCAGGAAAACCGTCATCTCCGTTATCAATTTTGATCAATTTTCTAGTTTTACCATCAATTAGTTTTTCCGTTCTGAAAAAAAGAGATTGTTTTTTTTCTGGAAGTTGTCATGAGTTTTGATAAGAAGTGAAACTAGAGACACTCAATATCAATGTTTGTGTTGAAATAAAAAATTAAATAAAATTGAAGGGATAAAAACACTCTGTTTTTATCTATGTCACATAAATCCTAATTAACTTTAAAATTTAAATTTGTTTCACAAATCTTACTCAACCCAGGAATTCCATTATTTTTTCACTCACATTGCTCCGCCTGTAGTCAGAATAGACTTGACTTTTGCAGCAATATCATCCCAACCAATATTCAAATAAGTAGTAGCTTTTTGTTTTGTCGCAGGTAATTTTGATTGTCCTCGAGCATCCAAAGTTCGCAAATGTTCCTCAACAATTTTCTTATCACTAACAGTTAATTGTTTTGCTTGAAGTTTTGGAACACTTGAAGAAGGCATTGGTTTTGTTTTTGATCCTTTTGTTGGCACATCAATGTCATCTGAAAATAATTATTTACATTAAGAAATTTTTTTGTATAAAACTTACGAATATGAGCTTCAACATGTTTATCAGCCAACATTGCTTTATGAATATCTTTGATTGTTTCCAAGTTTACTTTATTTTTCGAACTTCCTCCACCTCCAGCACCTTCGGCATTTTTCAGCTTTTCATTGATCGTTGAATCAAAATTCTGTTTATCTTCTGCGGTTTTCAAAGTGTCACGGAATTCGTTGATTTTTTCTTGTGTAGTTTCTTGAATCAATTTTTCGGCAGTATGCAAATTAACAGCAGCATTCGTGAAAAAGAGCAAACTGGTTGAAAATTGGAAAAGTTCCAGGGCAGTAGGTCTTTCTCCATTGGCAACTTTTTCAAAAATATTGAAGCCAGAAGCTGTGAGAGCAATTCCAGAAACTGCGAAATTGGCAAAAATTGCAGCATTCACGGTGCATTCAATCGCTTGACTAACTTCAACTCCTTGTGTTGCCATAACAGTTAGATACTATAAAAAATACAATTTGAAACGGAATAGAAACAATTTTATGAAAATAAAAATCATACCGCTGATCCACCGATTGCTCCAAAAGATGCAAGAGATGCTGCAACTGCTAACCAATCCACAAAATTCTCTCGACTTCGAAGCGGATTAACATTCTCATTATGTGTTGCTCGATCTACCAAATGATAACCAGATCTTGCCATTGTATAAATACCAGTTCCAATTGCTGTATATAGCAAAGTTGTTGCAGCAATTGGAGCTAATGGAGTGAAAAGTCCAACAACAGAACCAATTGTTGCCGCAATACCAATTCCCATTGCACTTCTATCACTTATTTTTGCAATTTTACTTGGTAACTTGCTTCTTCTTGATAAATCGTAACGAAGATTCAAAACTCCACCGGATTCAATCTGACAAAAAACATATTATTTTCCAAATGAGTTCAGAATTTTCATACCTCATAATGTCCATCATTTGGATATAAAATAGAACATTCTGGCAATTTGTTCTTGTCAATAAAATCAGTCCATCCATCATATGCTCTACCACTTGATTCAACATAAATTGTTTTTGAATCGTTGATTTTTAGACAAATCATTGGGAGAACATTGGAATGTGAACCATCGGCGAAAAATGAGACGAATACGAATTTTGTTTCTATTATGTTTTCATCTCCATCTTTTAACTTTTTTTGTTTTCTATTGATATCAAATAATTCATCACGGATTTGAAGAATATGCTCTTCTTGCTGAAAAAGTTCAAGGCTATTTGAGATTTTGACAAAAATAGTTGCAGATTTTAAAAACACATCAGTGTGAATTCAACTAAAACATTCAGGCTATGTCAAAGTTATTTTTTCTTAAAAATTGAGAATTCTGAAAATTTTTGATAAAACTTATCAACCAAAATTCGTTAGTTATTACATAAATCAAATTCCGAAAAACTATTTTCTCAGCCAGAATTATTTTCATTTGAAAATTTTCAAAAGAAATTTGTGATAGTGACAAAGACACGTTGCAATAATTTTGTATAAAAAATAATCTCCGTATTTTTCCAGTTAAAAATGGGAAATTCACGTGAAAATATTCTTTCTCTCTCAACAATTGCAAATTCTTCAGAGCTGACATGTTGTGTGTTCTCTCAACCCTTAAAAATACAAAAAAAAGAGTCCCGCCAATATCGTTCACCGCATTTCAAATACCCATCTTACCTCTTTATTATATCCAAATTGTGGCACAAATTTCACATCCATTTTGGATTTCTTTTGCTTATCTTTTGATGAAGCTTCTAATTCAATAACTTTAATGAGTTCTTCTAACTGATCCGGGTTCAAACTGTTTCTTTCTTCTTGAGGTAGATTTGTGGGATATTGATAGATGGCAAAACCGATTTTTCTTGCCAGATTTTTCATTTCTTGCTAAAAAATCATTTTCATTGGGAGAATTGGAATTCATTTTGAAATTACCTCATCTTGTTTATTAATTTTAAACCAATCTAGTCTTGCTAAACCAATACCATAATATTTTTGAGTCACAATTGCTGCTCCAATTTGATGTTTACTTTCAAGTTTTGGATTTGCTTGAACCGCTTCAAACATTTCGATTTCTTCACTTCCTTTTTTCTTGATGAAACATGTTGCACAAATTCCATAATCTGGGCAGATTTCTGGACAGCTAAAAATCATTTTTCTTGTTTTTTTTTCTGTTATTTTGATTTCATTAAAATATTTTATTGAAACCTCTCTGAACTTGGTGAATCGAATTTTCGAAAATGTTTCATTGTTTTTGCTATTCTATTGTTTCAAGAAACAACAACTTTAAAATGATTCATAAGTTTTGAGACTTTTCAATCGTTTTTTTTTCAAATAATGAAATATAATTGAAATAAAAACTCACACATATCTCAAACCCGGAAAAACTTTCGAACCACAACTTGCACACGGTTTGTCATGAACAGGAAACGCTACTGCAAACTAACAATCATATTTTGTTCCAATAAAAATTTCAGAAAAAAATATTTACATTTTCCAAAAGGTGACATATCCAATCGATAAGAATGATGCATGTGTGGATGATTTTCTGGATATTCTAAAGATTTTCGAGAATGAATTGTCTCTTCGACAATTTGATCGTTATAACATGTTGCACAAATATGATGGTCATCGCAAAGATTACAAGTGAACATTGATCCTGGAAAATTAATAATTTATACATATTTTATATTAAAAAACTTACCCAGGATAACCAATCCACATTCTGCACAATCTTGATATTGACAATCAGAATATTCTGGCCAAAGAATGGGATTTGTTCCCTCAATTTTATCATCTTTTGATTCCATATTTTTCTCTGGAATAGTGAAAAAAATCGATATACACATTTTTCTTATGAATGAAATGTATCAAAAAAAAAGTTCAGACAGATCACAAAAATGTCAAAGCAGCTTTTATTCCAAAACAAACAACTCAAAATAACTCAAAACAGAAATGTGTTCCTAGGAAAAAACAGAAACTATGAGAAAAATAAAATAAAATAAAAGTTGGGGAGAAGGAAAATACATCTTTTTCCTCCCGCCAGATAACGTCTCTCAAAAATTGACACTATCTGTTTATTTTCTGCCAATATGTCTAACCTGAGGCACCTATTTGTTATTTCGAAATATAAAAAAATAGAGAAAGAAAAGTATATTTGTTGGAAAAACACTTTCCGGTTTTTCCACTTTTTTACAATCCTTTTGCTACATTGTTTCTTTCTGCCAAATATATTTATATCAATGACATAAATGACTCATGAATAATCGACCTTCATCAATTCAAAAAAAAAACATTTCGAAATTTTTTGACTGTAAAAGATGATATTTGCTAAATTTTTGTTGAAAAATGTAAAAAAAAATTTTTTTCACGGATGAAAATTCTGCAAAAAATTTGGAACGCTTCACGAATTTGCGTGTCATCCTTGCGCAGGGGCCATGCTAATCTTCTCTGTATTGTTCCAATTTTAGTATATGTTCTCGGAAGAACAAAAACATAAAGAAGGGACACAGTTATATAGGTAGGGTAAACTGTGTGGCTGACATTGCACTGATTAGCCATATGCTATGGTAAAAATAGGAAAGTATCAATTTTCACACCTTAACGGAACATAAAAATTATTAGTCATTGCACAACAACAAAGAGCGATTGATTGAAAAAAAAATATGATTTTATTGGTTAGTCATAAGAACTAGAGAGAAAACGTGAGAAAGTGCGACTTTCCTTTCGTCATAGGTTGAACTTTTTCAACAAAAGCTTTGTTGATTTATTGGAAAAAACAAACATTCGATATTGGAAAAATATAAAAATGTTATTTCATGTGAATGTGATACTAGTTATTTCTCAAATTTTGTGCGAGTGCTTCCAAAACATGAAAAAGACGGAACAATCCTTGGACGTAATTGAAAATTGAATAAAACTTTTTTAGATTGAACACAAATAGAAACTTTTTTTGCAGGTTTTTTCAGAAGTTCGGGAACTGTTAACTCGACAATCAATGGAAAACTGTTATACTGAAAATTTCATTTCAATGAGAAAACATAGAAAAACTTGTTCTTGAATGCGGAAAAAAATTTTTGCAATAGTCTCATACAATTCAATTCCTAAAAATTCTGCAAAAAATTTGGAACGCTTCACGAATTTGCGTGTCATCCTTGCGCAGGGGCCATGCTAATCTTCTCTGTATTGTTCCAATTTTAGTATATGTTCTCGGAAGAACAAAAACATAAAAACGGTAGACAGTTATATAGGTAGGGTAAAGTGTGTGGTCGACATTGCACTGGTTAGCCATATGCTATTAAAAACAAACAATAAAATGGGAAGAATTTATAGGTTTCACACCTTATTTTGCAACAGGTGTGAAAAACATATGGATTTTGCTCAAATGAATAATGTTTATTTATATATGATAGTTTTTGAGCTTATCAAAACATAGATAACAAGTTTTCAATTTTATTTCAATCTCCAAGGTAACTTTATTCTAAATGTCATATGGGTTTAGAGAACATCAAATTACAGATATTGCTCTGAAAAAATTATACCTTTTGTTCTGTCATAATTGTTTGGTGATAATTACAGGGTGACAACAAATTATAGCGACAAATTCCACTAACTCTGGTGACTGTCATACTTAACCGATCTCTATGAAATTTTTTTTGAGACTTTCCTGACTATCCAGGACTACGCAGAAAAAATATCAAGAGTTCTCGGAAGGTTCACAATATTTTTTCTGGCCCTTGAAAAGTTTTGAAAAATATTTCCGTACTCGCTAAATACTTTGTTCAACAAAAATTTTCCCTGGATGATAAATTTCATATTTTTTGCTCAAAATAGTTTTTCTAGATCATAATACACACTGTTTCACAGTTATAACAATTCCTGATGTTCAAATGAGTAATCCAGCGGGGTTCAATTATCATGAATTTTCGGAATTTTGTGAATTTTCAAATCAAGTCAAAATTAAAAAATGTCCCAATAATTTTTTTCAACGATGTTAATGTTTCAAATTGTTCCAAAAGTGTTTAGTGAATGTTTTTATATCACGAATATTATTTTCAAACATAAATTTTGAAAGAAATGCAACTTTTCCAAAAATCATAATTTCTCGAAATGCATCATTTGACTCTGATTATCCGTTAATTACTCTAATTAATGAAGAGGATTTATGCTCAAAATTTTTTCGACAATTTTTGATAGTATTCAGACTATTTGCAATCATTCATACTTATGAATATTGGAATTGTATCCCCAGATTTCAATTTGATCGAAAAATGAAATTGTGATACTCGCAAGTGGTGGTTCAAGATAACCACATCTAAAAAAGTCAAAAAGTCGGGTAGCTGTAATAATATTCGTGCTGAACCCTCCTCAACACTTACTTTACCTAAAATAAAAATTATAGTTATGAAATATTACTTACAGACATGAAACAATTAGCCGATAAAAAATCGAAAATTAAAAAAATCGTCAAAAAGCGAAATTTTGAAAACTATCGTTTTCAAACTTTGTGAAATTTTTTGTGTTCATAATCAAAAACAAGTTAGTATACTAATTAGAAACTTTAAAATGATGGTTTTTGAGAAAATTTGAGCAATGAAATCATAAAAAATTGTTCCGCTATTACTGTCAGATCAGCGTATACTTTTGTCGCTATAATTTGTTGTCACCCTGTATATGATAACTTTTTTTTTCATTCTAGATTAGTCCAAATAATTATTGCTTGGTAAATTTTTGTTGTTAATCCAGGTGTGAAAATTTGTCTCTCGCATTTTTTTGGATAGGATTGTTCAGAAATTTCCTTTCGGAAAAATATGGTTTCCACATATTATTTTGATAATCTAAAGCATCAACAATCTTATATTTCAAACTTGACCAAATACTTTTTATTGCGATATAACATGTGATGGTGGATTTATTAAGAGGTGTGAAAATTTGTACTCTCCTATCTTTCTTCCCACTCATAACCATGTCAAATAGCCATCCCATAAACTGTCGGCCACACAGTTTACCCTACCTATATAACTGTGCACCTTCTTTATGTTTTCGTTCTTCCGAGAACATATACTAAAATTGGAACAATACAGAGAAGATTAGCATGGCCCCTGCGCAAGGATGACACGCAAATTCGTGAAGCGTTCCAAATTTTTTGTATAATTTTATGAATACAAATAAATTTTACTCGGGAGACTCTAAAAATGTCTTCATTAAAAGAACTTCCTAACAGTTTTCTCATTTTTTCCCCAACTCCAATTCATCTACAAGATTTCCGTGAGTACATACATATATTATCGAATTAGATTCTGATTCACTAACATAGTAATTTCCGGCCCACGTGCTCAATAAAATCTACTCAAAAACCTATATATTTTCTCGCCTTTTCCTTTCACTTTCTGTCTACCCAGCGAGCAAAAGTTAATATCAGCTGAGGCTGAAAATCTTGAATTTTTTGCCAACCCAATTTTTTCTTGTGTTTGTGTTATGTTATGTGTTGCTAAGAGATACTACCCCGCCCAAACCTAGAAGCATAGTTTTACTCATTCTTTTTGCTTTTAGGCAAACACATCAATCAGTTCTCACCGGAAACCTGGAAATCACAATGTTTTGGTTGGGTGTGACTTATGCTTTCTTTTGGCTGGGTGGTCTATCAGAAGGTGAGTCATAGTATAATTTCAGAAAACGGTACTGGTGAATTATCAGAAATTTCAAAACTTCCTTTGAGAAATTTAAATTTTGCAAAAACGTTTCATTAATTCACTGTTTCCAAATCTTACATTCAGGATAAAAATAACTAGGAAAATTTATAAAATTTTGAAGATATCAAATTATTTTCTTGGAAAGTCTTTATAACTTATCTAGAGGTTAAATGCACCAATACTTTTAAATACACATTTTGCTCGTTCGATATTCGATTCTAAATTGAGTTTCCTGATAAATTAGTAGTTCCAAAAGGACAAAATATATGTCTAGTCTCAACAATTGTATGAAAAGTGCATTTTTATCACGAGTACGTGAGATATCATTCTCAAAGAATTGCTCATAATTATCATCATGTAATATTTCGAAAACTCAAAAAATCATGATTCATTACACCTGACGCATTTTGCTAATTAGCAAATAATCTCTAGTGTAGTGGAGGTCATAACAGAATTATGAAAACCTAAATAAAATACTCAATTTTGAGCCGGCAAAACTACAAAAGATTGCCAATGGAATGGAACTGTGTCAGCACTCGACACTAATTGCACCAATATAAATGCGCCCAGTGGTTTGATCTTAAATGGCACCGATGATATCAAGGTAGAAACTTCAAATTATAATCTTTTTGATAACCTGTAATTTTCAGGTTCTCTACAAACAATTTGCACATGTTACCACAGTTACCGGGTGTATCCAAATTTCAGGAACTACTTATGCTAGATTTGATTTTTTCGCTAGATTGAGAACTATCAATTGTTCCAACTCAAGTAAGCCTAAAATTAAGTTAGAAAAATAAATTGATTTTTGAAATTTTCCAGGTTTCACTGTTGATTTCATGGCTTCAAACAACTCAATGTTAGAGAGATTAGGAATGCCAATGGTTCAAATAAGTCGACTTGGATTAACATTCAACCCAAAACTTTGTATCACTCAAAGTGAAGCAGTTCGATTCACAAATGTTCAACGAGGACAGTCAGATAATATCACAATCTGTCAGGGAGTCAGTGGGAATTTGAAAGAATGTTCATCTACTATCAACTCGGCAAATGCTGGTTTGGAGGATAATTGTGAGATTATTACTGAGAACTTGTATGTTGATGGAGTCAACAATGCAAATATTTCACAAAAATTGCAATATATCAAGGAAGTTAATGGTAGAATTTATGTTCGAGCAACAACTTTGACCAATTTGACAATTCCAATGTTGCAAAAGGTTTACGGTGCAGAATCCAGTTACAACACAGGTAATGTTCATCAGAGACTATTTTTTGATATTTTTCATGATAATTTATTTCAGATTTTTAGTTACAGAATATACATAGAATTATATTTTTTTTTTGAAAAAAGGCAGGTGATAAAGTTTGATCAACTAGAAGTTTGGTCTCCAGATAGAAATAATTTCAGATGACTTCAAGTCAGACTAAAATTGAGGAAGTGAAAATATAAACGTATGACATTTTTTCAGTCAACGATGCAACGATCTACGTAGTCGGCAATTCGAATTTCACAACTCTTGATGTTCCAAAAGTTGATTTCATGGCACAAAATGATTATTCTTTTCTGACTGCTGACGCTTCTTACAAAATGGATCAATCACTCTGCAATCGTTTGTCTCCGTTTGGAAGTGTTCAATCAAATGGAACAGTTTGCGGTAAGATGACCGAAAAAAAATAACAAAACTTGATCTAAAAACTATGTCAGCGCGTTTCGGATGTTTACTTTTCTCTCTTCGAAAAATGACTGATTCACTTTTTCTATTATGATAAGATAGTTAGCGAAATCATTAATGTTCTTTGTTTTTTCAGTTTCCACTGGTTCAAAAATTGGAACAACTGCTTCAATGGCTCTCGGATTGCTCGCCTGTTATTTTTTGTATCACTAAACGAATGTATTTTTTATGCTTAAAAAAATGATTTTTCTAATAAAGTATTTGGTGATTCTTTTTTAACAAGAAAATACACAAAAAATTTGGAACGCTTCACGAATTTGCGTGTCATCCTTGCGCAGGGGCCATGCTAATCTTCTCTGTATTGTTCCAATTTTAGTATATGTTCTCGGAAGAACAAAAACGTAAAGAAGGGACACGGTTATATAGGTAGGGTAAACTGTGTGGCCGACAGTTTATGGGTTGGCCATTTGATATGCAGAAAGAGTGTCAGAACTGAAGGTGTTAAAATTCACACATTTTTATGATTCTCGTATATTTCCATTTGTTTCTTATGATTATAAAACTACATGAAACATAATAATAGTAATGTTAAAAATACTATTCAGAAAACACACCCATTCACATTCATATTTTTGTCCAACAAATCGAAAGCGCTAAAGTGGCATAGAAGGGGACCGGTTCATCTATCACACAAAACGAAAATCCAGATCCTTTTCTCTTTCTAATTTTCTTCTTTGATGTCAATTTTTTTATCTGCAAATAATTTTGATTCTTTTTCTTTTGCATTAGTTTGTTTTTTCACCGTTTTATTAGTTTCAATTTCAATCATCTCTTTTCTCTTATTTTTCTTTTGATTTAAATCCATCCATCAAACAAAAACAATCATGTCACTTCAATTTGAAGAAAAAAACAATAATAGTTGAAATGACCTCTTTTGTCGGGAAGAATAATAGCAAAAAACACTTGATGGATGATTACAATAATATGTGTTCTTTATTTGAAGCTGAAGAAGATAACGTAAATCAACAATTCAGGTTATCCAAACTTTTTTTTGATTCAACGGATACGCGTTTTAGGTAGAAGATTAAGATTTATTTTCTTTTGTTATAATCTACAGATTGTTTCGAATCAAATATCCGGATATTCTTTATTCTGTCTTGTTTTCATTCGAGATTCGAGGTTCTACATATTCCTAATTCTCAACCAAAATATAAAAACATTATGTTTTTATTAGTCATTTATTTTGCTTTCATTTTCTTACCCATACTAGTTTTTTGGTGGAAAGTTCGACCTTGTTTTCATTTACTTGACATACGAACTTTTATTTTCATTGTTTGTGAAAACATATTTTTTTGTATGAGTTCATTTCATCCTTTCAAAAGGTTGTTTTCAAAAAATCAACAAAATCAAATTTTTTGTTCAAAGACTTTATGTCAAAGACACAGAATCATCTGAAATATTAGAAAGCTGAAATTCAGCGTTTCTAGCATACCGTCTACTGTTTTCCCAGACCGTTATTCGCAGACCGTTTTTTGCAACAGTGGTTTGCAGACCGTTCTTCGAAGACCGTTATTCACAGACCGTTGTTTCCAGACCGTTGTTTCCAGACCGTTCTTCGCAGACCGTCGTTTCCAGACCGTTCTTCACAGACCGTTATTCGCAGACCGTTGTTTCCAGACCGTTCTTCGCAGACCGTTGTTTGCAATCCGTTGTTTGCAACAGTGGTTTGCAGACCGTTCTTCGCAGACCGTTATTCGCAGACCGTTCTTCGCAGACCGTCGTTTCCAGACCGTTCTTCACAGACCGTTATTCGCAGACCGTTGTTTCCAGACCGTTCTTCGCAGACCGTTGTTTGCAATCCGTTGTTTTCAACAGTGGTTTGCAGACCGTTCTTCGCAGACCGTTAAGAAAATCAATTTCTGAACGTTTTGTTTCATCTAGAAAATCCAGTCAGCCTTTTTAATAAAATTTAAATCTAAAAATTGAATATAATTATTTTTATCGAAAAAATGAAATCAACTTGGATCATCAATAAAATAGTCGGAAACATTTCAGAATAGCACTCATTTCAGAACTTTTTCCAATTATCGTAAATCAAAGAACTAATATAATTAGCATATCAATGTATGAAATTGATATTTGTTATTACTATGCATTACAAATGTTACATAACAAAACCATAAAAAAAACAGAGAAAAGCGATGAGAAAAACACGATTTCTCCAGAACGTTTCATTATTATTCTTTTTTTTTTGATTTGATACACCACTAATAAATATTACACAGTCAATTCTGATCATGTTTTCACACCTTATTATAATCGGTGGGGGACATTAGCAAGAACATGAGAAGCAGCAGCAAAAAAGAGAAACTTGTCCAGTGCCAAGTTTTAAACAAAATCAAATTCCGCTTCCTCCTTCTTTTTTGGATATCTCTATATCATCAAGGACGTTGTCTTTTCTTTCTTTCTCTCATTTTTTTCTTATTTTGATTCTTATCTTCCACACCAACACAGCAAAATTATTTTCATTTTCATATACCTCAATTGCTATTGTCTTCTTTCATTTTCAATAATATTTTTGATTTTTTCTCCCATTCTCCAATTTACTATAAAAGTACGTGTCCATTTTTTTCAGTGTCTAATAAACAATTTTATTTTGGAAAATGCTGAGGTTAGTAGTTTTGATGGTTGCTGTTTCTCTTGGATTTGCACAAGAAAATGGAATTGATTTCGATAATCCGGGAGTGAGTTTTGTATAAATTTATGAAAAACATCTTGAACACTGTTAATTTTAAGAACTGCGGAACTGAAGCCAGCAACTGGAAACCTTGCATTGAACGAAAAATCGCTGATCAAGTTTATGGAAGTTGTTGTGAAAGATTTGTTCCACCAGAGTGCAGAGGATTGTGTATTTATGAAACAAATGCCATTGAAGCCAGAGTTGTTGTAAGTTAGACAAGGGGATGAATTTTTTTACTAATTACGAGCATTTTGAAGTTTATTAGTTTTTATTTAATCTAAGTTTAAATCCGAGGTTGAGATTTCAAGATTCACCCCCATTTTAAAAGTTCTCTTATGAAATCTGATAAATCAACAATGAAAAATAATGGTTTTACAATAAAAAAGAAAAAACATTGCAAACCAAAACATTATGAGTCATGTCTACACAAAAAATTTTAAAGAAAATAATTGAACTTTGAACATCTTGCAAACCAATTTATTCTAAAAAAGCACAGTTGTTCCCAAAATTTTGAACCGATTTTGTTGCAGTTGATGCACACAATTCAACCATCCCGATGCCGCCTCTACAAATATCTTCCATCAATTGTTCACTGTGCTGCTCAAACCCACGACAACACTGAATGTTGTAGATCAAATGGTGTTGGTGATCTTGGTGAGCAATGTCTCGAAATGTGCAAACCACAATCAAATCCACGTCGATTCTGGGGAGTCAAATCACTTCGCAAAGATATGGTTATCTGCCTTGCTCGATGGGATCAAATTATGCAATGTCATCAATCAGGACTTCGGGCTAGAAAAGTTCCACGTGTTCAAGCATAAAATCAAATATTAATGAAACTACCTAAAACCTCTTTAAGTATGTTAGTTGCAATCGATTGTTATTCCTCCACTTTTTGCTTTCAAAAGCGATTTTCTTTTTCCTAACCTATTCAATTAATTTCAATAATTATTACGTACTGTATCTCAATATTTTTCACAAATAAAATTGAAAACTGTGAGCTTATCAAGTATTCATGTTCAACCAATCCAGGTGCGGTTGATCTAAAATTTCAGGATATTTAAACAAGAGTTACGAGTTTTAGTCGGAGAAGAGCATCTTTACTTCCCAGGTAAAATTCTGAATTGTATTTGAAAAATTTTAACCCTAGGATATTTCTTTTATATTCGTATTTTTTATCATTGTCGATAGACAAAAAAAAGAAAGACATTTTCACGTTGATTCAACAAAATGTTACGAAATATCGTTAAGCGTGTGAAAAAAATTGTACAGAAAATGTTCAAAAAGAGCTGTATGAAAGGAATGTCAGAAAACATGCGTTCAAATTTGAATTATATCTTAAGCATAAATGTGTGGGTGTTACACGATAAGCTTCCCGCTTGACCCTGAAATCGGATTCAGTTTTGCGTGTTTGGTGTTGCCACTGCTTCGTTATTCACGGGCACCACGTCGACACTTCGCAAATACCCGAATAAATCACATTCGAATATTGAAATTAATGATAAATTTTTTTGGATATAGGTTACATTATGGAAATTCACTGGCTGTCGAATTGTATTTTTCCGCACTTTCACAGCTGTGTATTTTCCTTATCCTGAACAGTTCCCTATCAATAGATCCCCAACCATGAAAATATTATTATTTTCCAACAGCCATCTACTACATCTGTTAGATCACACATCAGAATTCACGAAAATAGACCCGTAGAATTTTCTCGTACCAGATGTATTTTTTCGTGACTTTATCCAGAATACAGAGTCTCCTCCCACTTTCTGCTCCTTTTACCAAAACATCCTTGTACATCTGTTAAATCATGTCTTTTTTGGGAGCTGTATACGGCACATTTTTTATTTTAGATCACACATCAGAATTCACGAAAATAGACCTGTAGAATTTTCTCGTACCATATGTGTTTTCTCGTGATTTTATCCAGAATACACAGACTCCTCCCACTTTTCTGCTCCTTTTACCAAAACATTCTTGTACATCTGTTAGATCTGTTCTTTTTTTAGGAGCTGTCTACGATACATTTTCTATTTTAGATCACACATCAGAATTCACGAAAACAAACCTGTAGAATTTTCTCGTACCAGATGTGTTGTCTCGTGACTTTATCCAGAATACAGAGACTCCTCCCACTTTTCTGCTCATTTTACCAAAACATCGTTGTACATCTGTATGGTCATTTCTTTTTTTTGGGAGCTGTCTACGACACCTTTTCTATTTTCGTTAAAAAATCTCTAATAATTTTTTCATATGCCTGGTTTCTGTGCAACATCTTCAAAATTGAATATCGAATCAGACCCATAAAATACATTAATTTTATTATTGTGAATAATTTGTGTGGGAAACAGCATTGATAATTTTATTATCCTGATACTGTTTTAGTTATTCAATTCTGCTCTGTACCAAACCTAAACTAATTTGAGGAATTTCTGTAACACATTTGCAAACCTCTATTTATGTATATACCTGTAGAACTGAATTTTTGAGTTGGGTAGACATGATATTGAACAAAACTTTTACGAGTCTTACTATCTCAATGGTGTTTTTCACCAAATCATTCAAATTTCAGTTCTTTTCACTTCTTCTCTGATAGTTTCGTAATTTTTTCTTCACTATTTGAAATCTCTCATGATCAAAAACTGTTTACAATCATTTTTCTTTGAAAAAGATGCGGCATTCTCTTTGTGGCTCATAAAAAAACATTTTTGTCTGGTCAAAAAAACTACGATGGGCGTGGCTTCAGATTTTGAAAATATCACGTCTTCATTTATCATCACTTTTGCTGTTTCGACATTTCTCCTATAATATTATTTATTGCAGATCTATCTAACGAAATTCAATGGGAAAACTGAAATCCAATCGGAAAAAAAGAGGTAAAAGGGTCATTGGCTTAAATGAGCATTTATGTTCACCTTGAAAACGTTGCTCAAGTTTTTCCCCCCGTACTTTGTCAATTCCCATAAAAATAGTCAAATCAATAATTTCAGTATATTACTGGGGGCAATACAAGAAATTGAATAATTTTCACCACTGATTAGTAAAACGCTGTTCAATAACCCCCCCCTCCCCCCATAGAAAAACTCTTTCCCAATAATAATAAGGTAACCAATTTTGAACATTAACTGATTCTGGTTATTTTCAATGGCACGTTAAAGTATAATGAAAATTCGATAAATGAGAAAGAAAGTCTGGCTTGAACGGCGCGGTTCCAAAACCCAAAACTCTGCCAATCCGCGGCTGACAAATGAACTTTAGTGAAACGTCCACAAAATTGTACTTCGATGTTAGGGAAATGCCCGCTCAATTTCACTCTCCAAGTATAAAAATGCTTCAATACCCTTGAAAATCAGTCAGAAGTTAGTATTAATTTGTACTTCCAACTCTCGCTCTGAATATCTAGCAAAATCTGACACAAACCCAACCATCTACGCATATTTCTTTGGGATTTTTCGAAATTGAAAAATTATTAAAAATTAATTTGATTTCATCAGACTAGAAATGTTTTTTTTTACACAAAACACTTTGAAAAACGATGGGAACCAAAAGATATCAAGATGTTTTGATATTTTTTTTTACAATCAAAAATAGGATAACATTTTGTTTATTTCTGATACGAACATTTTCGAAAAACATTGTCCTTTTTTTCATTATGATGACTCACCCTATAAGCTTGGGATCGATCCATTTTTTTAAACTTCCCATACTCCCATTCTAAATTTTCAAAACCAAATTTTAATTTCTGATAATTCAAAGATTTTGAAAGACAAACATGTTGGTTGTAATTCTTTTTATGGAAAAAAATGAAGGCGTGGATTTTTTCAAAACAGTAATAAAAACAAAGTAGATTGATCATGATTCTGTCAGTTTTGCAGTTCTCTTCTTGATATATTAGTTGTCAAACTAGAAACCATTACAAACCTATCAGATTCGTTTGAAGTTCAACCAATTTTATTTATTTCTTTCTAAAGTAAGTAAGTTAAGATCACAAAATCAGTTTTTTAAATAAATATTTGTGTCATTAGCACAATTCATGAGAATTAAAAGTAGAACTCAAAGCCAGAAAGACTTCAATTTTCAGCATGTGAAAATGTTTTTGGCTTTTTCAATGTTTTCAAGCACTTTCTATAAATTGACCTTGTCAAAACAGTTTTTGAAATCAGATACAGATGTGTTCTCGTTGTTTTTTTCACAAACTTTTCTTTTTCAATAATTCTCTCCACATCGAATTTCACATGAAATGCGTGCTATTCTATTTTTCGAAGATATGACGTAAACATTATTCATATAAAACAAACAAATGAACCCTTTTTGACCAGCACATGTTTATTAAAAGTTTATAAGTGAACAAAAACCTTTTTTTGCTATTTTTGAATGCATACTATCATGATGATATAATCTATTTCGTCCTTTTTGTGTTTGGTCGATTATTTTGTTTTTTATTCCGTTTTTTATACTAGCAGCAAAAAAAGATAAAATCTTCTTTTTTTTCGAAATGTTGTGCAATTGAAACTGTTAGTCAACTTTATTTTTCAAATTCATTTATTAATTTTCCACTGCAGACTTTTGACTTGTAGTTTTTGATAAAATCTTAAGATTTATATTTACTTAATTTTTCAGTTTTCAAGTTGGATGAGGGTAAAGAACAGGTATTATTATACAATTATTTTTTTTATCCTTGATCTTATAGTTACCTTTATTTCAAGTTTTTTTGACTGCATAGAGTTTTTGAAAAACGAATAGATGTACATAGTTATTTTTTCCCATTGTTTGTGTCACGAAAGGTTTTGATGTCACCGAAAATGTCTCTGATTGCACAAAAAATACCTGCGTGGGAATTTTTTTGGTTTTGTACCACGTCATTATTTCATATATGATATCATGGGAATTGTTAAAATATCAGAATCATATTTCATTCCCTGAAATAATTGTTTAGTTTTTGAGATTCAAAATTTCATGAAATCTAGAAAATTGGTAATTTTTCAGGTTTTTCGAATTCATTCGAAAAAGTTCAATTTTCTACTTTTCTACTTTTTCTGGGTTTTTTTTATTTCAAAAATTGTCTAGGATAAACTTCAACCTGATGAAAAATTGATAAATTTAGCCTCATGTTTCAAGATGCTCAAAAATTCCACACATGACTCATTTGGCATTCTGAAAACTTACACAAATACGTAAATAATATGAGTACACTTCTAGAAATATACTCAATAATTTATACATTTTTTGACATGTATGTGTATATATAAATATATCATTTTATTTAACTCGACCTCATTTTTTTCTTCATTTCATTTCCAATTTCGCAGAAAAAACATAGATAAACTATGAAAAACTCAATTGCTCACACACATTTTTTCGATTTTCAAAAAATGTCACAAAAATGTCAGAGGAAGAGAGAAAGCAAGTAGTTGAGCTAACTGACTCTGAGAAATAGCGAGAGACGCAGACAAAAGTTTTTGTTTAGAGATAGAGTAACCCTTAAGAGACGTAAAGAAAGAAAATACACACATACACCACACATGTATATATATTTTTGTTGAGGAAAAAAGAAGCAGCAACAGATAATGCAGCTCCTGATGACTTTTATTTATCCTTGATTTTAAAATCAGCTTTGCTTTCATACCACTTTTCATTATTCTCCGTTTTTTTTTGATAATTTGTGCGCTTCTTTCCAAAAAATACACTTTCTAAACAAGGAACTTCCACTAATTTCTTCCTTTTTTGTCCATAATTTTTTCCTCATCTCTCTTCTTTTTTTCTCACAGAAAATCTATTTTTCGATTAATTTTTTTTGTTGACTCTGTTGATTTTGGGAGGCTGCAAAAGATAGCAGTTCAATTTTGGATGAGCCTAGCAACGCAGCAAAAATTATTTTTTTCTCGGAAAATGCATTTCAAGGTTTCCGTTTTGAGCAAAAATTGTGTCTATTTTTTGTAGACTTGAATTTATTTTTAGATTTTTTGCGAGGTTTCTGAAAATGACACTTTTTGAGAAGAGGAAAATAATGAACACCTTTTTGCGAAACCTCTAGAATTTTTCCTTTTGTTTCAACGATTTTCATCAAAAAATGAGAAGTTTTTGTTTTCGAAATTAAACTTTTTTGATTGGAAAACTATCCTATGACTTGGATGATTTTTTTGAAATGTATTTTTTTTGTATTTTCACATGATTTTTTTTTCTACAAAAACGCAATTGAATTTTATTATTGAATATTACTCATCACTAATTTTGTAACCATAATGAATTATTGTTTTGAGCAGAGAGAGTTTGTAGTGACTCACAGGCACTCTTGAAGTTTACTCATAAACATTTTTTTGCAGTACGAAAACTCTAGTAGTTTAGAACATTTTCAAAACAATTTGTTAAGTTTTTTTAATTTTCAATAAATCAATAGTATTTTCTATTGAAGTTTTAGAAATTTGCACTTTTCCAGAAGACTACAGCCTACCCTAGATTTAACTGTGTATGAGAAAATTCTAGAAGAAAATGTTGTATCTACATTTTCAATGAAAATATAATACATTTTCCATGCTTTTTACCACACCTCTCTAATCGGCTCTTGCAATTCTCCAGACAATTACTGCATTTTTCTCTGGAAAACACCAAAAAATCCATTTTTTTGCTCAATTCTCCATAATGTTTCTTTTCCCACTGAAAATTATTCTAAATAACTCTCAATCTCTAACTCTTCCCTAGAAAACCCCAAACTTTTTCTCTTTTTTTAAAAATCAACATTCTTCGTTCTTCGTTTCTATGGTTTATTTTTTCTTCATCCGAACCAAGAAATAATGCTTTTTTATTTGTTCTCTTGTTTCAAAAAAGGTTTTTTTTCGCTTTTTTTCGTTTATCCTGCAGCGTTTTGTTTGTGAGGGCAAATGACGCAAAGACTTTTGACTTGACTTTTTTCCTGAACAGCTGGTAACTTTTCTTTCTCGCTATGTTTTGTTTCGCTTTTTATTTTTCTCTGGATTATCATGTTCCTTTCCTTTTTCCATGTTTTGAAATATTTCTCAATAAATTTTGAGAAAACTGAACATTGATATTCCTATTTTCTTCCCCGTTCTTTTCTTTATATTATTGCTGCCTGATACAAACATAATCTCTTCCATGCATGAAAAATATACAGCCAAAAAAAATAGAAAAAAAACATTCCAGGATTAGATCTATCCAGATCTATTACGCCAATTGGGCGGGAAAAAACGAAAATTGAAAAAAAAAACAAAACAAGTTTTTTTCCCTCTAGATGGAGCCTAACTAAAATACCTATTTCCTTTTCGCTGAGCCACTTGTGCACTTCATTTTTTTCTATATTTTTTTCGTAAAAATGTATATTATTGGTTGAGCCACGATTTATGTTTTTTTCTTTCTGATGCTGAATAAGGAACAAACCGGAAATTGGTGAAATGTATATTTTTCTCATTTCCGCTGGATTTTCTCAGACGCCTTGACTTATAGTTTTAGCATATTATTTTTTCTCCGAATTTTCTCCTTTTCTCAGATTTATTTCAGATCTCTGTTTTCTTTCTGATTATTTTTCCTACAGTATCCAAATGATTTTTCTTTCCAAATTTTCATACCTATAATAAAACATCATGGGTTCTTCAAATAAAAAAGAAAAGAAATATATAATTTTATGAGAACCCCATTATTTTTGCACATTTATATGATTCTCAAAATCTATCTACAGTAGTTTTTTTTGTTATTGTTATGATGTTTTTTTTCAAGAAGATCAATTTTTAACCACCTGACCACCAGTTGTCTTGTTAACATTTTTTTGTAACCTCTGATCTCTTTATTTTTTGAAAACATTCTTGAAAGATATGATCCTCATTTTTCATTTTTTTCATAATTTTCAGATCCGTGTAGTAAATCTGCAACGGGTTATTACATGATCAGAAATCGCCGAATGCGAAAACAGTAAAGTAAGATTTTGCAAACACCTCATGATGACTATATTATTTTCAGCTGTTTCATATTTTGAATTGTATAGTTTTTGTTGGTTACCAAGAACAACAAAAAACACATAAAGCTATAGTAGGATTTCTAGAACGCATTCAAATAAATATAAAATCTGAAAAAAAATTATTTCAAAAAAATTTGATATTTCTAGGAACTGCGGATTGCAAAATGCACAACAAGCGACGACCAAGTGTGAGAACACGTTTAAGACCAGAGGACGTCACTTGTTGGGTCGAACATAATCAAGGACATCCGATTACCGAGTCATCACATGTTCGATTCGAGGATAGGAATTACAAATTAGGTGAGTGTAGAGATATGAAATGGTCCCACCTACATTGTTCTCTCCCCTCACGTATCCAAATTCTTTATTTTCAGAGGATGATGACAGCATCGCTGACACTGAAAGTCTGACCGAAGAGCCACGTTACGCAGACGGTGGATACGGATGGGTTATTGTATTTTACAGCTTTTTAATGCATTTTATTCTCGATGGAACTTCATTCAGTTTTGGTGTCATTTTTCCGAAAATTCAAAACAAATACAATTCGGAAAGAACTGGTGCTAGTTTGGCTGCTTCATTTTTCTTATCGTTTCCGCTGATTTTTGGTCCAATCGCCGCTGCATTCACTGACGTTTTTGAATGCAGAAAAACAATTTTGGTTGGCGGTACAATGTGTTTCATTAGTTCAATTTTGAGTATTTTTTGCCCTGACATTTATTCATTTTCATTCATTTTCGGAGCTGGAGCTGGAATAGGTTTGTTTTGTTTTTAAATGATTGGAAAAAGGGTATTTATAAAAAACGTTTAGGACTTTCACTGGTTTATAATGCTGCAATCGTCAGTGTAACTTATTGGTTCAATAAAAAACGGGCAGCTGCAACCGCAATCGCAGTTTCGGGTACTGGAACGGGCACATTCTCGTTCCCATTCTATTTGAGTTTCTTTGTTACTTTATTTCAAGCTCATGTTTCTGAATTGAATGCTCAAATTCTTGCGCTCATCGCGGGTTTTGGAGTTTGTATTATTATTGGTCTTGTGATTAGAGATGTTGAATGGTGTTCGGATACAGAAGAATTCAAAAAACGCAAATTTGAACATGATGTTCGAAAAATGTTGGATGAACAAGAAACGTTAGCCGCATCAAAAAATGAGAAACCATTTCGTCGCGCAATTTCTCTTCCACATATTCCTCTCTCATCAATTTTCCGTCGACTTGGTGAAACTCAAAGTGTTCAAAGTATCAGAGATACATGTGCTGATGAACAACCAACTCGATCGAAATCTGTTGGAATATTCCTTCGTCGTGACACACTTCCAACTGTACCAGAATATAGTCTACTCAATACTGGTTTGGAACATCTGGAGCACCTTGATCTTCACGTAAGTTTATTGACTATATTTTCGAAGCATATGAAGTTTTTTTAGCTTTCTAATTCGCCATGCACAACAGTGAAATCGAATCGTAAAAGAATGCTAACACTAAGTGTCGATAGAATCAATGAATATGAAGACGGTGAAGAGGATTTGAGATTGTAAGATTTTAACAAAACATGTTTTCTTCATTATCTGAAAATTTTCAGGAATCTTCATAGTCGTTCAACTCAATCAACACAACATCGTGACCCGGATTCTCGTAAAGTTTCAGAAATGAATGAAGAAGATGACAGTGATTCAAGCTCCGATTCTGAAGTTTCAAACGATGGCGATTCATCAAGTTCAGAAATCTCAGAAAATGTTGAAAAATTGCTTGTTTCACCAAAAGACAATGCCCTCATCATTCGTAAAACCAATGGAACACTTGGTATCACATCAGTTCCAACATCAGCAAGATTTGCTCGCAGTTCATTGGCAACTGGAACAACTGGAATGAATGCTGGTCGTATAATTGCGTCAAATGCTATTCAACCAAGAAGTTCGCGGATTCCAGCAAATTCAAATCTTTTGACGATGGGAAAAGTTCCATCGGCACCACAATTGGCTGCGAGAAAAAAACGAAGAACATTTTTCTCCAGAAAGAAGCATGCGGTTAGTTGTAACCTTTTTTCTGATAACCAATCTCAAATGTTTTTCAGTCAATCAATTATATCAGTAACGAGATAGAATGCTACAAAAGTCTATTCAGACATGCTTCATTCTGCTAGTAAGTTTTATTAAAGTATTTCAAAAAACAATAAAATCAATTTCAGTATGCTTGGCTCATCATTTTGCCTATATTTAGTTCTTGATGTTCCATATGTATACTTCTTCGATCATTCCGTGAATAATTTGGGAATCGACGAATCTAGTGCTGCTTGGATAACATCAACGATTGGAGCTTCAAATGTGGTTGCAACTACTTATTTTGGTTTTATGGGTGATCAAGAACGTTGGAGAGATGTAAGCGTTTATCCAAAATTAAAACTAACTGAAACATTTCCTTTAGCGTCTACTTTACATTTACTCCTTCATTTTATTGGGTGTAGCGGTTTCAATGTTTGCTGCAGCTGTTGTTGGATCATTTTGGGCAATGATAGGAGTTGCTTGTTTATTTGGTGTCAGTGTTTCTGTAAATTATGTCTTGCAAAGTATTTTGTTGACAATTTTGTTCGAGGACATCAGTTTGTTTCAAGGAACTTATGCTTTGACTTCGCTGGTTGAAGGAATTGCATGTTTCTTGGGTCCTTTAATCATTGGTTAGTTTGTTTTTCTCAAGCAGTTTTGAATAATTAGAAAACAACATTATTTTCAGGATTTGTTCGGGATACGTTGGGCTCATATAACATGGTATTTTATTGTGCTGGTGTTATTGCTACCCTCAGTGCATTTTTGGCTTTCAAATCAGCTCAACATCATCAATTGGAACTTGAAGCCGAAGAAGAACTCGAAAGACAAGAATCCACAAGATCAACGTGAGTTTTTTTTAGTTTTCAAAAAAAATTTCATTAGGAAGTGTTTGAAGAAAATTTTAAACTTCATTAAAGAGAAAATATTGTATAAAACATCGTTTTCAGAAAACATGTAAATAAAAAATGTAAAAAGTGAGTCTGTGTGACACTAACTTTTGATTTTTCACTAAAATTCTTGTTTTCATTCCCTCTATTTCTAACAGTTTTGAATATATGAATAATTTTAAAAACAAAATGGTTTATAGACACTTTCGGGAGAATGTTCAAACAAAAGGAACCCTATTTGTTCTTCAAAACTCGACAATTTCAAAAATCTGGAAAACACTTTCCGGGTTGGTTATCCAACCCAAATATTTTTCTTGACATCAAATAAACATTATTTTATTTCAGAAATTCTTCAAGACCAATTCAAAATGGAAATAATGGAATTCCTGAAGCTGATAATTTGTTACGAAAAGTATAATCATATCACAATTAATCATATATAGTTTATATAATATCTTTTCTTTTGATTTTTCTTATCAATTTATTTTTTTTCCTTTTTTCTTTCAAACATTCCTTAGTTCAAACTAACTTTTAATTCAAAGCTTTATTTTCATTTTTGGTTTTCAATATGGTTTTTTTTTTCATTATCTGTAGTCACTTCTTCTTATTTTGTCATAGTTTTAATTATTTCTCACTCTATATTGGTAACCGTCTGAGGTGATATTTACAAATATACGGTGAAATAAGCATAGTTATTTTTTGAATTTTGATTTTTTTGTGTTTTTTTCTAGTTCTTCTTTTAACGAATCGCCTTCAATGGTAACTGGTATTTGGTTATTATTTGTGAGATGCACATTCCTCCATTTATTGTGAATCGATTTAATAAACATATTATTTTGAAGTTCAACTATCTATATTATTATTAGTGAAATTTTTATTTTTCAGATATGCATCTGACTCACCGAGATTTTTGGTTCAGTATAGCCTTCTTTGGAAAATTGAATTTTTAATTTCACCTGGCAATGTTTTCACCTCAATAAATAATGTAAACCCTGTAAAATGGAAGTCCAATATATCCGACTAAATCCTATGTTGTCTCAACACATAAAAATAATGATTAGAGAAAGTATGCTTGCCCTAATCCGCTCTTCATCCTCAGCATTCAAAGCTTCATTTTGAAGGCGTGTCCAACATATTCCAATCGGTCACGATGGCATTTGGAAAAATTATTAATGCCGGGTTCAGACAACAAGTGTGAATTTCGGGATTTTAAATAAATACTGCCGACAAATTTTTATGAAATGTATATAATATTGTATTATTATTAATATATCATTACGTGTTTGAAGTATACATATTATGAGGTGTCAGAATAGTTGTCAATTTTGTTTCCCTGAATCAAAATCAAAACCCCCTATTTACATATTATTTCCTTTATTTCAAATAGTTGATGAAATTTGTTAATATAATTTTTTTTATAAAAAAGGCAGATGTTTCTTATACTTTAGTATGTTGTTCTCTAACACCTCTTTATCCGCCTCTTTTCTAACCATAGTTGTTTGTTGATTATTCGTGTTAGTTGAGTTGTGTTTATCCATGTTTCTAACGTTAGTTATAACTTGTCCAGATTTCAACTATTCAGTTCTTTTTTTTTATTAAAAAAATAGACAACTTTTAAAACTGAGGCTGAACCAATATCTTGATTTTTTTAGCTACGTTTTTTCCAGCCAGAGTTTTTCCGAAATACTTACTTTGCTTATGTGTTAAAACAGTATGAAGAAAGTAATTTTGGCCTGTTTTGAACTGTAGATTAAAAAGTTGCCTATTTTTTAATACGAGTGTTTCTCTATTTTGTTTTTTTTGCATTTTCTCAAAATAAACTAAAAAAAATTATTTTTCTGTTATTGGAAATTTGAATATGTTTCTAGATGAGATGAATTTCCCTATGTTTTTCTTCAAAAACGCTGTTGACACACACCGCTCAATGATACAAAACGCTGTATCATCTGCAAGATCTCAAGAAAATGATTCAAATACAGAAGTGAGTTATGGAACATGTTTTTTTCAACTAGAAGCTTTTATCTCTCATGATGAAAATATCCCGTGATATTTTTAAATAATCAGATATTTTTTTTGTTTTCAGAAAATTCTGCCAATTTTCACTGCAACAACAACCATTGATGGGCCAAATATGCACTGTTTGGACACTTTTGAGTTCAAATTGAACGAAAATGGTGAAGTCCTGAATATCGTTAAAACGCTATCAAAAAGCGAATTTAGTGCACCATCCGTTGTACCATTAAACGTATGTTTTTTCTTTCTCAAAGATGTCTGCATATTGTTTTCTTCTTCACATTTTCCAACAAAAAAAAACATTTTTTTTAGGTTTTCAACAATCCTTTTGTTCAACCAAATAAAGATGCTATTAATATATCAAATGTCGAAGAAATCATGCCACAAACACATATAAACAACACAGATATGTCCAGTATTATTAACTATAATCCGTCAAGCAGCTCTACGTCACAATCGGTTAGTTTTTACGAAGATAATATTATAAATAGTTTAAATGCATCACAGCAAAAAAGACAACATCAATGCGACACATCTACAAGTAATCAATCGATGAATAATAAAGCTAAGAAAATGAATATAAATGATATTATTTCAACTTGTCCATCATCGAATTTCCAAAACCTCCTGAAATTTTCAAATCATTCGATGGCAAATGCAAAAACGCATGATCTCACTGAATATCAAATATCAGACGATAACTCCCTACACTCAAAGTTGCAAGGAACAATGCAAATGATAGTCGATGAGCCAGTATCAAATCTCCAAGCAACTTTTAGTCCACCATTACAATCCCCAACAAATCTTCAATTGGTTGATAATATTATGTTATCTCCGATCAATAATCAAAATTGGAAAAATGACAATGGCTCATATTTGAATGTTCAATATACACCGCCATCGATTAACTCGTGTTCTCCCCAAGAGAAAAACTTGAGTCCAAAAAACCAAGGAATTTCTAGTGAATCAAGTTCAACTGCAAATTTTTTTCTACCAAATTTTGTGAGTTCAATTCAAATAATAATCTTTTTTTAATCCTTTTACCTTTTAGAATGAGTTTATCAGCAATATGCAACAATATACTCAAAAAAATCAATCTGGAAGTAATGCATTTCCTATTGTCCAACAAGCTGTAACAGCTCAACCAGAGATAACAAATGAATCACCTGAGAAAAACGTAATTCGTATTGTTCCATTTCAAAAAATTAGAGATAAGCCTATTGATGTTGTGACTATTTCTGATGGCGTTACGAACAAGAGAGTAGATATGCCAATTTTGACTGCAGAAAATAGAAACTTCTCCATTCGTCCAATGAATGAAGTCAATACGTATAAAAATTTGAAATTTGTGTCTGGTATGTTTGATACATTAAAAAAATAGAATCTCAAATTTTTCAGTTGACGACCAATCGTTGATGTATAGATGGATGAAAGACGTCGATTTCGTCGACAAAAATAAGAACGAAGACTTGAAGTGTCGTCTATACATGAAATTTCGATATAATGTCACATCACAAGAGATTCAACGTAAACCTCTTCAAAAGTGTTTTGATATAATGTTGTGTAAAGCACTTTCTCTGGCTGATGGAACCAAAGAAAAAACAAAAATGGACGTATGGTAAGATTTCAACTGATAGGAACAAATATTATTTGAACAGTTTTTCGTTTTTTTAGGTTCCATCATCCTTCCTTACCAAAAGGGAAAAAACATTTCAAAGAGCTGACATATAGAACATGCCATGGTTTTTATTTGGTTGAGCAGGTTGTAAATCTTCAAGACAGTTCTTCACTGTTTTTCATTGATGAAAAGTTCAGAATTCAAGTTGACATTGAACGAAAATTCAGAAGACAAACTGTTAAATCAAGAAAAACTTTATTGAAATCTGTTTGTGTTGGATTAGCTTATTTAAATCAGTCAAAAGACCAACCAGGAGAAAATGACGAATATAACGACATTTGTAATACAATCACTACTCAGAACAAAGCAGCCGATAAGTTACAAAAAGAATTGAATATTACCGAGAAGGAATCAAATTTGAACACTGACAATACATTAATCAAAAGAATAGCCACATTATATCCTGATATCAAATTCAGTGTACGTTCTAATGCACATTCAACAAAAGACTTCAATACAACTAGTAAAAAAATCATCAGATTGTTTGAAATGAATGGACAATTTGACTTTCTGGAGCCCATTTCTGATGAGGAGTGAACAGAATCGAAGCAATCGAAATGTTAAGATCCCTCTATGAATAGTTAATTTTCATGAAGGTTTACTATTTTAAAATATGCTAACTTTTGATTCATTTTTTTGTGATAATAACCTATTTTCACCACGGTAAATCTTTTCATTATCAATGTTAGGAGCCGGTCACTTTACTTTCTATTGATATACCTATATTCCATAATAATATACCTTCATGCAAATTTGTTTTTTTTTTCTTGAATAAATGTTTTTTTACTGGGGACGGCTAGCCTTCAAGCGTAACAATGTGTTTTCATTTGAATTCTTCTTCAGATAAACATAACATTTGATCCAAAAAACACCATTGCCTTTCAGAAAATCATCGAATTTCTGACTCAAATCATCTAATATCTTTTTTTTGAATCACCAAACATTGTACCACATTGTACCAAATACGAAAAAAATTGATCGATTTGACCGTATGCAGCTGTTAAATAAATGTGTATATTTTTTTTCATTTTTTCTATTCATTTCTAAACATGGCTTCATCTCATCGTTGTGACGTTTTTTCTATGGTTTTAGATTCTGATTCCATATTTAATAAATTTGTCCTCAACAATTTTTGATCTCTAGAATGCACTCATTTTTTTTAGCTAGAATAAGATACAGTATTCTTCTAATTTGGGTCGAAAATTGAATTCGTTATTTTTTCCGAGATCCGTCTTGCAAACACTTGAAAAAGGATCTCGAAAAAAACTACTTGAGATTATATAAAATTAGCGTTGAATTTGGAAGTTTTTTTGGTTTTTTGTTTTTTTTTCCGAATTCTCGAAATTGTCAGGTGCTTTTTTTATGTGAAAAAATAGACAATTTTTTCAGCGCCAGAAAATTATTGGGTATATTTGGATACGGTAGTCATAATTCATTCTTGAAGATTTATTGAGCGGAAGGGGATTAAAATAAGCTACAGTATTTTTTATAGATTCAATGAACTATGTATGGATTTAAAAAACAGCCAGCAAAGTGTTTATAGAGTGATATACTGTTACAAAATATCCATATTCTGATAAATTCGAGGGCTACTATCTATTTCAATTGTAGGGTATCTCGAAAAAAGAGGCACTACTATCATCTTGTGGTCCCACCAACTGAATTTCATAAGTCCCACAAACACAATTTTCATGAAAAAATTAAATAATCTGTATTTTTCAAACTTTCAATCTTGTTATGCATAGAAAACATTCAATTTTTGTCACATAGGCTCATAAATTTGAAGGTTCTATTTATAACTGTAGAATCATAACTAAATATTGAACATTTTTCAAAAAAAAATCTAATTATTTCCGCATTTCTTGTGATGATTTTGCAACAAAAAACAAGATTCCAACTCGAACCAAAAATCAACATTTTTTTTAACAAACAAAAAAACTAGCTGAAACTCAATCCAAAACAAGGTGATGTTGTAACTTTTGTTGTTGTTGTCTTTAATAACAAAATTGTTTGTTTCATTCTCATTTTTTCATCTTCATCTTCTTCATCTTCTTCTTCGTTTTTTCATCTTTTTTTTTATTTTTCTACTCTCACTACTCAAACCAACATCTACCTTCATCTCACACATACACAAACGGGTCCGGGAAAAAAACGACGACAGGCAGCTGTTTACTTGTGTTGTTCAAACGAGTATATGGGTGGTTTTGATATCTGTCTTTCATGAAAAACGACGAGACACTTAGTGTTCCAGGAAAGCAACAAAAACGTTTTTTTTTTCATTTTATTTATTTTCATTATTATATATCACTTACTTTTCTAATTTTATTTATTTATTTTTTGATTGTTTTTTTTTTGTCACCCACAAAGTTGAAAAAACTTCACCGAAAAAAATGAGAGATGTGACAAAAAAGCAAAGAAAAAGTGGGAAGAATTAGAAAATCTTCTGGTTTTTTATTCTGTTTTGTTAATTGCCAATTCAATTTGGCATAAAAATTCTTTTATTCTCAAGTGTATGCGTGTTTTTACATTAGTTGCTAATCTGTTTTGTTAGTGAAAGAGTGAGAAAAATAATGAAAAATGGTTTTTTTTGTTGTTTCAGATCACTTATTTATTTTGACAAATTTCATATCCCTGTATATTTCGTACCAGTGATAATCAGAAAAAAAGTAAACCAACTTTCTTGAGAACCACAAATTTTCAGAAAATGTAAAGCTTTTCTGATACAAAATTTTCAGTTTTTTGTAGCCTTCAGAAGTAGTATATTTACAACTACTGTAAATGAAAGTTATTCAAAAAATCTCAAAAAAAAAACAGTTTATCTGAAAAAAGATGTGCATTCTAGTATCCATAATCTCTAGACCTCAAATTTTCAAAATTTTTTAAAATTGGAATCAGTTTTATATTTGTTGTCAGACATCTCTATGATTGTGTAAGGTCTCAAAAATACTGGACCATTTTTGGATATAATAAACTATTATTCGGTCCTCAAATAGTCAACCAGATTGATTCCGAAATCGAAACTCTCCAAAGTGTCTGCTATATCTTTTTTTACCCAAAACCTATAAATTATCTTTTATATATATTTTTCACATACATTATTAACATTCATTTATTAACATTTTTCTTTAATATCATTACGATTTTCAGAAAAAGGCAGATTTTTATCTAAACAGTTTTTTTAATGTCTCCTTCGGTTTTTCATCTTTTTCATCTCTATTTCCTAACATAACCGATTATTCCACAAACTTTCTTTTTTTGAACACATCTCAAAAGCAGGTGAAAAAATTTTCTTTCGCAAAAAAATCAATCTCCTTTTTCCCTTCTTTATTCCAGACACAGTAGATATAGATGTAGAGACCACGCCCCTTTTTTGAGAGAACACATTCTCCTTTCTGCTTTTTTTTACTTGTCGTGTCTTGTCTTGTCTGAAATTGGAATCACATGTATATTTTATGTGATGGGTGCAACCGACAAGGTTATATTTATTTTTGTTTTGTTTTGTGAAAATTTTCAGCTGTGGGCGGAAGTCTTGAAAATATACGGTAAGAGTGATTTTTTGAAAATTTTCGCCCACATACAATTTTACCAACAAACCCCATAAAACATAAAAACGTCACGTTCAAACTAGCAAAAAATTTGTTTTAAACAAAAACCACAAAAAACATGCCGTAAAAATCTTGTAGTGGTTTTTTAGAAGTAGAAAATAAAAGCTTTTATGTGCAAATGTGGTAGTGGTGCACTTTCTTTCATTTTTTGTGTTATTTTAGGTTGGTTGACCCGTTTTTCTTCCATTTTATGCTTTTTCTTCTTCTTCTTCTTCTTCCCATACATATTAGAGACTCATTAGAAACCGAAAGTGAGAAAGCCTTTTATTGCAAAAAGCCAGGCAAAAAGGGGAAAATTTTTAGCTGCTCTAGTTTTTTCCCAAGTCTCTTTGTCGCCCGCCTTTTTTCTTCAACACAACAGTTTTTTCTTCTTCTCATTTTGGCTCCATCTCGTTTTCAGATGCATGAATCTATGAATTTTATTGTCTTTGTTCAATTTTTCATTTTTGTCTTCTTCTTTTTTTCCTTTTTTTTCACTTCATCTCAAGTTTTTGTCAAATCCACTTTTGATTTCTCACACACTATATTATATATTGTATTCAAAATTTATGAATTATACAAAACTACGTATATTTTTCCCTACACTACTTTTATAAAATTTGATTATCTAACCATTTACTTTATTGCACAAAAAAACGAAAAAAATTCGTATCTACTTCTTTTCTCATTTAATTAAAATTAACAGGATCGCAGAAAATTTTCGATTTTCGAATTAAAAATTCATGTGTGCTTCATTGCGTTGAAATTGCATTTTTTTTCATTTCTTGAAATTTTTATTATCCTATCCTTGCATAGATTTTTCTGCTCAATTTGTGCAAAAAAATGTTATCGATGAATGAGTATAAAAAACGAGTTTGACTACAAAAATGTGAGAAAATAGAATTAATATGGATTTTATGTTAGTCGAAATGTTCTTTTTTCAACTTGCACGTTTTTTCAGATTCTGTAGATGTTAACCATTTTTTGTGGGTTTCAAATTTATTTTTGGTACTTCGTTAAATTTTTTGGGTTTCTGCGGCCTTCTGCTTTCTGACCCAAAAAATTCGAATTCTAAAATTCGGGGAATAGATTTTCTTTCTCAGAATCATCTAATTAATAATTTGTTTCATCAAACATCATTACCATAAACTAATATTTATGTACGTCTGAAAAGGAAGTTATTGAAATCCAACACAATTGTTTTAATCAGCGGATTAAAATACATAGTGCTCAATTTCTAACGTTATAGTGAACAATCTTTGAATTTTGAGCAAAAGCTATGTTTTGATGAAATTCGCCATCTAATCAACATTTTTTTCTGTTTTGAGACAAACATTAGCAAAAAAACGTTGTAATCGTACAGTGTTGATATTTTTAATGAGGGGTCAATGTTTGAGAAATATTGTTTTTCTTCGAAACATTTTTTCTTTATGTGAAAATGATCATTTTTCTAAAAAAACAAATCGATATGGGACGCTCACAAAAAAGATTTGAACAAAAACATTTCGAAATTTCTTACTCATATTTTCGTTTAGATATTTTTGTGAGATTCATTGAAAAATTCTGTGAAATTGACGAAGTTTCGAATATTTCCGTTTTCACAAAAAAAATCAACGTATAAAAAATGAAGATTCTCAGGAGACTGTCCTTTTGAACCTTTCTAGAACAACCGAAAAATCTCACTGGGTAGTCTCGTAATTAATTTTGTACAATATTTTCTGTATCTTGTTCAACGAATTTTAGATATTCAAAAAACAACGAGAATCTAGCTTATCGAATTATCGCAACCCTAATCATTTTGAACCCCTATCAAATATTAAGGAAACTTTTGATATTTGTTGAAATGAGTGTGAAACCTCAATCATTTTTTCAGAAAAAAAAATGAAGAACCCAGTAAACCCGGGTTTGTTTTCTGTACGAAATTCCAAGATGTTGTTCATCTCTCGTTCAAAAACTTTGGAATTCAAGAAAACAACAAGTAGCTTGCTAATCAAAATTCCAAAAAGCTAAAGCACCCAATAAAAACGCCAAGGGGGAGGGGGAGAGGTTTCATGTGTCCCATCCTATTCCATACAACATTCCTCCCCCTTTTTTCTTGTTTTTGTTATTTTTGTTGTGATATCCATACATATATATTCCTTCTTTCCGTCTTTCCTGCTTTTGTTCACCCATCCTAAATTCATATGTGCTCCTCCTCACAAACTTGCTTTTCCTCCTTTTTCCCATTCTAACTATGTGCATCCATACACAGCAAAAAAGGAAGAAAAAAACGTATTTTTTACTCACTTATCTTTTTTCCTACCAACAAATTTTGTCGGTCGTTGTTGTTTTTTTTTCCTGACGACTTCTAATTAGTTCTTCTTCGTTTTCAACAACCACCCGGATTCCCATGGGATAAAAATGACTGCGTTTTCTTTTTCTTACACCACTCAATTCTATATTGTTTTTTTTCTCCGTTTGGTGTCGCTTTTTCATTTCAACTTTTTTTTTTTCAAATAAGAATTTTTTATTTTTCAGGTTTTTTTCTTGGAAAAGTACACCATCGAAGGGTGTAATCAAGCAGTCAAACTGAAACGCTCACAGGATATATTGTCTTTGCATGATGCAGAACTCAGTTCGTCACAACAAGCAAAGGTATGTTCATAATAATCATAGGTTCTGTAGAATTATTGGTTGAAAATTTATTGTCTTCGGGAGAAACGCGAGGAGTTGAAATATGAATTTTGAAAAATCTCTAATTTTTATGACCAGTTTTCAGACTGCATTGCGAATATGGAAAAAAGTTTTTCATCGGATAAATTTGAAAACCATCATCTTTGATAACCAGAAAAGTCGGCTACGATATTTTTGAAAATATTTTTAGATAAGAATAGAACGATTTGTTTCGTCTTGAAATTTTCAGGATCAGTAGACCTGAACATATAAACAAAGCCAAAAAATAAAGTGCATAACTTTACGTTTATTTTACTGCAAAATTCCAAACATTTTGAGAATGCCCTTCAAGCTACAAAATTGTGCCAAAAAATCACCTTATAATTCAATTTCAAAATCAAAAATTCCAGAAAGCGCTCATGTGTCTACCAACATCATCAGCTGTATCTGTGGCAGCTGCAAAATCACAACAAAACAATTTGCTATTAGCACAACAACAGGCGCAGTTAAAACAATTATATGCGCAATATCCCATATTTGATGTGAGTTGAGTAACAATAAAAACGCCATCTGGACATATGAATTTCGAATTTCATTTTTTTTGTGTCTCATTTTTCCTTCATTTTTAGCCAAGCTTCACTGCAGCCACAACCGCTTATGATAACTGTCCTTTGATGCTTCAACCAACACTTCAACAATTGCAATTAGCACAAGCACATTCAATGGTAATTTGAACAAAAACTCACGGTTTACCAAAAATTATAGAATTTCCTAGTCTCTGAAAAAATTAATAAAAACGTCCCATAAAACTCATCAAAAATTATTTCAGGAACCGACAGCACAAACTGAGCCATCAAATGAAATTCGAATTGACACCAGCAGTAAGTGACCTTTTTTATTTTACTGACTTATCCAATTAGTTATTTTCTTGGCAAAAGTGCATTTTCTTTCAACTTTTTCTCTTTGTTCTAACATAAAAAGGGATGAATAATTTCAGAGCATTTTCATGTATTTGTTGGTGATTTGAGCAAAGATGTGAGCAATGAAATGTTGAAATCATCATTCGAAAAATTTGGAGAAGTTAGTGAGGCGAAAGTGATTAGAGATGCACAAACACAAAAATCAAAGGGTTACGGTTTTGTATCATTCCCTGATAAAAATGTGAGTTAATCGGTCCACAAGACTGAACATTTGAATACTTTGTGAATTTATAGCATGCTGAAGCTGCAATCAATGGAATGAATGGAAAATGGATTGGTAAACGGGCAGTTCGAACAAATTGGGCGGCTAGGAAAAATACCGAAGAAACACGCGATAAACTCACTTTTGAACAAGTTTTCAATTCTACAAAACCTGAAAACACATCTGTTTATATTGGAAATGTCACTGCAAATGTTTCAGGTAACAGCGTCAGCTCCAGTCTTTGAAAAATAAATTTTTTTGCAGATACCGAGTTACGTGAAGCATTTTCGGTTTTTGGTGAGATTGCGGAAGTTCGAGTTTTCAAAGCTCAAAAATATGCGTTTGTTCGATTTGAGAAGAAAGAATGTGCTACAAAAGCAATCATGGATATGAACGGAAAAGAAGTTTGTGGTGTTAATATTCGATGTTCATGGGGTCGAACACATCCAGTAAGAATCTTTATTTTTATCAGATAGCATAACCATAATTAAAACTATATTCCAGCAAGCTCAAGCTGTTCCAACACTTCCACTGGATCTTACATCTTTGATGACACTTCCAACTCTGATGTCAACTGCATCACTTCCACTTATCCAAAATCCGTATTTGAGTTATGAACCAACTGCGTTTTTGTATAACACTTTACAACAATGGTAAATAATTTCTTTTTTCCTGCACTTTTTTATCGAGTTCTTTTTTTGAATTGCAATATTTTGAATTTTATTTAATTTTACTTTTTTTCATACACCTTTTTATCATTTCTTAATACTAATAAATTATTTGTAGATTTCCTAAAAGTTTTTGTAGCTTATACGCACATGTTTTTTTTTCGAAAATTTCAGGGATGGCTCTGAAATGTGCTTTTCATCGGATTTTATTTTGAAATTGTTTTTTATTTCACAAGGGCATGTTGCTGATTTTATAATTATTCGAATTAGTAGCTGATTGTCGATAGATAGATTTCAATATCTTGGCAGTTCTGTCCATATTTTTGAAACTTTCTTAAATTCAGTATTGTTTATCAAAAAACAAAAAAAAATGGCAAGTAATATTCTTATGAGTTTCTATGAAGATCAACAAAAAGTACAAAAGGAAGTTCATAAGATTGGAAGATACAATCAATCTTTGTGTTTTTGTTTTCTTTATTCTACCAAATAAACTAACCTGAAAAATAAAAAGAATCATAGTGCAAAAATGATGCACTTTGAATTTTTGAAAAAAGTTAATTTCTGGTTTTTTTTCGCATTACGAAAGCAATTGATATTATATCAAAAATCATCACTGATTGTGAATTACCTAGAAAATTTTTTTCAGTTCATACAAGAAAAACCTGTTGTGAAAATTTCGATTCCGACAGTGAAACACGTGGTGTTCCACTTGAAATAGCGGAACAATGTTCTCATATTTTGAAGTAAAAAAGTGAACTCTGATATTTTGAAATTTAGGACTATGTGACTAATTCGTTGCACTTTTGATGGGTGGAAGTAAATGTGAGTAAGGTAATAAATATTTGTCTGGCAATTTGAACAATTTTGAATGTCTTACGGAAGGAACTCTTGTCCACCCACATAGTATGAAAATGTTTTTGATTTTTTTTTGGTGAATGTAGAATTTTCCATCAACGAAGAAAATGTTCTGTAAACAATATGGAATTGCGAATAAGGAAAGAAGTAGGGCTGTGGTTTCGATTCCCTGCACCCGCCCCTTCCAAATCACTTAATCGTAATTGAGTTCACTACGAATAGTAGAAACTCTTGTCCACCCATACTTGATAAGAATGTTTTTCCAAATCGTTGAATGCTCAATTTTTTATTAAGGGAGGAGTTGATAAATTTCTGAAAGCATTTGAGTCATCAATGATGAATTGAAATTTCGGAAATATACAGAAGAATTACTCATGAATAACATTTAGGAAATTTGAAAATGGGCTGTTTTTGAAAGAAATAACAAACACTGATTTGAATTGTTCAATGAACAAATGCACAAGAAATTTTGAGATTCAAGTCAGGTTTTCAGTGGCGTATTCTACTTTCATTTTGCAAATTCCAAATTTTTGTTAGCACTGATATACAGTAATCCGAAGTGTTTGTCTCACTATCCAACCACTTCTCTTGTCATTTCCGTTCCGCCGGAAAACTACAAAAAATAACCCGTTCTACCATCTTCAAAGGTCATTTGTTGAAAAAAACACAAAAAATATTATGCTAACTCGACCTGAAAACAAAAATAATGAAAAAACATAAATTTGCAAATTTATTTGACAATCGAGCCTGTTTTTCCGGTCGAATGTACTTTAGTTCGTCGATACTATTTCTTATTAGTTTGTTGTTGATAAATCCCGCCTCTTCTCAAATAACAAGTTGGAAAAAGACATTACTCCCCCTTTTTCTCCTCAGGCGGCAAGTCAACACTTATATAATCTATAAAAACGGATAGCACAAATCAGTATCTATCTTTTTTTTTGTCTATTCTTCCGACAAGGTCAAATATGGCCATGATGAAACTATCACTTTTCTTATTTTTCTTCCTCATTTTTTATATAGCAGCTGATACGGTATGGGATATCATTAAAATCTACAGTATCCATCACACCTCATTTTATTTTCAGATAGAAATAACTGTTAACCAATATACCGGATTGAAACGGCGTGAGATTCGAGGAATTGAGAATAAGTTTTATCAGTTTCAGTAAGTTGATAAGAAAGTTATCGGAAGTGATGATAATATACATGTTTAGGTTTTGCGCATGTCCGAAAAAATTGACTGATCGTTTAGTAGCCAATAATCTTCAAAAATGTGATTGTTCCGGGTTTGAAAGAGGAAAACAACTCCGAGAATCAATTGGAATCGCGAAACTTTCGAATTCTGTTATATCGAAAATTGCCAATTTTGTGAGTTTAAATCAAATGTTCTGTTCGTTTTTCTTGAAAACGATTAAATCATAAAAATTATTGTTTTTTAAACACAATCATATGCCTCCGAAAAGCAATATAACGAAGAAAACAATATTTTGATTCCGTCATCATTGCATATAAAATCATTTCAGGACGAAGAAACGAGTCGTCTTCTAGTTAAAGTTCTTGCTGGTGATAGAACTCTTACTTGGCCTGATTTTCAAACAATTCCAATGTCTAACTCAAAATCCGAAGTGTTGTTGACAACTTTACCAAATTCTAAAATGCGACTGGCTTATACAACAAATTCAATTCAAAAATCTACACCAGGAGATAATATTCCAGTGATGACAAACGAGAAACCAAAACTATCGAAACTTTCAACATTTTTCAAAACATTCAGAAAATCTGGAGCGAAAAAAGAAGAAGAACCCAAACAAAAATATGAAGTGAAAGCAGCTCCAACTCCAGTGACAACATTCAGCAGCTCATTGGAAATTAATCCGGAAATTCGACGATTGAGTAATATGAATGCTGTCAAGAGTTATCTCTTTTCAAGAAGTCGAGTGGATAAAAATGAACCGGTTTCATATGATGTTCAATCTTTAAAAAATATGGTAAGTTTATCTTTCTCTCTTTTGTATTTTTAAAAAACATTGACGTTATTTTCAGATAGTCTCTTATCATAATATTTACCGATCAAAACATAGTGCTCTCGCCCTTTCAGTTGATCCAGTTTTAGAAAGTCGAGGCAAACGATGGGCAGATGAACTGGCTTATCATAAAGGATGTTTGATACACGAACAACCAAGAGTGTAAGTGATAAATTATTATATTATTTATCACACATCTTATATTTATAGCTATGGAGAAAATCTCTTCTTTTTTGGCGCCCGTCATTTACCAAATCCAAAAACTCTTGCACAAGCTGTAACTCAAAGTTTCTACTTGGAAGGAATTGGATACAATTACTCCAACTGGAGACCATTCTCATATTTCAAAACTGGACATTTCACCCAACTTGTTTGGAAAAAATCAACAAGAATCGGAGTTGGAATATCAATTGTGAAAGCTAACACAGTTCGTAGTCCATGTATGTCAACATCTTCAAACAACATGTATTTGATTTGGGTAGTTGTGAAATATGATCCGGCTGGAAATTTCGAATCAAAAAATGAATATTTGGATAATGTTAGACCAATGACTTCATCTTTTTAATAATATTATTATTGTTGTTAATATTTATATTAAAATATAATGACTGCCTTTTTGTATACGTTGTACACATTTTGTGATGATCTCAAAATAAACTATTTCTTCTTTTATGTTTTTTACAAGGTTTAACAGAGTCCCAATATGATTTTGTTGAAAATGACAACTGGCATGTCTAGACACTAAAGAATAAAGAATAAAACACTTTGAAAAATGTTTAGTTTTTTGACACGATTTTAACTTGAGCAAAACTGAACATATTTCAAAAATAGTTCAAACGCTTAAAGTTCTGGCTTCATAATTGATCACATAATTAAAAACCATAATTCCCTTCTTCCTTTAGAAAAAAATTATTTTATTCTATCATTCCATGTTCATTTTTCTGTTCATAAGCCAGAATTCTTATTCTCTTGAAATCTATAAGAACATCATTTTCAGTTCTGTACGTCATTTGAAATCCATTCAATTTCTATTTTCAAACTCAATTCCTGAAAAAAGAAAAAAATCATAATATTTATCAAATTTCCTACATAAAATAACCAATTTCCTCCAGTTTATCAATAACATCATAATATTTTTCTTTCAAAAAATGATCTATTTTTAGATTTTCAACAAAAGAATATATCTAATCTTTTTCACTCATAGAACAAATGAAGAAAAAACATGAAAAAAAGATCAAAACTCGTACTGATCTGTTTGAAACATGTGCTCATTTTCTTTTCTTTATCTTATGTTTTTTTTTTCTGTGCCTGCCAAGCTTTTTGTTGTTATCATTCTCATCATCTTCCTATCATCACTCAAAGAATCGAAAAATTTTCTATTTCTTTTCTTTTCCTGCTTCCCGCCAAGATTTCATGAAAAAGTCAGCAAAAAATTGAGGAACAATTATGTTTTGTTGTTTGCAGTGCTTTTTACTTTTCTACTTCCAATTCCCCTTCATTGAACCTATTGTTTCGAAAAAAAATTATAAAAAAGAGAGAAATTGGGAAAAATGGGTAATATAATATTTTTTGGCTGTTTCAAGATTATTTTCTAACCTTTCTTTGCTCTTTCATGGGAATTAAAAAGAGGTTTGTTTGTTTGTTGAAAATTCGACATTCAGTCTAGTTTGGCTTTGCGATTTGAACCAATTTTGAATAATATAATTCAATCAAATTCGAGTTTAGAATTTTTTAGTGATAAATGAAATTTTTGCACAAACTTCTGCTGCTTTTCACTGAAATACTGGTATGCATTTTGTTATTTCATGCGCAGTTTTGAATATTTTTTTATTAAAAAATTTCCGAAAAAATTCTAAATAAATGAAGATTTCTGATTTGGAGTTTCATTTTTAAAAAAAATTAAAATATGAGTGTCTTTAAATTTAATGATGAATACAAAAAACCAGTTCCAAAATCATGAAAGTTAATTAATATTGTTGCTACCCTTACGTCACAGCTTTTTGCATACTGTAGAATTTCAGCTTTCATATGTTTTCACCATATTATCTATATTTGTTTGATTTGTTCCAGTTTAGTCCTGTTGACTTACTGAAAACTTCGTGGGTGGTCCCAATCAACCGCAATAGCTGACTGACAGTTTTCAAAACCATGTTCAGTTAGATTGTTGGAAGTTCTAGAAAGAAATCCCATAATTTCGGATTTCTCAATGTCAGAAATGTTTGATTCATTTTTTTAATATTTGTTCTATATCGGTAACTAGAAAAAGTTTGTTTCTAATCAAAAGCGTATGTTTTGCTCGCTAGTTTTTGATAATTGCCTCAATCAACCCAACTCAAAAAAAATGTACACCAACAAACTCGAAAAACATTTTTTAATCAAATTCGAACAACAAATAAAACGCACATTTTTATGTTCTTTTTTCTTCAAATTCTTTCGTTTTAGCCGCCAAAATTTTCTTGGAAAGTTTTCATTTCGCTTTTTTTTGTAGAATATTCTATGAGCAGTTGGAAACGCCGTGCTGCAATATCATTTCCAACGCCAAACGAGCTTGATCAACCAGTTATAGGTTTGTCTTTGGAAAATTATTTGAGAATGACAAGAAAATCTTTTTTTGCAGGATTTGATTATAAAGTAGATGTACCTTTGTTATCTCCAATTCATCAACATGTCTATCGACCGTCAAGTCTTCAACAGGTGATCATTTGAAATTCGAGATATTTAGACTTTTTCAGAAATAAAAGATCTGTGAGCATTGAGGTTTCGAAAAAAAAAATTCCTTTTATTCTGAAAAAATCCATTTCCGTTGGTTTTCTCTCAAGTGTTCAAAATCCGTGGGAGGACTAATTAGTCGAGTATTGGTTTTCAGGCAAAAAATAGACGTTGTTTTTCTAGGTTTTCTCGAATTTTAATTAGGTCCCTGGGGTAGATCTGCAAAGTTCATTTAACTTGCTGTTCAGAATTGCTCTAATGAGAATTTATATTCGTATTCACAAAAAACTCCGAATCGTTCTGAAAATGAATGTGTCTATTAATAACTAAAAATTTTCTCATCGCCCAAGAACAGCTAAAAAATGCTGGCACAACTAAAAAAAAACAGAAATAGCATCATTTTTTTATTGTTCAAGCTTGCGAGCAAAACATTTCATGAATATTTGTTGAAATTCATTTTCTCATAAATACATATTTTATTTCCTACATATATAGTTCGAAGAATCTCTGAACTTTATTATATCTTCTTCTCTTCATTTTTTTGAGCTCATTAGTTTATTTTTGCTATTACTATTACAACATGATAAACTGATGTGTTTTGACTGACAAAACATGATTTCCGATCTTTTCCTCATTTTTATCACATCTTGAATGATGTCTCTATTTTTGGAGAAAAAAACAACATTTCTTCATTTCTTCCTGAGAAAAAACCTCAATAGTTCACATAAAAAACATCAATCAAAAAAATTCGGTTTATTAATATCCTCATGTCAAATGTGAGATTAGTGTAAAGTCACTTCGAGAGCTCTCATTTCGTTTGTCGCCAACGTTTTTGTGTATATATTTCTATTTTCATTTTGTTATCACCTTTTTCCGTGTTCCTCTTTTTCCTGAAAACAGTATCTATTGTTCTTTTTACGGAAATTCAGCAGAATGCCCGAGAGTTCTAATATCCATAGTAAAAAAATTTATCATCGATTTGCATCTCGTCGATCAGTTTGTTATCAACAAGATTTACATCCAACTATATTGTTGAACAAGGTATGAAATTCCAGAATAATATTTTGAACTTGAAAAAAAGTGTTCGTAAAAATCAAAGCTTTTCCCTTCTCGAAAATATAAAAATTTAAAAATGAATAAAAACATTAATTTATTTTCAACTCGTCTTTTCAGGTAGTAGACGAGACACATTTTTCCAAAAACGAGGTTCGAGCAATCTATAGGGCTTTCAAAGAAACTTCACCCAATGCAGTGATAAATAAGAGTAAGTTCAGATATTCTATTCCAAAAAATAAGCCTCAAAAATCCCTTCAATTTTCAGATATAATGCGTGAAAAGTTTGCGGAACTTTTCCCACACGGTGATATTGAACATTATAGTGATTTATTATTTGAAACTTTTGATAACGATGGGAATGGAACTATTAATTTTCAAGTAGGCATTTATTTTCTATCTGCGAAAATATCTAATGAACATTTTTAAAGGAATTTGTAAAAGCGTTATCAATATTATGTCGAGGAACAATGGATGAAAAATTAGAATGGCTATATAAATTGTATGATCCGAAAGATAAAGGTGAAATCTCATGGGATCGATTATTTTATGTAATAACTTCTATGGATGATTTGATGGGGAGAACAGCAAAACCACATCATACAAGAGAACAGAAATCAGAGAGAACTAATCAGATATTTGAGGTAACAAAATAATTCCGAATTTATTATATTAATAAGTTTTTTTCAGAAGTTCGATGTTGGTAGAAAAGGTCGGATAACAAAAAAAGATTTTTTCTACGTTTGTAAAACCGATAAAACAATACTGAATTCAATCACAGCATTATATACACTACTTCCAGGATAAAGATCGGAAAACAAACTGGATTTCCAATTTCTAATTTATTATTTTTTGTTTTGAATGAAAAATGATCTACTATTTGTGAAGCCTATCTTTTGTTGCGCTGAAAACGTCAGCCTGAAGTTTGGGAATTTTGGAATGATTTAGTTCTTTCAAACTCTGAAAATTTGAACCCACAACAGTTTAGATGAGCTGTAAACCAAAGAATCTTAAAAAATGAAAATGATTTTATTGTATTTTTAAATATTAAAAAGGTTACAAAAAATACAGAGGTGGTCAAAAAAAAATAACAAATACATCAATTCGCGTAAAGAAAAAGAGACAACATGTTTTTGAGATACATTTGTGGGCCAGTAGATATAGATCAATTATGTGCACAATACTTAATACTACGTTTTAATTTCGTGTTAAAATGGGTACAAATTTCCAGGGGGGTTTGGGAGTAAGGATGGTTAAAGTACGCGTAGAAGACAAGATTTTTAGATCTGACAATAAAAACAAATAAATATTCGAATAAGAAATAAAATGTTTTAAAGAAACATGAAATTCACCTTGTTTTGGACAGATTACTCGGGTTGAAGTTTGGTTATGAACAGAAAAACAGTATAACAAAAAAAAATGAGAAAAAAAGAAAAAAAAACAATTAAAACGTTGTACTATTATTATTTGTGTTGCATTGTCTGTAGAAAAATAAGTTGTATTCTTCATAAGTTCCTCCATTGGATTCGTGGGCGAAACATGCTTCTGCAATATATGAAACACGGAAACGATAGGCAGATTGAATGTAATCTCCAACATCGAGTTCAAAAAGATTTTCCATAATCTGAAATTATCAAAATAAATATAGAAATTCAGAAATTTTGAAAATAACAAATAAAACACAAACCTGTGAAGAAGCTGGATAAATAGTGTCATCCATAGTTGATTTTTTTCTATCAGAGCATTGCTTGTTTGCAAAATATGAAACATATCCACAATTACTGACACTTTTGGTGTGTGGTGTTTTTATGAGAACTTCTAATGGAAGGTTTGGATAATATTTGGAGATTGGGATGAATAAGTTGAATACTCTTAATTTCTTGTTGCAACTTTTCTCCACACAATATCGACTGTCGATATCCATTTTATATTCGGGTAATTGAATCGATACTCCGGTTCCGAATTCTCTTTTGGTGAATGTTGATCGAGACACTGGTTCAAAACTGTTCTCTCCGTTGAACTGTAAAAAATCACGTTGTTTTTCATAATCATGCGCACAAGAAAAACGAACCTCTTCGCTGTCTGGTTCTTCTTCTCCATCCGGACAACAATAATTTTTGCATTGTAATGAAACGCAATTTGGCATAACTGGCGGGGCATCTGGCTGCCAATGTGGTACACCGCGATTTGGTGATAAAACCATATTTGCTGGTGGTTCAGCAGATTGTGATCCATGATAAACGTGGTGATATCCATAGTTTCGATTATGCCAATCAAGAACATATAATCCTGACATTGTTAGAAGGCAGAAAGCCATTATTCCAACAAGAAGAATAATTGTCCCTTGAGCCCATCGAGATCCACATAAACCTTGTTGTTGTTGGCTTGATGCTCGTCGTGATCTTCTTTTTTCTTTGTATTGGGAAACTGATGAAATCAATGAAAGATGTGATTGTGAAACAATTGATTTCTTGTCTTTCGAATCCAAATTTGATGCCATTGAACTCAACATCTTCTTTCTGGCAGCATATTTTGCCAAGCGTTGAGAAATTTCTTCAACTTTATCATCAATTTTTTGATCGAGATCTCCTGTCAATCTACATAATTCTTGTGTCGCCAAAACAGTTTCATAGAAAACTCTTGATTCATTGACAGTCAAATAATCACCAATATCTTTCACTGCATCTGGTAAAACTGCAGCCAATTCTTGTGCAATAACACCAGTTCTTTTTCTTTGTTCTTCAGTCAATCCCCATTTTTCCGCAACTTCTGGTTTGTAGAAATAATCGACAATTCTCAATTTACACAAGTTATCGAGAGCTTCTCTTGCTTCTCTTTCAGTTATATTTTCTTTGAGACGAATATCTGATGGTGTGATTAATTTTCCAGTTGTATAAATATCTCCATCAACTGTTAATTTTCCAATTGCACGATCAGTTCCAACCGCAACAGGTCCAGCAGAATACAATGTTCCTCCATTTTTGTTCCATCCAACATCAGCCTCTGGCGGTTCGAAAGAACCAGGATTGGTTGCCTAAAAACAACAAAAATGAATGGTATTCATAAATAATTAATAATTTGGTTGCTAATGACATCTGTCTCCTGTTTCTAAATGTAATTAGTGTTTTTTACGTCTCAAAAGTTTGTTGATGTCTTCGTTTGCTGAAATCAAATCTATCGATTGTCCAGAAGTATTTCAAAGTTCCGAAGATAATTATCTTTATGCAAATATTCAAATCGAAAATTCTAGTGAACTTATTCATTCGTGTCAAATTGTTTTTCGCGGTTACGTCAGAAAAGGAGATGTTTTGTTATACGAATTTTTTCATGAACAACAATGGCTTGTTGTGAATTCAAACTGTAATTGAAGTTTTTGTGATAAAAATATTTAATTAATATAATGTTTCAGCAAACGAAACACATAATGTGTCAGTTGATATTTGGTTGCCGAGATTTCCCCCATCAATGACTCTTGATAACGGAATTGTTATTGAATATTGTGTCAGAGCAACTATTAACCCTTGGTTTGAAAATCAACACGTAGATCGCATATTCTATGTTAAACGGAGTCTTATTCTCAAAATGCCACATATTTCATGCTATCCGATTGAAAATCGTGTTAATAAATGTGTGGAACATGGAAAATTGATGCATAAGTAACTAATTTGAGAGAATTTTCACATTTATCAATAATGTATGTTTCAGAAAATGTGATCCAATAAATGGTCATCTGAAAATAGAAAAGGGAGCTTACACATTCAACGAGGAAATCTCAGTCTCTTGGAATTTGAAAACAGAAAAATCAATTTTTGAACACTTCAAACTGAAACTTGTTCAGATAATTGAAATTCGTTTGAGTGAACCAGATGTTTTTATGAGAACACAGAAAGTTGTCAAAGTATTGACGGAAAAAACATCAACATCTGATCAAATATCAATATATGTTCCTGATAATTGTTTCATCAGTATTCCAATGTCTCTCTGGAATGTTTTGAGTATAAGACATGAATTGGTTCTAGAAGCAAAGCTACAGAAACAAAAACGTATGGTTCAGTTTGAATATCCAATTATAATATGTTCTGAAGAAGTAGCTGTAAGTGAACTTCAAGAGTAATCCTATTCTTTTGAATTTTTTTCACAGAAACGTAATATGAAAAACCATCCGGGTGATTTGTCAAATATGTTTTCAAGAGTTCAAGATGTTGATGATGATTCTGACGATGATGATGATTATGATTCCGAAGACGATATTGAAAATCAACAACCCGATCGACAATATTCTCTTGATATTGAAAAACTTACATTGACAAGTTAGTCGTTTTTATTTTTCAGAAACATTGTCATGATTTTTTTAACAGACTCGAATCTAACTGATGAGAAGAAGCAATTGGAAAGAGCTGAAGTGGAGGTTACTTTCATCATTAACAGTAATGAACCTCGACCTTTGAATTCACTACGATTATTGTTAACTGGAGAAGTTCGAGTGAATACAACTTGGTATGAATTTGTGCGATTCAAAGCTATTGCAAAATCTACAGCTGATTCATTATTTTCACCTGGTCAACATAAACATCGTTTCCAACTTCCATTTGCAGAAACACAATATGATGTTTCTATTCTTCCTCCTTCTTTAGGTGATGAAGTTCGATATATTGTTCGAGCTTCTACCGAAAGTTTACGACAAAATTTATTTGATCAAGAATGTGAAATATTGATCGATCGATTTGTTGATACTTGGGCCAAAGAAGCATTCAAACCAAGTTATGAGGAAGAATACGGTTCAACAAAAATTTCGATGCAACAAAGATGTTTCAAAAGAGGAAAAAGAGTGATTATTTTGATTGAAGGAGAAGATATTAGAGAAATTAAAGGGACATTGATTCAAGAACAACGGTTGAGAATTCCTGGTTATCGAAAAGATGATAGTTTTTGCTTGGAACGAACTGTGATTATTACAGAGGATGAAGTAATGAAATCACAACATACTCATATTTCACAAATCCCTCCTAATATTCCACCAAGTATTGAAATATGTTATTGGAATGTTCTACAGATTCAATATTCTTACAAACTTGAAATTATTCTTGAAGGTGGTCATAGTCATACACATTCATTACCAATATGGATTGGATGTACTGAAGATAATTTGGAAGTTCCACCTGAAGTGATCGCAGAAAGAGAAAAACAACAAATGGAGTATGATGAGCCATTAGATGAACTACCCGAGTTTGAGGTTGTGAATACCGAAGAAACACAAATGGATCCATATTGGGTTGAAAGATTTAATACTGATACTTATGGTTACAAGGAACCTTTAAATGATATTTGAAAATATGAATAAATGACTTACTCTCACAATAACTTTTTCTGATGCATATGATTGAATAAGAATTGGAGTATCTTCAGCAACACTTGCACATAATCTTACAACCAAAAAGAAATATTTTTGTTCTGGATTTGGTCTCAAATTCTTTCTTTGATTGTTGAGTGTTGTTTCTGAGAAATGAAGTCGAGGAACTGTTACTTTTGTCATTCTTCTTTCTTGAATCTCAAAATTAACTGGCATATGAGGATGTGGTTTACGATCAGTTCTTGATTGCTTAATGCAAATTTCCGATGACGTCATTTCCGATTTCACTCCACAAAATGAAAGTTTGAATTCAGTGATTGGCATCAAATTTCCCTTATATTTCACTAATGCTGGTGGCATAGCATCGGTCGCTTCAACACTCACAGTTATCTGGAAAAATTATATATATTTTTAGGAAGAGAGCGATTAACGAAAAATATTTGATTTGAGAAAAAAATGAGAAAAAAAGTGTGAAATTGATTGAAAGAACTCAAAATTTGTAGTCAGACTACAAAATTTTAATATTTTCAGATTTTTCATTGAGAAAAAGCTCACTTGAAAATGATTTTTCTTTTGATTGACAAAACATCCATCATTTGCTGAAAAATTGAATCCTTTATCAGCAATCACAGCAACTTGCAATTGTTGCAAAGCTCTTCCATGACAATCATATAAATCGCTCCAAGTTTCTTCTTGGAATTTATTAAATTTGATTACTGGTTGTGCAAAATTGTCATCTCCCATATAACTTTCAACTGGACTTGCTGCATTTGGAGCGTGACCAAGTAAAGCAGCATTCAAAATTGATGTTGGATCAATTCCAGCATCAAGTCGAGATCTTTTACGATTTGGTGGATCACTTCCTTGACTATTAATACTTCCATCTGATGAAACATTGAGAGGATTATACAAATTATGAAGAGGATAACCACGATTCTCATTTTGACCATCTGGAGAGACTGATTGGATGAAACTTCGTGGTGTTGGTTGTTCACTTGGTGGATATGGTGACATAAAGCAAGCAGAGGTTTCAGTTGGTGAGAGTTGTTGATTATTACGATTATCATATTTTCTACTCTCAAATGCTGATCTCAAAACATTGGCTTGAATTTCATTTGCACCGAGGATCAAACCATTCATTTCACGACCACCAGCAAGTCCTAAAATGATTTATAATTTTAGAAAATCAGAATATTTCATATTCAAAAATATAATTACCTGCATAGTTGTGGAAATCAGGAGAATATGGTTCATCTGGATTGCTTGAAGGCGATGCAGATGATCCATTTCCAGAGATATCTGTGATTGGTGGTGATTCTGGAAGTCGTCCAGTCAACTGGAACATTGTTGGATGATTGTGTTGTGGATCGATGACTTCATGTTTCATTTGTTGAGCAGCGACAAGGGCAGCGTTATTAGGTTCAAGTTGGTCGTCGAGAGGTAAGGCAAATCTAGAAAAATATTTCGAAATTTTCAGCCCGAACAACGCAGTTTGAAACCCAGAATCTAATTTTTATGAATTTTTTTCGAGACATAATTATGAGAAGTTTTGAGCGAAGCTTGATCTTCGAATTTGATGATAAAAATGTTTTATCTTGGAATTTTTCAATTTTTGATGAGGCTATAAAAACATTAATGAAATTTTGCATTTTTCAAAGAACTTCCAAACATTAATTATTTTGGTTGGAATTTGAATGAAAATTTCGCAATCTGGAATAATTTTAAACAACTTTTTCAAAAATTACAATCATTTTGAGCTACAAAAATACATTTTTTCACACATTTGGCAACATTTTTCATAATAACTTCCCAAAAGCCCAACCAGCCCAAAAAACAACTTACTCGTTCTCTGCCGCGAGGAACTGAATGATGTTGAATTGTTCGACGTTGGCCAGAGGATCGTTCAAGCCTTCCTCTATAAAAAACCAGTTATAAAAACAAAAAGGGATTTGCATTTCATTTTATTTTTCATGAAGCAGAACAAGGCGCAAAAACAAGTCTTATTTACCTTTGACATTTTTACGCCGTGTCATTTTGGCGATAGTTTAAGTGAGTTTTTGATTTTCGAAATTAGTATAGTATTCAGTAATAGATGTATTGTTTCTTGGAACAACGAACGTCAATGGCAGAGATACAAACACAAAAAACAGCAGCCAATATACTTTTTGGCTCGTACCAGTCTCCGCAAACACTCACTCTTCTTTTTTCTCTAGTCAACTGCAACTCTTTCCTTTCTCTCAATTTTTCGCAAACTCTCGCGTCTTTTTTCTCTGCGTCTCTTCGGTTTCCAACAATATTTCTCTAGCACACTCTAGTGGTTTTTTTGTATGTTTGTATGAGCGTTTTTTTTGTTGTCTTCTCTTCTTTTGCTGTTTTGTTCCTACTAGTAATACTTGGGAGAGCGCTGGCAGGCAGGCAGGAATATAAATGGAGGCAAAATAAAAAACTGAAGAGACGAGGGAGAATAAGATGATAAAAAAACAACAACAAAAAGAACATGACCTTGAGTTTTGAAGGTTTTTCTCTTCATGTATCATATGATCAATTACTTTGAAGCTTGAGGAGTGTGAGGGGTGCACGAAAGAAAGAAATCCAGAAATTAGGTTTCGAAAAGTTCCAGAATTTTGATTTTTAAAGTAAACTTTTTGATTTAGTGGAAAGAAAGGGCTCGGAACATTCGAAGCTTTGAAAACCACCCTACTGGAAATTTCAGCCTCCAAGAATTTTCAATCTTTTTTCAGTAGATCGAAATTCTTTGTTTTTCATGATTTTTCATTTTCCGGCTCGGAAAATGACGCGGGTTAAGCAAAATTGATTTCTTTTGATATTTCCGACACTTTTTTAAGCTATGTTCAAATAATTTCAGTTTGAAAAGTGTAATTATCAACTTCCTGGTTGCTATCATTCGAAATAAAATAGCTATTTTTATCGGATTAGCGATAACTAATCTCTCGAATCTCAATCTAACTCCTAAAAATTGCGTCATTTTTTTTTTTGAAAATAAAAAAAAGCCATTTTCCCAGGTTACTGTAGAATATTTTAAACACAAAAGCTGACCTTTTTCTAACCATAAAATTGTTGCACAATACATTTTGTCGGCATTTCTCTTTCAACTCACAGAAAAAAGTCGCAATTCAAATAATTCTATAGAAACAAATTCAAAAGACTGCAAAAAAGGAGAAAATGGCCAAAAAAGCCTACCTAGAGGCGGTTAGCAAGTATTTTAACGCAGATCTTTTTTTGTGTCTCTTGGCAAATGATAACAAATGGAGAAAAGTCTCAAGGTTAGAAGTGGCACCAAATTTACCCAGAAGTTCTTGGGCTTTGTTTTTTTCAGACTAATATATAATTTTTTTTAGAAAAGGTTTTTTTTTTTGGAAAAGTAAACATACCCATTTTTTAAGGAAAAATTTTGATAGATAGCTAGCTCAAAAATAAAAGTGAACGTTTTGTATATAAAATGGAACGGAGGAAAATTGTTATGATTTGGTATTGTCTTTCATAAACTATTTGGACATTTTTTTCAATATTTATTGTTACACTAGAAATAGTTTAAACCATCATTTTGAACAACGTTTATTTATTACGGTTATGAACATTCTTAAAATTCCAAAAAATTGGAATTACTGTAACTCCAACTTAAAACCACTAGTTTCTTTCTAACATAAATAAAAGTATTTTCAAAATCAAGGAGAAAATAAAAGTGAACATGATCATCGTAATGAAGAAGTATGGCAAAGCGCACTTTTTTGTCGCTACTGAAACAAAATCGAGATGTAGACATTAGTAGAACTCAAATAGTATGTAAGATAAAGAGATTTTGAGAAAAAAAGTGAGGAAATAGAATGGCGCCTCCGAGAAAGGGCATATGTACTCTATGCAACATTAAGCCTGAGAACGAGGAAAAGAAGAAGAAGAAGACAGCCAAGCTTCAACTGACTAGTACTACTCCGACTACTGGTTTTTTTCTGTGACTGGCACCTTCTGGCTCTGCAGATCTTTTTGCTGGTCAACTAAATATGTACAAAGCCACAGCCGCTGCACTTTTTGTCACTATTTGTCATTCTGCGTTGTACCTTCTGCTGGTTATGGATACTGTAGCATTCGAAAAAAAAATTATTTTTGAAAAAACTGAACTTTTTCTATGTATGAGATGAGCTGGATGCAATTAAAATAATTAACCAAAAATAGACGCAATGAAAAACTGTGACGTAAAAGTTTGATGATTAGTTCAAATTTTGTGAAACTAGTTTTGAAACTTTTGATGACGCATTTTGAGGATGATTATTCTTGAAAAAAATGGAAAATGTCAGATTTGAGTAATGTATAACCGAAAAAACATAATTAAGGAATCAAAAAAGTCGTTGAAGTTCAATTTCATTTTCTGATATCCTTTAATTAACCAAAACTATAATGTGTTGAAATGAGCGTTTCTAGTCATTTCGGTTCCTAATCAAAAATATTTTGAATGTAAAAATATTCTTGATTGAGTCCAAAAACATTGAAAAACTAAAGTTTGTTGAGACTCACAACTAATTTCTTTGATGAACTTTAAGAAAAATTCGATATTCAATCGAAACTATTTTAATTTCAATGTATTCAAAGATTCTAGAAATTTTAGAAAAAAGGGAAATTCAGTTTTTGAAACACTTGTCCCTGCAAAAATGCTGAATTTTCAAATTTGAGCATATTTTTCACCTGCAAACAAGTTGGAAATTTCAAAAATATTTCTTCACGAAATATTTGTTTCAGTGAGAAAAAATCGAAAGGAGATAGCAAAAGATAGCTTTTATGCTTGGGAGCTGACAGCTTCAAGTTTTGAAATATTCAAAACTTGGTGATTCAACTAATGTCATTGCTGGAAGTTCATTCAATGCTCAAATTAATATCAGTTCGTAACAACTTCAATTACCTATGTTTAAAAATTCTAGAATTTCCAAACGTGCAACAGGTTTTGGAACACTTGTGCGTAAAAAAGTGCTGAATTTTTTTTAATTGAGCACTGTTCCACATGCTCATACTTCTTACCTGTTATTACAAGTTATAAACTACTTTTTGATGCGAATTCTTTATGTGGCAGGTGTTTTTTCAACAGTATATTTTCACATTCTTTTATCGTCAAATTTCATCACAATTTCATTTTATTGTCTCTTCAAAAACACGAAATCTACATAGTCTCAAATTATGTTATATTTCGAATATGTTGTACATATGTGTTCCGCTTGAATGAAATCGAATTAAAATTTTTTTTGAAAAGTACAACACTCCTTTTCTTCGTTTTTTTCGCAAAAAAAACTAAGGAAAATCTCATTAAAACATTTCATTGGGAAATGAATCACAAAGGAATGCCGAGCTAGCGTAATTCTTTGTTCGTGTGAAATATGAAAAAAATTCAAATAAAAACTATATATGTGTGAAAATCATTTTTTTGCAGTTCAAGACTTTTGAAAATATGAGACTTTCTGAAAATTTATTGATTTCTTCCATTTTGAATATCTCAAAGCAGAAATTTTTCTCGAATTTTACGAAAACATAAATGACAGTTATCCCTATCCATTTCATTTCCGATTAGAATTTGATCTCCGAAATTTTTTCAAGGTCTTCTTTCTCAATTTACAATAAACACATCCATAAAAGTACAACTACAGTATATTTTTTTACAACAAACAAAATGGAATTGAAGAACACAAAAAAAAGAAATACAGATAACATTCTACTATACCTACACGCTTTCTTGTACTTTTTATCAGCGATTTGCAAATAATTGTCAAGTCAGCAAAAAAAATAAGAATACGAAAAAACTAACCACCAAAATTTTCATACCCTCTAGGATAAGGGTTTTTTGGCAGCATATTGTTCACATTTACCACGAATTATTTTCTGAAAAAAACAAGAGGTCATTTGTTCTTACAATCATTAGAAAAACGAAAAAAAAACGAGAAGAAAATCAATGCGGTAAAAATCAGAAATAAATCTTATTTCAAAGCTTCGGGTCGCGCGCGGGTAAAAAAAAAGAAAATGGTAAGAGAGGGAAAAAGCCGAGAAAAAATCGAGGAAAAATGGATAGAGAGGGAAAAAAGAGAGATAGAGAGAGAATTTTGCCCTCCCGCTTACAGGTGGCAAGGACGTGCGCATTTCATTTCTTCTAACCAATCTGCGTTTCTCAAAAGCGTCCGATTCTTTTCTCAAAAAAATCAAAAACCGGTTTTTTCTCCATCCATTCCATCTATCCCTGCCCTTTCGGTCATAAATACATAAATTTCACAATCCTGGCGGGCGCAGAGTTTTTTTTTTTTCGAAAAAATTCGCTTTTTTCTGATAATATTGACAATTGAGATATACAAACATTAAGTCAGTTACATTCGGGAAGAAAACGATAAAAAATGAGAAAAGTTGCTAATCTGTGAAAACTAATCAAATATATGCAACATTTGGCGTTCCCCTTGACCTTTGGTTAAATATATCGATTTAGCGTTTGTTTATTATTATAAATATTAATACTTTTTTGACGTTCCATATAAATGATTACGGTATCAATGAAACCAGAAAAAAATGTTTATGTTGCACATTTTTTCATTTGATAATATCATATTTTTAAACAATTTCAATGCGTTCGGTTATTTGTGGAACATTTTGAAAAAAATTAAAATAAACAAATTATTTTCTGATGCAAACGACGGGTCTAATAAACACAACACAAGAGCATCTAGAAAAAATTGGGGAGAACATCACACATTGTTAGATTACGGTATTTGAATAGGAAAAGCTGGTTAAATATGTGAAAATGATGAAATTCTCATTCTCCAGAAACATACGTCTTTTGTTTCATTTCGTAGGTTTTTTTCTGACATCTATCGAACATGGAAAATTGGCAAAGTTTCGAAAATTTTTAAATGTTTATCAAAAGGTAATATGAGTCATAAATTAACAATAGAACCGTTCTCAATTTTCAATTTTTTCATATGAACTTGGTTTAATTTTATTTTTTAATTTTTTTCTTATCAAGTTACCAGAAGTTTAACAATTTCAAGTTTTAGAGAAAATATTGAAGTGTTCCAGAAAAATGTCATCTTCGACATGCCCCTTTATCCAATATTCTGTAAAAATTCACGACCTGAGTTTCTTGAGGTGGATGTTGTACATAATAGAAAATCCAAATTTGGTTTTTCATTTTAATAGCTTTCATCAATTTTTCAGCTCAAGAGTTTTATTTCTATTGCAATTTTCTTAGAAAGTGTAAAAAGCTTCCAAATAATTATTGATTTCTCAAAGTTTCATCTTTTAGAACAATAGGTTATTTTATTCTTCATCTCATTGGAATTTTATTTATGTTAGAGAACAAATCTTCTTTGTTCAAAATATGTGCATTTTTTGTTGAAAATCATGTTGTCACTATTGAAGTGATTTTCATACATTTTCTTTATTTTTTATATTCAAAATTTCAGTTTCCTGAACATAATATTATTCTTTTTCAATTAAACAAACAATTATAACACATTTATTCTTCATTTTTCTCTATACAAACAACATTCCGCTATCCCACAGCGACTCTTTTCCAAAACGGGTCTTGTTTGGATTCCCTTTCAAACACAACAAGAATTACGTGTTCAAAAAAGGAAGATTTTATTATTTAAATGAATTCCTTCTGTTTTCTTTCATTTTTTCACTTTAAAATTCAGAAATTTCAATTTTTCGAAAATAAATCGTTCATATTTCAGGTGATGACTAGGTTAACTGGGTATATATTCATTTTATTGATTGGTGGAATTGTTTGTCCACCACCAATGAGACAACAAGCTGAAGCTCAAAATGCTCAACAACAAGCTGCTGTCCCAGAAGCTGCTCCTTCTTCTTCTACTCAACATCCACCTCAAGAAACTCCTAAACCTGCTGAAGAACGGAAACCAGTAAGTTTCAATATTTTCTTGATTTTTTCTATTTTATTGAATTCAGGATTATGAATTCGCCTATACCAAATATTTAGAGGAAGTTGTTAGAATTTTGGAGACGGATCCTAAATTCGCGGAACGTCTGAAAACTATGAATGAAGATGATATTAAGGCTGGAAAAATTGCGGATCATATTGATGATTTAGATCAATCTGTATTTGACAAACTTCATAAGGCAAAATTCGCTGAGTTGGAACGCTTGAAGCAACAAATTGGGGAACAAATTAAAGCTGATGGTGGTGCACATAATGTTAAAATGCCAGAACATTTAGATGTTTATAAAAATGATGGTTTCCATAAAGAAGATTTGAGAAAATTGATTATCAAGGTGAGTTTCTTTGAATTTAAATTTTTGAAAAAGAAATTACACAAATATATTTTAGACTGTTTCTGATATGAATGAAATCGACGAGCGAAGAAAAGAAGATTTCAAAAAATATGAAATGCAGAAAAAAGCTGAACAAGATCATCAAAATGCACAATTAAACAAAGACGAACGAGTAAAAGCACAACATGAACAAGAAGAAGCTGAAAAACGACACAATGAACATGAAAAATTGAAACATCCAGGAAGTCGTGATCAATTGCAAGAAGTTTGGGAAGAATCTGATCATGTGAGTTTCAATTTTTTTTGAAAATAAAAAGCGGTGGCAGGCAGGGAGGCACTTTATTGACTTTAAAACTTGAGTTTGAGTTTTAATGTTGCTTTAATAAATAAATACAAAAATATAATAGAAGGTTCATAAATCGGAAACGTTTTTGAAGAGCTCTGTAGTTTACCTGTGTTTTTGTGTTTTGGTTTGTTTTGAAACATGAATATTCAAGTTTGCAAATTCTTTTTTTGCACAAATCGAATTATTTGATCCGATCATGCGTTATCATTTGATAACAAAATATCAATAATCAGATAAAAATGTTGATAAACTTTCTGCAACAAAATGTCAAAATATCAAAAATAAACAATTCCCTTGACATTTCTCATATCACACTCGAACCGGAACATTCTCAAAATTCTTGACATTAAAAATTCCCATAATTTACATTTCTATTCAAAGAATAAAATTTGTTTTCAGCTTGAGAAAGACACATTCGATCCTCGAACATTCTTTGCACTTCACGATTTGAATGGTGATGGATTCTGGAGTGATGTTGAACTTGAATCGCTTTTCCAATTAGAATTGGAAAAAATGTATAATGAAACAAATCCAGATGATGATCCAAGAGAAAGGTTTGAAATTTCATAACTATGTAGTACAGTGCGTTTCACAAGTATAGGTCCACCCCTGAAATGTCTCAAAATGATCGTAAAAATAATTTTCAAGTTGTAGCCCTTCATTTTTCAAAAAAAGTACGTAAAATTAGGTATGTTTACCGAATTTTATCCTACTTGGACATGTTTTTGATTTTATATTTGAGAAAAATTGAAAATTGGCTATTTTCTGTGTTTCAAAAGTATAGGTCCACCTATATCAACTATGAAATGATGATTTCTAACCTGGTTTTTTGTTGTTTATTTTTCAGTTAGGATTGCCCCAAGCCTAATTAAAGCATATTCAACAAATGCAGTTTTCCATTTCTGGGTTTCTGGAGCCATTCCTGGTGATCAGACCCACTTTGCTCTGTTTATCAGACAACATGCTTCAGTATCCTTTCATTTTCTATTGAGATCATGTCAGAAGTAACTAAAAACCTCTTTAATGTTGTATTTCTTAGTTTTCCATTCAATAAAACTCAATTCATCAAAAATGGAGATCATTTCAGACCGAAAACTGTCAGTTATTGTTTCAAAATTCTGACAATTTCAAGATTTTCTAGTGAATGCACCCAAGTTCATCCATTTTTATTCCGTTTTTGTGACTGGAATATGACTGCTATGTCTCCACATGATTCAAAATATCACCTGGAATTTCATAGAACTCAAAAAACACTTTCTGTGATGCTATCAAGCTTATGGAACAAAGTTCCGAAATTTCAAAAAAACTCAAAAAATATTTTAATGTACTGAAACATGAAAAATGTTTTTTGAATTTGTTTTTTTTGAACTTCAATAGTTGTAAACAATGTTTCTGAACTGATCTGAGATATGCTTTTCATAAAAAATCGTTTCAAGAATAATAATATGAAAATTCAGTTGTTCATAAAAATTTCGGAATGCTACAAGTCCTGTTTTTCGCACAATCACGATAGGAAGTCAAGATTTATTTATTTCAAAATTATGGAACCAATTTAATCGATCATAGAAACCGTGTTAACAGATAATATATGAAGTTTTGTGACACAACTTGGGTGTATTCACTGGAAAATCTTGAAATTGTCAGAATTTTGAAACAATAACTGACAGTTTTCGGTCTGAAATGATCTCCATTTTTGATGAATTGAGTTTTATTGAATGGAAAACTAAGAAATACAACATTAAAGAGGTTTTTAGTTACTTCTGACATGATCTCAATAGAAAATGAAAGGATACTGAAGCATGTTGTCTGATAAACAGAGCAAAGTGGGTCTGATCACCAGGAATGGCTCCAGAAACCCAGAAATGGAAAACTGCATTTGTTGAATATGCTTTATTTAGGCTTGGGGCAATCCTAACTGAAAAATAAACAACAAAAAACCAGGTTAGAAATCATCATTTCATAGTTGATATAGGTGGACCTATACTTTTGAAACACAGAAAATAGCCAATTTTCAATTTTTCTCAAATATAAAATCAAAAACATGTCCAAGTAGGATAAAATTCGGTAAACATACCTAATTTTACGTACTTTTTTGAAAAATGAAGGGCTACAACTTGAAAATTATTTTTACGATCATTTTGAGACATTTCAGGGGTGGACCTATACTTGTGAAACGCACTGTATCGGACACCAACAACTCTTGATTCCAGAATGGAAGAAATGTATCGTATGCGTGAACATGTTTCAAAACAAATGGATAAAAATGGAGATCGTTTGATTTCCCTTGATGAATTTTTGGCTGACACCGAAGCTCAAACTCCAAACAAAGATGAAGGATGGAAAGATCTCGGACAAGAACAAATTTACACTGATGAAGAACTTCAAGCTTTCGAGAGAGAATATGCAGAGAAACAAGGTATTTCATTGGGACTAACATATTAACTAACCCTATTAATTTTTGAAAATGCATAATTTGAATAATTTTGAAATCTAAAAACAAATATTATGTTAACCTTAGGATGGGGCGAAAACGCGTACCAAGGTGCTGAGATTGTAATTCCTCCAGCAGGCTCCGAACATCATGATCAACAACAACAGCAACAGCAATATCAGCAACAACAACAACAACAACAGGTTAGTAATTCTGAATTTATTCGTTTTTTTTCCACAAAAGTGTATAATTTCTCAGGTTCACCCAGCTGTTCCACCAGTTCAACCAGTTCAACCAGTTCAACCAATAGTTAATCAACAACCACCAGTACCTCAACAAGCAGCTCAGCCAATTCATCATGCACCAATTCAAGATCACCAAAAAGATCCGACATATGGTATTTAATTTATAAACTGGCATTTTATAGAACAATTTTTCGGGTTCTAGCTCTGTTTCTGTTAATATTCAATTATAGATATGTTGATAATTATTGGCCATATCTTGTCTATAACTGTGTATATCATGTTTGGCATAATGAACGAATTTGTCTATCAAATTTATAAATATTTTTATGTAAGAATGAATTTGCAAGTTTGAATCGGAAATTCAATTTTACAGAATATATTCTTTCAGAGATGTTTGAGATTTTGAAGTATCAACCTGAAACACTTCTGTGTGAACGGTTTTTTTTAGTATTTTTAATACTCACAAAAGTTTTAGATGTTCAGTTTAGAAGTTGAGTAAGACCCACTGATGTTCTCGCTGTTCGAAGTTGAAGCTGAATCTCCGAGTCTCATTTCTGATATGAGATTTACGTTTCTGCTAACATTAAAAAAGTTTCAATAAGGCATCCAAAGGCAAAAGTTATTACCAAAATAATAAATTAAAGAATTATTTTTACTTTTCGTTAAATTTTTTAAAATGATCATAAAGCGTACGTTTCATCAAAAAAAAAGTCACGTTCTCAACTGAACTTCAATCTAAAAATCCGAAAATCATGGCACGTTTTTTTTCCGTGAAAATGATTTCTCAAATCTATCTTTATATCTGTTTGACTTCATCGTTTGTTTGCCAATAAATTGTGATCATTACGTTGCCAGAAAATTTGTTTTCAAATGGTTTCTTAAAACTTTCTCTGACACTTAAAACTTTGATGTATTTTGATGAATCTGTGAAAATTTACTTCAAGAGACAACTTCAGATTCAGCGAAACACCAATAAAAACTCAAATTATGCAAAAACTTTTTCATTTTGAAATTTATTCATCAAACAATGTTGTATGAGAAGACTATCTATAATTAAGAATGAAAACGACAGAAAGCAGAAGTTGGGAAAGGATTGGAACCAGTATTAAAGGATTTATGAAATTATCAAATATTGTTATGATTCATCATGAATAAACTGTTGGTTGAGATGAGACGAACTGAAAAAAGACAATTATGTTTCATTGAGAAGAATTCAAAACTTACGGGCTGGTTATATGATTGAAGAACTTTTCTATCAATCTTAAAAATCTCCATGAAAAGTGGTGGTAGAGTCATGTAATATGAGTTTTCCCGCAAAAACTTCATTTCGATGTTGTGTAGATTACCTGGAAGTAGTTACATCAATTTTCTTTGGCACATTAAATCTTGTTTCAAAAACGATAAAAAGATGAAAGCTCGAAACTCACTTAGTTTTTTGAGATCTATCATCATTTCTTTTAATCGTGTTAGTATTGATTCTCCATTCATTCGATCGCTAATTTTTCTTTGAAGTGTGTTAGTCATCAAAGTGTTCAGCAATTGAATTGATGAAAATGATGTATAGCTCTGAATGTTGCTCATATCAGGTGTTGTGATCAAGGAAGCTATGAAAATCGCAATTTCATCATCATTCAAATTCACTTCAATGAGGCTATAACAAAACGCGAGCATTTTTTCGGCAAGGTTTCCATATAGAATTTGCAATGTTTTGAAATCGATCATCTTTCCATCAGTCAATAATAATCCTTTTTGTGAAAATCCACGAGAAATTCGAATAAGATAAACTTCGAAAAACACATTCTTCAATAAAAGTGCCTGATCATTTGATGGCAAAGCACTGAATTTCGGAATTGATTTTGCAAATTCTACAACACCTTGAAAATCCGGAATAATTTCATTCGCATAAATTTGCCATGCATTGATTCGAATTTCTTCAGCGGATAAATTGTTATATATTCCGAGATCAAATGGTTTTGGAATCATTCTTCTAACTTTGAGATCCGTATGTCCACAATTTTTGATATGCGAATTCGAGAGACTTTGGCAGAGCTGAAAATCAATGATGAAATAGGTTGAGAAAAAGAAAAGAAACTCTTGTTACCATTATATAATCAGAAGTTTTCGGTTCAGGGCTGGTGCTTGAAGACACAATTTCATCAGGATTTGCAACAACTTCCATTTTTATCTGTGCTTTCTTTCCTTTAGCTTGTCGCACAGCTGAAAAATAATTTTAATGTATTATTTCCGGTGAGTTTGAACTTTCAATTAGTCCTGATTTCAGATATAACATCTGAATCAGAGGATGACAATTATTCTAATTCATGAATCAGGCTGCTTTTGAGTTTTTCAAAAAAATGTGTTGCAAACCCAAAACATGTTATAATTTTACCAAATGGTTCAACAGTATTCAAAGACTCTGGATGCCTTGTTTTTCATTCAGTAACTTACACTAGCGTCTATTAAATTAGGATGTATTAACTTATGAGTTGCCCTGAATGTACTTTTATGAAATTTAATATTTCTTAAATTATTCCAATTACCAGACATCGAAAAAAAGTAATCACATTTAATCTATTAATAATCATATCCAAGATTAAGAACATTTCAAATTTTTGTCATGTTAATTATTCACCAAGTTTCAAGAGCAACTAAACCAGTTTAAACTCACAATCTTTCGACATTCCAACTTCGATACATTTTCTGAATCGACAATGCTGACATCGATTCCGATTCTCTCTTTTCACAACACAATCTTTATCCCTCAAACATCGATATTCAATTCGTCTTTGAATACTCCGCCGAAAAAAACCCTAAAAAACAGAGACATGTGTGACTGCAAATCGTCCCAAAAAATCAATCTTATTTATTGCCTTTGTGCATTTTTTGTCTTCAAGAATGGCAAAATTTGAATTTCTACATATCTTTGTGTTTTTTTTTCACTTCACTATTCCTCCTATCCCATTAATATAAAAAAATGTGAATAGGAATAGGAATATTAATAAGAAATAATAATAATAAAAAATACGTGGGGGGAAGAGGAATTGTTGCGCAACACGTTAAACATAATAATAAAAATGGAGAGTTTAGAGAAATAACGCAACAAGTGCAAATATGTAAGAAGAGAGTTGGGATTGGATTGGATTGGATTGGATTGCAAAAGGTGTAATTAAATCACATACCTTACATCCTTCGCAAGATGTTACTCCGTAATGATAACCAGATGCTTTATCACCGCAAACTTTGCAAATATGCACAGCCTTTTGACTATTTGAGGATGAAGATGAGGATGAGTTGATTGTTGATTGTGGGGAAATCGAGCTTGTCGAGATGGACACTGCAAAAATTATAATTATTTTAATTATGACGTCATTTTCATTAGTGCGGAAACATTTTTGTAGATCTAGATTTAATTACCACCCTTCAGATAAAGAATACTATAATGAGCACGTGTATTGTTCATCTCTTTGTTCTATTTTTTTGCTTCAATAATTGTGCAGTGAATGTTTTTCAAATTTATTAAAATAATTTTTTTTTTGATTGATGAATCGATTTTCAATTATTAAATTGAAAAAATTGGTGTTGTTATCCTAATTTTTACTTCTCGGATTCATGGATACATCAAAACATATTTTTCGGCCCTCCCGCTTTTCTCTCTCTGTCTTTTTTCACACCCAAAACAACAAGAAGCGGTACTGCGCAAGTAAAAAAGGGAAGGGAAAAATTGGTGTAGGAGAAGAAAAAAGATTATTGCGCAACTTGCACAGCAGCACAGCGTCTGTTAAATCTATATACATAATGCACCCTCTTTTTGTTCTACTATTTTTCTCCAATGAAATATAAAACAAAACAATAACTCATAAAGAGTACTGTAGAGTTGTCGAAAATTGAGAATTACTCATATTACTCATAATAAACAAAGAAAAGAGTCCCTGATTGATTGCTCATTTCTCTCTAGTTATATGTGTCTTGATATTTTCTAACAAGAAAAATGTTGCAAAAAAATGATTGAATCTAGAAATCTCTTTGGTGATGTCGAATGGTCTCATCAATTAAATCCTCTCTTTCTCTCAAAAAACGCTAAAAAAGTTTTGCAACACATTTTCTGTCTTTCAAAATCGACACATGTTCGTTCTCTAAACACCCTCTCTGATCTAACACTATTCTACATTTCTTTTTTTTTTCAATTTTTTTCAAGCCTGTTTCAAAAATGTGAAAGATGCAGTGAAAAAAATCAAGAATAATTTACGGCTTGATGAATGGCTCGTGTCGGCGTGAAGAAGTGGTCGAAAATAGTGAAAATGGGTGTCGTATCCTGGATAAAATGCAGTTGGCGGCGGAATTGGTGGTGGAGGTTGGACGCCTGATGTTTGATCGTCGAGATTATGAAATTGACGAAAATTTGAATAATCAGCAGCAGTGGGGATGAAAGACTGGAATAACAAATTGATTATTTTCTGATTTAGAACTAGAGATTATTTTCAGTGCATAGATGAACTAGAAATATTTATATTGCTCAAAAAAGTTAATCCCAATTTTTGAAATTAAATTCCAGGATTTACTGAATATTTATAGAACATATATCGTCATCGATGACTCTTGAAGACCCAAATCAGAATAACACTCAGAATTTGATTTCAAAATTCGGATTAACAGTTCATCTAAGCTTCCATATATAGTTTGAACTTTTATGAATTTCGAAAATGAGAGATAGACCCAGCCGCGCTTAAAGCGCTCCAACAAGGAGAAAAAAATCACCGGTACCGTAAGCGCGTCAAATTTCTCAAAATTTGTTGTCGCGCCGCACCTAAAAAGGCACCGTTTTTTTCCAAGAATTTTGTTGCACTTTTTTTGAGCACAGTTGCTTTTTTGCTTTGAAAGGACAATCTCATTTTTCCTCAAAAAGTTCAAACTGAAAAACAATCACTATCTCAAAAATAAGACAAAAACTTGAAAAGAAAATGAACTAACCGGATAACACCATGGTAGAGGAACATCATCATTTTCTAATTTCGGAATATTATCACCGGATTTCAAATCAACAAACGATTGATAACTTGTACTTGAAGAAGACGAAACACCTTCATCTGGTGATTCTTTACCGTAATCCATTTATATTTTCTGGAAAAAAATTTGGGTCTAGAATGCTCTAAATTAACAATAAAACGTGAAAAAATGTTGCGAAAAATAAGAGATATACAAAAAAAATAATAACGCATAGTATTAAAAAAATGGTAAGCAAAAAAAAAGAAGAGAGAAAAGAGGGAGGTGGATTTATGTGCAATTAGATGAACAAAATGGGCGGAGCTAGATCGGCAACACATAGTCTGATTTTTTGTCGCTGCTCGTGAAACCTCAAAAATGTGTGTTTTTTGAGGGCGTGGCTTATTCTGTGCTTGGTACAGAATTTGAATATCTCCATGTTATCTCTATGGGCATAGAATAGTACTTTGTGCAAAGTGTAGTCTTTCCGTGTTCTACAGTACTTTAAGAACTAGAAAAAAATTATCACTAAAAATCCAAAATTAGTACACTCCCTCGGACGCACCTTTCATCGTTTTTTGCTGGGGAATCGATGAAAACGATATAATTAGAATAAAAACTAAAAATTTGCATCAATTTGCATAGTTTGGATTGGATGAGTATATTATTCAGTCATTTATATTTTTTTAGATTTATAATATCCGGAGGTTTCCGTGAAAAAAAACTTGTTATAAAAGAAAAACGGGAAATTAGGATGAAGAAAAAATTGACTCATAAGAATCAAAAAAACAATTCAGATGATAAATCAACATTTCATGGAAGAGGTGAGAAGAGAGGAGGAACTGAAAAAAATTATGAAAAGTCGGCAGTTCAAATTGCCTGAAATATGTTTTTTTCACAAAAAATGTTATCAATTATCAATATTATATGACAAAAGAAGAAGAAGATTCTGAAGAGAATTTCAGAAAGTCCAAAAATTGAAATTAAAATATAGTTAGAATGAATTTCTGAATTTTTCTCTCATCATTTTATTTTCTGAAAATCTCTCACTTGGAATTCCAGGTTTTCGGTGAGTTTTTTATAGTGACCATTAGAAAATTTCAAAAATACTGAAAAAGCAGCGTTCCATAATAATAAACTAGGTTTCAAAATTTACTTATCAAGGTGCAAAATACACAAAAAATCATTTAAAACAAGAAAAAAACCAGTTTACCTACACAATATTTCATTGAAATAAAAAATGCGAAGTTGGCACAAGATAGCACAACAAATCGCAACATTCTTCAATTTTTTTTTTGCATTTCTGATATCGATGAACTCAATCTTTCGTTCTTGGAATTTCCACACAAAACTATTAATTTCCAGGTGTAACACTTCTAGAGAAGAAAAAAAACTGTTTCATCTATTCCGCTTGATAAATGTTTGATCCTTCTAGATATACAACTACAAACATTTATCAGACAGGAAAAAAAAGTTGCTTTATTTTTGACATCAAATATGTATCTATCTATATGTTGTGTAGCAACAAAAATGAAAAAAAAGAAGAAGAATAGTCTGCAATTTGAAAAAAGTACACCCAGCTGTTTTGAAAATAACAATAACATGATTTTTCTATAGATGCAAAAATTTTTAACCAAAACTGATAACAATTTGTTTTCTTTTCTATTCTCGTCTTGTTGTTCGGAAAAAAACGCCAATCAACACACACATTTTTTCTTGGATAACGTCACCTAAAATTTCCGGATCACAATTCAATGCTAATTCGAATCATATTATCATAATGTTGCGATTCTCATAACATCGCACTTAAAATAGCAATGACGTATTGTAAAAATAAAATGACCAAAGTTTTTTGCTGTCATTTATAATTTTTGTGTATACATCTGCTGGGATATCTATAGTGCAAAAAAGCTGTATAAAGTGATCAGAATGAGAAAAAAGTATGAAAATGCAACACAGTAAATGAGGAGTGTGTCTGTGAAATGGGCTAGTACCAGGCTGAGCCAACTAATGGTCACTCAGATATCAAAAAATGGAAGGCGGAAAAAAATGATAATTTTTGAGGGAAAATTCGTTATCGGAGGCGAAGTTGAGAGAAAGGTTTTGGTACTGGTCAATTTCATTGTTGTCTATGTGAATTCAAGTAATCATTTAAATGATTATTTGATCATTGGTAGGTTATGAAAAATGGGGGTGAATCGGAGATCAGACCTCTACTGATGTTGTTTAGGTCGGTAAAAATATATTATAGGGCGCATCTTCTCATAGAAATTTTGCTGATAGGAGATTAAAATTGGAGCAACACGTGGGCTTTTTCCAAAATACCATATCATCCCTCGAGATTATTAGATGTAATCATCACTTCAAAGTTATATCCCAATTCAAGAAAAGTCAACATTTCCATTGAGTACGAACTTGGTGAGGAAGGAGTTGAGGTTCTACGATTCACTCCAAAAAGGATATGTCAGAAAATACCATTGAAAAAAATTGTATAGAAGGTTTTCGAATCAAGACACGAAGAATAGATATTATCTCGATTAATTCATGTTAGAATTTTTGTGAAATCAGTGAAACGTGAAGAATAGTTTTGAACTTTTACAAAATATTGGAAAATGTCAAATATTGTTTGTAAAGATAACGAAATCATGCAAATGATATTCAAACTATAAACTTCAACGAATAAAATTTTGATTGTTACTTCAAAAAAAAATGTATTACTATGCTTCTCTGAAACATGGTGAGTCACTAATATTAACAATGTTTCCAAGAAGCACATTGTTGATGTAACAAAAAACTATACTGTTTGGTTATGAAAAGACAGAAAAAACACAAAAACCAATAATTGGCAATTAGTTATTTGGTAAAAGAAACATAAGAAATAACAAAAATATATATATGAACGGTCAAAAAAAAAGAACTCATGACATCAGAAGAAAATGCACATTTTTAGTTATGCTGTTCTTTCTACAAGCCATTAAAAATACTGAAAAAAACCATTAGCTCTAAGAGACCCATATCGAAATAGTATTATGTGCCCCCTTTTATTTTTTTTTTTGAATAAAAAAAAACAGATAATGTCCTTTTTTGCGCGCGAAAAATTAGGAGGAAAGACAACCAAAAAAATATGATGTAAGACAACAACGCATTCATATTTTTTTTTGTGATTTCTTGGAACAGTTTTTCATTTATTTTTTGCGTATCTTTAGAATTGAAACATTCAAGTAGTTTGATGACTTCTAACACAATTTTTGATGACAAGGCTATATTTCCATCATATTTAAAGTTATTCGAAATGTATTATATTGATTTCGTTTAGCAATCGATAAGATTTTGCATTTATTGTTAGAACTCTCCACTTAAACTGGTTCGAAATTTCCGATTTCTGCATTGATTTTACTATGAGGGATTAGTTCTATCATCAGGGCAGTAAGCTATATCTGTTCCTACTTCGCTAAACTCTGCCTCGCTTTCGCATATTTGCTGAAACATCGCACTTTTGCGTTCATGTTTGTGAGTATTCGGTTGTCTTGAGAACATTTATCAAGAGTGAATTCCAAACCTTTTCTCTAAAATATCGATTTCCCATTCATTTGGATCAAATGAAATCAAAATATCACAACAATATTTCTTTTTAAATTTCATGAGTTTTTGTTAGCAACCAGATATAAACATATGATTGTTGAAAATAGGGTCCCTCATCAATAGTTGTCGATTTTAAATAATCGAAAACATATTTAATCTTCGTTATTTTTTGCAAAAAAAATGTTATAATCGAATTGGACAAAAAACATAATTCAAACAAAACAATCCTGACGAAAATCAATTTCTCAACAGTTTTGTTTCGAACAATACCAATATTTTTTCTTTCTTTTGATAACAATTACACAAAAGTCTGAGATACAAACTTTTCTCGAAGTTCTCATCAAAAATCACACTTTGATCTCTATCATATTATTTGTCCGGAAAAAGCCTGTTTTCATGCCCGTTGTGACCGCAAAATGTGTTGATGAAATCTGCAACTTGATCTATCTCGATATTTTTATAGCTTTCCGTAATATTTGAACCTTTATTTTTGATTTTGCTAAATAATCTATGGTTTCAAAAATATATAATTTGTATTTTTAGTCTGAATTTTTATACAATTTTTTGTAGTTTTTTTGTATTTTGACTTTTCTGCTGAATACAAACCTACTAATTTTTCAAGTATACGGTAGACTCCAAAATCTCGCATTACTTCTATTTTGGTTTTTCCGTTCTCTTGTAATCTTTATCAAAAATATAAGTGTTCCTTTTTACTTTTTTAAACATATCTCTTCTTTTCTTCTTCCTTCTTCTTGTTTTCTTCAAAAAAACATTCTAATTTGAAAAAGACGCCACGATGTGCAAACACGGCGAAAAAAAAGTCGTCATTTATTATGTTGGCAGACTTTTTTTTTGCTGTTCGTCCCTTTCTTGTGTCATAATGCATGAAATATAATAAAATAATAATATAATAAACATAATATATTTGGTTTATGGTTTCATTTATATTTCTTCTCTATTTACAGTTTACTTTTCCTAATTTTTTGCGAAATAAAATAATGATTCATGTTAAGATGGATGGTGATGAGACCTCTAGGCGATCAACTTTGCAAAAACGTGATTATGCTGCGAAACTTCGAGGTCAAGATATGGTTAGTTTTTTATTGTTTTTGATGATTAATTAGGAAAATAAAACATGCTTCCAGGTCGATTTTCTCGAGAAGTTCTTGGCCGAAGGTGATTTCTGGGCTGGAAAATCTATTGCTGGAATAATATCAAAAGAAATGTTAGTGGAACTCGGAAATTGCTTTCATAATTTGTCAAGCACTGCTAGAACCAAGTTCCTCTTATGTCTCCCTTTTCTTTCTATCAGTGTACAAAATGATGTAAGTGCTTTGAAATATTGCCTTTTAAACCAATTATTCAAATTCTTTTCTTTGTAGTGTTGGAAAGAATTGGAGATTATTTTGAATCAGGCGAAAGGGGATTCTGACGAATGGGTGGAAACAATTTCAAAATCATTCACCAAGCTTCCAAAAACTGGAGTTATTCAAGAATCTGTCAATACCGAAGATTTCACAACTGATAGCGCAGAAGTGAATAGTTTATGTAAGTTTTTTTTTCTGATTGAAATGAAAACCACATTTATTTATTATTTCAGTTGAACATCATGTGACTAATATTGGCTTGAAAATTCTCCCAAAAGCATATGCCTTTGCTATGAAAAAAGTTTTGACAAAAACTTTCGGACCTCAAACAAAACCAACGCAACATTTTGTATTGAAAAAGCAAGCAAAATCACTCAAATATCAACATGAAACTGAAAAACGTTAGTTATCAAGTTTCCTTTTGAAATAATTTCCTAACTTGGTTTCAGAAAATCGTGAACAAGTGACTCAAAAAACTTCCACATCTACCGCTGTTTCATCTTCAACTCTTCCAATCAAAATGCGATCAACACAACGGATTCCAGACACTAAAAGTAAATTTTTTACTGATAAAAAGCTATTGGAATTCCCAAACAATCATTATTTTTTAGCACCAATGAAAGGAATACCAACTCAAAACTCTCTCAAACTCAACTCTGGCTTCACATATGAGCCAAAGAAGTTCCGACGAGATCTTCCGCAAAAGAAAGGTGGAGCAATGTTGCTAGATATAAATGAACTTCCATTATCTTTGAAACAACGTCGACAACAAGAAACTGCTGATAATCGATTGAAGAAAAAAGAGGAGAAAGAATTGGAGAAATCGAAAGCAGCACAAATCAAAAAAGAACGAGAGGTATCAAAATATTCCGAATTGAATAATTATTTTTTGAAAACAAAATATTTTTAGGAGTTGAGAAGAGCAAGTATGCGTAGAGAATATGAAGAACAGTCAGAGCAATTGAAAAAGAATCGAAGATTATCTGCAAATTTCTCATCACCAGAAGCAGCTTGTTCATCAGAAGGACCCCCTCCAGCCAAAAAACCAAATCGAAGATCAGAAGGAGATGCTTTCTCTTCCCCACCATCAATGCCAATTCAACCACAACAGCGTCAACAAGTTCAAAATATGTTGAAATCTCCACCAGCAGTTCCTGCGCCGGGAATTGTTAGACCTGTGCCACAACCAGCATTTAGAATGAATGAGCCAGTTCAAGCAAAAGCTGCTCCTGAATCTCAAGCTTCAACTTCAAAACCTGCGAAAGTTGCATCACCGATCAGAATTCCATCACCTCAAACATATGAGCAATTTGAAGAGGAAATAATTGCTAAAAGAAAAGTGGCATTGGAAAAACAACAAGCTGCAGCAGCTGCAGTTGCTGCAAGAGCTGCTGCAAAACAAAAACAACAAAAAGAAATGGAGGAGAAGTTGGCGCTGCAAAAACAACAGCAACAAATGCAGCAACAGCAAAAGTTGCAACAACAGCAGTTTCAGCAACAGCTTCAACAAATGGATACCTCAAGAGAGTTATCACATTTTTCATATCAACCGCAACAACAAAATCAGCCGCAGCAGCAACAACAGCAACCTCAACAAGCTTTCCAACAACAGTATGCTAGTCTTCCACTACAGGCACAAACTATTGAACTACCACCGCAAGTTGAAGCTCCAGCAGGTTAGAGTTTCAAATCAAAAACACTAATTCATAATCTATATTTTTACAGTAATTGCTCAGGCGGCCATGCCTCGAACTCGGCGAAATTTCCAATTCAGTGATGAACAGCGTCGAGCCTGTATGGAAAGATATTCTGAGCTTTTTGGTACATCAAACGCTTTGGATGAAGATGGAATCGAATTGATGGTCTCGTTTCTTTTAGGAGATACTAGTAAGTTTTCGTTTTCAAAATCTTTAGAAGTAGTCTTGATTTTTCAGATAATCCTCATCCTGAGCAAGGACATTTGGTGACTGTCAGAATGTCTCAAAATGAAGAACGAGCAATACAAGGCGATAGAGTTGTCAGAAGAATTGTTGAAACGTTTTTCCAAGTCAGTAAATCTTCAGAGAAATCTAATAATCAAACTTCACAGTTACATTTTATAACTAATTTCAGATGGACTATGGAAATGGCGAATGGAGAAGATTGCGTCGAAGTCGAATTGATGACAATGATATTATTCCAGCAAATCAATTTATGCAGCCAAATATGCAACAAGCTCAAGCTCAACAACAGCAGCAAATGCAATTGCAGAATCAGCAACAACCACAGATTCAACAACAGCAAATGTTCAATGAACAACAAATTCGCAACTTCCAACAGCAGCAAATGATAAATCAACAATTGCAAATGCAAATGCAAGCTCAACAAAGAGCTCAAGTTCGTGTGCAAGTGCAACAATCACAGGCACAGGCTCAGGCGCAATCTCAACAAGCACATGCTCAAATACAGGCTCAAAATCAAGTTAGAGCCCAAACGCTTGTACAGACGGAACAAGCGAGAGCATTTGCGCAAATGGCTCATATCCCAATTCATCCTGATACGCAGGCGCGACTTTTGGCTCAGGCACAGCTTCGACAACAGCAGCAGCAGCAGCAGCAGCAACAACAAGCTTATCAACAATATCAGCAAAATCAACAGCAAAATCCACAACAAAATCCACAGCAAAATCCACAGCAAGATCAACCGGGATCAAGTCAAAATAGATTCCCGTGGTGATTAAATTATATATATTGTACAAAAATTGACATTTACCTCATATTCATACAAACAACATTCCCTGTTAAAAAATATTTCCCGAGTTTTTATTTTTTCATCATTATTTATCGTCTTTTATTTATTTATTTTTGATATTTTTGATATTTTTGATCTCGTTTTATGTATTCATTATGTACGGTTAATAGAAACAAGTATAAACATTCGGTTTGTGAAATCATTTTAAAGTTTAACATTTTCATCTCTGAAATGTGGTAATTTTTGTTTTGCGCAAAAGTTTACTAAATGTAAACGATTTTTCTCTGAAAAATTAAAAAAATGAGTCAAATAGTACTGTTTTTGATCAACTTTTTTTTCGTTCGAAAATTTGTAAATCTGGAAGAGCTTCCAGTTTTACAAATCCATCATTTTTGAGCCAAATTTCATGATTTCAGTCTGAAATTGATTGGAATTCATTTGTTGAGCATCTTTCGCATTGCCTGTTTGTCTGTTACTGTAATATGTTGAATGTGTTATGGTGGGTTCCTGTGGATGAAACTGTGTATACTGAATCTGTGAAGATAGTGTTTATATGATCAGCTGAGCCATATTTATAGCATTTCTGGTCAGATCTTATCTGTCCAGGTCACTTTGTAACAAAGTCTCTCTTAACATTTTCTATACATTTTCGATGTATTTGTTTCTCTCATCATTTGTGGCAAAATATCTTCTATTAAATGAAAAACAGTTTTTTCTTGGTCAGAGAAACAATATAGGGCCACGAGAGACGCAGAATCTTGTGGCGCATAGTCATCATGCCCCGCCTATTGCTCAGTTTCATAATTTCAATCTGTATGACACATGTCTTCCTATTTTTGAGAAATTGTTTCATTATATTTCAATTTTTCATCTTTGAGGTTCTTTTTTGATAACAACTTACTTAAAAATTTGTCAAGACATTCATTAATGCTACATTTTTCAAATTCTGAATTTTAATTTTTTTTTAATTTGACTCTACTCCAACGCTGTCTCCAGTTTTTTTTAATTCTTACCACGACAGTGGAAACCATACATCTTGTTAAAGTCACCCTGTTCTTCGATACCAAAATTGATACCTTCGAAAAAATTATACAGTTGTTTTGTGGCTAAAGAAACATAATAGATAAACAAGATCCACAAAATTTCGTGCTTTGCCCAATGGTCATTCTCAATTTTGTGTTCTCGCTTCTTTGTAGACACATGTTCCTCTTTTTCTGGCGCCACGCCAATAAGTATTTTTCTAGAAAACGAGAAACAGTTTGCTCGTAGTCAGAGAAACAAAACAGGATCACGAGAGACGCAGATTCTTGTGGCGCATAGTCATCATGCCCCGCCCATTACTCATGTCAGTTTTCATATTTTTTCATTTGACACATGTTCCCCTTTTCCGAAAGGAAACTCTTTTTTCAATATTGAGATTCTCGATTTTTCACGTTTTGAACCCCCTCCCCTTGACAACCTCATAATTGTAATTTAAACTTGAACGTCAATTTTCATATGTAAAGATGTAAAGCAAGTTATGTTTTATTTTTCAAATTCTGTATTCTGAACTTATTTATTTGTTTTCGTTTCTATTCAACAGTGTCGCTTCCACAAACTTTTTCACAGTTTCTACCATAACAGCTTTACTTATATTTCATTTATTATCAAGTAAGATTATCGTATTTTTTCTGTGCTCAAATTTATTTTTTTCGAAAAAGATGTACAGTGTTTCATGGAAACATGACTGTTTAATCAGAGACGCAGAATGTTTTTCGTTCTGCCTATTGCTCAGTTCAATTTTTGATATGACTCATTTGATCGTTTACAGGACCCTAAATCTTTTTTTCTTATTTCGAAAACAAAAACAGTTTTTTGTGGGCAGAAAAAATAGAACAGAGGAACGAGAGACGCAGATTCCTTTGGCGCATTGCCCCGCCCATTATTCAGTTGCATTCTTTTTTCATGTTGGGCACATGTGTCCGTTTTTTAACATCTGGTCACGCGACAATATTCAAAACTTCTGTTCAGTAAATGAATATTGTAGCCTTCCTTACCTTATCGCACCCTATTTTTTTCTTTACCTTCATTCTATTCATAGAATTTCAGATGGAAGATCAAACAACTAAACGATCGACTTCGCCAGAAATGGAAAATTTGGACTCATCTGATATTGAACGCAACATCGATAAGTCAATTGTGCAACCTGTTCCAAACTCGGAGATTATTGGAGAACCAGCAGTAGTTGAGACAACTCAAGTTTCGTCTGATAAAGGAGTTACAAAAACAACAGTTCTTCAAGGTATCCAAATAATGAATAATACTATGGGGAATATTAAGAATTGTGAGTTTATTTTTATCCAAGTTAGAGTCTGAAAAAGCTCTCGAACTGCGATGTACACACATCACAATCAGTTATTTTTTCAGCAACGATGAGTAATTTTTCAGGTCTTAGTTCTATGAGAAGTTTTGCTCAAGGCGAATCAGAGAACAATTCTGCAATAGCTGATCAATCATTCTTTAAACATTTGAAAGATGAAATGGTCTTTTTTCAAGATTTCGCTTCCGAATTCATCCAACGTGTTGAACAGGTATTTCTGACAATTATTTTTCAATTTATCTAATTTCATTATTTTTCAGTTTGTCCCGGAATCTTCAAATACTGTTCAAAACGAATCTGGATTTGTGCTTCAAAATTCGACGGATGCGGAAGATTCAACATTGAAAAATGATGAAGAAACAGCAGTTATTCCTCAAGTTGCTGAACAATCGGAGGATTCTGATGACACTCGTAAGTGATTGACTGGAGCTGGAAATATCATTCAAATAGAGAGTTTGATGAATTTTTTGTGTGATTACAACATTATTTCACCTGTTGCATCACAAAAAGTTTTTTAAATTGTTGTAAAAAATAACACATGGTCATTTTCAGAATTCTCCGATCTTGAATCTGAGAGCAGTACAATGGAATCAGTCGATCTCGACGATTTTTTCAATGCTTTTGCTTCTGCTGATATGGGATTGCCTGACGATCCACCACCATATTCGCCACAACCACGTTCGGAAAATGATAGCCAACAAGTTTCGAATGAGCCACCAGCTTATTCGCCACAAAATCGACGGCGACCGACGGGTTTTTCTCAATACATTCCAACTCTTGAGGTACATTTCCAAAAATAATAACTTTAAAAATGTCAATCATTCTTTAGGAGCTTGCCCAAGAAAGACCAGCTAGAATATCAATGAACTTCAACGATTCTCCAAATGATATGGGTAATTCACAATTCTTTGTGAACTATGCGACATTTTCGAATTTTGATGCTCAATCAAATGATCAACCACCTACTGAACATTTCGAACGACCAATACGTGGACATACTCACTATTCTGGACCACAACCTCGCCGTGATTATCAAGCACCACTATCGGTTTCTCGATGGCATCGAAATTATAACAATAATTTGAATATTTCAAATGGGAATGCTCATCGTTTTGGACAACAACCAGGTTTTCAATCGGATCATCCACCCTCCTATCACGAATATTACCCAAATTCTCAGCAAAATGATGAAACTTGGGAAAATTCTTCTGCGGTTCCAGAACAAGTTGTTTCTAATGAAACTCCGCAACTGAATGGATTTCATCGTTTGATGCAGCAAAGACACTTCAATAATATGAGGAGAAATCGTTTCTTTGCTTCAAACAGAAACGGGTTTCCTTTTCCTCCACGAAGACCAACAACGGTTATTGAGCGAGTGATTAGACCTGATGGTTCGGTTTATTCCGTGCTCCATGAACATCCAGACGATGTTGCTGATAATTCACCAGGTGACCTTCCGTATTTCTTCTCGCTTTTTGGTGGATATCGTCATTATTTTTAAGCTCTATATTCGATATTATTCTGTTTTAATTTATGATTTCTGTCTTTTTATTTTTTATTTTTTTTTCAAATATCAATCTTTCACATTTTTCACTTATAACCCTTTTTTTTTTATTTATGTATGGCTTTTCATTCATTTTTATAACCTACTTCATAATCCCACTTTGTATTGTTCTGTCTTCTTACATTTTATCCAAATAAAGTATGTTAACCGAAAACAACAAGGAATTGTGTTACATTATAAAAAATTAAAAAAAAATTTTAAAAAGTTGGTCAGCGGGTGGGGTCGAACCCTGAATATGCAAATGAACAGCTGATAAGCTCCGCCCATTTTTTATGCAAATTAAAAACAATGAATGAAAATGATGTCTAATCAAATCGTGAACTACGTGGTGTTCCTTTCTAGACTTCCATCATTTCCATTTGTTGCTTTCTGACATGTTGTACTGTAAATAAATGACAATGGTCAAGCAAAATAGTGTTTTCAATATATTATGTTTGAATTGCAGTTAAAAACAACAAATTCTAGCCCGAATTTTATTGAATACAAAAATTACACAGGAAAATGACGAACCCAATTATTACAATTAATAAAAAAAATGAAAAATTCAATATAATTTATGACTTATAGGGTTAGTACCGGGGAAATAAAAAAAACAATACAATTTTATTAGGATACAGAATATTGAAAATGCTGGAATTTAAAAATCACAAGATGACCTGTATGAACATGTTATTACAATTAGAAAAAATAATGAAATTATGTTGAAGCTTCTAGTTTTTCTTCAATTTTTTTCTTCATTTGTTCCATCAGTTGCATTTTCGGTTTGTTCACTAACTTCATTTTCAGTTGGAGTAACTGATTCAACAGTTTCAGCATTTTCAGGTGTTGTTGTAACTTCATGTGGAACTTGAGGTGTGTCACTAGCTGCTGTGGAATCTCTCGATTTTTTGAATAATACGTCTGTTTCTTGCATTTCTCCAGTTTTCAAATTGAATGCGCGTCCTCGAATATTTTGAGATTCTGGTGTGAGTGGTGACCACCAATTGACCAAAGATCCCATAATTGGAAGTTGTCTTATCATTCCCTCGTTTTGCAAGCGAAGATCATTCTCACGTTTAAGATGTTGATTGGCAGCTTCAATACCTTGACGGATAAGTTCAGCCAAGCTATCAAGATACTGAAAACATATATTTTGAAAAGATTATGAAATTGTTATATATTGATTTACCTGTTGACTATTTTCAATTTCTTTTCCTTTTTGAGCAACCATTTGTACAAGATTAACCAAATCTTTGACATCGCTGAGCATACCAAATTTAACACAAGCCACTCCATATTTTGTACATTCACCAGATGAAAAAGCAGCATCAACTGATCGAATTTGATGAACAAGTTCCAAATTAAGGTGAGAAATTTGTTGTTTTTGAATATCGTTCCAGTCATCAGGATTGGTCTCTTTAACAATAGATGGGATATAGCTGAAAAAATATTGAAATGAAACTGTTTCAAATTCTGAAAAAAATATATAATGTAAAAATCCTACCAAACAGCTCCAATACCAGCCCAGTTTCTAATTGGCAACAAAACCAATGATGGGAATTCATCTTTAAGTTCTCCAAATTTAGCTCTAGCATCTACAGTTGATTCAACAATCTTGATAATGTCGCTCAATCTACGGATAAATCTTTGAACATGGTCAATATGCGATGAGAAAGCTGAAAAACATATTTGCTCTGTGAAATTCGTTATTAATTTTGAAGGTCTTACTAGCTGCATGTTCCAATGGGCAGAATCTGAAAGCGATTCCATAATTTCCCCCAAGTTCAATAGTATCAACACCAAGAGATTGTGATTCAACAAGCATTCCATCTCTAAGCCACGCGTTCAAATAATCTCCATATTCCAATTCTTCTTGAAGTGCTTTTTCAGCATTGACAATAGCTTGATGATCCTCATTTTTCTCGATGAGATTCTTGTGGTGCTGAAAAATTATTCAAGGTTTTCTGTATCTGAATAAGATTGAAGTACTCACTTGAACGGCATTCTTGATATTTTCATAGTTATACTTGAAAATGAGCACTGTTGGGGCGGTATATTTACTCTTATAAACACGATTAGCAAAATCAACTGGGTTTTCAACACCAACAATCTCAATTTGTGGAATTCCAGACAAGCCTTTGAGCATAATCTTGCTCTGAAATTATAAAAATTAAGAAATGTAATTTTCAAAAATGATAATTTCTTACCAAAAGATAAGCGTTTTCAATCATATCGACAATTTTCTTTCCAGTCAAATAAGATGTTGCTACCCACCAAGGTAAAGTGTCCAATTTCTCACGATAACTAGCCTTGTAACCTTCAACACTTTTATGAAGAGTTACAACTGGAGCACTTGGAATTCCAAGCCATAATGCAATTGGGAATGTCATACTATCAACTTGTGAAAGAACATGAACCAAAACATTATTTGGTTCGCGGAAGGCAAGAGCGGCAATTGCTTGACCGGTGATATGAAGCCAGAATTGAGCTTTATTCTGACGAATTTCAAGAATTTTTGAGATCATATCATTTTGTCCAAGAATTGTTGAACCAACGACTCCAAGAAGGATCAATGGCTTTTTGCCAGCAGCAATATCTTCATCAAGGATTTTTTCGAATTTTACATGATCCTGAAACATGTTTTTTGATTGATGAAAGGAGGGTTTAAGAAAAAGAAGATTAAATCTCAAGGGTGTCACATATCTCATTTTTTTTGCTGAAACGTCTAGTTTCTAAACATAAAATTTTGTAACCACATGTATGTTTCAATTCACAAGAAAAAACTCACAATTCTTCCTTCGATTTCACTCAAATCAGATTCAATTTTCGGCAAAATTGTAACATCGGCAATACCAAATTCGGAAGCCAAGTAGCTGGAAACATCCATATGTAAAGCTGGTGAAACATAAACAACTGGAGCTCCTTGTTCAACAAATGATCTCCATCCTTTTGTGTTATAATCAGATCCATAAGTTTTCTTCAATGCCAATTTAACAGCGTGTCCAATTCCGTTTCTAATTGACAATGAGATAGTTGCTTCAGCGTCCGAACAATAAACTTGGGAGTCGGAGAATCTGAAAAATTATTTTTATTCGGGTTATGTTTTTAGGAACAATAAAAAATTGCAAAAATGTTCGCGCAAAAAAATTGTGGAATAAAAAAAATGAGGGACTAGGTTTTCAACATTAAACTAGTCCTTGTTTTCTCAACGTTTTTAGGAAAAGTTATGTGCTATTCAAGCAAAATTACAATAAATCACCTGAAAAGATTGCTGAATGCATGATTAACATTTCCATATAACCAAGCAGCAATACTTTGTCGATGATGACTACTCAACAAATCAATATACGATTTGAGTGATGCTGATGTCACCAAAGTTCGACCTAATTCGGATAATCTTTGTCCCTCTCTTGATCGTGTTTTGGCTAATTGTGAATGACTTTTTCCGCTGGCAACACTTGCTGGAGGTGTTGATACTTCATTTCCTAACCAATCATCCGAAATAATCATATGTTCAAGTTGTTCAAGAACTGGTGGAAGTGAAACACCCGATGATTGTGACATTCGAGATGATTTACGCGAAATTGGCTTAGCCTGAAATTCAGGAATAATTGGATCATCTTGAGAATAAAAATAAAACAAATTAGAAAAAAACTAACCACACTAACTTTTTTCGCACCATCATCAAGTCCAGAATCTTCAGATTTAGCCGATGAACTATTAGAAGCCGGGCTGTGTTGTTGCGAAGAGCCCTCTATTTTGCTGCAAACATATAAACATGGGTTTGGTTTTTCGAACAGAAATGCAATATAAAAAACACATTTATATATTACATTTATGTGTTGAGTGTGTTTTTGCCACGAACAAAAAGAATGTCTCTTCTAGCTCCTGTTTGAGTAATACTCGAGGGAATTCCTTTGGGTGTTTTTACGCATACGCATTTTTTGCTTCTTGTTGACCAGTGTTGAGAGAGAAAAATTGAGATGAGACACATTTTCACTTTTTTTTCTTGAAATCAACACATCTTCAATTTGAGAAAAAAGGGGGTCATGGAAAATGCCTCAAAGTTCAGATTTCTTTATGGGCAGATACCTTATTTTGATGTTATCTAGGAATTTTTGAAACTTTTGAAAAGATGATTTGATATTTTTAAATTGGAAAATTTCCGAAATAATTCAGGAGTAGAAAATTTGAAAAATTTAAAGTTCCGCACATCAGATAACCCAAACTGATTCTAGTAAAATAAGGAATAGATACTTTTTTAAAAAATCAAGTAACTCCTTTGTTTGAGAAATTCGGAAATTTATCTAAAGTGACAAATTGTTCTTTCCTCTCTTATTTTTTGCACCAAAAACGATATCTGAATGTGATCATTTATAATTTTTGCACTATTCTAACCCTATAATCTATTTTCTCACATTTTCAAAAACTACAAAGCGGTCACAATCACAACATTCAAAAAATCATTTGAAAATTTACGTTGTTTGAATTTGTGTTGTTTGAAAATGATTTTCACAATTATCTTTATAATGTCGATGAGATGATGAGCACGGAAGACCGCCAAAAACCGAATCAGAACTTTTCAACATCTCATAACTTTTTAAAATAATTCATGACAATGTTTCTGAAATACATAAAATAAAGCGAAAATGAGATAAAATGAGAGGCGATGAAATGAAAATGACTCTGAAATGAGGGGCCAATCGGAAAATGAATATAACATTAAAAAACTCGAAAACTTGTCTCGTCCTTTTCATTTCAGTAAGTCTAGTCTGCCTATTCAGGAATTGAAAAAAATCGAGAGAAAGAAGAAAGAAATGATGAGCAACGAATGAAAAATGCCCTCCGTATTATTCGAAAATTTCTGTTTTACTGGAGTAAATTCTGAATTTCTTTTTTTCACAACAAACAAAGTGTCGCTCTTTTTTCTTTTCAATTTTTTTCTTGGAAACAAGTCGCCTCAAATTGACATGAGTGAAGTTAAGAAAATAAAAGAAGAAGGATCTGACCCAAGTCCAAAAATAAAATAAAGTAAAATAAACTTTTTTTACTGCTCATCTTGAAAAAATAAATAAGTAATACAAATAAAAGCGTGGAGATGAATTATTGAGGGTTTTTGATGAAAATGAAATAAAAAATAAAAAAATATGAGAAAAAATGCGACAGTCTCGAATTTCATACATGTTCTCATGCAATGCGCCTTTTTTTGTCAGTGTCCACCCATAAAAATGCATTTCAAATAAAGGCAACATTCATAAAAACATCAATTTATGTAATTCATGTTTTTTGGTAACCAAACGATTTTTGTTTGAGATGAATAGATATATGAAAAAAGTGCTTCAAGGATTACTGTATTTAATGTGAGTTTCAAAAACCTAGCAATTATTTTCACATAAACATATAGCTGTAAAATTTTATGATTTAATTTTTCACACCATCGAAATAAATGGGATATTTGATTGGATGTTGTATAAGGTGTTACGTTACAAAAATCTGAAAGTTTCAAAAACTCATAAATTCATAACAAAAGTCACTAAAAATTCATGAAATTCAAAAACTCAGATTTTTTGCTCAAAACCTCTTCGGCGTAAAAAACCAAAACAAGGGAACCCAGTTTTTCCCATCAATTTTTTATGAGAGACCGAAACTACGTGGTCACAATTGAAATTCGTTTTTTTTTCGACTCCAGCTTCTATTTCTTGTTGTTTTTTCCCGTTTCACAAGATTTGTTGAACATAGAAAAAAGACAACGAAATTAAATCTGGACCAAAAGAAAACAAATATATTAGAAAAAGAGAATAAAATGAGCAGCGGGAATAAAATTTATATATACATAAATGTTGATTTTTTTTCGAAATTAAATTTCGGAAGAAAAATTTCGAAGTTCAAAAAATTAGAATTACGGTAACCGACATAATTGAATTTTGAAAAAAAAGAAAAAACATTATCGAGACTTTTCATCGAACAATTTCATATTCAATCAAGTGAAAATTATTACAGTAACCTAGAAAAAACATTTTCCAGATACCAATCTCTAGAAAATGTGTCAATAAAACTTACAAATGGATAGATTCTCATTTAGGATATCTGGAATATCTGGATCTGTTCTAAAATAACGGGTTTCGGAAGAATTTAGTTTGGAAAAACGTAGGATTTCACAGAAAATGTAACTTTTCTGGGTTTTACGGACTTCCAGAGATGAAAAATTCAGGTTTTTGATTATTTATCATCCCATATTCATGGCTTAGGTCCATTGAACCACTAGAAAGCTGGGATTCCTCTGGATCAGATACAGTACTCAATTTTTCTCTTCAACAACACATCTGGACTCAAAAAAAATGCAATTTTCCCAGATGTTTTTTTCTTTTTTTTTTCAATTTTTCAACTAACCTTTCAATAGTTTGAATGATGCTTTCAACTTGTTGAACTGTGCTCGACATTTCAACGCTTGACATCCTCTACAAAAATAAAAATGATTATTGGAAAACGTGGCAATACACACACACACACATACATACACACATCAAAAAATAAATGTAAAGAGAGAAAGAAAGAAAAAGAAAAAAACTGTGAGGGAACAGCACCGAATTGTTTGAACAAATACATACAAATAAAAACCGAAAATGCCCCGAGAATAGATATATTATTTTTATTATTTTTATTATTTACGCTGCCTGCGTTTAGATAGCCAGGATATTTTGAGATGTCGTCGACTAAATGAGAATTCAAAATAAACTGAACTGGATTCGTTTTGATTCAAATCAAGATAGGACATTGGACGTGGATGTTTTTTACATCGGACAGCCTGATTCGGAGAAAAAGATCCTTGTCTTCTCTTTGTTTAGAATACGGTATCTAAAAGCTTGTCCACCCAAATAAAAATTAATGTTTACAAGATCAAATCCAAAGCGGAACAATTTTCCTGAGAAAATATTGAGAAAGATGATTTTTCACAAGAAATTCTGCCGGTTTCTCGTTGCCAGGATCGTTTGTTGCCTAGCAGAAAAACATATAAAATTAGAAAGAAACCTTTGAAAAAAAAAGAAAAATATACAATAATAAAGAAAAGAGAAAATTTTTCGAAGTGCATCAGAGGGTGTTATCAGAGATGACAATCAGTTGTTTGAAACTCATATGGCTGGAAGAATTCTGACTGATAAAAATATAATATTTTGTTTATTTTGGGAGGGGTTACTATTGTGTATTATTGAAAGAAAAACGTGAGACAGAAAAAAAAGTAGGTCAAGTGACGTGGATTTAAAAACAGTATAGGTACCCATGTCGTCAGTTGCAATGCGTGTGAGCGACACGTTTTTTGAAATGAAAATTTGGAAAATCCAATGGAAAATATCGAGGTCAACACGCATCGCAGAACCGCATCGCAATTGACGACATGAGCACCTATACTGTTTTTAAATCCACGTCACTTGACCTACTTTTTTCTGTCTCACGTGTTTTGAATATAATACACATATTTTTGAAGCAAGGCAATTGTTTAGATTATGAGAGGTCAGAGACTACGCTCTTTGTGCTCTGCTCAGCGGTGCTGTTTCATTAAGAAAAAAAAATCATTTGCAATTGCAATTTGTATTGGGTGAAAATTGAAAAGCTGAAACGTTTCAGAAACCTCCTGAAAAAAAGTTCAAGGTTTTAGAGCTAAAAAATGAATCGGTAACCTTTTCATAGACTAAACATTGCAGAAAATTTCATAAAAGTTGAAATGTTTGAGGATCTACAGTGTACAAAAAAAAAAACAAGAAAAAAATTTAGTAGGTTGGCTAAAAAAACTGTGGCTCTGCAATCAAAACTTGCTCATCCAATTAAAAAGTCTCCCTTTTCATCAAGGAAAATTCATTAGCATTTGAATGGTGCCCAAAGTTTCGAAAATTAAAATCTGAAACTTTGCAGAATATTTGAAAACATTGAATAACTAAGGATTTAGAAACGCTGAAACTTTATAGCACATTTCAGAAAAATTGAATTTCTAGGGCTTTCGCATTTTTTACTATAATGAAAAATCATCAGAAATTCAGCAAGTGGATTTGAAAAAACTGTCTCATTTGAAATCAAAGATAGAATTCACAGATATTTTTAAGAAAAAAAAAAGTCACAACACTTGACCCTAATACACAATAGATCAACATTCAAAAAGAAAATTTTGTTGGAAGATAAAGCAATTGAAAAAAAAAGACGAAACCATATGAAAAATCTAATCAAAACAACAATAATAACAATAATTTGAAATTGACACGAAAATTGCAAGGCAAAAAAAAACAACGCAGAAACAACAAGAATTAGGGAAAGAAAAACGATGACAGAGATTTTTCTTGAAGAAGGAAGAGATTTCGGCTTGTAGAAAAAAGTGAAATCCAGAAAAGAAAACCAGATTTCGAAAAACTAAAGAATAATGAAGAGAAAAAGAAGCGCGCGGGCGAGAAAAAAAAAATAAAATTCCAAATTTTTTATGGAGGAGAACAACTTGACTATTCACAACAGTCAGGGTCAAAAAAGCGAGGTAGGTCATTTTTTCAAGTGACCGACAAAATTCACTTTTTTTTCTCACACAGATAAATTTGTTTGTTTGTTTGGTCAGAAAACAAAACATCATTTTACAAGCAAGGTAAATTCGGAAACAAAGAAAAAGAAACACACGTGTTTGTTTATTTATATTTTTTAGGCAGCTGGTTGGTTGGTTGACTGGTTGAATAATATTGATTTTGTTTATTGAAAGGATTGATGGAACATTAAACTTTTATTCACCTTTTGTTATCGTTGTCTCGCTCTAACATTTTTCAAAAACTTTTTCTTTTTTTTTCCTTAATTTAAATTTGAAATCAGAGATACACATCAAAAATAGATCAAATTCACCTGCAAAAAATATTTTTTCAATTTTTTTCTGAGCTAAACTTTCTAGAAGTCCAAAACTGAAAATAATTTCTGTTGATGGGTTTCGCCGATAATAAAAAATCAGCAGATTTTGAATCAACCCAGAGGAAACGAAAAAACTTGTCGGTCCTGATTTTGAAAACGTTGTTAAAGGCACAGAATTTAAGGTGACATTTGTTAACAAAAATCGAATAACCAAAATGAAATCGGACAGGTTAATTTTTTTATTAAACATATACCCCTTTTTCACAAAAGTCGGAGTTAAACATTAAAAAAATAAGGTGAAAATAAAAATCTACCTTTTTGTTCTCACGACCACATCTATCACTTGAAATGTATAATTTTCTTTTTTTCTGGAAAAGCCAGTTTCTCTGAAATAGCGAGAAAAGGAACACAAAGAACTCTCGTTTTTTCGGACAGAGAAATGGATATGTGCCGAAAATTGCAAGCAATTTTTTCGGTGTTTCTTGAAAAAAAACTCATTTTTTTTCAGGAAATCGAAAAATACTCAAACATATATAAAGTTTATGGAGAAAAAGTGCATATCCATTTTATGTTTATCTATTTTTGTATATGTATATTTCTTTCTTTAGTTCAAGGTTAGCTGCAGATGATATATCTTTTCATAAACATAAGTTTTTGCAGCATTCATGTTAATCTCTTTTTTGAAAAAAAAAATGAAAATGTTTGGAAAAAACTCTGAAATATGTAGAAGAGTGAAAAAAATGAAAATGTTTATTTGAAATGCAAGAAAAGACAATGGAACATACATCACATGTGGAATTTCACTCAGCTGAACATACATTGAGCAAAATTTTTCGGGGAGAAAATTCGTAAAATTTATGCATTCCATTTTGTATACATTATATAACCGGTAAATGAGACCGGTAGAAGAAAGAAAAAGGCAATTAGGGTGGAAAAAATTATACAAGAATGTCAAAAAAAAACTACAAGGTGACTACGTACATGCAAAAAAATGACAGAAAAAAATCTAGAAAGAATTGAGGAATGTCATTGAAAGAACTCCAGTAATAATCATGACGAGTTGTTTCAAATTTTGGCTGAAAATATATTATGAAATAATCTGTTTTTTATCAAAGTTGAGTTATGAAATAATTTCAAAACATTTGTTTAGATGGAAAGTTATTTTAGGAATAATATTTTAAAATTCAACTTTAAGGGGAAAATAATTTAAAAAATTATTTTCCATTCACAATCGAGTTTTATTCTATCATAGTTCAATCAGTTTTTTAAATTTCTCTTTGATTTATGTTCAATATTTTGTTTGACTTCCCGAAAACATATTTTGTAATCAAAAATTCAACCATAAAAACTCACATAGGGGACTGTTCCTCAATCAATTCTGGTAGCAATTGTGTCAAAGCAATATTCAAAAATCCTCCAGCAGTGAAAGGTAAAAGTGTTTCAATAACTGGAACATTTGAAGTGTGAAGAGATAATGCAACACACGATCCAATAACTCCGGCAGAAGCAGTGATGAACTGAAGAACAATTCTTTCATTTTCAGAAAAACACAACAAATTTCTTACCTGAACTTTCATAGCTGAAATTCTATCGAAGTCCGCTCTCAACAAAATTGCGAAATCACTAATTTCATGTGGAATTTCATGCAACAAAATAGTGATAGTTGTCATAATTCCAAATTTGGTTGACACCAAAAAACTGCTACCAACAGCTAAACCATGAGCAAAATTATCAACAATATTTGCAGCAAGATTCATATATGCACAGAGCTGATGTTGTCCTTCTTCAGAAGATGCTCCAATTTTTTCGATGAGAGAAAAACATAAATATCCAGCTAGAACCCAAGCTCCAATTGCTGTATGATCTTGATTCGATTCGAAAGATTCTGGGAGAAGATGAAGGAAAACATCAGCGAGAAGTGAACCAACAGCAAAACTGAGAAGAAGGTTGAGCTTACGTTGTCCTTCTGAAAAACAACATGACTGAAGAGGCGATATTAACAGTGTGTGATCTAAAAATTTTTGGAGAATCATCAGAGTAGATCAAAAGTAATTCTCTTTCTAAATTTGTTTTAGATTTCTTATTATATTTTCAACAGCTTACCTTCAGACGCTAAAAATTCATGCATATTTGCTGGAAGCATAAAAGCTGGAACAATTCCGCTGCTGACAACCAATGAACATCCAACAAATGTCCAGAGCCATGTTTGAAGTGTGACCGAAGTGCTTTCTGATTCAGTTTCTGATGAAGCATCCATAATTTTTTGAATTTCTGCAGCTTCTTTTCGTAAATCTTCATCAATCCTGAAATTGACAAGTTTGTGAATAGCTATAGCATCTAAACATATAATTACTTACATCATTTCTTGAAGTTTTAAAGGTTCTCTGATAGCTTTTCCTTCTGGATCATAAAGTGCGCTTCCGAACTCATGATCATCTAAGCTATCAACATTTTCAGCTCCTAAAATTGAATCGGCAAAAAATTGTGGGCCAGCAGCAGGATGCAAATCCATCAACATTCCTTGCTGTGCATTTATTGCTACTGCGAAATATAATAAAATAAACCAAAACATGGTTTTTGGTAGGTTCTGGAAAAATTTGTTTTTTCGGAATAACATGATAACATTGCGGAAGTAGCAAACAATTGTATACAATATATTCCGAACAATTGAAATGTTGTTAGAAACAAAAAAAATAGAAAACCTTCACACCAAAACATTTTCATCGATTAGAAAAATGAAAGAAAGAAGAAGAAAACGGACATACATAGTGAAAGTTTAAACTAAATTTCTCCTTTTGTTTTTAATATAAATTTGTGTTATCCAAAAATAAAAAATAATATTAATTCGAATTATGATGTTTGATATGAAAACATGGATTATTTGCAAAAATTATAATTTTATAAATAATTGTTTTTGACAAAAGTAGAAGAAAGAAAAGAAGAGGAAGATATGTATATAAGTGTAGAAAAAGGAACCAGATGCGTCCGCAAAACTGAGAGAGAGTGTGAAGAAATGAGAGATGCAGACATAAAACAACTGTTTGGGTGGCGTTTCAAGGACATACTGGAAATCTTTTCTTCTCAATTTTTTAGATTGATCACCAATGTTCTTTGATAGAACTTCCTATTTTTCTCGAAAACAATTTTTATGTAGAAAAATATGAACATAAATTTGACAATCAATAGTGTTCACAAGTTGTCGGTTGGAAATGGAAATGACTAATTATACGACAACCAAATAAATATATAGCGCTTTTATATATGCCTTTTTATAATTATGAACTAAATCCGGAAATTATTTTAACCCTAATCCATCCTCTTTTTACAAATTTTCTAGAAAAACAAAAAGTGAAAACAAGCAACATTGTTACTTCGATGTTATCTTTTCGAAATTTTTTCTCTAAAATTTTGATCAATTCCATTCGAATTAGGTTGTTTCGAAGTAAATCGAAGCGAAAAATATATGTTACATCAGCTCCACTAACTTTTTTTATTAATAGATGGAAAACTGAATTTTGAAAGAACTATTCTTGTTTTTTTAGTTCACTCATACAGAAATGGCAACAATGTTTCTCTCGAGCACACTTGTGTGCAAGGGTAATGACAATGAATTATTAATATGTGAATATGAACCGTGTTTTCTGACTTTGGTAGTTGACAAGTTTGGATATGAAGTGAAATTTATTTCGAAAACTTTTGAGTTTGCCGAAATGTGAACTCTATAAAAAGACATCAGATTACAGAAATATGCCAAAAATTGAGCTTCAGTGTATTTATTTGTTAAGAAAATCACCAATCATCAATGGTGGAACTTGAATATACTCAACAGTTTGGTTTTTTCAGGCGTGTTTCTTGGTCAAGGGACGCTTCTTGACATTTGTTACTTTCTCATATGCTATTCGAAAATCTTATAAATTGGAGAAAAACCGTATACATGTGGGTATAGATCAACAAAATCTGTCAATCAAGTCAATGATTGGCTTATTTTTTCACCACATGATATGACTTCAAAATGTACAAAAATCAAAATCCATCATTTTTAAATGTCGTCACCGGACATATTTTTTGTTTAAAACACAGTGAAAAATCATATGTTCTTCGTGCGTTTCATCAGAGTTCAAAGCAGGAAACTCCTTTTCCTCGAAAAGAACAAAAATCGTCCTCAATATTTATTGAATCAAAACATTCGGTCAGTTATTTTCCAATATAAAAGAATATTATCTTTTTGATTTCATCTCGAATGTTTTTCAATGATCTTCTTATTGCTCTTCCTTTCTATTTTTGGAATATTCAGGAACTGTGAGTCAAGAGGAAATATTGCAACTTATGTAGGCCAAACATATTGGAGTCACACTAAACAGGTTCATCAATATTTTGGCTCAGTTATATATGAAAAGAATTCCAGACCAATGATGGAACCAATCTGAAACTTTCTGAATTAGTTGATTTGAAGCTACGTAATACAAAAACGGATTTGTTCAACTTGGGGATAGCAGAATCCAATAAAACAATTTACGTCATCGGTGAACGGGTTTTTCGTGATAATGTTTCGAAATTTTGTTCCGAGCTTATTGAGCAATATATTTTCACAACTTCTCAAGATTTCCGGTATGCATTTGCTATTTTAATTGTTTTCTATTCTTAAAATTTATAGAGATGCGATACATTTCAAACCGTTTGCAACACTTTCACCACCAATTTCGAAGTTAGTTCGTTTTTCAATAGATTTTTTCACCACAACAATTCAATTTTTGGAATTATTTTTTCAGAAATATTCACTTCACAAAAATATCCGAAAGCTTTTTTTATTTTCCAGCATCACAATTAATTTTCCAACTCGTTGGATTCGGCATTATTCAAACACTGGTTTCCAAAAATCACCAACAGTTTTTGTTTGTTATGAAGGTTTCTTATTGCTTCACTTTCGAATTTTCACAATATTATTTTTTGCCAGGAGATTCATTTCTTCGTATCGAAAAAGTTCAACCAGCTTTGAAACAATTGTGGCAAGTCAAACAAAACACATGTTTTTCTATTGTAAGTTGAATTATAGAGTTTTTATCACGTCATCAGTTTCCAATTTCAGAGAAATCATTATAATGAAAAATGTCGTGTTCGTGAAATTCTAATGTTTCTTGACGGGAATTGGCATAATCATAACCTTCTACCACAATCCTCAAAAGCGATAGCAAAAATTGATTTTCAATATACTTTAAAAAGAAAGGTGTTCACACAAAAATGTGATTCTCAAATGTCAGAGTTAGTAATTTTGTGATATTCAAAACTTTATTTTTTTTTGTTCAAGATTGCAAGAATGTTGTCTTTTGGAAGAAACTGTTGAACGCTACGGAAAACAATTTATACTCAATCGTTGTGCTGGAACTGCTTCTGTTAACGCTCAAATTGCATCATTCATGCCGATCAAATATGAGACATTTTTGAAATATACTGATTTTGGAAGAAGATTTGTGAATTCCAAATTAAGAGTTTGTCGTGCCCTGGAGCATAAACCAGTTATTTACGAAAAATCTGAAGGAGATTACGAAGTATCAACTGATCTGAATGCAACAAAATGTGCTGTCGTTTATTGATTGTTATATTTTCAATAAACTTTTCATTTCATCTGATGGTTTTGATTCTGAAAATCTGAAAATTTTGAATATTAGTTTGAAATGTGAAATCTTTATTTAAAAATGTGTCCAATAGATATACAAAAAAATGCGGTATAAGTGATGATTATAATGAAAATGATGCGAATAAATAATATCTTATGGGTTTTTATGTATATTAAAAAATCAGGGTCTCCCGAATCAGAATGAGAAGAGCATATATTTGAGCAAGGTGTGGGGCAGAAAATGTGGATGTTTCAATTTCATTCTTCGTTTTCGTCTGGCGAGACGATTCCTTCACTACTATTTGATTGCCATTCAGCTGATGAGTCTACCGAATTATATTGACGAATCTGCAAAATATTGGAATATGTTTTTGTTTTTTCTCAAATAGCTTTTCAGAAAAACCTTGTGGTGATTTGTTGAAATTTCCAAAGGGGAATAATATGCATTTTTTCGAATATCTTTGATAATTAAAGCAATATTGCTTGCAAGTTTTGCGTCATCGCAATCATTTTCTCTCGAAAACATGACCAATTCTTCTTGGATACGACTTGGATCTTCCAATTCAGAAAGTTTGTTGACACGATCACAGAATGAGCGATGCTGAAAGAAAATAATGTGAAGAGAGTTTATTTTTTTATCTAAAAAATAACCAAACCTGTATGACTTTTTTCTTGAGAGCCTCAATAATATTTGATTGAGTTTGGAATTGTCTTTGAAGATGAGCATTAAATTCTTTGACTTCAATAAGTTCTTCTTCCAAATGTTTGCTCATTGAACCATCGTTTTCTGATTTTTTGGCAGCTTCATATAAAAGTTCATAGTCATGGATTTTTTCGAGAGCGTTTTTCAATCGATATCTAGCCTCTTCATATCTTCTTTCAAGTTCTGTTCTGATTTCTGGGCGTTGTTCTTCACGATAGGCAGCATATTCTTTTGCGAGGTCTTTGAGTTGTTTTTCGAGCTGAAAAAGAAACATTATTTGAGAATTGGAATTTTCAAAAAATATATTTTAAAAAACCAACCTCTTGTCTTTGTTTTTCAACATTCTCCAACTCCAATTTCAATTTTTTCAATTCTTCTTCTTTCTTCGATGATTCTCCTTGACCGTTGGACACGTATTGTTGCAATTGTCTAAAAAAATATCCCAATTTGTATTTCAAAACAAAAAAAGCATGAAATACTTACACACTGAGAGCTTCTGTCATTTTCAATTCGCGATTCAAATCAGTTTCTTTTCCTTGAAGTTGGAATCGAATTTTTCCAAGTTCTTTAGAAAGAGTTCTCATTTCCTGATTGAGATTAGCATTAGCGGTCTCTGATTTTACAAGTTTTTCCTTGAGCTCCTTCACTTCAACTGATTCATCTCCAATATTTCCCAATTTCGCTTTCAATTCTTCGATTTCCAAAAGTCTTTTGGCCAAATTTTCTTCACTGGTTTGTTTGATCAACTCGAGTTCAGCTTGAAGTTTTTCTTTCGTTTCAAGCGTCTGAAAATTTGTTATTATTTCGAAATTGATAATTCAGAAACATAATATATTTTTGATTGATTTCAGCAGAAAAATCAGAAAACCATGCAAAAACCACATTGAAAAACCACAAAAATACCTGTTGTTTGGATGTTTCTTCCATTTCAAGAACTTGAAACTCGAGTAGATCATTTCTTTCAGTTTCCGAAACATTTTTCTGCTTCAATTCTTCAATAACATCTTGCAACTGACGAATTTGTTCTTGTTGAGCAGCAATTGTTGATTTGAGTTGAGCTGTTTGAGACATCTAAAACATTCTGTGTTATATTCACTCTTTCACTCAAGCACAAAAATTTGCATAAAAATATGAATATGAATATTAAAAACCAAAACATTTTTAATTAGAGAAAGAATAATATTTTCAAGTGTTATATTACATTTAATGAAAATCAATGAAACTAGTTGTTGTTGTTGTTGACTATTCAGAACGAATGAAAAGAAATGATAAAATCGAAATCAAATCAGTTCAGTTTATTCGACCATGTTTTAATTGGATTGATCGCCAACGATGAAATAAAGGTGTTAAAACATCATTATGAATTATTTTTATTATTATTATTATTGCGTTGATCATTTAAAGAAAAAAGTTATATGAATATATATGTGAACTAAACATTTCCTAGATGATACGATAACTTCTCAAAAGTACTGGAGAAGCCCTCAAATAGTTGGAGTTGACTATTCCAAAAATAAAAATAACTGAGAGCGGTTCAATTTTCACTCACATCACTGACACGTTCCACAATGTTCCCCCTCGAAAAAAGGTGGGACTATGCGGGTATTGTAGGTCCCCCCTGGGCTTGAAAAAGCCCAAAGGGATTTTGTAAGTAAAAATTTTTAACAGGAGTTTTTTGGGAAAAAATTTTTTTTTGAAAATTTTTCGATTCTGAACTTTAAAAATTTGAAACTTGGGTTAGAGTTGACTAAATTACTCGATCAAAAAATCAAAATGAAGCTAAAATGCTATACTTTTAAAGGTATTACAGCTCTGTTGATGAAAAAAATATTAGAGATTAAAAAACCAATGAAAACGAAAAAATTTGAAAAGACCAAAAATTGGAAAAGCATGAAGGAGGCGAATTCATGAGTTCTAGTTGCTTCCAAAGCATTCAGAACGCAAATTTAGGTCTAGGCACACTTTTTCGGAAAATTTGACCGTGGAATATGAGCACTTTACAGTTTTGTAGGCGAATAATCCAGAAAAATGCATCTTGTAGGTGCAACCAATGGTGACCAAGTGGTTAACACGCATGATTATTGAGAAATCAGTCATGGGTTCGATCCCACATGCTTCCTACTTTTTTTTTTTTCGAAGTGACAACATAATCAAATATGTTCTCAAGGCGTTGAATATGACATAAAAGGTTCTCTAGACTGGTCTCCTTGAAAGAAATTGTCTCAAGGCTTGGCTCCTTGAAGCAAACAGTCTCAAGGTTCGGCTGCTTGAAATACATCACCTCAAGGCTTGGCTCTTTGAAGCAAACAGTCTCAAGGCTCGGCTTGTTCTCATAAATCGTTTCAAGGCTTGGATTCTTGAACAAAACATTCTCAAGGCTTGGCTCCTTGAAGCAAACAGTCTCAAAGCTCGGCTCCTTGAAACAAACATTCTCAAGGCTCGGCGGCTTGGACTACATCACCTCAAGGCTCGGCTGCTTGGACTACATCACCTCAAGGTTCGGCTGCTTGGACTACATCACCTCAAGGCTTGGCTGCTTGGACTACATCACCTCAAGGCTTGGATCCTTGAAGCAAACAGTCTCAAGGCTCGGCGGCTTGGACTACATCACCTCAAGGCTCTGCTGCTTGGACTACATCACCTCAAGGCTTGGCTGCTTGGACTACATCACCTCAAGGCTTGGCTGCTTGGACTACATCACCTCAAGGCTTGGATCCTTGGACTACATCACCTCAAAGCTTGGCTCCTTGAAGCAAAAAGTCTCAAGACTCGGCGGCTTGGACTACATCACCTCAAGGCTCTGCTGCTTGGACTACATCACCTCAAGGCTTGGCTGCTTGGACTACATCACCTCAAGGTTTGGCTCCTTGGACTACATCACCTCAAGGTTTGGCTCCTTGAAGCAAACAGTTTCAAGGCTCGGCTTGTTGTTTTAAATCGTTTCAAGGCTTAGCTCCTTGGAACAAACATTCTCAAGGTTCGGCTGCTTGAAATACATCACCTCAAGGCTCGCAGTTGAATGTATTTCACAAGAAGCCGAACCTTGAGGTGATGTAGTCCAAGCAGCCGAGCCTTGAGGTGATGTAGTCCAAGCCGCCGAGCCTTGAGAATGTTTGTTTCAAGGAGCCGAGCTTTGAGACTGTTTGCTTCAAGGAGCCAAGCCTTGAGAATGTTTTGTTCAAGAATCCAAGCCTTGAAACGATTTATGAGAACAAGCCGAGCCTTGAGACTGTTTGCTTCAAAGAGCCAAGCCTTGAGGTGATGTATTTCAAGCAGCCGAACCTTGAGACTGTTTGCTTCAAGGAGCCAAGCCTTGAGACAATTTCTTTCAAGGAGACCAGTCTAGAGAACCTTTTATGTCATATTCAACGCCTTGAGAACATATTTGATTATGTTGTCACTTCGAAAAAAAAAGTAGGAAGCATGTGGGATCGAACCCATGACTGATTTCTCAATAATCATGCGTGTTAACCACTTGGTCACCATTGGTTGCACCTACAAGATGCATTTTTCTGGATTATTCGCCTACAAAACTGTAAAGTGCTCATATTCCACGGTCAAATTTTCCGAAAAAGTGTGCCTAGACCTAAATTTGCGTTCTGAATGCTTTGGAAGCAACTAGAACTCATGAATTCGCCTCCTTCATGCTTTTCCAATTTTTGGTCTTTTCAAATTTTTTCGTTTTCATTGGTTTTTTAATCTCTAATATTTTTTTCATCAACAGAGCTGTAATACCTTTAAAAGTATAGCATTTTAGCTTCATTTTGATTTTTTGATCGAGTAATTTAGTCAACTCTAACCCAAGTTTCAAATTTTTAAAGTTCAGAATCGAAAAATTTTCAAAAAAAAATTTTTTCCCAAAAAACTCCTGTTAAAAATTTTTACTTACAAAATCCCTTTGGGCTTTTTCAAGCCCAGGGGGGACCTACAATACCCGCATAGTCCCACCTTTTTTCGAGGGGGAACATTGTGGAACATTCCTTGTGAGAAACCTATTTGGAAAAAATTATCTCATCAACAATGAAAAAATAATACGTTAATATCACAAAATGAAAAAAAAAACACCGTGCGTACAAAAAAACTTTTTTAAAACACTAATCACTTAGCAAAACTTTTTTCCCTCTGTCATACTGTACACATGTTTTTTGTTAACGTCAAATCTTTCGGTAATGAACACCACAACAACAAAAAGAAAAAAACCGGGTTCTTCATTTTTTTTGCTTATCTGGGATGATCTCTCCTTTTGGTAAGAATAAAACTTGCGCGAAAAAAAACAAATACAAGGCTACTAGGCTAAAATGTTAGAAAAACGAGTGAAAACTGACCATGTCTTGAGTTGCGTCGATTACAAGCTGTTGTTGTTCAATTGTTGAGTGAGCAAAACTGATTTGATCTCGAAGGAAACTTTCCTCGTGAAGATCTGATGTATTCAATTGGAGTTCCTGGAAAACTATGGGTAAGAACTTTGAAAAACAAATACTTGAAAAATGAGAGGAAAATTAATCGTATAGTTCAAAAGGTTTGCCGACGTTTAATAAAAAACATTGTGAAATTTTTTGAAAAGAGCATATCATAAAATTTAGTGTAAAAATCGTATTTTTAAAAAGCATTGGCTATTTTTTAAACTATACAATATGAATCCTGTAGAACTTCTCAAATATTAAAAAAACTCACATTCAGTGCGCGTTGCAATTCTGCGTTTTCTCTATACAATGCCTGATAATTCGTCTCGATATCCTTAGCGAAAGCCTGCAAAAAAACAAAAAGTGAATTTCTCCCAATCAATTAGTTGAAAAAAAAAGATTATTCAAATCATGGGAAAATTGTCATTTCCGGATTAAATCTTCCCTCAAAAATAAAAAGCATAGAATATAAAATAACATTTACTACGTTTTTTGTCTTCAAAAAACCAACCTTGCAAGAAAAAATATTTCTGGTCAAGTGAACAAATCTTGTTATTGACCTAAATTAATTTGTTTTTTCTTACTTTTTCTTTGGCAAAAAACGTGAGTTGAATATAAAACTCTATGAGTCATGCAAAAATAAACATGAATGGAATAAGAAAAAAAAATAGCGAAAAAGGTCCTAATTTTCTCTGCTTTGAGAAAGTGATTGATTGGTGTCTTGTTCGATTTTTTCAAGGACATACAGTACTCCTGAAACTGTATTTGTAAGAAAAAATAATAAAAAATTGGAACAAAACTAATCCTGTTAGCCAAAAAAACCAATTTTTCTTTTTTATTTTCAATAAAAAACCACCGGTTTCTCAACAAAAGACTAGTATTCTTTTATTTATTTTTTGTCAAAGCTGATTTGCATGACAATAGAATTGAAACTGTTTTAAAATCCAACCAAAAATAGCAAAAATGAAAAATCGTACAATCAATTTATCAAAATGTTGTAAATATATATAAGGAGAAACTGGTCATTTTTTATGTGATTTTTTAATGTTCAATGATAATTCATTTTTATCACTTTTTTGGAAAGTTTTTCTAATATGAACTGTTATTCAGCAACGTCAGAATGCATGTGGGTGGTTTGTAATCCCTTTTCAAAATTTTCAGAATAAAATGAAAATGTCTCACCTCTTCAAAATCTTCAGTAATTGTATCAAGACTAACAGTACTGGCAGCTGAACAATCACTTCCAACATTACTCATTTGATCACAATCATTATCATTTTTCTTCAAACATTTCTGAAGTCTTTTGAATTTTTGAACAAGCATCTCATTTCTTTTGTCTTTTTCATAAGCGGAACTTCGAAGTGCGGTGATACATTTTGAATATTCAAGTACTTGATTACGATAAGTCATCAATTCTTCCAATTTTTCAGGCGAAACTCGTTTTTCTTTCAATGTTGCATTTTCTTTTTGCAATCGTTCATAGGCATCTTTCAATGTTAAGAAATCATCTTGACTATGGCAATATTTTTGCTCGACTTTTTTGATTTCTTGTTGAAGAGTCTTGTTGCGATCACCAAGTTTACGATTCGAATCAATCATTGGTCTCTGCGTTTTTTCCATATCAACAATTTTTCTTCTTCTGGAAAACAAATTTTTGGAAGAAAAAAGTTAGAAGAACGACTTACAAGTTCTGCTTTTGTAATCAGCATTTCAGAATTAAGAGTTTCTGAAGAAATCAGACGTTTCTCGATTTCTTCAATTTTATTCAACCATCTTGCACGTTCTCGTTCATGATCTTCTTTGCTCACCTGAAAAATGTTAATAAATATTTTTTACAGACAACTTTCATGTTTTTTTACTTTGAAGATGCCTCTTGTTTTCTTTCTTCAAAATTGAATGAGCCTAGCTTATTTAATCGCAAACTCTACCTTTAAAGAGGAATCTGCAGGTCTAAATTTTGAAAATAAATCGGTCGATTTCACATCCGAAATTCTTACCGGTACAGTTGCCAAATCAAATGATGTAACGGTAGCTCTTCGATTTCTATCAATTTTTCTTGGCATCTTTATTTTTGCTAAATTTCAATTTCAATTTTGCTAAAAAGTAGAAAAAAAAAGAGAAAAGTAAACACGAAATGATTGATAGTAAAACATTTTTCGCGCATTTCGCGTAAAAGAAAAGATATTATTATTAATAGGAAAAACGAAAACAAACATTTTTTGGGTAATGTTTTGAACATAAGTTTTTGAAATGGAATAAAATTGGATAAAGAATAAATATCCAGCTGTGTGAAATAGGATTGAAATGAAATGACCCAAATTTAAAATTTATATAAAATTGAAATTGAAATAGAAAGTGTTCATATCGTTTTAATTTTGATTATATGATAGCAATCACTTTCACTCACGTATTTCTTCTCTCCAAATGCTGAGGATGACATTTGATTGTTGAATTTTGAATTTGGTGTCGAACACGTTGAAGAATTTAATGATGACGGTCGAAATGGGCTATCTCTATGTTGACTGAAAGAAAAAAAGAGTTATTACTTGATAAATACAAGGAAAAGTCAACAAATTGTTGAGTGCTAACAATATTTTCAAGTTTTTCGTTTTAAACTCACCTTCTCTGCATTTTTATTATAATGTTTTGTTTGTTCGTTGTTTTTTTTTTTTTTGATAATGAATAAGGCTAAACAATGCGTGTGCGTACGCGGAGTGTTGTTGTCATTTTATTTTTTTTTGTTTAGGAAAGGACGCCGGGAATTTTTTTTTGTTACAAGTGAGAGATAAACACATTTGTGGAATAAAAATTGAACGATTGTTTTCAAATATAGTTTATACATGGTTGTTTGGTCCCTTGTGTCTTTCGCACTTTAACATTTTGAGCTAATATATTTTTCAAGTTTTTTTTTCCAAAAAAATGTAAAATATTCATCTCATTACTGGAATGAATTGTTCTGCACATGGTGTTCCAAGAACTCATATATACAACTTTTCTAGACACATTAAATTTTTCATATACTTTTTTCTCCATCTTGCTCCAAGTTTTTCATGTTTCTCAATTTCGTTTTGCTATACATCAAAATGCTAATAATTCATGAGACAGACAAATCAGTTGTAAGCCATAGCCACAATAGAAATGCGGAAAAAAACACAAAGAAAAGTGTAACCGAGATTGCGGGCGGATGGATGAAAATGAAATAAATGTTCACCAACAAAAAAGTGTGATAAATGAGCGGAGCACAATTTTTGCGATTTTGATGAACATGAAATTTAAAACGACACGAGCCGCATGTTACAAAAAACGTACAAATATTTTGAAACGTTTTGTGGATGTGTTTTCATGATGATGATGAGTGATATTATTGAAATTTAAGATGATCAAAATATTTTCCGGAAGTTTGAGAGAAACAGATAGAAGAGAAAAAGGTTGGGATTTTTTTATTGGATACAATTTGTTTTTGACAAGACGATTTGGAAATTAAAACCGGGATCCAGTTTTGAAAAATGGAAGCGGCTAGAAATTATTTTTTGAATGCTGGAAATTTCACAAAACAACTTGCCTTATTAATTTCCATATTAACAAAAACATCTTGAGTGATTCTCATCAAAAGATCTAATTTCGATAACCCAATATTTTTTTTGCGAACTTAACCTACAATCAGAAAACGGTAAATTTTAGAACAAAATACTTATTAATTCGGAAAAAAAGTTTTGAAATAAGATTTGAGATAGTTGGAAAATTAAATTTTCATAAATTTCTAATGGCCAAAATATAGAAAACTTTGAAGAATATAACAATTTTGAAAACTTCCGATTTTTCAATAGTTTTACACAAAAAATTTGAAAATATTCAAAACTTACCTATTTTTATCAAAAGAGTACACCATTTTCTCTAGCTTGAAGAGAAAATAAAATCAGATGTTACTAATTTTCTTTGGCTGACATCTCTAAACAAAAAGTGTGAAACAAGTTCATCCCTGCTAGATTTCTCGAACTTTTTGACAGATTTCATATCAATGAGCAAACAAAACTTACTCATATCCTGACATTATCCTAAGCCATTCAGATTTGTTTGATTGTGATTTTCGGTCTAAAATAAAATAATGAAAAAATATTGCTATTGAAGACAAAAAAAATAATAGAAAAAGGTTGGAGAAGACAAAAATAATATATGATTTTTTCAGAGATGAAACAGCAAGAAAATAATATCACACACATACACGCAACTCTTCAAACAGCTGACCAAAACGATGATTTTTTTCTTTTATTTTTGTGTGCAGCCATTTCTTAACCCCACAAAATATCTTCATCTTGTCCCAACTTATTATTTTGATGAAGCATCTTTTTTCGATGATGATGATGAAAATGAAAATAGCTCAAAATGAAGATGAAAATATACATACTAACAAATTTTTTTGAAAAATAAAGATGAAAATTGTATAGATTTTATGATTGAAACATTAAGTGTGGGACAGCAGATTTTATTCATTTTTCTTGGTTTTTTTTCAAAAATCAAATGAACATCACTGATCCAGATGGAAATGAAAAATGAACACATTTATGTGGTTCTGGATTTTTTTGGGTGCAGGTGGTACTTTTTCTCTTCTGATAAATCTCACAGGTGTTACTGTATGTACAGCTGGATTTCTTACACATAAGTACTTTTTTATCCCGATTATGTGGTTTTTGTGGTGAATTGACATTATCATAATTTCTGGATTTTGAATAAAAATGTGGGAATTTCTATATTCGAAATTATCGCTATATTTTTTCACACAATTAAAAATTTTCTCGACAATTTCGTTAAGCAATTATCCCTATGAAAGTTAATGTCAAACAAATATTTGCCTACAGTACTCACTTAAAAATGCAAAGAAAATAAAAATCCATCTCACCACACAAAAAGAAAGGAAGAAAAAACTGTTGAAAAAACTGTATACCCTGGTTAGATATTGTCCATCACCCTCACACAACAACTCTAATCTGAAGTTTTTCATCATTTTGGATAGAGATTTGCATCTTGACTCTGCGATTCGAAATCGTGTTTTTCAACAGATTTACATGGAAAAACTAAACCATTTCGAATAGGCTGTTTCTTTCTGAATTATTTTAAATCAAATATATCGTATTCAGTATCGAGAAGTAGGGACATCCTATGAGAAGTAATGAAAGAAAAAGAGAATTTCTGACATTGATTTTTTATAGGTCGTTGGTTTTTGAGTTCAAAGACACATTCAATATCATTTTTTTCCTCATCCATTTTTTTGTTATTTCGAAAATAATTTCGTAACGGATTGTACTTTCGAAACCTTATAATGTTTGATATCATCAACAATTTTTAAAAATAGTTGCTTCAACTACAGTAGTTTTTATTGAGATTAGGATTTGAATCCCTCTAAATGTTGTTCAAAAATTATTTCCTCTTTTTTTCCATAATAAAGAGCAAAGGCGAAAGTTCAAATTTCCACATGTGTTATTATTCCAATTTCGTCCTGAAAATGTTATTTTTATTATGAAGATGACTCGCATGCTTCAATCAAATTTAATCCGTAGTCCGTGATATTTTTGATGTTTTGAATAATAATCAGAAAAAAAATCAAAGATCAACGAGGTACAGAACATGTTTTTGTGGGATATCCACGCAGAGTTTTAGATGTACTCTACATTGAGTATGAAAATAAAACACTTTGAAAGATTTAAAATTTGATTTTTGAAATAGTGCGTTGTGTATATCCTGCAAAAATAAAAATAATATATGTTCTGATTTTCAATTCGTGATTGAAGCAATATTAAATGATGTTTGGTATAATGCACAAAAACACAAATGATCTAGCTCATTTTTGTTTTGTTTTTCGGTTTCTTTGTATGAATAATACTTTTGGACATAATTTGAGAGAGCCTGAAGATCATTTCTAGTTTTTTGTATGCCAAAGATCAGAAGATGGATTGTCTAATGATACTTTGTAGCATCAGATATTTTTCTCATCAAGCATCAACATGCTTTTCTGTGGTTCTTCTGATACTCGTGTTTATTACTAATAGATCGCAGTGCTTTTATTTAAGATAAATAAACATAACATTTTCAGCAAAAATAACAACCCAGGTGAATTTTGTTATAGCTGCAAAACTGTCTACAACAATATACATCATATTGAACTCATTTTCCAGGAAATCGAAAAAGCAAAATATTTTCTCATTGAATACAAAATTACTTGAGGGTGGTGATAATTGCGTGTGAACTCTTGAAACACAAAAAACGGATAAAGCATAAACTATTCAAAATTTTCAAAAAATACATTTATCAATAATTAAATATATAATAATGATTAATAGAAAAATATATGTCAACTCAAAATATCTCGCAAGCGGATATAAAAATATGAATAATTATAACTTTGGTAATACAGTTTGTCAAAATAGAACAGTCAAAATATTATAAAATAATAATTAGAATATAAGTGCACTTAGAGAATGGAGATCGAAAAAAGAAAACGAGATCTTTAGAAGTGTTCAACGGGATTTCAATTAATCGATACATTTATCCAATTTTGGATCTACAACCACTTTGTTGCGCGGCTCTTTCTTTTGCAAAGGTTTTCTGGCATCTTTGGAACAACATCTCTGAAAATAACAAATACATTCAAGATATGATATTTATCATCAACTAACCCAAGACATTCTCCAAACGTAGCTCTTGTTGCACCTCGGACTCTGAGATACATTTCATCTCCAGTTCGAAGTCCTCTCATTTTCAAATATGTTCTATCGCATTTCGAACGAAGTTGCACGTTGTTATTGCCTAAAATGTTGCTTTATAGAACTTGAGAATCAAACATTTCCACTTACGAATATCGCAGATTGATGGTTTTTCACTGTAGTCAATAATGTTGTCATCAAAAGTCGTTGAAATAAGGAAAAAGTCGGCACAACATTTCAATTTATCATTTGGAACAAAATCCAAGAATTGGACTTCAACATTGGCAGGAAGTCTAACATCACATTCTTGTTTTCTGTCAATTGTAATGCGGATAGTTTTTCCCAACCAATCATTGACATTCTTAACGTATTCGCCGCAAACTGTAAATTTATGTTTTCAGTGTTATTTCGGCTTTCTCTTTTTTTTACCTCTATCTGTTATTTGATTGAATTCAACTTCGAATGAAACTGAACTTTCTGAGTCAAATTTGAATTTATAAACATCGCTGAAAAAGTGTGATTCTTGATTTGGTTGATTACATATAGCATTCATGTTTGATTTAGTTCCTAGAATTGATTGGCATGTTTGATTCAGAAGTCTGATTGTGGCGGTTGTTTTCTCTGGGACCATAAGTGTGAAATCACACATTTCAGCTTTGTTCCCCTTATTTGGAGAATACACAAAGACCCCGTCGGAATCGATCATTGTGGAGCAATCTAGAAAATTAAACTATTATTGTTTTTTGCTGATGATTGAACTAACCTAGTTGTTTTGATTTCTCATTTTTGTATAAAGAAAACGAAGCGACATTGGAAACTATCAAAACAGTGACGACAACACTTCTTGCGAATGCAAACATCTGGAAATGACAGAATGTTAGTCACAAAAACTAATTGTCAGTTTCTAAAAAGATAAATATCGTCACAAAAATAAATAACACAACTGATTATTTTCAGTGCAAAATAGGCGTTTTCTTAAAAACAGTCTGAAAATAACACACATAATAAAAGGAACATGAAATGAAATAAATTAGGAATTGAATTGAATTGAATAACAATCGTCATTCTTTTTCTGGATGATTGGTAATTTTGGAAAACATAAGGACATTATTTGAAAAGGAGTGCTCGTAAATTTCATGACTGATGAAGGATGAATAAAAAATTATGATCATAACAAAAGTGCTGAGAAGAGTATGGTATTTCTGAATAAAAGTATATAAATAAGAATGCCTTTATATTATTTCTAGTCGGAACTACAGTAACCTCCGATTTCTGAAAAACCAAATAAGAACACATTTTCTGACTGAACTTTAAATTGAGTTATGCTGACTCAAATGACGTTTAGCGTTGCGAAATGTTGCAATTCAGAGAGCGTTCGTGAAAATTTGATTGTTTCAAAATGAAACAGCTGGCTGGAGTGACGCGGTTTCAAAGTGACTCATTTTGAGAGTACAAAGAGTTGAAAATAGAATGGAGTTTGAGGAATTTTTGGTATTCAGTTTGCTACATTTTGAGCAAAGTTTTGAGATCTTCAATTTGAATGATGGATAATCCGAGAGTAGATAAAACACATCAGAATGTTGAAATGAGAAAAATTACTGTAGATGCCAATTTCTATTTTTGAAAAATGTCAAGAGAGGATTAGAACTAAACAAGGCTCTTTTCATATTTGGAAGGAGGATCAATCTGTGGTCGTTTTAATTATTATCACCTCAAAAATTCCAAAAAAACTCAAATCCGAGAGAGTTTTATTCCAAAAAGTTCGGAAAATGTTCATGTAATTTTGTGCAGTGAGAAAATGTTGTTTTCTAGGAATCTGAAAAAAGAGCGAAAGAGAGGGAGGAGATCTAGAAAAGTGTTTGATTTATCCTAAAATCCCACGATTTGATTTGTTTGCTAGCAATTAGTCAACACCATGAGCAGACTGACTCACAATATTGTTTTTGAATGTATAAAAGTATGTCTAGCCAATCGGCGAGATAGAAAAAAACACAAAAATGGAAAATGAATCTGAACAAAGAAGGTCACACCTACATATAAGTGTTTTTTTTTCGGCAGATTAAAATAATCTTATTATCATTTTGTTAACCAAATGTTTTTATTAGTTACGTCTTTTGTGGTGACCAATCCGGAATATTTCTGTCGAAAAGACAAGAAAAGAGCGTCAGCAATTAGTTAAAAGGTTATGTTTGGATTATTTTTGGTTTCGTGATCTTTTTTGATTTTCTCTTTGTTTCAAAATGAAACATATTTGCATAGATCGGAATCAAAAAATGAAACGGAAAAAAAACTTGAAATATGCAAAACCATATTTGATTCGATTTGGTAGTACTTTAAATGACAAGTTTCAATCGCTCATTCATATTTTATATTCGTCACATTTTATTCTTTTTATACCAGTTAATTGATAGTTGAGATAATTTTGATACCAACGTCATGTGAAACACCAAGTTATATTTAACTTAATTGGGTGAATAATCTGATTATGTATAGGTTGTGAATATTATAGGTATCAAGATTAAGATGACATAGATATACGGTGTATTTATAACACATCAAATTGTTACTTATATTATTTATTTGTTGTCCATTCATTTCACATCCTATTTTTGAAAATATGAACATAATCAAGATTTTAAGAATAAGATATCTCAAAATAGTTAAAATTCATTTAGAGAACTGAATAAGTGATTCATTTAAAACTAATTACAGTGTTTTTAGACTTTGTTGATATTATTAGATGTTGACAAATTTTCCCAGCCTAGTTGTTTATTTTTGAACAATTTCCGTGATTTCTGTTTTCTCACAAAGTTCAGTCATAATGTATACCTATAGATTCAGAGATTGTGAGTTACTAAACTCTTTTTCAAATTTGGCACGTTTCCAACTCATAGAACGTCTAGAACATTTTTTTTTTCAAAGAACTTAAAAGTTCCTTGAAAAAAAACAAAATCAAACAGTTCAAACGTAAATGATGATACAAAGAAAATCGTATCGAATTAATTTACACCAAAGAAATCACAACAATGTTTCGATTTTCATTCTCTAAAAATTATCAAATAAACGTTTGATTTTTTGAACAGAACAGAACAGTATGGTGACAAAAGATTGGTCCGCAACTAAAACTCGACTTGCCGATTTCTTCAAAAATAATCACGTAAGTTTTTTATTCACATAAATATATTTTTAAAAATGACGAATATTTACTAGATTTTTTTCAGTGAACAAACAAGGATTTTTGAATAAATAAAATAAATGAAATGATTTGATTCAAAATAGATTTAAAATGAAAAGTTAGAAATAGATACTCTATTGTTTTTCAGATTAATCAAATCATCACTTTTTCGATTATTGTTTGTGGATTATATATCTCATTAATCTCAATAACAGGTCAAAACGTTGGTAAGTATTCAAAACTTATTGAAAATTCAAAAATGAAAAGATCAAAATGATGAAAACTGTTTTCAGCTCACCCACTATCTCCAGTAACTTCAAAAACTTTGGATCTTACTCGTGCAGCAGATGAAATTCTTCATTCAATAATATCATGTTTTATGCTAGTTGTTTTAGCAATTGCAGCAGGAAAACTTGTCAAATTCTTATATATACCATCTCTAATCGGTAAGTAATATAAAACAAAACTAGGAACGGGGGTCGCTGAAAATGCGGAACATTTGCGACAAATGGGACCAGGCAGCGACCCCAGTCCCGAGAAAACACAATGAATGTCTGAAATAAACCTGAGTTGGGGTGGGGGGCGTGGTATCTTTGAGATTTTATTTTATTCATTCATAGCACAAAAAATGAGAAAAATGGGCGGAGCTTCAAAGCACCGTAGTTTTTTGCTCGATTTGTTGAGAGTGGGTAAGAACTTTGAGCATTTTTTTGAAAAAAAAAATAAAAACATCCAAGATTATAACGATTATGATATGGGGTGGTGAATCATTTTGCGAACTGGGAAGTTGAGAAAATACTGCGACTTAAAATATATTAGAATGAAAAACATGTCATATAGCTTTTATTATCCATATTTTACGTAATTTTGGATTTTTTTAAATAGAAAGGTTTTATCCTCTAACACTCGTCTTAATTCAATCAAAAACAAATACTGGAACCGATTAGTTTTTCGAACCGTTCCAGATACATCAGTCATCCATCATTACGTAAGCAAATCAAACTTGTAAAAAACTTAAAGAAACTACGAAACGTATGAAAACACAATAAACTGTGACTGAAATCATTTTTTCATTCTTAATTTGATAAGAATAAGACATTTGCAGATTTTTAAAAATATTTCTTAAAACATCTTTGATCACCAAAATTATGCATTTGGGCTTATAGAAATGTTTTTGTAATTTTTCAGCATCCAGGATGATCCATCAGAATATGACAAAAATTTTGAAATGGAGAAAATTCAACAAAAACATTTTTAGCGTCAGGAAAAGCTGGGGTATTCTCAAAAGCTTATCCTATAAGTTTAAGAACACTGTGTTTTCATCAGAATTGAAATGAAATGTTCAATAGCCTCAATAAAAACATTGAGTTCATCTTATGTATTTTGGGAAATTGACTCACCAAAAACCTATAAAAATATATTGAACTGAAAAAAAACGGGGCTATAGATACAAATTAGAACATTACAAAATACAATAAAATGTATTTAAAATAGTATCAAAAAACTCCGTCTCGGAATAAATAAAAACCCCCAGAAAAAATACAATTTGCAGGATGTATGGCAGTTGGAATTGCAATGAGAAATATACCACAACTCGGTGATTTATTCTATATCAATGATTATTGGCAATTCATTTTACGAAAACTGGCACTTGTTGTTATAATAATAAGATGGGGAATTTCAATCAACATCAAATTCATCAAGAAAAATTATGTGAGTGATGGGAAACAGTGGTATTTATACTAACATACAAATTCATTTTGACACACGTGTTAAGCAGGAAGGAAGTGGGTTGAAGACATATATGTCACCAAAAAAACAATTACTAATATCCCAACAAGATAAATATAAATATGTATACACACATATTCATTTAATCCATTGTTTATACATTTGGTTTATTTTGATCTGGAATAGTTTTCGAGTCAGCTTAGATCAGAAGAGGATTTGGTGTGTGTGTGTGTAATCACTAATCAACTAATGAATACTGAACCAACAAATATTTCACATTCATATCAAAAATCGCTTGTGATCCGAAAAAATATTCAGTTTGGAATAAACAATTTATGAATGAGAATAGCAGATGTTGACATTGTTTCCGCTACTGTGCTGCGAGCAAAAAAAAAGTTGCAGATCTGCGCAAGATTTGCGATGCAAATGTGCCACTATTAAAAAAAAACAATAATTTTCTAGTTTCTCCAAACCATCCTGATTCCAATCATTTTACCGATTCAACTATATTTGTGAATCAATATAACGTGGGAGTGAAGTTAATAAATCTAGTGGAATAATTTTGTTAAATTAAGCGGAAGTTTTTTGATATTTAAGAATCGCGGCCTTTGTTTGTAACTCATATATATTTACTTACAATTAGAAAATAAGTTATTTTTAATATTTCCTTATGTTCATTTGAAATTTCATTTCGGTCAAATTTCAAAGAGAGATTATTCAAAATTTGTGTCATAAATTTCAATTATTAAACTAAAGTGTAGCTTTATTTGGCTTCAAAAGATATAATGCGTTTCATGGAGATTCTGATACAAAATGTTCTCTGTTTTTTGTTCGAAGAATCAAACCTATAATAGACAATAATACCGAGGATTAAAGGAAGTAGCATGAATCAACAACATTTCTCAAATATCAAAAACGAAATGTTGTTTATTTGCTTGAGGGTATAAATAAGACTATGAACTTTCAACTTGAAATTTGGAAATGTTTTTTTTTTGATATAAGTACTTCTGACTCACATTCAGAAACATAACAAGAACTTGGAGTCACAAGATATACCTCATATACGTTCAAATATCAAAATATCATATATATTTTTTATGAGTAATCTGGTATTTTCTACAACCTGGAATTAGTGATCTCACACATGATAAAGTATTAATGGAAACATTTGGAGGCCAAGATCAAGTGACTCAATGAGGTACAATTTATTTGGGTTCATATGAGAACACTGGAAATCATTCGACTGCATTTTTATAATAAATCTTTGCTCATAGGTTGGAGGGAAAATCTAAAAATACAAAAAATGCCATGCTTTTAAGAGGTCATTTTGCGAACGAATAAAAAAAGCGTGGGTGATGCTAAAAAGTCATTTTTCACTCCACTATATACACCAAATTGTCGTATAGTATTATAGTAGTAATGTCATTTGTGCTTGTCTGATGGATGTCAATTTTTTAATGAGATTTTTGGCTCTCAAGACACCCACAAATACTATTGTGGGTGGGTCATAATTGACTTGATGATGTGTTGTTCTAATGTGTTTTGTGTGGTTTTTTTTGCTTTTAAAGTGACGACTCATCCTATCATTAAGAATAATGTTATGACATCACGTTTGTATATATTCTACCAAACATTTTCTGGTTACTAATTATATGTTCAAACATATTGGTATAATTGAAGCATTCATACTGGTATAATTTTTAAGGGCACAAGACATGGAAAAAGTATAGTTAGGATATAACTTCAGGGGATTGATATTGAAGATAGCACAACTAAAAATAGGATTGTATATTTTGGGACACTTTTTTCTAAGCAAAAAAAGCGAGATTTATAAATACGATTTTTTATTCAAAGTGGGTGGATTGACGCTGACTGACATTTGTATTTGTATTCGGCTCATGACTTGAAGTAAAACAAATGAGGAAAACACCTCATTTTATGAAGAAGATTGATGGAAGCGGGGGTGATGTTCTTCAAACTCACGTCATCTTAATTATACATGTGAAACAAATTGAAACAAACAAAAAAGGGAACAAATATTCTGACTTGGATATGTTTTTTTCAGACCTTCCCACCACTTCTTGGCATCGGATCAGCTACCACAGAAGCGTTGTCTATTTTCTTTACTGCCCATTTTCTGTTCAACTTTCCACTTTCCTTGAGTTTAATATGCGGGTAACAAAAATCCTTCATCTTGATTTTGTAAAGTTATTCGTTGTAGATTTGTTGTGGCAACAGTTTCTCCAGCTATCAGTGGTCCAACAATGGGACATCTTCGCGAGAAATCAATCGGAACTGAGAAAAACATTCCAGATATTGTTCCAGCTGCCTGTTGTTTTGATAATGTTTGGTCGTTGTTGATTTTTTCATTGACAGCATCGGCAACTTTCACAACTGGTAATTTTTGAATTTCAAAAATCATGAGTATTTCGCAATACTCTTCATTGATCTTTGAAACATAATCAACTATATTTTATACCAAAATTTTGGAATATGAAATTGAAGTTCAAGATTCAGGAAACGTGTAATTAACTTTGAACTTCACCAAGTTGGAAGTCTGGTATTCAAACTACATATCACGGAAGTTTTTTGAATTGGTAGAACTTTAGAACAATGGGGGTTTTCTTTTATTTTCACAGAATTTAAATATTTCAGAATCCGTTGGACCGACGATGATCAAAAGTATTGGAGCTATTGTACTTGCTGTTGTGTTTGGATGTATTCTTGGTATTTTTTTTAATTGAATCACAATCATTATTATTGCCAAAAAATTGTTTCAGGTTGGATAATTCGATGGTTCCCAAAGAATGACAACAAACATACCCATATAGCAAGATTCCTCATAATCGCTTCTTCTACTTATGGAGTTATTACAAGTATGATTGTTTTGGGATATCAATTTCCAGGAATTGTTGCCGGTTTATCACTATGCTGTGTTGCAGCGACACATTGGAGAGAAGATAATCCAAGAGGAGTGAGACTCGAAAACATTTTTCAAATAAAACTTCCTTGTACATATATTTTTTAGATCAAAGTTCTTGTTCATCAATACGATAACTTATGGTATTTCTTAGCTGTTCCATTGTTGTTTTCACTTGTTGGCTACACGTTTGACTTTTCTGAGGTATTTAAAACCGAGAAATACTATGAAAGATTTTCAATTTTCAGATAACAAGAAAAGATTTACAAATTGCAATCAGTTTGGTTTGTATCGGGGTTGTTGCTCGATTCATAAGTGCAATGTTCATCTCGTTTTTAGGAGGTTTCACTATTTGTGAACAAATTATTTTATCACTTTCTCTAATGCCAAAAGCAACAGTTCAATGTGCTCTTGCTCCATCATTGATTTTGCTCACTGATAATTTCCCCGAACTTGAAGATACTACGAAATTGGTGAGATATCAGACATTAGTTCTGTGAAGTGCAACAAAATTTTAAGGTCATCAACACCTGTATAATTGCTGTTATGATAACAAGTCCTATTGTTGAAATTCTTTTGGATATTTTGGCTCCGAGAATTTTGAAGAAATCGTTGATCTTCAACTCGGCGCTTCCTTCTGGTAAATAAACTAGAAAATCTTTTCATCAATTTGTGTAATTCAGAAACCACTGTAACAACATCCACAGATAATTATACAGTTCCACAATTCAGCGCTCCACAATTAAATAATCCAAACGGATTACCGAACATTCCATATTATTATTACAATAAGAATGAGGTTTACAAAAATTGAAAAAAATTGTATTTTTCTGTAAATTTGATAATTGAAATATCAGTCTGAAAACTGTCATCAGACAATAAATATTTGCGAATAAATAAATGAATTCTTCATAACATTTTTTAGGTTTCTGTGAGAATAAAAGTTGAATTTATTTACATAATTGTCCTTTTTGATCTTTGATTTGCAAAGTATTTGTCATAAAAAAGAGAAATCTTCAAAGTAAAATTTGGGCTTTATATGATCTTTGGAAAGTATCACAAGTTTCTATAAAATCAAAAATCTCAAAATCAAACATTGCAAAAAAGCAGCGGATTTGAATCAATAATAGTAGTGAATCATTTGCCCGTTCGCTTTTTTTTTTTCGTTGTTTCTATTTCTGTTGTTGAAAACCACATAGTAACTAGTTTTGAGCTATTTTGACACACTCGGCAATAATCTCTTTTTCAAATAAAATCATCATGTTTTTGATATATAATACAAGTGACCTTGTCATTTTTTCTCTTTTATTTTATTTTATTTTTTCTCACATGTGTTATTTTACAATAGATAAAATCGAGAAATTTTTGTGTTAAAATTTTTTCCTTTTTTTTGGTAATTCTATTGTTCCTCACTTTTAAAAACGATATACGTGTGTGTAGTTTAAAATGTTATTGATTGAAAAATATATAATTTCAGATGGTTTCTAGTCATATTATGATTGTAAATGGTGAACATAACAAACCAAGTGGATCAGTTCAAAAATTTCAAGAAGAACTTGAAATTCAACGTTCGATGAGGAATGCAGCAATTATAGATCATCATTATGAACCAGTAAGTTAAATATATATTTGTTATAAGTACCAAGCAAGAACACTTATTATTTTTGTTCCAAAAAAGTGCGAATTTCTTGAAACAAGAGGCGGCATTGACGACTCATTAAACAAAAAGAAAACTTTGCTGCTCATCTTTTTTTTGGTGTCGGGATCCTTTTTTGTTTCTTTCTTTCTAGTTTTTGGTGCTGTGACATATGTATGTTTTTTGTTTAAAAAATGAACAAAAGTCACATTTCCGTTGAGATTTTTTTGGTTTGAGCTCAAGATTTGCAGAATAGATAGGTGTATTTTCTGGTTTTCAACAATGAACTGTCGTCTGGATTTTATTATTTTTCATGACTAATCCTTTCAGATAAACTTCATTGTATTCTTACATTTCGTTTTGAAGTGATATTAGTTTTGTAAGTCTAATCCCCATATTTTTCACTCGAAAGGATTAATGAATAAACTTTATACATATTTGCATTGGAAACTGAAGTTAGTTTTGGTGTTTTGAAAATTGCATAATTTTGAAGGCGAGTTTGTTTTAAAACAACTTCAACTATTTTAATAGAATGTGGGAAAATTCACTTCTTTTCGCGGTACTTTTCGCGGTAGATCAAAAGTATTCTTCTCTAAATCGCTCACATTTTTCTTGAGTTTCGTCAATTTTTCGTCTAAAATTTTTGAAATTCGACTCAAACGCATAAAAATGAATATTAATTTTCAAATGAAATATGCGACCAGCCATTCTCTAAAAAAAATGTACACCGTGTATGTTTTTTGACTTTTTTAGCATTCATGTTTCTCCCGAGACACAGATTTTCATGAGTATTCATCAGTGATATTATGAATATTCAATTAGAAATTCCCGAATATTTACTCACAATAACGATTCTACTAATAATTATCACAAAAAGTAGGCCGCTAAAAATATAAAAAAATATCTCAGTATCCAATTTTTTTAGCAGAAAACCTATAAACCAATAAGATCAGCCGAATGTTCTCAAAATTTATGTGTTTTTTTTCCAAATACAATATAGAGATAAGAAAACAAGAGAAAAATACAATGCAAGAGAAAAAAAGAGGCAGGATTTTGTTGTTTTTCTCGCGCAACACAAAACGGTCATTTATTTGTTTTTCGATTGACTTTTTTCAATCGACGTTTTGTTAAGATTCAACACAACTTTCTTAGAAATGTTCTATTTTTTTGCAGTTTGCTGACTCATTTTTGTTCGTGAGAACAGACATGTCGTTTTTGCTGAATTCGGGCCCCTAAAGCCCGCTCAATTTATCACGGGCCCGGCTGGCCCGGCCGTATGAAAATTTAAAAGCGGCCGGGTTGGCCTCGCCCAAACAATATTTTTGAATGGCCAATTTCAGAATTTTTTTGATGTTTTCGATGTTGGATTGTATTTCTATGAGTGAAAAATCAAATTAGAATGTGATATTTTGCTTATAAAAATAGAAATAAGTAACAAATCGAAAAATAAAATGCAAAAATTTCAAAATTCAAGTGAATTCTCTTCCACACACATATTATTTTACTATTTTTACTCTTTACAATGTTTGAAATTCATTAAAAATTCCTTTTTGACCACGAAAAACTCATTTTTTCAATGAAAAAAAATCGAAGAAAAAATAAGCGGGCCCCAAAATCGGGCCCACCAAAGCCGCACATGTTAAAATCGGGCTTCGGCTGAAAAAAGCCCGATTTTTTGTGTTTACTTCGGGCTCAGCCCGGCCGGCCCGGCCTGCAGCGACATGTCTGGTGAGAAAATCACCGATAAAAATAGATCAGATAGCAAAAGATACCAAGGTCAAAATAGGTTATTTTTGCTATTTAGTTTTTGATTTGTTGTAGTTTTTGAATCAATATTTTCGAAATGTCTCTGAAGAAAATTCAATTTAAAAAGTTCGGAAATATTCTTGCAATTGTCTCACGATTATCAAATTTTCATTTACATATTTCCTTATTTTGGAAAGACTTCTTCATTTCTTCAAAAATTGTACTATTTTTGACAATTTGCACTAATTAGTTTGATTTCCTTTTTTTCTTATTGACCACATTTATTTATACATCTGCCAATTTCCTGTCAATTCTTTTTTTGCCAATTATTTTCTCTGTGCGTGGGTATTGCAATACACATTTGTGTAGTGCAGTAGAGCACACTTGCCTAGTTCCCTCGTTTTCCTCTTTTTCTCTGGTCAATAAATTCTAGCCTCCATTCATTTATTTATATTATTATTATCATACAACTTGTAGTGTTATATAATTATTATATGTCCCTGCCATGCGCTCGGCAATATTTTCCTATAACAATCATGTTAGAAATAAGAAGCAGGTATTTTATAATTTTCAGCAGCGTTTTTTATATTTTTCAGATTCGTTTTTTTTATAATTTCGCGAAAAACTTGAACATTTTCAGGAAAATAATTTGAATTGTGAAGTTTTGAACGTCTTCAATCCAACTGACGCTGGTACACATACTGATATGATACATATTGAGATTCCGGACACAAAAACTTTGGTTGAAAAAAATGATGGAACTTCTAGATATATTGTGAGTTTTTTTTGCGTGAATTGATGACACCGGTGGATCTATTTTTCATTCATCTAAATTATTCTTTATCAAAAAACAAAAAATACTTGCAGGCATATAACATGGAAATCAATGGCTGGAAACACGCATCAGTCAGATTCAGTCATCTTTACGAATTCTCTGAATTGATTAGAACAAAGTAGGGTTTTTCTACTAGTTGTCTCAATTTTTTAAAAATATATATTGGTTCCAGATTCGGTAAAAAGTACAAAGGACCGGAATTCCCTTCAAAAAAATTATTCAAACTAGACGCAAAATCGATCGAAGATCGACGAATAAAAATCAAGAAGTATTTTCAAGCACTCGTTCAGCATCCAGAAATTGCAAGACATTATCTAGTGGAAAAACAGTTGTTGGGATTTCAAGTTGTGAGTTTTGAACCATTCTGAAATTTGTTTAATTTGATTCCGAAAAGTGGTTAGGTTTCAATTAAGGTTTGAGTCAGACTTGCGGAACTTCCGATATGGTTTCAATAATTTTCCAGTGACATCTTTATCAAATTTTCAGTCTGTTTTTACAAAATCAGTTTCCTTATGTCTCACAGCAAAATCCTTAAAAATACGTTTTCAGGATTCGTATCGTGCAACAAGTACAAATGTGTCTGTTGATATTTACTTGGGCGATGGTGAAAAAATTCAAATAAAGTGCAACGTTGGATGTAATACTTCTGATGTCATGAAACTGATTGCTGAAAAACTTGGATTTTCAACAGTTGAACATCTGCAATGGAATTTCGGGTTATTTATTGCAAGATCTCGCGATTCAATTGTATCATATTCTATTTCTCCAGACACTTTTGATCCCTTGAGTGAGTTTCATTATGATATTGAAATCATTTGAAATGAAATAATTTTCAGTTGTTCGTCTTCTGCGGAATTTTGAAGCCCCATATATTTCGCTGAGCACTGTCAATCAAAAATCTTTTGGTGATGGATTATTCCATTATTTATGTCTACGAAAACTGATTTGGGATCCAAAAGCTGAAGATGTTTTACTGGACAATGAACAGATTGTTGATTTGTTATATCGCCAGGCAACACAAGAAATGAAATTGGGTCATTTTGGAGAACTGAAATTTGAGCAAGAATCAAAACTCAAAACACACAAAAACGATAAAATCCAGTTTCTACGAACATGTCAACAAATACCTCATTATTCCTATGAAAAATTAGGAGAATGTTCTGGAGATTATCCAAAAGCTGGAATGGTTTCATCAATCAAAATTGGTCATCGTCAATTGGTCATCAAATTCACTGATGATATTGTGAGTTTGCAGACTCTTTTTAAAAATTGAAATATATAAAACATTTTTCAGGGCATCACAACTGAAAGCATTTTTCGAGCCACACGAATTCGTGTTTGGCGACTATCAAAAGTCGTTGACGACATCTCATTTCAATTTGAATATCTGCGATCAAAAGATAATTTTGAGTGGATAACTTTGAATACACCGCATGCCATATTATTATCATTATTATTACAATCAATTGGTACGGAAATACTTTATGAGCATAATAATTTAAGTATTGAACAACAAATTGCCAAAGAAAAAGAATCGAAAGGAATGTTTGTTGAGGTCGATCCAACGCCTGTTCAACCGCCACGCGACCCAAGAAAGCCCATAATTATATTACAAAATGCGGTTGAAAATACGGATCCACTCGGTGTCATGGAGCATTATAGAAATTATAATAGAATGTTTACAACCATCTCGGTAGTTTTTTCTGAAACTCTTCATCATTCAAAAAAATATTGTTTTTCAGGATCAAATCCCTACAAGAGATGAAGCTACTGGAAATATCACAAATGATGATCTTTAAACAAATATTTAGGAGTTCAATTTTGTAAATAATTAGCATAACTGTTTGCCAAAGATAATTTTCCAGTGTGATCACAAACTTATTGTCAAGAGCTTATAAAGTTATTTATATAAATTTATTCATTCAAATATTTACAAATTATTCATTTTTTGACGATGATAATTGAACAAATGAAAGAAAAGCAGAAATGGCAAATACATTCAGAAAAAATTTGGAACTAGCGATTTTTTCTTCAATAAAAATTAAAAAATTTAAAGATGCTGAACAAATTGGAAAATTAAAGAAATAAGTATAACTATTGTTTAGCACCTTTCTTATTGATATCATTGATCTCGATATGCACTTGATTTTTTGGATTTCGTGCAAATTTCATATCTTTAAGATATTTGAAGTATTTGTAGACAACAAATGCGACCCAAATACTTGCTGCAATTCCAAGAAGTGAGAGAACCATACTGACTGCTGATACTGTTTGAATTTCATCACGGTTTTCGTTTAATCCGAAGTCTTCAGTTTGAGAAGCATTTTGATTAACGACGAAGTTGTTGACAAGTTGACCAGTTGTTCCAGATGGATCAATGAGTGACCAGAGGGTGAAGATGAAGAAGATCAAAGAAATCAACGCACCAAGAGCCTGCAAAAATATTTGTTCAAGGGGCTATTTTCTATAGTGGATATAGATCTTGTGATGAACAAAAACTGTAATTCTAACATGTACTTTAAAAGGCACAGTACCCGAAGGAATGTTCTTGCTATCTTGTGTAAAAAAATGTCTGAAGATCACTATCTTTTACTTGTCACATCTGATAAACTATAGTTTTCTTTGTTATCAGTCAGTCAGTTCAAAATGTCATCTGAAAATCAAAAACCCATCATTGCCTCGATTTGTATTTGAAAAAAAAAACGAAAAACTGGCTGTCATTCTTTTCCGCATGGTCACCACATAACATAACAATTACCCCGCGCAAACGACCAAACATCGAGAATGACTCCTCATCTCCCGTGACCTCTCATTTTTTCCAAACAAAAAATGTTGAAAATAACTTACCGCAATACCGGCTACCGGCAATAACAGATTTTCTTTCTCGCTTTTCATGGCAACAAATAATGCAAAAGCACATGCGATAACTCCGACAAGAAGAATTGCGTGAAGAATGAAAGTTGTCCAAGTTCCAACGCTGAAATTTTTAGAGGATAGTTGAATACTATCTGGTTAAGAAATTATTGACTCACTTCCAGTTTAAGATCAAAAGAAGAATACCAAGAACAACGATTCCTACCAAAAATGCCAAAATGAATCGGCAACCTTGTTTTACGTGCATTTTATTGCACAAACATTTGTATTTTGGATCGGTGTGGCGGAATGGCTCATGATCAAATGTTTTTGCGATATCCATATCTGCAAAAATAATTTTGATTTATGAAAATCTTTTTGAAAATAAGGAACGAGATGTTAGTTTTTCTTAAATAAAAGTGACCTCCTTGATTTGGCCCTCCATAATTCACATTTGTATGTGAAATATATTGTTGAGGGTGATATTGATGTTGTGGTGAATATTGACTATGATGTTGTGGTTGTTGATGATGATGGTGAGAATAAGGATCTTGATGTCTTTGACTATATGGATCCCCTCTTCTAGGATCATTAGAATAATAGCGATCACCGTTATACATTTCACTTTATTCTCGAAATGAAAAGAAAATGAAAATTATCTTGAAATTATATGAAATATCTCGACCTATGTACCGCCTCTTAAGGACGACTGTTATTGTTTTTGTCTGTTTTCTTTTTTTGAAAAAAATTGAAATAGTGCATGAAACGATGAGACTGAGAAATTTAAAAAGATGGAAATCAAGTTTTGGGTCACATTTTTTATCTGTTTCCTAGGTAAATTGTTAAACAAAATTTCCTTTTTTTGTGATATGATATTTTCTTGGGGCAGTAATTTGATGTTTGAAAATGAATCTGGAATTTTTGTTTCGAACATTGATGGTCAAAAAAGAAGATAATTTCTATAATGAAAATCATTGACAATCAGTTGATAAAAATGTTTCAAGACTAGAAAAGATACAGTTTCATCGAACCACAACATCATAATTCTATTATTTCACGAACAAACTTTTGGAAAAAAAACAAATCATCAACCTGTCACTGTTTTCTAAGAAAAACAAACATATTACCATGTCAAAAACTTTCCACAAATAATAAAAAAACAAGACGAGAGCAAAAAATGATATATTGAGAAAAAATGAAAAAATAATAAATAATAATATCATCGACCAAATCCATAGAAAAAAAAACAAATAATTGTTTCCGAGGAAAAGAACAAAAAATTCCTGTTTCAAAAAATAATAAAGGCGTTAAAAAATCATATATTGGGTTTTGTCATCAGGTGGTAATAAGGAATTTCTTTGAAAAGAATTTTTGTTGCGAAATGTTGAAAGAATAGGTGAATTTGAGAAGAACAAGAGGTATCAAATCAATCTAAAAGAAAAACAAATAATAAAAAAAACGAATAGAAAAGTTGTAAAGTAACCAACCTAACCTGGAGGAGAGGTTGAAAAACGAAATGAGGAAACAGCAAAAAAAGAGGTGGAGACAGGCACCTCAAATAATAACAATAAAAGATTTGACAAAAAAACTGTATAGTTAGAACATCATAATAACAATAATCAGGAAGAAAAAATGGAGAAAAAGCCTGTAACAAAAGTCTAATGAGGCGTATTTGTATGAACGACACATGAGATGAGAGGCAAGAAAAAACGAATTAATCATAAATTTGTGGAAAAAACGATGAACGAAGGTAGAAAATATAATGGAGAAAAGGTACTTGGAAATATGGTTATTGACTTGACTTTTTCAAGAAGAACAAGTATTTTTATGGACAGAAAAAAAGATGAGGAAACCATGTTCCGGGATGTTACCTTAAGTTCGATGAGGCGCATAATCAGATGATCTGAAAATGTGATCACTAACATTGGATCAACATACCAATGGTCTTTGGAGATGTGTAATTTAGGAGATGAAGCAATATTTTCTAATTCCCCCAAAAAAAACAGTGGACACTGGAAAGTGATTCTGAAGGAGTAAGAAAGAAGATACTTTTCGAATTAATCGTGCATTTTTGAAGTTGACAGACTAAAAAATTTTATAATCTGAACCTTAACGCCACAGAAATATTTGAAAAATTCGAATTATTTACTATTTGAAATGCCAAACATCTGGGATCACATGATATTTTGAGTCACATTTATTTTTATTCGAAAACACCAAGAAACCCACCGTAGTTTTCTTCTCACAAAAAAAAGAAACAAAATCAAAAATGTATTATTAAATTAGTGTTTCGTTTTGCCAAACAAAAAAAACGAACATTAAATGAAAACTCATGCATGACCTTTCACTTTTCAGCACAGACCACCTGACAAAAAATATTGGATGAGAAAATAAAATGAGTTTCTGGTGATTCACAAAAAAAACTAATAATGAAAGAAAGAGGAACTGAACGATGAATGAATGTAAAAAAATTATAATGAAATGAAAAAATGTTTGTTTTGAAACTGTTATTTTTGTTATACACATAAAAAAAATGTTTTTACTCGTAATAAATACGGGATAATCGTTTTTTCGAGAAAAAAGAGTGAAAGTGTTAGGATAGGTTCAATAAATAAATATTATACAAAACATGGCCAAAAAATGATCGAAAAAATTAGCATTTGACCGTGTTCTTTTGTCGAAAAAAGAAGCTTTGTGAAAAAACCTAACAAAAAAGGGAAAAGAAAATGAAATACAACGGTTTTATTTGGCATTGAAAAAAAACGATGAAAAAAAGAAAAGATCAGCTGCGACGATACCCAAATTTATCTTCTTGTCAAACATGTGTAACTATATATTTGCATAATCATCGCTTTTTTTATTTCTGTCACACATCGACTTGATTAATCGTGTTGAGAAGTAAGCTCTGAAGGTCAACCACTTATTTTGAAGTTTTTTTTTTTTTAATTTCAAATTTGAAAATCAAAATAACTACTGGAAAATGCATTGAAAAGACATAAGGCTCTCGATTTTCAAAATTACGAACTGCGTTATTTGCGTTCAATTTTGTGGACTATTGCCTCTGAAATTTGAGAATTATGTTCTACCAAGACCTAAAAGTTAGCCAATCTTTGACTAATAATCCGCCGCTAATAAATATAAATTCTTGAATTTTCAACAAAAAAAAAACTCAATGTGTAAAAATTAGAGGCATTTTCTAAAATTCAGAAATCAAGTGGACATTACAATAACTGGGCATTCCAAAAATTTTCAGAGGCAAGACAAAGGTTATTAACTTTTTTCCCCAATACAGTTTTTTCTGACCACCCAACCCAACACTCGAATTCATTAGTTCAAGTTTGACAATTATTCAGGGACAAATGAAACAAAAAAACCCCACGAAAAAAAGATGAGGAGAAAAAACAAAAGAAGAAAGGTAAAACGTGTTTATAGTTTCGGTTAAGCTTCAATTTTATTTCAAATTATATGATATGTAAACATATTTTCTGAGGTTGTTGTAAAGTTGCGGTTTCCCTTTTTTAATGAATGGGACAACACTTTTTATTTATCAACGTACAAAATCGAGTGAAATTAAACGTCAACTTTTTTCACAGAATGGGTGCAAAAAGTAGTTGACCGTGTAAACATTCCGGTTCAGTGAATTTCAATATTCTCGACCTTCAAAAAATATTTGTACTCAAAAAATGTTTATTCAACAAGTCTCGTAAATTCCTAAGTTGATAACCGTAATAAAAACGTGATGTACATTTTGACAAAAAATTATACAGAGAGCTCAAAAAGAATGATACAAATGCTTCAACGTCTCCCAATTTCTCTAAAGCAGTCGAGTAAAAAGTTGATAATGACACCATACGAAGCAGATTCTCTTGCTGGTTTACAAATATTCAGATGCATATCTTCAATATGATAGACTGCGCCTTGTTCAAAAACAGCTGATTTGTTTGGGACAACAATTCCTTTTGCAGTTCCGATAAGATTTGATTCGACTGTTTCAACCATACTGACAATAATTGGAATTTGTCGACTGATTGCAGTGAAGTCATCGTTGAGCTGAAAAATATGAATTTCTAAAAGCCACGTTCTGTTATTTTTTAAATATTGATTTTTGACATTTTCAGATTTTCAAATCCATATTTCAAAAATGTTCATTGTTGAATTTTTCATAGTGTTCCTATATTTTTTAAGAAACCCTAATTTCAGAAAAAATAGGATTTCAAGCAGCTCTTGCTCATTTTAACTCACTTTTTTATTCATCAAATTATTTTCATTCAGAAAAATGACATCGTTTGTTGGATTGAAAATGGAATATCCCCAACTTGCCACCGGACTTCCTTTGTGCGGAGTTGCAATAAACAACACACCAATCTACAAAAAATCAATTTGTTTTTCATATTTTCTCAATCTTTCATATTTACCGTATTTTTAGCGAGTTCAGGTGAGTCCAACAAAAGTTGTTTTGCTAAAAGTCCACCCATTGAATGACAAATGAAAAGAACGGGGCGTTTTCCAATTCCAGCATCAGTTAATTGACTTTGAAAACGATTGGCGCGTGACTTAATAATTTTAAAATTAAAGTTTATTTGATTTAAAAGGGTACCTGCAAGGAAGGTTGTGCTCCAGTAAATTGAATAATATAACTAGGATAATCTAATCCAAAAATTCTAAACGGTCGTTTGATATCATATGGTAGCCAATCTTTGGGCCAACAAGTCGTTAGAATATTCTCATCGGAATCTTTTTGCCTCCAAGTATAGGCAACACTTCCACGTAATCCATGAATCAAAACAATATCCAGCTCTGGTTCAGCTTCCGGGATATGTACTTCATAAATATCAGAGCGCAGTCGATAATCAATTGAGTTCAGCGAACTCAAAGCATTTTGACAAATCTGGAGTAAATAAAAATTTGAACAATCGAAAACAAGATATCAATTACCTTGTGAGCAAGCAGTCTTTCCATCAAATTTCTCCCGTTCAAAACCATATTCGAAATTAATGGAAGCCATTCGGAATTCAGCATCTTTTTCGAATATTTCTCATTTGAGCCAACAACATTTGCAAGAATTTTCAAAGTCAAATTCGAAATATCGTTTTGAGTTTCATCAAATTCTTTGTATATGTTGAATAAAAATGGGATAACATCCACATCAATTGAATCTATGTCGAATTCATTCTGGAAAAAAAGTCAGAAATAACAAATAAATATTTTTAGAAGACTCACCTCGGTCGTGAGAAACAAAAGCTGAAGCATTCTCCGAAGTCGCTCAACTTGACTCGGAAGTCGAACGAGCCATTCTTCCGAACAAGATAAATCTTCTTCTGGACATGCAACACGGTTTATCCATTCCAAACTACTATTCCATTTGTCGCCAAGGTTGAACTGCAAGTTTTTCAAATGTTACTCAAAAATATTCTCAAAACCCTCAAAAACACTAACCTTTTTCAGAGCCTCGCTAACATCCATTTCATCATTCCTACATTTTTGTACAGGTATTTTTTGACATAATTCAGATCCACTTCGCGCCAAAAATCCAATCGCTTGTGGTTTCAAATTCCTAATAATCTCCTCCTCGTTGTTATTATTATTATGTTCATTATTATTGTTTTTCTCAACATTATTTACAAATTTCAAAGCATCGCTAACATATTTATTGGAATTCAAAAATTCCACCGCTTCATCGACGTTTCTAATAATTTTGATATCTGGTGGACAACCCCAGTAATATGATTTATATGCTCCATAAAGTGCTCTGCAAATAATTATACATTTTATTTGATTAATTTCTGAATACAAAAACTCACGGAATAGCGGCAGTCGCTACAATATATCGAGCCATTTATAACACATCAGAAATTGATCCTGAAAAACACAAATCAAATAAAATTTATAAGTACACACACAATCAAAGAAAAATAAGATAACGGATTTTTCTGTCGATTTTCGGAGAAAGTATGAATGAAATCACGCCATTTTGAAAAAATAGAACGAATTTGAAATGATAAAAAACAAACGTGACCATCCATTATTTAGCCACAGAAAAACGAGGCACGTGGAGAAAAAAACAGAAAAAAAGAACGAAAAAATCAAACTTGTCAAAGAAAAATAAACAGAGTGTGTTGAAAAGAAGGAGAGAAAGACAATGTGCGATGGAGCGTGTTTGCTGTGTTTGCACTTTTAAATGGGGGAAGAACGTTTGTTTGGGAAGTTAGGGCATGTTTTGTGTAGTTCTCGAGGAGAACAACAATCAATATGGCATTTATTTTTTGATGGATTATTTTTTGTGGGAAAATTGTTCAAAAACTGAATGAAAAATGGAAATCGGTTTCTTTGAAGAAGAAAAAACAAGTTGTTTATCTTTTGAAATAAATTTGTAATGTGTGTTTTTCTGTGTTTTATTCTTGAATGGAGCTCGATTTGACAGGAAAATGGTATATCTGACTGTTTATGATTCACAGAGTCCAATTTGCCACCCAAAAGTTTCTCCAGAAGATTCTTGCGGTGGGACAAAAATTGACAAAGCTAGAAGCCTTAATGCGAGATTCAGAAAACAAATTGAAGTTGCGATTTGTTATGAAATTGGGAAACAATGTGCCATTCACACAAAAAAGTCTTTAATGATTTTTTGTACAATAATATTTTTAAATACAACATTCTAGGAAGTTATAATTCTGGAAGATTTGCTCGACACAATATCCATTGAAAAAAACTGGAACTAGAAATTGATATAAACATTAAATAATTTAGAATACAGCGCTGCTTCGTAGAATGTTGAACCATATTTCATGTTATACTCCCAATCTGAGTTTCAAACTACAGAAGCTTTATTGCGAAATTAATCAAACAAACGAATCGCAACAATAGTTTTGTCTTCTCATGTTTTTTTTATGAATGAAAAGATCAAACTCCAACATTTTGTAACAGGACTGATAAAATGATAAATACCGGCAAAATGGCATATTGTCATCGAGTGAAAACGGCCAGAATTTGTTAATCTACTTAGTCGCCTTCTGACCATTATGTTTGACAACAAGGAAGTCAACAAAATATAAATAGGCTCAAATATTCCCGCTGTCACTGTCTTTCTTTTCCATAAGCGAATCTTGCGAAGAACGGTGAGTTTTCTGAAAAATGTTAATCGAAATTGAATTGTATTATTTCAGAAATGAATTTTTTATTATTATCAATCTTCTGTGTTTCGAGTCTTGTCGCTTTCCCAACTCCACAGGTATTTTTTTCGAATTTTTTTGAAATTGTAATATTTTCATTATTCAGTATGGTCAACAAAATCAAAATCCTGCAGTAAAGCAGGAGGTTACTGGTCATTATGGTTTTATGTATTCACCGCAACCAGTAAGTTTGTTTATAGAACTGTCACATTGTTGAAATAACTTTAAAATGTGATTCAATTTGATAGAGTATGATGAATACCATACTTTTGAAGTTCAGTAAATCAAACACATACACAAATGTGATAATTTCAGCTACCAACATATCAACCATCAGCAAGTCAAACATCATCATCAACTCTTCCACCTCTCCTTTCGTCTCAAATCCAATTACAAAAACCACTCAATTCTCAACCAGCTCAACTTTCTATCAATGATCCAGATTTTCAAATGCTTGCTAGAAGTTTACATTCTGGAACAGCCAGTGTCGGTTTATCTCAACAACAAATTCTACCATGTTCATCAGATGGCCGTTCAGTGACTATTGATCATCTTCGAATTTCACCAGATTCTCTTGTTCAAATCGCTAGACTTGCTCAAGCTTTTGGTTCAAACCCGGATTGGAACAAAGTTCGATTAGCAGACTTGAAATCTACACTCGAATCGCCAATGAATCCAACCAATAAATTTTCTGCCAGATCTATTGGATTGTAATTCAATCTTTTTCGAAACTGTACTAATATGTATTTCTATAAGCCAGATAAATTATTAATATTTTATATATTGAAAATGAATTCACAAAATTCAGCTCTTTGCTAAATGATGAATTGTGCTTCATTATTTATATTCAAAGATTTTGAGAAAACCAGCGATGGTTTGTCACGAAGTGGACCAACCCTTTTTCCTTGTTTTGTTTATATGTGGGAATCAATTTTTTGTGTATTCTTCGTTGATAGTCGATTGTATAGTTTAAAAAGAACGAATTTAGCTTTAAGAGAAGCCAAACTTTTCATTTTTTTCACAGATTGTAGTAAAGATCTACATGAATTCTACAATTATTCAGGAATGAAAATCATTAATGTTTATTCAAAATTATATTTTATAAAAGATTCCCAATTAGTATTATAAAAGACAATAAAAAAGGAAATAAGGTAAAATTACTCGTACTATAAATATAATGCTAAATCCAACTGAACATATTTAACAAATTAAAATCAATAGCCACATTTCAAGCATGTTTTAGGTGTGTTTTTAATAAGAAACCATGTATATTCCTCAAGAGGGGTGGTATCACCATGTTTTGTCGGAAAATCTTTGCGAAGTACAGAATCCTGAAAAATGTTTTTGTTCAAACACATAATATTCAAAAAATTAGTACCGTTAGAATTCGTTCCATATCTCCAATCAAATTTCGGATGAATCTGCAAAACTTCAACGAGTAAATTTTTTCCTTCAGGAACTCGATAATTTCTGGAACAATCACAGTTTGCAAGTCATATGGCAATTCTTCTTCAGTTATTTTCTGATCCAAAAATTCAATAACCTCAATATTGTGCTTCATGACTTTCTGTAGAAATTCATTGTATGACACAAGCAAGTGTTGAAAATGTTTACTGCGATGCTTAAAATAACTTTTATGTTTAAATTTTTTGATTGATATAAACATACTTCGATACTTTTTCCTAGTTCAATCCGTTCTTCCAGACCATAGAAAAATGAAAAAAAGTGATTTTGAAAATCATTCGATTTTTGAGACAATTCCCAAACTTGGTAGATCAACTTCGAAAATCGTTTTTGCACTTCAGGAACCTGGAAAATTATTAATTTTTTTTTGTTTTTTACAAGGAAACTTTTTTCACTCAACACTTGAAAGTTTATGAAATTTTGCAAATAAGTACGGCGTGGGTTCATTAGGAAAAACAAACTTTTAGAATATTTTTCTCACTCCGAAAAGTTAGACACATCCAAATTTTGACTAGTTTTCGAAGTTTGGAAAAAAGGTTTCCTTGTTAGAAATATACAAAGTCAGAACAACATTTGAAAAAAAAAAACTCACCTTCTCGAGATCGTCGATCCATTTGAAAACTTTTTCAAGTCTCATTTCATGTTCATCATTCTCATCATTTGAACAAGTTGACATTTTGAAATAAATAAAATACTCCACTAGTTATGATAAAGGCGGTAGCAAAATGAATCATACAATTGATAAAAAAATGCTAAAAAATTTCGGGAAAAATTTTATGTTTCTGAACACCGCCTTTTTTCATTGCGAAATAGTTTGATATTGATCACATGTTTCGTTTTATGATTGCAGCAAAAAAATGTTGTCAATTGAGAAATATATTTGTTTGTTTGTTTGTTTTTACTGTAAAGGTCAGTATTTGTGACCTAAAATGAAAAGGACTGGGAAGATAAAATATAATGAAAATATTCATTAGGAATGATTGCATCAGACCAATGAGTAAATAAAAAGTTTTCATGAAAAACATTTAATTCAAATAAGAAATATTTTAATCAAGTAAAATTTATTCACATAATAATTCTAGCATCAAGAGATCATCACACCACAAATTATGAAGATATTATATTAATCTTCGTTTACAACCTCATTGTTATTCTCTATAACATTTTCATCACTAAATTCACCTTCCGAATAACTTTCATCTAAAGTACTGCTATAGCCACATTCTCTGCAGACATGCATGCCAAATAGTTCAATTCTTACTCGATGTTCGTGTTCCATCAGATCGTCTATCATTGAAATCAAAGTTTCCCAATCTTGAATCTGAAAACAAAATTTTTGTGAACCATTTTATGATTGTTAAGGCCCACTTTTCCGCTTTCAATTACCGAATAGAACGTTTTTTTAGCTTACCTCAATCAATTCAAACATTCGATCTTTCAATTCGAGAAGAAGTCTTTGGTAATCATTGTTCAGAATTAAATCATCGAGAAATTCAACAAATTGAGGAAGATATTCGTTTTTCAATTCATCTTTCATTTTTTCACCAACTGATATATGCGCTTCTATTGAATTGACCAACAAATTTCGATATTCTCGAATTGTTTCAAGGCATTTTATTGAATCTTCTAACTTGTGCATTATATGATCCGGTTGCTTCTGAAAATAACTATTTCTAGAATATTAATTATGTTTTAATCATACCTTCTTGGCATGTCTGTTTGTAGTCACTCTGAGTTCTCGGACGCGATGCGAAAGATAACGAACAATATTCAAATCATCATATTCCGCTAGAATGTTTCGTACCAATTTGCGGATTTCCGGAAGCTGTACAAACAAAAAAAATCAATTCTTTAAAAGTTAGAAATACAAACCTCATCCATTGCTTTAATTTTTTTGATCATTTGAAGACGCATTTTCAATCGATTGTTTGTTTTTGAGAAGAAAAACTAACTGAAATGTGTTATCAAGTAAAGAATGACTAACAAAAATTGGAAAAAAAAATAGGAATCATTTGGTGAACACAGCATTTTATTGCGAAATAGAATAGATAAACAACACGTTGATCAAACATTTTATTTTCAGGTGCAGAAAAAATTGTCATGTGGGAGAAAATTATGAGAAAACAGATATTTTATAAATTACACAATAACAACATGAGAATAACTGATTATCCGGATTTTTTTTAAATGACAAACACAGCATGTGCGCTCTATAGCACACTCCTTTTTCTTTTGACTAATTTTCGGATCGCTTCTAGGTGTTATTGCGTATTTAATACACGTTTCCAATGCAAGTCGAGTTACAGTATTTTTGAAAATTTGTGCAAAATCCTATGATGTTGAGATACAGTCATTTGAGAACTTATGAGAAATCAAGTCACGAAAAATTGAGATTAAATCAGAAAATAACCGGCGAAAATGAGTGAATATGCATCATATTTGAAAGAAGATTTCAAATTAAAAGAATAGTGGGCAAAGTGAATATACAAATTTGAACGCTATAAGTATGAAGGTGTATTTGAAGATCAATTTCCATAAATGTAGTGATCAATAATAATGTAGCCAACATAATATATTTGAACATAAATTGCACATTGCATGATAACCAACAAGGCTGGATGATAGAATTCGAGTGCTAATATGTTCACATCTGCCGCAGCAGCTTCGACTACTGAAAAATTGATCAATTTGTTAGTCTGTTTCTACAAAACAATATCTGCAAACGATAACAGAACCAAACAGCCTTACAAACGTATAATATGGGTTTTTTCCGATTATGAAAGCACTAAAAGTCGATTTGTGCCACAAATTTTTGTAAAGAGGTTTCAGAGATCGTAAATGAAATATGGATTATTGTCGTTTCAGTCAAGTTCCATTTCAAAATTTTGATTTTTCAAGTTGGATAGTACTTCAGGCATGTTATCCGTTTCTAAACCTGCTTTTTAAAAGAACGCGTAACTTCACGCAACGACACTTTTTTTTTGAAAAAGAAATCATCCAAAAATCTCACCATTAAAAACCAAAGACATCAAAGCTTTAGCACGATCCCACAAACTACTATCGTGATGTTCGTGAGAATGATGAATATGACTATGGCGACACATACGCTGAGATTGTGGAACAACAACTTCTTCCGTATTCGTTGTCTCATCACGAATAATATGAGAAAATGTAACAGCAGATCGATTTGGGCATTCTGGAGATGGTGGTGGGCCTATGCGAAAAACTTCTGAAACGACTCGAATATTTGCAGAACAAGTTTCAAAAATCAGAAAAAAAACTCACTCATCTCAATTTCTTCTTCTTTTTCTTCTTTTCTCGTTTTTGCTCTGGTTTTTCCTGAGAAGTAGGCATTTTTTCCGTGGAAAAATGTAGTTTTCGAAGGGTTTTTTCCAAGTTGACTGTAAAATTAGAAATTGAAATTAACTCGGAAAAAATTAGATTATTAATGTGAAGACAGGTGTTGAAATTTTCAAAAAAAACCGAAAAACAAACATTTGAATAGGATTACAAATTTTAAAGAGTATTTTTAAAATCAAACTGAAAAATTTAAGAATTCCGAAATTTTCAAAATATTTCTTTTGTTTTCTTCCTCCTTCATGAAATGAAAAATAAAAAATTCCATTTTTTTGGAAAAGTCTTTGCGCAAAAAAATTTACGATTTTCAACTTTTTTTGTTTGAAAAGTAATAAATCAATCAACAAAGTTTCCACGAAGAGCTTTCCGATTTTTTTCAAAGTTCAAAATAATATTGATCGGAACAAACCAAGATCATGATAGAACAACAAAACTTGAAAAACAGTTAGTTCTGGAAAAAAAAGTTTTCATTTGATTTCGAAATGTTATTGTAACAACAACATCAATGATATATTCGAAGTAAACTTCAAACATGATATTCCGAAGAGGTTGGGAAACTGAAGATAATTTTTTCCTTCTAAAAAACTTTCAAAAATGTTTCTCCAACGCTGGAAAAAACTAAATTCAAGGAAACATTGAAAAGCGAAAAAGTAATAAATATTTAGGAGAATGACAATCCGAAAAGATTTTGGGTTCAAAGAGCTACAGTAATTCGAAAACAGGTGTCCATTGGAAAAAGGAAGACTCTCGTAAAAAAATGAGGAAGGACGCCAAGAACAGCGCCCCGAAAAATCGATAAATTGGATTTTTTTTCGAATTTTTTCGGAAAATATTTTTGTATGACCTTTTTTCAAAATAATGAGTATTTGTTTTGATTTTTGAGTGCTTTTCGAGGCGGAGTTGGGTCAACCAGATGTTTTTGTTCTTTTTTGCGGTTTTTACATAAACAATGTTTATTTTTTTAGAATTGGTTGATTGTCATTCTGAAAAAAAGAAATGGAATAATGAGGCGATAACTGGAAATTTTAAAATAAATCTGCAAAAAAGGTAAGTATTTTTTGAATGCTGTAATTGAAAATACTGTGAATCAACAAAAATGTTAATGTTTGTATGCCAACAGAAATAGATCAAATTTTTCAAAATTACTTTATTTTTCCGAAAAAAAACTAGAACATGTATGAAACTTTTGCATCTCCGTTTCCAGTAGTTATATTTCTCACGCATCTGAAAAATTAGTTTTTTTTGGAACACGTACAAACATTTTTACCTGGTTTGGCAGTCTTCCAAAGTTTTAAAATTATTTTTTGATCTTCCACATCCAGTGTAATGAAACCCTTTGCATTGTTTAGAATTTTTATTGTAATAATATCTATTCGAGCTGCTCTCGCACCATTTTCCACGGTCCAATTTGTCTCTACAGGGGTCTGAAAAAATTGCTTTCAGGTTAGGTGAAATTGAAAAATTGGTAAAACCAACCTGTTACATTTTTCTTTTTTATGGCAAAACCATCACAAACTCCAAGAATAAGAACAACTAGAAAAATCAAAGTAAATCTCATACTTGACTGTGAAACTCATGCTGGAACTCAGAATTTATATAGTGTTTCTGAAAACTAGGCAGTGTGAGAAATTAAAAGACCCATAATATTTTTTCAGAAGCTCATCAAATGGGAGAAGACTTTATGGGGTCACAGATATGTTTCAGATTCTCTGCTGTAATTTTTTGCTGTGTCTCTCGATTTTATACTCTCTCTCTCTCTATAAATGTCAACAGCTTTTAAATTTTTGGGAAATGATTTTTCGAAGAAAAAAATAAGCTCATAAAATTAGAAACGATTTTATGGGATCTCGGATCATCTTTTAATCTCTCTATATTTTCTTGTTCAAGTTTTCAGAGTTCGCACTAGGAATGAAGTAAAGATTTATTATCAGGATGTATTAGGCTAAGTTTTGTCATTTTAATATGATGTAGTTCAATTTTTGAAACAGCACTTATATACTTTTTTTAAAAGCAAAAAATGTTCTTTTCAACTTATTTTAATATATAATTATGATTCGTGTAGATGTTTGTATTTTGTGCTTGGTGCAGATGTTAACCAAGTTCACTTCTAAATCGAATTATAAATATAGCTTTCTGAAAAAAAAAATAATTTTAATGTCAAAGTGCTTTGTTAATTTGATTTTTATAAGTTCTACAAGTAAATATTTTGACAAGAATAAATATGATACACCTTTTGAGTAAAAACGTTATTGTTTCTTTATCCAGAGCAAGTCTTACATAATTCGAGTTGAGTTTACAAAAAATTCACAATAAAAGTTGTGTCTCAGGAACTTGATATTTCAATTTGACAAAAACATAACTTTGAGTTATGATTCACTGTTTCATCATCTCCGATAGAATTGCAATCTCTGATGAAATGTTTGGTTTAGAGACCGTATTTATATTTGGACAATTTTTTTCATGGGATTCTATTTTGGAACCGTGATACCAGAATAACAATATTATTCTTCATAATACTTCATTATCAAAAATGTTTTGTACCTTCATAGAAACCGTTGAACATATTCTAGATAATTTTCACATGGAAAACACGCAATGAATTCACCTGCTTTGTTTTTCACGTCAACTTCACACAAATCACATAATTTCACCAAAATCTTAGGATATAATAATGAAAAACTGTATTATTAATGAAACTTTACCCTTTGGGACAATAATCGCTAGACTACTAGATTATTTCTTCGTTTGTGTTTACATTTTTGTGGCTACATAGATTCGATTATTTATTTTTCACGTAGTATTATTTCTAAACCGTAAATCAAATTTCGATCTTGTGAATTTATTCTACGTGAATCATTAATCAGTTTACAAAACGAGATGTGCGATCTCTATCGACTTCAACTAACATATTTTACACGCAAAAACTAAACCCGTGGAAATTGCATCATTCAGCTATATGTGAACTGTGATGTTCATCGAGTTCATATTGTTCACGTGAAAAACAACTGACAAACAAAGATCATTTTTTTGCAGTGACAGACTTTTTTGTTATTCATTAAAAATCCATCCAATCACAATGATACCTACAGTTTCCAAATATTTCTTCCAAATACCAAAAATAAAGTGATCTTTCATGTATTTTGTCATAACACAAATCGTATGAAAACGAGAGAAAAACTATTGATATCAGTTAAAGTTGTTTGATGAATTGGTCGCAAATAAACACGTGTTGAGAAAGATAAGAAAACTCAAAGAATGAGCAATCAATCGGGTACATATTATCGTCTTCTCTATGTCTCATCAATGAAGAAATTTTTGTAATTTAATCACCATCAGAATATGAACTTTTCACGTCAGTGATCACAACGTAGTTGAAAATAACAATGCTTTTTGTTCGAAACGAAAAAAATAGTGTACTGTATTTTGATTCAAAAGTGTAAGATTTCATCATAAAATAATATATTTTCACTTGTTTTGATTTGCATCATATTGCAATCTTCTCACAAAAAACCTTTGCTTCGTACAAATAATGAAAACAACTGAAGTAATTTTTTGAGCTTTTGATTTTACATCATTCTGATTGTGAAAACAAAAAATCAAAAACACACATTTTTTCACACATCAAAACCCCCATGAAAACTTTTCGGTTTTCATTGACAGATTTTATGAGTGTTTGATCTGGTCCTAGCTGACGCAATTTTTCTAGTGAAAAAGTGTGTTGATTATACGCTTGGAAATTAAAAATAACGATTTCAAATGAAATAAACCTTCTATTATTCAAATAGTGCATCTTCAAAAAAAACTTGAAGTTCATAAATAAATATATATATCTTACTAATATAAGTTTTTTGATTTCAATGATTTCACCATATCCAAGAAAAACTCGCTCCCCAACTTGTTTTATTTCTCATTTTCAGCTTTGCTGCGTGTTTTTCCTCTCACTGATCAACAAACCAACCACATGTGAATATGTAGCTTTTTCAGTGATAGCGGTAAATAATTATTTGGTTTTTTTTGAAAATAACTTTTTTGCTGACTGAGATCAGGCAAATCAACTTGTTTCAATGCTCATAAAGTTAGTGCATTAAACTCGTAATTTTCACCAGAAGAAGAAACTTCATTTTTCGAGTGTTAGCGAAACAACTCTTTCACACTTGAATCAAACACAATTAGGAGGGAATAATGTAGTCTGTTTTGTTATTCGGCGGAAAGCAAAAAGTGTTTTTTGGTAAGCCGCTCGATTCGTTTGATCAGTCTTTGAATGACTGAAATATTTTGGGTTCTCAGAAATATGAGAAATGTGGAAATATTGAGATTATTAAGATTACATGAGCAAAGTACCGATACTGGTCTGGAGTCAAAGACAATATATTGGTACGGTATTATCTCCCAAACTGTAATATGTTATGTTAACAAAATTAATGTGTTTTTTGAAAAAAGAAACATGAATGACCTGAAAAAAGTACCCTACAGTATTTCTTACCATCTCTAGACATTCAAACAAATGAATGTTCTTTGTTTGAGAATCACATGAACTTAATCAAAAAAGTAAAGACGATAAGTAAATGTTTTTTGAAATCAGTGAAACTACAGTATGTTTCTCAAATAAATAATGATTTTATTTGGGGACGTGAGAAATTCACATGAAACTCTTCAAGCCTCATAATAATTGCACCGAATCGAGCAACTGCTTTTTATGCAATAACAGTTAGTTATCATTATTTTCCAACGTGAAATAATTACAGTACTCTTATCTCAAGATTTCTTTCTTTCCAAAAAAACAGCCAGTAGATTATATGTAACAACAGTTGGTATTTCAAAATAAATTTTATTATTGTTCTAGCCAAAATTACAAAAAATCACTAATACATAATAAAACCAGGGTGACAATTTTAAAGTACAATCAGAACCGTTTGGAAGAATTTAAAAGGGTAAGTTAGGGGCAAAATATGTATATGGAATGTATAAAGGATAGAAGAAGTAGTGGGACCAGGGTTTTTGCGAGATCACGATATTTTCATTTGAGACACATTGCATTTGGATACATTATTAGAGTTGAACAATTCAAAATCGAACAGTCATTTGTCGTTCATATGGATAAACTGAAGGTGTTGGTTCAGTATTCATTTTTCCAAGAAGTGACTGTGTCAATGCAATGATTGCTTCTTGTGATGACGCGATCAAGTTATTCAAATCAGTTGGATTCATTGTAGAGAGTGCAACAGGGCTTTGTGGAAGAACTGTTGTAGGTACTTGAATTGGGACGGATACTGGGATATTGACTGGGAGAGCAATTGGTGAGATCGAGATTTGTGGAAGTGTTGTGATATTGAGTGGTGAGGTTGATGGTTCACGTTCTTTCACTGAAAAATAAAACATTGAATGATTTGTTTTTCCAATTTTATTATTGAAACTTACATTTTTCTTCCAAAAGTTCATTCTTTCTTCTAAGCTCTTCCATATTTCTTTGATTCTCATTGATTCGTGATTGCATAGCAGAGATGTATTCAACAGCGCGTTTCAAAATCAAGGCTCTTGAACTCTTTTCTCCTTCCAAAAGTGGGATGGCATCTTTCAAAATCAAAAAGTGATCTTTAATATGATCACGTCTTCTACGTTCCAATTCATTGTGATGAGCTCTGCGGTCATCATCGATTGAAGGACTCGAAGATTTTGGACTTGATGCACCATCGTCCTGAAAAAAAATTAATATTAAAATCAAGAAAATTCATTTGAGTTAAGGTAACTTACATCAGAGCAGTCTGAATGTTGTCGTTTTCTGTATTCATGTTTAACTGTCGAAGCAGCGAAGACGTCTTCAACCGAATTCATCATCATTGTTAAGTGTTTGTGAGTTGTGAGATTTGTAGCTGTAAACAAAAACAATAGTAAAATAATTTTCAAAAAAAGACAAAGATCAACAAAAAAGTATATACAAAAATACAGTATTGACAGGTATTTCAAAAATAGAAAACCACCTCCATCGAAGGCAGCTAAAAACATATTATGTTTGCTGGCAAAAGAAAAAAGAAGGCGGTGTTTATTTCATAGAGAAAAAGGGGTGGAGTCGACTCCTCCCACAACACGCGGTGACCGATTGAATGTTCTCTGAAGGCAAGACACACGTTGGCTTCCCTTGCGGGTACAATCAGTGATAGAAATGAATGGGATAGGCGTGTGTATGTGTGTGTGTGGGGGATGATGAAAATGTGTACTATGATACAAAACTTGTGTGTTCATTGAAATTAAGAGAGTTGAAAAAGAAAAAGGAAAGAGAAATGGAAAAAATGTAATTTGTTTTAAAAGAAACAAAGTTTTTGAGCCATAGGTGTTTCGTTGCTCCTTGGGTATTTCTCACGTTTATGGGTTTATTGAATAGAATAGTGCAGGTGGAGATCTGTGATGTATAAAAGCAATTCTAATTTCATAACATGCGCTGAGAAAAACCAATAATGCTTTTTGTCAACGACTAGAATACGTTGTACTTTTTGCGTATTTTGTTGGATTTGAATTGATTGGATGGAAAGACTTCCTTGTTTATCTTCTAAATTTCCACATTGAATCAAAAAAGGAGAAGCAATAAAACTATGTAGCTTTCTAGCTAAATTCTATACTCCGGAGGGACAAAGAGCAGTATTAAAAACGCAATATTTGTTGAGAGGTGATAAAGTGCAAACTGCAAGCGACGCGTGGTTTTTTGTTGTATATATGTGTGTGTGTGTGTCATATCAGAATAGAACACTATTTTCCATTGTGTTTTTTCACGTGAACACACTAAAAAAATCTTCAAAAGTGATCAACCCAATGTTTATCACATGTGAAAACGATGTCGGGTCAAAGTATCCGAGTTATTTTTCAATCGCTGTTGCTCTTGGCTTTTTGTGTACCCGGCAAAAATACACTCTACATTTTTTTGTTTGCATTTGAACAAGTAAAACGTAGCCACTCTGGTGACAATGCAAAAAATAAATCGTTCTTTGATGTCAACTCAGGTAGAATCACAGAACGACCAAAAAAGTAATATCCGACCACCCAACCAAGTTACAGTAGGTGTTCTTTGATGTGGCTATGAAAAATATCTGACATGCGGAGAAAGGCGACCAATGATAAGAAACACACATTTTTCCAAAGGAACTGGTTATTTTCACGTACTTATTTTACTGGTTTTTGTTCGACAACCATTTGGTTTGAAATATGTTTTAAAAATTGGGAAAAATGCTTGAACAAACAATTTTTCGATGAAATATGGTATTCTGTAACATCAGCCAAGCTGAGCTAATAAAACAGTTTTTTGATGAATGAGAGTTCTTGCGGTTCATTTTTCAGAAATGTGTTGTACTCTCTTATCACTTACAATGATTCCAAGAACAAAACTATGCGGAATTTTTCAATTGATAAAAAAATGAAAACACAAAGATGAATGTCCTATGTTTTGAAAACAGAGATTTTGAAAATCTTTTATAAGCTTCGGAAATATTATTTATCAACGTTTATCTCGTGAGTGATTATTCAGTTAATCCGATTTCACCCTCCTTGATTCAAGAAACATAATTTAATTCAACATCCGGAGACTGAAGGTGGATTTTCTCAAAAACTGATGTGATTATTTTAAAGAGATTAAAATGTTTGTTCAAAAATGGATTAAGTCTTTTTTTCACATATATTCAATTGGATATCTCTTAATCTCATATGGTATTTGAGGGTGGAAAAAATCAAGGAGATTAACAACATGTAGGTGGGAAGCGAAATGAAATTTTGATTTTCTCTTTGTTTCAAAAAATACTTCTTCAACTTCAATGAACTTCATTTATTTCAAAGAACTTCATTTTTATAGACTTTTTAATTGTGGAATCCAATGTTTTCATCATAAAATTATTTGTCGGTTTTTGTTTTCGTGTATGTCAGTAGACAAAAGTAATCATCTATCCACGTGAAAAAATCATGGCGCACAAGAAAACACTCAGAACGAACTCGTTAGATGCATTCAGCAGAAAAAAGATGATAGAAAAATGGTATTTATATCTAAAATTGTGGAAACACACTTTTGTTCGATCAAAAAAGAATAAAAAAGGGTGAAAGATAACACGCGCTACACTTTTTACGTTTTTTCAGAATTGGAAAATTTTCCGATACAATCAATCTTATGACCTTTTTTAAAATGCAAAAGCATGATAACTTTCATTTTTGTGTGTGAAAAAAAACTGAAATCACAATCACGTGCTGATAAGATTGTGGACAAAACTGAACTGTGATCGTAGCTAAAAAATTGTAAAATCATTTGTATTTGATCTGCTTGATCTAACATAAAATTGCCGTAAAAACTTTTTGTGTGTAAAATTTCGAAGAAATCTGTTGAAAGAAGAATCAAAAAATCAATTCATAATGCATTATGTTCATAAAATTATCGGCGATATAACGAAATTATGATGTATTCGACAGCTAAAATAATTATGGAAGATTTGTCAATAGTTTTGGCAACATTGTCTCAAACACTTTACACATTCAAATATAGTTTTCATTTTTTGATGGAAATTTTTCACATTCGAGGTCATACTTGCACAAAATACTTTACTGATCCTATGAATATTCATAATATGAACTAACAAAAAATTGTTTGTAAAACAGTCGATTCATGGGGGAATCCCCCTTATCATAGTTGACGTCAAAGTACCACACACTGGGAAATATTATAGACATTAATGGAAACTGATGCAATATCATGATAATAGAAAAAAATAGTTTATTCAAACAAAGTTTTGCATAAATTTTGAGTTTGGGGAACCCGCGGTCAAATTAAGGAAAACAAATATTTGAACATGTTTTTTTTAATGAACAAAAACGTGGTCTTGAATACATCTTATCGTTATTTGCAATCTATCGTTTTTGATTTGTTCAAAACAAACAATTTTTGGATAAATAATATCCTATTATTCTCAACTATTTTCTCTCTATCTGATCATTAGACAAAACCAAACAACAGCATGCTCTGAGCATTGAAACAACTTTTTCTATTTCATTTTGTTGAGCTTTGAGAAATCACCTATTTTTTTCTTTCCGGGGAAACCCTATCATCAAAAAGGAAGTTCTTTGGAGTACATAGTTGTTTTACATAAAATAAAACAGTGAAAACCCCGATTACGAGTTGAAGAAGAAAATAATCCGATGTTGTACGTGTCATGGAAAAAATGCATTTTTTTGTAGGGAATTCCCAGTGCGTACTGTGATGTGTTGATCAACTGTTGAACTTTGTCCAAAAAGAGGGGTTTCCCAAACCAAAAGTGTGTTTTATATTAGATAGACGGTTGATAGTTCTTGATATGAAAAACAATTGAATCTGATTGATGTTTTGGAATGTTTTGCAAAGACACAATATGATTTTAGCAGAAATCCAGAGAGATAATTTGCTATAAGAATCTTATAAACACAATTTTTGCCACATTTATGAAAATCAATATTGTGAAATTGTTCGAGAATCAATATGGCCTAGAAAACCGCAAATACCGATATAGTCTACTGGTTTGAAAATTTCAAATGTATTTGATTAACGAAGAACACGTCATCTTAAGAGTTCAAGGTTATCTCAGAACACAGTCAACGGTTCAACATTTGAACCCTCCCGGTTTTTCCAAAAAAAACCATATATTTTCCTGTTATCAGTTCCACTTACAGTTCCAGTTTTCAGAGAAATCTATATTTTTTCAAAGAATGGATGGGGTTTCCCCAAAAATGGAAATTTTCATATCGAAAACTATTTTTTTTTGTTTCAATAATCGGGTTTGTGAGTACATTATCATACAAAACTATTATCACAACTTCCTTTAACTTCAAGTTGATTTTTTGAGCGATAACATCTTTAAAATTACAACATCAAAAAATTTCGAAAATGAAAACGATTTGTATCGATTCTCAATTCCTACTAATACTTTCCACATGCTTATCGCACGTTTTCTTTCCAAATCAAAAACTGTTCAATGGTCTTATCTTTTTTCTTCTTTTCTCAATTTTTTCGGGTTCAACGTAGGCAATCATTCACGTGCAACTATATATTTGAACATGTGACTTTTCACATGACCACTTTTTTCATTTACCGATATTTTCAGGATGAGGCTAAAAAACATAGATTGTTTTTGGCCAAGCCAATTTTGCAAGATGAACGAAATGTAAAAAATCTTGCAAAAAAATAGCCAAATGGAAAAAAATTTCAATTTTTTGTGTTTGGTTCACAGAACATCGAATAATTTTAAAACTCTCCAAAAGTCAACTTTATATTTTTTCAGTCATATTATAGAATTACGGTTTGGTTTTTTGTGAGAATACATTTGAATGAATATTGTGAGATTGAATTTCTAATGCGGTTTTTGTCAACAAACACAATATAAAAATTGAATATGCAGAAGCACAATCTGGAGTTTTGACAAAAATCATGAAAGAAAATATAGATTTGATGGAATTTTTCCATAAAATATACGCAAAATCTCCGTGAATCAGATATATTCAATCTGAATATTACAAAGCGAATCGGGGTGGACCAGATAATATATTTTGAATACCCGTTTGTTGAAGTCATAAGGATAGGAAACATATGACAGTCATAACGGAAAAACGAAAATATGGAAATAATAAAGGGATTTCGGAAATGCTACACATGTCTAGTAATTTTTAAGTTTAATTGAGATTTTCAAATGCTGTAGGTTTTCTATAAATTATTCGTTTCAGAAATAGTTTTCTGGCTTTACCAAGAGCTCAGCAGCTAGTTTTCACAGCATCGTGATCAGCATTTTGAGTTCTATGAAACACTAAGTCCTATCACGTTTATAGAACCGAAATCATCAATATCACATTCTTATAATCACAAAAATTGTGTTCAATTTTTTTGCGCGTGCTTTGTGATCTGCCTTGTGTTTCATATTCAGATAAAATCGTAAACCTCGTTGTGAACTCATTTCAATTACAAAAAAAACTACGATCAGATATCCGACATATGACACAATTTACCTGCAAAATATTTCTGGTGCACGGAATTTAACTTGGTTTAAGTAACTTGAAAAAATATTGAGAATCTAAATTTACTGTATTGTGTCTTTCTTCTTGCAGAAATTTCAAAACAAGATTCACATGTTGAGGATCATGACATTCATTCTCACATTGTTGAACATGTCCTTGTTCTTGGAAAACGCGTTTTGAAATACACACGTATTATTGTATAGTGTTGATATTCATCTCAACATACAAACATTTCAAGAAATTCATAAATTTTCACTTTTTTTATTTATCTCACAGATTGGTTCTTTATAATTCCAAATCTGAGTATGCCTTATGTTTCCAACACTTTTTCATGCGGAAACAGATAAAATCTATGTTTTATTCCGGGGATATTCACCTCACATCAAGATATCACAGTTGGCCATGCATTTTCATAAAATCTTCCGACAGCCGGACACATCGCGATTATTAATAAGAGTAACACAGAGAAGGGATCGGGTTTTCAAATAAAATGTAATTATTTTTTTGATTGAAATAAACAATTTCGAAATTCATTTGAAACTGATCTCGAAAAAAAGCAGATGAATCATTCCGTTGAACCATAGTTCTATCATTAAGTGGACCAATAGAAAATGTTATCAAACCTACAGTAACCCACAAACAATCTTCCCACCGATCACAAACTTTATTTGTGATATTCACATGTTTGTGTCAACTTTTTTTGCTCCTTATCGTGAAACGCGCAATTTTCAACTACGTCTTTTGGAAGAAACAAAACTAAATTCACATGATTCATCAAGCCATCCATTTCAAAGAACAATCAAAATACTTTTTTGGAAACAATAAAACAACGGGGGTGAAAACTCATTTTAATTACGTCTTTAAATTGTTTTATTGAACGATGTGAACTTGGACGGATAAGGTCATATGGGGGTTTTGACAGACACAAACAATCAAATGTCGGAACAAGATCAAAAAGTTCAAAACGTGGTATTTTGTACAATGATTTCTTCCGCGTGGAGACGTTGATATGATTAATATTCGTGTTTTTGGCTATGAATCATTCCGTTCAATTTGATTGATAAAAAAGAAATATAATTATTCATGTTAACAATACAATGAAATCTTTACAGTTCTCACGGTCTGATGCCTTTTTTCAAATAAAAACCAATGTATGGCCTCACACAAGAGAATATTCAATTTTGATAGAATGAATACCTTCGACCGAAAAAACATGGGGGACTTTTGACAATCTGACACAGCTAAACTACTTGAAACACCATTTTTTCCAATAATACGGTAATTTTTAATTATTTTCAGAGCAAACAAAAATCACATACAGTTTAGTAGAAATCGAAACGATAAGAAAAATGACAAAGTTCATCAACACAAGGTTCTTTGATCAGCGTCCAAAAAAATTCTGATAAAACAATTTTTCTTTGTGTCAAGTGCATTTGATCAAAAATCGAGTAAACTTTTTGGGTCATACAATGGGGAATGAAAACATTTTCACAATATTTTGAAAATTTTTTGAATATAATTCATTTGCTGGAAAAGTGCTACTTGGAACTTGAATTGATTATTTCAGAATTGAAATAATGAAAAAAATATTATTGACCTATCATATTTTTTTTTTGAGAAAAATAAAAAAAAAACAGAGTGATAATCATGTCAAATGCTGAGATTTTGAATTAATTATATTCTTCTTTTTCAGATCAATTATTGATTTGATTCCTAGTTCTTGTTTAAAAGTGCAGGTGATCAGTGATCTTTTCAATCGCATTCATTTTTTTCATCATCAATTTTTCACCACAACAGCCGTCGAAAAATCTATCAAAAATCATCAGACAATCAGTTTCAAGACAAACAAAGAAATTATTGGAAGGAAGTGGAAATAATACTGCAAGCTAACACTTCATAGAACGATCATAATTGGATTACTGTAGCACGTGAATGGGCGCATTTAATACGTGATATAAATTGGAAAATGTGAGGGTTTGATGTATGTCTTCGTATTTGATGTTTTTTCATTGATATGATTCGATTTTACATGAAAATTGGCCATCGAAAAATGAATAAGAGATTCAAAAGTTCAAACTTCCAATTGTGATATGTGAACATTTTCTCATTCTCATTTTTACGAGAGATGACGAAACTAAACACTATCAATATTTTTGTTTTTTTTCACACTTTGAAGGAAGGGAATGAAAATTCAAGCAAAATGAAGAGTGAAAAATTCGAAATTTACAAAAAATGTTCTTGAGTATATAATAATCAATAACAAAAAAAATAACTTATAAAACTATTTTGACATTTCTTCTGTGGTGAAATCATACTTCAAAGCACTCTTGAATAATCAGTATCGAGACTACAATCAACAAAAAAATCAACCGAGTTTATTTCTTTCTCCTCATATTTCATCATTTTGCACTACAAATTGTTCGTTTCTGTGTGTTGATGTTTCTCAAACTTCCTCTGATTTTTTTCGATTTAATGGATATCACCACAGAACACACAGTTTTTAGGGCGTTGCATGTTAGGAAATAGAAGACAATTGAAAGAACGATCAGCCGATGTTAGAAAATTACGGTATCTTGAGATTGTTACAATTTGTTAGTCATAAGGGGGATTCTTTTTGGCCTGCGAATTGAATGAAAATTTTACAGTAGAGAAATACGAGGCTGCAAGTAATATACATACTTACATACTAATATTTATTGAAGACGTGTTTGAATGAATTACATAATATTTCGAAATTTTGAAGTCGTTTTATCGGAGTTAAAAAAAACAATTTTACAAGGAAACTTTTTGAAAGAACATCACTGTTTTTTTTTAGGATATTTTACTGACAGCAAATTTTTCAAAAACTCTCACAAGAAATGAAAAAATGCTCTAGAGTGGTAAAATAATGATCTCTTGTATCTGATAGACGTAACTTCCTCTTGGTTAAGGGAAAAAAGAAAAGGGGTGAGCCGTTTTCTAAATTTCTAATAATTGCGGATCATGCATTTTCTAGACCATTTCTGCGGCTAGCTGGTGTCTCTTGTTTAAGCCTAATTTAAGTCACGTGAACTATAACATTTTGAAATTGGTTTCTAAAATTTTCCCGATCGTGTAAATTTCTGAAAAATATAATTTTTTTTTCTGCAATAAAAGTAATGCCAAAATCTCGAAACTAATCAACCAAACCTATTTGACCAAATGTTCATTTTTTGATGATCTTAAGAATTTTATATTTGGTAGAACCGAAGATTCCGATATCAAAAAAGACTGCATTTCTCTGTTGTCTGAAATCAATCATATTTGTTTTTTATTACCATCCATGATAATAAACAACAACACACACACACACACACACACACTTAATAAATAAAATCATACCATTTCTTATTTATTTCATTTATGTAGAACCGTTTTGTGAACAAAGTCCAATGTTCAGTCATTGTTGAATTAGAACACTTTGATTGGTTTTTTGCTATCAGCTTTTGAGATCATTGGAACAACCACGCTTCCGACACGTTTTCAGGTCGAGAAAAATCAAAAAGAGATCATTTTTTGAGAAACACAAAAATCAGTAATAAAAAAGAGGGACTACCAATTAGATATTTATTCTTTCAAAAAACAATGGATCTTCTGTATATACAGAATATGTTTGTAAAGCAATATATGGAATGTATTCAAATATATCTTTCTAAATGGGATATCAATTTACAACTGAAAGATCACAGTTGAGGATAAAAGAAACTTTGAAAAACCAGTGTGTGAAAAGTCATGGAAGCATCACAGTTACAAGATAAAAACAAGTGAAACAAAAACGAACTACATATATTTTCAAATATCTAATTTGGAGTTGACAACAAGAAATGAGTACCGGTCAATTGAGCTGGGATGGCATTCAACAAAATTTGAAGAAAGAAAAACGAGAAAACAAAACCACAAATTGAAAGTGAGAGATTGTAAAATGCCATTTCACGGAAAATTTCGATTGGGCTCACTGTTACCGGAATAAAAAGCATTGTTGAACATAAAAAACTCTGAAAAAAACATAATATGTATCATATGTTCTTAGGATCAAAGAAAACATACCATAAAAACTGGAATGAATGATTTTCTCAAAGTTTCGTAGACTCGGTCTTTTCGCTCAGCTTTTGCGTTAGTTCGGATAGCCTGAAAAATATTCGTTGAAAAAAGATTTTGAGACATGTAGCTCTGAGTTATAAAGCAAAGTTAGAGAACTGTGCACTAGAGAAGCTTCAAGAATATTTTTAAAATTCCACACCTGTTGGAAGAAATAACTGAAGTGTGTTGTGTATTTTGGCGCGATTGCAGCAATAATGAGACAGAATGCCGCAGTAAATGGATTGATGTATAGTCCAAACATTACTGGAATTGAGACCGCTCCACAGTAAATAAACAAGCAGATGAAAGTGTGTGTTGCAGTTACAGCAAAATTACCAATAAAAATAAAACCTCCAAGGAACATTGTGAAATATGCAGCAATTGGAACGCTGAAAATATAATCATATTTTTTGTGTCATCGAGAACCTTCAAGTCTGCAGAAAATTTGAAATGCCTTTTTTGATAAAAACTTACAAAATTATGACGCTTGTTGTTTGTTCAATAACATCTGCAAATCCGACTTCAGTATCAAATGGATATGCTTCAAATTGTGGATATTTTCTTGTGATTGATCTACATATTCGGAATAATTCCACTTTATCAGCGAGACTTGTTGTATTTTTGAATGTCACAATGTGAACCATGTTTGTTATAGTTGTTCCGCCCCTGAAATTGTGTGTGAAAATCAATTTCAAAAAGAAAAAAAACTCTTACTCCAAATCAGTTGTATATTTTACTCCTGCCTTCCAATTGCCGTAAATCGCATCATTCATGAAATTTGGAAATCCGGTCATGTTCAGGGCTGAAAAATGTTTATGATTGTTGAAAATCACGTTTGAATTGAATAGCCTAGAAAAAAATTATTAGCCGTGGATAAAAAGTGAAAAATATGTATTTCTAGATAACTCAAATATGTTGAAAAAATCCTAGTGAAGAAATTGGGTGGAATTGGGGGACTATGAAATATTCTCTACCCATTTTTGCGGTCCGTCCCAAACCCCCGGCATATTTTAGCTGGAAATGTTTGCGATTGACCTAGAAAATAATTTAGGCTATTTTTTTTAGCTTAATAGAGAATGGTCTTCTAGCTCTTCCATTTCTTAAATGTTTTTTTCAAAATCCAAAAATTGAAGAATTTTTTTAAACTTCAAACATAGCAGCAATTATCTAGAGATGATAACTATCGACTATTCATCACATTCAGTTCCCAAACAATTTAAACTCACATTCGACACTGGGATCACTATTCATAAATGTGCTGAAATCGTTAATCCATGTCATATCTGTGGAATTATCCATTTTATTGCTGATATTTCCAATTTCAGCGATCAATGATTTATATTGGCCATATTCAACAGGATCAGAAAAATTTGGAGGTTTTGTGATGAAAAAGAGAATCGAGAAAAATTGAGGCCAAACAATATCGGACATTAGATGAACTCCTTCATTTCTTGGAGAATCTTTTGGAAGAAGTTGACGATAGTCAAGATTTCCTTTGATCTGGAAATAAATTCATTTTTTTCTAGAACTTCTACTGCCAAAACTAACATCGGTGAAATAAAATGTAATAGCAATCGATAAAACAAGGAATATAATTGCAAATATTTTCAATTTCGGTGAACTAGCAATCACTTCACAAATTCCATCTGAAATTATTGTTATTTTTTCAAATAATGAAATTATTGGAACTCACGTGAACAACTACTTGTTGGATTATTGAAAGAAGTTCTTGAAAAATCTTGAGTATTTGTGGCAACCGGTAAAAATGATTTAGCTGGGGCTAAAACCATGAGGATTGGAGCAAATAAAAACATCTGAAAATGGAAAATTGATTAAAAATGGATGATGAATAGGTAATTTCTCACCGTAAAGAAAACAGTTGAAATCAATATTAATCCAATTAACACTGAAAATGAAGCAAAATGAGGAATCGGTAGCCAAGCACAGAACAAGAATCCAATTGCAGTTGTAGAAGTGACAAAAATTGATGGCATACAAGTTGCAAAAACTTCTCGAAGATGTTCAGCTGGAGCATCTCGACGAAGTTCAGTATCGCTGAGCCATGTATGTGACAACATAATTATTGTGTCAAATGAATACATAAGAGCAAGGAATGGTGCAACTAGCACAATAATTGATATCTGGTAGGATAATAAATTATAAATGGCAAGAGATGTTATGAAACTTCCAATTGGAGTGATGAAAGCGAAAACCCAGATGAGTGGTGTGCTGAAAACATATTCATCTACTTATATATTATTTCCCGAGATGTCTTTTCGCATTTCAAGGTCAGGTGATTTCTTGCTATTCATAGTTCACTTGAATTTTTGAAAATTAGAATTCAAGATTAAAGTTCTTGAAACTTTCAGCTCGTAAAAAATCAACTCACAATTCGCATCTCAATTGATCGAATATTTTACTGAATGTAATGAAGACACAGAAAAGAAGAATCGATGCAAGAATGATTCCATATAACAGAAAGAGACCAGCATCCTTCATTCCTCCGGCAATTGCTTCCTGAAAATATTTACTTTGGTTGAATTCAACAAAAATTATTCAAATTTAGAATGGCTATTTATTAGTTTCAGAATTGCGAAGTTTATTTTGTTTCAACTAACCGACATCCCAGCTTCGCCATGCACAATAAAACGGACAGCCGCATTTTTATTTGAGTTATACTCATCCACATATTTTAAAGCAGTTCTTTCAAAAAGTGCCAAATCTTTTTGAACTTGTACATCATCACTAAATGCCATAAATACCAACATTGTATAATTTGATTGAATCATATCTCCACTCTAGAAACAAACAAGGGTTTTAATATAGTTTCTTTATTTTGTCAAACGTACCTCTGATGTTTTAACGTCATAAAAGTGTTTTCCAATATTTGAATGGTATTTCAAAATATGAGTTACCGGGTAAACCAAAGTGAAAAATATTTTTTCATATGTTGTGAATAACATATCGTTCAAGTTACACGTTTCACCGCAAAGATCAAGATATGTGATATCTTTTTGAGTAATTTCATCGTGTCGCAAGGTAAGATTTTTGATTCTCTGAAATTTTATTTTTTATGAACAGCGAGAAAAAGGAATACAAACCTTGTAGACATCTTCGATGATTGGAAATAAAGGATAATCATGTGTTGTTCCATTTGGACTTGTTGGAGTTGCAAAAAGAGCCATGTACCACGGTTTACCCTGAAAAAATGCAATTAGAAACTAAAACCCTAAATGTTGAATTCGTAAAAAAAACGGATTTCAACAATGATTCATAGAACAACAAACCATCAATTATTTTCATAAAATGAACATCCAAAAAAATACCGATTCGATCCCAAAGAAAAATCTTTTGAAAACCTACCACATTTTTTTGACTCGATCAATAGTTTCCTTTTACAAAATATATTATTTTGAATAAATGTCTTCTTCCTCTCACTAATTATTTCTTCATTTTCCACACTCTCTCACCTACTCTACTTCTCTAATAACTTGCGTCCCCCATTTCTCTTCATAGTTTCATTAATTTCATTTTATAATCACCTAAAGACTTCCTTATTATTTTGTTTTTCCTATTTTCATCTTTTTTCGCGCCTAGGTTAGGTTAGATTTAGGTTTTATACTTAAGGTCCAGCAGAGAGGCACTGCGTTTTTAAAATTAATTCATTTCTTTTTCTTATTTGTGTTTCCAATTCAGTCTAGAAATATCACTTTGGATAATTATTTAAACGAATTTTTTGAGAAAATACTTTTTTTTTGAAAAATTAAAAAATCATTTGAAAATATTCTTGTTTGAGGATCATTCAAACATTGCTTTTTTCATTCAATGGTTTGTGACATAAGGAACTTACTTGGTTCCCAAAGAATTCCATTTGTTTTCTCATTTCTGTAACTGACGGAGCATCTTTAGTTGTGTATCCTTCATTGAATCCCAGATCTATCGTAGGTCTGAAAATATTGAAAATATACATTGAATAGTGAACAAGAAATCATTTGGATTTTTTCATCGATTCTCTAATTGGTCGAAACCAAAACTTGATAGAATTTTTCGTACAATTATGAATGTTAGAAGATCAACTTACTTCCAAATAAACAAACTCGATTTGAAAAAAGTGATGAGTGACAACGAAAAAATTATCCAAAACCATGGGCGTTGTCCAATAAAAATTACCCAATGTTCCTAGTGTGGGTCCCAGTATCATCTGAAATAAATAAATATTAATCAATTAGTTTGTATTGTGAAACAAAACGACCAAAACAGTTATTTTTTCAAGATATTTTGTGAAAAGTGTCAAGTTTCATATACACAATGATCAATAGAAACTAACCACAAAAAAATAGGGAAATATAATTGACACTATGATAACAGTTTATATAAACTTGAGGAAAAATGGAACAAAAAATATATGAAATAGTAAATTGTGGGAATTGTGAAGCATTAAACAGATGATCTTATTTGAAAATATAGCGAACACGTGAGAAACCATCTTAATCAAATATTGAAAAGAACCAAGTGTGAGATTTTTTCGAAGAACGAAAAAAAGCAAAAATAGTAAAATTTAGGACCAACTGCTCTTGAACAGATGATCGTTAGGAAATTTTTAAAACAAAAGAAGAAAAAAACAAGGATTTCATGTTACTTATTTTATCATATATTTTTTGTTTGTTTTGTTTTTTTTTTTGCTTGGACGAGACGAGAAGTGGTATTGTACATATGCATGTGTGAGTGTGTATGTGTGTATTGAGAACAATAATTACTTTTTTGCGAGGCAACGAAATTGAGTTACTCATCAAAAAAAATTAACAGTTGTCTGATTTTTTTGTACTTTTAGTTCTCGTATGGGAAAGTCCAAACCTAGAAATTATGTCTATCAAATGTGAAAGAAGGGTAGAAATAAAATGTGTTATCAAACAGCAGAATGTAGTGTCTTAGAACTGTTCATTAGCAAAATGTTGCGGAATTCAAAATTAAGTCTGGTCAAAATTTTAATAATAAAAAATTAATATTGTTTTTGCGGAACAACATTCCAAATCAGGCGACAAATTTTTGAAAAAAAAAATCATAAGAATGAACATTAGAAAAGTTTTAAATATAAAAATGAGCAAAATAACGGCAAATTAAAATTTGAATTTCAAAGTACATTCTGTTATCAAACACTTTGCTTAAGGCTAAGCCTTAAAGATCGCTAGCTTGTGAAAATAATAACAACTCCAAATAAAAATTTACACAAAAGCGATGCAAAATAAGAAATCCTGATAACTTATCTACTTTTGCTCTACTCTTTAGATAACAACAAGGTTATTTGCTTTTAACTGCGCTCAATTCGTTCTGGCAGAAAGAAGTGAAGAAAAAAACTATATGGGAAAATTATCTAATCAGAAAAAATGGAAAGAGGATTAACGGTTTTTCGAGAAATGTATTTGTTTGTAAACTGTGAAAAATTCGAATTGTATGTTATTTTTGAAAAAAAAGTGCAGTGAAAAAAGAAAAAAAATACTGGAAACTTGAAACGAACACAAACACAAGAACCAAATGACACACAACAACTAAATTGAACTCAAAAAAAGAGCCAAAAAAAGTACTTTTTGTTTCTCAAGAAAATGCAACAAACGCGGCTCGACAAATTTATCATTTCTTTGTCGAGTTGGGACTAGTCGAAAAAAAGCAACGAAAAAATGAGACAAAAAGATGAAAAAATACGAAACGAAATGAAGAAAAATACTCCATCTGGTCCTTTTTCTTAATTTTCTTTGGGCTTTTTTTTGACTATTAATTTTCTTTTCACGGAAAAAAATTGGAAAAAAACCAAGCATGACATTGGTTTTCAAATACTTTGAATCAATTTTTTGAAGAAATATGAACACATGTTGTTGCATTAATAATGAAAAGTCAACCAGAAAAAAATACATAGAAGCTTCAGATTTTTCAGGTTTTTCAGAGTTGATAAGCACATGACAAACTTCTGATGTTTCCAGTGTATAGATATATAAATTTTCAAAGATAAAATGCATTTCACAACACTAAAAAAATATAAATTCAAATGATCTATTGAAAAAAAATTCACAGTTTTTAAAAACTTTCCCAGGAGAATAGCTTTAATTATATAATATTCGAGAATGGGAATAGATTCAACAAGTTTATTTCTAATAGAAAATTCAAGCATCGTGTTCCCAATATTAATTTATATTGAAATAATACTCTCCGTTTTTTGACTATATGACTCATAAAAGTACGATTCTCTGGGAAGCACGAGAAACTACACACAAAGAAAAACAAAAAGAAAAAAACATATGGGTTATCCACGAAAAAAAGAGAAAAAAAGAAGAGCACGTGATGTTTTGTGCTCATCAATTAAAATTTATGTTTCAGTAAAAAAAGACGAATGATTCTTCTCAGAGAAAACGGGAGAAACAATTCTTCATTATATGTTTTTTATTTGGTTCAAAAATTCATAGAAAATAAAATATTAGCGAGAACAAAACAATTGCATATTTTATGGTTGATTCAGAGTTTGGACAACCTAGAGATCCATATTCAGAAACGAAATGATTGAAATAATGTGTGTGACGGTAGACTCCTTTACTACCATAATCCCAAAAGGGTTTTTGATCACTACAACTCCAATCTTCGCCATTTGTATCACTACATAGTGTATAACTTGTGAAATCGTCGTTATACCTGAAAATTCTGTATTTTTGAGAATGAATTATATTAATTGTGGTAGAGTTTTTTGTAGTTAATGTGTCAATTGTTGATGTTCAACTTCTAATTTTCTTAAGAAACTGATACAATTATTCAGGAACGTGAAATTTTTCAAAATTCCATTATTGTTTCTAACTCCACATTTTTTTTTGGCAAAAAATTAAAATGATATAATTCTTTCCTTAACATTTCTCAACATTTTTTTTTAAATAATACAAGAACTATGAACAAATCTCACCATATTTCTCTTGGATGATGATATGGCATTCCACTTCCAGTTGGATTATCAACATTCAAAGGTGGAAGATGTGGAATCGGATCAGTATAATGCACAACCCGAAAAGCATATGGTACAACAGCCGTAAAATATCCAGCAAATAATAAATCACCAACTCTTGGTTCTCCAAAAGTATGAACTTTTATACGATTTGAAAATTGTCTGAAGGCTATTCGAAATGCTGTCAAAGTTGCCATAGCACCACCAAGTGAATGACCGGTTATCAAAAATGTATAATCTTTTCGGCTGGAAAAATAAAAAAAAATGATTTGACTGGAATTATTCAATTTTTCTGACCTGTTGATACTTGGATACACCATATCATCCCACATTTGTTTCATTGCATCAAGAAAATATACATTTGCATGACCGACGTTGACATTATTTCCCGAACCGTCTAGAAAGTATTTATTATGACGAAAGTTTCAGAACCCGAATGAATACAAATAAAAACATTGAAACAAATTATTCATAAATGTGCTTAGAAATAAAATTTTAAAAAATCATATAATTTTTTTACATTCTATCATTCTGATAATTAACCGGAACTCACCAGTTTCTGTATAGTTTACATAATCTTCTAAACCATTTGAAAATTCAGTCAAAAGTTGTCCGGCGCTGTTTGTTCCACGAAACGATATGATTACCTGCCTTGTTGTATCGGAAATCGCAACAAATGCTTGACATTGATTCCCATGCTTTAAATGTTTTTATGTTTTTTTTTAGAAAAACGTATCATAAGAACAAAAAATTTTTAACTAACCTTATCACAGGGAGTTGACATGACCATAAGAACCCGAAAATTGTCAGTTGGAAAACTGACATCTATACAAGATTGGCGTGCTGTCACATTGCTAGAATCAGCATATGCAGCCGCTGCTAAATTCAAAAATTTCTCTGCTTCTACTTCACTATATCCCGTATAACTAGAAACTCCAAAAATAAAAAATACTATTAATAATAAAAGTCTGAAAATCTGAAAATTGATTTTGTGCTTTTTAATAATTGAATATAATTTCGTAACTTACTGTTTTGTCATTGGTCTTCGTCATGTACGAAACGAGGCGAAACGATAAAAATTGAAAACGTTTTTTATCATCAAAAATTTATGTTTTTTTCTCATTCAATACGCATGCAAGTAGACCCTCTGAATTGATACGAAATTGTTAAGACTTTTATAAGTAATATTTCAGTGCTTCTCCGATTTCTAACCGGACATAGAATTTCAAAATAAAAATATTTAACTCTTAAATTTCTATTTTTGAATTTGGTTCAAATGTTTTTTTTTCAAAGTATTATTCGAATTATATCAAAACTTTGACATATTTGTGAATTATTTCCTTCAAATTTATATGTTTTAGAAAAATTAGATCGTTGCAATTTTAAACACAATTCTGAATTGAGATAGTTTTTTTGAAACTGTTTCAGCAGCTTTCTGTTATCAGAAAAACCATCACTAAACAATAACTCACTTTTCATTTGTTTCTATTTTTTTAATAAGCTGATTGCTGCAAAATTTATTTTCAAAAAAGGCACAAAATAAAGTGATGAAAATAATGAATAAAACATTTGATAACATCAAGAAATCTACTATAGCGATAGTATAGCACAAGTTCGTATAATTAAAATTATGAGTACTGTAAATTCAAGAGTTACAAATGAGTTCGATTAAAAATGGAAATGACAAAAGGCATGATTATTACAAATATAAGGTTCGAATCCCGCAAAAAATGACAACTCATATTAATGCTATATGGTAAAAGGGGGAATAATGTAAAACAAAATGCAAAAAAAGTGGTTGAAAAATTGAAAAAATACGTTTAAAAAAAGGCAAGATAATGAAAATGAACAAAAAAAAACAAAAAGAGTCAAAATGAAATGATGATGCGGATTTATTGCTCCGAAGCAACTTCCGAATCATCGATCACGGTTTTTTCGGATGCATTATCACCTGCGACAAGAACGTTGGTTGGAATATCCTCGAAAGCGTTCTTGATCTGCAAATATTGCTTCATCAATGACAACTTGGAACTTATAGTCGAAAGAGAACTTTTGTAATCGATATTTTGGAAATGGATGAATCTTGGCTATAGATATTTGAAATTAGAAAAATGAAACTTCAGAGGAATTTTTTATTTTTTGAAAGTCAAATTTCAGTTCCAAAACAGATTGAGAACCAAAAGTGAAACTCGATTTTTGGTTCTCTTGCTATTCAAAATTTTAAAGCTCTTTTTTATTTTTTTTAGTGAAAGGACTTCTCCTAGTAGACAAAAATTGCATGAAAAATAATAAAAATTTGATCTACCCACCTTCTCTTTGTAATCTTCAAAGAGTTCCAATGCGAGTTCTTGAGCAACAATATCACTTTCCATTTTGACATAAGAGAGAATGATTCTTCCATTGGTTCGAAGATAGTTTTCGCTGAAGTCGCGGATTTTGCGAGTGACAATTTTATCATTGATGTTGCGCTGGAAAAAAAACAAAAAAAGCTTATTGAAAGAAAAATTATTTTAAATGCAAATCTATTAAAAGTGAAAATTAATCCGAAGGTTAATGGAAAATTGAGGAAGATCATACAAAAAAATCGCTTCTCCTTATTTATTTTTGAATTTTGCAAAAAAAAACGTTTGAAAGATTTGAGAAGTTTCTGGTTGCAAAAATAATAACGTGAAAATTCGAGATAATGCTTTGAGTTCTATTTTCAGAAAATATAGTTCTAAACCTCGTCAAATCTGGATTCCGGCAATACTAAACTCAATTAGCACTTCAGGGGTTAACTGATACAATAATATAGTAAAAGTAAAGATAAAAACTAACATGTTTGATCATCAAACTGTCAACGACCGAGTTGGTGTTCATAAGATAGAAGCAACGAAGTGTTGCAACAATGGTGATCGCGATGAGAGCAACAAGCCAATACCAGATGAACAAGAAAATTTTCTCATTGAACTCATTGACACCCAAAACACATTGAGTTGTGTGTTTTTGGAAATCTCCACTTTGTTGACGGATTGAGAAGCTGCAATAGGTGATGCGTGGGAAAATTCCAGTCACTTCCCAGTTGTCGCCAACAATCAAATTTTGAAGAAGCTGAAACAATATGTCGCGTTAAAATTTTACAGTTATCTTGATACAAAGAAGTTAAACTTACAGTGAAACCCCAGAGGATATCTTCTGATTGTCCCAAAAACACAGCAACCAAGTAGAATTGTCCGAGTGCAACAAAAATGTAGAGCATTTTGGTGATGAAGTAGGAAGTTGTCATGTTGAAGAAGATCGATCTTTAAAAATTATTATAGATGCTGTATTTCTAACATAAGATGTGTGTATGCTTCAAACTCACCCATATTTCTCATTGTGCTCCAATTTCTCTTTCAAATACTTGGCCATTTCGGTGATTTTGTCCTTTCTTTTATCGGTCGTCGTTTTTCGAATTTCGTTCGTGGTTTCACAGAAGTAGGTCAATGGAATATCTGAAGATAACATTTCAATGTTTTAACACCATCTATCAAACTGACCCGAAGTAGTTTGTGAATACTTCCAGAAAAGTTTCGGAAGGATGAAGCACAACGCGCAAACTGCCAAATACATTGATGACCACTGATAATATTTGACAGAACTCTTGCTCGAATTCATACCAGTGACAATATGTTCAGTAGATGGCACAAAGTGAGTGTTCTAAAAATTTTATTGATTTTCAAAGTGATTATTGTTATATTTGTATAACAAACCTTCAAGAAACAGTAGGTCTCCGCATAATCTTCCCAAGCTCCAGAATAGGTTTGTTGAATCCAGCATTGAATTGGAGAACCAACATATCTAGAATTGACAAATGTGTTTTTTAAGAGTTGATTGATAACTATTTCGGATAAGGGGAAAAACTATGAATGCTGTGTTTAAAGATGTTTCAGAATAGAGTATTTAAAAACGGCACTATTTTAGTCTGATAATAAAACAGCAACGACAAAACACACAAATTTTTGACAGAGTGCGCTCAGCACTTGACTCTGTAGACTGACTGTACAAATTTCGTTGATACTTTGTACGGAAACGGGGAAGAGAGAATTGCACATAAGTAACATCCGTTTATCTACAAAGTAGCTACAGAACAGCAACGGCGTAGCTACGGATTCAAAAATAATATTTATAGAGCGGTCACTTCACTTAATTTCTGTCCGCGAATTGTGTAGCTACAGCGTAGATACGCTGTACCTACGTTTTCATCTCTGATTGTGTGACGCTTGGCAGCTCTCGTCAGAATTTAAGGTGTGCGTAATAACGATTTATCATCTGCGTAGCTACGAATTTGATTTTTTTCGTAGCTACGCTGAAGATAAAATGAACCTACGATTTTCGGGAAAAAAAGTGTAGGTACAGCGTTCATTCGCTGTATTCACACTTCTTCAATTTGTACAGTCAGTCTACAGAGTCAAGTGCTGAGCGGGGCATGCGGTGTTTATCAATGGGGCGCACTTTCATGTTTACTTTTATTTTCTTGTTTTTGTTTTTTCGGAAATTGTTCTTTCACGTATTTTTTGTTGTTTTCCATGCATTTGAATAAAACTTGTTGTAAAATTCATATTTATCTATTTTCCTAGTACCAGTAACACAAGTTTAGTTATTTTTTGATAGTTTCATACTGAAACTGGTGCTCAAAAAGTAATTTTATGAAAAAATGTACTTTCTTGAATTTTTTTCGTTTAAAGTGATTATTTGAATTTGACTCATTTCTACTTTACAGGAAAACAGTCAGCGAAATGATTGAAATATTGAAACAACTTATGAAGCAAATATTTGTTGAATGATTTTCGAAACCGAGGAAAACTGGAGGAAAAGTGAGTTTTTCAACATTGTTTTTAAAAATTTGAGGTTTTGAGTTTTATGCAAATAAAACAAATACCTTTTGCAATTTCCGAAATTAAGAAAATCTGACTTTTCGCTAGCTCGTGACTATTTTTAGCGAGCTTGCTACATTTTTTCCATTATAAATTGTAGCAAGTTTGGTAAGAATGGTCACAAACTGGCTAAAAGTCTATTTCTGTAGCAAAACTTGCTACTTTTTCCCGAGGCATGATTAGGCGTTGGCAAGCGAGTTTGAGGTCACTATTTTATTAAACAACAGTTTAAAGAATTGCACTATATTTCTAAAATGTGCAGATGACACATTTTTGAGATTAATGAAACTTATACTGTCTCAAAAATAATAGGTTATATTAACTAAAGATGAATAGATTAGCGTTTTGGTTTTTGATAGTTTAAAATTCTGAATTGATATTTGAAAATTTCAAACCAATCCTTATTGTTGTAGACATTAATGGATGTGATAGAGGCTAGGACATCCCCGTGTTTTTCCATTAAAACTTTTTTCAAAATTGTTATTTGTTTTCTTTTCTTTATCTCAATTAAAAAGCAATAACTTTGTTCAATATTCCTTTGAAGTTCTTTGAAATTGTTTTTGTTTCATTTCCGTTCCTACAGTATCAACATATTGCATTTGTTCCAATAATTGTTCCCTATTGTTTATCTTTCCCTCTAACAATTATTTTTCTCCAAACTATTCAGACAAAAAAAAAGAGTCAAGAAATAGTGATTCCCATTAACACGACCTTTTCTATTGTCTTGTAATGAATAAGCATTCGGAAATGTCATGGGAAACAAGAAGTCGTACTTGCACTTTTTACTAAAGTAATACATTTATGCTTTATTTTCAAAGTGCAATCGGAAAGTCTACAATGACGCAACATTGGATGAATAGTTATCGGTTTCGCGTTTGATCTTTTCATTGCGATTTGAATTTTCTGCCGCCAGCCAATTTTGAATAACCAATCTATGATTACGGTAGGAGAAATGTGTTTTCTCAAATAAAGTTATCAAAACTAAATGTTTCATAAGTATTCGACCCAATGGTGTGATCCAGAATGAAAATTCGTTTGTGGAATGTGAAACGTATGCTATGATCGTGAAGAACACGTAATAGTTTTCAATGTTTCACATATTTTCCAATCAAAACTTTCCGAGTGATGAAAAATAGTCTACAATTTGGTCCAATAAAATGAGATGAATGCAATTTTTGGGAATTGATGCTTCTAGAGATAAAAAAACATTCCGCGGTTAGAGATTTAAAAAATCAGCAGTTACAATGATGCCGGATTAAGAAGTACGTAGTTTTGAGATATTCAGAGATTGAGCATCTGCTTTTCTATTCAGATCTCTGTTTAACTCGATGGTTTCTCTTTCTCGGCGGTATTCATCATTTTTCATTCGCTTCGCTATTCTATTCTACAGAAACGTGGACCGAGATCACAATTGGAAAGTAGAGAGATAGAGGGGTAGAAAACGCAAAAGTCAGTTGGAAGAAAGAACTGAAAACACTGGAAATATGCATGTTTCCCGTTTTTTCCAGTCTCCGAATTCGAGGATATTCAAATTTAAGTCGCAAATTAGGTTTTCCTCAATTTGCCGTTTTTACTCGATGCTGAAGCTTGGAATGGTTGACTAACAAAAGTGAGAACAATTTGATGGGAAGTTATCGATGAAGAAAATTTGACAAAAGAACAGAGACCACGGCTAGCTGGCTTATCGGGAAGTGTGTATGCGGGAATCCTGAGCATATCGGGAAAATTGATCAGGCCTATGCAGGTAACCCGAGTTGATTAGGCACCGTGTCTGGCAAGTGGTCAAGAGAACAGGGCCCTGGCTTATCGGGCAGAGTGTATGGGCAAATCGAGCAAACTGATCAGGTCTATGCAGGTAACTCGAGTTGATTAGACATCGTGTCTGGCAAGTTCTCAAGAGAACAGGGCCCGGGCTTATCGGGCAGAGTGTATGGGCAAATCGAGCAAACTGATCAGGCCTATGCAGGCAACCCGAGTTGATTAGGCATCGTGTCTGGCAAGTGCTCAAGAGAACAGGGCCTGAGGGAACTCTCAATCTTCTGCCATGGCCTTTTTTCTAACAAGCGACTTCAATACCTTCTTCCTAATTGTCATAGGTTTTTCAAAACAGCGAAGTTTTTTTTCAAAAGCGCACGTCTGTTTCTTTTGTTTGTTCTATTATATTCCTCCCACCTCAACCAATAGGCTTTTCTTTGTATTTCCACCTTTTCAAAGTGACACCACATAGTACATGCATTACTTCTGTAGTCCAGATGTGTTAGAGAAACATAGAGAGGACACGAGATTTTTAGAGAACCGCGACGAGAGAAAATGGGAACTTTTGGGAGGAAATCATAAGACTCTTGAGCGCTTGTATTTTGAAAATCAAATGGGGAATATGGGTTGTAGAGTGGCTGTAGAGGTTAGGGTCGGTCTAGGGTTAATGATACGGGTTCTTCCAATGAGGGTTGTTCTAGGCCCCTTATTCCGTCGAAAACCAAGTTATTAAAAATCAGGAAACTACTGCCCAAAAAATAAACTCACGTTCTTGCTGAAATCAAGATCGCCCCGAACAAGTAGATCGAAGGTGTTGCGAAGCATGACAAGACATCGGCAAAGTCATCGATTTGACTGTACGTCACCACGTTCCGGAATTGGTCCAAAAATGGCAATTGAAACATTGTAAAATCAATACAAGCCTGGAAAATCGTTCGATTTTTTGAGCGGTGGAAGAGGAAAACAAAAATGAAAAGAATGAATGATACGAAACGATCCTCTTTTTTGCACATGTTTCAACCTCTAAACTCCGCCTCCTTAGGCCCCGCCCACTGTTCCTCTGCCGATCTGCACTGAACAGATGTAGACTCCGCCTTTTTCTATGAATTTTCTACAGAAAGAAATGACTAATAGCCAATTTTTAGGGAAAAAAAGAAAAAAACATGTTTTGATTTTATGGTTTTTATGGGATTGTAAGAAAAACATGAGCAATATGATGAAATACAAGAAATCGGAACACTAGAATAACAGGGACCTATCCTTGTGGGGACTCAAAATAACATTGGTGGGGCCTTTTTTCCGATATCATCAAATTTTACCTGAAATCGGTTACGATCAACAGTGAAGAAAATAAGACATGTGTGTTCGAGAGAATTTTGCTCATCTCATCTCGAACAAAAGCCTTAACCCATTTCTGTGACACGGTAAGTTAGAGAGAAAAGAAGATTTACATTAATAGTTGGTGGATAGACAGAGCACAGCACTTCTAAAAGATATCTATATTTATATTTTAGGCGGCACCTTACGGGTTTTACTTTGGGCGGTACATGGGTGGCACATGGAGACACCAGATTTTTACAATAAGAAGCAACACTGTGCTACTTTTTATATATCAAACAACTTTTCCGCCACACAGAAATATTGTCTAATATTTTTTTTAAAGTTTGGCTTGGCGGTTTGATCAAAAAGTTCAGATTCATAAAAGCAGAAATAGGATTTTGGGAGAAAATATCGGGATTGTAAGCGAAAGTTAGGAGAAAAAAGTTAGGAAACGTTATGAGTCATTCTTGCGACCTAACAAAGAAAGTCTGTGGCTAGTTCCGAGAGATATACAATGAACTATGCTCTCTACACTTTAAAATTTGATGCTGAACTTTTTTTCCAAACATTTTCATGCTGAAAATATTTCGAGAAGCTCTCTCTCTCCAGGTGTGTCTGAGCTTCTGTTACAATTACTTTTAATAACCGCTGAATACTGGACGTCGTTAGGAGAGACGATTTACCACATTTAAGATTTTTGACGATATTTTCCAGAAAAATTGTGAATCCATTATTTGAACATATTTTATGAACGTGAGTCATACCGAATGTTTTTTAAAAAGTGTGGATTTTTGTCCCACTAAAACACAACTAGACCAATTGGACTATCCTGCAAACCGTGTTGTGTTTATTTATTGAAAACTGTTCAGCATCTGACATGGGCTGCCGGCGAAAAATATAAATTGACTTTATGACTCCTTTTATCAGCGCGAAAATTACTGAAAATTGTATATGCCTTATTGAAATTCAGCTAACTCGAGCCCCATTGGTAATTTTCAAATGTTCTAGCAATAGTTTTCTAATTTTCGATTTTTAGTACAACTATTTTTTGTACACTTTTTTTGGAAAGAGAAAATGAGCGCAAATAAAGCACAATATAAAGTTTAGTGTAAAGTGAGGAAGGAAAAATGGGAAATCGTTCGAAGCTATTTTTGTAATAAAAACAAAAAAAGGAAAAAGCATTTTTTTAGATATTATTTCTCAACATTATTACTTTTTGCAACAAAATATGAGAAATCGAAAGAAAATGACGAATGGACTCGAATTTCTAGGGAACAGGGTAGATCACAAGCCATTATTTTCTGACAAAGTTCTACACGATTTCTTGATAAATATCTAGAATAAAAAAAAAGTAAAATATAACAATGAAGTACAATTTCTAGATTTAGAATATATTAATTCCAGAGAAGATCAAGTAATATAAAACAAATTATTACACATTTTCGAAAGTATGATCCCGAAAAACGGAAAGTTATGTACACATATGTCCGAAAAAATTGCAATGAACCTATTTGATCTCAAAAATAATATATGTTGAAATTCTAACACAATTTTACTGACTCGATCAATAATTTCCTTTAACAAAATATATTATTTTGAATAAACGTCTCCTTCCTCTCACTAATTATCTCTTCATTTTCTGCACTCTCTCACCTACTCTACTTCTCTAACATTACGTCCCGCTCTTCTCTTTATGTTTTCATTAATTTTATTTTGTAATCTCCTTAATATTTCCTTATTATGTTTTTCCCATTTTCATCCTTTTTCGCGCCTAGGTTAGGTTCAGGTTTTATACTTAAGTTTCCAGTTTTACAAATCCTTCTTTTCGACCCAAAATGAATGATTTCAGTCTGAAATTGAGCTGAATCGACGAAGCTTCCCCCGCAAATATCGATAGAAATAATTTCATTTTTTGTTTGAAAAATGATCCCGTGCAAAATCAGAAACGGTTCCGAATTTTGCACAAAATGAGGTAATGGACCTAGTTTTTGAAAAAAAAGTTTTTGATAAAGTAGTCAAAACAAAATAAATTTCATCGTTCTTCTATTGCTCGAACTTTCAGGAGTAATATGTAGAAACGTTTTCAGTGTGAAACATTTATTGCTAGTCTGATGTTTTATCAAATTCCTACACTTGTTTTCAGAAAATCTCCAATTGGTTTGAATTTTGGAAGTAAAACCCGGATGTTGTAAGTTTGTGGAATAATTCGAATAATTTTCACAAATCAAAACATCCGGGATGGAGAAAGATTAAAGACTTTGAAAGAATCAAATGAGCTCCAGTAGTTGTTTTGTTTGATCTCAATATCGAAAAAAAAAGAACTTTTTTGCTGAAACTTCAAGAGCCAAACAAAATATTCCATTAATTATTCAAATATATCAATTAAAAATAATGACATAATATAAATTTCATTTATTTGACCGTTTTTTTCCAGAATTTATGAACATTATTACCTATTATTTTCTGTTTGTTTTTATTCAAATGCAACCTACGCTTCTTTAAAACTATTAGGCTATTTTAGTTTATAAGCATCATTTAAATTTTAGTGTCATTTTGAAAAAAATGATTCATTTTTTGTGTTATTCTAAAAATTTGTTTTTGACTATCTATTATCATTATTATTTTCACATCTAAAAATTTAGTCTTTTCATTATCGAAAAAAGGTTAATTAGTTCAAAATCTCAAACAAAAAACCCCCACATTTTTACGTCATTTTACATGAACAATTAGAATATTGTGATTCTCATAATTTTCATTGAAATCTGAATGTTCTGCCTGAATTCGTTAATCGGAAGGTTATTTGTTATTCAGGGAAGAGCTACAAGCATCCAAAGATTATACTCCATTAAATTTATTACCGAAAGTTTCAAGATGGATTTTCTCTCTCATTAATAATTCCAAAAAACAGCGTCATAGATTCTAGGAAACTCCGCGTTTTTTGTAAGAGCTCAAAGTTTTGCATTTCACCTGTATATGTAATTATTTTCTATTAAAAACATCTTCATGCACATTTCCAGCTGTAGTTTCTGCAAAAATTTATTTTCATTCAAAAAACAATTCTGCAAATAATCAGTGACTTCACAAGTTCAGGGTCTTTGTTTTTCCTGTTGAGTGAAAAGCATAAAAATTGTGTAGGTAGTTTTCAATTTTTCTTTTTTGAGAGAAAACAAAAGTGTGTCTATTTTCGAGTTAGATAATTCAATAAAATTTCGGGACTGAGTGAGTATTTTTATAGACTGAAAAATGATGAGAACCATGATGATGATGAGAAAAAAAGGATGGAGAAAACGGATAAACCAATGTGTTTATTAGGAAGTATTTTGGGTATTCAATGTTTTTCGGCGCAACATTTATTTATAGAAAATTGTAATCATAGTTTTTAATTAATTTTATCATAGGGATTATCTGATCAACTGTTTAACATATTCAGAATTTGGTTTCTTTGCTTTCCTATTATTGTTATTCGTATTATTATTATTTTCATGATTTGATCAAGCTCTCACTTTTTTCTCATTCTGAATTTTTCAAAAAAATTCCTGTGGAAACTTCAATGTGGGAAAATTTTCAAACGGAATTAATAATAAATTCTCATAAGTGCAACTTTTGCTATGAAAATCTATCTGAAAGTGCATTCTATTCAAAGTTTGGAAAAAAACCAATTTGATGACGTCGATGATTAAATCGAGCATGGCATTTGAATCCAAAGTGACTGAAAATATTGTTAGTGTTGAAAATGTTCTGAATCTCTCTATTTTTTCGTAAATTATTGTTTGTTTCGAGATTCAAATAATGTAGCATGAAAAAGATTTTTCGGAAAAAAATTACCAAAAAGTCTGATTTTTTAGTTTTATAATAACATTGTTTAGTTCAGTCCCCAAATCGTTAGTTCCCAAAAAAGTTCCAAAAAGAAGCTCTCTCCACCACTGAAAACAATCCTAAATGTTCTAGGAAATAAAAATATTTTGTAAATTTAGAAATGTCACCACCAGCTAGCATTGCAAAAGAACTTCAAGGTTTGAAAGATTGATATCAACGTTTCCTTTCAAAATAGTTGAACAATCATCCTGTTCGATCGTATAGGCTACAGAATACAATATAGGAACCCGAATCGATCATTGAACTTCGATAGTACCTTGTTCAACATACGTTTTCTAGTTTAGTTCCACATTTCTGAATCACCGGGCATCTCAAGCTCACATAAAATATTTGAATTTTCTAATGTATTGTGACAGGTCACCCATTTTGACACAAATCCTTTCAAAATCTCATTTCAACAAATCCTTTCAATCTTATTTTTACATATTCCAAACTATGACAAATTTTGAAATTATCCTACACACATCGTGTAAACGTTTCTGTGAAAAATAACCTTTCACCTTTTAAATCTACAAAGTTTGAACAATACATAACATCCTTGATATCATTGAAATCAGAAACGGATTATTATTTTTTCCTATTATTTTCAGTTTTTTTGTATTTTTCAACATGATGCAATTATTAGTGATCATTGAATAAATCAATCTCGAAAAATAATAGAAATATATATCCGTCTCGCTTTTTTTCTTCAATTTCGATTCGCCATTCAAAATACAAATACTATTTGTATTTTCCAGATATGATTCTTACTCATTTTTCTCAATTTTTTTCTACAAATTTCTTCTTTCTCTATAAACCAAAGAATCAATTCTCTTTACAGTGAACTGAACATTTTCGAAACATTCTTATCAAATTTCGCCAATTCGGTTTGTATCATTCAAATAATTTCAAAGTTCAGATGTCTCTATTGTTTACGAAAAATAAAAAAAAAGATCAAACATTGCAAACCCCGTGTTTTGAAATATTCATTAAGACACTCTAGTTTCATTAACTTTAGAGAAAGAGGGTTGTTTGGGTGGTTTCTAACAAGAATCATTGAAATGAATCACAATTTCCTCGTTTTATTTTCGTGAAAATCAAACATTTTCGTTTGCTGCTTTTTGAATGAGTCACATTTAATCTAATATTCAAATGCCCAGGCAATGACACTCTAATTGTTCAACTTTTTTCCTACAATAATGATTTGGTCAAAAAAAGTTTTTTCAAAGAATCAATGATTAATAAATCAGATTCAGATTGAGAAATCAAATAGAGAAAAACAATAAACATTCCCTGAATTAACCATACACTTTTACTCATCGTGCGTGAGAAAAGCTTGATGTTTTTTTCAACTTTTTTTTTCATAATTATATTTTCCTTGTTTTTAGTTGTTTCGTGACAGGAAAAACAACTAACTTTTTGTCGTCTTTTGCTCCTATGTCAAAACCACAATAAAAAACGAAACAAAAACATATTTGTGTCGAGTTGATAAAAAATAAAAACAAGAATCTAGTCAGCCATATTTTGTCTGTCTGATGACTAAATTTTTATGCACCCATATGATTCAGTTTCGAAATTATTTTGGCTTCTTTTTTTATTCATTTTATTCTGTCCTGCTCGTTTTCTGTTCTACAATTTATGTATTTTGCAGTACCCTGATACGACTTGGCCTAAAAATAACATTTTCCAACATATTATTTTAGTTAGAACAGCAATTATTTTTTAAATGTTATAATTTCTAGTTTTACTTCACAAAACTTTGTAAAACTTCGAAAGATTTTCCTTTCCATTCAAAGAATTTTTTCGAGGAAGTATTTGAGAATAACAAAATATAATTTTCAAAAGATGTGCACTCTTAAATTGATTTTGCAAGTTCTAGAAATCCCGAAAATATTCTTCAGACACTCGGGACGAAAAACTTTGAATGGTTTCTCATGAAAAATTCAAATGTTTACTCTCAAAAGGACTTCTCACATTTTCATGAATTCTAACCAAGTCACAAAAAATAATCTTTGATATAAGTTTTTCCATAATTTTTATTCTGTAGACATCGTATTAGTTTTTATGAACTTATTGAGGAAGTCAATTTTTTTATTAGTTTCCGTTCCTATGTAGCAATTTTGCACATAGTTGAGAGTCTATCAAAAAAACATCTATAGTAATTACAAGTCTTGACGTTTCTATTATTTATGAGTTCTACGTACTAAAGAGATTTTTTTCTGTGCTTTTTCATTTTAGTATAATTGTTGTCTGCAGTTCTTTTCTTCTTCAGAGGTCATTTTTTTTTCTTTTACCAAAGAATCAAGGAAATAAATATAATATACCGTAGTTGTTTAAAAAAAAACCCGCCCATTTTCTTCTGCGTTTTTTGAACAATATATGATAATCCGACAAGCTCCTCCCCAATTAGTACACAAATATGTTTTCCGCGCACTCTTCACTCGTCTTTTTTGTTGCGAAAAATTTTCAACTCCTTTTTATTCGTATGATTTTTTCAGAATGCGTGAACCACTTATTATTCAAAATGGTACTGTATTGGAAACTTTGGACATTCCAGCGGATTGGTGTTTCAATATGAAAGCATGGCTCGAAAGTTCCACTATGCAGAAAGAAAGCTTGGAGATTATGAAAATCAAATTCACCCAATATGAAAACTTCAGGTATTCAAAAGGGACTGTAGAAAAATCTGAACGAGTTTCCGATTAGACTTTCTGAAAATATTTTCATAATTTTTTTTGGAAACTCTTATCAATAAGGCAGTAATGTCTCTCTTATTCATATTTTCTTCGCACAGTAAAAATATTTTGTGTATTCAGTTTTCGTTTCAATGGCGTCTTTACATTGATACTTGTCTTGCTTGGATTAACTGGAAGTTCTCTTTTACTTAAGCAGGTAAGCTCTCAAAAAAACATATTTACTTATGTTCGAACAAAAAACACGGAAGTTTTAAGATTTATGGATCTCGTGTCTTCTCGAAACGTTTGGCTGTGCACTTGGGAATGATTTGTTTTTGGGACATATTGTATCTAGTGATATGTTTATCAACATACTGTGTTCCATCTTTGATCTACAATGTTACACCAATATATGGCCCAATCTCATATGTTCTCTATGCTCTCCAACCTTTTGCATCGTTCTGTGTGTCTTGCACTATTTGGCAAATCTTTGCAATCACCGTGGAAAGGTATTTAGAACATTGTGAGTGAGATTAGATATATTAATTTGATTTAGATATCTTGCTGTCTCATCTCCTCTTGAACAACGAACTCGGAAAGCAAAATTTGGTGTTGGATGGATTTGTCTGGCGATTATTATTTTTTCATTCATTCTTAATCTTTTACCAGTTCCATTTGAGAATGAGCTTGTGAGTTTTTGATATATGAAACGTTGAATAAGCTTAGGAAAAAAATGTTATAGGTGGATTGCTTTGAAGTTGACTACAATGATGATGATACTGCAACTGTGAGCTTTCAAACAATGATGAAACCATTTATCGATCAAAATGTCCGAATGTATCGCTTCTTTGTTCATTTTTTCCCTGATGTATTGTTCCGCGCGCCAACTCCAATTATCATTATTGGAACTTTGACTGTTCGAACTATCCAGGCATGTAGCCAACGATCAGTGGGAAACTTTCAAATTGGAATGAGATTTAATAGAAATATGCCACTCAGATTATCGGTAAATGTTTTCTTTAAAAAATATATTATACTGACTTGCAATTTTAAGCTTCTAAACTTCAAATTCATCATTTGCAACACTTTATATATGTTCAACACAATTTTGCTGGAACTTTTAGAATATGGAAACATGGAGTAAGAAAATAATAGGAAAAACATTAACATAAACATACTGTATTCCAGAAATGGTGATTATGATGGATATATAAATTCATTCTACCTCACAGATGCATCTAATATGTTATTAGCAGTTCACAGCGCAACCAATTGGCTTCTATTTTATAATTTCCCAAGCTGCAAAGTATGTTTTCCTCCAATTCTATTTATAATCACAAGTTATACTCATCAAAAACCACGATTTGTACTATAATGTGTTCTTTTTCTTTTTCAGAAGAAAGATTCGGTCAGCATGACATTGTCAACATCGGTTAAACACAATTCCATCAAATATCGCGTGGCTGACCATATCAGCAAAAACGTTCATCAAAATTCGACAGTTTTGGGAATAGACATCATTCGAAAGGTTTTGTGTTATTTTTTCTAGTTCAATAAGATCATATATAATTCGTTTAATTATAGTTATGCGATGACATTCCTGAAGTGAACGAATTGATTTTCAAAGACTTGGAAAAAGAAAAAGATAAAAATGAACGTATTTCGTTGATTGGATTAGAAATTGGACACTTCATCAATCATATCTTCAAATGGTACTTATATCACGTTTCAAACTTTGATGAATGTTTTTTTGCAGGTTTGGAGATCGTAACAAACGAAACAACAAAAGAATAATGTACAAACAATTCACTGATGGAGTGATTCGCAACAAATTGAACTTCAAAGCCAAAGAATGGAAAAATATTCGAAGCATTGTTGTTGAAATCATTGTTTTGCATGTGGTTTCTCCAATTGAAAAGTGATTAGTTTTACTTTTTTTCGGTTATCAAATTAACTGTTTTTTTTTCTTTTGCAGTCCAAAAAACAACCATAAGAATCACAAGGCCTTTTCACGTGTCGAAATCGAAGAATGTACTACAAGAATTTTCAATCATGTGCTCAGCGAAATGCGAAGTGGTGTACTTTGTGCCAATGTTGAGGAAAAACAGAAAGTGAGCATAGATATATTTTTCAAATCATTTTTGAATATGAAATTAGCTTCATAAGAAAAAAACGCAAGCTAAAAGTGCATGATGAATCAAAACTCTGGAATGAAAATGAGTAAATACAATTAGTGATTTATGTTGAGAAGTTGCTTTTTGAGTGGATTCGAAATTCAATTTTTTCTCTTTCCTTTTCAAGTTTTGAACATCGATCTTTGCAAATAATGACCTTATGTTTTGCAGAAATGGAAATTTTTCTTTAAGAAAAAAAATTATTTATGAGGAACTGAAGCGGAACTTTTTTGAAAGTTATTTTTCTGTCTTTAACAAGTCACATAACAAAACATTTTTTGCAGGCTTCTCGATGTGAAAGATTTGTGCGATCGAATTCAACAAACGCTTCTGAACTCAACAATCCACTTCTTCGTGAACCACCAAGAAAATCACAATCTGTCTCAATGAAATTCCAATACTCTTGTTCTTCTGTAGATTCTGTTCATTTGAACGCTGAAAGCCAACAATTAATTGAAAATCTTTAATTTTTTTTCTGTTGTAAATGTTTTATTTTGGATTTGGATAAAATAAATTATGAATTGATTCATTTTCATTCGAGATCATCACACAAAAAATGGGAACAAAGATAAATAGATAACATGGAATTCAAAAGGAAAAGAAAATTGTAGTTGTCATAAGAAGAAAAAGAAGATTGAAGAAAGAGTTTTCCAAACAGAATAGACCGTAATTCAAAACCGGGAAAGGTGAAAAACAAACAATTCAGATCTATTATAATCTCTTATCAATTGGTTGTTTGGTATAAACCAAATAATACCACCAATAGAAGAGATTCCAAGCCAAAAATGTCAACGGAAATAGATATCGGCAAGTCTTGTCAATATTCAATGCCTGACGTGAGTGATTAGCCGAAATCTGGAAAATACAATTAATAAAGGAATAGGGATTAGCTATTTTGTTCGGTTGAATACAATTTTTAATGCAAATGTTTTTTAATACCTGGAAGTAAGTTGCCGCGATCAAACCATCATTCTGGCTACTTTGGTTGTTCAAACTTTTATCAATATATTTTTTATGAATTCCATTAGCATGTGCACGAGCTCCAAATCTGGTTTCTTCTGAAAATTGAAATATATCCCGGGTACTATACGATTTTCTTCCCACCTGAACTAGTATCCATCTCATCTTTCCGACAAGAAACATTATCATAGATTGACATTGCCATTCCTGGAATAGTTTTATTTTTGTCACTCAAAAATTTCTCATTTCATTTCCGCGTCATTTCAGATATTAATAAATATGAAACCTTTAATCCGTAATTGGTTGGACTAAAAAAAATCTTGAAATTAATTTCTGATTAATAAGATTTTATTGAAGGGGTTCTCATTATTTGCACTCTGAACAATCAGATTTTTATATAATATCATTTGAAAAAGCTGAATTCAAACAACTAGTATTTCACGACAAAAAAGGTTGGAACAGTGAAAATGAAATGGTAGAAGAAAGCAACTCTTACCATCTTCATCTTTTGCGTCATAATCGAAATCGTGGTCAATGAATTTGATGCGTTCACTGAGAATGTCTTGAACAGTATCAGGTTTTCCATAACTGCGTGGGCTCTTCGATTTTAATCCTGAAGAAAACATTACAAAATGTAATTGGAGATTAACAAAAATATCACACATTTGTATAAGTTTTTATTAATACTCTTATTAATATTCTTATTAACTGATCATGATTTCGTTAATGCCAAACTATATTATATTGTGAAATCAGAGAATGATCAAGACATGACATTTAAGCTTATGTTAAAGCGCTTTAATTAAAACACAATATATAGAAATGGCTGTTGATATTCTAGGAAAAGATTAGTACGACAACGTATTGTTTATTTGATGATGTTAGAAAGTTGTGAAGTCACATGAAATTGGATTAACATTTTAAAAGTATCAACAAAAACAATGGAACACGTTGAGATATCAGGTGTTCGACACTTTTACGTAATTCGCGTTTTGAAGTAAACAATATGGCTATGATTTGAATTCAAAAATGAAATAGACAAAATCCTGTCGGGTGTTTTACATTAAGCTGAGCCTAAAACTTCCACAAAATTAGATAAATATGTGACAGGCAAATTTAGCTAACAGCCCATAAATTATATTAAGAAAAGCAACTGTTAATGCGATATGTCGCGGGAAAATTTCTGAACTTAAAATTCAAGTATTTTTTTATAATTAATAGTTGTTAGTGGAGAATGGTTAGGTTAGTATAACGATAATAATTTCAAATGAAACTGAATACACCATGGTTAGTAAATGACACATTTTTAACAGAAAAGCGGTTTGTTTGTTAGAGTGCTATATCAAATCCACATTCTAACAAGACCTCTATATCCAGCGTTTTCCACCCCATTTAACAAATCGACAAGTTTTCCTAATCTTGTAGTCTTACGTCCATTTTCTGTCGAATATGTGCACCAATCATCAGCTTTTTCCACATTTGTTGTATCAATAACATTTCCAGCTGCACCTCCTGCAATTCTCCAACTTTCTTTGATGCTGCGAACCAAATATTCCTTTGCTGTAATGCTCTCTCTCTTACTCATAATTTTGTTTTCAAAATTTCAAAAATTGAATAAAAAATATAAACTAAAAAGTGCAACAACTAATTTACGTGAAAAACTGGTTCGTGTGTGTGTAAAATCTGTAAAATATTGTGCAAAGAGGATAGAAAAAGAGCATGCCAGGAAAAGGGATAAAAAACATCTCACTAGAAGTAAACTTACTCCTTCCCGTTAAAACTACACTCTGCATTTTTTTCGCCATACTATCGAATTTTTCCGATTTTCTCATGTAACTATTTATTGTCGCAAATTCCAGAAGAGCCAAGAAAACAAAGAACATACAAGCTGTAAAAGTTGAACTTTTGTGACTACATAATCCTATATGATTTATGAAGCATCAAGAAAAAAGAAAAAAGAAAAAAATTACCTCCATACCATAAGTCGATTGCTTTTGCATAACTAACTTGTGGCAAACCAAAACGTAGACCATTTCCAAGTGTTGTTAATGAAACCAATGTTGTAAAACTTAGCGTAACTCTTGCTGGAACTGCTCGTCTATCAATCCAAAATGAAACCCATGAAATCATCACAATTAATCCTGTTGGTATATACGATTGCACTAAATTATAACCAATTGATCTACTCAAAAACATATTACCAGTAAGGCAACTGAAGTTATCTGAAAATCAACAATACATTTTATAATCTTTGTTTCGAAAAAAATCAAACCTGATTTATGGGAGTTTGCAGTTAAAGCATATTGATAAAACCCATCGCAATATCCTTTGGAAACATGTTCAATGTGGAACTCAGGCAACCCTATCTCTTCATTGTAGCGAATTGGATTTGTGTCAAACCAAGTTACATTAACTTGTTTAGCAATATAAGCATCTATAAATTTTAAAATTTTCAGATGGAAAATAAATCAAATTCGAAAAACTTACAACTAAGAACTCGAATTGAACAAACTTGTTGATCCATTGGATAAAATCGAAGATTCAAACTACATGCAACTGTTAAAGTACACCGTAACGAATATGCAACTGTGCCGTCTCTTGCCACAAATAAGTTGAAATTTGGAACTGTGACTTCTTGAAAATGAGCTTGACGAGCATTGGCAAAATATAAATCGGGAAGCCTGTATACAATAAATAATATAATTTTTCTGATTATTTCTTACCAAATCTGTTTACGAATGTGTTCGTCATTAATTAAAATATAGTCTTGCTCATTATGTCGAAGTCGTTCATCTCGCCAAGACATATAAACATATAAATCAACATCAAATGACATTTCGGTAGATCGAAAATTTCCCAAACTTTCTAGATACATTCCTAATTTAACCTCAAGCGGTCCTTCGCTCAGATTTCGTGGTGGCATGTGATTAATCTAGAATAATTACAAATCAATTTTTAGTCGTTAGAATATTTCCGAACCTGTGAAAGAATATAACTGATATTTGGTTGATTCATGCAATTTGTTGAATAAAATAGTAAGCTGAAAATAAAAAGTTGCTGGAAGGAAGTTTCAATAACTACTAAAACTTACAATATCAGAATAGTTGCCGCTAACATTATTTGCCACTGGAAAAATCAATTCATAAAAATTTTGAAATTTAAAAATTCAAAAAACTGCAAGAGAGCAGACGAATACTAAAATAAAATATTTAGAAAAAAAACACAGAAATCTGGAAAAAACAAACAAAAGAGAGGAAGAAGGAGTGGAAGAACCTGCATAGAGAGTTTGTTGGAACGGAAATAAATATCATCAATTATTCCGAATATTATTGACAGGTTATTGCTCAACATACAAAAACCCCAAAATTGATGTATTTTATGACGTTTTATTTGTGGAATAGTCTGAATTTTATAGCTTTTTGATTCGTTTGAATAATTTTAAATTGGATTACTATATGGTTTAAAATTGTTCTCAAAAAAAAATAAAACCAATAAAACTTCTCTTGAAAACCAAACCAAAACTTTGACGTCCAAAAAAGTTTTCAAGTTAAACTAAGCTCATCATTTTTTCTTACAGCAAAAAATTGGCACAGTGTAAAGACAAAAAATAAGAAAAATACCTTTTGAGTGAATAAGAAGAAGAAGAAGAAGACGAAGGAAGATCATAAAACACGCCTTGCACATAATGAAAAAAGATCAGGAAGAAGAAAAATTTTCATTTGCCCTCATGATGAAAAATGTATTTCTTTCTTATTTAATGAAAAAATTTTCGGAACTCGATATTCTTCTTATTTTCCTATTTTGGTTGTTTTCAAGATTAATGAGCTAGCGTGGCGAACGTTTTGATCTTTGATGCCACACAAAAAAGCAAAGAAATCCCTGATGTCTAGCGCCAAATGTGGTGTAAAAAAAGATAGCAGCAGACAATTATGATTGATGTTTTTTTATCCACAAAAGTTCAACGTTTAAAGATGAACTATTTCTGTGGAATTCTAATTATTGTTTTCAATTTCTGTTGCAGACAAGTTCGAAGCAAGAACTTCAAAAAATAGCACAAAGATGAATGTTGAATAGACTATACAATTGATGCAATTTTGAAAAAAATATAGAACAGAAAACAGCTTGTGCAAAAACAATCTAATCAAGTTTTCAGTAAATCAAAATCCAAAAGCCTTTCATTCTATTCTATTTCATTTTATTTCTCTCGGGTCCAACAGAATTGAAAAAAAACAGAAAAAATTGAAGTCAAATTGAGGTGGTATATGCTTTTTCGGAGAGCTTTGGTTTTTTCGTTTCTTTTTTCACAATTATATATTGACATGCAATAAATGTCATATTCCACATAATTATACATTATACACGGAACCTATGTATGTACAAAAAAGAGTTGTACTATTCATATTCAAGAATGTCACATGAAACTGCGAGAAGACATTAAAAATGTGCTCATTCAACTATGACAATAAAGACAATTCTTATTGGCAAAAAAACGATAAAACATTTTTTGAAACAAGGATTTTCGGAAGAGTAAGATGGGGGAAATGGGATTTGTGGTTGTCGAAATTCATAGGAACGTGTTCTAATTAGTTTATTTCCGAGAAAAAGAAAAACAAAACATGTCTCGAAAAAAGTAAAATGTTACTCTAGAAACAATTAGGAACACTTGCAAAGATCTTTCTGTGACATGGTTTTAGAGCTAACACTAAAAATGTATCATTGAGAAATCTGATATTCAATAAAGGTTTATCGAATGTTGCCTATAATTCTGCATAAAATTCAAAAATTCAGAAAAAAAGTGGAAAATTTTGAATCGTATTTTTTCTAATTCCGACACACACACACAGATGTCCATATAGAAAATTCAGACTCAAAATGAACCGACAGAAAAAAGACCAAGAAAAAATAACACGTTTTTCACCTTTTTTTCAGCGAGAAAACAGTGATTTATAGCTCTTCGGTGTCGAAAACATATATCTAGAGAAAGCAAAAAAAAAACAATTTTTAGTCGCTTTGTCGATCGTATAAAAAAGTTCCAATTCTCAAGGGTTTCAATCACCAAGAACTCCAGAAGATGTATGAAATTTGATAACAAAAAAAATGAAAATTTCGTCAAACTTTGTTGAAAAAAAACGTGAGATTTAAGGAAAGCTGAAAAATAAACAGATGTGAGAAATATGAGACATTTTCACAAAGTGCAAGAAAAATTAGAGCTGTGTGGGATAAAAAAATGAAGAATCTTTGTTTTCAGTTAACAATAAGTTATGACCGATAAGTTGAAAAGAAGAAGGATGAAAAAACGAGAAAAAATGAGAGACAAAAGTATAGCAAGTCAGGTTTTGAAAGTGCCAAAAGCTTGAAAGAAAAACAATAATTTTTCAGAGTCTGCCAGGGATAAAAAAGAGTATTACCTATTCATGTTCACTAGGAAAAGTCAAACAATCATTTTTTGTTCTTTTTCTTGACTCTTTTTTTTTGAAAACCAAAAAAAAACTAGAAAATAAGGTAAAATATCGTTTTACATATTGAAGAAAACTTTCTTTTTGTTGAAACAAAAAATTTTCATACATTTTCAGAAAATCTAATTCAACATGCATTTTTAAACATTTCCGGGCATTGCCATAGAGTTTTTTTTGCGGTTTTTTGTGTTTCTCCAGAGAGAAAAAAAAAACTAGATTGAGAACACTCAAAAATTGAGCATTTCGGACCAATTTTTCTCTCAGTCTCCATGTTTTTTTTTCAATTGCCAAAAATTGGGTTAGAAAAATAATACTAAATTATTAGGAAATTATGAGGAGAAATTGTTTTCAGATTTTTTTTCTCATTAGTGTTATCTATGTGTTATCACTATAGTAGTCAAAATATGTAATAAAAAGGCAAAAACAAAAGCTAGAATTAGTATACTAGATTATGTGGTCATTTTTATAGGGTTCCCTAGAGACAATTTGAGTCAAAACGAATTTGATAATACCTCATTTGAAAAAAACTTGGCGTCACTCAAAAAAATGAAGTTTCACTGTAAAAATTGACAAATAAAGGACAATTCTCTGTCGATTCTTCCTATACGTTAAGAAACTGTTCTGATTGTGAATATTTTTTTGAAATTTAGTATTATTTTTGTTTCTCAATGAAATCTGAAAGATTCGGAACGTTTCAGAAAAAGGACACCATCAGAACAGCCTTGTAAACCAAATAAAATAATTCAGTTTTCTCAAAGAAAAACACATATTTCTATTCGATTTGATGCATAATTGGCCTACTGGGAGAGGAAAAACTATGATGAGATTCTGTCGTTCTTTTTCGTTTTTATCTCGTCAAGATTCAAAGTTCCACCAATGGCAAGACTGGAAAAAAAAAACGAAAATAAACAAACACATAGTGCGAATGAAAAATCAGATTATCTGTATCTCTCTGGAGTATTCATAATTGTCTAGATTCAGATGATGTTTGCTGCTTTAGGTGGTTAGAAGTCAGAAATAATTCCCCTTACAAAATTATAGGTTTTGTGTCAGCCGAAATTTCATAAACAAAAGTGTGAAGCATAGATTTTTGTTACAAGGGATTGTGCTTTCACAATTAAAAAAGATTTGTCCTTCAATTTGACCAAAAACCTAAAAGGAAACAAATTGAATAGATGAAAAGAAATAGTTGAAAAATAAAACTTTGAATTGTTCATTGGACTTTGGAATTGGTTTGTTGTTAGAAGCACGTCCTTAGAAACGAAAATTATGAAATGCGAAATTGAACAACATAAAAAACATTTCCTTGGGGATTGAATCTGACCAGAACTCTTAGATTTTTGGTTTTTGGAAGATTGACTCCCACATTCAAAAACTATGAAAGATAAAATAACTGTCAAATTTTCAGGGGAAAAAGTTTTCAAGTTGAAGGTTTTTGTGTTTTCTAAATTTGCAAATCACGAAAAAAAAGCAAAAGCTTGAAACAGAACATTTTCTGAATCAGTACAAATGAATCTTTTGTTTCCAGAAAAAGGAACACTCACGCTAGAATAAACTGAATTGGTTTATTCACGCGTTCTTAAATTGCACTTTTCTTCTGCGAAATTGAAAAGATTGGATTGTATAAAAAATTAATGAAATTTCAGCTCACGCGATAGATTTTCAGACAATCCCCCACAAATTTTAAAGAAAAAACCAATCAAATAAAACAAGAAACATAGCGGATTATCGACCATTTGCAAGAAAAAATGTTTCAAAGATCGAGGATGAACTTTTTTCTCGTTGTAGTGAATAAATCACTCATCAATCAAGTCTGAAGCATCGCCGAAAAAAACACTACAATGAGAGAGTTCACTGAGCAAAGAAATATGATCCAGACTCTATCTGTTTTTCGTGTGAATTGACAAAAACACAAACGACTTGGGATAAAACTAATAATGTGTGTGACAAAATATTTGGTTTTGATTGTGAGAATCACATGGAAAAATATTATTGGCAAATATTGTAAAAGCAGATGTTTCGGATTTTTACGATGAGAATCCTGCTAAATTTTGAAAAAGAAAAACAACGAGCAATTTTTGATTTTTGATTTTGGAGCACATGGTTTTGATCAGAGCATGGAAAGAAAATTAACAGAAAAAATATTTCATTGAACTTCGTGTTTGAAAATTTTTTCACACTGTTTATTTGAGCTGCAAAATTTTATAGTTCATTTTATTGAGTTTTCAGTTTCTATTCAATAATTTTGTGTAATTTTTATAATTGTGGATTTTTTTGAATCAAAAATTCAAGAAATTGATGACTAGGCTTCAGCTTCAGGACGTACATAACAATTTTATTCAAATTATACCCACAGTGTTTTTTTCGTGTTAGTTTCAGTGCAAATCTAGATAATGTTAGTCAGAAATATATAACACCATCCATTTATTCACAAGTTAAACTGTTTTCAAACATATAATTTATCAATCAGTTCAAAGATCAGTCAATTTTTTTGCATATAATCGTATTATATAACTATAACTCGCACTAATTCTCACAATTAAATATAACAGTATTCAAGTTTTGTTTCCGCTAGCTAACCAGTCTCTCATCAGAAAATTCAACGGCGGAAGCATTTTTTTCCTCTCTCATTTTCTGCTTGCCACCCAGTCAAATCATTAT